GCAAGTAATCCGCAGCAGAAGCAGCAAAGGTAGGCTGACTTGTTAATGATTCATTTCGTTTCTTATCACACATTTCGATTCTCGCATCGTCTGCCACTGTATTTGTGCCTTTATTTGGATCACCAGTTAATTACGGTTACTATTCTTTGCTCTTCCATCTCCCCACGCTGCGTTCTCAGATAGACACGGACAGACACGCGCCCATCCCTTGTGCACCTTGAGAATGGGAATTAAGGAGAATACATAATTAACATCGTGAATTCATTGACATTATTTTGGTATCGTCGGAAGGGATACACACTGTGTACATACATAATAACTACTACATGAATACACAGTTGCACTACACCGGAAGAGTGGAAGCCGTCGATAAATACGGGATCTGGGCATCCCCATTCTGTTACTGGCGAGGCCTGGGAATGTCCTGCTGAAACGGAGAGTGACGACATCAACCTTCACCGCTTCCTTCTCGTTGCCCATCCTCTCCCTCGTTCTCGTCTCTTCTCGTCCCCTCGTCCTCTCTATCTCACTACTACTCATAGTTACCAAGAGGTATCCACACGAAGACGACGACTCTAACCACGCGCCCCCCTCTCTCCATTCCGATTTGGGTCTATCTCAATTGTCACTGCCACTTTGACCTTTCCCTTTCCTATTGTTTTTGTCACCCGTTACCATCGTGACAGTGACATTGACAAGCCTCAAGTGACAACCAGAAGTATTGTCGTATGCCTAGGTAGTTACCACTACGAGTACAATCTACTAGGTACTGCCTCATTCGGGCCTCATCGGACCGGCCGCTTCAAAACAAACTACTCGATCCAACCAACTACCTCCTCCCTCCTCACTCCTCACTCCTCACTACTCACTATTACTACAACAACCACTCCCACCCAGTCATTTATTACTCAACTCACTCACTCACTCACTCATCCATCATCACTCATCCATCAATCATCAATCATTCCACATCATCCTCTCTCCCACCCCCATCACCAATCAATCACTCAGTCTCGTGTCTTTTCCTCTCTCGAATTCCATCATCGTCGTCATACTTCAATTATTCGTAATCCCCAACGCCTCGCTAGTGACGACTTGCACGCTACACGGACGAACAAACGAACAAGCAAGCAAGCACCGCCTCAATCTTCGTACTCGTACCTTCTCACTCTCTCACTACTCTGCGAGTACTTTTACATACATACCATACGTACATTTTCAACTGGACTGGACTGGACTGGACTGGGCCTTCTTGCGCTTCTACTCTTTTCAGTAACAACCAGGATCTTCCTCGCATTATTGCCACTCTCTTGAGAGTCTCTTCTTCTATTCCTCATCCATTATTACTCACTCTTTAATCCCTGTCCTTCTTCTTCTTCTTCTTCTTCCTTCTTGTGTCTCTGTCCTTCGTCGGGTTTCTTCCTCTTCCTTCTTCCTTGTCTTTTCCCTGAGACAACCCCGGCCCAGGAACCGACACGGCGACACCCAAGAGAGAGACTCATTACTCATCTTCCATCTCACCATCCCCATCAACTCCATCAACCCATCCCCAGTCGACCAATCAATCATCAACTGTCCTTCCCTCCTCTCTTCCATCCTGATCCTGGCATAACGAAGCATAAGGGTCGCCTCCCCATCCCGACTCCTTCCCACGGTTCCACCCATTCACCATCCATTCTTCCCAACCACACCACGACAAACTCAACACACCATCAATCCAACCACTACCACCGGTGCCTGGTGCTGCTTTACTGTACATCATCCAGGCACTCCCGACCGTCGGTCCGCGTCGCATCAATCCCCATTCTTTCTTTCTCTTTCCATCCTCCTAACGAGGTACCCATCGTTTATCCTTACCCTTACCTCTTCCTCTCTCGCCCTCAACCAACGCCCTCGCTCGTCCGGGCATTCCAAGGGAGAGAAAAGATAGCCCAACTCTAACGCCGCCGCCTCCGCCACAACTCCGGGATCATCCCGTCCACCAACCCCCATTCACGTGGCGCCTCTCAACCTTCCCGTCCGTCGTCCACCGCCGTCGACCGTCTAAAGTCCACCCCCAAACTCGCATGTGCCCCAGACAAACCCATCCTCAAACGCCGTACGCCTCCTCTTACTACGCACCCTCTTCTTACTCATACTCTTACTCGCACTCCTACCACACCCCGTACCCTTACTCTCACCCTTACTCCTCTTACTCCTACTCCTACTCCGCCATCATATAACATCCGGGACACGTCGCACATCCACCCCCACATCCTCCCTCCCCTTTCCTCCCAACTCCTCCACCCACACCCACGATCATGACATCGACCCTTCCTCCGGATCCTTATGCTGCCCTGGGTGTCCCCAAGGATGCTACCTCTGCTACCATAAAGTCCACATACCGGAAGCTCGTCCTCAAGTGCCATCCGGACAAGGTCACCGACCCTACCCTCAAACTACAGAAACAGGAAGAGTTCCACAAGATCCAACAGGCCTACGAACTCATCGGAGACGACGAGAAGAGACAGACCTACGATGCAGAGGTCAGGCTAGAGCAGCTACGGAAAGAGAAGGCCGCCAGAGGTGGTCCTGACCCGCGAACCGCCCGCTACGAAACTCGAACGGCTGCACCCGCAGGCGCCGCCACCTACACGACTTCAACACAACCCCGCTACGAGGAGCGCAGGCCATCAAGATACGATGACGACCGTTTCTACGAAGACCGATCGCGAGGAAGGTACGAGACCTACGAGTCGCATCCCAAGTACAGCAGCAGCTCATCGCGACCGACCCGAACCGAACGGGAGCCCGCAAAACCCTCCAAGTCCGCCACGGACCGCACCAGAGCCGACCACAAGAAGAACCGCGACAAGGAACACCGTCGCAACCAGTTCGATAAGTTCAAGGACCATCCGGGCGACGAGTCGTCGTCTGCCGACGAGAAGATGCGCTACGAGAAGGAGTTTCGTCGACGAAGCGACGACGCCCGCAAGGCCGAAGCGGAAGAGGCAGAGAGGAAACAGTTCGCCGAGGCTCGCAGGAAGGCAGAGACGCGCCGTTCCTACGAAGAGACCAAGGAGCCTCGCCGGCAACGAAGCGACGAGCTAGAGACCGACCCTCAGCGCAAGATGGAGGCCGGTCTAGGAGATGCCGTTCGCTACATCTTCAGCTCACGCAACACTCACGATCGCCCCTCGCCCGGTCGCACCGGCTCTTCGCGCGACGTTCCGCGTGAGAGCTACGAGGGCCGAACCCGAAGAGATCGCGACCGTCCCGAGCCCGTCCGCCGCTCGTCAGCTCGCCCAAGGGATCGAACCGATGCGTCTGGTAGAGAACGCATCATCGTTGACTGGGACGAGAGGTCCCCTCCGTCCTTCAAGCACTCCAGTTCTTCACCAGCGGATCTTCACGTGCCACAGCCACCGCCACCCCAGCGATCCTACACGGAATCGTCTCGCGAACACCGTCGCACAGAGACGTCCCCTACGCCCAAGCTCCGACGTCACGAGACAATGCCCGCTTCCCATTCTGCTTCACGCAGGAAGGAGGAATTTGTTTCTCGTCCTTCAGGATTGCGTGCCTCGGAGTCGGCAACTCCCCAATCGGGAAGCCCGCCTGACCATGCTTTCCCAACCATACCCCAGCCTACTTCAGCCACCAAGAAGTACTACTATCCGACCTCTGGCGGAGGTGGCGTAACTCTGCATCCCGACGATGTCAAGGTGGCGAATGGGCATCGCACTGTTCTCCATGAGCCCAACAGGCGAACACGCTCTCCTTCGCCACTGCGTCCAGGCCTGTCGCGTCCTCCCATGGGCGAGCACAGGCCAAGGGAGTCGAGCTCGGCTCAATACACGACAGCTCCGCCTCGTGCACCACAGCTCTCCCGCGCTGCCACTCTCAATGTGGCTGATATGGAACGTGGAAGGCCGCGACTGTTCAATGAAGTAACCCCCGAGTATGCTCGCCGACCAGAGAACCACCGCAAAAACAGCTACTCCCCCGACAAAGTGTCGTATTCCAAAAAGTATGATCTCAAAGACGTCAGCTACGCCTCAAGAGACCATCCCAAGCGCAGTTACTCAAAAGAGCGCGGCGAGTATCCCCGACCGGGCGTGACCAGACACGCCACGGTTGGTGTTTTCTAGACACAAGACCACTATTTTTCCATCTTGCTTTTGACTCAGATCCCATTTTCGAGGATCCAGGTGTTTTACGGAACGGGGGATTGTTTACATGTGTTCCAGTTTCCTTTCCTGCATTGATTGGTATCGCTTTTGATCGATTCCACGAGATACCCCAGACTCTCGACCAATCTGGAGTTATTCGGATTCGGCGTTTGAGTGAATTCTTTTTCTCTTTCTTCTTTTCTTCATTCATGCATTAGGGCACTCTTTCATGAGTCCCTATACATTTTTTCCTATACCATTCTTATAGTCTCAACAGCAACAGCAGCACCAGCAGCAGAAGCAACATCAACGACCCATGAATTACTACAACGAAAACTTTAACGGCCGCAACTCATCCCCCTCCCATCCCGACCCAAGAGCGACTTCGATGTCAATCGCGACGTCTCGCTACGGTCATCGCAGGAGAGTGCGCGCGATCACCCTTGTAAATGATAAATACTTTTCATCCTCTTTGAACTATTCCTACCGTTTTCTGTCTTGCATCTTTCTCAATGTGTCTTTACTAAAACTTTATAAACCCAGCGGAACCATCTTCGAGATCAGGGCACATACCCTCTCGGAATGAGCACAACGTTGCATCACCCCATTGACGTGGCGGCATTTCCATTCAATTGCATTTCATCTTCAAGTGTTGAAGGCGGACTCACAACTGCATCTTATGGTTTCTTCTTCCGCTCTTTTCCCAGTCTCGCGCAGGCGGCATTCTCTTGTTCTCACAATCACCACTTACCCCTTTGAGGGAAGAATGGTGTTTCACTCGGTCCTAGGACACCTCACACCTTCGATTATTCTTGCTCTTTTCTCTCATTTTGCTCTCTATCCCCAAGCTGGGAAGAACTTATGATCGCTTGGGGTTTTCGAACGGCCGAACTCGTAGTTTAGAGAAAAGGACATGACGTTCTTATTATGACGGACGCATAACAATGCATTATCCAACAATACAATACAATGCAATCATCACAAACGTATCTTTCCTGCACACTTGTTCGTATAATCTTTGGTGATATACATGCATATCTAATCTCCGTCGCGACGAAGTGTTCTCCACCATTCATCCAGACTCACGCCTGCTTCCCATCATCCTCCTTCTGACAAGTCTTCATCAAGTATCACTTTCCCCAAGTCTCGATCCGACGCACGTCGCTCCCCAATGCCTCCCCAAGCTTCCAATACTGCATACATATATATATATCCTCCTCTCTTCTACTTCACTCCTCAGGTCAACTTCCTGCCACTTACACTACCCTACCTAACATCAGAGCTCCACCATAGGCCCCACAACCTCACTCAAGCGCTCGATTGGTTCCCTCTCGCTCGTGGCAGGGAGGAGGGAATGAATGAGTAGTTGCATGAACGAACGTAGCACATCCATCCCATCTACGTCTGTCAGAGAACCACACCCAACCTGTAGTCATAGAACCTGGCAAACCCTTCATTCTGTGCAAATGTATGTATATGTCGACAGGACACCGATACCCTAATCCCACAAAGGTTTTTCCCGTTGCACGACGTCACACACACAAGAGAAGAAAGAGGCAAAGTTGTTTGGATAATATCGTAATCGTATCGTATTGTATCTGTTCGGTTTTCAATTCAACACACATTGGTCGATTGAGATATAGATGGATGATGCCTCTGCAGGCTCGCCCCTTCTCATGTCTCTTTCTCCAGCCTGCTGGAAGAAAGGATATGGTGGTGAGTGAACAGACAGACCAAACAGAAGTCAAGAGAATGAATAGGTGGATGGGTGAGGTTGTTCCATTATTTGTTTCTTCCTATCCCCTATCCCCATCCCCTATCCCCTTCCTTTCGTTCCTCCATATTGCTCCAGAATGATATTGAAAGTGACCAAAAGAAAAACTCCAATGATTTCGCCTGGTGTACCTACCCTACAAAAGAAAGATGAGACAAGATAGGAGAGAAAAACGCTTGCACAAAAAAGTCGAAGCATATCCTTATGACCTTTGGTTGGCAGATTTCGTGAGCCTTTTGAAAAGCTTGCATTGGGGCGGCTTTCGCCATACGTAAAGTAGCTGTCTACACCGATGCCGCAGGTGTGATTGCGTTCCTAACTCCGGGGTGGAGGGAACAAATGCCTTGCATTTCGTCTCCTCCGCAAAAAAGAGAAATACCCAAATGAAGAAAAAAGAAAATTGGTGCTTCCAAGTGAACTATGCCTCCGGGCTTTGCTGTGTCCGTGCATGTCTACGCAAAACCCGGTCTTAAGTATGATAGACAAGGAGAAAGGCCTGGGAGGGTAAGGAGCGATGCCTCTGGCCAATGCTATGTGTGTCGTGGGAAAATGTAAGGGTGTGGCGCACAAGGTAGTATCTACTAATGACTACTAATGAACACATTACGGTTAAAATTGGTCCACTTTCTCTTCGTGATGAATAAACCGTCAAAGAAGAATGGCCTTCGTGATCGGTGTGAACTGGAGCAAAGAAAGTGAGATAGATGAGTCGAAACCTGATAGCAAAGAAATTCTGGTGCAAGGTGGAAAGGAAGCGTAACACGCTAATTTGGACGTAAAGAATGGCGGTGTCGTGACTTGTTGGGTTGCTGGGTTGGCTGGAGGCATGTGAACGCACGGATTGCGTTTTGAAACACGCCGTGCCAGTCGTTGGCGCTCTGTTGGTGGCTTGGACACTAAAATTCCCATTGGAGAAATAACTGCACGAGCCAGGCTGCAGATCCTCCACGGCTGGGAAATTACACTGCTGCATCGCTTCTCGATGCCCCATGAAATGGCGCACTGTTGGAGTCGAACTGAACCGGTGCCAGAATAGGCCATGTGCAGAAGCGGAGCTGGCGAAACAAACCCAAGGTGGGAAGTTTGATCCTGCTGGGCAAGCCTACCATTCGACGGTGACCTGAGATAGATAGTGAAGAAAGGATTGTAATGGGATGCCTCTCAAAGTACATCCCAAATATTCCTCACGATCGGACTGCTTCCTGTCTGCACGGGACTTCGAGGATCCTGAGCAACCTTCTGGGGAGTAAAGTGCTGCGTCTCCTTCCAAACATGATTCTCCTTGATCGTTTCAGTGGAAGATGCAGGGCTGACGTCTTCGTTTGAAGTTGGCTTCTGCAAGTCAAGGTGGAAGGGGTTCCTGGTGAACTCCTCGGCACGCGGGGACATGAGCGCGTCTAGATCATCGGCTGACTGAGTAGGAACAGGAGCCTTTTGGGGAAGCATCGCTTCCATCTCAGTCTGTAACTTCTGTAGACGTCGTTGTTCACGTAGATTTGGCGACGAGAATCGCGTTCGAATACCCAGTTTCTTGGATGGTGTCGTGAGAAATTGACTCTCGGGTGTTCTAGCTGGTAAAGGACTAGGGAATTCGGGTGTTTGGGGTTCCAAAGGGTCCGTTCCATTCATCGCCGCGAAGTTGCTCAGGCTATCCATCCTGGGGACTTCCGGGGTCTTGGGTGTTTCGTTGCTTGATGATTTCGGTAGGACCACCAGTGGTTGTGCGTGCGCAATCCCATTCAACGAGATGGGACCATTAGTCGACTCTGGCTGTGTGAGCCCTGAAGGAGGAAGGATGGCCTGGAATGAAGGGCGTCGGAAAGTGGATTCATCGACCTCCTCGAGCCCGGTCTTAGCATCGTCATGTACGCTGCTTGGAAATTCAAAATGCTTGGGGGAGGTTAAGCCGAATGGGTCCTCGTTTGCTTCTTGCGGCTTGATGGGGGTCATGTGAAAGTCGGTTGATCTCGGCGAAGCCACATCTGTCTCGGCTGCAGACGTTGTGGGCGGGAACATGTCTTTGGGAAACTCTGTTTTGATTGGAGAGATTACGTCGAAATGGTGAGATGGTTCGTCGTTTGTTGCCACCGGAGCTGGTGGCAGATCAAATGCTGTGGCGCGCGGCGACATTAACCCATCTGGCTCGACCATGCTGAAACCCGCCAATTGAAACCCGGTGGATCGTGGTGACATGGGATCCTCATACGAGGGTGGTGAACTAGGTACAGTCATATCACTGGAGCCGCTCCTCGGCCATGGATTCATGTTGAATTGAGTACGCATAGGTGATCGTAAGTCATTCATGTTAGCCTGCTCGGTATGTGGGATCGTGGGTATCTGGAATGTCGACGTAGTGGGCGATAGGATGGATATTGAGGGTGGCTCCGGGGCAGCGAGGAACGGCCCATTCTGCGACGCTTCTTGTACTTTGGGAAGATGAGAATCGCCGTTGAGCATGGAATTGCGGAGAGGCAGCACACGCGAGAAGTTCGGGACCGACACTGGTCTAGGTTCTACAGCAGCCTGCTTCTCTTTGGCAGACTCCTTAGTGTTTGCCGACTGGTCAAAGGTGGCAGATGCATCATTCTCTGTGATGGACAGAACAGGAACGACTTGACCTTTGGGATCGACATAGGCTGTAGATTTTGGCGACGACTTGGGCGACAAATCGAAATTAGTTTGACTGGAACCCCAAGAACGACGGAAGTCTGCAGAGTAAAATACACCAGAAGGGGCGGACAATGGGCCTGGGGGGATGGCCATCATGCTTCCGGTGCTCGCTCGCTGCAAAGATATATCTGATTCCGGAGGGAGAGGAGCAGTGCGAGGGGTCCTAGAGCCAGTCGTTGCCTCTCTATCAAAGGGAGAACTCCTGTGGCCCACGTTCGAGACACCCGTGGCCAGACCTGCAGACCTTCGCGGTAGTCCGAAACCTTGAGTATGCCTGCCTTCGTTTGCTCGCATCAATCCATTTCTGAACTCTTGTAGTTGCATAATGAGATTCATGTTAGGACCAATCCATTTGCTTCGCTTTTTAACGGCATCATATGCCTCCTGGACGCTGATTCCAGGATTCTTGTAGAGACCATAGGCCACGATCAAGCTAGCGGATCGGCTGACACCGCACTGGCAATGAACTAGGATACGTTTACGTTGCTGGACTCTCTCATCCATCGTCTTGACGAGCTTATAAAGGTCTGGGACGATGTCGGTGTTGTGTTCCCAGGGCATGTGAATGTACTCTGGCTTTCCATTTCCGTCGAGCTCGAATGATGGGGCGATCGACTTGAAAGAGGGAGTTGCCTTTGGCGTTGTTGGGGAGTTATTTTGAACATCGAACGAGGACTTATTTGCTCGCTCAGGGATTGCGGCAAAGTCTACATTCTCCGCAGGGGGACCGTCAATTCGTCTCGCGTCCAAATCTTTTTGGGATGCCTGGACTGGATGGGTGAAGGGATTCTTCACCTCACTTGCAACATTGACGATGACATCAAACTCCCTTGCCTGCTCAGCTGTAGGCTCAAAGTACAGGTAAACACCAGACTCGTATATACATATCGGTCCATTAGGATACGCAGCCGGCTTCTCTTCGCGGGACTGGGGAACGTCAAAGTTGGGTTCTTGATCTTCTTCCTCAATCTCTACGGGGACTTCGGCAAATCCGTGCGGGTTGGTCTTTATTGGTCTCAAAGCCGGAAGACGCATACCTCCAGAGGGTACGACACTGGGAGAGCATAATGGCAAAGATGGCGATGACTGAAAATGTCGCAGCGCCGGCCTGTTCATCGCAGGCGTGGAGGGAATGATCAGCCGTGTGGGTTTGGTATCGCTACCGGGGGTCTGAATGGTCAGACTCAAGTTCGATGGTCTTCGTTTTGGTGGAGTTGGTGGCTTTATGAAGGACGGCGAAGCTGGTGCCGAAGTATTCTTTTCTTTTGGTGCAATGGCCGGCAACGAGGCGGTTGCATTATTACGTAGATTTCCCAGAGAGCTAGTGGTATTGATGCCCAAGTTCTTGAGATTGCGCGGTTTCTTCGCGGGAGTGACAGGACGTTGAAGCTCGAAGAATGTCGTTGGAGAATTGTCCAATGATGCGTTGTCTGTCTTTCGGGACCTAAAGTCCGCGGAGAAAGCGGATGCCATGACTCTGGACGATGGAGACTCAGGTGAAGGTCCTGGAGATATCTCAGTGGCGGAAGAGCTGTCCATTGTTGATATGGTGGTAGTGGGGGAATTGTCCGAGGATTCAGACGCAAGCGTTGAGGTACTGTCGCGGTGGACGTGGAATCCCGAGTAGTGTGCGTTCGATGAAGTCGAACCGTGTGTTATGTTCCCGCTCGAAGCAGGTCGTGCTACAGCGCCTCCATGTACGCTTTCTTTGATTCCAGTAGTACTTGCGTCCTCTCCGAACACGGACATAAACGAGGGCATCGGCCGAGTACTAGTCTGCACCATGCTGGTCCTTGGGATCCAGGACGAGGTCTGTGGTACAGCCAGACGAGGGAGGCGATGGCTCTGCGATGGTGGACCACGCAGCGATTTCGAGGGTATGTATGTTGGGTAACCTTTGTGCTGGTGTACCGATTCGAACGGTTTAGAAGGGAAGCAGGATGTATTAGGTGCTAAGTCGGGTGCATAAGACCTTTTGAGAGTGGTGTTAGTTTCATGAACAAATGTTGCTGTTGCCGTCGTCGTCGCGGCCGCCATGACAGTACGTTATAATCAAAACGCGCTCGTGTGAAGGTAATTATGGTATGCAACAACGAAGGGTATGTAGTGAAGGGGGACTTCGAGGACAGGGGAGAATAATAGTGACTGGTAGATTGAAGGTAAAGAAGACAGGACGCGCACTGAGAAAGGACGCGCTGCTCGATTTCCTGAAGGTATAGAGTAGAGTAGAGAGGCAGTGACAAAGTGGGAGAATGTCATAGAGACATGTTTGAAACTGCGCAGCAGAGACGAGAAACAGAATGGGCGGAGTGTGTTTGGGACGGTGGGCGGAAAGGAATAAAGGAAGAGAGGAAGGTAGGTGGGCAGGAGCTGGGAGTTGAGGCACAGGAAACGCACCGACTTTAGCAATCGTCCAACGAGATAACCAGATCTCGAGTTTTAAGCGCCTGGAAGGAATGACAAGGCGGACGAAGCGCCTGAGGGCCGATAGTATAAGGAAGGGAAAAGGAAGCCGATTTTCGAGGGAGGGATCGAGGATGGGCGGACGGTTGATTGATATGAGTGGTTCGTAAAGCGGTCTGAAGGCGCAAATCGTTATAGGTGCGAGAAGAAAGAGGAGAGGAGAAGGAGCGCTCGCAGAGACGACCACCGGGCCTTTGGTGTTTTGCGAAGGCGACGAGAGACGGGATCAGAGGAGAGGTGGTGGAGGGATGGAAACGCGACACTGGTAGGTTAGGTAAAGACAAAGGCGAGTGGATGGATTGAAGGTCGGCGCTTCCGGGGTGGGAGGGAAGAGAAGGTGGTGGCGGAGGAGAAGAAGAGAGAGGAGGAGGGAGGGAAGAAGAAAGCGAAGTGGAAGTGAATAGTGAAGAATAGTGAATAGTGAGTGTGTGGAGAGAGAGAGAGTAGAGTAGAGTAGGTAGAGAGTAGAAGGTGTGTGTGTCTGTGTGTTAGTAGGGGAGGGAGGGAGGCAGGAAGGTGTGGGTGGGCGGGTGAGTGGGTGGTTCGTTGGTGGGAAGGAACGACGAACGAAAGGCGCCTATTGGTGACCAATTACACAGGAAAGAAGGGGGTAACTAATCTATTTTTAAAATCCTGCAGGAGACAACCCGGCCGAAGGTGGAGGCGCCATCTCTGGGTTCTAGTCCAGTCCACTTCCAGTCAAGTCAAGCCGAGTGCGAGTCCAAGGTCCCTTCCCTTAAACCATATTAGGCAACCCTCGTTATTCTGAGACTCGATTACCAAAGACGGAGATATACAACCTCACAGCCAACCACACTCCATATATGAATACATAAATCCCGTAATTAATCATCCTCCTCCACTTTCTCTCTCCTCTGAGTTCTGAGTCCTCTCCTCTCCCAGTCTCCATGTCCAGTCAAGGATCCTTTTCCTTCCCATCATGCAAGCCCGGCGTCAACTTCTTACCGAACCGTAATTCGTTGCCCACTCGCTCCTACAATAGACAGTAGCTAGCTGACTAGGAGTAGGTAAATTCAACTCCGATTTCCAATTACTCTGCGCCCTCTGTTTGCCTCCATAATTGTTGATTTGTTATTGTTTTTGTCATCGCCACTACGAAGCCGTGGCATTGTCCTCATCATTATTGTCATTATTGTTTTGTGTGTGCAGTGTCTGGCCCTACTCCGTACTTTGGACCGCTTTCGGTAACTATAGGTACCTGTTGACACGGTGTCACTGATTCATTCCACTTCTCTACACCTCACATACAGACTCACCTTCCTAGGCGTCTGCCTCAAGTCAAACTGACATGTCAAATCATTATTCCGATGGTCCAATTCAACAATACGCATAAGACAATGTCAATCAGAACGCGATCCATCTGTGCTGTATCGGCTATTTTTGCCTCACGACTCACGAGTACCAAGACCCCAGGCCATGGGAACGAATCAGAAGAGCCCCTTACTTACCATCAGCCTTATACTCCGTAGAGGAGTCAATACAATCCACTACGAGATCTCCATACGAGTCCTTCATTTCGACTACACACATTGCACACGACATCAACCGTATCCTTCATCATTATCATCATCAGACCCTCGTACTCGTGTCGCATTCACACTAATTGCTTGTTCAATGGTCTTATTCAGCTCGTTATTTCCTTGAATGAATTATCGAGCCCTTTCTCTCGAATCATTAACGTTCCGGTAGACGTGAATGTCCGCCGTCGCATTCGGAGGTCTTCTCTTCCCATCCTGCCCAGCCTTGCCGCAGGACGCCCCGACTCCGATCAAACGCGTCCTTCTGCACGTCTCCATCGCCGGCCACCCGGTGAAAACGGTGAAAAAAAGTCAAAGAATAATTCACCGCTCCATTATCACCTGTCACCGGCGACGCAGGAATTGTCCGACGACTCATCGACTTGAAACATGAGGCTCCCCAGTCCAGCCACAACCCTCCTCGTTGGCGGGGTGAACATGCTCAAACCCGCGACAAGGCCTCTGGGCACTGGTTTCATGATGCTTAAATACTTCGAACTCATTGACAGTCGCGCTACATGCCCTCGATGATGGTTCCCTTCCCTCGTTCCGAGGCAACGTGACACCTTCGACAGGGCCGGCTCCTTCTGATGTGCGACCGTTTTCGTGCTTCTCTCTGCCTCACATGCTGCCTTGTGCACTGCACCGCAAACCATTCCCGTCGAGGCACTGCTATAGCGTTTCCAATTCCCATCTAAACCATGCATTATCTGCGACGCACTTTCTAAAGCCCGGTAGGCATCGATCTCACCCAAACGAGATCCTTCGTTATGTAATTCTCATCGCCACTGGGTTCATCTTCCCCCGGGCTCTCCGGCGTGGAGATCCTTTCCGTGATCTCCCATCGGATCCCTCTCTTCGCAACATGCAAGATCCAGGCCGGGCCACTTGCACAAAAGCAAACCCAACAACGGTCTTCCGAAGACCCCGTTTGACAAGAAAAGTCTCCGACACTCGATCGGACATGGCCTTGGATTGCGACCGAAATGTTTCCACATCTCTGCTTTTCGCTGGCTTTCTTCTTCGTAGACCATGCCTCATTCTAATTTTATTCTTAATAGGCGAGACCTGAAGAATGGAAGGATCGATCTTCGCGCCGGTTGTAGACTATGTAACGCTTCCCTCGATGCTGCGGCCTTGCGAGTGGGTAAGTGAGTCATAGGACCTTTTCACCGGAGCCCGAACACATATGATCTGAGAACATATATTTTGAATCCGGTTTGTTCGTCCAGGACATTTACCTAGCGAGTCTGAAGTTGCATATCTCCCAAGCCTTAAGGATGAGGTATATATTTGGGGCGAAAGGTCTTGACGAATACCATGTTTCCTATACATTGCGTTCGGTTCAGGAACTGGTATATCGGTTTGAGAAAGTGGAGCTTGACTGACTGTAGTGCTAACGCTGCGAACACCCTATGTAAAGTGAGGTGGTAAGGCATGCCAGTGGCTGAATATATATCAAACTGCCATTACATTATGCAGTACCAACACCAAACCACTCTTCCAATCCAAATTAAGAAGCACCAGACCATTCTACTGAACTTCTTTCCTAGTTATCACTGTCGGTCATTTTCGAAATGTACAACCTTTTCAGTCAGCCCGTTCTCATCAACCCCCAACCTACAATTTCAATGTATCAATGTAGAGCCAACCTCCTATATTATAGACGCGACGACTTGATTACTTAGGAGAAATGATTCATATCTAGATTTGCGATATTTCGAATATCCCCTAGCTAACTACTATTCTGACGCTAGCTGACGCCTCAAGTCGAGCCAATGGAGTTTTCTATTCCCCTTAGAACTTGCACGCATGCCCTGGGTAAAGAGTCGGTGTCGACATCAGCACTGCTTCGACCTCGGAATGAGTATGGTGTGGAAGGAAGCAGGCTTCTATTTGAGATATCTTTTAATCACGATACTTGGTGGATGATATGTTGCTGGCGACCTTGGTGCGTTCCACTACGTGTCGCTACGGAACCCTTTGAAAGGTGGTAACTAGAATTGGCAGTCAAGGTCCCTTCGTTTCCCTCCAAGATTTTACGCTATCTGGATAAGTACAAGTAGATAACGAGTTCTTGTTGGCATCAAGCTGGACGCTCTACGATTTTAGTTGGGCTTCTCAAATGCTCCAGGATTATTGGTGGTTGGTGCTGCAATTGATATTCGACCAGGCGCCGCATGTTTGATCCGACTAAAACCTCAAAGTGCAGAGGAATAGAAGACCAGAGTCGTATTCCCATAGCTCATTCCAAATAATTTCGCATATTTATTGCGCGTGCGTTCAGTTGATCGCATTATCTGTGTCGTGAAATGGAGGTTCAATGCAATCGCTAGGCTGATTACGTGATTATTCGTTTAGCGAACCCAGAAGTCTTGGCTCCCACGCAAAATCTCAACGTCGACTTCGAGATACTAATCCAGCCGCGACAACACCCCTTCACAGGTTTTTTACTAACACCGCAGGTAAGTCCAGAAATGCCGTCAAAAATTGCAATTCACGTCGAAGGAAGATACTAATTCATCATTGTCTTTTTTACAGCCATGTCTCGTCCCAGCGTTACCATCATCGGTGCGGACGGCTCTGCCTCCAAGGACACCATTGCCTTCCCCAATGTCTTCAAGGTAAGCCGATCAGATTTTTCTACGAAACTCGAAACATTCTATCGATCATGCATTCGATCTGCGAGCCATATCATGCCATACGTCTTCGCCTGGGAAAGGTTTACACTGTCAAGTGGGCAACTGCATCGGCTGGAAGAGATTGGGTTAATAAAATTTCGGAAGCTGTGTGCGCAGAGGGAATTTTGCATGACAGGACAGTCGTAAATTACCTATGGAAGACATACGGCTATGATTTTGGCATTGCTCGGCATGATTTCGAAATTTCTCCACCGCTTCAGTCTCAACACCATCAGACTTCGAAATATCTCAACAAGGAACAATAGACTAACAGATTATCAGAGCCCCATCCGACCGGATATCGTGCACAGCACCCACTCCGGCATGGCCAAGAACCGCCGCCAGCCCTACGCTGTGTATGTCTCCTTAAATTGAACATGAGAGGAAGAGCCTCATTCTAACATCGAGATCCAGCTCCGAGAAGGCCGGTCACCAGACCTCTGCTGAGTCCTGGGGTACTGGACGTGCCGTTGCACGTATTCCCCGTGTCTCCGGTGGTGGAACTCACCGTGCTGGTCAGGCCGCTTTCGGTAACATGTGCCGTTCTGGACGCATGTTCGCTCCCACCAAGGTCTGGCGCAAGTGGCACCAGAAGATCAACCTGAACCAGAAGCGTTTCGCTACTGCTTCCGCTCTCGCTGCCTCCACCAGCTCTGCTCTTCTCCTCGCCCGTGGCCACAACATCTCCACCGTCCCCGAGGTTCCTCTCGTCGTTTCCTCGACTGCCTTCGCTGACGGTGCCATCGCCAAGACCTCCAAGGCTGTTGCCCTCCTCAAGGCTGTCGGTGCTGGTGCCGACGTTGAGAAGGTCAAGAACACCCGCAAGACCCGTGCTGGTAAGGGCAAGCTCCGTGGCCGCCGCCACAGGCAGCAGCGCGGTCCTCTCGTCGTCTACAACCCCGATGAGGATGGCAAGGAGCTCGTCACTGCTTTCCGCAACATCCCCGGTGTTGAGACCTCTTCCGTGTACTCCTTGAACCTCCTTCAGTTGGCTCCTGGTGGTCACCTCGGACGCTTCATCGTCTGGACCTCCTCCGCTTTCTCTGCCCTCGACAAGGTCTACGGATCTACCACCGAGGCCTCTGCTCTCAAGAAGGACTTCCTCCTCCCCAGCGCCATCATGAAGCAGCCCGATCTCAGCAAGATCATCAACTCCTCCGAAGTCCAGAACGTTCTCCGACCTGTCCGCGGCAGCGCCATCTCCAAGCGCACCGTCGTCCAGAAGAAGAACCCTCTCAAGAACTTCCAGGTCCAACTCCGCCTCAACCCCTACGCCGCCGCTTTCTCCAAGAACCAGCTCGGACAGGCCAAGGTTGAGCAGGACAAGAGCGAGAGGGCCGGTGAGAAGTTCGATGAGCTCCTTCACACCAACTAAAGCGTTGGTTTGTTTTCGGCTCTTCGGTTTCTCAAAAATTTTTAACTAGCAAATGGATGGTTAGGCAATGACAAGTATTTTCTGGGCGGGCTGGCTAGCAGGCTCATGAAATTCAAAATATCCCAAATGAGGAATGAATGATATCTTCCCCTTTAATGTTCACATCTCTTGCGCCCTCTTTACTCATATGACATGTATGCATTCGTGTTGACATGACTTGATGACCATCATTCTTTCTATTCATACACATGGCTACGTGATATAAAAAAAGCGCACTTCAGGGCCCACCACCATTGACCTGCCCCTCTTCTCCAAACAATCTCAAGCAATCCTCCCTCTTGAACATCCTCGCACAATCCACAGCATTCGGCTGCCCCAGTCTCGGATCCGCCCCTCCATCGTACAACACCTTGACAACCTCATCCCACCCCTTGAACACCGCGCCCGCAATCGGACTCTGCCCCTTGTCGTTCATGCAATTCGGGTCGGCGCCCACGTCCACGAGCGCCTTCGTCGTCTCCGCATGGCCGTGGTAGGACGCCAGCATTAGCAGTGTGTCGCCAGAGGCATTTGTGAGGTTCTTGGGCACGCCGGCTTGGATATACGCGGCTAGGGTTGCGGTGTTGCCTTCGCGCGCTAGGTCGAAGAGTTTAGTGGCGAGGTCGATGGCTGCTGGCGGGAGTTCTGAGACTGAGGGTGATGCGTTCGTTGTTGCGCCGTTTGTGGTTGTGGAGTTGGAGTTTGATGTCATTTCGGGTAAGAAATGTGGTGGTAGAAAGTCTACAGTGCAGATAGATAAAAAGCAAGTATAGGTGCGCAAATGTGAGGATGTAGAGAGGGTGAATGTGAATGGCTATAACTTGGTATATTCTTAATTCTGACCTTTGTACTTTACTTGAAAATAGAAACGAACTTATTCTATGGGATACTTAACTCGCAAACGGTCAGTGAAAATGGGACAGGCCGGATATCGATGACATAGACACACGTCCTTGTGCGGCGGAAGCTCGGTCAGCTTGGCGATATTTCGCGCGAAACCAACGGTTTTCCGCGAACTAGCTATCATCAATCAGTCAACCAACCAACGCAACCCATACGAATACCCACACCAAACCAGCGAGCTTCACGCGCAACGCGCAAAGACTTACGAATCGCAAATCTCCACACGACTCTCTCAACTTTACTCACCACCCTCTTCGCTGAGGGATAACCACGCCCCGGGATGGCTTCACCACCCCATGTGCCGCAGATCAACATCCCTCGCAAGCGCGGCTCCATCTCCTCAGTCAACTCCGCGGTATCCAAAAGGCGCAAGCCGTCGCAGCTACGGAACTCGTTTGCGCCGGAATCAGAGATCGCCGGTTCGCCTTTGCGATATTCGAGGTCGCCTTCAGTGGATAGCGTCGCGACGGGCTCGATCGCGAACGGCGCAGGAGGCAGGAAGAGGAAACGGAAGGATGGAGATACCTTGAGTGTGACGGGCAGCATGCGGGGCGCAAAGCGACGAGGCGATGACAGGAGTGCGACTGGGGCTGATGGAGAGGCCGAGAATGCGGAGGACCAAGAGGAGGATGATTTGGAAGAGGAGATGGATGCTGTTCTTGAGGGCGGTAGAGCTACTGAGGCGTCCAAGAAGCAGGAGAAAGAGCATGAGCGGTAAGATGACACTGAAGTGGTGTTTTTGGATGCTGATTGCTAATCACGGTTTATAGAATACTCATGGAGGCCATGGACCCGAATCAATCCGACCGCTACGCAACCTACAGACGTATTCGATTGAAGCGAGAAATCGTCCGCAAACTCGTGAACCAGACGCTCTCTCAATCCGTCCCGCACCCCGTCATCATCGCTGTGACCTCCTATTCCAAGGGCTTCGTCGGAGAGCTCGTGGACCGCGCCCTGGCCGTTCGAGATGAATGGGCTGCCTCTCGCACACATCTTCCCAACCCCAATCTTCCACCCACGCTGCTCAAGGAAGGGTTCCACGCCCCACATAATCATCGCCCGGAAGCCAGACCTACGCGACAAGAGCTTCATGCATCAGGTCTGCAACCTTACCATATCGATCAAAAGGAGGGTTACTGGAAAGCGATCGAGGAAGGTGCATCGCTACAGGATAGGCTGAAGCAGGAAGACAAGGGACCTCTGACACCAGCACATCTACGAGAAGCACTCAGACGTTATAAGAGGGATAGAGAAGGAGGCGGTGCAGGTTTCGCTGGTATGAGTCTGGAGGGAGTGGAGAGAACGATGGGTAGGACTGGAGGAAGGAGACTGTTTCGATGAAGCGCTTTCATTCGATACTCTACCTTTTCGAGGACCTTACATGGGGCCCGTCTGCATAGCAAGGAGTTGTTCATTAGGGCATTTTTGGGAGTTCTGGGTCTCAGATCAGGCAAGAGGACTTATTCCTGATACTGGAAGCTGATACTGGAAAAGGCGATTCATTCATACACATCAATCAGATATCACTGAAATTGCCTGCATTGGCGTAATTACAGAATAATATACAGACCGATACTTATCTGCTTCAGCTATGCTATGGGCGTCCTAGGTTCATTTATCCTCCCCTGAGCAGCGAATTTCTGCAACCCCCAATCCAGGAATTTAATCAGATATCCAAGTTCCATCTCATTACACTTTATCTCAAACCTCATATCTGCTTTGCAATCGGACCGACCATGCTCTCCCAACCTGTTTCTTTCACATGGCATAATCCCACCCGCGTGTCCTTGCCAGTATCATTAAAGGGAAAAAAAAATCAAGCTAAGCAATAGTGCGTCATTGCATTCCTCGCAAGCCACATCCTGCACCGTTCTGGATCTCTTTTCACTGCGGGCCTACGAATCTCAACCGTCCCCGCCAAGCATCGACTGCACCGAATCGAACACGCGGGACGATCATCTGTCTATGACCCGCATGACGTATGCCTGCATCACATCGCCCACCCATCGATCGTTACGTGCCCACACGCACCAGCACCAGCCGCAAGGGCTGGGCTCCCGTTCCCAGATTCCCATCCGTAGTTCTGGGTATGAGATCACTGCCTATCGGAGGATTGTTAGGGCTGGAATGGGGACAAGGCGGAGCATACATATATCATAGTCAGATCTGCCCGATCGAGAACAGCTTCTATCAACTATTCCCACCTAAACACTGTCTTAACACAACCTCTTAATAAACAACTCTACAATATACCTCCACTTCGTTCCGTGCATCACACACACATACACACATACATACATACATAACGTCCCAAAGTAAACTCTTTCCCCTTGACAACATGGCATCCAACAACAACCAGCCAGCCGCTTCCAAGACCTACAAGCAGCAGGCCTCGGACTTCTACAGCCGCCAGTACGACTCCTGGGTCCCCTGGATGGAGGACCAGTATCTGAAGTGGTTCACAAAGGACAACAAGGCCTCCTACGCCACGAAACGTACGTCATCCTCCCTCACCCTTTCCCTTTCCCTCTCCATACACTAACGTAAGCACGACACAACAGAGCAGCTCGACAAGACGAAAATAACCGGCGTATCGCAGGTCGACAACCTGCAAGACGGCGTTAACAATCTCGTCGGCGGGCAAGTCGGCCAGGGCGGCCTCGCGCAACCCCTCGGCGACGCGGTGTCCAAGGAGGGCGTCAACCGCGCCGAGCGGGGCGGGAAAGACGAGCAGGGACGGAACCTCGAGAGCCAGGGTCCGCTGGGCGGGTATGGCAGCGGTGCTGTGGAGGGGATTAAGGGGGCGGGAGGTAGTCTCGCCGGAGGGGCGAAGAGTGCGGGTGGGTATGTTGGGGGATTGTTTGGTGGTGGGAAAGGGGGCGATGAGCCGGCTGGGAAGAAGTGAGGTTGTGGGGTTCGATGTGAAGGTCAGTGATGGGAGGAGTTATGAGGTGAGGATGGGAGATACAATGATACCACCGGAAGTTTTTGTTACTCACAAGGTTAGATCGGGAAAGGGATTACACATATAGGGACTGGTCTTCTGCATAATTGATACTTAGTTTGTTGGTACGGAATATAATATAGTGTTGATGTTTATCTTTTTTTCAATTGTTTATCTTCGACAAGTTAGGAAATTACACGATGTGGCGGCTATGACATGGAACAGTCAAGTGAGGTACTCAGACATTGGTCCTGCTGCTCCACACCACCCATGGCATATCGCAGAGTTATGCAACAGGTTCTTGTCTTGACAAGGTAGCTCGCCGGTCAATTGATACAAGGTCCATCATTGTGTTTGATACCAGATGCTACACTACACTACAACGAGGATGCCCTTCCACACAAAATAAAACTTTGGTATATCCACTCCTTTGTCAAAAGGGGAGACAGATAACGTGTCCTGTCCAAAAAGGGAAAAATGAAACGCCTGAATGATGCTGTACTATTTATACAACTGTAGAAAAAATCGCTTGCTTGGGGACTATGCCATGCTGCTGCAAATATAGGGATATGTCTAAACCCCTTCCACAGAATGTAATGTACTCTTCGGCGATAGCCAGTAAGCCGCTTAGGGAATCTGCAATAAGTTTGCACAAAAGAAAGCCAGCTAGATGTTTTGGAGGAAGGCACTAGCGGGGAGAAAGAAGTCGGTTGATGGTGAATGGTCCCGTATGGTTTCCGCGAGGGACGGGAATAGGTCGGACGCAATGCTCTCGCTGTATGCTGATGGTCTATGGCTGGAGGTTTTGCCATTGCATGTCGCCGGCCTGAAAGTAGGCGGGGTATATATGTGTTTCATTACAATCGTCAATAACTCTGTTGGAAAAACTTTTAATGTGTTGATCTCGATATGTTCACTCGCCAACATTTGTTCGGACCCTTCTGCTCACACTTGTGTTGCGTCCAAGGCCCTGAGCACCCAGTGATGCTCTATGGGCACTGTAGTTAGTGGTAGGTTGTACTAAGCGACTTCCAAGGTCAGCAGATAGTGGCTTTTCGTAGCCAGGCGTGCGCCGTCGCTCAATATGGAATCTTGAATCGTCTTGGTACAATAGAGAATTGTTTTCCGCGCCCGATATTGTTGGCCGACGAAGGGACGAGGTGTGCTGCTGCAACGCCGGGCCGGGCTGAAGTTCCTGAAGCTGCTCGCGAGACGTATACTCTCTGCTGAACCGCTTCGTGTGGTTCGTACTAGCGCGAATATCTCTGAAATCGGTCATTGCACGAGATGGAACACGGAGGGTTGGGTCGTCATCATCTTCTTCTTCGTCTCTTCGGCGCGCTCGCTGCAGACTTGTACCGGCTCGGCTTAACCTGGTAGGAATTCCACTTTGAGAAGGAGTAAGAGGTTCGTAGCTTGCTTCGCGAGGGCTTCCATTCAGGTTCCCGGCCATAAGACTGGTCCTTCGAGCTTCAATCCGAGACATTGCTCGGCTTGGACTGTTTCGTGGAATGGTATCACTCTCTTCTTCGATACTGGGTCGTATAGTCGGAGACTCGGCGCCGTTGATCTGTACACTTAGGCGGCGGGTTGGAGCCCCATTGATTGAACGGATTGCAGGACTTGCTATTGAGGATTTGTTATCGCACAATTCGATACAAAGTTCTGTAAGGCTGCGGCAGATGCTGTCGGCTTTGCGGCGAATCTGCCTATCTGAGATGGAGGCGCCGTGCAAGACTGAGCTTACAGTTTGGAGGTTTCCCTGTGGTCCCGCACTTCCAGTTAATTCCGCAAGCTCCAATGCTTCGGTGGCCGTTGCTTCGAGAGAACGGTAGACTGGTGGGGCAACATGTTGTCTGGCCTTGGCGAGAGCATCCCTCAGGAGTGGATGTGTCCTTTGTGGGGTGCTGGTGCCGGCGGTGGACTCCGGAGGTGAAGCGTTATTCTTTCGTTGTTGCTTCGGAGAAGACGAGACCGTGGTGACCGAGGTATTTGCAGTTCGCGGTCGCTCAGTGGCATTGGCTACCACCGCACCCGACGTTGCGGGGATTTTGCCGCCGAGTTCAATCCGTCGTATCCTAGTCTTCAATTCGTCCAATTCGTCCCAGACAGAGGTGGCGGCACCAGTAGAGTCCAGAGATTCTGTGCCGTCAACACGAGATGCAGTTTCCTGGCGGGCCTCGGCTTGAGGTGTCTCGGGCTGCGCTCTGGGTGTTGAATAGTTCAGGTTGGAAGGTCGGTAGGTCGATGTGCGGTTCGGAGGTGTGTGTGTGACTTCTGGGTTGGAAGGCCGCCGCCGTGAGCTGGAGAGTTGGCTCAGAAACTGGTGCGGCGAGAGCTCAGTGTCTTTCTTGACGGAGAAAGACCGCTTCGGCGAGAGCTCATTCTGGTACGTGCGCGGTGTATCAAGAACTGGTGCAGGCGACATTGGCGATTGTTCGCGGTGGGCTCGTGAAACGGTAGAAAATGCGGAAGCTCGCCTGTATTGTGTCGCCGTGGATTTTGCGTCCGTGGCAGAGGGAAGTCTGCTCGGTTGCTGTGTTGTCGTGTTGGACTGTGCAGAAGAGGCGGTGGGGAAAGACTGACGATTGCTGGGGCGGGCAAGTCTTGACTAGGAAAGGTCAGCATGCAATCAATCATGCCCAATTGTGGGCATTCGCTGGCACTGGATCGACGCGGAATACGGGAACAATTGTAGGAGACTCACCCGAAGTCTATCAGAACGTAAAGCATGTTCTCTTGCTGTGTCCGATGCGATGTTTAAAAAGAGATCCTCGCCCTGCTCGCCGTCGTTTCCCGCCGTGCCCTTGACACCTTTCCCATGGTCCATGTTCACTTCTTCAGGGTGGCTGCGCGCACCCGAGCTGTAATCAGAATAATCGTCGGGGCTATGAGCCATATACTGTTCTGGCTCAGTGGTTTGGTGGCTGTTGTGCCGTGATAGGCGTGGTGTGTTTGTTGTTATGGTGTTGGTGTTGGTGCGGGTTGCGTTGTTGTTGTTATTGTTATTGTTTGCTTGCGACGAGTCAATCGAGGCCACCGAACTCCTCCGACTTCTGCGACCTGTGGAGGTATTAGACGCGATACCTGGAGAAACCAATCCAGATTGTAGAAGTTGTTGTTGGGCGAATGCGAAATCAGCAGGCCTGGAGGGCTTTTGTGGACGTCGCGCGGTGTCAGCTGCGATGCCACGGGTGATGAGGGTGATTGGTGGACCGCGCGAGTTATCGATACCGCTGGTATTCCATGCAGGCGACCGACCGTTTCCCGGGCTGCGCGGCTCTTTGCCTGCGACGGAGGAAGTAGAAGGATGATGCGGCGAGAAGTAGGTAGGTGAGGTTGCTGATGAACCGGAGGGTTGATTGGGGATCAGTAGGATTGGAGTGGAGGGGCCTGTTGTTGTGGCTCGACGGGTGCGCGTGGGTATGGGGGCGGCTTGTTGGGAGTGAGATTGGGATTGGGACTGGGAATGGGAGTGGGAACTGGTAGTAGAGGAGGAGGGTAGGCGCAGTAGAGTGGGCGCGTCAGGCACCGTGTTTGTCCTCTGATGCTGGTGCTTGTGCTGTTGCTGAGGGTGTCGGGGTAGCGGTGAAGTGGATGCGACAGCGTTGACAGCAGCAGCGGCGGCGGTAGCAGAGGATGAGAAGTGAAGTGGTGAACGTTGTCCACCGGTGTACGACTGCCGGCGAGAATGTACGTGGTATTGCATGTTTAGTGTGCTGGCAAGCCTTGCGTATTGTACCTATTATTGCTGTATGACCTCCCTCCAGGCTCCGTTACCCGTTACTGTAACAAGGTAGATAATTCAAGTAAGGTAAGGGTGGACCCAGTTCCAGTTCCAGTTTACTCTCCTCACCTCTCCTCTTTCGAGAGAGGAAAGAAAAATGCCCTAGGTATGCGTCGAGCACGTTGGTATTACGAGTACTGTATTCAACGGCACGGAACGCGGTATCAATGTCCCGCAATTGTCCCGTCGTTTCATGTCATGGTTGATTTTCTTTTCTGGAGCTGCAAGAGAAGGTCAAAAAGAGAGAAAGAAAGGTGCAAGCCCTCCCGAGCCGTGTGTGCTTGTCCCCTCGAGTATTTGAGGGGGAGGTTGGGAAGGGTAAAGATGGTCAATTTCACGAGTCGAGCCATTCACACTAACCCCCCCGTGCCCTCCCTAACCCATAACCCTAAACCTTAACAAGACACGCTCGGTCGATGCATGAGACGAGACGAGACATGTCCCTTCCATCATCCATGACCTTTCTTTCCCTTCTGTTAGTTACAAGTGGTTATCTACCTCGTTAATTACTAGTGCTACAAGTATTGTACGGGTAACTGGTGGACACTGATGGACACTGATGGACACTGGTAACTGGACACTGGACACTGGACTCTGTCAAGTCAAAGTGACGTGCAGCCAGGAACGGGTGATGGAACTCATGGATCTGATCCCTCGTATGCTTTAACAGTCCTTCAAGTTTCCTCAAACAATCTAACTAACTGCATGTTCCAACACGTACTCCCGTGCTTCCCTTGACCCCTTTTTCCCACTCGTCTACGGAGCAGATAACGACCTCCACTGTCCACAACTCCAATCGACATGTTCAAATATCGCGTCCGTCACCGTGAGGTCCATGCCCCTGAAGGACGCATCTCCTTTGAGCAGTATTAGCCTTTTTCACGCTCGTTGTGCCCGGTTAGCTAATGTAGGTACCGATGTATATCGATGCTTTTGGAAATGTAGCCAATTAGCCGTGTGCGTCTGCAGCATTTTCTTTTGCCTTCGCTCAATCGAGATAGGATCTGCGTAGCAATTGTCTTTTTGGCTTATCGTCCAACAAACACTGTACGCACGGTGATCTCATAGGTACCTTACCTGGCCCGGCTGAACCACATGATCTCGTTACACCTTAGGACACACGGAAAGCAATTAGACTTCAAGCTGGCAGGTCAGGAGGCTACAGATGCTTCAAGCAACTGATTCTTCCTGTATAGACATTGCAAATGTCTATCGTTCCGCTTCCCTCCAACGGTAATTCAGCGAGCAACGAGGAATTATACAGCACATAGTAGGGAAATCCAGACTCTGGCTGCTACAGTTACGGGATCTCGTCGCGCGCGGACCGTTGAACGGCAGTGCAGTCATGCACCCACTCAATTCCGTATTGTGGTGAACGTGATGAATATGATGGCAGTGAATAGTCATGTGACCATCATAGTTCTCACATCGGACTAAAGTATTCCCGAGTTCGACATCTGCCTACCTCGTATCTTGGCATCAAGCCAAACTTTCGCCAGGCATCGTTCGTCACTGGATCTCTCGTTGCTTCCGCGCTCTCCCACACCATCTTGAGGATTCGCGTCTCCCAATCTCTACTTTGACTAAACGGAAGAGCCCATCATCTATCTTGCGTAACTTTACTTTCGTACTCTCACAAGAGGCATCCTCGTTGGCCCCCGTCGCGAGATTCGCGCGACACTTTACCTACAACCACTCGATACATATCGGCCACCATGTCCGTCGCATCACTATCCAAGTCGCTTCCAAAGCCCAGATATACGGGCGAGGAAGAGACTCTCTCGAGTTCCAATGCCTCGATCCTAAACGTCGAGAAATATGAAAATCAGATCGCAACCATACAACGCGGACCTCCGCCATACCCACGGCCAAAATCTTTTCGGCCACGAGGCCCTGCGGATTTTGGGGATGGAGGCGCATTTCCTGTAAGTGTTCCCGGAGCAGTCATCTTTTCTTTGTGGCTAGATTTTATTGATCATTTCAATACCAGTGCTGATTTTACTCGCAGGAAGTTCACGTTGCGCAATACCCCCTAGACCTCGGTCGCGTGTCGTCGCAAAAGACATCAAACGCACTGATTATGCGAACAAACAGTGAGGGGAAAACAAAATACGACGAAATTGCAAGGCGTGGACACAGCGAGAGCCGGATAGTGCAGGCCAGTTTCAAAGGTAAGGATGATATGAATTCCCCTACATTGATTGGGCTGCGCTAACCACGAGGAATAGATTTGATACCCCTAAGGCAACGAGCAGATGCAGGCGAGTTGGATCTCGCGCGACCAAGCGAAGAGGATGTCGAAGCTACGAAACGGCGTACTGCGCAGGCACTACAGGCACTCGTGACGGGACAGACGGCAGCGCAGCGACCAAAGAACGTGCAAGGACGTAAAGATGACGAGCCCACATTCGTGCGATACCAGCCTACTGCGCAGATGGGCGAAGCTGCGGGCAAGACACGCATCCTCAAGATCCAACAGCGACAGATTGACCCAATGGAGCCACCCAAATTCAAACACAAGCGCATTCCCCGCGGACCGCCCTCACCACCACCTCCCGTCCTCCACTCCCCCCCACGAAAGCTCACGGCCGAAGACCAGGAAATGTGGAAGATCCCACCACCAATTTCCAATTGGAAGAATCCAAAGGGTTATACCGTGCCATTAGACAAGCGCTTGGCAGCCGACGGTCGCTCCGCCCAAGACGTGACCATCAACGACAAATTCGCTCAATTCTCCGAAGCCTTGTTCTCCGCCGACCGCCACGCCCGAGAGGAAGTCAAACAACGAGCCGTCATGCAGCAACGCCTCGCCGAGAAGGAAAAGCTTCAAAAGGAAGAACACCTACGCCAGCTCGCCCAACAAGCACGCGAAGACCGCACAAACGCCTCCCAGAACCGTCGCCGCCGCTCCAGCCGCAGCTCCTCCATCTCCCACAGCTCCGGATCCGACTCCAACGACGAGGAAGAAGAAGAGGCCCGCCGTCGCGCTGACGCCCGCCGCGAACGTAAGCAAGAAGCCCAGCGCGAGCTCAGACAGTCCCGCATGGGCACCGAGCGCCGCATCCAGATGCTCGCGCGCGAGCAGAACCGCGACATTTCCGAGAAGGTTGCCCTCGGCCTTGCGAAACCCACACAGTCGGGCGAGTCCATGTACGACGCTCGACTCTTCAACCAGAACAGCGGGTTCGACGCTGGATTCAACGAAGATCAGGCATACGACAAGCCGCTCTTCGCCGCCCAGGAGGCCATCTCGAGCATCTACCGGCCATCGTTGCAGGAGGATGACGGCGAGGACGCTGGCGCAGCAATGGACCGCATCACAAAGAACAACCGGTTCGAAGTGCTCGGCAAGGCAAAGGAAGGGTTCAAGGGCGCGGATCTCCAGGAGGCTCGAGAAGGACCAGTGCAGTTCGAGAAGGACAAGGATGACCCGTTTAACATCGACGAGATGATCAATGAGGTCAAGGCCGAGAAGACCGGCGGCAAAAGATACGGCATACAGAAGACCGAGGAGGAGGCAAGGCCGGCTAAAAGAGCGAGGGTCGACGACGATAGCGATTAGATGCCGTGTGGGGGGGGTTTTTGTTCTCGAGCTTATTCAATTTGCATAATTTGTCACATCGGCCTCGCGGGGCGGCCAACCCTGGCATTCAATGTACCATCATGGCATTTGGGAGTCCTATTCTGTTTTTCTGGAAGTATTTGGCGCCAACATTTTCTCTTTACACGTTCGAAGGCGTCATTCACAATGCCCCATTCAGAATCATAGGAAATATAGCATCAGAAAACTGATGCTTCTGCAGAGAAATTGAGACACCAAAAAAGATTTGGGGTCGATGCAAAATATACCACAACACGCTACCCCAGTAGCATTCTGTCATGACTTCAAGTGCTCTTCTAAATGCTGGATATCCAGGCCGCGTGAGATGCCTTTCTTACTTCCATCGTACGAATTTGCTAGCTTTACTTCTTCAACAGCAGCGGCGGCAGCAGCAACCTACATACCACCACATACGCTCAATTCTCATGACTTCCCATTGACCACACCATTTGTCCCATTCACCCCATTCCCATTGCCACCCTCCAGCTCATTCAACCCCCACCCACCATACGTATCGACGATGCCAGCCTCGGTCAGGAATTGCTTATGCTTGTCGCCTCCGCGCCACGCCAGCAGCGCAGGAAGCCTCCATGACGAATCCAGTTTCTCGACCACGATCTCAGCGAGTTGGAGTACAGTCGGTTTGGCGAGGGTCTTAGAGGAGAAGACGCGGGCCATTTCGTCCTTGGTGCGGCCGATGTGGAAGGAGGTGGTCGGAGAGGGGTGGTGGAAGAGGGGGAGGAGGTGCGAGTACGCAGTGGGGACGATGTCGTTGTATGCTGTGTTGTGGCGGTGGGTGTTAGCGTGTGAGTCTTCGTCGTTGTAGTCCTTTACTTTCATATTGACTTGGGGATATTGGAACTTACGTTGATGAGCACCCCAGATTACTCGTTCGATGGTGTATCCTGCGTTGTTGATGACGAAGATAATCGGCTTGATGCCATGCTTTATCATGGTCCCGACCTCCTGGATCGTCATCGCCATGCTGCCGTCTCCGGTGACCAGAATAGTGCGACCCAGATCCTCGCCGTCCAGCTCTCGCCTCGCTATCTCCATTCCCAAGGTTGCGGCGGTGGCCCACCCGATGCTACCGTAATAGGTCTGCGTGTGGAAGCGGACGTTGGGGGGGAATGATATGTCGCAGAGGCCGAAGGTGGCGGTTCCCGTCTCGCCGATGACCACGTCGCCTGGTTGCAGGAAGGACTCGAATTGCGGCCAGAGCCAGGACTGCGTGACGTGGCTGGCGTCTTTGTCGAGGGGCACGCGGAGTTGTGGGAAATCTGCCTTGGGATTTGGGATGTTGTGTGTAGGTTGAGAGGGGAGGGCTTTGATCAGAGCGTTCAAAAAGGGTTTGATGTGGAGGTTTGGGTAGACTTCTCCCTTGACCTGGGTCATAGTGAGTAATAAGATCCCTCAAGGTCACAAAAAGAAAAGCGAGCACTTACTACCACCTCGAACGGGTCAATGTGTATAGTTGTCTTGTCATCGAGTTTGCGGGAGAATGCACCGGAGTTGGTATCGGCGGGAAGGTATCCCAAAGTAATCATCAGGTCGGCTTCTTTGGCAGCTCGGTCCAATCCTGGTGTGCTCACCACACCGTTCCAGACTCCAACATATTTCTCGTGGGTCTCATCGACGATAGCTTTTCCCATATTGGCGCAGTAGAATGGTACATTCAGCTTCGAGACCAGCTCCTGTGCTTCTTCATTACCATTGAAGCGGTCTACAAGAGCATCAATAAACACTGCCGGATTCTTTGCAGCAGAAAGCGCGGAAAGGATAACTTCGACGGCGGCGATTTGGGCCTTTTCGTCGATCTTAGGTGTCAGATCAAGTGGAGTGTCGAGCAAATCTGCCGAAACTTCCTCGGCTCCGAGATCAAGAGGAATGAAGATGTATACGGGTCCAGATTGCACGATGCATTCACGGATGACTCTGTCAATCTCTGCTGGCGCTGTCTCGATGTCCCACAGTTCGGCGGCTGTAAGACGAAGATCACGGGAAGCTTGATTGTAGAGCTGTAAAACATTAGGACACTGATTATACTAGGTACGGTATACTTACTTGGTGGTCAGGCTTGTTTCCGATAGAGTGATGGATCATCATATTCCTCTCTTGCATGGGTCGCGGAGTCTGTCCTACGACGTGGATCATCTTCACACGTTCGCTGTATGCACCTGCAACTCCATTGAGAGCGCTGAGCTCCCCTATCAATTCCGGATCAGCATATAGTCCGACCTTGGTCAAGACATTGACCTACCGACTCCGTGAGTAGTCACGACTAAGACTGGTTAGAGCTCTCTATCGCAAACTGGTGGCAGTGTGGACTCACAAACACCTGGAACCTTCTTGATTCTAGCATATCCATCTGCAGCATAAGCAGCGTTCAACTCGTTCTGATTTCCGACTGCTGGAACATTAGGTAATGGAGCTACATTGCGTGGCAGAGCACATACCCCAGCTCAATCCCTTTACGTCGTAAATGGTGTCCAGAGTTTGAAGGTTAAAATCTCCAGGAACCCCCTGGTGGTGCATTAAAATAGAGGGCACATCTATACGTGAATATAGATTAAGCACTTACAAAGATGCTATCGACTCCCAGTTGGTGGATTCTATAATTAAACGTCTCAGCTTTGTAATTGATTCTGACCTCGGTAGTACATAGCAACGAACCTCTCCCAAAGATATCTGCTTAGAGGAATCTTAGAAACAGTCATAATAGCGATATGTTACCATGTAATTCTCAAAAGTTTCACAAGTGTTCTTGGGATGGTGGGGAAATCGTATTCAATCGTTCAACTGCGAGGTATGGTTAGTCTGGGTTTTCAAGAGCAAAGTAAGTGATTATCTATACGGTCGATTGTTCAACAATTTCCAGTTGTTGTGAGTTGTTGCGTTGTACCTGTGAATTTAGCTGCAACTACAGTGATTGTGTTCAGAGAGCAATAGTGAGTGGGTAGAGACAGGCAATTCAACCTTGATAGGGAATCGCCTGGTGTATGAGCAATCTGAATGCAGATTGGCGTATGTGAATGAGTAAATAATGTATTCTTGAGGACCGAACCGAAACACTTCTAGCTTTTGGACTTTGATAGATGACCTCGGTTGAATTAGAGGAGTCAACCAAGATATTAGTAACAAGGATCGTAGGGCGTGGCGCCTAACAAGGTAAGGGTTTCATGACATCGACTACTGTGGCAAGGCATACCCGTTGTAAACAACCCGAGGACTCGCGCTATCTCGAAATCACGAGGGCGGGGCTACACCCACCATACTATGTACCTAGGTTAGTACCCGTAGGGAAAGGAATCCATTGTTGTCTCCAAGCGGGGGAAATGTCCAGGGCGCCCGTCTTTGGTCATATAAAATAGCAGCCAATCCCCTTTTTTGGTTGCTTGTAGCTACGAGTAGCAGAGTCATGATCCGATTGCTACTTATGATCAAATTCATCGTAGCATTTACTTACAATCCTATGTGAAATCGCCGATATATATTCTTATGATGAATATGATGCCGAATCAATCGTAAGCACAAGGCCCCATAACACATAACGCGTAACACACTTGAAGGGTTCCCGGTCATAATAGTCATGGCGCTCAATTAAAAAGAACATCAAATTACTTAAATTGGAGGGCCAAGCCCAATACTGTTTACTTTAGTCGTGCCTGCGACTTAACGTTTTGCTGCATCCTCAAAAGTCGCCAATCGGAAATCGTAAGGAAGCTCAAAGTCAGCCTTCGGGTCTGATGTGATGGGAATGAAGTCTACAAGCAACGAGTCCTTGACTGCAAAGACTGCATCATCCTCGATGTACTTGCTGTTGCGATCAAAGATCTGTGTGACGATTGGCTTGTAGCCTGGTGCAGAAATCTACATCTGTCAATATTTGAATGCCTCGAGACTCCGTCCACTAGCAATCGACTTACAATGAAATGAATGTGTGCCGGGCGGAATGGGTGCCTATCCAATGCCTGCAGAATCTTTCCGGCAGGTCCGTCAAACGGAATTGGGTACGGCACTGGCCGCAGGCAGTAGAAGTTGTACTTTCCATCCTTGCCGGTGGTGAATCTACCCCTCAAGTTCATATCCGGCTGGTCGGGGTCTTGCTGCTCGTACAAGCCATTGGGTGCGGTATGCCAGACATCCAAGCAAACTCCCTCGATAGGCTCACCGGTCCTGAAATCTGTGACTTTCCCGTGCATCCATGTCCGGTCTCCCTTCGATTCAATGCCAGAAACTATACATTCTCCCATTTGAAATTTAGGGGCGTCTACCCGCCAGAAAGGACCCAAGATCGCAGTTGAGGTGGGTTCGTCGGTAGCATCTGAAGCGAGTTTATAGGTTATCTCATCAACGAGGGACTCAAAGCCTAGAACATCGCACACAAGCTGGCCTTCATTGCGGCGGTCGGTGGACATGCGTCCTGCTTCGTTGATCTTGATATAGTCAGAAAGTGATCTCTTCCAAGATTAGGGAGGATCCTACAAGCTCTAAACCAGCCATCCACTCATCTACGGTAATCTCATTCTCGCGCGCAAAGTCATGGAGATGCTGGATCAAGCTCGAAGTGACCTGGCGCACTCGGGGAGAAGCTTTGGGTCCAGTCGCATTGATTACTGCTTGCGTGAAGTGGGGGTTGAATCTGTGAGTGGCAGGCTTGCTATCGCCATTGACAGCACCTTGCGCCGTGCCGTTCAGTCCGTTCGTGGCCATTATGAAGCTTTGCAAAGGAGGGGCAGTGATGATCCTCCTAGCTAAACCAAAGTAAGAGCAGAACCTACAGGATTGTCAGGTGAGAAAGATTGCGATTGAGAAATAATGAATTGAACAAAAAGTAGCAGCATCCGTTCACATCATATGGACTTTTAAGGATCCCCAGTCCCGACAATCAATCATCCTGGATTACGGGGGAGGCACAGCGGGGCATAGTCATGCCTCCACTTGAAGCATTGCTCGATGATGGCGGGTGATGCCCTCGGTACGCTATCCGATCCGCCCGAAACGTCGACATCCGATACTGGCCAATCATTGCAGATGCATTCTAAACGGCTATCGAAACACTCTCTCGCTATGACAAAACTACCGCCGTGACCGTCGGCTTCGAGTTGTTTGTAATGTAGCCCGTAGCAGTGAACTACCCGATATCAAAAACACCAGGGGTCCATCATTTTATTTACTTAGACATTGTTAATCAACATCCGACAGTCGAACCATCATTGTACCACTTCACACGGTCTTGCTACACCATGTCTGCATATACCTCCGAATACCCCTCAATTCCCTTCGACCCGGCGTACAAGAAGTTCTTCGAGGACTTCTATGCCGCGTCAGATGTCCCGGACGCACATGAGAAATATGTAGAATTCTATACACAAGATGCCACTCTGATCATGGCATCGAATCAGGTGCAAGGAACGTCCGGTACGCGAACGTCCGCATATCTGCCGTTTCAACATATCTAACATTTGGCAGACATACTCGCCTTTCGCAAGTCAATGTGGGAAAAAGTTTCGAGCAGGATTCACAATCCCTTGAAGATCTTCCCGTTTGGTCCCAATTCCGATGAGGTCATGCTTCGTGGCACAGTCCAGTATGGCCTCAAGGCAGGCGGCGAAGCTAGTGTTGATTGGGGTGCCTATGCACGGTTGACCAAAGTCAATGGAGAAGTGAAGCTGGCCTTCTACCAGGTTTATCTTGTGAGTCTTATAGCTACAGGGTTCTGATTGATCAAGATCTAATTGGCGACAGGACACCGCGGCACAAAGTGCGAAATAATATCAGATTATTCTAGACTAGACGGCCAATTCAGTCTTATAACATCGCAAAGTATCGACTGTACAAGGAGTTGAACATATCCTGCAATTTTTGTTAGAAGACAGATCTATTGCTTGATTCAATGTAGAGTTTCTTGTTAAGGGTTTCATCTCCAATGGATGTAGCATTGATTTTATTGGCCATAGAACAATAGATCAATGGTCGAACTTTAGCGGAGCCATATCAGATAAGTCACGAACAAAGAAGTGACTTGCACTATATAATACGGCATGAACACACTCCAAAGACTGAGAACATTTCGACTCCTAGATTGCACCTGTTAACATTTATTCAAAAATCAGATATTGTGGGAATCGTTACTCTCTTTTCATTTATCGAATTGCACGACCTGGGCCGTAGATCAAGAGGATGATGATTTCACTCAAAGTGCACCGCCACTTCCAGAGCTACAAATACAGTTGTGATCGAATAGCATACGAGCAGAACTTGAAACCCTACAGCTTGTACCATTATTACATGTCAAGATTGGTACAAATTATAGAATGATGCAAGTTTTGGTTGCGGTATTGCTGCTAAGCTAAGCTAGAAGATCACACATCCTATTGGCTAGGTCCATAGTGGTGGTATAGCTCGGCCCACAAACAACCACCAGGGAAAAAAATTCAAGTATTGAAATTAGTTTCCCAGGCTAGTTGACCGCAAACGAATCCGCTGGAGCAAACAATAGAAGTTGAAGTAGTCTTCACTATGCTTTGGTTCAACTTTGACTTGGTATATAAAGTTTAAAAAACATCAACTTCCATCAATCAACCGAATAGCCCGGTTAGCTCAATCGGTAGAGCGTGAGACTCTTAGGATTCACGATCTGTCAAACACGATTGGAATACGATGCAATCTCAAGGTTGCGGGTTCGACCCCCGTAAGTTCATCTGACTCATTAAGTTACCTTAGCATATAATTAACATTCATTCAGGCATCGGGCTTTCATTAGCGATCACTTCAAGTGGCAACATCTTTTTTTTTGCACATTTTTACCAACTCATGGTGAATGGCTGGGAAAGTATCTGTTCCTTCACCAAGCCTTGGGACAAAGTCGATCTTTTTTACTTGTCAGGAATGTTCTTACTATATATGTAGCACGATGTTCCTTTTTAATGCTTCCTTATTTTTCTGTATTATTGACTCTCTTCTGTTTCCTTTTCGTCCGCTTCGAAGACTTCTTTGCCATCTTCTTTCAAAAAACATTGGAATGGTGAAGATAATATAGTCATTGAACCTGAGAGCCGAAGCAATAACCTATTGTGACAATGCTTGCGTAACGCAATATGCCTTGCGTACTTTGCCAGTCAGATGCTATAGAACCTCAAAGATGTGCCACGCATTCAATTTCGACATCTGTTCCTAGCGGCAATCCTGCAACTTGCACACAAGTCCTAGCCTATGTATATTAGTTCCCGGTCTATCAAATTTCATGTAATACATACAGGCTTGAAAGCCGGGTCTGGGAAAAACTCCAGATAGGCCTCATTCATTGCACCAAAATCCGCCATATCCTTTAAGAACACATTGCATTTAACAATATTGTTAATGTCAGATCCAGCGTCCTTCAAAACCCCGGATATTATGGTCATGATCATTTTCTGCAAGTTCATTAACGAATTTCCTTATCAGATTCTGCTCACGGAATAAGTCCAACCGTTCGGCCTTTGATGTCCCCTTCGACCAATTTGTTCGTCTTTGGGTCTATCCCAATGTTACCAGAGAGATAAACCATGCCGTTGCACTTGACGGCGGCGGAGAACGGCATGACCGGAAATGGCTGCGGCCAAGAGTCGCTGTGGACTACTTCCTTCTTCGTGGCCATTGTACGAGGTAGCGTGAACTAAGTAAGGTATACACGAGGAATGCAATAGCAATAAATTTTGAGCTTCGAGTGCCTTAAATGAAGCGTCAAGAACTTTATAGGATCATTCTGGTAGAGCGATGCGGAGCTAATGCGCGCCCTTCGAGGATGGTAGTTGATTACCCCGCATGTAGTATGCGATGATATCCGAAACATGAATTCATAGTGGATCCTAGTCGTAAAAATAAAAAAAGTAGCTTTCAATTACACATCTGTCTAGTTCAGTTCTGAGTCCTACATCATCTACAGTGAGACCAATCTGGCAGCTGGAACTACGACCTCCTCTTCTTGCTTTGCATGCCTGTTCTGCGGTTGCCACGAACGTCTCTACCCTCCTCAATTTGCAACAATGCCTCTCTCTTCTTTTCGGTCACCGGCTTTAAGGCATCTCTCACCACCCTAGTCTCAATGTTGACGCCTTCTTCTTCGTATTCCTCCATTGGCCTTCCTACCCTCCCTTCGATGGCATGAACAAGATCAACATCTCTCTGTCCCACAAGTGTAACACTGTGACCAACTCTTCCAGCACGAGCCGTACGACCAACTCTGTGGATGTAGTCGTCAGGATCTCGCGGTACGTCGTAATTAATAACTAAAGCCACCTCAGGTATGTCCAACCCACGGGCTGCTACGTCCGTTGCCACAAGAATTCTAGCGGCCTGAGCGCGGAATCGGGCCAAGTTTGAGACACGCTCAGGTTGTCGAAGTCCAGAATGTAATGCGGTGACACGGTGCTCTAGTGAGCGCAGCATATATTCCAGAAGGTTGGCGGTGTCGGTGCGGTTGCAAAAAATGATCACCGATTTCTTGATGTTCTCTGGCGTGCTCAATAGAACGTGCAGATAGCATTCCTTGTGAGTAACAGGTGCCTGGATGTATTTTTGCTGTAGTTTGGGTGGAATGGCGATTTTGTCTGTATCGACTTCGCAAATGAAGATCGGTGGACGGCCGGGACGGGGCTGGTCTTTCAAAGCCATGACTTCGGGAGTCATAGTCGCGGTAAAGAGGAGAGTTTGTCGCTTTGCGGGTGGTGGCATGACCGAAAGACATGTTTGTAGATCGGGAAGCATGCTCCCCTTTCCTGGGGATAGCAATCGATCCGCTTCATCAAGTACAACGAATCTGACGCGGCGCAACCCGCTTATCGTGTCTTCGCCGGACAATCTCACGTGCTCTGCAAGGCGTCCGGGAGTGGAAATAACAACGTGAGGTTTAGAGGCGAGTTTGAGTGCTTGATCTCGCTGATCCGCGCCGCCTGTAATGAGTAAAGGTTTGAGTGAAGCTCTAGCTCCGATAGCAGCAAACTGTTCGTACAATTGTATGGCAAGCTCCCTTGCACTCGTTAGCTGGAAGGCGGCCCAGGCATCTGTTAAGGCTTACCTAGTAGGAGTGAGGACAACAGCGAAAATGCCCATAGGGTCTTCTGCCCATTTCTGCAAGACTTCCGGGGTCAGTTTAATAGTTGAAGTATACAACTAGGAATACATACTTGGAACGGCAAAGGCTACAGTCTTTCCGGTACCTGTTTCTGTTAGTTTGTGGCCATCTGATCACGTGCGAATATTCTTTCACCTGTTCTTGAACCACCAATACAGTCTCTTCCTTTAAGGATTTCAGGTATGGTCTGTTTCTGAATTCCCGTGGGGTGCTTGATCTCCATAGAAGCTAGGGAGGCAATGAGCCAAACGGAGACATCCATGGAGGCAAACGTAGTGTTTTTGTCGACATTTTCCTTGACGATCTCTTGTTTTGCACTAGAGGCAGTGGAATCCTTTTGCTTGATTCTTGAGATGGTGGAGACGGGAATAGTCGTCACAGGGGACAGTTTCCTTCGTTTTCGTGATCCGTCCTGATGTTCCAGGATCTCCTCGTCTGATGAACTGGATTCATAGGATGCACGTTCTTCTTCATCGGAATTTTCCAAGAGTGTGGAGCGCTTGATAGCGGTAGACATGTCGTAAAGTTATAGTCCAATCAGATATGAAGTTTCGAGGGTCCGTTCAAAGCTGTACAGATTTAAGTTGATTCTATGATTCCAAAGTAACAGACAAGTTCTGGAGGCAGTCAAGGAAATTTTGTGCAGGGGTTAGGGATGTACGTCTTGGCACGGGTTATCGATAAGGCATCGGATGATAATTTTGGAGTCCGACATTTCCCCTACAGCAGAGCCTCTGCTTTGGCATTGAACAGGATGTGCGTTCAGGTGTGGAATTTAGAAATATTGTATTTAATTATAACATCCGACACCTCTACTAAGTCTGTAGTCACATGATAATAAATGATGTTGAGATTGGCTCGAACTTTTGCCGCCAAAACCAACAACGGCGGTTAACTTTCAACTGCAGTGCTACCTTTTCTTCTATTGTATCTGCAACATGTTTCTCCGCACAAACACGTTTTGTCGAGTCCGCTCCAATATCTGTCGGAATAATCGACTGTCACTTCAGCCCCTGCTTCGATACCTTTGCTAACCAGAACTATCCGCTGCGTATCGAGCCAATTGAATTGTGAGAATTGGGCGTTTGCTTTGCAACTGTGATTCACAAATCGGGTATAATTTCCTTGTCTTCCTTGCCAGATTTGATAGCTTGCGGAGGGTGTTGAGCCATCCATAACATCGAGATGCCTGACACCTTTGGTCACTAATCCAACAAACTCTCCTACTGCCGCTCCGCGCTCAAAGGAGACCAGAGCTTGTAGGCCATTGTTACGACCGTCAGCAGTACGGAAAACTTGCACAGCCGGTAGGCTTCTACGAACGCACCCAAACAGAGCGGGAAAGCAGTAACACGAGTTCGCCTTCGGATCGTCTGACTGCTGCTCACCACAGGCAGCACATATAAAGGACTCGGAGACACGCGCCACAGCGTTCGATTGAGGTATCCAGCGTGGGTCTTCACAACCCCAGGCGCCTTCGTCGATGATTGAGTCATCAACATGTTCGAATGCGAAATAAGGATCATACTGTAGGTATGTCTTTCGAAGTGGTACAGGTTCTGAGCCGTCTTCAAAGACGACCCAGTCATGGGCGTGGCCGGTATACTGAAGTCTAGATGATTCTCCGACAATGGACAAAATCTGTCGCCAGTTGGGGTGAAGAGTGTCCGCTGCCACCTCCAACCTAGGGCGCAGATTCTGTAATCGTCGCATGGCAACTTCATCAAACCCTACACGATACTTGCAGAAACGATAGATACCCATCCCTGCAAATATCAAGGCTGCCCATCCTGCAGCATCTTTGACCTCTTTATACCCTCGCCAGATTGCCATCTTGTTTCTGAGCTCTTTTTCTGACCAACTGAAATCTTGGCACGCTTCCATCAACGCTGCTTTGCGATGTTTTGTAGCTGAGTATTCCGGATGATGAGCGATTCGACGAGTTACTTGTTCATCAAAGATCTCGACCCAACGTGCCTGTACAATAATTTCGATAGACCGGCAGACGCGACTTGCTTGAGTAACCTTACGACAAAAGACATTCATCCTGCTAAAAGAATCATCTAGTTTGCCAATGGAGTCACTGGAACTTGGCATGATGGCGATATCCGCCCGTGGTTGGAGAGAATCTGTAGCGGCGGTTGCTGGAGCAATCTGGAATTGCTCAAATATCGCTCGAGGGTCTAGAGATAGATTCCCATGAACCTGTTCCCAAATACCACTAATCAATTTGTCTAATGTCGAAGGCTGAAAAACGAATTTCTCAGAAATAACCTTCCTGCGCTTAGGGAAATTTCGGCTGTCGCTTTGCATGCTCCTCTGATGCTCACTGTGGTCTTCTTGGATTGCGTTTGTTTGTGAGATGCGTAGCCCTCCTATCCCTTTCCGAGTCCGCCCGTCTACTTCATCCTCGTTTCTATGCGATTGTTCTGGTGGCCTTTCGTCTCTCATTGACTCGGATATATTTTGTTGCGACCTTTCGTTATGATTGAGCAAAGGGCCTTCCACAGACTCTTGACTGAGGTCGGGTGGCCGTTCCGTGGGACTTCGTGAGGGCGTCGGCGTGATGATCTCACTCAAGTCCAATGTGCGCTACATAATGTTAGTTTTCCAGAGGTATCATCATCTACAGATGCTTCCTTCTGCAGGTGACTATGTCTACAGGAATGATTGGACCTACTGAAGCGACTTTTTCAGAAAGACTTTTGTCTGCGGCTCCTTGGACTCCATCTTCCAAGAAAGCTTCAATGCGGAGTATTGGACGATTAAGATTGTCTGCGAATGGCCATTTAACATCCAACTTCTCGAGATGTTCCCGTACAGCCCGCTCAATGCACTCCGACAAGCCGTCAATTTGGTTCAGTTCGCTCATGCTGATTTGTGATACCGAACCGTCAAACTAAGCTACGAGGTATAACGAACCAAGCTTTACTGCAATTCTGATCTCTTGCCCGGACGATTGGAGACGTAATTGAACCTCCTAGATCTCTTGGAGTGTCCATAGCCTTGCAGTCCTTGAAAGACTGACGATCTCACCGATTCACCAGTTGCATGCAACTCGAACTCTGGGCTCGCCAGTGTCTGATAGGGATGGGCTGATCGCTGAATCAGTCTTTTGGTCGGAGATTATTGCAGATGAAGGTTGTAGGTAGGAAACTGGGGCCTCGATGATTCCAAAAGTGGGCATTGGCACGTGTAACGCTTACGCTTTACTTCTTTCAGATACCCCCGCTCTCCAGCCCATGACAAAGCAAAGACAGCGAGTGAAGGGGTTCCCTAGATCGCTCGCATAGCGTGTATTATGAAGAAGAGGTATTTGTTATTTAGTAGTAGGTCATCACAATAAGTAAATTTGCTTTATCTAGCTGAATGTTTCAGTGCTTACAGCTCAGTAGGATTTCATATAAATCTGGGTGAGCATTGCATTCATTTTGCCCGGGCAGCATATTATATCGGCCCGACCCAGTCCCAAAACGTCACCAGTATCCCCTAAACTGTGAGACAATGAAAATGCGGGTTTGAACAATGAAGAGAGAATAAGAAGGAACAAGGTGATGCATGATTCATGCCATCTTTGAAGTGAAAAGTTTCGATTGGAGCAGTCATATACAGTTTTGCTGGACTTTCAAGTTGGTATTCCGAATGAATTCAGCGGTTGTGAATTCGCCAAGTCATACTAGGATTTGAGATGTACCCATTAATTATCAAGTATGACATTTATGACAGTGCCCCTAGAACGTAACTCTGCCATTGATGTAACTGAGATCATCACTTGTCATGAATTTGCCTATAAAATGGTCCCGTTCTAGCCAGTGTAGATTCACATAGTTCTATACCCCAATGGTTATCTACCCCAGCATCATCTAGCGGTCTTTGTTGCAATCTTGGTTGATTGCCGTGCATTCAATTGCTTTCAAATCCTCAACTGAGCAGCTATGAACAGTAATTCAGAAGAGTCTAAGGATCCGGAACTAAGGAGGGTTCATACGACCAAGTCGTATACCTTCGAAGGGCAAAGGGGATGGCGACGCTATCGGGCTCTTCGACCCGGGCTAGGGATGTGGCACGATGTAAAGAGGCGTCTGCCGTACTACTGGAGTGATCTTGTCGATGCCTGGACATATCGAACATTTGCTAGTACTGTCCGAATGTACTTTGTCAAGTAGGTTTTTTGATGCGGTATTCAAGAGTCTTGCTGATCGATTTTGAGCCTTCTACCTGCGATCGCATTCACTTTGGATATGACGCGGCGCACTGGCGAATTCTATGGGATCAATGAAGCCCTCTTCGCTTCTGCTCTGGCTGCCATGGTTTTTAGCATCCTATCAGCGCAGCCTTTGACTATTGTTGGCGTTACGGGTCTGATATCCCTCTTCAACTATACAACGTATGATATCATAAAGCAATACGATGTCACCTTGTACCCACAGTTCATGGCTTGGGTAGGAATTTGGGGTTCTATATTTCACTGGATTGTTTCCTTTCTGAACTACTGCGATTATATGAAGTATATTACCGACTTCTCCAGCGAGTCTTTTGGGTTGTATGTCGGCATAATCTATATCAGTGAGTTTTACCCAAACTGATAATAGGTTTCATACTGACTCTATTGTGTAGTAAAGGGTGTTGAGGAGCTTGTGAATGAGTTCAGTGTTGCTGGAAGTACTGCAGGGTATCTGAGTTGCCTAATTGCAATACTTTACTTCGGATCCGTTTACGCTCTCGAAAAACTCGGTTCCAGCACCATGTGGAAGCCTTGGTGCCGCAGCATTCTTGCTGATTATTCTTTCATATTTCCAACTTTATTCTGGGTCGGTTTTGCTCATTTCCCAGGGCGTCTACACCACTCCGGTATCACGTATGTGCCTATCCATAAGGCATTTCACCCCACTCAACCGCGAAGTTGGCTTATCGACTTCTGGAACCTTGATGCAAAATGGGTCTTCGTGGCGTTGCCGTTTGGGTTTCTACTTATGTTATTGTTTTACTACGATCATGTATGTTCATACGAAACCTCTTAATGTTTACATCTGACCTGAAATAGAACGTGAGCAGCCTCACAGCTCAGGCTCGCCAGTTTCCGTTAAAGAAACCTGCTGGATTTCATTGGGACTTTTTCCTACTTGGCTGCACCACGTTCGTAGCTGGCATCCTCGGACTTCCTCTGCCAAACGGACTTGTACCTCAAGCACCAGTTCACACCGATTCGCTGACCATTTATGAGACTCATGTCGATGTTGTGCGTACGATAGATGGAGGGGAATTACGTAGACCTCGCGTGGAAGCTACTGCTGTCGTCGAACAACGCGTATCTCATTTCCTAATGGGTCTTGCTCTTATCGGCACCATGACAGGTCCACTCCTAGTAGTGCTGCACACCATGCCAGCCGCAGTATTTGGGGGGGTCTTCTTTCTTGTTGGTGTAAGTCATTCAAAGACTAGGATACGAGTCATCCAGTTACCATTATTAACATCAATGACAGTGGGGCTCTATAGAAACGAATGGTGTCCTCCAAAAGCTCATCTACCTCCAAGCTGAGACCCGGTTCTTAGAATCGTCCCATCCTTTGACAACCATTCGCAGGCGTAAGATCGCTCTTTATATCAGCCTCCAGATACTTGGTGTTGCAGCCACAATAGCCATTTCCCAAAGCATTGCAGCAATCGGATTTCCCGTCCTGATAATCGCACTGATACCGTTGCGAACATTTCTGATGCCAAAGTGGTTTACCAGGAAGGAATTGAGTGTGTTGGACAGTTTGACAGCTAAAAACAAAGCCGTGCTTGCCAGTCTCGGGGGAAGACCGCAAGACATTGGTTATTTTGATGAGGGAGAAGAAGCTGCTGGAGCGATAGAGGGTATAGACAGCGAAAGAGATAATATCGTGGGGTTAAGGTTGGAAAGAAGTCGGAGCAGAGGTGCGGTCAGACAACGAATGGGTAGTATCACAAGGCAGTCAACAGAGCATTGAGTGTAATTTTCCAACGCTCTCACCAAATTCGATTACCCAGCGAGAAGTTTAGTCCACTGATGTTTCTTTAAACAGACTAAACCTTTCCAATCCGCCAACTTGAGCCATTGCGTTGGTTGGACTTCCGGTGAAATACGGAACTGTTGCCCTTTATAGAAGAATTCCAATGTATCTACCCTCAAATGCATCAAATCACTGTCTCGAAGCCCATAAATCGACGCTGTTGCTATAGTATTTTGAATCCCCAAGCAGCTATCGAGAACAATGCTCATCGCCTGGTGCCCTGCCATTCGAGCAAATGGTGTCCCCTCATAGGCCCCTGACCGTCTTTTCCATAGTGATATCATTTTGGCTCGGTGTGACTTCAACTCCCCGTCTCATTTGATCACTGTATATCAGGACAAATAAACATATGGAAGTTCACTTCTTGAATTTATGGGCAATACATCTTCGAGGCTACGGATTGTTGAAGATGTTGTGGCATCTTAACGTGACTCAGCCGTCAAGCCTTAATAACTCCGATAGAGATACCGCCGTTTCAATATAGGACGGTGATGACGAATGGACTTACACCGTTGCACTGGCATTTCACGATCAGGTGAGACATTTGAATGCGTAATGACACTTAGAGGAGCAGAAGATTGAGTAGAATTGATGATAGCTACGCAGTGAATATGGCACATCAGCATGCTACTCATTTTTTGTAACTGTGTATGCCGCCATAGTGTGTATGCCGCCATAGTGCGTATGTTGTATATACAGATTACGGATATGTGGATGGAAGGGGCCAACAAGTATACAGAAGTAACCATGTCCATTGTCAAGTTCTCTTCGTTCTAGATTTACTATAATTACTCGTTCTATACATTCCTTCACTAAAAGATATTTAAATAGAGAAAGCGCTACTGACATTTGATAAAGTCATATTTTTCAGCAGTGAATGGTAGCTGTTCACTTGACAATGGCGATTTACAATATCTTGTTTTGCTTCTATGGAAAATTTGGAAAATAAATGAACGTATAATTCAAGCTGCAATTATGCCATATTATGCCATATTATGTCAATTCTTCGCCGATAATTGATGGTAACACATGCTCCTCTTATGACATCATGCACAGCACTACCCTTATCCGTGCATAATTGTTGGTACGAGAACTTAGGTACGTCCAACTTAATTTGCACGAGTACAGTCAAACTACTTGGAAGCTCGCTTCCACGCAAGGACAAACTTGTTACAGTTGGTGCATGAGTTAATGAAGGTGTACCTAACGACTCCTTGCTTGCCCCAGTTGCTAACCTTCTGTCTCACCGGCAGGGCATGCATGTATCAGTTAGATAGACCTTGTAGCATAGTTCTCGCAATGATGTCAAGTCGCAGCAATGTCTCGTGAATATCATAAGACTGCAGAGCGATCAGAGGCGTGGCCTTCATGCGCGATCTTAACTCGTGCTTGAAGTCAAATGCCTGTTCTCTGACATGTATCGCTATCACATACGCTACCCCCACGCAATCATGTCATTGAGTTCCCAAAGTGTCTCTGCTTTTGAAGCGATCTATTGATCATCGCATCCTGTGTTTCACGCTCATAGCAGCTTTTCCTCGGCGACGAGCGGGGTCCGTATCCGCTAGATGAACTCATCGAAGTAATATCAGGTTCATTAAGCTTACTGTCCCTTGAACGATATGGTCCGAGCACGTACCAGACCCATGCTCCACCCAGGCACATGTATGTAATTATGTCTGGCGATTGTGCACTATCAGGCTCTGCATCGAATGAATCGCTAATTCACCATCCCGGGAAGACCCCGAAAAGGTCGGGATGGAAAGTGAAGCGAAAGTGCGGACCCGACCACTATGAACATGCCATGGAACAGATACTCTAGTTAAAGAGTCTATTGTTTGAAGAAAGTGGATTCGGTACAACGGTGAAATTTGTATGGCCCACACATGATCATCTCATTTGGACGCCAGGACGAGTCGAAACACTCTTGCAAGATGTAATGATCTATCGTTGAGGTACTGCATATATTGTCTTGTACCACCAATGCCACTGCATCTTGGAGAGAAAAGCACTGGCATTGAGTGAAGGGCTGGCTAGATAGCGGTTTCTGGGCATATATTCTGCGCCTGGTGCATATATGACAATTGATAAACTTAAATTCCAGGCACCGGAATTCGGGAGCGAGTCGTGATCGATTCGGCCCTATCTGTACTTGACTGCGTCAATTGTGGCTAAATGCAGCGGAAATCGGCTCGTACCCGCTTGTTCTTAATGTTAAATAACGGTCGTGGCTTCTGTACTGGAATGTTGCGCGAACATTTTAAGCATTATGAAAGAATCGGGTCTCCTCAAGGAGGGTTAAGCCGGACCGGTGTCAACCCGAATTGGGCATCAATTGAGGTCCCTACAAGCTTCACCACGCATCACAACAATACATGGTTGGAAAGAAGATAATTGCGAATAATTGTAAGGGGTATATGCTCAGCAGGGGTATCTATTCAAGTGGTGACGCATATTCTCCTATCGCTATCAGTCGTGGGCCAGAAACGGCAATCAACGAAAATCCTGCATCCTTGCAACAAAAGTGAAACGAGGATAGCCTTGCTGAACACACCAAACTGAAGAATGTCAACGTATGTTTCATGCAGTAGTGTGATCGCCGCTATAAGGGCGAATACATAAGTTGAATTGCGCATTCAACGGCCTCTCCCGACGGATTTTACTAGAGCAGAGCCTCGCCCAGCCAACGGCACGCTTCCCCGGATTGTGACAATTGCTTGTGCGGTAAGCTAATTCTTGAAAACTCCTACGTCAAGGAAATCCAGAATCTTTTGCTCTTGATGTGGTATGGCATGTTTGATGCTTCGTGTTTGCACCTCAATATGGCACCTTGGAAGTAATTTACTTTTGGTTTCCGCTCGCCGTGTAATCGCAATGGATATATTTGCGGTGATGGAAAAGTATGAACGAGTCGATATGATCATTAGGAGCTGGGAACCAAAAGCTTCTTCAACCTACACTCATGTAGATGCACCTTGCTTGCTAGGCATTGTGACAGAATGTCCGGTGAAATTGCACACTTTCACGACGTCTTCACTCAGGGCAGGTATTCCTCTTATTATAGCTTGTGCAAGCGAATCTTGCATCAATCGGTAACCTTCGAGCCGACCTTTGAGGGCTTGGTTCATCCGCTGGACAGTTTCAACGAATTCTCTTGTGAACACATCCGGATTCCGCGAGCCTTCAACGTAGCTTGTAACATCTGGTGGAATCTCTATGTTGACAGACGGAGCGGTGCGTGTAAGATTGAGCAGGTTCTGGACGAGGACTTGCCTATGAAAGGTTAGTGATTGAGAGAATAGATATCTGCTGGACATTTGTGTAAGGGTCTTACATTTCGCGCTTCATGGCATCCTGGGTGGGATTACCTTGGTGGTCAAAGGACTGAACGATAAGGTTGTATAGATTTTGTACAATGTCTTTCAACTGGGTCTCTACCTGGTTGGTAGCGGCTAGAAGCAACGTTAACAAAATTCCATGGCGTAGACAATTGTAATGGCTGACCTTGATCCACCGGCGCCATTATGGTTGTTCTGCGCGGCGCGAAGTCCTAGTTAGTTGAAGGAGCTCCAGTTCATCGGAGGGTGCTCAATTATCTTGGCATACATGCTTGCCGGAAATTCGGTAATAAGTTGTTCCCTTCCGCCACCGATGACATCGTCATTGGTCTTGGTTAGGTGGACTGCAAGCACCGTTCGTGGATCCTCGACTTACACGAAGCACCATTTGATAATAAGATTTTGCACAGCGTGATTTTGTTTTTGTTTCATAGCTTGGTCGGAGAATTATGGTCCTCAGCAGGTAATGACACAGAGTATGTCACGGGAGCCTGAGACTCCACATGCACATCCAAATTCGAATCAGGCATCAACAACATTCACTACTGGGAATGCCAGTGGAGCCGCGTCCGATCAGATACGTCCCTCTGGTGCGATGCGCCATTCCGAAGCGCAGAAGCCAACTCACGATACCAATTCCGATAAAGCAACTTCAGCCTTCATCCGCCGGACCCTATGCTCCCACGATGTCCTTCTAGGAAACGGAGAGAAAGGGCGTAATACGCCCCGACCCATTGAAGACGTACTTCCACCGTTGACTAGCTCTAACGCAGTTGACTTACAGCTCTATGCTATAATATCTGTTATAATCAAAGAGTTCGTTCAGACATGGTATTCCAAAATCACACCTGACCATATATTCATCAATGAGGTGATCCAAACAATCGCACACTGCACACGCGCCTTGGAACAAAGACTGAGAAAGATTGATCTGGAAGCTCTTGTGCTGGATGAAATACCTGGCTTGCTGGAGGACCATCTGACCGGTAGGTATACTCGAGATTGGCATTTCTACACAACGACATGTATTGACACACACAAAAGCATTCCGTCTAGCAAGGTCTCAGGCAAGCCATCATGGGATCTTGATTCCAGACCCGCGGACAGTCTATCATACACTGAATCCGCATCCTGCATTATCACCTGTCCCGACGGACGCAGTCCCAGCTAGCAGCGTTGAACAAAGGGAAAACGAATCCGCTTGGCGCCAGCTACTTGTTCAAGGCGTGCTAGCCGTATTACTCCCGACCGAGGATCTGGCAAATGGATGCTTACGATCCCTCGTAGCAGAGATCTTTGCGGAGATGATTATCGGCAACGGAATTAGCGGTAAAGCCTGCGAAGGTTGGTTGCTCTGGGAGGGTATCACTAGGATCGCGGAAGTTTTGCAACATAGTACTACAGCAGATGACCTTCAATCGGATGACTTGACGCCAGACCAGTCACTGAGCCGTCTCGAGCGCTTTGGATTGCTCTCCACACCTGCAGAAGGTGAGGGCCATGGCGTGTCAACGGCACTTTCGACCAGTGACCGCCAGGCCACAAATCCTCGACTCACCGTTTCTGGATTGTTTTGGGCCGTGGTGCAGTATGCGTTTTTGGCGTACACGGTGATGCGCGCTATGATCGTAGGGATTGCGACATCATCCTCTCTTCCTGGCAGGTCTACCACTGGAGCTAGCGTTCAGTCACCAGATGAGGGAGATCGCCAACCACAACAGCCATCAGCTACTCAACCAAAACGGCTGGGCCCGCTCCCTTCGCAACGGCCCATAGTGAGGATGAGGTTATGGGCTTGTGCCTCGAAACTCATTGAGCTGGACTTACGCATGCCTTGGCTATCGGGCCTCATATCAGCAATGCATTGGGGGGCGTTATTCGGCCCAGGGAGGGTGGGTGACACTGATGGTGTATTGGACAGGTGAGTGGCAGCAATTATTTCTTCCTTTTTTCTGGTTGGACGACGACCCCAGCGAGACCCAGTCTTGTACGACACATCCTTAATCAGCCCCTGGTGATACCGCAGGAGGCCCCGCAGACGAATTCGATCACTTGACTTCGCCTCCAACGAATGCGACGGCCCGCAGGCACTCACACGCTGTCACCCCGTGCCGGCGTGCATCGTCGCCTGCAAGCCCCGGCATCCGCTCCCGGGCGGCAAATCGAGGCGTTTCATGCCTAGCCCCCATACTTGGCCTCTGGACCCCAATCGGTTTCACTTTTGTCCATGACATGTCAACCAACGAACCCCAAGGCAAATCGAACGACCAACAGACCAGACCATGCCCGCAACGCTCGATCAAGTGCAGCTGCGTAGACTATTTGTCTGGAGGACTGGACTCCGATGTGCGACTTCAAAGCTCTGCCTTGGTGGGGTCTTATCGTGGCCCCCGGCTTCTGCAGATGTTCCGCTTACGCGCCCGGTTGATCTGTCTCCTGTAGTCTTCTTATTCGGGACTGGCTGCGCCTGTGGGCGTAATAAGCTCGTTGTCCGCAAACCCCGGCTCTACAATTCAGACCGCCTAGAGATGCGCCTCATTCTCAACTGATGATTCGGTTGGAATCTGCGATATCGCACTGTGGCTGCCCGAAAGGACACCTCTCGCCATGCGGCGAATGCCCATCGCTGATGGCATGGCCCTCTTTGCTATTCGACCATAGCCTCGGAGCACTCACGATATTGGTTTATCATGAACCTAGTAACCCGTATGTCATGCGGCACTTCGTTCTAGCGTGCCGTCCTGGTCGCGAACACTCGCCGCTATAAGTCGCAAACCTCGATGAAAACACAGCGCTCGTATTATTCACCTCAGAGACTCTCAGAGACTCTAGGGGTTGCCTCGCTTTCTACCATTTCTGGTCCTGCTGTCGCAAGAATACCGTTGCATTCCTGTCGCTTAATTAGCAACATAGTCTGCGCTGCCAGGCCGTCCGCCCAACACGGGAATTGAACATCCCCGCAAAACTTTATTTCTCGTCTGACTGCATGTCGTGGGACTGCCCATATGTCGGACTCTCTACACGCAATTAGCATGGCCGTCGTCCAATGAGGAGCACACATTTTGCTGAATTTTCAACAACTAACTATCTGCCCATTTCTCTAGGTTCCTTTCTCACACCATGCGTATGCATGTCTTTAACCCCGCCTTACTTCCCATCCTGCTTCGCACAATTCGAGCAACTCTATTCCCGAACAATGCGCTCGCTCCCCCACGCCAGGTGCCTACTGCTGAAGAAGCGAAAAACATCAAGCGTCGCTGCGCAGCTACTCTATTGGACTTACTTCCTGGGAAGGTGGCAGCTGCATTATTTAATTGTACAGACTCGATGGTGCAGCTGCAGCAAGTCGAGGAGATATTGGATTGTCTAGATGACCCTTACCTGAACAAACATTTCATATTCTCAATAGTGGAGCTGATTATTTTGAGACTAGTTCCGGAGCTGGGTGAGAGGGGGATACATGAATTGATAGAAGAGAGACTGGGCTAATCCCTGGCATGTCTACAGTGATCGCGGAATGTCGTCCTGTGCAGCGGCAGTTATCGACATAACTCAATTGAAAAAAAATCAGGAACAAAAATCAGTAGATCTTGTGTGTATCGCTGGCATTACCTACATTCAGTCACAAAGTCGTAAAGGTACGAGCACCTGGTGAGAATTGGTCGCTGAACTGCAGCTTGGCCAGGGCTTCATACCTTAGGGTGCCCAAAGCTTCTCACCGCTCGTAAGGACTCTGCCAGCCTCGCATACAGACGAGAATTAGTCACTGCATCAACAACAAAGAAAGAGGCCTGTGGGGTTCCTTGAGGATCGTTCAATCCCCACGGAATTACGAGCTAGCGTATTACCCACCTCTTTCTATTTCGATTGCAACCCTTGAAGAGGCAGATGTTAAAAATATGCGATCTCAAATGAATGCACGGCCTTGAATCCACATGTGGACTAGCCGTGTACTCTGTGCATTTTGTTGATATAGCAGCACGAATGAATGCCTGCGTTCTCCCGTAGGTCCAGCCTTATCCCATGAGGCAAAATCAGCCAATTGAAAACGGCACTGCTCGTCTCGTCCTTCATGCACGTTGGTGCTATCAATTTGTGAGGACTGCATCGTGCCCTCAAGTGTTCCCGTTTACCAAATCGGGAGAATGGATAACTAGGGAGGGTGTACACCGCAACTCGAGCCAGTCCACAATCAGGGCGTGATGTCAATGATTCCTGCTGTATTTCCAAGTTTTTGGTAGGTATGCGCCGCGGAGCTGCATGGCTTTATTGCGGATCATGGAGGAATTGCGGTGTACCTCGCACCAAGGTGGGCCTGGGTGTTCATGTGAGTATTGGGGAAGCTTTGACTTGGTTTGTTGCATGGTAGGGTGGGTTTTGAGGGGGAGCTTGGAGATCGCGCTGGTCTGTGAACACTGCGTGCCTGGACATCAAACTCTCTGCTGTGGAGAGTCCTCGAGTCTCAGGCATGGACGCACGATTCATTCTCATAGAAGGATCAGTCAGACTTCTGGAAGGGCCGCACTGACGATGTCATGATCGAGAAAGCTCGACCTTGTTGGTAAACAGATGACGCTCACTCGTATTGAGTTGTGGCCAGCTGCATCTGGTATTACCATCTTTAGCACAGACGATGACAGAGGCCCTCTGGTCCCTCGCCCAATAAGGACTGCAGGGTGCCCATCTCCGAGGCGGCGAAGGCAACGTCACAGATGGCTGAAAGGACTGAGCTGCAAGAGAGTAGGATTCATCCGTCCCGAGCGAATGAAGGGTTGAGATTCTGGATGACAATCTGCCTTCCCTACATACGAGTACTGTTCAGAAGGCCATCAGTCCATCGTCATTGCACAGGGCCTCCAGGCACATGGCCACGGCGAGGCCCCACATCCCAGTACACAGCTGCACACTGTGCGGCATGATCGCATGACAAGGTCGACGCGGACGACGACACAAACCTACAGAGTATTTCTCACATTGCAGAATTCTCACTGCCTCCGCTGACTTGCCGCAAGATGCAACCTTGCCTAAGTGTTTCAGATACAAGAGTCGAGGTGACCTTCGGTGTTCAAAGGAAAGGCTCTGCAGCAGTCCAGAACTCAGGTTCCAGGGTATTTCGAATTTACCAGAGAAGCGAGGCAAGGCTCCAAGTGATGGAGGACTACCATTCGATAGGTACCCCGCTTTCCAGGCACACCAAGTCCTCTGATATGGCTTCATCTCGATGACCTGCTTTGCAGAGTAAGCATGTGTGGTCAAGGTGCCATATCTGATCCCCACATTGACACTTTGAAGGCCAAAGCCCTATGCGGGACGTTGTCCTCTCACCACTTTGTAGTGCTGCACTGCTCCTGGATGAACGCGCCCAGACTTGAGATGAGATGAACGCATTTCGGGCGTAGCCATTGAAACGTTGTGCTTCTGATTCAGACAACCAACTAAACGATCCTAACGTTCAATACGGTCCAATTGCGAATATCCATATCAGCCGTGTTATGCGCCAGCTTACCTCAACTATCCTGAAAACATACGTTAGCAGCCGAAGTATTGCTCTGCCACATCCCCTCGCTACATCCTCTCGTTCTCGTATCTAGAATAGCTCAAGACGCCTTCGCTGGATGACATCCGTGCAGAGACTTAGCGTACTCAGGAAACTGGTCGATCACAGAAGAGATCGGCCTCTCCTCCACGTTTTGTTTCGAAGCATGGCCTCAGGGGGGCTGGCGGGCATCAAACGACGGTCTCCACGCGAGCTTGCGAGTCAAAATGCTGAAAGGGAGAGAGGTACTGAAAGAAGAAATCAACACCGAACCGCCCTGTGGCGTAAAGGGAAAGCCGTTTGTAAGGCTCGCATTGACCTCTCTGGAGAAAATGACTAGAAACCGTGCAAAAGTCAGGGACATGATTCAAGAACCTCAGGCACACGGAAATCAAAGTCCCGCAAACAGCAAAGTGTCGGTGGGTCGGAGACCTTGTGGGCCCTTGATTGACGCTCTGGTCTGCCGTATGATGCGCCACTTCCGAGGATTTTCGACTTTGCGAAAGTTTGATGATCATTATCATCGAATCTGTGGAGCTGCCTTTGGTTGCGATTCATGAAACCCAAACAACGGTTCGCATGAGTATTTTGTTACCCAATTGCCAATGACTCGGCGTACGATTGAGCTAAGATGATTCAACGCAACAGATAGACAGTCATGGATCGGGACTGCATAGGGGCCTATTCTTTGATCACTCGCACAACGTTCGTGAAGGAAGGAAGGGGCATGGAAGCGCAGACCGCGTCGTCAAAGTGCCAGATGCTGACTGGCGGTACGTGGACCCATCTACTTAACTTCCTACGATATTGCTGCACCTCGTAATTCTGAGTGGGGGATGAGCAGCACCAAATACCTGGACTGGAGGTCCATGTCAACAGCGAATTTTAACAAAGTTGCTGACCGTTCCAAGCAAGCAAGCATGTGCTGACTGCAGAAGGCGCCGTACCGGCCGGCCCGTCTGTCCCCTTCCCTTCCTGTGCTGTACTGTGCACAGATGCAAGGACCCGTGGTTGATATTTGAATAACGATCATGGCGGGAGCTACGATAACTATCAGGCTTGCGTCAACGGCCAGCAGCAGGCAATCGGACAAGGCAACGGATAGCGGATTTATCCATCGAACGGCGCAACATCTGCAGCACTAGTTAGAGATTACCTAGTGCGAATGAAATGATAGGAGAATATGGAATTTCTGCTGAGCAGATGACGATGGCTGTGAAAGCAACGGACTTCGTGTTGCGACGTTGTACATACTACTTGGTACTAGAATTGGGGCCGTTCTTCTCGCTCCAAGCGGGAGCCCGTGCCGGGTAGCTCGCTTCAATTTTCGTCCCCCATACCTGTCCGTACGACAGTCTGACGCCGCATTGTGGAGCCAATGGATGGAAAAAGCAAATTTCTGAAGCTACTGAAGGCGCATTCGCTTCAGCATCTCAACGCAGTTATCATTCAGCTTGAAGTCCCTTTGGTCATTGAGGAGAAAAATTAATTATAGCACCCTTCTCTTTGAACCTTACTTGGCTCAACAAGTATTGCTTGCGACGATGTACATACTCCCGAAACACCAGTTACCCCTTCGACGTAGTTATAGCTTGCTACTATAGACAAATCTTCCTGGGTTCATCACCGAAAGGGGAGCCTTGCGACCGATTAGGACAACGTACGGGTGTACCACTTGCGACGAAGCCCAAGCCACACCGTACGCGCCCGTCAATTCATCGTCGTACGACGCGGAAGCCGCCAACCTAGGTTATCGATGTAGCGTTTCACAGCATCAAGTCGCGATCACGTGGAATCAGCCTTGCCAGTCATGGCAGGACAACGAAGCGTCGCACTACATTGTCGACTACATACATATGTAGATTAGGGATACTCGAAATTTCGCTTTGTCTTTGCGTTGCATGAGAATTCCAAATAGTCAGTTATCGAAATTCTGGACTTGCATTCAAGTCCGGACCATGACGAGCTTGCAACATTGCTTTGCTGGCGAAAGCAGAATTCTGCAGCAAAAGAAGAATGAGGCGAAACGATGACAAGTCTTGGGGAAGAAAACTACGAGCAAGGTTCCTTTCCGATTGGTATCACAAGAAGTGGACATCAAGCCCAACCCCCTCACCTCCTCGGCACAGGATTGCCCTCTATTGTCCATCATCCTCTGGATTTGTTCTTGTACAGTACAAGCGCGGTTAAGGATCGCTAAAAGCTGAGGAAGCTCCAGGAAAAAGCAACGCAAATCAATGAAAATCATAAAACATTCAGCCTCTCATAATCCCTACATGCCCTCCAGGATTACAAAACACCCCCTCCCTTTCCTTTCCCCGTAACATGAAAATAACTTCCCTCAAATTCCCCGACAATCCTTGAAAGCAATACTCCCAATCAGGACATGAAATCTGTCTATCAGGCCAGTAGCTTACGCATTTGACATATTGTGCGTATGAGCGTATTTACTCGCGGTCCCTCTCGCGGTTGGTCCCGTAGTGTGTGGGGCGTATGTAGATTGAAAGGAGTCGGGGATGTCGGGAGGGATGAGGCGAGAGGGAAGCATAGTGGATGGGTTGTGAGAATGAGAACTAACAAGATCATGATACGAGCAGCATAAGTCGTGAGATAACTGCAAGGCGAACGTGAGGGGGATGTACGGTACGAGCACTCAGACCTATCACACAAGGTAGAGGGAAGACGCTCGGTGTAGGAGCTGGAGGGTGGGAAATGTTCATTGGGCTCGGGTGTCAGGGGGGCCCGTGGACGCCCCTCATCATCACGCAAGCAAGCAACCTTGGATAGGAAACCCATTTGCTGAGGAATCTCTCCGAGATTAACGTATCGACTTTTACCCCGTTCCGGGCGAAAGGTCGGAATTTCGTACGTGCACTGTGGCGGTGAAGAACATTGTTGAAGATACAGAACCAAAGCCTGAGGATGAAGTCTTCTTGAAACAGGTGTTGATATTCGACGTCTGGATAGACTTTACGGCCTTGACTGCGACTCTAGATTACCATGTCTGTATGCATCATGCTTTAGAGGCAAGTGCTTCATGCGTGCATAAGCGATGAATGCTGTGTTCTGTACAAAATGCGCGGGTACGGGTGGAAAAGCACTATGTGCAAAGCGAGACCTTGATAAGTGACCCAAGTTGATGATCTCCCTTTTACCCAGCGTCCCGTCGTAGGCTGACCTTGCTCACTATTGCATTCAGCGTGATAAGGACTCAGTCCGTTCTGCGCCAGCAAAACATTTGTGAAATGCGAAACTACTCCGACAATTGTGCAACCACATGTCACCAAAACTAGCATGAAACACCACACAAGACTGCCGAGGAGTAAACAGAGGTTCATCGTAGAATGTGCAAAGATTTGGATTTGTGCGTCAACTACATCGCTTCGAACTACCTGTGAAGCGAGGCTGGGGTGTACTATATCAGGCTGAACTAAAGCGGGATCTGAGCGAACGTAGGAGCACGGGGGGTGACAAAGGAGGCTCCAACACGCAACGTATGAGAAGACAGCCAAGTGGAACGTGATCAAAAGATGCAGGCTGTTGAAATATAGAGAATAAGGAAGATGAAAGTACAGCGAATAATTACCCGCGCGAGCGGTTACAGTCTTTTTTTCGGTTTGTGCTGAGGGTTGGGAAATATCAATGGCGTGTTTGAAGGGTATAGAAGGCCGTGACAAAATAAAGAAAGAAAGCGCAGAATGTAGTAAAACAGATGTAAAGCCTAGAAAACATCAGCAGTCGGATTGAAAACCAGAAAAGAAGTATGATGGTCATGCTAATGATGCAATGCGGAAAGCGCTCGAGTTCTGATGCCATGAAAAGATCCAAGTTGGCTCCCAAGATCGCCGTGGTTCCAATATGAAAAGCATACACTATGCTTGATGCGTGTGTCCCAAGCCCCCACTTCCTCCATTACCTGTGGAGGAAAAATCCTACAATTCCAGATGACTCCGTACAAAAGCAGATGGCCGCAATCGATGTGTTGTTCAGTGGCGGCAGCACCATGCACTAATTCTGGTGCTGTGGCAGCCGAGTTGAATGCGCATACGACTTAGCCCACTCATCACTCCTATAGGTCAGGACGTTAGTGCAATCCATCAATGCTTTCCAGCTTGCTGGCGGCACTGAAATCGGGTTCCGGAATGCGACGAATCTCGGAGGACAAATTGTCTGCGTGACGTTTGATTTTTAGCTTCTCCATCAGTTTGCCAATCATGACGTATTCTTGTGGTTCCACGAAGCCGCTCGGTTGTGTTTGGAAGAAGCTCATAACCAGTTCCAATGCTCGGGCAGCCTCCTCTTGGGATGGTGTTACTGGAGAAGAATCCTCTAGGCTCATAGAAGGCGCCTGGGTGACGCTTGGCTGCTGCATTGGGATACTGACAGGTGGGACGGATGGTACTGGCGGAGGTTGCATTGTACTCGTCGCTTGGGTCGGAGAGGCTTGCATCGACTCGTCAGCACCGCCAATTGATGATCGAATCTCGGTCATGGGCGAGTCTAATGCAGTGCTGTTGATGTATTTCGGCGTGAGTGCTTCAGAGGAGGCTGGGGGTGACATGTATTGTTCTACACCGACAAGCATCGGGAAGGTCTGGCTTCGTGGTCGCTGGAAGTTGCTGCTCCCGGGTTGCCCTCTAGCTTGCTGGTTTCCCATGAAAGGGTTTGGCCCGCAAGCTGAATCCGGTGTGAAGAACGGTGATGACAGCGAGGTTGGACTGGTTGGCCCTGCTGAGAAGGACGACGGTGCTGTGTCGGTGAAGACGCTGGATAGGGACGTATTGCTTTGCGAGTGAAAAGGTCGACGATGATTCGAAAAATCATAACTATCAGGGCTCTCTGTCTTTAAATTCTCCTCGCTCTTCTTTGCAGAAACAGTTAGGGGCGAAGGCGATATTCCATTTGGCGAGGTAGGAGATACGCCCACGGGTGTTTGTGCATTTGACGGTGGATTTGAGGCACCTTCGGATTCTTCCGCTATTGAACCCTTCCTCGATTTCGCACCCATGAGGTTGTTCTTCTGTTTGAATTTTTCAAGCCAGCTGGTGCTGTTGGCTTTGAGGTGGCTCTCTGAATTTCCTACAGTTGTCGCAAAGAAGCGTGCTTTTTCTCGAATGATCGAATCGTTCAAAGGTAAACCCTGTTTCTGATGATTCCGTGCCCAGTTGGCGAGCGCCCTCTCAATATCTGGAAATTTGCCTTTCGACTTCCTGATCGGCGATCGGCTTCCATCGTCTTGGTAAAGATACTTCTCCTTTTGACGCAAGACCTTGGAAACGGTACTACACTATCAGTCAGCCAAGATGAAAACAAAATAAAGAATGGCAGATTGCATGGGTGAGGTATACCTTCTCTCAACACCGAACATTGCTACAAGTACTAATCAGCTGGGCGCTCTGGAGACCAAAATGGCTGTGCCACACTTACCGCCGATCTCTGTCTGCTTGACTGTGGGATGCTCTTCATGGTAAAGACACATCCGCCTTCGGTCCGCATCTGTAAGAGTCTTTCGAGGAGTTGAAGAATGCGATCGAGTGGAGGTAGCTGACACCGGAGTAGCTGATGCGGGAGTGATTGGAACCGGCGCTGCTGAAGGAAAGATAGGCGGCACATAGGTTGACTGGCTGGTCAACATACTTGGCCATTGTGGCATAATCAAAGGCTGAAGCTGCGGATGAGTGGTCCTTGGTGGGTGCATTCCAGTTGTATATATGGGCTCCATTGGGAGCGGGGTATAGCTTGTGTTGTTGTATGGTAACGCATTGAAATCTTGGACAGACGACTGATGTTGCGAATGACCGTACACAGAAGTGTCATGCCATCCAGCGTTATGATCATCATAAGACTGTTCTGAGTGATGGTGGTGATTGTGGGGATCGTGATCCATTTGAAGCTGGCTCATATCGACCGAGAGAGAGACAACGATTCAAATACCAAGGCGAGTTCCGTGCAATTGTAGATATGGGCGAGTCCGTATTAGATGGTCAATGAGCAGATCGCAAAGAGCGCATTTGCGTGTACGCGATAGAATTCCTGTTCCTGGTGGGAGTGAATGACCTCAGTGTTGTTTGGGCGCATGCATGCATGAGAAATGGTCGACGGTGCCAGAAGCGAAGCGATAACAGCGACGGAACACAGTGACTTGATGGCGACAGGACGGGGAATTCAGCTGACAAAAATGCGACGCAGTGGGACAGTAGGGACAAATGAGACGAAACGAAACGCAATAATGCGGCGCGGCGCAGAGTAGAATTGGGAACTGAAGCTGGATGGGGGGTGGTCTGCAGGGTGAGGATGGCTGATGCAGCGTCCTGCAAGCTACTTGAGAGATTCTGGGAAGTCTGGTACAGAGCAGGGCTTGTGCCTTGTGGGTTGCGGTGCGGGCAGCGGCCGGTTGCAGCAGCAGCGGGAGGTCGGCGGGAGAGCCCTGTGGGTTTTTGGAGCTCAAGGATGATGGGATGGGATGGGATGGGATGGGATGGTATGCTAGGTATGGTCAGTCCGGAGAGCTCTGGCCTGCGCTTTTACCTCCTCTGGTCTGTCTGGCCCCATGTCTTTCTACTCTTGCTGGTGGGCGTACGGTCGTGCGGACGTGCTCAAAGCGACATCACTACTGGCACCAGGCACACACACCTGCTCTGGAGTCTTGTCTCTTTTCTCCCCTCTCTTTCTCTCACACACACACATTCAGGGGCCTGTGCTTGTTCAAACATCCCAGTAAGCCCCATCACCCCCAACTTCTACGCTCTAAGCTATCTAACCCCCGGCGGCGCGAGAAGCCAAGCGACAACCTCGAAGCGCGGACCTTTTGGAAGCAGTAACGTTGGGCTTAGCGTGCGCGGGTCTGGTCGGGGGATGCAGCCCCTAGAGCGGCGACGGATGCCCAGCACGCGGGCCAGAAAGGTGGCCGCTGTAGGGGCTTGTCGTCTGCCTTTGCTTTGCCTAGGTAGTGTGAGTGTGGTAGGTGTGGTGTAGTTACTTTCTTCCATGCACAGACATGTCCACACGCCTCTTAATGCTCGCTGGCCATACGCTGTACGCCAGTCGCGAGCCGCCAGTACAGTTATTCTTCAAGTGTCCGCGGCAAATGGGAACTCGAGGCGACCAGCGACCAGCGCTCCAGCGCTCAGCACCACACTTAGGATGCCGAGCTCGCTCAACAGGATCGTCCCATCGTGGGCCATCATTGCACCTCTCGCGGCCGGCTAATCTGGCGGATACCAAAAGCGGATGCCGCCAAAATTGCAAGCACTCAGCAGCCACTTGGATTGTCGCCAGCCTCGTGTGTGTTGTGCTGGTTCCGTGGTGCGCCGTCGCGGCCGTTGCCGTGCTCTGGTGGCGCCCAGCAGAGGGCATCGAGCAACCTTGAGGGCCCTGGACTTATGATGTTCGCAATTCCAGGTACGCGAGGTACGCGGGCGTCAATCACCAGTATTATCATCATCGACCTGCATCGTCGCATAAAGGAGGCACCCGACTTGAGCAACTGCACTGCGCCCATCGACTTGCAAAGGCTGAAACGCTTGAGGAAAGGCTGCTGTTTATCGATCCCCCATGAATCAAGCCAGCAGTACATTAGCTCTGACTGACGAGCCACTCACGCTCGATAGCGACCATAGTTAGCGCCCGGATGACAGCCAGTGCTTTGAGTCGCCGTGCCGACAAAACCCCCTGTAGCTTTTCTCCGAAAACTCCAGTGCTCCAATCAGTAGACCAACGAGGAAAACCAATATCAACAAAAAGGGCTAGAGAAAAAGATCGTCGTATTCCCTGATCCTGACTTCCGAAATAACAATATGTGAAAAACAATGCTGAGTTCGTTCCAGTAACCACCACCGACGCGTCCAACGACGCTTCCGCTGAGATTGTGCGCCTCATATGCATCAGGGCTTTGCCTCTGACTGACTAGCTCTCGGGAGCCACTGGGTCATCCAGACACCTACCTGGCGAATGATTGATCCGCTCCGCCGTGTGAGCTCCTGGGACCGAGCTGCTATGCTGATGCCGTTGCAATACGATTGGTACTGCGCCTCGGCCAATCCAGCATGTCAGGTTGGCCATTATTGCATTCCGCCTGAATCACTATTTCCATCCTATGACCAAGTCTAGCTCTGATACCGGAATGAGACACCTTGAAGCCATCACATCCTTTTTCAGTCATCCGCGAGCCCACCAGTCAGCTCCCTAAGCAGGGGTAGAGACGTACCGCATTCCTCGGTGATTGGTATCGTTTTGTGTCTTTCTATCGTTTGATGATGGTAACTGGTCATGATGTGAGCTTCAAGTGGCCGATGCAATACATTACATTGGGATCTAGGCTTACTGATATCCTCATCGGCGAGCTCGTGGGCCAATCCCACCCGTTGGGGTTGATGCTTTACTGATTTTCCATATACAATGGCTTGCTTGAACTGCTCAACAATCGTCTTGTGGATCGAATTACACTATCGACCGGTTAGCGAGCTCAATGAAAGACAAGGGGACTACGCACGAAATCCTCAACAGTGCAAGCCGAAGATCTCAGGACGACGGGTGCTGAGTAGTCTGGCATTCTGCCCTTTGGTTTCGTATACACCCGCACAAGGTTTAGCTTTTCCCACATCTGCTCTAAGAGCTCATCAACATTCCAGCCGTGCTCAGAGCTGATGGGACAAGCATTCGGGATGCGGTACAAAAGATCTAGCTCCTCGATGGTGATCGCATCAATCTTGTTCAGCGCGTAGATGACCGGGATATAGCTCCGACTTTTGGCTTCCAAAACGTCGATCAAGTCGTCCACCGTCGCATCGCAGCGAATGGCTACATCTGCATTCGATATTCGATATTCGCTCAACACGGCCTTGACCTCGTCATGGTCGATATGGCTCAAGGGGATCGTTGAAGTGATGTTGATACCGCCCTTATCCTTCTTTTTGAAAACGATGTTTGGGGGACTTTTGTTTATACGGATACCAAAGCCTTCCAATTCGTTTTCGATTACTCGCTTGTCGGTCAACGGCTTATTGACATCCAAGACTATGAAGATCAGATGGCAAGTCTTAGCCACTGCAATAACCTGTCGTCCACGACCCTTGCCGTCTTTGGCACCCTGAATGATACCTGGGAGATCAAGGATTTGGATTTTCGCGCCGTTATATACAACTTGGCCGGGGACAGTTGTAAGCTATGGTTAATTCAGTCAATGATCTCGAGGGAAGGGTGCACGGAAGGATGGAATACCGTTGTGAACTCGTACGCAGCAGCTACGGATCGTCAGTGTTTGCTTTTATGATGCACTGGGGGTTGACAAACCTTCTGAGTGCTGGCCAGTCAAACGACTCATGAGTGTACTCTTCCCCACGGACGGAAAACCTATGAAACCACTGATTGTTTAGTTGGTGAATGACGCAGAATTGCGACGAGGGCAAACTCACACACTGGCAACACCGGTTCTGGCCACGTCGAAACCAACTATAACGAATTAACATCCGCCACCAAAATTTGTCTGGACAACCATACCACCGCCGCCACCTCCACTAGAACTGGGAGTGAGCAACTCCCTCTTGAGTTTAGCAAGCTTTGCCTTCAATTGACCTGTACAAATATGAGCATGTATACATGCGGATGCGGGAACAATATCCTGTACCAAGATGGAAAGACGTCGCCTTGTTTTTCTGGGTTCGAGCCATCTACGCCGGTATCAGTATTTGGGCATTGTGTGCTACGGGAGTGTCGCTCACTTCGGACTCGATTTCCTTGATCTAATAGAAATGCACAATTAGCATACCAATCACTTAAACAAGTAATTTCCACTCACTTTATCCACGGTGGTCGCCATCTTGCCGGATTATGGGCCCAAAGCCACTCTCAAACCGCTTGAAGATGTAGTTTGGCGCTGTCTCACAAATTTGAGGTTACGGCTGCGGAGTGACGACGATGGTTGTTCGGCTGGCGGGGCAAATGCTGGACCGGCAAAAGTTTTCTCCGACTCCGGACCCGCTACAAATCGCTTGCCAAAGTATTTTTTCTGTAAACTATCCCAGTTGATATTGATTGCTTTTCATGAATGACGATTTGATTGGATTATCGCTTCTGTTAGTTGGCTGTAGCGTCAAGAGGCTTGCAATCAGCTTTTGTCCATTAGGTCACTGACGAATTCAAAATGTCTATACGTGGTTGCACTTCTCTTCCCTTCCTGTTCGCATTTCAAAACATGGCCCAACTTCCTTCCCTTTATCGTTCGTCTTTGATGAGTAGCTGCGGTGATTGCCCATAGAACCTCATTCCGTGCACTAGTTCCAGCTGTCGTTATCAGAGTTGTCCTTTCATAAATAAGGACGACACTTTGCTAGAGTAATATCTTATCATCACTATTCCATGATCCACAGGAACGCAAAACCATCAGACTTATTTCATGGCGAATTCTTTCGAAACACTAGTGGCCGCTCTCCGAGAGAAGCTTGGTCCTTGCTCAGGCATCGGCTCTGAAGATGTAGACACAGAAGAGCTTCAATCGCTGATGGCACAATACACCTCCAATGAGTGCGAATGGGAGAAATACAAGTTCGAGAAATCGAATTTACCGTATACTAGAAATCTCGTGGACAAAGGAAATGGCAAAAGCAATCTGGTCGGTACCTACCTAATGTGAAATACTTTGGTGGCAACACTGACATATCAGCTTATTCTGGTTTGGACACCAGGCAAAGCGAGTCCAGTCCATGAGTACGTTCTTTCTAACAAAGCACCTCGCCCTGCATGCTAGCTACTAACACAAGATAGTCACGCCAATGCACACTGCATCATGAAAATCCTAAAGGGCCGGCTCAAAGAGACCCGATATCACTGGCCAACCGTGCAATTGAACCAGAACGAAGAGAGTCCCTTAGTCGTAAAGAGGAAAACTGTCTATAGCAAAGACGAGGTGACCTACATGTCGGATAAGCTAGGCCTCCATAAGATATCAAATCCACATTCGAGCGAATTTGCTGTATCTTTACACTGTGCGTTTAGCTGTATTGAAAGGTGTATCGCAATTGTACTTACAAAATTAGTATACACACCTCCGAACGCTGCCGTGTACGGTTGCAACATCTTCAACGAGAAAACAGGCCATGCTTCGCATCTACCACGGTGTACGTTTTACTCGGAGTACGGCAGTAAAGCTAGAGGTTGACATTTGGAGATAAATCCCTGTGTTGTCGAGTCTTCCTATTTGGGAACTCTAATCAGTTGCGGCCAAAACGGCTCCAGATTCACCTTTTCCTATTCTCAATACTACAACGTGCTAGCAATATCAGTACAATGCATCCTTGTTTCATCAGGCCCATATGGTTGGCGAAGCAATTGAAATAACTCACGAGATTATGATTTTCAAAAGCCCAGACTATGTAGATCCCACACAGCCAAAGGTTGCAATGCTTATCTCTAAATGTATACGTACACATGATGTACTATGAGAAATCAGGTGCTAGATAGAGTAGGCGGCTAGAATTATGGGACAATGACATAGGTATTAGAAATATTGACATATGAATGATCCAAATGCACACACCGAAACACATCTAGAGTACAGGATAACTTAACATTCAAGTGAGGTCGAACGATAAAAAAAGCAATGGACATGACATCGGTAGAACATATTATTTATGTACGTTTCTAATTACTCTTGAAAGAGAAACACATGGGAAGATACATGGAGTCATATCTGGCGAACTTGAGACTTCTGGAAATTTGCCTCCTGGCATGTATCATGCATGTAAAGTTACTTGAAATTCGATTAGTATAACAGGTAGAGTATAGATGGGTCAAATGAACTACTATCTCTGGGCACACGTTCACTTGTTATCGACGACAAAGGAGAAGCTTGAAAGGTTCGAAACGGTACTATGAACTAGGAACAGCATGTCGGAACTGACGCGGCGGAGATACATGAGCGAAAAGTTGGAACTATTGATTTTCGAGTTGACTGCACCTACAGCATGCTAGATGCAAGATTACTAGATCCGCCTCCGCGTTCCTGTCTGTATCAGGTTGCCACGAGGTAGTCTAATCCCATTCCGTCAATCAAGGGATGGTTAACTGACCACAACGTCTTGATGCAGGGCTTGAGTTACACTACCTTGGGCCGGAGAACCCTTTGCAACGTCTTCTCTCCATCACAATCACGGATCGATGACTATAAGATTCCAACTCACCAGTGGAGAGTGCGTCCCCCAGCAATATCGTGAGTCGGAGGTGGGAGATCTCCTCGGTGGAGAGATCCCTGCCCGCCTCGTGTCATGGCTGCCCTGCCAAGCTCAAGCCCCGTCCTTTCCGATTCAGGCGAACGCTCCTCCTGTTTGCGGAACAGCTCGCCCGTACAGTTCGATATTCATCTTGACAACGTCAACGTCACAGCCGAATCATCCTCATGTCCCGCGACGTCCGCTGACCCTCCTGCTACTCCAATGCACCCGGTTATAACATCAGTAACGGAGTATGCCGTCCAAAATCAACATCTTTCCGTTCCTCTGTTTCTCGGTCTGCTCGGCACCATAGCGACTGCTTATAGTCCCGTCCAACATTCACTCTTCGTTACAGCCGTTTCATGGGGATTGATATGGCTCGCCACAATTTTTCGCGTTGGGATATGGTCTAGTACCGGTAGTAGGAATAGAAAAATAACAAGCTGGCTCGCTGGCGCCTTCTTGGCTCTGTCACAAGTATGCGACAGAGCACCATGTGACAAGGAGGGGATTTGGTCCATGAAGGTAATTAGGATTCCACTTTTGAGAGAAAAAAGCTGACCGTAGTCTAGGGACTTCTTCCGCTTCTCGTAGTACTTCTCTCGCGGAGTGATATGGTCTTAAAGCACGCCGGTCTTCCCTCCTATACCTCAATTGACGACTTACAATCCGATGGAACGACAAGTCTGGAGAAAAGACAAGGGGGTTCTTTCCGTACCTTAACTGTCGTCACCATATCTGCCTTCGCTGCCCTCGCTTCGCGCTACACACTTGGCACAACAACGGCATTGAGCCTTAGTAGTGTAATCTTCACTGCGACCGGTTTGGTTCTTTTCGAAAACGCTCTGAAGGGCCCCCAAGAAGAAAGCGATGACGGCCGAAGGGGTCTCATGTCAGCAAACGGCACATACCTGCGTCATCGATCGTTGCAAGGCGTGCAAAGAGAACAGCATTTTGCTTGTTTGAGGGATATCTCGGTTGTAATAATGGTTGCTTGTAGCGCAGGCACCTACCTCTTTGAACCATCGATCAATTCCCGCGCCATCTCATGGGAGCCAGTATACCGGCACTTCTGGGGTGACTGGAAGTCAATACACTACCAGAGAACTGTAGAGCAGTGTCTACTCATGATTCTTGTTAATGTTCTTGTCAATATTTTGCTGTACATGTTGGTAAGTATAGTTTCCTCTTGCCTGAATTGCAGCCCAGACATTACGTCAATGATGTGTTAAGCCATTACTGTCCTCTCTACAGTATGTGCACATCATGCTTTCAGTGCAGGTTTTCTCATTGCCATTATATGCTAACACCTAGCCAGCTGTTTCAACAAGGTGCCGTTCACACATCGTTTCTATACCTGTTCTCGTATCTATGTGCAAGCCTCATTGTATTCGTTCCGACCTTTTCAGGAATCTGGTTCACAGTCGTCTTTGCCGTCGCCTCCTTATTATATCTTTCTATCCCATCTTCGTCTACTGCGATTAACGAAATTCGGACTACTTTGCGATCGAAACGCGTCCTCCTGATAGTCACAGCGATTTCATTCGGTCTCTTTTTGTTCCGTGTCGTTTCTGGGTCTCACTCGGGATCATCGAGCTCAGAACGGGTACCCAACTTGACCGCATCCTCGCCAGAGACTCCATTCGCCCCTATCCCAGTCGACACGAAGAAAGGCCATCCGGCTTATCAGTTGATCGATACGGCCGAGAAAGAATTCGAGGAAGTATTAAACAAGCAATCGAAAACGTTAGAGGAAACTGTTCAAGAATATCGTCGCCGGAATGGCGTAGCACCACCTCCACATTTCGACAAGTGGTATGAATTCGCAAGGAGGAACAATGTCCTGCTTATCGATGAATTTGATACCATCAATGAGTCCTTACTACCTTTTTGGGCACTTCAACCGTCCACCATTCGATCTCGTGTGCGCCTCGCACTGGCGGGATACGAAGAAAATGCCCTGGTGGCGATGATGATTCGAGACGGCAACGTTGTGAAGGTTGAAAATGGGCCAGAGTGGCAACAACAAGCTACTATTGGCATGATGAAGAACTTTATACAGTTTCTACCCGATATGGATCTTGCGTTCAACATCCATGACGAGCCTAGGGTTGTGGTCCCCGACGGTGAACTTGCCCTACTTGTTGCCCAAGCACGGGATAAAGCTGTTACGGCAGCGATTACCAGCCAAACTGTGCGCAATTCTTTCTCGGCACGCCCGTCTGATCTAGGTGATGGCAAGCGATTCAGTGATGCATCTATAAGCCGCTTCAATAGGTTCGCGCATCAAAAGACCTGGACTCACGCCCGTCTGTCCTGTCCTATCACCAGCCAGGCACGGGTCTTGGAGGACGACGCAACGGATAACCTGACATCTTACGCTGTCGCGCCTCTCAACTACGTTTACAACCAGACTGCGTTCTCCGACATTTGCAACTCTCCGTCAATAGCATCTCGTTTCGGATTTTTCGAGCGACCCAACGCTTTCAATATCATCCACGAGCTGACGCCAGTATTCTCGCAATCAAAGATCTCAAGTTTTCAAGACATCCTGTACCCAAGCCCATGGTATTGGTTCGGGAAGGTAGGGTATGATTCTTGGCATGACACTACTTGGGAGAACAAAACGAACAGCCTCTACTGGAGAGGTTCCACGACAGGCGGCTTTAGCCGGAACGGTGGTTGGAGACGGCAGCACAGGCAACACATCGTCAAACGCTTGAACAGGCCCGACACAGCTAAGATCCTCGTCAGTAAAGGGGACGATGGAGTCTCTGATTATGAACTCCAAGAGGTAGAGCGCAATGAGCTGGATCGCTATATCGACGTAAAATTCAGCCACGTCGGGCAGTGCGATCCAGCCGATTGCAAAGCACAGGAAGAGTTTTTCAAAGTCGTTGAACACGTCGACGGCCAGGACGCGTGGTATTATAAGCACTTGCTTGACATGGATGGCAATGCTTTCTCTGGCAGATTTTACGCATTTCTGAAGAGCCGAAGTTTGACATACAAAATGGCCGTGTTCAGGGAATGGCATCAGGAGTGGCTCAAACCTTGGGTACACTATGTTCCCCTCTCTTTGATCGGAGACGAGCATCTCGACCTCGTGCGATGGTTTGGAGGCGGTCGCCAAGATGCCAATGGGAAAGAGATCCTCCCCAAGGCACACGAAGAGAATAAGGGTGGTAATGGTGACTCCATTGGTGAGAGAAAAGCCCGGGAGATTGCCGAACGTAGCACAGACTGGTCAGGCAAGGTGTTAAGAAACGTCGACTTTGAAGTGTGGTTCTTTCGCTTACTTTTAGAGTAAGTCACATGCCGAAATCTTTGATATGAATGAATATGTGCTAACCTGATCCTAGATACGGAAGGATAATCGATGATAACAGAGAGTCTATTGGATACTCTGGACCGTAAAACAAATGTACATTGACTGAATATAAGAGAACTGTAGCATAGAACTTGTCAAGGAGTATCGCCATCGTATATAGGTTTTGGTATGTGCTTGTTGCGGCATGTGCAATGTGGCGTTGGGCTTTAGGCGGTTGTTTCGATCAGAGGACGCGTAAGATACCAATTTGTCTTTGCATGTATGACTACAAATGAATGGTTGAAGGAGAAACATCTTACAGTGAACGCTTCCAGACCTGAAGTGACCTTGATCTATGTTGACCGCCACAAATTGGCACCACTCAGATTTCGTACCACAACCTAAAAGGATAGGCTAGGATATTCATATCGCAATCGTCCTAGAATGGACTATCATCACCTACATATTCTCCAATCATCTCTTTCCGCATTGCGATCATCCCACCTGCTACAACCTCGCAAACCATGCCTCTACTCCGCAGCTTTCTTTCCAGATCCCTAACCAGGGGCTCACACTCCACATCCGTCTCCCAAGATATCATATTATTCCCAAGATACTTGATCCTCACAAACGGCACGTAAATCTGCATCTTGAGCCCCCTCGCCCTACACCTCCTCTTCGTGAAATACTCCACCAGCCTCTTCGTCAGGGCCTCGTGATCGAACTGCCTCCACGAGTTTGCATATGTCTCCGCGTGCGGTTCGCTTATGATTACTTTCACAGTTCTGAGATTTGGCATCGTCGACAAGGAGGTCTGGATGTGGTGCCACGACCCTATGTAATTGAATTGCCCCGAGGCGAGTGCTTGCTTGCTGTCGTGGTATGGGTTCTGCGAGCAGGGTGAGTCGTTGTCGCTCATTTTGAGGCAGATGGTCACGGAGCGGAGGAACTGAGAGTTGGCGGGCGAGATGGTGGCGAGGAAGCAGGGGAATAGCCATGGTTGTGGGAAGATGAAGGTGCTTTTGGTGTACAACATCTCAATGGTCTCGGAGTACCTTAAAGGAGGGGCATAGTTAGAAGCTGTCTCTGCAGTTTGGTTCATTGTTGAGTCTACGCACGTTTGCCTACATGTTAGAAGGAGATTTCCCAATGTGCTGGGCGGCATCGGCGTCTTTCCCATTGCGTAAATAAGATCGAAAATCTTGACATTTTGGGAGAGGTCGTTGAAATGTTCTTGATTCATGGTCGCATGGGCATAGACTTGATGTCGGAGCTGGCGACACACGAAGGTTCGCACTGTGCCATGTCTCCCCATCGAAGACACGGGGATGATTGGGCGGCGGTTCTTCCAAAGAAGGGGATTACAGATGGAATGGGTCAGGTGGTTCTGCTGGAAGCCGATTTGTACGCTTTGATCCCCTATGGCGTACTCCCATATCATCAAGCGGAGCTCAGTAGAGAGCTTGAACAAGAGAGGGCATTGTGTTTGCGATTCTGGTACGGGTGTCAGCCTCATGACGAGTTCGGCGTCGCAGGGCTGCCTATAGTTACCGCATGTATTCAACTCTGGATTTGTCATGATGTTGTCACCTTGGTGGATCGAAACTTTTATATAACTCCAACTAGCTCATGGAGTAAGTCATATAGAATGCGTCAATGAAACGTGGGAGGATAGTAAGACAGGTTGCGGCTGAGTTGTGCTCATCAGGTGGGGTCCCGACCAAAAATGTCCGGGATGGATGCTTTCGCATATGCTAGAAGTATTCTGGTTGTATAGGGAAATACATCTAATACGTTAGTATAACAACACGACATAATCTCGGAAACGACTGATATTCTACTGTATTTTGAAAGCTATGGCAATCGACCAGTGCATTGATTTTATGCAATATGCTTCATTCTGTCGGCTTGCTTGATATCTTGATGAGACGCACCAAGAGGAAATAAGTAACCGTCCGTCCAACAACGATCTCGAGCCATTTAACATTCGAATTGACTCTGTACCGAAGACACGGGCAGTGGACGCTCTTCTATAGTGTACCCGATGAGTGAAGGCTTCGCAGGATGCTTTGGAAAATGACCCGAGAGTGGATGTCGTAGAAACGACCTCCAGGAATCCCCACGAAGTCCGACTTACATCCCAATACATGGCTTAACCATTACGAACAGACTGCAGCACATCGGAGGTTTAATAGAAATTCCAACTCACGCCACACCGACTCGACGAGTACTGTTGATGTTCCCTGCTCCGTAGTTGTCGCCTCCCTCTAACGATGTCTATGGATGACTAAGGGCCCATCCTAACTCGGCACTTCCCCAAACCATAAGGAAACCCAACTGCCGACCTCGAGCTAAGCATCCCTCAATCTTGCTATTGCTCGTTCGCAGCCACTGGCCAGCTTAGCCGCAGCATGGACGTGAGAATCGATAGCCGGCAGTTCGCGAGATACGTCAAGAATGAGACAGCCATCAACCAGGAAATTGTTGACCAGCCATGGACTTTCCGAGGCCACCGAGCCAGCACCGGGCGATCTCCAAATTGACTCAATCACCCAAACCAAGAAGATTGGGGACTGGGCGTCCCAAAGACAACATCGAAATTGCAACTTAAAAAGAATTGGTAGAATTAAGAGAAGTTGGCGAAAAAAAATAGTAATCACAACTAATGCGTCGTGAGACGACGGCCAACAAGAGTTGAACATTGAGGTAACCTATCTATCCTATGTGGAATGGAGCAGAGCCCCGCGAGCCATCTCCCCCGCGGTTACACTTATGATCCACATGCCGAGCCACGGGGAATCCCATTCTAAGCCATTGAGGTTTCGCCCTAAACTCGAGGTTTATCTTCACAGTACATACCTCCCTCGTACATCACCAACTGCCGACGAGCTTCGTGGGCCGCGTTGTTGGCTCCAAGGCAGCCCGCTATGCCGAAAATCGTCTTCTATCAATGGGTACATGTGCACGTACACACGTCGCAACGGCAGACAGGCCATGCCACCGCGGCTGTTGCATTTCCATCATAACTTTAAATACCTTTAGTGCAACGTGCTCAATCTGCCTCTAGATATGAAGAGCTAAGGCTTCCCTCCCATTAATATATATCTAGCTTTTTTCAACACAGGTTAGATCGTTTGATATCACCAGCCACAATGCTTCTCAACGAAGTCATTCCTTTGCTTGTACAGTACTGGCCTGTCGTGCTGGTGTCAGTTGTTGTCGGGCACTTGATACATAACAAGTTCTGGAATGGACTGCACAAGCATCCAGGTCATTGGCTAGCAGCGTACACAAACTGGTGGAGGTTTTGGGACGTCTGGGGGAGAAAGCATGAATGGACCATCATTCGACTTCACCGCGAGCACGGTGATATTGTCAGACTTGGTCCCAATGTGTTGTCGTTTGCAGACCCACGGGCTATCAAGATAATCTACGGCTTGAACAAGGGGATGGTCAAGGTAGGTATCTATTGGCGGGTTGATTGATATCAGAGAAGAACAAAGTCACTGACCAGCACTATACAGTCCGATTTCTACCCCGTTCAGAACGCCGTGTCCAAAGGTCGACGTCTGCAATCCCTCTTCTCCACCACCAATGAGGACTACCATGCAAAGTACCGCCGCTGCGTCAACAATGCCTTCGCCATGAGCTCGCTGGTCAACTACGAGCCCCTCGTCACCTCCACCCTGAGCGTCTTCCTCGACAAGACCGAGCAACTGTACGCCAGCACGAGCAAGACCTGCAACTTCAGCCAATGGCTCCAGTACTTCGCTTTCGACGTCATCGGCGACCTGACCTGGAGCAAGCGCCTCGGATTTGTCGAGGAGAACCGCGACGTCGACGGCATCATCGCCTTCCTAGGCAAATTCCTCAGCTACGCGGGCCCCATCGGCCAGATGCCCATCCTCGACCTGATCCTCGAGAAGAACCCAATCCGCCTCTTCGCGCAGCGCATCGGCCTCAGCAATACCGTCTTCCCCGTCACCCTCTTCGCCCAGACCCGCTCCAACGAGCGCGCAGGCGAGATCCAAAAGATCAAAGCCTACGGCGTGCCCGACGACCAGTCAAACCCGCGCGGCGTCGACCTCCTCACCAAGTTCGCGCAGGCCGCGCACGACCACCCAGAATTCATGACGGACACGCAGGTGCTCGCCTCCTGCACATCCATGGTGTTCGCGGGCTCCGAAACGACCGCCATCTCCCTCTCCAGCGTCTTCTACTTCCTCCTCAAGCACCCGCGCGTCTACGCGAAGCTCATGCACGAACTCGACTCCGCCGTGGCGGACGGCACCATCGAATCCCGCGCCAACCGCACCGTCTCGTGGTCCGAGTCCCAGCGGCTCCCCTACCTCGACGCCGTGATCCAGGAGTCCTTCCGCGTGCACCCGGCCGCGGGCCTCATCCTCGAGCGCATTGTCCCGCCCCAGGGCATCGACGTGCTTGGAACCTTCGTCCCCGGCGGCACCATCGTCGGCTGCAACGCGTGGGTCCTGCATCGCCGGCCCGAGGTCTTCGGCCACGACGTCGATGCCTTCCGCCCCGAGCGCTGGATCGACGCGTCTCCAGAGCAGCTCAAGCTCATGAAGGCGACTATGTTCCAGTTCGGCGCCGGGGCCAGGACCTGCATTGGCAGGAACATCAGCTTACTCGAGGTGTACAAGTTGGTGCCTAGTTTCTTGAGGCGGTTCGAGGTGAGTTCGAACTATCCCCCCTCCTCCCCTGCCCCTGACGCATATAACCTTGAGAATATTTTATGACATATGTCACTAACACAATGTACAGATCGAACTCGAGCGCCCAGACAGCGAGTGGAAGACACACAACGCGTGGTTCGTGCGGCAGACGGAGTTCAACACGCGGTTCAGGCCCCGCAAGGCTCCTCCTTCCTCCATCTGAGAGAGAAGAAGAAACCATGTACGAAAGAAATGCAGGAAGGAAGGAAGGAAGTCCAAGCAAACCTGGATGTCAATGACATATCACTACTAGTTTATATAAGGTATACATAGCTACGCGCATCATGCGGAATCGGAACAGGAAGGAATATAATAGCATAAATCCAACAATTATGGACATGATTTATCATCACAGATACACACACGCACAAAAGTCATCCGAATACGTTTCATGTACTAATAACGTTGTTTATTGTTCGATTCCGAAATTCATCATCTAAATACCTAAAGGTTTACTTCGTATGATAATAATCGATATATCCGTCATGCCTTGCCTTACTTTCCCCCTTATCCCAGCGCCCAACACCCCCTGAACCTGAAACTGAACCTGAACCAATTCCCACCAGGCGTAATCCGAAATAAGTGAGTAAATACTCGTCGTCCATTGTCGATCGATGGTGATGTGCCGTCGTCGTTGATTCCTGCTCTTTCCCTTACTGCGGGATATCGTGACTGCGACATGAATGTCGATGGCAGACAACGTGGCGCGCAGCAAGTAGTGCTAGTAGTGATGTTTGGTAGTTGGGTAGTGATTTTTGTATATACAATAAGATTCCACACACATCCACGCGACCATCCACTCCGGCTCACAACCTCCCATCTTTGTTCCGGATTGAATACTACCTGAACCCCCAAGCCGGAAAGACGCCCCCGTTGACGCTGTCCAGCTTGAGGCACTGGTAGGGGCTGGAGTGGGGGTCGTAGTACAGACCCTCGAGGCGGCCGTCGCTGCGCCGCAGGCACACGTAGTAGAAGCCGCTGATGGTGAGGCCGCAGCCCGATTCGTCGAAGGCGGTGGGTTCGGTGGGGCCGGACGGTGTCGGGGCCGAGGGGTCGCTTTGTTGGGGGTTGCTGTTCCATGGCGTTGTCGCGGCGGAGGGCGTGCGGGAGGTGTAGTGGTTTTCTACGGAGCTCGTGGTCGAGAGGAAGGAGTCTGTGGGTCGCGAGGGGTGGTGTTGCTGGACGGGATTGTTGCGGGGGGGATCTGTTGCGGACGATGAGGACGAGGTACGTGCATGCTGATGTGAAGAGTGGGTGTTGAGCGACTTCACGAAGCAGCGTTCCTTCCAGCGCATAAGGATCCATTCTTTGCTTAACACCTCCGCGTAGTACCGTCGGCTCGTCAGATTCTTGACAAGCTCTTCGTCAGTCATGTTCTGGAAGGGCGGTAGCTTGCGCCAGTAGGTTGCGTCGTTCGTGGCGCTCGATTTGAAAGATTCGGTTAAGAGGGTGAATTGGTTGAAGTCGAGAATCTCGCCTTCCAGGTAGGTCGTGATGGAGGATGTGCGTGTGGCGGGCGCGGAATTACTGTCTGCATCTCCGGTAGATGCATTCTGAAGTGAGTGCGGGTGTGAGGGAACATTGTATGCTTCCATTGTTGCGGACAGTGTCATCCTGCCATAATCAACGGCGTGGATCGTTACTTTCACGGGCCAGCGGTCCTGCTGCGGCGAATGGGCGGTTATGAGGTCTGGCCCCGATGTAGGTGCCGTTCGCCTTTGCTGAGTGTACGTTTGATTCGGCCAAGGGCGACCCGACTCATAGAAAGTTGAAGTCAATGGCCCGTCGTTCCTGAATCGATACATAGTAGTCGTGGTCCCCGTCGCGGTAGACGTCACCGTCGAGGTCATGGTGGTGGCATGCTGGTAGCCAGACAGCACGGCGCCTGGAGCCAGCCATGACGTCCTCGCTGGGGGTGGGAGCGTGACAGTCTCCAACACGAAATCTGAGCTCTCGTCGAAGAAGTAGTCCTTACTAAGGATCTCATCATCGAATGCAGAGCTGAGGCTCTCGTCGGTCTGGTTCGAGTACCGTATCCGCGACAGGTACTTGATCGTCCGCTCGAGCAGCGGCGACACCGTCGGGGGTGGAACCGATGTGCGGTCGAGGTAGCTTCGGCGGAAGGAGTCTATGCGGTTGAGCATGTCGCGTGAGTCGCGCTCACGGTCACGTTCGCGCTGTTCGCGGTCGCGGTCTCGAGTCCGATCGAATGACGTCCGCCGCTCGTTGAGGCGCTGGATCGCGGCCTGCCGCACGCTCTCGGACGGGCTGTAGCGTTCTCTCGAGTCGGACTGGTGAGGCGACCTACTGCCAGACTCTCTGTCAGAAGTGAACCGTATCATGGAATCTCTTGTGCGGGAAGCGAATCGGGGATGTCTTCGCACAGACTGCAGGATTGCCGCAGACCTTAGAGAGCTCTCCGCCGACTGGGACGGCTGATTCGAGGACAGCATCCTCGACGATATTGCGTGGCTACGCTCCTCGCGCTCCGCATCCAACTGCGTCCTGCTTAGCACTCGTAGTATCTCTGGGTGTGCGTTCGGCTGCTCCCGCCGGAGCTCCGCGAGGATCGTGTCGAGCTCGTCCTCGTCGTCGGCCTCGTTTGCGGGAGACCAGTCGTAGAGGCTGTTCTGGCTCGGTATGCGGTCGCCGTACGCGTGAGGCATTTCGTGGATTCGGCTCAGGCGGTTCATGACTTGTCTCAGCCTGTCGCGGTGGTCGAGATCTTCTCGGGGTCGACGCGGCCTCTGCGCTTGTGAGCCTTCGTGCTGCTGTTGCTGTTGCTGTTGTGGCTGCTGCGGCTGCTGTTGCAGTTGTGACCGCTGCCACTGTTGCTGTTGCTGCTGTGTTTGCTGTTGCTGTTGCTGCTGTGGCGGCGGCGGCCCTCGTTCCATGATGATTCTGTGTCGGTTTTCGGTCTCCAGCCGGTTCAGCAGCGCCTCGTATTCCTCCCTCGATGTCGGCGTCCTCACTGACACTGTGGGAACCTGCCCAGCAGCAGCAGCAGCAGCAGCAGTAGTACGGCCAGCAGCAGTAGTACGGGGCCTGTTGACGGCGTTGACTTGGTTGATCGCGGCGTTTAATCTATCCTCGACCGTCAACGTGTCGGCCAGGTTCAGTACGGGAGTGTCGAGCTCCTGTAGGGCGGCGGAGAAGCGGGCTCTTGCGTTTTCGTTTAGGCCCTGCGACACAGACACGAATCACATCAGTTCCGGTGCACTAGAATGACGGCGCGCTGCAGCGCATTAGGGAAATGGGTAGTTGTAGGGGTGGTGAGATGATTTTTGCGGGAGATGAGTTAAGATGAGATGGAAGATAGACTAGAATGAGGAAATGGGCGCATTTGATGGTGGTGGTGATGTTGCATCGGGCGACAGGACGAACAGGAGGAAGAGGAAGGCGAGGGTTGGATAGGATAAGATAGGATAGGACAGAACAGAACATACCGCTCCGGGCGGACTCGCATTCCTCGAGCTGGATAGCGGCGGCATGATGGACGAACGAAACAGAACAGGTAGACTATCGGGGAGGGGAGGGAACCGTTGGTTTCGTTGCAGTATTAACGTCCGAGGGACGGTATAAGTGGAGAAAAGTACGCGGAGTAGATCTAGGGCTATCTGGACAGAGCGGGTGCAAGCGACATAGTGGAGCAGAGCGGAATGGGGGAAGGATGGGGGAGAAGTGTGGTGGATTATGATATGAGTAGTGGTGATGGTGATGGTGACGGTGGTGGAGATGGTGGTGGTCTTGGTGATGATGAAGATGGAGGAAGGATACGAGTAGGTAAGGTGGGAGGGGGGAGGTCTTCTGTCTGTATTACTCGTAGTACGAGGTACTACACTGAGGGCGCGGAATGTCGGGGTAAAGAGAAGGGAAGGGAAAGGAAAGCAAAGGAAAGGAACTCGTAGAGTCAGAGGAACAAGAAGTCAAGTCACAGAAGGACGATGAAGATGATAAAAAGGCCGACCTAACGTTTCGGAATTATATGTACGAGTAGTATGTCGACCATAACTCTACTACGAGGAATAGAAGCCTCAGGAATGACGATCAATTACCTACACCACCACCTAACCAACCACCTCATACTAATGGTGAACTACTAGTAGACTGTACTGTGTAGTTACGTTACGAGTACCTAAACTGAGGGGAAGGAGAACGGCGAAGTGGGTGAGCGGGAACCTGTGAAGCTGACGCATGTGCTTGCCCAGACCTCCACCATCAACCACCACAACCACCGCCAACTCAAAAGCAAAGAACAAAGACACACACATCCACTAACATGCCCGTATACCAATGACTATCCTGCTTCTAGTTTCTTCCAATTCGTCCACCCCGAAAAGCAAAAAGAAACAAACAAATAAATTGGAAAAAGAAAAATATACGTTTCGGTCAGCAACTCCGTCTGCTATAGTTAAGTACCTGTTACTCTACTACAGAGTATACACTTCGCAAATATCGAGGTACTCAGTACGCACCCCTCCTCGTCTGGCATAGAAAAAGAAAACAACAGAAAAACAACAATCAAGATAAGCAAGTCCGGCTGCATTTCAGCTCAGCATTATGACCCCTCCAAGGCATGGCAAAATATGCCATGGCAGAAACAATAACATCGCATACGGAAGGTAGGTAGGTGTTCGCAGGAGGTCCTCCACCATCCACTCTTATCACAGCGCAAGCAACATGCCATAACCCACATAAATCTAGCCTCGAGACCAGGAGGGGAAACTACTACTGATTAACCAATTACTTTCAAAGGAAATTGATATGTTTCAAAGATACGTCAGCGATCCAACGACGAGGATGAGTTTCCAGTCGCTTGGGATGATGGTAGGCTGGTAGGCTGGTCGGGTGTCCAAATCCGCAGAGCCGCGACGACAACCCAGCTCGCTTATCTGGCTTCCCCATATACCATCCATCCACCCTATCCTACAATGTAAGCCGTTCCTTTCTGTTTATGTTTCATTTCATACCCATCCACAGTCTCACAGCAATGCAAAATGTAAAAAGGTTTATCGAGCAATAAGCTTGTATTGTCTGATTGTTTGTGTGTTTTTATATAAAGGTTTTTTCTGGCTATAAAGGTTGGTGTGTTTTTTTTCTCTTTGGTTCAAAATTACGATTTAAGGCTAATGATTGGGACGGGGGAACTCGCCCGCCGTACCCAGGTGGATGTGTGCGCCAGCATCCGATTCAATTCCCCCTCATGGAGGAGGAGGGTGATTGCTTCTTCGAAGGAAGCCAGTCCTTCGGAGTGTAGGGGATGAGCCTACAGTTCCTGCTCGGCGGGTCCGGGAGAGAGATGTCGACGAAGGAGTCGAAGGAAGAGAGGAAGGAGGGCGAATCAAGGACCAAAGGAGAGAGGAGAGGGGGAATCGCCGCATGGTGCTGTTCTCAGGGGAGAGGATTCTCGTCCGCAAGCAGACAGATCATCGCCTCGGTTCCTGAGAAGGAGTTGCGACAAGTGCCACGACTGGCGTGCTCTTGCAGCAGTGCTCGACCATCGGACTTTTCACCCTCTCTGTCTCTTCCTCGTCCATTGATCGTCCCATCCCCTCTCTTTCGACTGCCCTGTTCGAGACCTTTCCCTTCGCACCGCCGCGCAGGAACATCCAATTATACTAAGCATCCCAGATGCATTGCATAACTTTTGTCGCCGCCTTGCCATTACGATTTCCGGCTGGTAATCAATACCAGATAATGTCGTAAGAAGACGTGAACATAACTGCGTCAGATCATGAGTGGCATGCCATACTCAATGAAGAGATGCCAGCCGTCCAATAGGTACGACATTAAAAAACCCAAACAAAGAGAAAAAAAAGAAAAGTTCCCAAGTGTACCCGACACGTAGCCGCGAGGCTGTATCCTGTCTTTCTTAAATGCCATGACATGCAAACCTCCCAGAGATGCAGATAACGAAAGACCTGGTCCGGCCGCTGGATGCAAGAAGCTACAAAGGAAAACGGAAAAGAAAAACAGAAAATCGCTTCGCTAAAAAAAAAGATGGAAAAAAAGAGTAAGGAAAAAAGAGGAGGATATCAAAGAGGTGAGAGAGGAGAATCGCTACGCTAAATCGATGAAACGCCGTCCTATGCCGTGATGGGATGTTTGTGAGACATCTCTTTCGTGTATGTTGCACATGTATTGTCTCGTGCCAGACATCGCCGGGTTGTGCGCAAGCAACCGTTGGGAAGAACTGGGGGACTGGCCAGGTCCACGCTTCCGGGCGACCGACTCCGAGACAGTGGGAAAGAGGAAGGGAGAAGAAGGAAACGACAGCAGTATGACTCATCCCGTTTACGTGAATGCTGCATACTGCGGTGCGAATCCTGAGTCCCATCCGAACCCACTGCTGAATCCACTATTCATGGCGCTCGACCCGCACTGCTGGGCCAACACGCTCGGAAGAGGGAGGCAAGGAATCGGGGCGGTCACCTGGGGCGGGCTGTAGTACTGGCTGGTCGTGCAGAACGGTTGGCTAAAGGACGGTGTTGGCGACGGCAGCTGGACGTGGTCGTTCATGCCCATGGTCGTCCAGAAGGAAGGCTGCGTTTCACCGCAGGTAGTGATGGTGGGGCTCGGTGTTGATGGTACCACTCTCCAAGAGTCCATGGTGACTGGGTGCGACGGGGAGATGTGCTGTCCCGGTTGCCACCAGTTCGCGGCGGCCGGCGAGCTTGGGAGAAGCGGTGCGGGTCGGACGACATCAACGATGCGGGGAGGAGGAGGGAGCAGCGGGAGGAACAATCCCATGATGGCGTTCTTGACGTCTTCACCTCGTCCCTCGAGTAGTTCTCCCGCGCCCTCCTCCTCGAGGCCCTCGAGAGCCCTGACACCGGTTCGGAATACGTAGCGGTTGACGGCCTGGACGAACTCGTCCTGGAGCTTCTTCAGTTGGACTTCCTTCTCGGCCCATTCCCAGGTGCTGGCGGACACGTCGACAGAGTATATGTCCTTGTGGTACTCGATAAGCGCTTCGATGGTTTCGGGGGTGAGCTTGAATGCAACCTCATGTTGTGAAACCATGTCGACGTGCACGGCGTAGGCTTCGATGTGGATGAGCTGGTAGTTGAAGAGTGCTTCGACCAACGGGTTGGAGTCCTTGCGGAGTTCGGCGTCGGGTGCCTTGGGGACCATGATGGAGGACAACGACCATATGGCATTTGATCCAGATAGGGTTTCCGTGAGACATCGCGTGTGTTGCTGGACGCTGTTCAACGGGCGCTTGACTCGATTTATCCTCTTGAGGGTTTGTGTCAACCAGGGCTCGACCTTTGAGCTGAGGACTACATTGACGGTTGAACGGGGCGCAAAGGCAGCCGCCGAGGCGGGTAATAATGAGATAGGCATTGCGGACGTATATGTGTAGTGGCGATTATGTGTCCAGGTAAACAGGTACGGTATTATTCTGGACAGAGGGTCGTATAGGGAGTTGTCGTCGTGGTCGTGATAGTGGCGGGGGGGATTTAAAGCCGGTCGGTGATATCAACGAAGGGAAAATAAAACAAAAGAGAATAGTGTTATGAGGAGGGTTCGTAGTCGTTGATCTCAGGTGATATTGATGGGAATAATAATAATTATTATTTTTCTTCAGAGGAGTAGCGAGAGGATCACCTTTTATGATTGAGAGGGAGAGAATCAAGACTGACGAATTAGAGGGTGGGAGGGATGGGTGAGGTGGGAGGTGAGGTGGGAAGACGGAGGGTGAAGAGGAGAAGAAAAGGCTAATCGGTGGGCGGGCACAATGTTTCTTATGAGTGGAACGAAGCGAGCGAGCACCACCACCACTGCCACCATTTACACCACAGTACACTACACTACCACCATCTGCAAGCCAAAAGCAGGTTAAAAGAGTCAGAGAGGCGGAAAAAACAAGACGAGGAAGACCAAGAAACGAGGGACAGGGCAGGGTAGAGCAGGGCAGGGCACGCCGCAGAGCAGAGCAGAGCAGAGTTAGACAGACAGGCGAGAAGCGAAGATCATCTGGGACTTGGACTTGGACAGGACTAGAGCGTGCATGAGTGCGTGCATGCATATAATGCAGTAGGTAGAATGAGGTAAATGGATGGGGATGGGGATGGGGATTAGGGATTAGGGATTAGTAGTAGAATACAGTCTTAGTAGAGTAGAATTGAAACTGAGGAGAAGGGAATACCGATCATGTCTGCTTTCCGCTTCGTTTCTTCCGATTCTTCCCTTTCCATTCAGGGTATTACATACATACTCTGTACTGTGCAGGAGGAGGGTATTATCATGCACACTGCCCCGTTTGGACGGGACTGCGCACTTCTTAGCTGCATGTAACTACAGTACACCATCAAGAAGAGCGAAGAGACTACCCATCACGCCGATTGTACGCCCATATCCACTTGCACCCACCATCAGATATACTAACTACTCTGCATATTGCCATGTAAAGTGCTGCACTGTTCTGTTCTGTTCTGCTTGCAACCACACTACAATGAACGATAGGGTACAGTGTAAATCAGTGCAGTGCAGCGAAGTACATAGGTATCAGGTATCAGGGCATAGGATGGGTACGGAACATGCGACGACCTGCAAGCTGCACCCTTACTTTTCTGTCCAGCCGGCAGGATCCCCAAAAGCTGACCGAAGCCCCACGGCGCTCGCGAGGCCGGCCTCTGCCTTCTCTACCCTCAACTAACTGTCTGTCTGCCTGCGCCCGTTGAGGTAGCGCGTGGACGGACGGCCGGGCCACATTTTCCCTTGGGGCCCTGGTCCCTGGTCCCTGGTCCCTTGTGCCATGTTCCTTGCCTTGCCCACCCACCCCCCAAAATGATTAGGTTACAATACCTAATATCAGACGGTCCTCTCTGGGGCCGCGTCTGGTTCGTTCGCCTTGCTAGATATTGCGAGATTGGTTTCTCTAAAACTTGCTGCTCTCTGCATCGAAAAGGAGCATTACCCGATAGAGGAGAGATGGTCAAGAGAAGAAAAGAAAGAAGGCGTCATTATCAGCCTGCCTCGTCGCCGTCCACCATCGATATTGTGGAAGAAGGCAAAAGGTAATTAAATCGACGAGTGGTCAGAGCATAGGTACATGATGGATGGATGATTGTCATTATTCCATACACCATTCGCCTTTACTGGCCAGATGGTCATTAGAACACACAGACGACAGTACATAACAATAGACGATTTTTGAGCTCATCCAGTGCAGCTGAAAGGTCTCCACACATCGATCCTCTCCCCATCGCATCGCCTGGCCGGTGCCTCTTTAGTCTACAAGATTGGTAGACTATCTCGACGATTAATTATCTGTCTTTCTTAATTAGTATCTGTAGGCAAGCCGCCAAGTGAGTAGGAGCATTATCTCGCTTGATCGGTGCGGTGCCGTCGTCCTTTCGTGCAAGACATACAATGCACGCAGGAGACTAGCGTTGATAGTAACATTCACGATTGCAGTTAGCGGTCACACAGTCTGCATCCAGGACGCGGCATCACCTTCGACCTAAGCGGCAGCAGCATCAATTCCTTCAAGAAGAGCGCGTAATAATGTACCGCGAAACAAAATAGTCCCGGATTGACTGGGGAGAGCCCTGGGGAAGGGAAAGGGAGGGTAATCATTGCATCCTTTCGCTCCTTCGTACCGAAACCATCTGAGGAGATCTTGGGGACCTGGAACCCCAAAACAATCTGGAGTTTTGCGACATGGCCAATGAGGTAGACACTCCCTACTCCGTCTTGGTCCTTCAGAGACTGTTGAGACTGCATTCTGGAAGCTTTCTGCAGGCTCAGAAAGGAGAGCATACGAGGACGACGACGACTGCTACGGGCATGATGCCTGGTTGGGCATACGCGGAATCAAGGGGAGAGAATAAGCGGCGGATGATGGAGTGAGCATGAGGCCCACAAGATGGCACGATATGCTTACAAGTTTTCTCGTTCCTCTCGTTCAGTTCGTCTGTAGTGGTGGTGTTAGATACTACTAGATGGTGGTGGTGTTGCGGGAATGAAATGGTATGTCGGTGTCTTGGAGGCTTGACAGGTTGACGTTGCTTGAGGCTAAAAATGGGCGAGAAACATTTGGGCCAATCAGATGGCGATGACATGGATCAGCTTTCACTCATGTTCATCCCATGTCCATGTCCATGTCCAAGGACCCTAACGACCTCCATCCCATTCATCCCATCCCCCATGCCATGCCCATTCCATGCCATCGTTACCCTCCCCACGCCCCCGAGGAAAAGCCTCATTGCGCCGTCTCTCATGTGATCGCGAAATCTTTCTATTTTTCACTTTTCCCACCTTCCCATCTGCCGTAGGTCCTGGACGGAACGGGGTCTGGACGGACGAGGATGAGAGATCTAAGTCCAAAAGAAAAGGTGGACACGGCCTGCTCGGTATTCGTCCTTGGTCTCTTTCGTCGAGTACATTGGGCGCGTGCTGAAGCAGTCGGACCCTCAACCTTTTGCCCATCGTCATCTCACGTTGTTGAAAGAGGTCACGGAAACAAGACACGTGCATGGCAATGGGGACTGGACCACCGGTGATCATGCTTGCTGTATTATTGTCACTCGATGATATTACCGGTAATGATGATGAGGTCCCTGACGCCTTGTTCGGGCTAGCCGAAGTATACCAAGTGAACTCGTTTAAAGCCGTACGGTGCAAATCCTTCTGCTGTGGCTGTGGCTGTGCGATGGCGATGGAGATGGAGATGGAGATGGCGATGGCGAAAGCGATGAGGCGGTGGAGAGCCCAACCACGGCCTTTGCCTAGAAACTGGCTTGACCACGACGATCATCCTCGGCTTGTCCGTCTGCCAACATCTCTCTCTCTCTCTCTCTCTCTCTCTCTCTCTCCATGGCATGAGAATGCAACCGTGAACACTAGAATTTTCAAGTTATTCTTGTCTACGACTATAGTTACTACTACTACTAATCATCACCTCAGTAGACTGTCTAAACTCAGTTCCGACACTAATCGAAGGACGATTGTTAGCATCATTCATGCGCGGTTACATGACTCCGGCCGTGGACATTGCGTACCGCACACCTACTCGTACAAAGCAGAAAATTGGTGTAGTCTACATATTGTAACCTATCTTGACTACTTTTACAAGTCGATATTATTAGTGTAGTCTAAGGGTCTTTAGGGGACATTGCTAAAAAGTGTACAATACAGCCAGTAGCCTCACTACGAGCCGGAAGTAGGGATCTGGTACTCGCGGATGCGGGCAGGCGGCTCTGGAGTCTTGAATCTCTTGATCCGGACCACCAGAGTACACTAACTGAGGAATTCATCTGTACCTACAGTTATGGCCGTTTCAATCAATTGCTTCCCCTAAAGATTCGAGGTCAACAAGTGGTACAAAGGACAATGGACTTGAAGCATTCCATAGGGATTACGCAACCCTTGACAACGGTGCTCGACCCCGGCCTGGCCTATCGTCGACCCATAACAGCGGTGCTATCGATATCGTCTGTGTTTCATCTTTGCAGGTGCATGTACAGGTGCATACGGCATCTGCAGAGGCTGCAGTAGTAATTAGTGGGATATGGCGATTCCGGAATCCTCCTTCTTTCTCTTGCCTTGCTTGTTCTTCGGCTCGTCCATGCTGCTCATCCGACCTGCTGCCAACTGCGCCTCATTTCCATCCCCACACTGATGGCTTCTGCTTCATCCGCTCCAGTAACTACCGCCGGTAGCACCGGTACTGTGGCGGCACTCGTCATTCGACTTGACGTGAATTGTTGCCCCACGGAAACATAGAGACGCTCGGTTGATCGTGCATCGTGAGCATAAACTCGCCCACTGATCCGTTACCATATTCGGCATGTCTCTCAGCTTGACCGGGGGACGTTGGATCTCGCACGGAGTCTCGTCATGTGCGCGATGAGCCGACGTCAAGCGGAGTCGGGCAGCGGTAAACCTCGACATCAATATGCGCCGCGACATCAATGCATGCTCTGCTCTCTGCCATCGTCACCTTCAACGGCTTCATTTGGAACCGACGATGGGGCATACCCTCGTTTGCAAAGAAAAAATGTTTGCCAGCGTCATCGCCAATGATTAAACGTGCATATGCACTTTCTGTAGCTTCGTTTCAGATGCTGCTGGCGGTACTTTGCTGGCCGCATGTGTCCTGCATGCACCGCAACGTGGGCCCCGATGACTCACGAACTAGACCATCGTGAACAGCACTGCAGTGACTGCACTCTACACTCAACTGCACACAAATGCACGCGAGGACACCACTTCGTCTTTGCTGGCTGTGCGTCGTGATATTGTCAAAACTTGCATCGTGAATCACCAGCATCATACCTCAAAATACTCTGAAAATTATCTTCTCAAGCATATCCGCATGACCCTCGTCTAAATCCTCCCGTCTCGTCTCCTTGTGTCACGTTCCCTTTTACTCCATACATGCATTTCCAATATTACAGGAAATCTATCGTGAACTTGCATCATACTCTCCAAATCTCCAACATCCAATGAAGAACCCAGCCAATACTTTCTCTATCCTCACCTCCTCATCCTTCTCTACCTCCACAACCCCAGATTCCTTCCCGCGCATGCAGCATCCTCAATCTCATCACCATCATCATCCAAAGGGGGAGAATATCACTCATCACGAGCGCCCTCAAACTCTTCCTCGTCCCGTCATATTCGCCCTGTGCTGACCTTTCTAACTCGCTCGCCGACCTCTTGTGCAAAAAATATGATCATCAGCTCGAAAGATTTTTCCTTCCCGCCCGGCGATTCCTGCATCAAACGTCCATTTACAGGTACATGCCTACATACTCCGCACAGAAGACCAGTAAAAGCACCGAGCACAATGGATGCCCATTATCGTCGCGGGAAGCGAAATCGAATCGAAGTTGATCGCTGGGCCGAGAAGCAAAAACGCCACATGTTTCGTCGACAAAGTATACCTTACCTGAGTACAAGTGACATCTTCCCCATAGACGGCCCTGCGCTGCGCTGCCCAAAACCATCACTACAGCTGAACAGCACCGATGTTATGCACGCTGCCATCCAACCATCCGACTAACTCCAGCTTCAACTCAGTACCTAGACGTCACAGCTCGTCGGATCTCCTTTCTTACAAGCCACGATGGCGCGGGTGGATTGGCGAAGTCACATGTACGTACACATACATACATCTACATGATGTGGTATGATATGATATGATATACAAGGCAGGTACAAGAACCAACCAACGAACCGGAGTACATACACTCCCGCCGCTGTAGCCAGCATCTCCCATGTATGTACACATTCACGTACCTCCAAATAGAACCCCCATCATCTCATCTCACGAGAAAGAGCAAGTAAGCAAGCAATACAAACAATAACGACAGAAAATTCCCGCAACAGTGACCTCGTGCCTCGTGCCTCTCCCTTCCAAACAAAGTAATTTCCAATTCTCGTCATCCGTCCGTCTGGGGTGCGTTTCCCCATTGTAAGCACAAGCACAAGCACGAGCACGAAAACACCGCGCTCACGATGCCGCGCCTTTGCCTTCCATTACATCTACCCATCCGTTCATTCGTCGACAATGTCCGTGCCAGTCGTGGGCGGGCACGACCATTCGCACTCTCCCAGACTCCCCTTTTCCCCCCTGCGTAGATCCGGGGTAAGACGGGCGCCTCAGTGTCTGCCTGCTGAGTCGCTGTTTGGCTGTCTGATTGGAGGTGAGGTGGGGCCAATGGGAGGCGTGGTGACAGAATGGAAAAAGCAAAAATTGATAAGGAGGAAAAAGCAATGTATTCAAGGAAGCTCGCTTGGAGAACGCGGAAGCGAGAGGGAGTCGGATTCGAAATGACGCGGATCATGGGGCGTGGGTATACGTACGGCGTGCGAGATGGGTAGGTGATTGAGTGCGGGTTTTCTTGATGTCAGTGGCACACAATTGGATGTTTGATCGTGCATCGTTGATGCCATGTTTGGATGGTGCAGAGGAGACGATCTTCCTGACGTGCTGCTGTCCGAAGGAAAGGAGATATTGAATGCAAAGGCTTTGTTGCATATGTTGGTGAGGATGTGTGATCGATGATAGGACAACGCCCGTTGTTGTTGCATTTGTGTTTTGCTATGGCTAGATAGCAATATATAATTGAGTTTAGCGGTGCGTTGTATCATTGATGACCTTCGTCGTCGATCACTTATGATATTTAGCACTCATGAAAACCGCATTTGAATTGTTTGACACGGGAACATCGAAGCACTTGGTAGCAAGTAAAAGCATTTACGTATGCTTCATAGGAAAATCATTACGATAACATTGAAGTGAAAGTAGGTAGCATCCACCAGAATCAATTCCCACCGACTACGTATTCAACCATCCTGTCTCCCGAATTAAGCACACGGTAAATCTTCTACCCATCGCCGCGATCAGATCATGCTCGTGGTCTGGCTTGAAGCTTCCGTAGACATGAACTGATGTCTTCGAGGCGTTGATTCTCGTCCGAGAAAATCAATGATATCTTGGTCAATCTGGCGGATAATCTTCGAGTACATGTCTCTGTTGATGATGGCACCGTTTGCATTGAGATCATGGTCTGGCCCCCGGCACCCTACGATGATCTTATAATGCGTTGCTGGCCGCACATATTGCTTGCTGTAGAGCCAGTTGTAACAGAAGTAGCATGCGGGCTTGCTGCAGCCAATATACTTGTCGTTATCCACAAACATCATGTTCTTTGATCTGCTGAACATATCTGCAAGCTGTAGTTCCGCGTGAACTCTCGTACGTATCGGCTGGTAGGACACTACTTTTTGTCGAATTGGCCTTTGTCTTGGTGGGTCCAATTCGAACAGCCGCATGAATGCATTCTTGGCCTGTAGAGGGTTGTAAGAGTTAGTCTCGGCAAAGATGTCTTGGAGGATTTCATGAGGACTATGGCAGTCTGGGTGGATAGTCTTGTCATCAATGGTGGGAGGCGCAAGAGTCCGGATCTCTGAGATGCGTTGCAGAGATGGAACGGCGATCATAGATTCCACCACAGAGTTCGCATGAGCGCGCGTAGCACCAAGGCGCCAGATGTAGTGTGCTAAATTGCTGAAGTCATCTCCCTCATTCTCTGACGCTTCCTTTGTGCGTTGGTAAATTCCGTTACCTGCACTTCTCATCTCATAGCAGAGTTTGATGTACTCCCCCATTTCCATATTTGGGCCAGGCTCGGACAGCTTTCTGAAGGCTCGTCTCAAAGATTGCACTGGGATCAATCGGACGTTAGAACGGCGTTCGGGTCCTCGAGCGGTTACTCACCATTGTCGTCCCGCTGGACATGTTTCAGGGCGATCCTGCACCATTTTGCGTAATTTTGAACTTTTCCTTTGTAATATTGAACGCGGTGACTGCATTGCACAACAGCGAGTTCGAAGATGGTATCTTGAAGCTGCTTACGATTCTGTGTAGACACAGCCTGCAATCTTCGTAGTATAGTCTTCGCATATGCTAGAGTGCTATCGACTATGCCTTCGTTGGCAGCAAGCCAAAGAATGTCACTCAGATCGAGACTTTGCAACGCGGCAGCCCTGACTGTGCCCCCGCCCTTCTTAACATCGCAGAGGTACGAGAAGGAATCCAAGAAAGTTCTGCGAGAATCCCGTGTCTGGTCACCGGTCGATCGACGTGGTGTGTTGTTGCTTTTGAACTCGGTGAGTGCGCGATATAATGAAAGGCGGGGATACAGTTTCCTTGTTTCGAGCTGTCCAATCTCGGCCTGGAGGGATTCTAATAAAGATAACGACGTTCTCTGGGGAAGCTGCGATCTCAAAGCTCGAGGAGATCGGGGAACAACAGGTGTACTGGTGGAAGGTGGCCTCCTAGAGTGATCCACCACCGACTGCCACTGTTGTGGGATCATATCGAACGTTATGCCTTGTGGCACTGCCAAAGTTGAGCGATGGAAACCGTGGAGAACCTCTACAAACAATGGCAACAAAATACTTGATATCCTTCGTTGATTGTTATTTCCAATGACTTCCACAGATTTCGAGTGCATCCTCAGCCTTGCTCCATTGGCCGGGCTTATCCAATGAGGGTGCTGCCCTCACATGGTCCTTCGATGCAAGAATGCAAGATCCGGGTTCAACAACAAGATGGATCCTGCAATGGGTTGACTTTAGGAAATCATACTTACTGAACTTTAAAAACGCTATACATGTTTTGATTCATCTTAGATGATTTATTACTATTACAATTAAACCTATACGTACATTATATCTTATCTATCAACCCCATCTATCCATAATCCACCCATACGCCTGATAGCGAACGTGGAAAAAGGAACCAAAAAAGAGATAGAGAATCGGGCAGTCAGTCATGAAAGAAAGGGATGCCCGAGCCCTGTTGTGACATAGAAAGAAGAGTGATATTAGTTGTGAGTTGGGTTGTCTGATTCCAACATGAATTTCCGATTCTATGCATGTCGAAAGTGGTAGTAAAGGAAGGAAAAGAAAGGGGGAAGAACGCCCACGCCATGCAGGACAAACACTCGAAGTACTGTTACTGTTACTTTCTTTCTCTCACCGCGGATTGAGCCATACGGCCCGAGGCAGATTAAACAGACAATGGGAATCAATCAAGTCACTACAGCCTGACTCTTCCCTCCTCGGCTCTGCCACCAAAAAGATTCATCCACCCCTCCGTCCTATCTCTTCCGCCAGTGCTGCTGCTTTGACCGGCTTCGTCGTCGTCATCTCCGCCCATCCATTTTGGACGCGTAAAGGTGAAGTCTGTGGAGTCAAACGTGTTCTTCACGCGATCTGCGAAGTCGGTGAAGAAGTTCCCGGAGTCGTCATCGTCGGGAATGGCGCGTGGACGGCGGCGTTCTCGGTCTGCGAGAAGGGTTCGCGAGGGTGCTGAGGACCTGGTATTTGTTGTGGTGGAGGTTGGTGCGTTGGATGCTGATGAGGATGTGGAGGGGTCGTCGGTGTAGCGTTCATTCGGCGGGGATGTCGTGGTGCCCGTTGCGCCTGCGGTGGCGGCAGAACGTGAGAACAGGCCTAGAGCGTTGCCGCTCGCGCCTTGGATCTCCCGCTCGATGAGCGCCCTACCCTCACGCCAGCTTCCCGTGCCGAAGACGGCACCTTCGCTATCGTCTTCGTCCTCTAGGAGGTCGCCGAAGCCGCAGACATTCTTGATGCGGCCATAGAGACCGAACCCGCTCGCGAAGACTGGGATCAGGATGAACACGGGGAAATAGCTTGAGAAGCCCTCGCCCAGTGGCGTGAGGACAATGTACTTGCCCAAGAACTTGTGAAAACTGGTGTCTTTGTAGATCGTGGGCGGCGTGAAGGTGACGAAGTTGTAGGCAAGAGGCACGGTGAGTTTGGCGACTTGTAGGCCGTACCATGTTGCGGACTCCTGGTAGGTATGGCGTTTGACTAGGGCGCGATTACCCCAGATCTTGACCTCAGTGAGGGAGAAGAAGGCACAGATGCACATGTAACAGATCCATGCTGCGGCAATCAGTTGACCGGCGAAGCCGATCTGGCCTCGAGACGACGACGGGTGATGGATGACGGTCAAGCCCACAAGGCAGAGCTTGGGCTGCTCGAAGAACTTCACACACTCGGACCACACTATGCAGATTGAAGCCAGTGATGTGATGAAGGAGGCGAGATAGTAAAGGGCGGGGAGAACATGTACATGGTAGTGATATCGCGTGTATGGTGTTAAGATGGTATATCGAGACAGGAGTCCGGATCGCGGAGCGTCGTATACCGTGTTCTTGAACTCGAGTCGTTTGGATGCTTTCGAGTCGAGGATGGCCTGCGTCTTGATGGCTTTCCCAACCAATTCGTCCCATTCGTTCAGAAATCTGACCTTTGCGTGTCTTGCTCTCTTCAATTTCCTCGTCAACTCGGCAAGATATCTCTCCGTGACGACGGGTGGTACGACGGCGGCACTGCTCCTACCCGCCCTGCTCTCCTGCACGTTTCCTCCCTCTCCCAGCTCGTCTATCCACTCTTTGAACTCTCGTGTGATTCCGTTCTTCCTTTGTTTTAACTGCACCACTTGCGCCTCGTATTCATCGAGCCTGTCCAGCGACTCGGTCAACTTATCGTGTAGTTTTGGCGCATGGCTTTGTAGCCTCTTCAATCTTTCGCTGATGCTCGCATGTCGATATAGCGTCCTTGGGAATGCGACCAGTCCGTGTCCCATGAGGTAAATGGCCAGCACCAAACCCCACAAATAGGCCAATGCCATGACCAGGCCCTTGAGTGTTTCGAAGTGGAATCCATTCTCCCAGAAGAAATATACCGCTCCGACGATCCCCAAGCCGAGCTGCATGAGCTGGAATCGTCCATTACTCCGGACTGCATACAGCAAGCGGGCCTTCGGCTCCCTATATCCTGAGTCGCAGTATTCTCCCAGGTAGGGCAGTATGATCCACGTCAGAGAAAACGTGAGCCAGTACGTTACCCTCCATGATTTAAAGACGACCTTATCTGAGAGAGTCACGCCTCTGGTTCCGTCTGTGTCGGTTCCGGCGCTACTTGCGAGGTCGATTGGGACGAGCAGGACGATGCTGGCAGGCAGCGCGATCGCTAGGAAGACGGGTACGGTTACGTATGCGGGTGTCGAGCGAAGCGGGAGGTAGTATCGGAGAAGCAACAGGACGAGTGTGCAGACGGTGAGGAGAGATAGGACGAAGAATGCGGTTGAACCCGCGGTAGTGGATGCCATTGCGATGGCGAAGATCAACGAGACGCAGACTGCAGTGCGACTCTACTGTAAAAGGTAGCTGAGGCGACGACGGATCTTCTATCGAGTGATGCCTAATAAGTCGTCGCGGCCTGTCGAGACAGACGACAGGTGACGGACAGCGGCCGGGGGATGGTGGAACGTCACGGAAAGCTTCAAGTTCGGAATCGGAAGGGCGAGATCCCGGGTCTATCGATGGTCCATATCTTTTCACCTTCCAGACAGTTGAAGTATTTGTCTGCAAGCACGGAGTATGTGTGAGTGTATAGATGCGCACAAGCGTGATGAAGTGGTCGTGGGGGTTTGGATGTAGAGAAAATGAGACGTGATCAGAGCAGAACAGAACAGACCAGATAGATACGAGTACCGTACCTGTAGGATGATGGCACGGATGGTTAGGTTAGTAGGCAGTTGGACCCTGACGTTCCTGACTGTGCCTCGTCTCCCCTGTGAGCCCTTCCGTCATTACTGGTAACTTCCATGCCATACTGTATGCCTAATATGACTAATACCATATATCAGAGCAGCAATTACTCAAATCATTATTGTTGTACTATTGCACTGTAGATGGTTCGTTCATCATCAACCAGACGCTTTGTCTCTGGCTTCAGTGATGCATGTATGTACATACGCTAACTACGGTATATGTAAGTAATTCCTCGATCCCCGATTTTAGGCCGATCTGGCCGGAAAACGGAAAAAGAGAAAAGGGGACAGGCAAAGGCAAAGGGAAAAGGAAAAGGAAAAGGAAATGGACTCAAAGGGAGATGGGGACGGAGAGTAGAGAGTGGAGACTGTGAGAGTGGAGAGTGGATTGCATCATTTCCAGACTGCCCTACGCAAAAGGCTCTGCCCTACGCAATTGAGGCGACTTTTCCCTACGAGTCTATGAGTATGAGTATGTCGTAACTACCAGACTACCTAGGTAAACTGTAATAGTGACTAGACTAATCAATTTCCTTTCTCGTACCTTGTACTCCCACCTACGACATCCTCTCTTACATACATAGACAGACAGTAACTACATGCGGGGCGCGCATTCAAATAGTTATTAATCATCCATCCATCTCGAACCTCCATTCCAAATCACTATTTCACACCTTCTACTCTATTGCTAGCCTCTCTCTACCTTATACTCCGTACCTCAACTACATAAAACCACCCCTCTTCTACCAGTACGTAGTCCTTCCCATCTTCATCTTCATCTTCATCTCCATCTCCTACATCCCCAACAAACGCACTCATCATAATACTTACCCCGCCCTCTTCATAGAAATCAAACAAGGCGCCTCGGCCCTCTCAACACCGCAACCATTTCCTTCATCCGCAGCTTCTTCACCCGCGCCTCCAGCCCCGGAACAATGGCCGCCACCAAGACCAAGGTCCAGTCCATCATCGACGAGAACCCCGTCGCCGTCTTCTCCAAGTCCTACTGCCCCTACTGCTCCGCCGCGAAGGAGCTCCTCAGCAAGAGCGGCGCAAAGTTCTACGCCATCGAGCTCGACCAGATCGGTATGTCTTTCCTCTGACCTACCCTGCACAATTTTGCCCATATGACGTACACACACACATACACTTTGAAGAAGAAACACCCAACTAACAAAGAACGTGTGACTAGACGACGGCTCAGAGATCCAGTCCACGCTCCAGGAGCTCACGGGCCAGCGCACCGTGCCCAACATCTTCATCGGCAAGAAGCACATCGGCGGCAACTCGGACCTCCAGAGCAAGAAGGGCTCCGAGCTCAACGGCCTGCTGAAGAGCGCCAATGCCGTCTGACTAGCCTCAGAGGGTACCGCCAAGACGTCTTCGAAGATATGATGACGAGCTTGCGCGGAGAAATACATGCATAGGCAACTTCGTTCGCGCGTACATGGCGCATACATAGCCCCACATGTCTTTTTTGGCGGTACAAAGAGACTAGACGCTGCTACTACTTTGATATCATGAGGATAGACCTTTGGTATGGAGGGATACACACAATATAGGAATTTTATGAACGCAATATGAAATCAAGACACCACATTTTAGTGAACATGAGGAAGACGAAGATGGAGACGATCGTGATGAATACAATAAGAAAAGCAGTCGTTATGAATTCTAAACAGGGGGTAGTCTTTGTTTGGTTTTCCATTCATTTGCACACACGCACGCACGCACGCGCGCGAACTCACCCTGGCAGGCGGTTCCCCCTTCCCTCCTCCCATCTCTCTCGTACACCAACTGGTTTAGTTATGAGAATGCCAAAGCCGCAAGGAAGAGAGAAACTAAAAAGGCAAATCAAAACGCACGAAGGCCGAAGGAAGGCAGGGGGGGACAATATGTTTCTATGACATGCCCAAACTACTCCTGCTCACTCTCCAGCTTTGCATTCCGTTTCGTCGCAATGCTCGATCCCCCCAGGCCGAGGCTCTCACTCTATCAAAGCCAGGTCCATTAACTGCCAGGCGGATACTTGTCGTAACCTCGTCTTTCATGCACCGTGTCGTCGCTTTTCAAATCATACAAGCCTGTCTTCTCTAGGACTGCATGGCATCCGTAAAACCCTGCGCCGCCGTTGTGGCGAAATACCGCACATCCACATCGTCGTCCTGCTGCAACTTCTCGAGGTTCGGTAGGATGCTCTTGGTGATGAGCTCCTGGCCCTTCGGGCAACCCTGGCCAGGTGTTCCGGCCTTCTGAAGAGCGAGGACGGTGCCCTCTTCGGGCAACTGCTTGAGTGTGTCGATGAGAACGGCGTAGGATTTGGCGACGTTAAAGCGGATGTTGGGGATGTCATCGTTGACGAGCTTGTCCATCATAGGGAGAATGGAAGTCTCAATGACGTCAAGGCTGAGAGCAGGTGCGAGGGTCTACTCCGATGTTAGCATGTTTATCGATATTAAAGATCGCGAAGCACTTACAGAAACAGCGAAGCATGTTGTCATGCGATAGAGGTAGTTGGGATGCTGGCCCATGGCCATGACCTTGGGCACAATAGCCTCATTGGCCCACTCGACACCGAAAACTTCTGTGAGCTTCTTGAGGTTTTGGGTGGACGCCTCACGGATGGAGAAGACGGTGTCACCCAACCAGCTCATACACAGGCTGCTGAGCTTCTCGTCAAAGAATTTGACACCCAATTGAGAGGCAAGAAGGGGCACATATTCAATGATCGCAAGTCGGACTCGCCACTGTTTGTCTTCTGCCAGCTGGACGATGGCGGGAAGGAGTGACTGAGAGAGAAGCTCGATGCCGATGACTGTCCCGTGTTAGCTGGGTCAAGCCAAGCTCAATGTCACCGCAGACTTACCGTTATTGACGGACTCCAACTTGGAAATGATATTGAGTCTGACGTCGGGGAACTCATCCTTCAGCATTTGAAGGAACATTGGAAGGAGATGTGAAATGGTCCTGTTTCGCATTAGCCTTTGCGCACAGGCACGTGCTTGGTTATGGCTTACTCGTCCTTTCCGAGGATTGGCGCTAGGCCACTGATTTGTGTGCCTAGAGCTGCACGAACATGCTGGGACTGATCCGATACAAGCTCTTCTATGCTAGGCATAACCTCATGAAGGAGGGTCTCCCTCTCAAGAAGAGTGCAGAAACCTACAGGGTACATTCATTAGCCGTATGCCAAGACCATGGGGAGCTCTGAGCTTTACCTGGAATTTGCCCCGCAATTGCACTCCGCACTTCTGCCTCAGTGTCTTTGAGGAGCTTCACGAATGCAGGCACTAGGTCTCTGGTTACGACCTCTTCGTCAACAGCTTTCGCAATCTGGATTCCATTAGCCTGAACTCTTGTCTCAGCCAGAATCCACCCAACTGACCTTCTCAAAGCGATCTGCTACCATGTACCTAACCCTCCAGCTCTTGTCCTCGAACAAACTTCGCAAAGAAGTGAGTAAGACACCATGGCTCGACTGCTGCTCTTTTGGTACCGCCTCCGCGATAGCGATGAGAATCTCCACAGTGAGCAACCTCACGCTGTCCTGGTCGTCCGACGCCAAATGTTGGAAAAGTGGAATCATCTCCTCAATTACAATGGTAGGCGGCATAGTCTTGATGAACTTCGCCAAATTGTTTGCTGCCTGTCTCCTGACCATGGGTGTTTCGTCATGAACAAGTGCGCCATACTGCTGTCGGAGCAGTTCTTGCGATGGGGGAGTAGCGCGGGTGTATGGGACGTTGTAGAGACCGGTCGCGGAGATTTTTGAGGTGAACCAATCGGCTTTTGAGAGACGAAGCACAAGAGGGATGAATGACTCCTCAACCTGTGTCTGTGACAGCTGCTCGCAGATTTTGTTCAGGGATTCAACAGCCTTGTGAATGTTAGAGCATAATTCGCGTGATGAACAAGCATTCGGGGCCTACCTTCTCGCGCACAAGGGGTTCCTCGATCGCTGCAAGATTCTCCAAAGGCGAGAGTAGGACATGGCCATACTCAGGCCCGCCAACAAACTCGACAAAATTGCCCAACTCCTCGCTCAATGCGGTGAGCACCTCATCCTCGTCCTCAACAGACTCTAGACATGTTTGTCAGCATACTCCGACACATGGAACTTGTAGAGCGAATCTTCCTTACCATCCAGAAATGGTATCAGCTCCTCCCGCGTCCTTTCGGCGCCTAGCGCCAGAGCAATAGTGTTAAGACGATGAATGGCATTCAATCGGAGCAATACATCATCATGTTTCAGCTCGTCAATGAGGACGGCAATAGGGTAGAGCTCGTCGTTCTGGTTTGACTCCATGGTATCTGGTCTGGTGTCGGGCACGAGCGAAGGTGGCAGAGGCGGTCACGTCCTCGAGTGGGTCAGGGAAGGAAAGGTCGATTACAATGTGGAATTCGAGTTTTGTGCGATAGAATCACTACAGCAAAGTTAGTCATGGAGCAAGATATCGTCGAAGGTTCAAGCGCGGTTCGACAGGGCGATTGACGTACCTGGTGGAGTAGGAGTGGCCAAGGTGGGTTGTCGGGTTGGGAGAGGCAGGATAGGGGGTTTGTGGGGGTTACTGGCGAAGGAGATCAGAGTGCGAAAGCCAGTGGCCCCAGGTTCGTGGTGTTTGGAAATGAGGTGAGGGGTCTGCGTATGGGGTGTTTTGTTGGTTCTATCGTCGGTCGTGGTGGGCTGCTGCTGGTGATGTTCGAATTAAGACTTGGCAAGTGACTAGCGCCGCCACAACCATAGGAGTGAGGCAATCTCAAACTTGCGTTCACCAGGTGGATTGGTGTTCCAGTCGCATGGGTATCAATTCCTGTCAGGATCTCTCCTTTTGGCTTGATGAACTCGCTACATAACTCAGAGCGACACATCTCTAATTGATTCGAGCATTGAGCGTCCTGGGAATCTTGACATCATACCCCGCCCTGTGCCATTGGACCCAGTAACCACCTGGATTGAGAACAAGGCAACTGACCATAGAGTCATAGACGGAATTAGGAACACTTTTTTCATTTCACCAAGAGGAAGAATTACGCATTGTATACTTGGTTTATTGATTTTTGCACCCACACATCGATAAGGAGAAAATCTCATCCCGCCATCTGGAACATTAGGCTGCTCATTCAAATATGGACATCATTCAAGATGACAGACCTGAGGGAAACATCCGTGAAGAGCAGGAGACGAGCAAACCAGGCACTTCGGAAACAGAACCTCTCCTGTCTCGTCAATCAACTCCTACCATAAAAGTCAATCGGCAACCGCCGCAACTTTCAACTCGCCACGCCTTTGCCGTCCTTGTAAGCATTCAGATTGGCTCTGGCATCTTTGCGTCTCCAGCTCAGGTCGACAGCAATGTGCCTTCTCCAGGGGCAGCATTGCTCGTTTGGGTACTCGGTGGTCTGCTCTCTTGGGCTGGAGCAGCGTCCTTCGCAGAGTTAGGAGCAGCACTCCCCCGAAACGGAGGAATGCAGGAGTACCTTCGACATGTATTTGGGGATACGATGGCGTTTTTGATGGCTTGGATCTATATCATGGCAGTCAAGCCTTCATCAATGGCCATTCAGAGCATCGTTATTGCCGAGTCTATTGGCTCCGTGAGTTCCAACGAAGACTTATCTGCCTGGGTACTGAAAGCTATCGCTGTATTAGCCTTTACGTCCATGGTGCTCATTAACTCTATCAACACTAAGATAACTCTAAAACTTAGTGAGGGGTTCACTGCTGTCAAGATTCTGACAGTAGCGTTGATCGTCATTGGTGGAATCATTGCGATCATTGCCCATTCTGTAAATCCCAACTCATCGTTGGGTGGAGGACAGGATTGGTATTCCAGGAACTGGTTCTCAACGAGACCAAGTATCGCAGACGGTCACACCATAGACTGGAATGCCATCAGTGCATGGGATCGGTACGGGCATTACTGTGCGGCTATTTACGCAGGACTATGGGCTTTCGATGGCTGGGATAACGTAAGTTGAAGCTAACTGGACAGTATGAGTTCTATAGGACAGCTTTCACCATGGAATATCCCAACGCTAACGTGCATAAAAGGCGAACGTAGTGGCAAGCGAAATCAAGAACCCAGGAAAGACCCTTCCCAAGGCTATCAAAGCTGCCATGATAGTCGTCCTCAGCTCATTCGAGCTTGTGAACATTGCATACTATATCCTCCTCCCGTGGGACATGATGAGTTCCAGCAATGCGGTGGCTGTCGCAGCTGCCAGTGCTCTGCTGGGCCACCCTGCAGGGATTCTAATTACTTTACTAGTTGCCTCGTCCTGCGCTGGGTCAATCACCAGCAACGTATTCGCTGTCGGGCGGCTCACGGTGGCCGCTTCCCAGCGACATTATCTCCCCGGATTTCTGAGCAGGCGAGGTCTCCCGACTTTACGAAACAAGTCTGCAGCGCCATCTTCGCCCACCGTCAACGAACCATTGGTACAATCGTCGTTTACGGATGAGGATATACCAACTGCCACGTGTGACGCTCCTATGTAAGATTTTCTGTCGCCCGCCCCGTAATACATGCAACCCATGAACTGACCAGCATCAAGTTACGCAAATATCCTAGCTTTCGTAGTAACAATCATCTACATCCTAACAGGCAGCTTTCGCGCCCTTCTCACCTTTGTCGGTATGGCCGAATGGGTGTTCTACGTCAGCACTGTAATAGGGCTGTTAATTCTCCGTCGCCGGGAACCTCATTTGCAAAGACCATACCGACCGACCATCGTACTACCATTCGTCTTCGTGATCGTGGGGCTTCTGGTAATCATTCGCTCTGCCATGTTTGCACCAGTGCAAAGTGGCGTGCTCGCGGGACTCCTGGTCGCTGGCACTGTGGTGTCCAAAGTTCAAGGACAGGTAAACGAATAGAAAGGGGGACAAGGATAATTGGATGTGTTTGAATATATTATTTCTATCGCTGTATATACTGCTAATAAACATTAAACAAAAAACCACTTCCCAAGGCTAACGGGCGGGCAGAATATCCATATCCAAAAGTCACCCTCCAACATACTGTTGCATCACTCACGAGCTAGCAATCAGATCTTCCCCATAGGCCTCACCCTATTCTCATACCCATGCTCACTTCCATCATCGCTGAACCTCCCATCTGAAAACTTCCCACATTCCAACTCGCTCGTCGTGGTCAAATCATCAGTACCCACCGGTTGCGAACCAGGCAACGGCTTTCCGACGAACCGGCTCGCTCTCCTGTTCCCCCAGCTACCAGTTGTCCTTCCGAAACTGCGACTAAGTAGCCTCTCAAACCTGGTGTCGCGGAAGACCTTTCGTGCGAGGGGTCGCATTGTAGGGAGCACACCTGCCATGAGATAGATTCCGGATTCGGCCACGGTCCAGCACAGAGGAGCAATGATTTCGTAGGAGATGTCGTTGAAGTTTTTCACCTGGAGAAAGGAGTGGAAACGCATGATAGCAGCAACGACGCCGACGATGCAGACGGCGAAAACGAGACCAAGCCCCAGCTTCGTTGAGAGGTTGACCTTCAGCTTGTAGAGTACAGGTAAGGGAATGCAGATCATGATTATCGTTGTTACGACATTGGGAATCGAGAGATATCGCCATAGGTCTAGGCCTGATACAAGGCACTCTCCCGACCCCATGGAGGTCCAGGTCTTGGAGAAGGGCTTGCAGTTCGCGAACGGGATTATGACTTGGACGATGGCGATGGCAAGGCTGAGACCGAATGTTATCTTGATTATAAGGCTTGTTCGTTGGGAAGTGCGGCCGAGAATCTGGTGTAGGAGACTGAGGATGCCGAGTTTTGTGAGTGAAGTCGTGAGCGGGCACACAATTTGCAGTGCAGTTTGGATCTTGAGCAGGTTGGAGATTTGCTCTGGGTGGCTCCGATGTAAGTAGGCCATATGACGACCTGCGCCGCCGATTTCAACGGCCACTGTGGACGTGTCAGTTCAGATACGTCGATTCCATGTAGAGTTGATCAACTCACGGATTCCCAATGTGATCTTGCCACAGCATGATATGAATCCAGCCGTCATGAGAAGAGTCATCCACATATTGGCCTTCTGGTCCTTGCTAAGGTAACGAGATACATAGAGAAAGGCAATGAATATGCTTTCAATTGTAAAGAATGTGATGCATGTTGCCAGAAGCGGGGCGCTATTGTCCTCGTCCAGATATCTTTGGCTCAATTCGACATTCAATGGATAAGTCCCGTGGCCAGCCATGATGGGAGATTGAAGGTGGTAGAGAGAATCGATGAAGTTGTCAAGATGCCGGCCACGAAGCCTAGATAGAATGCAGTCGACATATATGTGTGCAATCGGAGGCAATTAAACAAGCAAGACACCTCCCACTTGTAAAGGTATCACAGCAGAAAGACGTAATGAATGGTCCAAAGAGGGAAACTCCTTCGTTATTTCTCAAACATAGAGTCTGCGGTTCCCTGCACATACATCGCTAAGACATGCACGAGCGAGTATCTGGCGTGGTATTCTCAATTTAAATGACATACACTGCGGTTGCGCGGGGGCTGATTCGCCGAATTTCATCTATTCCATCTGGTCGGGGGACCACAAGCAAGGGAAAGGGAGTGTGGGCAGCCCTTGTCGTGTACAACGTGCACCCGACGTTTCGTAAATCAAGTTACCATGTCCGCCAACCTTGGGGCTGACTGTGTTGAAGATTGGGAGATGGAGGGTTGCTTTCGAGGCTCGGGCAGTGTCCTTTTGCGTTAGGATAAAGGCCCAGACTCCCAAGTAGGCGTAGGTGCGTGCATGTGTACGACATCCATGTCTTGTAAAACGAATGGCGAGATGGATGGATGCACTGCCATAGAGTTGAATCGCCATCGTTCTGGGATGCCGGCTGTTTGCTCCGTGCTATCTTTACCATTGCCAACCAGCACCCAAGAAAGACCTAGCACGCAAGGCACATTCTGCGCTTTTCATTGCGCATATTCTCGTTGCCCCTCCTTCCTCGTCTTCCATTTCACTATTCGCCTGATGCATGCTTTAAGAACTAGAAGAATCCGACGTTCTGTTAGCACATCTTCATCTGTCAGACGGTTCGCAGATCAAGCGCCATTCCGCGGTCATGCACGCCCCGTATCATAGTGCCCGCAACGCCGCAGCGAATGGAGCAAAGGGAGATCTACAAGGCGGTGCGGATGGGGCTGCACTACGGGGACTAAGACGGCCCCTAGGGGCTAACATACAGGACCGGGTACATGTCAAGACATCTGCTTACAGGGGACCAAGCGTTGCGTTGCAGGAGGGGTTTGTGTAGCCTGTCGAATCAATTGCCTGTCTCCGCCATCTTTTTGTGAGAAATACAACATGCATAATATATGCACCAGCCTCGCCGGATCTTAGGGAGAGGTTAGGATGGTGGAGAATCTGGTGAGATTTGGCGTCGGTATAGGAAGCATCCACAAAGTCACTGTGTCGGCAACGGCGTTCGCAAGACGCAGGAACCACAAATCCTTCAAAGCCAAAGCTAAATAAATATTCTCCGATGCCCGAACGGCGCTCTTCGCTAGAGACGGGTAGTTCTTAGGAGGATGACAGATTTGATTTTGGATGTGTGTTAACGTTTCGGAATGCTGAGAGGGGTCGAGGCTGAAAAGGGGTCTACACTGCCAACGTTTATGATCTATAGAGAATATTGTGGGGGTAGAGAAAGGTTTATGTTTGGATATTGTTACATGTCGTACAACGTGTACGTACTTGCGGGAACGGCCGGAGCAATGCCCCTTTATGGGGCCAAAACGTTCAGCCTTCTCTCTCAGATATTGTGGTTGGTGAGAGCGCGCCCACGCTTTCAATCCGGGGTGCGCATCTATGTGCTGGCTGACAGGACATTGCCGCAATACGGCACGACAAGTGTATGAACGTTCTACCATTCTCACGCTGTTCACGTTTTGTCGAGATAGGGAAATATGTCTGACCTTCTTTTTGACTTCATTACGTTCCATAGTAATTATGATACATGGTTGAAGGCGGAAGAGGCCATCCCCCACCATCCTCACATTCAATCGAGCACCCAAAAAGAGCGGCCGCCATTCCCGCCAGAAGATCATCGAGAAAGCATCGAATAAAGTGCAGCCTAGAATTTCATGGATACAACTCACATACATCCCGGTTTGGGAAAGAGAGGAGTTCAAAGTTGTGATGTCGTTACACAACACATCAGCTGTTCGTCCTTCACACGGCTCCAGAAAGAAACCCAAATCGAACGACTTGCTACACTACCAACGATCATTCACAGATATTGGCTAAATTATCCTCCATATTATTCGTCATTCGTGTAGACACTTTAATGACCCCTGTTCTATCAGGTATTCCTGGGTGGCATGGAGCGTTTCGCCCGCTATGCATTTTTCAATTTTTAGAAGACTATGCCACAGAGCTATCGACCACATAGATATACAAAGTTCATGGCATCGAACACATTATGTTCACTCGGCATGGATTCAAGTAAGTAATGAGGTAGGAGAGCATCTCAACGCCTCTATAAAAGCATCTGAGAAAGGGCTTGCCGTTCAGTCCGAGCATGCCTCTGCATGTACGTATTTACCGCCGAGTTGTGGCATCTCGTCGTCCGCCTTTGGGAATAGCCTCGCTACACTATATATGTATGTGCAGTCTACTTAATCTCGTACCACCTTCTCTTTGGCGAATATAGTGCATACAGGTGGGGAAAATGTCCGGTCGGTTGTGCATCCACGCCATCCAATGAAAGATTCTAGATCGGCACCGTCTGCTTGGGTACAGGAGGGGTCTCAGAAATAATGTGCTCTATGGTGTGCTTGACGTGATGTGTGTACAAACTGTAAGTCCTACTTCATCATTCAATCTAGTCCGGCTAGCATTTGCAAATGTGAGGTTGATGGTAAGATATGCCATCATCTATTTCCCAAGCGGAACGCAGAGGACCACGCACACCAGCGCCGACACAGGTTCTCCATGATAATTAGATAGAGTACACGAAATGTTTCGTCATTACTAGGGTGAACAAGTTAATCTAGAAGGCCGGAATGAATGAGAAGAGAAGAAGAGCGGGCTGAGGGCGGCCGATGGCACGTAGTGAATAGCTCTTCATAGGTACAGACTTTTGGGGGCAGTTATTTAGGTACGACTTTTGCGTATAAGATTTAGCACGTAGAAGGTGTTCTCTTCTGTGTATTGTCTTATTTGAGTTGTAAATTTTTGAAGATACTTATGGAATCTTATTCAACAGGCATAGGACACAAGATCTCGCCCGACTTCAGGTTATCACACCAAAAGTGTCAATCCCAACATCATACCTAGCATCTTCCTCGTTTTAAAATTGGAAAAGCCGCCTTACATGCCGACTTGCGACTGACCTCGTATGCGATGAGGTTTTCACGGCATAATGAGAAATTTGTCACTGCTAACACTCGCAATGCCAATCCTACTTTATTCACCAACCACTATCTAATCATGGCGTATGACATCGACGGAACATCGTGGATAATGCTCATATTTAGATCACTGGGACTAGCGACACCACGGCCCCGACGTTGATGTTCCCTACCTAGAAGTCTCGGTGCTGGCTCGAGCAGGTCAAATCACAGAATGAAGATGCTACGGACAAGATGTCAAGGAAAACATCCTACCTATATCATGCATCTAGAAGATCTTGGGGTTAAACACAGTAGCTAGTGTTTTACCCGAGACGAGTGTCCTTTGTTGTCCATCTATCTTGTCCACGTACAGTAATGATCGGCATGCCAGAGTACGAATTTACGGAGATTTCTAGAGATCTTCTCTCACTATGTTCCGACTATACCCTCATCTTGAAAAAGATCGGTTAGCGCAGCAATATGCGATCAATTGTATAAGATCTGTGGCCCTAATGTTTTGGAGAGAAAGGAGATCTACTCGGACGGGAATGCATCAAACTACTCCTTCAGTGATGCGTATCTCGAACACCACAGACGAGTCAAGTTCTATAGTAGGCCGTTCGATCGTGTAAAAGTGTCCTTTTAGGATGCGTGTATAAAAGCTGTTTGGAGTCCACTTGCTAGAACACCACCACACTCACCATCATTCGGTCTTTACAACAGTCTTTACGACAACCACATTCTTTACAGAACAAATATTACGAACGCTCTTTTACAACAAAACGCTACACGAATCTCCAAGTAAATCACTTAAACAAATATCTACTCTAAATCCACCATGCAATTCCTCAAGACTATCCTCCTCGCCCTTTCCGCGACCACCACTTTCGCTGCGGTGATTGATACTTCCAAACTCCAACCTGCTGCACCCGTCACAGGCGTTGCAGGTATCAGAGGTTCCAACGGCATTGTGGACAGTAGAGTCACCACAGGCATTACGCAAAAGGGCCCCAAGCAGGGAGGTGGTCGTGAGTCCTCGTCGCGTGCGAGCAATCTGTTCTACAAACTACGATGCGAGGCACCCAAAACCGCCACGGTGGGCCAAAAAGAAGTCGATTTCTGCATGGCAAACATGAGATGCAATCACGGCCGCAAAATTGAGTTGAATAGTGAAAGGATTCCCCAGAATCAACGACTTGCGAAGCTACAGGAATGCGAGGATCTCTGTGAATGCATACGCCGGATTTAGAAGAGTTACTTGCGAACAAGTGCGGGGCAACAGTGTCGACGACTGATAGGTCTTCTCCTCTCTAGTGGTATCTAAATGAGGAGTTCAGAGGACAGACTAGCGTGTTGGAAAGAGAAGCATTAGTATTTGGGATTCAAGCGTTATCGGAAATAGTGATAAGAGTGACAATGTAATCAATGCATCAGGAACTTATTTATTCGTTACCTTTGTGGCTCAAGTGAAAAAAGCTAATTGAAAGTGGCGAATTACGATTTCGTTGATTTTCGTGAAGATGAGCATACTAGGTGGTACAAAGGAGTGCTCTTGATAAGCGCATAGATTATTGTATTATGCTAAACTTCGATTCGCAAGATTGATGTATCGGGCATTACCGCAAGTTCAACTTATCTATTCGCAAATTGCCAACTACAGTACTGTACTTGCCAAGTCGAGTGTCCAGTCGTATTAGTTGTTTAGTAGTAAAATTTTGCCCGTGGTGGGACACTGAAGACGGACTGGGGGCAGAAATACGGCATTACACAGTGAATATTCCGTGAGAGGAGCAACTACCTTTGCGGTTCTAAATTTCCGGCCATGATGGAAACCTACGAGATTTACGGAATCTAGTCCTTGCATAGACAGATCTTCTCGGAAGATGCCTTATGATCTGCGCGGACTACGCATCTAAAAATACTCCTCCAGAAATGGGTGCCGTCTATTCCGATACCTGGGGAATTTCTAAATTAGGCCATTCAGTTGTAAAATGCTCTTTTCAAGATCACATATAAAATGAGAGGAAGACCACTTGCGAGAACATTACACCACACTCACTATCATTCAGTCTTTCCAACGGTCTTTGCACCACCCACATTCTTTACAGAACCGATATATTCTCAGTTCAGACATTCCTTCACAACAAACATCGTTTGCACATACTAGCTAGCAACCAAAGCAATTCTGCACTCAACATCCATTATGCAACTCATCCAGGCTACCCTTCTTGCGCTATCCGCGTCCACTACTTTCGCTGCGGTGATCAATACTCCCAGAGGCGAAGCCAGCGATATCGCAGAAGTAAATACAGCCAGTGTGCCCGCCACATCTACACCAAGCACTGTGCCAACAGACTACCAGGGCGACAACCTCGACGCCAGAGGCTTGTTGTCCAAAGACAGAAAACTCAATGCTAGAGGCTGGGGTTTCGGTTGGGGCTTCGGCATGGGCTGTGACGATGGATACAGCGAGCCAGAATGGGCGCCCGGAAAAACAGTCAAGTGCGTAGACCACGTCAGATGCGATTGGAATGGTAACCATTACTGGAAGCCAACAGACAAAAATGAAGATCCCCGGGAACAGGCATTGAAGTGGGAACAATGTTCGCATTGTCATTGCACAGGGCACTGAGAGAGCTGCTTGTATCTCTGCATGGAGGGAAGGGGAGGAGGGTTTAGTATAGGGTTTATAGTCGATGGGTATCTGATGTCTAGCAATAATTTTAGAGGAATTGAAGGCGACTACGGAAAAGGAAGAAGCTGAGAGCGCAACGCCTAGTGTATGCTTGGGAGTTAGACTGGGGTTAGGATTTAGGATTCAAGAGATTTAAACATTGGATAGAAGTACAATAGAATCTATTGCAAAATTATCCTTGTGGTTATCGACCAGACGAGGTATCGTTTCTTGATGTAGTTAGTCTGCCGATCGAACCTCTATGTCGTCTGGACAACACCCACTCATGCATCAATAGATCAGTCAATCCTTCATTTAACGAAATAAGCTTTTCATTGCAAAAGAAATCCAAGAAATTAATTCCAACAAACAAATTATATTCAACAGTTGAGTAAGTGCTGCATTGCGTGAAACTTGAATCGACGACAACACCGTATAGAGGATGATGATACACGAATCTAGATCGAGTCTTCAGAACAGAGAGACAAAAGATTCGTGAATTCTATCCAGTCTGTTATCTGCGCCAAAATATCCGGACACCGTTGGACTCTAACAAGATCCGTGGGACGGATGTCTTTGTGAAAAGGGATCTGCTCGGACGGAGCCTCACAAGAGAGAAGATCTGCTCGGACGGGGGCATCGTATGAAGGTTTTGCGTGACGGGAACAACCCAAAACCACCCCTTTGGCAATGCGCACAACTACACTGAAGATTAGAAGACTTCCCCAGTTGTTGGCTATCTCCAAGATGCACGCTATAAAGGGAGGTTAGAACCCCATTCACCACGATGTCTCACTACAACTCACCAACATTCAGTCTTTGCATTCAGTCATTACACTATTGCACCATCTACTTTCTTTAGCTATAAGAAACCTTCTTTTACTACAAAACTATCTACTACAAAATCCACCACCGCCCACCCATTCATCCTCTTAAATCCATAAAAGCCCACCAGCACAAAATTCCACCATGAAGTTCCTCCACGCCGCTCTTTTCGCCTGCTCCGCGACTACAGCCTTCGCCGCAGCCATCGCTCAAACCGCCGCTCCACCCGCCGCTCCACCCGCCGCCGCTCCACCCGCCCTCGACATTTCCATAACTCAAGTCGAAGCCGCCCCTGAGCCTGTGGACGATGGAGGTCTCTTGGGTAGCCTGAATATATTTTCGAAATTCAAGGTAGTCTGCCCGCCCGAGAAGGATGTCGTGCCGTTCGCTCCCGGACAGCCAGAGGTGCAGTGTTCCACGAACATGGAATGCGACCACAACGGCGAGCTCGAATTCGACGGTATCCTCGGCCGCTTCAAGGACGAGAAGGTGCAGGCTTGCAGCGCCTCCTGTAAGTGCGTGAAATGAAGCGGATGAATGGTTTGATACCTTTGCCTTTCTTTGTTACTGTTGGGTCTTTGTCATGTACGGGCTACGTGAGGTTTATGAATGGGAAATCGTCTGACCTGCCTGGGCGGTGTCATTGCGAGTATGTAGGAGTTTTGGTGGATCTTTGCTTTTTGGGATTAGGTATGAGGTCGGATAGAATATATCGAGAGAGATGGCAGTGCCTGGGAAGCGCTCGATAGCAGTTAATACACGATATGACGTTCATTGTTCTGCGTTTCTCGACGCTCTGATCATGCAATAGTGATATCAGTGGGAGATAACGACTCGTGTACTCCGTACATGCATGCAATGACGATCACATGTGTGTTCAATGGGTATTGTTAGAATGATTACATGTGAACAGATAAGGCCTATCGCTCACAGCTAGGCGCTTCTATACGATGGAATGATGTCTAATGGCAGATCAGAATTGAGCTGGATCAAACATAGTCAGTAATGTCTTGATTGACTTGTACGACGGTTGATCAAGAAACAGACTTTCAATATATGCACGAGTCGCAAGTAGAAGGATGATCAAACGCAGCAATATAATTATGCAAGGGCGAGGTCACACAGCGTGGAGATTGCAGAACCACCAGAGCAATGATGAACGGACGCCGAACGATGCGGGTAGGCATTGCATATGTTTATGGACGACAAAGCGCAGAATTTGAACGTCGTGTCGCTCGCGTGGCTGCAGTGTCAATATCCGAGTGTCGCCGATGCTGCAATGTTTTGGTTGTACCGAGCTTCCCAAACAGGGAACTGAAAATGGGTTCGATGGATTACGGCATTTTGACATTGCGTGTTTTTCCACATCGAGATTTAACTTTGAAGAGAAGGGCCGTTTTCAAGAAATCGATGGCGTATTTCTAGGAATGGGATAGATGAGTCTGAGAATGGATATCGCCGCCGGTACTTGGTGCTCGCTCCAACGGACAATAATCGAAAATCCCCGTCTCTCCCCGCGAGTTCTCTAGGTTACACATAGACATTGAAGTTGACTAGTAAGGTATGGGGATGATCCCATCAGCCGATGAGGTTTCTGGAAGTGGCTTGGGTTAATTAAAGCAATTGTCGCATGGGGCGGCGCATTGGAAAAGCCGCTGACTAGCTTTCAATGGCGCTTCGTCGGTAGAAGACATAGCATGGTAGATCTCGATAGCGATAAAGGAACACAATGAGGACTAATAGGATAGAGCGTTACAGAAAGCAATAATACGACGAGGACGATGATGATGTCGAAGTTTGTTTCTAAAAATGGACATCTCGAGGGCGGCGCAGTTGGGATTAGTATAGGCTAGTCAGGTCAAGTCCAGCATGTAATTGGCCGAAGCGTCTCTGACAAGCGCCAGTGCCCTTTTTCGGTCCCTCATTCCCCCTCCAAAACATAAATCGATATGCATGGAGGAGGCTTGCGGTGTGTTGGTGGTATGTTAATGTATTCTTGTCATTATCATTATTGATCGCCTCTTATTAACTTGGGACGATCTTGCACCTCTTCAAGATTGGCATAGACGGCAGCGAATGCGCCAGCGCCTCTTGAAACAGGAGAACGACGGTGAGCTTTATTGCTTTTGCCCCATAGTGGGTAGGATGTAGTGGCCGGCCGGGAAGCTCCCAGTGTCGAATGCCTAGTGCTCGCTGTATCGCCGTCGACTGTGCCAATTAATGTCTTGGAATTGCTGCTGGTAGAAGCTGCAGTCTACTATTGCTTCTCACGCACCACTACTCCGTACGCCGTACGATGACTAGCAGCGACCAATAGTCTACCTTGCTTGAGTTCGAAAATCTTCCTCGCCTCTCCGTCAATAGCTTTCGAGCGTTGGTAGGCGTGTTGGACAGACGCAGCCTGGGGTTGATAGTGACCGATTCTCTCATGATGCCAACGTCAGCCGCAGCACTCTCTGGATGTTCGATGCATCTCTGGCTTGGGGATGTGGCTTGCCGGGTGGCTCAATTGGCCAGGCAGAACATCGTTCTAGGGGGCTTACCTCGTGGTCGCCAGGGGTGAGGGAGATCGGAAGATACGGTACCTTGTGCCCCAAGAGAGGTGTGAGCGAGAAGAGGTGACGAAATGGGAGTCAGCCTTACTCTGAGATATCCTGGGGGCTGCATCGGGTCTGCTCTGCTGGGTGCATTGGGCCTGCTCTGGAAAACTACTGTGTATTGGGGGCCTCCTGCATGATGCCTGAGGGGATAATATCTTGCTGGTTGCATTGCCCAACGTAAGAAGGACACGGCGATTGGTCTATGCGATGTTGTAGGATAGTCATAATTACATACTGGTAACAGATGCGTACATACATACAGTAAGGGATGATGGTGGAGGGTTGGCTGGCTGGCTGGGCTTGCGGTGGAGGCGGAGAGCGAGGAGCAGTCCCCTATGGCCGGGTTCCAGGCTACGGCTGGTACTCGACGAGAACAGGTCCATTATACTGCGTACGAGTTACAAGTAATAATTACTCCGTTCCTGCGCACAGCTGTAGACGGGTAGTCTCGAATAAGGAAGGCCTACGTTGTCAATGATTGAATAGTGGGGTGGGTTTTGAAACAAGTCATGTACATAGTAGACCAGTCACGACGCTTAAGCAGGCCCTCAGCGCTTGCGGAAGGGAGGTTACGATGCCAAACGAACGAACGAGCGAGCAAAACGGGGGGAGAAGCTGCGCCGCAAGTCCCCCATGGGCGGGTCGAAAGTCTACTAGCAGGTAGACTGCAGTAACTACAGAGTGTGTATGGAGTACTGCAAGTAGTCAGTAGTTACATACATACATACATACATACATAGGTGGTTGTCGTGTAGGTAGCCTACACTGCGTGTGTGTCTACTAACCAACTGTAATCATCGCCTTTCGAATCCAACACACACACTCTCATTATTACGGCCTACTCCGTCCATACAACTGCAATCCATTTCCCTATTAGATAACTTTTTTTCTCTTCCTTTCTCTTCTTTCTTTTTTCACTCATCCTCTCTCTCTCAGAGAGTCTTCTTTTGTCCCTTCGCCCCCTACTCTCGTTCTGCCTGATATTTCTGCACACGCTCGCTCGCCCCATCCCTCCTATATCTACTCGTATCAGCATCTCGTCGGCTCTGAGAGGGCGCACGCATTATTGGATTGGATTGAATTGGCCTTCCCCAGTAATAATATCCAGGGACAATATCTTTTTCTCCACAATCTTTCTTCCTATCCTCTCTCCTCTTTCGCTCCTACAACTCTCCGCTACTCTACAACAACTACATAGAGTACGAGGGCACTATACACCACTGTCACCACCTACAATACTCCAGTACACTAGAGTAGTGCACCACCGAACGGACAATCAATACGACTACGACTACTACACTACACTACACTACACACTACGAGGTACCTACCTAGGTACACACTATACACTATACACTATACACTATACACTACAACTACTATACTCTAGATAGTATACAGTCAGTGTACAGTATACACCACCTCCACCACCTCACCTACTCTACTCCACTCTACTACTACTTACCTATACCAACCCACCCACCCCAAATCCTGAAACTCAGATTGACTCAACTTCCTCTTCTCCTCTCTCTACTCTTTACTCTTTACTCTCCTAACTCTTCCACCTCTTTACCTCTTACCCTCCTACGTCTCTCTTTTTCTCCTCTCGCTTGGTCTGCCTTGTCGAGTCTCGAGTCCAATCCTTCCTTCCCACTTGCCCGCTTCCGCTCTTCCCACTTCCCACCCCCCCAAAACCCGTGATCACTTCCCTCTCCTCCCCCCCCCATTAGCAACGTCACCTCGATCGCCTGAGCACTCACACCCACACCGCACACGCACACGCACACCACGCCTTCTCACTCTCCACGCCCACACCGGCCATCGCCCATTGTCCTCACCCTTCCTGGGCCCATCGTCCTCCGCAGAACCAGTTTGAGATATTTTGCCAGATAGTCGGTCAGCGTCATTCGGCTGACGGTAGTATCCGCTGTGCTGGGTCCAAAGAGCGTTCGACGTCCAACCCTAGACCATCCCCAACCCTTTCCCCTCCTTCCTGGATCGCCTGCCTGCAGAGCTTAGCAAGCTTCGACGAGTCGCAAACCTCTGCTCTCCGACCCAGCGTCACAGGACTCTGTTACATCAATCTCGCCTTACCGCCATATCGTCTGACAGCTTCGGGAGCCTCGCCTACCACTCTGGGTGCCTTCTCCCACCCCTCGCAAAGATATAGATGCAACCCTCTGCCGATAGATCCACTCCAACATCGCATTTCACCAACATGTCCTCTCCAGCACCACTGCTCCGTCCACCCGTCCCGGGCGGTCGCTCCAACAGTGGAACACGTACACCTCGCCTCGGTCTCTCCATCCCTTCATCGAATGCGCGCCCCGTCGTGAACGGCGCAACGGACAACCAGCAGCCTCTTGCCCGCCCGCCGCCACCGCAGCTACGGATAGCTACCCCCCTCGGCTCGAACCACACTCCCCGCGAGGGTCGTCCCCACGCCAGAATCCTCCCACCTCTACAAATCGGCACCGGCCTTTCTGCCGGGGGCTCCAGTGATGCAAGTGCACACTCGCGGTCCGGCAGTTTCGGCGAGGCCCAGGCAAATGGGTCAACGTCCGCTGCATCATCATACTCACAACTGGGGTTCCCAGGTTTACAACGACCCAACCAATCATCAGACCCTATTTCTGCGATATCGCAGGGCGGAAGCGATGAAGCTCCGTCGATGGAGAGGGAGAACAGCAGCCAACCACTTCCCGATCTTGAAAAATTAGCAGCCGAGAAAGGCCGACCTCTTGATGTGGAAGACTTGGACGACGCTGGATGGAGAGCTGCCAGCGCCTCGGGAATGATCGAGGAACAAGGCGGCCTCGGCGAAGGTGCCGGAGGTGCCGTCACTAGGTGTAAACTGAAAGGCGGAAAGACCGTTTTTGCCCTCAAGGTGCGTGACTTGTTTCCCCCTGATCGGGGCTACCATGCTGACCAGATGCAATAGATAATCACCACAAACCCCGACCCGGATGTCAAGAAGCAGATTGTGCGAGAGCTCCAATTCAACAAGAACTGTGCGAGTGACCAGATTTGCCGCTACTACGGTGCCTTCATGGACGACAGCACGGGAACCATCAGTATCGCCATGGAGTTCTGCGAAGGAGGTTCCCTGGACTCCGTCTATCGCGAAGTTAAGAAGCTAGGAGGTCGAACGGGAGAGAAGGTTCTCGGCAAGGTTGCTGAAGGAGTTTTGAACGGCTTGAAGTACCTTCATGGCCACCGCATCATCCATCGAGATATCAAGCCAAGCAACATTCTGCTATGCCGGAATGGCCAGGTGAAACTCTGCGATTTTGGCGTGTCCGGCGAGTTTGGGACTAAGGGAGACGCCAACACCTTCATTGGAACGTCCTATTACATGGCTCCGGAGCGCATCACTGGACAGAGCTATACCATCACCAGTGATGTTTGGAGTCTTGGTGTCACGTTGCTGGAGGTGGCACAGCATCGATTCCCCTTCCCCGCCGACGGCACCGAGATGAACCCTCGCGCTGGCCTTATCGATCTGCTCACATACATCGTTCGACAACCCATTCCCAAACTCAAAGACGAGCCGGAAAACAATATTCGATGGAGTGAGAACTTCAAGTACTTCATTGAATGCTGGTACGTACATCTTAATAGCCCTCGCCCAGTGAAGTCAGTAACTAACTACGCCGCAGCCTCGAGAAAGACTGTCCCCGTCGTGCAACACCCTGGCGAATGCTTGAGCACCCTTGGATGGTCGAAATGAAGGCGAAGAAGGTCAACATGGGCAACTTCCTCAGACAAGTCTGGGACTGGAAAGACTAATATCCCAGTTTTCTATTCGTTTGTCATAGTTCGATCAGTGTCTGGTCTACATGCAATGTTCCGTTACTTTTCTTCAGTCATCATATACCTAGGGTCGTGTGCTGGACATAGACTAAGGGAAAGACGGCAGTCTAGCACTTCATTTCAAGCCGTTTGGGGAGCAAGGTATTTTATCAGCATTACATTGAGCGAGTCAATCTGCGCAGCCGTCACATTTGGCTACGAGCAGCTTCGACAACTCTGTTTGGGTAAACGTGTGGGTGAGCCAGACGTCATTTGTATGTTCGCGGCATTGAAAGGCGTTCGAAATCGGCACTGTTATAGTGTTGCATATTAGCAACGTACTTCTGAACATGGAAACACATTATGAACTATTATTCTTATTTAGCATGGACGTTTTATATTCAGTCTCTTGGTTAATCAACTGTTCACACTGTATGTAACTATAACATGAGTGTCCCGCACTAGCCCCTTTCGACACTAGTCTATTTTATCGGTCCATGGATTGTCCACCTCGATGACTCCAAAACATTTTGTTACTTGAAGAATCAAAGTCAATCATACGGAGACTGGGAAACGAGAGCCCACGGATTGTCTGGTGATTTGTGCTCGTCCCCGCTCACTTCCTGTCCGAATCATCATCGCCTGCAGAAGCCCACCGGAGGCCTGCGATATCGCCCTCAAAATTTACCCCACCACCGAAAGTTAATCCACACAACTCGTCACTGTCCACCTTACACGCGCTCACACACAATGCCGACGATCTCAGTAGACAAGGCGGCGCTCTTCAAGGCGCTGGAGAAGGAGTACACGACAGAGGAATTCGACGAGCTATGCTTCGAATTCGGTATCGAATTGGACGAGGACACAAGCCAGAGCAAGAAGCCCGAAGACCTTGCGCAGCCACCGCAGTTGAAGATCGAAATCCCCGCGAATCGATATGACATGCTATGCTTCGAGGGAATCGCCATGAACCTTAGAGTTTTCTTGGAGAAGGAGAAGCTTCCGAAGTGGACAGTTACTCCACCCGCCAATGGACAACCGGAGACCATCATCGTGAAAGAAGAGGTAAGCGCACAACATGCATAGGGCTCGCCGCGGGAATTGGTTGCTAAAGGCTAGGCAGACTTCCAAAATTCGCCCGTTGATCTCAGGTGTTGTGCTGCGCGGCATTGAGTTCACCCAAGAGAGATATGATTCCTTCATTGCGTTACAGGACAAACTCCACCAGAATCTTGCCCGCCAGCGCACGTTGGTCTCGATTGGAACGCACGACCTAGACAGTAAGGCTACGGTTACTACTTCAAGGATAAAGTCTGACGTGTGGCAGCTATCAAGGGCCCTTACACATACGAGGCGCTTGCACCGGAACAGATCGAATTTGTGCCTCTGAACCAGACCCAGAAGATGAATGGAAAGCAGCTCATGGAATTCTATGAGGTAGGCATGCCCTAAACGCCGAATGATAGTTCCACTGGCTGACGTCTAGCAGAAAGACAAGCATCTCGGTCGTTACCTCCACATCATCCGCGATTCTCCCGTATACCCCGTCATATATGATGCAAACCGAACAGTGTTGTCTCTACCACCCATCATCAACGGAGACCACAGCAAAATCACGCTCAACACCAAGAATGTCCTGATCGAAATCACTGCCCTGGACAAGACTAAGGTGGAGATTGTGAATCACATACTAGTTGCCATGTTCGGCGGATACGCAGAGTCGATAGAAGCTATCCACGTTGACTCACCACACAACCGCGAGTCAAGAGATGTCCCCAACCTGGGACCCCGGGAGATGCAGGCCGAAGTGACATATCTCAACGAAGTGACAGGACTCAACCTGTCGCCCCCCGAGATCTCCAAGCTCCTCGAGAAAATGGGCTACACCGTCACACCATCCAGCTCCGATGAGAAGTACCTAGACGTCTCGGTGCCGATCACAAGAGCCGACGTCCTCCACCAGGCCGACGTCATGGAAGATTACGCCATCGCATACGGCTTCAACAATCTCCCCCGTGTATACCCCAACAAGTCCGCCGCGGTGGCCGCCCCCCTACCGATCAACAAGCTCGGCGACATCGTCCGCTTCGAAGCCGCCGCCGCAGGCTGGAACGAAGTCATGCCACTGATCCTGTGCTCGCGCGAGGAGAACTTCGACTGGCTGAACCGCAAGGACGACGGCACCACGGCCATCACGCTCGCCAATCCCAAGACGGTCGAGTACCAGATCGTGCGGACGTCACTCCTCCCGGGCCTGCTCAAGACGATCAACTCGAACCGCCACCACGCTGTTCCCATCAAGGTGTTCGAGTCCAGCGACGTCAGCTACGTCGACCTGACGCAGGAGCGCAAGTCGCGCAACGAGCGACACTTCGCCGCCGCCTTCATGGGCAAGACGAGCGGGTTCGAGCAGATCCACGGCCTGCTGGACCGCATCATGGCGATGCTCAAGTCGGCGTTCATCACCCGCGAGGAGGGACTCCAGAACGTCAAGCTGGACGGGTACTGGATCGAGGAGGTCGAAGGTAAGACGAAGAAATTATTCCCAATCCCAATCCCAATCCTATCTTTCCACTTTTCACCGCACATACACGCATCCATCTCTATGTACACATACTGACAGATCCTCCCCAAAACACAGACCCAACCTTCCTAAAGGGCCACTCCGCAGCCATCAAGCTCAACATCGGCGGCAAGAACCACACTATCGGCGTCTTCGGCATCCTGCACCCCTCCGTCCTGCGCAAGTTCGAGCTCTCGTAAGTTTCTCTCCCTTTACTGGTTTCCCTTGACACCTTCCCCTACCTATCGTTGAGATTCAAATACGAAGAAGAGAAGTAAACCAAGAGGACGAACGCTAACGTATTCTTTCCTTTCTTGCGTAGATACCCCGTCAGCACGCTGGAATTCAACCTCGAGGTCTTCCTATGATACTGATCCCGCTACTCCTGCGATGAATGAAATGCTCTGGAAGGATCGAGAAGCGTCCGAAGTGCACATGCATCTATGTATGGATGTTGGAGCCTGAAAGAAAAGGCAGGAACGAAAAATGAAAAGATGAACAAAAAAGAAAAAACCGTAGGATGATAGATAGATAAAGATACCTTTTTTGAAACACTTACGTCCCATGCCTTCTTTTTTTTTCGCTTTACGTTGATTGAGGGGAAGATGAAGGCCATAACGTGTAGAAACATGTGTATGATAGGACAGAGACATTGTGATCGCGATACGTTGTGCGTAGTTACACTTTTCAAAATGTAAGTTTCGTCCCGTGTATTTATTGGACTGTTCCGCTGCGCGAGGTATAGTTTCCTATGGTCTTTATCGTACAATATGCTCCACAGATTGTGCTTCTTCTCCCGATTTTCTTTTTATCATCTTCTTTCGCCAATTCTGCAATCGTAAATAACACGCTCGTCCTAAGAGTAGACATGATAAGATCAGATCACCCCCTCCCACGAAACTGCTCCGCGACCATCTCCCCCAGCGTCCTCCTCTGCTGCTGCTGCTGTCCCCCCGCACCAGCACCTCTCCTCCTAGCCTCGCCCGCCTCGCCCGCCTCGCCCGTCTCCCCAGCCAGAATCCCACTCGCCAACCCGGACGCGCCCCCCTCCCTCTCCCTCTCGGCATCCAGCCTCGCCCGCAGGCCCTCGAACCCCCTCTTCCTCTCCTCCCCGACGATCCACCCGGGCACCCGCCACGCCGTCGTCGCGTACGGCAGCACGTCGCGCCGGTACGCGGTGCCGATTGCCCAGCCCACCGCGGCGGCGAGCAGGGAGCCCGGAAACTGCGAGAGCGCGAGCTGCAGCGGCGCGAGGTACGACGTCGACTTCGAGGTCAGCGTTATGCTGCGCTGCCATATGCTGCTCGCGCTGGCGCCTGCCGCCGCCGTTGTCGGCCCAGATTGTCCTGCATTCGAGGGGGCCGAGGAGGGGGACGGAGAGGAGGAGTACGGTGAAATGCGGTACCGGTATGTGTACGGGATTGCGGCGTAGTAGTTTGCGAGGAGGGCGAAGATGATGGGCGTCGGGCCGGCTGGGAGGTGGTTGATGCGGCCGAATGTCAAGGGTCGGAGGACGAGGGTTAGGATGAGGGGTGGCAGGAGGGTTGTGTAGGGGAGGGTGGAGATGAGGAAGGACTGTTCAATTGCGTCAGATATGTTTCGTACATCTCTGTAGAAATAGTATTGCTCTGGGGAAGAAAAGAGAGAGATATGGTGGGGTGGAGGGGGGAAACGTACGGCGAACTTCCTACTGCCCCATAGTCGCTCGATGACGCGCAGTTGGTAGAAACCAAGTACCGCGAATAGTACCTCCGTCGAATTCGTGAACGTTATCTGCAAGACATCTGATATCAGCTCCAGTTCTCCCTAACACACCCCTCGAACTCTTCCAATCCATCCCGTTCTCATCGCAATCTCCATTCCCTCGCCAAAGCAAGCCCAAATTTCAGACATTTTGCAAATGTTAACGTACCTGCCAGGTCAGAAACCTCCAAAACTGTCCGTAGCCCCAGATGTGCGGGACGACCTGTATATGTATCAGGTACCTCGTGTCGGTCAAGCTGGCGGCGAGCGCGCCGAGGACAGTAGCGAAGACGAGGAATTGCGATACGGGCGCATTCGTGAAGCCCGATGTTATCATTGCTGCGTATGTACGTTTTTATTGTGGTGGAAATACTGGGGTTTCGAGAAGTGGTGTGGGCATTGCAGCGTTCGAGGGGTTACTTGTGGGGGAGGGGAGATAGAATGTTGGAAAGATTTGGAGTTGTAAGTTGACGACATGTGGTTCGTACTGGTAGCTCCATGTCAGGTCGGTAGGTCGGTGGGTCGGAGGTGCCACATCATTCATTTGTGGAGCTGTAGGGCTACATCACGTGCAGCTACATCAACATTTTACCGCATCACTGTTATCGCATGTACGGGATCGAAAGCAGGTAAATTGAAATTTGGAATCTGTTGTGTGATTGATTGATTATACTCTTTATCTCCTGTCCCCACCCATGTAAAAGCCCATTGGTATTGAAAGAAAAGAATCTCCTCGCGGAGCATGTTTATACCCATCTCAATTGAACGCCTTTGCCTCCCATGACTCCTGAGCACAGCCAACCAATGTCAAAAGAGGAAAAGAAAAACAGAATTACCTCCTACCGGTGCAGAACCCGACTTTTAGTTTCCCTATTTCCGCCTAGGCATATAGCCCTGTGCACGCCGCATGAACTGATCCTCGTTCTCTGCGCCGTTGAAAAAGAAATCACGCTGCATCCCGGACCCGCCACTGGGGCGTGTAGCATGGGTTGATTCTGCTGCCCCTCTATTGTGAGGATACACGTTTCGAACATCTTTCCACCACTTCTCTCGGTAATCGACCTCCGAGGTCAGGTCGTCAGTTGTGACGGATGGAGGCACAGGGTAAGAAATCTCTGGCGGGGCGGGTGTGGAGTGAAGTGCGTCTGCGCTAGAAGAACCTCGCAACCTTTCGCCAGACGATAATTGAGGAATGTGGTTATCAGTGCTAGGAAGTGATGTAACGGAAGTTTGTGACGGCGACGGTAAAGCCGAGTAGATTGACGCCTTATGCGACAATGTTGGACTCGGATGGTTTGAGGGTGGGCGCGAACGTTCCACTACCCGGCCTTCTTTGAACATCCTTCTCAGCCCTTCTTTGGGTCCTGTTGGCGTGCGCGGGGCAGTTGAGCTGGATTTGGCAGGCGATAGTCCAACAGTGTTGAGAGCAGGTTGCGGTGGTGGAACTATTCGATGGCGTCGAGTAGGAGTATGCACTGCCTCCTTTTGCGGTCGGGCAACTCGATCAACACCTTCGTATCCTTCAGGAATCTGTGGCACTTCTGGGACAGGAGACCTCGGTCGAGCTTTGTGTCTAATAGAGGCATCTGAAACCCGCTGTTTTAGCTCTTTGACGGATTTCTTCCCGTTGAGATTCATTTCAAAGAAATTCTTTGCTCGCTCCGAACACTGCGGGAGATCTCGACTGGTCTTGACTTTTACTTGGGGCGAGCCTGGCTGGCTGTAGTAGTCTGAGTCAAAGTGACTGGTCGATGGTCGTGAATCATCGATGCTTTGGATGCGGCCAGGGAATCGATCGCTTGATGGGCCGTCAAGAGTATCTTCGAACTGCTGACATGCTGCGACCTGGTCCGCTAATTGGGCATTCGTTTTCGTCATCTCCTCTTTCTCTTTTTCAAGTTGATAGATCATGTCCGCGGCCTCATCAAGCGCCGAATGTTGCTTCTCCAAGTTGGCGATGGTTTCATCCTGGATCTTCAGAATTTCGGCATTCGCGTCGTTGAGTTGTATGTTCTCCTCTTCAAGATCCTGCATGCGCAGCTTCAAGCGATTGTTGTCGTCGCGAAGATCGTAGTTCTCATCTTCCAATGGCTCAAGATCTTCAATGCGCTTGTTCGCTTCATCGAGCGCATCCTTGAGTTCGTTGTTCTGCTTCTTCAGCAGCTCCAATTTCAAGTTCAGATTGAACATGTTATTCTTCAAGGCCTCCGTCTCAGTCTGCAACTCTCTCTGCGTAGGCATGCGCGGAAGTGCTCCTTCGCTCGGCCGCCGAGGCCTTCTGATGGGTGTTGCGCGCGGTGCATCTTCCTCCGATAGAGCCTGGTCCAGCCATGGATCGCTCGTCGGCGTGAATGATGTGACAATGCGTTTTGGAGTGGGCCGAGACTCTGCTGGCGAAGGAGTAGCGATATCCTTTGCCCTCCTAGCCTCGAGTGCACTACGAAGGAACTCTGATTTTGGTTCGACGGAGAACGATGAGCAGGATCGTAGGGACTGCGGGATTGTGATGCCGGGTGCAGAGGGCCGACGCGAATTTGGGGTCGACATGATTTCTGAGGTTGTGCCTCCGGGGGGTATGGGCTCTGCAAAAGTGTGGAAGGTATGGATTGGGTGGGTGTTTTTAATTCGAGTTTTCAAACAAAGCCTTTTGTTTAGGGCAATGCGAGAAAGTGGACAAATCTTTGTCAGTGTCGTTCACAATGTTTGCGACCGACACCGAGCGTGTAAGACTCTGTAGTTGAACGAATAAGGATGGATCGCTCAAGCATCGAGAGATTCGAGAGGACGAATTGGTTGGAAAGGCGGGGAAGGAAGGTGGATAGATTCACGCGGTCGCGACGTCAGCAGAAGCGCGTGAGAACAAGGGAGGATAATCGCTGGCAAGAGGTTCTTGTTTCGGGTCCATCTCTGACAGGTGATGGAATCGATTTGAGACGTAAAGGAGAATTGCTTATAGTGTACAGCGCTCTTGTTTTCGATCGTAGGAGGTAGCAAGAGGAAGAGGATCGCGAGGGGGCGAAGAAATAGGTGATGAATTCCGCGTCGCTTGAGAGATAGGGCTGAAGTATGGAGAATGCGCGCAGCCTTCGCTACATCATTGTCGGAACAAAGGAATGTATGAAGTTTGTATGTACGTAGTGAAGAGGTGAATGAACACTGAATCAATGAACGTTCGAACGAACGAATACGCGCACGCGCGTACGAACGAGTGGGTAAAAGGGGTGTGAGTGCGTAGGTATGTGTGAGGGGGGATAGAAGAGAGGAGGTTGGGCTGCTTCAAACTTGGGAGGGAAATCCTTCCTTCCTCTGGTGTGATACTAGGACCCTCCCCTCTCAATGTGTGATGGTAGTGAGCATTTAGCAGATTAATTAGTGGACAATAAGGTCTAGAATGGAGGGCGAAAGTGTACACAAATTCCCTAAATGTAGGAAGACTCAGTGTAGACTGAAGAGAGAGAGAAGAAAGAACAAGTAAAGAAACCCGACCCGACGTCCATAAAAGTTATTACTTGTTGCATCCACCTGCATAATCCGGGCCCGCGGGAGTGGTCCGGCTCGCCCTGAACTAGCCCTAAACTAGCCTTTCTTCGTCCCTTATTGGCCACTAGTGGGACCCGGCGCTGTGAATAGCAGGGGAGTCTCCGCATATTCTGTCGCCCCCTGGAACCACCTCATACTTCATCACAAACTTCACCATTCACCCTTCAACAAACTACGGAGTATACGAAGTATTAAGTGTACCTTCACGAGTAACACTGTTATTTTTCACCTCGTGTATGTCGGAAGCAGTAGAAGGGGACTTAATATTCATGTTGACATAGTGGTCTGCCATGCGGGTACTGATATCGATGTTGACATATCTCCACACACGATAATTGATTCATTTTCAATTATCTTCACAATTACCTTCTTATATTGACAGTACATATAGCATTGCATAGCCATGTCGTTGCAACAAAAGCGGAAAGGCACGATCCCGCCAAAAATATTCTCCACTTCGTCCACCAACCGAACTGCAGCGGGGAGTGGGAAACGCGGAACGGCGCTGCCCCATAGCGTGCCGTTTTCTTCATCGTCCCAATCCAGCCCTCGGCTTGATATCGGAAGCCAATGATGCCCATGGTTGCCCAACCACGCCTCCCCTTTCATACCGTTGTCACTCTGTGAAGCTGATTTTCGCTCGTTTGTTCGTTTGAGACCTCAAACTCCAAAACCTGAAACGTGGAGACCTGAAGATCATGGCGCCAGAGCAATTATGATCACAATAATGTACAAAACAGAGTACGATGATTGGCGGCACATATCCCTAATCCGAAGATCGCGTTCTCGCTCAATTTGCCATCATTATTAGACCACCAATCCATGCCCGATGGGCGCACGCGACACCTTGCTGCCCGACTTCAGATTCCCTTTGCCGAGACAATATCCTTCTGTCTCTACAGATCCATTTGTTTCTCCAGTCCATAATTGATCACTACGCAGCTTGAGCGTTCTCATCAGATTCACGGCTGGCAAGTATTTGGCCTATTGACATCACTCAGATTCCAGCGCCAACTGAACCAAATCCGAGCTAACTAGTCTGATGTTTTCAATTCACAGTCTAGACAACGGTGACAAACCCTCATTGTCTCCTCACGTGTCTTTTGTTCCACCTCCAATATCGATTCAAGTAAAATGAGATTTAGTTCGTAACTCATAATCGCCTCTGCTACCATTCAACAGATAGCCTATGTGAACAGATCTCCTTGCCTTTGACGTTTTCGTTCTCTCTCATCGGCCAGTGATCGTATACAATACCACTACAGTGTCTACTCCTAACTTATGTTAAAGCATCACATCAAATTATCACCAATCCCTCACACTGACTGATTTCGATTTCTCATAGAAATGTAGGAATCGATTCAACGTCACACATAACCCCCACTTCAAGTCCAGGATGGACGGCGAGGTGATGCATCCAAGCATGTTATCAGTCCATCGCATGCTGTGCCACGCTGTGCCACGCTGTGTCGATTATCTTTTCACCGTATGCCGTGCAATCCTCGCGTATCTTCAGAGAATCGTATTTTCTTTCTTCTCCTTAATGCTGGGTACCGTTGCACGGATTGCAGGCGTGTTTCAAGTATTGTACTTGGGTGGGACGGTCCGTCGCGTTATGAGGTTGTCTGCGTGCAACCATATTATGATGGGTTATTAGGGATGAAGTGCATGCAGGATGCAGGGAATGTATTAAGGTATTATGTCTTCCGTACGTGTGATCTATATATCTAGGTATTTTTTGGGTGATCTAAGTGGTCGGAACATCAGTCTACGCAGAGGACGCTCACGTCGTGTACACTCAGCCATCCTTCCTTCCATTCAATCAGTCCATCTGAACCGCTACACCCGCGTCCTCGAGTCTCTTCTCCCACTCCCTCCTCAACCGCTCCGTCTGCACCCAGGCCTCCCTACCCTCCTCCTCGAACGCCTTCCTATCCTCCTCAGTCAGGTCTTTTGCGTACGGGCTCCTCCCCTTCCTCTTCTTGTTCCTCTCGTCGATCGTCCCTCCCCATCCCCACCCGTCTACCTCCGTCCTCTCCACACGCTCGCTCCCCCACATGTCCGTCGCGCTGCCCCATTTCGCAATGCCTTCCTGGGCCTCCATGTTGTCGAGCGTACTCTGGCTCGCAAGCGCCAGCCACACCATCGACACGGCGCCCTTGATCGGGTCGATGTTGTGCCACGGGCTGCCCGCCCACCGCGCGACGTAGAACACCGCCAGCATGCAGTACTCGAGCAGAAAGTTGAGAGGGAAGATGGAGGTGCCGCAGATACCCGGGTGCGTCACGTAGATCCTGGGCTTACTCGTCTGTGGTGTGTCCTCCGCGTGCCCGAGGTACTCGTCGACGACATCGGACGACGAGGGCAGCGCCGACGTGATGGCCATCAGGTCCGTCTGTCGCTTCGTCGATTCGTACGGGTGCGTCGTAGATAGGCTTTGCATTTCCTCGACGTCGAACGTGTGCTTGTACGACTCGAGGCTGCTGACCCAGATCAGCCTGCCGCGGGTCTGCTCGTCCTTGCTGTGTCTCGCGAGTAGCGGCGCGAGGTAGTGTCCCAGCATGTAGTGGCCGAAAAAGTTGGCGCAGAATACCTCTCCGAGCCGCGGCTCCTCCACCTTGACTCCGTCCTTGGTGACGGGAATCTGGGGCTTCGTGACCCATCCCGTACCAGACTTCTTGAACACGGGGTATGTAACTGCGTTCTTCCAGTCCGTGAGGATCGTCCACACGGCCGTACCCCAGTACAGGTCCTCCCAGCCGCCGATGCCCGCATTGAAGATGACGCTATCGAGCTTCGGCGTGGTATCGCGGAGTCTCTTTGAGAGTTTTTGCACCGAAATCAGGCTTGTGAGGTCGAGGATCTCTGGGCGGAAGTGCACGCGTCGCATGAGCAGCATCGAGATGCCCGGCACGCCTTTCTCGAGCCTGCGACATGCCTTCTTAAGGTGCGATTGGAATTTCTCGACCGTCGCGTCGCCCTTGCGCTTATCGCGCGTCGTCGTTATCAGCACGAGCGATTGCGATTGAGGGCGTGTGTGTAGGAATTCGTCGATGAGACGGTAGCCGATTGCAAGGCCTAGGCCACTGGAAGGAGAGACGATTCAGCAAAAGGGCGACCAGGGAGTCAATTGGTGACGAAATACCTGTTTGCACCGGTGATGAGCACGTAGAACCCATTCTCGGGCCGTGGTATGTCTTCGAGAATTACCATGGCTGGTTGTGAGGTCGTTGCGGAAGGGGAAAAAAGGGCGATGATGTCTTTACCGTACTTTGACGAAGTTCAGGGACCAGGGGGTCGGACGATCAAGTTACCGCATTGCTCTTAGTTAGATCTGTTTCTGTGTGACCACAGCTCATTCGAAAGTTCAACATCCCTATGAGCTCACCTCACACCCACCATGCAGTCATTCATCATGTCTAGGTTTACAAAGATACTTTGAATATTTGGAATAGCTATTCTACTTGGCCCAAAAGGGCGATTGATTCATGATGAGATGGTCGTGTTGCTCAAACCCACTAGGACCATTTAGGTTAGGGTTGGGTTTCCTTCTAATTGCAGACGTCTGGCCTTCAAACAGAGTTGAGTTAAACAATCTCAAACGAACCCAAACACCATGCTACGAACAACACTGCTGAATACACCTCGTTTTCCATATACATGCTACCTGCCGAGATGATGTAGCTAATCCATCATCGGTGTGATGATTATGCGTTGAGTGCACAAGCAGCAACGCCATTCCCTGGATGTATATATCAAATAAACTTTCGTGATTATTGTACCATACCCAGGTACTTATGCAAAATATCGCTTCTCCCAACGTCAAACAAGAAAAAATTTCCCCTCCCATACCCCGGCTTCTCATCAAAAACATCAAACAGCCAAAATCGGACCGGAGCCGTTTGGCACGCATGACGCACTGCAAGTATGGAACCACAATCCCCGTCTAAGATCCCTTGACTACAACGCTGCAGATTTGCACATGACGAGAAGTATATGCAGGTGATCCGTTATGCGTGATGCGACCCATGCAGACCGAGGAATATGTTGAGGGTGGAAAATTATCCCATACTCAATGCTGGTGAGCTAAGGTCGATTCAGGCTCAGCCCATTTCACTTGCTTTGTACGATGGATGCATGGCACCGCAGAGTATTACGTGGACATGTTGATCTGATCATGGCGAGGGATATACAGTGTATCAGCCACCAACATCAAAATCGCGTGGCATCTACGGCGGTTTGATACCGACATGTACTTCGCGGAAACCGGCAGTGCCCGAATCTGCCTCGTGATCTCGTTGGGCGGCGGAGACGGCGGAATGTCACTGGGTTGGTTTCAATGCTAGCGGCTGGATATCCAGAGATCGTCGTGCGTAATTTAGGTTCAGTCGTACGGCATCTCTCTGAATGCTCTCATCGCATAGAGTCCAGAAGTGCCGGGATGGCGCCTCGCGGAAATGGGTGATCCTGCCGCCAAATACGAAGACAGACAGGCATCAAAGCTGGGGAGGAAATATGTACGGACGAAGCGTCGCGGGACTCGGGAGACGGATGAACGGTGAATGTGTAGGTGGAGATTTGAAGCTGAAGGGAGCATACCCAGAGAAACTTGGACGCTTGTGGAAAGTTTCGACGAGAAGAAGGGCCGATGCTAGACGTTGAATTCGTACAACGTTTGCTTTGCCTCATTGCGGAGTCGTTCGAATTCAGTCTTCTGCGAGCCCAGCAACCAGTGGACGGTGGACCTCGCTATGCGTTGTTGTCTTCCGAGCTGCCGCCTATCTTTTTTTCCCTCCGCGCCAATGATACAGTATGTTGATCCTGCGCTTATGCACGTCATGTCACTTGTATAACTGAACCTTGAGTTGAAATCCGGACCGATACATAAAAGGCGAACGGCGGAGTTTGCTCCGCCAAAGCACCGAAGCCGCGCAGCACGGTAGCTGCAAGAAGCCAAAGGTTGAAGGAAACCTAAAGCGAATGCGGTCTGAGATAAACTTTGCTTCTTGTGTGATTCTTTCTATGCTTTGTTTCATCAGTAAGGCTTCCAATATATACAAGACTATGCATATGTGGACGGCGGAGGGATGGTGTAGTTGATTGTTGTACATGTACTAGGTACGTCTCGCCCTGCACGATCTGATAAAAGCCACCGGGCAGCGATCAGATTACAAAGCTGTGATCCAGAAAGATTCAGCCTGGCGCAAACTCGTCGCACAAGATACCAGATAAAGTGGTGGATGTGCAGGCAGGGAGGCAGGGAGGCAGGGAGGCAGGCAGTGCTGCATGCAAACCGCGTCTCATCTGGCCGCATGAGCAATGGGTGGTGGAGCCACTTCAATCGGACCAAAATAACGATTTCCTTTTGACAGGTCGGCCCGAGCCGACGCAGGCAATGCCACGGATCCTTGTATGTATTATATCCCCACCATGCTTCTCTTTCTATTTCCCTATTGTTCGCCCTGCAGGCTGCAGCATTATCAATATTTTGGATGGACTCCGGACTGGAGGCAGCAACGGTAAATGCATTGCCGATCGTGACGTCCAAGAATGTGCGCTCCATATTGACCCTGCCTGCATTTGGTGATCATCAGTCCAATTTCGTCAAAGCTCAGAGGGCATATGCCGTGGGTGATAGACAGTGGTCAACTGCCGGCAGATATGCGACAGCTCCTGGGCTATAGGGACAAAGCACTGAGGCGGCATAGAGGCAGAGTATTAATGGGAAGATATGGCGTGAAACAACTCCGTTTCAAGAGGGGAGCACTGGCAGGAAGATCGTCCTGCCACCAGAGGTGGCTGCGTACACAGCAATCGTGCTTGTCGCGTATCATGGACTCATGGGGGAGAGGCAGCTGGTCGTGGCGTTTTGAAAGGCCAGAACAGGGGAGCTTGAGCATTGGTCGGTGGTACGGACTATATGGCCTCCAATATCGCTACATGACTCGGGGTTTTGGGAAGCATCATGTCGAGCGTCCAAGTACAAGTTACAACTAGCAAACTCGGTAGTGGGGTGGTGAATTCCTGTCATGTGCACCTATAGTTCACACCTCCTGGCTCCTCTTGAGCAGAAGAAGTAAGGGTGCACGGTCGTCGTCTACACGGGTCCGCCTGTCTCCAGTCTGTTGGAATAATTAGACCCCTAACCAATAACACCAACCTAGTAGGTCAAGTCTGACCTCACATTTGGGTAAGCTTTCGGGGTAATGATGATAACGAGGCTAGTAGGGCAGTCGTGATGATGGGAAGTGGAGAATAGCTCATTGTGGTGAGCAGCAGCTGGCATGCTTTTTTTGCAAGGCACAAGCCATTGAATTGATACGTTCTCGCGTGGCTAATACCACCAGCAACGACTATCTTTGGCTCGATGCACATCCTTGGCATAGGTGGGAGGTTAATGTCATTAGCTTGATCATCAGCAATAACGGCCAACAATTAAAGACTTGCAGGCTCTGCTGATGCTCTCGCCTCTGGAGGGGGGAGGACGACCAATCTCGAGCCCGGTCATGGAAATTTATAGGGCAGGGAATCCTGCTACTACAGGTGTCGATGGCATGTTGGAAAGGCGTAGAGGAGGACCATCTGCTGACAACATTTGCATGCAGACAAGCAGGCATACATACTTGTACACTGGAGGCGAGTGAACAAGTCTTTGACCCGAGCCGAGCGCAAGGACGAGCATGTGTCACCGGCCCGTCCGGCTCTTGACTGATGACCCGAGACACGCCGTTGCATATGACTATCCAGGATCGTGGTTCGAGTTCATATGATGGTTGTGTTGACGTGGTGGGCCTGAGAATGGTTATCAGAATCTATCGACAGGGTCGGACGCGCTAACTGGCCCATCTCGTCGTACGAGTAATGAGTGTCTACCTACCCACGTATTTTTAAGGTATATGTTCTGTAAAACTCGTTTCATCTCATGCTACAGGGTGCGAAAGAGTCATTTGTCAACGTTCCAGAAGACTTCTAGTAGCTTTGCGGAATGTCCGAAATGCCATGTGAATCCCTCTCCCCTTCCATTCCGGATAACCGAACCCAATTCAAGGATGGTTCGGTCGCCTCGTAAGGGAAGACTGAAAATACGCACGGTAGACTCAGGAGAGAGATCTGCCTCCACGTGGCCCGGCCATACCATACCATACCATACGAGGTACCATGCCATGGACAGACAACCTCGCATAGCCGCGGCGCCGGAACAAGCGCTATGAACGCATTGCCCATACATCAAAGGTTTCTTGATCCTCCAGGGTGGTGGTCGTCGCCGCTAGCAAGGCATTTTCAAATTCACCAATTGAACCTTATCGTTATTACTGGTCGTTGGCAAATAATCCTCAGCCCGCTGTTTATAAGCCGTGCTAGTTCGCCATGGAAAGCTAACGGCATTTGAATGGCCTCGGGCGAGCACCCGGTGCCGCCTACAATGGTTGCGACTGGTTCATCGTAGTCGTAGTAATGAGGCGCAGAATATAGCTTGAGTGTCGTCGTAAGTGCGTCCCAGCGAAGGTCATAACTTGACAATACCTCGTGATGAGCCATCTCCAAGACCGCACGGATCGAGAAAGCACGAATCACTAAACGGGGATTTACGGTCTGTCTCGTGTACAAATAATGGTGGAGTGGGGAGAGGAGAGACACGAAAACAGAGCGAGATGCAGGTGAACCAGATTCTGCCCGAAATAATTGAAATGAAACAGGCCAATCGGGGGATATGGGTTGATGTCTACCATACCAAAAAGCTCCTGCTAGTGTCGTGATGATGTGGGAAATTTCACACTGTCCATAAAATGGTCCAGTTATATGCGGTGTATCACATATAGCGCACGGGTGGACTTGGTAGTACACCATCTCTTCGTCCTCGCATGTCGAGGGACATCGTTTGGCGAAAAGTCCTAGATTGCGATTGCATGATCGTGAGGTCCCCCCCATGTCGACGGGCCGGGCTCTATCAGGTCGAATTCGACAGATTCAGCAGCGGGAAGGCCGATGGCAGTTGAAAAGCTTATGCGGCGATCTTTGGGAGAGATTGTGTCCGAAATCTCCCTGCTGCTTGCTGAGCCCAAAATGTGATGGACAAGCATGCCCTTGAACCGCTTCTGCCCTCAATTGCAATGCAAACAGCAAATCGGGATGTGTACCCCCTCTCCGCAGGGCGGAATTCATCTCTCCGCCGGAAGAATCGAGAGTAGACAAGTTGCGTTGGCGTGACTCTTGAGGTGGTGGGTAAGTAATCGAGGGCGACTATCCTTTCCAGCAATAACAGCCTGTATTAAGATACGGCCTACCATCCGCGCCACGGAAGGGAAAGGTTCGCGTCATGGTACGGAGTATAGCAGCAGCACATGTATGTCTGTCGTACATTGTGTAACCGACGACTCCACCATGGGCCGCCGCGTCTGGCGCATTCGTGGTCGATGGCTTTTTTCCTTTACAATCTGTGACGTATGATTTCCACGTTACAGCGCCCAGGGGCCGAAGATGTCGTGTACTAATCTGATGCTCCTGGGCTGCAGGTCAGGGCCTGAACAAAGTACAGAGTAGTCGTGGGCAGCTTCTACCGCGCCATGTTGCTGCCCGTTATCGTTGTTGAGCTAAATGAGGACAATTGCTAAGATGAGGTTGCTAATTGCGCTGCAAAGATCCCGGTTACATGCAGGAGGATGGACCAGTGAGGAGCGTCATTCGGCGCCGCATGTGAGCAATCGTCCTGAAAGTGATACCGGACGCCTCTAGCCGTTGAACAAACACGCAAATGCAAACAGACAAGTAGATCATTGCAAAATGACAAGATATTTGGCAGTACGTTCGTCTACAAAAGTACAAAAATGTTTTTTCCCTGGGGGTATTCTGGCCTTTTCCTGCCTTTCCATGTGCGCCTTGCTAAAAAGAGTACAATACAAGTAATAGTCGTTGAAGAAGGAAGGCGAAGGAAGCGAGTGCTATATCATGCTCTGTCTTTACATTCACCTGTGAATAAGTCAGTCGAGTTTCCAAGAAAAGCTCAATAAAGATCTATTTGTACTCACTGCAATTTTCCTCAAGTCTTCTCTCCCTGTTTGGCGAATGTTAGTCAGACTCTCTTGCATCGGGCGTGGCGGCAATGTATCTAACTCACATGACAGTAATATTTCGTGGACATCTAACATGTGTTCGTTGGTATGTCACGCACCAGGCGAGGACGAGGAATCGATAGTGACCACATTTGAACTCTACGCTCTTGTGATCGCACATGTCGAATGATGTATATGTATAGATATGGTAGATATGTCCGTAAGGATGTGTGTTTGGAACGGAGGGTTTGATGGTCGTATGTCTTGAAGTGGAGGATTGCCAAAAAATTAGAGTGGAGAATACAAAGTAGTAGTAGGAGTATGGGAAGGAGTAGTTTTGTTTAGTGAAAAGGACTATTGTTGGAGTTGTTCGCAAGTACCCAGGGCGTAGCGGGCCGATCCATATTATAGTGCTACCCAGAGGCAAAGCAATAGCTCGTGGGGACTAATTGGTGACTGCAATGCACACGATCTTTGGGTGATTGGAGCTCCAACTCATACAGAGCAAGGGCAGATAGGGGACAGGGAGATGTTTGCGCCGCTGGCTCAGCATTGTCAGAGTCAAGCCCGGACGTTTAAGTGGACGAGATATGGCTGTAGGGAAGGGGATTGACTTGGAGGGCTTCCTCCCCCATTTGGCGACGTGCGGTTAGTCTACTGGCCCGATGAGCACAATTCTTTACTAAGGCTACTTGTGACTGGGTTGTAAAGGATAGAGGGTGAGGTGACGAAAGAGAGAACATGACAGGGCCGAAGGCCTGGAGGGGCGTGTGTACAGCCGTGGCCATAGCCATGGGCGTGGACAAGTGGGTGTAGGCGGATAGGTAGAGTCCAAGATCAATCACGTCTCAGTAACCAGTAGCCGTTGGCTAGGCCAACCCTGCTGTGACCTTGTTCTACTGTACCGTACCTAAGCCTTGAGCACAGTATTGTAAATCAGTCGGTGAGCAAGTACCAGACGTATTCTCCAATTCCGTTCGGGCGGGCTGATCTGCGGGCATGGATTCACGTTTAACGGTTGGAAATTTGGTACGCGTGGGATGGAGCAGTAATGTGGGCCTGTATGCACTGGCCCTAATTAAGGTGTATGTGCATTTGGAACTCGGAATCGTGTCTGCGAGTGTGTGTGCGTCTGTGTGTACCGTGTACTGTGTACACTGTCTAGAGTGGGTGTGCTATGTCATGGATAGAATTAGACTTGGTGGTGTGTTCCCTCCGCGAACTAATCGGGTACTCCGTACTCCAGCAACCTGTAACCTGGGGTTCTCTTAATTTTTCCCTCGAACAAGGAACCATCTCCGCAGGACGGTCTCCAGAACGGCCATGCATATGAGCTTAAAACACCTGTTAAGCATAGGTAGGTAAGTACGGAGTACCTGTCTCTTCCTACCTCCTGCTGCATGCTCACTTGGATTTCAGCCCACGAACCCTCGTCGACCTGCACGCATCATCACCTAACGTTGTCCCTCCGAAACCGTTCCTCGGCGAGACTCCTGCGGCCTCAGAACCAAGCTTCCAAGGCCCTTCTAAAGTTCTTCCCGTGCTCTAACGGTCCACTAATCTATATTCGGTAGTTCCTGCGGTGGTATCATAACCACGTGTGAGGGAAATGAATGGTGGAGTTTTCTTGCGCAATAGCTTGCGGGAACGCTCCGAGGAACATAGATCTGCTTACAGAACACGAGCGGCGCCGATGATGGACCTGGGATTTTTTCTTTGATCATGTCAGGCTCGGAGAGAGAGGGACAGAGAGCGCGAGTAAGTCGCCGACTCCCCTCCTAGTCGATGCAAGCTGTATCGTCTGACAACATCAACTCTCTATCCGAGGAGGCGACGTGACAAGGTAGGGCAGGTACCGAATTAATGCGGGACATATATGTGTATATGTGGGTGTGTGGTGTGTATACTTGACATCGCTCCTTGTAAATATTGCAATATGCGCCGTGCTGGAGGTGGAGATTGAGCGCACAAAGACTTGGTGGGAACATGCAGCACGGTGCAGGAAGATGAATCTACTCGTCACGTTGCCTGTGATGGCTGCAATATCAGATGCAATCGATGTATACCGAACCCGGAAGCTTGGTATCTGCACAGCATGCAGCCAGCTTGCACCCATCGGTCGTCCGTTCGTCTGCGCTGCAGAGGCACGGCAAAATGCCGAAAGGAAGGGGTGGGTAGGGTCGAAATGACAGGATCACCATGTGGACCGGAACAATCCATAGGCCTAGAAGGCTCAAATCCACGGTCCTGGAGTCGTGGGGTCGTCAGTTTAACGTGTTTTTTTATTCTCAATTATATTGTTTTCTTTCTCTGCACTGCCGTTGGTCCGTCGTCCGCAAATAAGAACCTTGGGACTCGGCTGATATGTTACGACAGGATCGATCGACTCGATTCTGTGTAAACGCAGCTTTGCCCTGTCGCGCCCTGCTCTGCCCTGCTCTGCCCTGCGGAGATGGCGCGAGGAATTCCAATTTGCTCTAGGCATATCCCATATCGTACTGTGGGTGCATTCTGGAACGCCTCGGAGCACGTCATCCCGGACTTGGGGCAGAACGCGGAACGCATAAAGATATGGTTATCGGGAGGATGGTAGGGCAGGCAAAACGTTGTCAAATCTGGAGTTCGTTAAAGGATCGTTCCCTTTCGAGCGACGTCCTTTTCCCCTCCCCTGAAATCGCCGACCTAGGCAAGTGCGCTTCTTCATCGCTTGGATTGACAGGAAAATGATCACCCAATTCTGATTTTCCCATTACCTCGCCAACCCAAAATGCTTGGGAACGGGGGTGTGAGGGAACGGGGGCCAAACCTGGTGTCGTTGAGAAAGAACATGTCCAATATAGGGTGGCGTGGTAGCCTTCCATCTTGCACGTAATCTTCCGACCAATCACAGCCACCAGAGCAATCACTAATCCGTCCTCCTACTTCTACCATTATAGCCTGGCCTACTCATACTATCAGCAACAGAACCCCATATACGGCCCAGTTCATGTCGATATGTCTTCATTAACAGACTTTCCCTTGCCAATTTTCTTCGCCCCCGGCCCAATATTTGGATAACCACTTACCATTCACGGACGGATTCCTTATTCCCAAGTACCGGGCCGTACGTATGTGGCAAGCTCACTCACGTCCTTCGGACCTGGCCAGCCATGACATACGAACACAACACCACCACGAAATAATCATTCCTGCTCGATACTTACCTCGTCTTCTTACAATCATGTAGTATTGACCAAGGGACGTACCGACCCGGACCGATCCATACCATGCCATGCCATGCCATGCCGCTCACCGTTTAGGTCCCCGTCGCCGAAGCCGTATGAAGTCACTGGGCCAATGCAGATTATACATCTGACCCAGGCAGAGAGAAGGGGGAAGTCGAGAGAATAGGAGGCCCACCTTCCCGATGTCTTTTTCTGTCTTTCTCACTGCTCGCCTTTGCATTACATTACATTGCATTGCATTGCACTGCCTTCTTCTCTCTTCTGCGCCGTCTCACGCGGAGTCGTGGCCGGCCGTGGACTGCATGCGCTGGGTCGTCCCTCGGGTATCGATCACTGCTACTTGCTGCCAGGCCTGGTTGTCCCGATGCCGCGAGACACGCAGCATGGGGACATGTGGTATCCTGGTAGACCCTGTCATGATCGGTCAGGCCATGTGTATACTTTACGTGAGGACTAACCCTTGGGGTGTAAATTTAGGCCAAGCGAATTCGATGCTTGGGGGCGGAGGGGATTTTGCGAAGAATGGAGGATCATGTGTAGCTCGTTTGCAAGGCAACGATGAACGCATAGTCAAAGACGAGGTGACGGGAAAGGGGAGGAGTTGGGGAAAGAGATTCTCATTCCTAATGTTCCACAATCCTCTGTCCCAAGATGTGAAAAAGAAGAGGGTGAAGAGAGAAGAAGGAAAATTAACAAATAAAAGTTGGCGGAAGCTAATCGATCGATCAAAGCAATCATTCAATCATCAAAATCTTCGTTAACCTCTTCAGTGTCCAACCAGCCCCGACACATCTCCACGGCGCGGCTCCACTTCTTGAACATGCGTGATGATTCCTCCTTGGAAATGTTGGGCTCGAAAATCATGCGGCCTCGCTGGTTGATTTCCTTGAGTTCGTCGAACTCCTTCCAGATGTCGACGGCGAAGCCCGCGGCGATGGCGGCGCCGAGGGCGGTCGTCTCACGCATGGCGGGTCGGTCGATGACGATACCTACGATGTTTGCTTGCGTCTAGGAGTGGAGGAAAGCAAGGTTAGTTGGATGGTCTGTATGGAGGACATGAACACTCGGGACAAGACTTACTTGCATAGTTAGGTTCGAATTACTCATACCACCATCGACGGACAACTCGGCGAGCTTGTGACCGCTGTCCAGCTCCATGGCGTCGAGAATCGCCTTAGTTTGGAAGCATGTGGCTTCTAATGTCGCGCGAGCGATGTGACCCCGTTCGGTATACTGCGTGATTCCGAAAATGGTACCCTTCGCGTCGTCGATCCAGTACGGCGCGAAGAGACCACTGAACGCCGTGACGAAGACGCACCCGCCGTTGTTCTCCACGCTCTCGGCCAGATCGCTGATCTTGTGCGAGTGCGTGATGAAGCCGAGGTTGTTCATGAGGAATTTGACACCACTGCCGGCGACGGCGATACTACCCTCGAGTGCGTACACGGGCTTCCGGTTGCCGCCGAAATCGTACGCGATGGTTGCGAGCAGGCCGTGCTGCGATATCACAGGCTTCTCGCCCACATTGTACAGCAGGAAACATCCGGTTCCGTAGGTGTTCTTCGCGGAACCCGGCGAGAAGCCCTGCTGGCCCACCAGCGCGGCGGACTGATCCCCTAGGCATCCTGCAATCCGGATGCCCTTGAGGATGCCGTAGGATAGCGATCCGAATTCAGTGGCCGAAGAGGAGGGGACGATCTTGGGGAGGTTGATTTTGTCCTTTTCGACGCCGAAGAATTTTAGGAGTTTTTCGTCATATTTCACGGTATGGAGGTTCATAAACATGGTTCGGGAAGCATTGGTCGGATCCGTTACGTGGATATCTCTTTCCTTGCCGCCGTTGAGCTTGTATAGCAGCCATGTGTCAATGGTGCCGAAGGATAGGCGTCCCTCTTCATAAGCGTGGCGGACCGCTTCCACATGGTTCAGGAGCCACACGAGCTTGACCGATGATGGGTATGTGGAAAGCGGGAGGCCGCATATGTCCTGCAGCTCGCCGGCGCCGTCCCGCTCCTTCATCTCACGGACCAGACCCTTGGTTCTCGTGTCCGGCCACGCGATCGCATTGTGTAAAGGTTCGCCAGTCTTGGTGTCCCAGACCACTGTCGTCTCTCGCTGGTTGGTGATGCCGATTGCTTTGATGTCTGATATGTCGTGGCCTTGGCCAAGGAATGCTTGCGTCGCTAACTCTATGCACTGATCTACGGAATCGACAATCTCCTGCGGATCATGTTCATGCCATCTGTGTTGCTGGTGAGCACTCCGAACTCCCTATTAGACGTAATTGTCTTCTTTCTCTGGTTCCTCTTTGGCGCACGAGGGCGCGCAATTGTACCAATCGAAGAAGATGAAGCATAACCATGTGACTCGAATTGGTGATCGGTCTGGTTTTGGGGTAAGATGGGATTGTCATACTCACCCTGCATGGGGGTATTTTTGCGTAAACTCAATCTGATGCTGCGCGACCGGCTCTCCTAACCCGTCGAAGATGATGAACCTCGTACTCGTCGTGCCCTGGTCTATCGCGCCGATGTAGAATTGTCTTAACTTCTCCTCGTCGAGTTGCACACCGGAGTCTCCATTCTCGCCAACGAAGTCTTCCTTTGGTTTTGGTTGCGCATTAGTCGTCGCCGCCGATGTGTTTTCTATCGACATTGTGTGTTGTGTATGTACGACGACGCTGTGAGATGTTGCGAAACGGCTTGATTTGGGAGGATTTGTACTGTAATGCGATTTCCCCCGAAAGGAGACGGAAAATCTTCTTATTGTGGTCACGGAGATGTTCCGGGCGCAATTGTAGCCAGTGTGCGAGCGTGTGAGGTGGTTATGGGTCCAGAAATATGGGGGTGCAACGTTGCTATGACGTTGGATTAGGCGCGCAAAAGGGAAGCAGATGTGGAGTTTCGCGATGGCTAAGTAGGTAGGTAGGGGAGGGTTAGGAGGATGGTCGGTCGTCTACGGCGAAGCAATAAATCGGACTGAGATGGTAGAGGAGAAAGAGATTGAGTGAATAGGAGGGAGCATGTTATTGAGAGAGAGAAGGTCGGCCAAGGGGAGGGGGGTTTTTTAGGTGTTGAAGGTCAATTTAGCACGCGACTTCACAAGGAGACGAGAGGAAAATAGGCAATGGGAGGCACGGCCGTGGAGTAGCACGAGTAGATACTAACTACGAAGTAAGTCGCAGTACTCCGTTACCTAGGTAGGTACCTATTAACTAGTAACAGAGAAATGTTTAGTTGAGCGCGTGTGTAATAAAGTGTGTGAGTGGTCATGACGCAGCGGGAGATGGTGTTTACAAAAGCGGGGGTCTTCTCGGAGGGGTGAGCGGAGGAGAAGGGAGGGGGGGCATTGAGAGAGGGAAGAGTGTACTTCTCCGCACACCTATTTTACACAGGCACTGCAAGTACACTCTTCCTATCCACTCGTCTCCTATGTCAACCACCAATTCCATTACACAAACTATCTACAAAACCCCCTTTGGGCGTTTTCGTTCCTCCTAGTATACCGAGCATGTACCAACGAAATGGCTGTAGACGGACGGATAAGTTAACAACTAGTAGTATCCACCCGCCCACGTACTTCAACAAACGCCGCGCAATTCCAACTGCAGGATGCATGTCCTGAACACTGCACACATCATGTGCAGCCGCATGGTTTTCCCTCTCGTTTTCTTGTCCCTTAGCTATGCGGCGACGCTATACCCCTCTCTTTTCCATCCGGCTCGGTCTGGTACGGTATCCCGTACAACTCTTAGCAAAACATTCACCATCCTTTCACCTTGTAATTACCCCAACCCCCAAACCCCCAACCACGAAAGAGGTATTTCCGCTGCTCTTGCTTCTGGCGCGCGGGTGAAATCGCTTCCATGATTCCAACCGGACGAGGCTGTCCTAGCAATTGCACGCCCACAAGTCTAGCCCCGCCAGCGTCCGGTCCATGATTGTGCCGATCTCTTGCAGCTATTTTCCCATCACTAGGGTACCTGGGTTGCCATGTCTGGTCGCTGGCCCTTGGTGCGAACCATTCGGCTATCTCAGATCATTGCAGTTGGTTGCTATGTGGCGTCCTTTTTTCTCTCTCTGCATTCCCAACACTCTCCCTCGTTCTGGGGTCGGATCAACGAGGTCGGGGTAGTGGATTGTCGCTGGTCCTTCTGGGGGAGCCTCCTCCTTTCCCGGAACAACTGGAGTTGTGCTAACAATGCGACGGAAAAGCCGCGACATCTTTAGCCCGCAACGCCGCACTGCACACCTGGAGTGTTGTTTTGTGGACCTTTGCCTTCTGATGGAGCATTGATTGATGTTCTTTGGCTGCTCGTGACCTTTGCATCACGATCGATCGGCACGGAGCTTTGGTATGCCTGATATGCACAACTGTGAAAAGCTCATCCTGTTATTTGTGATTACTACTATTATTCGAACTAGTATTACTATTGCTTGCGCCAGATAATTCCAATCATAACTTTGTACAAAGCGCATACGCAGTCCTCGTGCGCCGATCCCGGATACTAAAACACGGTCGAAGAGGAACGGAACGGAAAATGTTCGCTGGAAACCCAAAACATGAGAGATAATCCGGCGAGAAAAGAGAAACATACTGATGCCCAAGACTTTCGTCTCCCCCGCCTCCCCACCAATTAACACATGTCCATACTTTTTAGTAAAGCAATAATAGTGCGAACAACGGTTGATCGGACTTTTATTTCTTGCCCTCGCCCTCACCTTTATCGTCCTTGCCGTCCTAGTCGGCTTTTTCGCTATTCTCCTCCTTTCCCTCCTCCTCGTCCTCCTCTTTCTCATCGTCACTGCCAGCTTTGGCGGCATTCTGGATACGAATTGCCTCCTCTTCTTTTGCAAGGGTCTTTTGAGCATCCTCTCGCAGTGCGGTGATTCTATCGACTGCACCAGGGATTCGTCCCACTTTCTCGGCGACCTCTCCGCGACCAATCAGACTCACGACGATGCTGGCACCAACAATGAAGGTGAGCACGAAGCGGTAGATCGCGTACCATGGAGGAGTCCATCCCTTATAGGAAGCGCGTGTGTCGACGTAGTAAAGCATGACGAAGGCAGAGAGTTGAGTGATGAGTGCGTACTCAACGGGCATCAGGATAGTAGGCCAGGCGATTGCTGGAGCCAACACACCGATGGCATACCGCCTGTAACCCTGATAACCGCCATAACCTGCCCACTCGAGGCCCCAATGGATGGCACCCAAGAAGGAGAGAATCTTTCTCGTTAGCAATGATGGAAAATTCATGCGATTGTCGGAGACATACCACGGCGCCGTATCCGATCTGCAAGGGTTCCAAAAAGTGAAGCAATGTCTCAGCGGTCTGCGTCGAGAGCAAATATCCATAGCCTGCCACGGAGTGGTTGATCTCATACGCGCACACGACCGTGGAGAGTGACGTCGCAAGGTAGGGCAGAACGCCGGCAAGACCAATCAGATAAGCCTGTCGAGGCACCTCTGACAAGTCGAATGTTTCCTTGATCGTAGTCTTCACAATTCGATTAGCATTGGGGTGGTGATGAAAGGTTCCGAGAATCCCATACCACGTCGCCTTTCACCCCCGCCATCATGTCGACTTCTGCTTGAGGGTTGGTCCTGCCGACTTCGCCCACGAGCGGGTGGGTAGTCGAATAAGCAGAAACAGTCTCTGGCGAGGGTTTAAGTTTCTCCTGAGAGTATCGCTTTTCTGCCTTGAGGTCAATCTTGTCGGATAAAGCACGTCGCAGGACAGCGACTTGTATAGGTTTCATTTGGGCCATGGAGAGTATCTGGGGCCGCTTAGAAGCCACGGAGCTGAATTCGGTATTCCATTGCACAGGTTTGGTCGTCCGAATGAAAGAAGATACAACTGGGCGAGCGGATGGTGCGGCGATTGACCGCAAGGCCAGACGCGAAGCTCCCGTGCGAAGCATCCTGAAGCTGCTAACAAATGTGAGGGTATTGGCGATAGTTCAGGTTCAGAAGTTTGATTCACATCAATTCAAGATGATGAGGTCCCAGAGGATCAATTCGAGGTCAGTTTGGAAAGTAATTATTAAAGCTACCTAGGAAAGCTGGCAACCTGGAGTTGGGGAGGACATTCTTGAAGCTGTATCCCCGCTCCCACCAAGATGTAGAATCCCATGACGTAGCTATCACAAATGGTACATCGGGCGAATCTCGGCAAGTCCCATGACCTGAGCGGGTTCTCGGAATGGAAGGGAAGAATAAAACAAGGGACGAAACTGAATGGGATTGGATACAGTAGGCAATATATCGATAATACAATTAAACTTTTCGTTTACTGTTTATTTTGTGTCGTTCCAACGGGCCTGCAGGCAACTGATTTAGTGAGGATATCCACGTGACAGGCTAGTTGAGACGGGAGCCGTTTGCGTGCATGGGACGATGTCTTGTGAAAACCTCCCGAGACAAAGCCGCAACAAGCAAAGCGCAAAGCCTACATACATGGCAGACCTCCGTCGATCGAGGTGGAGGTTGAATTGACAAGAATAATGAATTGCAAGCATACAAAGAGCCGGTCGAGCTGCAATGGATGGAGGTCAGCAATTGGGGGCAAAATGTCTCATCCATGCTCAGTAGATGGCGAATTGTGCCAGTAGAAGCGTTCAGGTAACAGTTGTGCGACAACATCAACCTTGACCTGTACAGCCTTGCGCGCATGTGTGTGGCGCAACTCACTCCTTATATGGGTCGCAATCATAACTTCCGGTCAGACCGTATCAAACAGAAAACTGTTGAGCGGTGAGGCACTACTCGTACTATGAGATTTTGGTGTAAGGAAAAACTCAGACCCCAAATGATGAGCAGCCTCCTACAGTGTCCTGTGTTGCCTGGAATAGATAATGTGCAACAAGGGCGTGGGTGCTCAGGAAGAGGATCATGAAAGAAATGTATTGTCCAATTGCTTACGTCCACCGCCCTTCTTTTCACAGCGATTGCCTGTAGCTGAGCGGTTGAATGTGGTATGGGGTGATGCCTTGATTCTTTATTGACAGTCCACTACTATGGAGTACTACCAACAGAACTTGTTTTCACATGGATTTGATAGGAGAGTACCTACAGAAGAAATGGTGCTTACTACAAGAGAATGGTGGGGTAGATAAAGGTGTTGTGTCATAGGTCAGTCATAGGTCAGCAGAAAAACCAAGTCAACAAAAGTCAACAGTTACTACAACGATCAACAGTGGGCGAACCAGCCCAGCAGAAGGAGAAGAGAAATGGACGGCAAAAGAATGCTGTGTTTACCGTATTATTGACGGCTGTGGATACAACTTGTAGTTACCTTGTACTGTGCTTTGTGTTGTAGTTGAGACAAACATATGGGGCGAGGCTGGAGCACGGGTGGCAGCATGAGAAGCCATGGGCGCCATGAGGTAATTTGCCCCGCCCCATCGTCACTCATGGATTCTGTGAGAAGGAGATGGGTACTTGTAGATACGAGTAGTGGCATTCGAGAGAAGAGAGCAATCCAGCATCATCATAGTGGGATGAGATCATTCTACGAGTACTACTAGGTATTGATGGTTTTTTTTCTTTCCCGTTCTTCGTCTCTCTTCTCCTAGTACTGGTAAGAACATGTCGATCAATGACTGCAAGCTCCAAAAAGAAACTTAGCCAATAGCCTTTCATTTGCCTCCCGCTCTCAATCTTAGGGAACTCTTAGGAACTCTTAGGAAAGAGAAAGAAAATAAAGAAAGTGAGTGGATGGTGCGTGAAGTGTCTGGCAGGCTCGTTTCCGTGGTGGGCCGTGGATGCTGCTAGAATCGCCTGGTTGGGTTGGTTGGCTGGGGAGCCAAGTCGAAGCTTCCAGAAACTCCCCTCTGCGAATTCTGCCACTCGCCCACGTTTTATAAGAACCCCGCCAACCTCTCTTGCCTGCCTTTTTCTTCCTTCATCATACAAACCTCCTCTCATACACATACACACTCAATTCGCTTGTGAGCATTCGATACGCCACATTCGACCACTGCAATCACATCACTTCCACCTTTTTTTCCTCTCGATTGATTTTCTTTCTTTGATACCCATACCTTTCGCACTCTCTCCACCATGTCTCCCGCTATCGGTATCGATTTGGGAACTACCTACTCCTGCGTAGGTATCTTCCGTGATGACCGCATCGAAATCATCGCCAACGACCAGGGTAACCGAACCACCCCTTCGTTCGTTGCCTTCACCGACACCGAGCGTCTCATCGGTGACTCCGCAAAGAACCAGGTCGCCATGAACCCCACAAACACCGTCTTCGACGCTAAGCGATTGATCGGACGCAAGTTCGCCGATGCTGAGGTCCAGGCCGACATGAAGCACTTCCCCTTCAAGGTCATCGACAAGGGTGGCAAGCCCATCGTCCAGGTTGAGTTCAAGGGCGAGGAGAAGACTTTCACACCCGAGGAGATCTCCTCCATGGTCTTGACCAAGATGAGGGAGACTGCTGAGTCTTACCTCGGCGGAACCGTCAACAACGCCGTCGTCACTGTCCCCGCCTACTTCAACGACAGCCAGCGTCAGGCTACCAAGGATGCCGGTCTCATTGCTGGCCTCAACGTCCTCCGTATCATCAACGAGCCCACTGCCGCTGCCATTGCCTACGGTCTCGACAAGAAGACCACTGGCGAGCGTAACGTCTTGATCTTCGATTTGGGTGGTGGTACTTTCGATGTCTCCCTCCTTACCATTGAGGAGGGTATCTTCGAGGTCAAGTCCACCGCCGGTGACACTCACTTGGGTGGTGAGGACTTCGACAACCGTCTCGTCAACCACTTCACCACTGAGTTCAAGAGGAAGCACCGCAAGGACCTCACCAGCAATGCTCGTGCTCTTCGTCGTCTCCGCACTGCTTGCGAGCGTGCCAAGCGTACTCTCTCTTCTTCTGCCCAGACCTCCATCGAGATCGACTCTCTCTTCGAGGGTATCGACTTCTACACCAGCATCACCCGTGCCCGTTTCGAGGAGCTCTGCCAGGACTTGTTCCGCTCCACCATGGAGCCCGTCGAGCGTGTCCTCCGCGATGCTAAGATCGACAAGTCCTCCGTCCACGAGATTGTCTTGGTCGGTGGATCTACCCGTATCCCCAAGATCCAGAAGATGGTCTCCGACTTCTTCAACGGCAAGGAGCCCAACAAGTCCATCAACCCCGATGAGGCCGTTGCCTACGGTGCTGCCGTCCAGGCTGCTATCTTGTCTGGTGACACCTCCTCCAAGTCCACCAACGAGATCCTCTTGCTCGACGTCGCCCCGTTGTCCATTGGTATCGAGACTGCTGGTGGTGTCATGACTCCTTTGATCAAGCGCAACACCACCATCCCCACCAAGAAGAGTGAGGTCTTCTCCACCTTCTCTGACAACCAGCCTGGTGTCCTCATCCAGGTATACGAAGGCGAACGCGCACGGACCAAGGACAACAACCTCCTCGGAAAGTTCGAGCTCACTGGTATCCCCCCTGCTCCTCGTGGTGTCCCCCAGATCGAGGTCACCTTCGATGTTGACGCCAACGGTATTATCAACGTCTCTGCCCTTGAGAAGGGCACCGGAAAGACCAACAAGATCGTCATTACCAACGACAAGGGCCGTCTCTCCAAGGAGGAGATCGAGCGCATGTTGGCTGAGGCCGAGAAGTACAAGGCTGAGGATGAGGCTGAGGCTGCCCGTATCGCCGCCAAGAACGCTCTTGAGTCCTACGCCTACTCTCTCCGCAACACCTTGAGCGACTCCAAGGTCGATGAGAAGCTTGACGCTGGTGACAAGGAGAAGCTCAAGGCCGAGATCGACAAGACCGTCGCTTGGCTCGACGAGAACCAGCAGGCCACCAAGGATGAGTACGAGTCCCAGCAGAAGGAGCTCGAGAGCGTTGCCAACCCCATCATGATGAAGTTCTACGGAGCTGGTGGTGAGGGTGGCATGCCCGGCGGTGCTCCTGGAGGTCCCGGTGGCTTCCCTGGTGGTGCTCCCGGTGGCGGCCACTCCGATGACGGCCCTACCGTCGAGGAGGTCGACTAAATGCTCAATTTTGAGCCACCTCCATCTCCTTTTTTTTCTTCAGCATAGAGATTTCCCTTGGGCGGTCATCGGAGTTCTTCGGCTGGTATAGCCATTTTTCATGTTTCCTAATGCATTCCCGGATGAGTTACGATCAATGACTGGGGATGGGAAAAGTTTAGTTAGCTAGTTTGCATGTACTCTAATCATTGGGGCTTTTCCTCAGATCATTGAGTAGATCAAATGATAATCAACTGAAATACTTCAAAAAATATTATGTTCCACTTCAATGCCAGTGATGTGTAGTCGAAATAGTGATATATTCCTTGAAGAATTCAAGCGTTCCTAGGCATGTTGACGATTCGAACAGTTATCAAGCGTGCCTACCTACGGTGCTCAATGGGTCAGTCCTGCGTGACCTTGGTTATACACAGGGTCTGATCAAACGAATGGCAATTGATAATGAAGACCGGCCATCTAGTTTAAAGCAGAAGTTTGGGAAACCAGGAGGATCAGGTATGGGAAACATTGCATGAGAGGTGTCATTCAGTTTTTGCCATTCATGTACATATACAATCCATCATATTGATGGGGGATATCTATTCATCATTTGTACCCCAGCACTATAATACTACCACATCGCAATAACCATTTTGTCCATCCAAACATAGTCATACACACACTGCTCGCCTACCCCCATAGAAGCAATTCCAAGCTACCCCTCGACCCTCCTAGCCTCCTCCTCGGCCCTCCCAAACGGCCTCTCGATCCTCTCGTCGTCGCCCCTCCGATCCCAGATGTCCTCGCTGTTCGGCTTCCCCCTGACCTTGTCCTCCTTCTCCTTGTAGTGGTTGGCGATCATCTCCTCCTGGCGCGCCTTGCCGTAGACGTTGAGGCCCATGCAGAAGCGCCAGTCGCGCCAGTGGTCGCTGCAGGAGCGCAGCTCGCCGTACCGGTAGATGTCGTTGAAGTGGCCGCCCAGGGAGGAGCAGTAGAAGGCGGCGTCGAAGGCGGCGGTGCAGGACATCTTCGTCGGGTACGGGGAGGTTGATGTGGAGGTGGAGGATGCGGAGTCGGAGGGGGATGTTGGGGAGGTGGTGGGAGGGGCGAGGTGCGGGAAGGCGGCGTGGAATTCGTCGTCTTGTTGGGTCGTTGATGTCGTTGTAGAGGAGGGTGGTAGCGGTGCTTGTGTTTGTGAGGATGTTGTTGGTGTTGAGGTCGGTATTGAGGGTGTGGTGGACGTTGTTGGTATGGATGTGGTGTCTGCGGGCGCAGAGCCGGAGCTGTTTGAGAATGGCCACCAGCCCATTGTGGTGTCTGAATATGTCTGATTGAGTGTGTTCTAGGGCGTGAGACTCTTGTTATTCAGGTTGTTTGTACGTTGTCGGCGTGGTGCGAGCCCTCAATTGCCAATTCGTGGAGAAGGATCAATGGATAATCGGGAGAAAGTTTGGACAGTTGTCTTGCGGAGCGAATGTGCGGGAGTGCTTCTGGGCGACAAGGTGGAGTATGTACGTCGTAACGGTCGTATTGAGATCGGGACCAGGATGCGGTACGAATAGTTTTAGACGTGCGCGCAAGTCTGGGAAATTGCTCCAAGTGCGATGGAAATTAAATCGATGGGCTTCGATGGCCGATCGCGAGTGGAACAGAAACTTGAGTGTTTGAGAAAATTCGGACGAATCATCGCACGATACGGACACGCCAAGAGGGAGGGCCTTGGAATAACACGACGTCATGCAGCTGCGGATGAACATCTGCCTTGCGACGATCCCTCCTAGATAGACCACATCACCGTGTCTATTGCGCGTAATATTGTTCCTCTTTGCAATTCACACTGCTTGTAATCTGCTCTTGAAGCCTTTTGCCTCGACTTCAATTCTCTCCTTGAGTCCCTTTTTTCCTTTTTTAAGGTCACGATAGCCGTCGTCATCTTCACTGTGGCCACTAGCTAGGTACACAAAAACCACGACGGCAAAGAATCCGAGCTGGCGTCATTCCATTTTGGCCCCTCAACACATTGCGTTTCCTAGCCACGAGATACCCATTTCGGTCGCGCTGTAACGACTTATTTACACTGCAGTTCCCATGAATTCACGACATCATACGATTTGACGAACCTCTTCTCCCCACGACCCCTCCACATCTCCTTCCGCCGCCTCCTCCTCCTCTCCCTTCCCCGGCCTGGGTAACGGTCCCCTCTCGCCATCATGCTTGAGGGCCTTGTCGCGAACCTGCTGAACAGGTTCTTGGGCATGTATGTCCAGAACTTCGATGCAAAACAACTCAACGTGGGAATTTGGTCTGGCGACGTAAAGCTGCGAAATCTCGAGCTGCGCCGAGAGGCTCTGGATCAACTTCGTCTGCCCCTGAACGTGGTCGAAGGACATCTCGGTTCGCTCACACTATCCATCCCATGGTCGAATTTGCGGGGTAAGCCCTTGAAGGTCAACATCGAAGATGTCTTCCTGCTCGCAGCGCCCAAGGAGGATGCCGAGTACGACGCCGATGAAGAAGAGCGGAGAGCGCACGCTGTGAAGATGGAGAAGCTCGATAGTGCAGAGCTGCTCAAGGAGCGTAACACAGAGGGGATGAGTGCTGAGGAGCAGCAGAAGAGCCAAAGCTTCACTGCGAGCTTGGTGACGGCCATCGTGGACAACGTCCAAGTCAGCGTGAAGAACATCCACATCCGATACGAAGATTCAATATCAGACCCAGGTCACCCTTTTGCACTCGGCCTCACTCTTGCCGAATTCAGCGCCGTCAGCACAGATAATAACTGGAAGCCAACTTTCATTCAGGGCAATGCGGAATCAACCCACAAGCTTGCTACGCTTGGCTCTCTGGCTGTATATTGGGACACGGATTCATCGCTGATTGGAACAGGGAAGGGCACACAAAGTAAAGATGAACAGCAGATCGATCATGAAGAATTCATCGAACAGGTCCGCGGTATGATTGTCAGCGAAGAGAATCCCGATCTCGGCAATCACCAGTTCATCTTGAAACCAATCAGTGGTCGAGCTGGTCTTGAGATGGACAAAACCGGCAAAGCAGATAGGCCGAAAATGAAGGCCCGCCTTTTGTTCGATGAACTCGGTTTCATCATCGATGAGGACCAATATCGTGATGCTCTTATGCTGGTCGACCTCTTCCATTATTTCATCAGACATCAAGAGTACAAGAAATACCAACCCAAGTCCTCGCCAAAGGAAGATCCCGCTGGATGGCTAAGGTTCGCCGGAAAAGCTGTCCTCGACAAGATTCATGAGAGGAACAGACAGTGGAGTTGGGGATACTTCAAGGAGCGCCGAGATGATCGGATACGCTACATTGAACTCTTCAAAAAGAAGAAACGAGAGGAGAAGCTATCACCTACTGATGGTGAGGAGCTTGAGAAGCTTGAACGCAAGCTGTCATATGAAGATCTTCGGTTCTGGCGGTCTTTGGCACGTAATCAACTTCGTAAGGAGAATGTTGGTGTACAAAAGGAAGCGCCGAAGCAGACTTGGAGCTCATGGATTTGGGGTAGCAAACAGGAAGAAAACAAAGACGCGAATACCCAGATGACAGAGGAGCAGCGCAAGGAGCTATACGACGCCATTGACTGGGATGAAAAGAAGGCCATTGCCGAGTCCGTGGACATGCCACGCGAATATGTCAAACTGGAGGTCAACATGAGTCTTCAGACTGGTAGTTTTACTCTCAAGCGCGATCCACACGGCAAATCCAACGACATTCTCCGTCTTCTCTTTGACTCGTTCAGCACCACTTTCCTGCAGCGTACAGATTCCACATTTGTCAAGGTAGCACTAGAAGGCATGCGATTATATGATGGAACGACTGAGGGCAGCTTGTTCCCTCAGATAATCACCATCAAAGATGCTGCGCCTGTACCAGACATACCCGATGACAAACGTATCGAAGAGTTGAACGATGACGAGACTGAAAATAAAGAAGATGGCGCGGATGACGAGGAGAAAGAAGATCCCTTCTTCCAAATGTCCTTTGAGAAAAATCCCCTCGATGGTAGTGCCGACACCGCTCTTACAGTCCATCTCAAGGCTATGGAATTCGTGTACAATCCAATATTCGTTGTAGAGGTCGCGAAATTCTTCAAACCACCAGCGCGTCATATGGAATCAATTGGCGCGCTTATGGAAACCGCGGGTGCTACGGTGGAAGGCATCCGACAGCAGACCCGTGCAGGACTAGAATTCGCACTCTCCGAGCACAAAACAATCAATGCCCATCTTGACCTTCAAGCACCTCTCATTATCATTCCCGATTCTATAACGAAGAAGTCCAGCAACTGTCTCATTCTCGATGCCGGTCACGCAAGCGTCACTAGTGAACTTGTAGACCAGGACACCCTCCGCGACATACAGGCCAAGCAAAAGCAGCAATACACTGATGAAGACTTCCGGCGCCTCGAAGCCCTGATGTATGACAAGTTCATACTCAAGTTGGAATCTACTCAGGTCTTGATCGGCCCATCCATCGAAGAAACCAGGGCCCAGCTGGATGAAAAGGCGTCATCGAAGAACTTCCACATCGTGGACAGGATCAATATGGACTTCAAGATTGAAACATGCATCATTCCGAAGGCTTCAGATCTCACTAAATTCCGCATATCTGGAAACTTGCCTGTGTTGCACGCCTCCATATCCGACGCGAAATACAAGAATCTCATGAAATTGATTGACGTAGCAGTGCCCAAATTCAATGACGACGGTCCCAGCAACGAGATCGTCGAAGGCGCCAAAGGTCCTTCCAATCTCAAGCCAACATCTGAAGCCAAGCCTGCCGAGGACAGTTTGGGGCGCCCAAGAGCCAAATCTTTCCAGTTCGCGGCCCAAGAACATGAGCTTGTCATGGAAGAAGAGGGCGATGATGATAAGGGCGATAAATTTGAAGATGCCCGTGAAGTCAAGTCCAAGAAAGATGTTAACCTGCATCAGCGCAATTTTGAGTTCAAATTTACCGTCGACAAGCTCCAAGGTTCACTCTATCGATCGGATCCTGAAGGCAAAAAACCAGATGCGCTTCTTGTGGAATTGATTGCTGAGCACTTCAACCTCGAATTCTACCAGGAGGCCTTTGAGATGGGTGCCGACGTTCGCCTCAAATCGCTCGTGGTGGAGGATCATGTGGATGAAAATCCTCTACCAGAGTTCCGTAATATCATCACTTCAGAAGACACATCTACCGAGGAGCAGAAAGACCTCTTCTCATTAAAATTCGTAAAGGTGAATAACGAGTCCCCCGAATTCCAAACAAAATACGAAGGCATTGCCATGAACCTCGACGTTGCTGTTTCAACCATCAACCTGATAGTCACAAGAAGAACCCTTCTCACATTGTTGGACTTTGTACTCATCACATTTACAAACCCTGGTCCCCAACAGGACCAACAGGCTCAGCTGGCAGCCAAGTCAGATGAGCAGGTCTCAAACGCACCGCAAGCTGAGCAGGGCAAGATCAGGATTCGTGCTGAGCTCAAGCGCATAGCTGTCGTTCTCAACAATGACGGAATACGATTGGCGACCTTGAGTTTGAACTCTGGAGAGCTCGGGATCTTCCTCAACGGCAAAACCATGCGCATCGGGGGAAGACTCGGAAATCTATCCTTGATTGACGATGTCAACCAGGGTGTTCCTGAGGAATCGTCTCTTCGCCAGTTGGTCACAATTGAAGGTAAAAACCTTGCTGATTTCAGCTACGAGACCTTCGACTCGGAAACCGAGAGTTACCCTGGATACGATACGTCGATTCAATTGAAGACTGGTTCCATCAAGATCAATTTCCTGACGGAGCCCTTCCGCAAAATTATGGAGTTTGCCGTCAAATTTGGAAAGATGCAGGCCATCTTCAACGCTGCACGCCAGGCCGCGGCTAACCAGGCAAACCAAATCCAAGAGCGAGCGACGAAGATGCATTTTGATATCACCATCTCCACGCCGATCGTAGTTTTCCCAAGGATGGTCATATCCGACAAGCCGGACAGAGACACACTGACGGCCAATCTTGGAGAGATCTATGCCAAGAACCAATTCGTGCCACTTGACGATTCCGAAGGCGCCGAGGTGGCCAACAAGCTGTCAGCTGGTATTCGAAACATTAAATTAATTTCTAATCTACACTACGACGATGATCGATCTGAGGAGTTGGAGCTTATCGACAAGGTTGATGTGGACTTCAACATCACCATGATTGAGCACAAGCCCGGAATGCAGCGACCGGATCTTGAGATTGAAGGCTCAATGTCAGATATCAATTTGAAGATCACTCCGGACCAGATGAAATTCGCTCTAGAACTGTCTCGGTCCATTCCGACCGCGTTTGCCACAGAGACTGAAGCTATCGAGGAGGACGTACAGCAAGAGCTGCCAGATTCAACTACTGAGCCTGCTCGGCGTTTGACGGACAAAACCACCGCTACTAAGAATGAGTCCAATCAGCTCACGTCAGGGCAAGGTCCCGAACTTCTCACCAGTGATGAGAAATGGACTAAGCTTGATTTCATCTTCAAGATTGGTACGATCGGATTGGAGTTAATAAAGCCAAAGAAGAATGGGCCTGTTGGAGACATTGAGGCTGCCGGCTTGTCCAAGTTCTCGCTCAATGAAACGAGCGTCAAGCTTCGGATGATCAGCGATGGAGCTATGGAGGCTGAACTAGTCGTTCGGTCTTTCACAATTCGAGACATCAGAACACAGGAGACCAACAAGTTTCGGAAGATCATGTCACTCATCAATAACGATGTGAAGCAACAATTCATGGCCAGCTTATCGATATCTGGAGGAGAAGAAAAGAACCTTATCGCCCTCTTGACCATCGATAGTCCGCGGATAATTCTTGCGTTGGATTATCTCTTTGCCCTTCAGGCATTCGTCAATGCTGGTCTTGCCACAGACGACCCGCTTGCGATCGAGGCAGAAGCAGAAGAGGATGAAACAGCTAGCTCAATGGATCTTATGTCCCCTGATGGGACCAGATCGCCTGATAAATCCCCCCCAGACTCTGAAGAGTCTGCACAAGGTGGAATGAATATCTCTTTCCGCGTCAATCTCGTCGATGCTCAGGTTGTACTCATCGCTAATCCTGCACTTTCGCACTCGGAGGCTATTGTACTCGGTACGAAGCAAGTTCTTGTATCGAAACAGCAAGCCATGACCCTGCAGGTCGACAAAGTGGGCATGTTCCTTTGTCGCATGGACAAGTTCGAAACAAGTCGACTGCGCATTCTCGATGACTTCAGTATCCAAACAGCACTGGACATTCGGAATCAAGGAGGGAAATCGTCCCTGACTAGTATCTCGGTTGATATTGAACCCTTGGTGCTCCGTTTGTCTCTTCGCGATATCCTCCTCGCGATGCAAATCGTGAATCGTGCTTCTGCCATGTCAGCCAATGACGATGGCAACATGGCCAGTGCAGAACCTCAAAAGATCAAGCAAGGTACGCCTTCTTCGAAACCGAAATCAACCAAACCGGCATCCACCAAGGTGCAAGCAAAATCGCTTGCTACTAGTAAGCGCACGGGTCAAAGCAAGCGAACAAGCCAACAAGGACTTCCGAGTTCATACGGAGGCTCATCTGCCATACTGAAGCGAGAAGAAATGAATGTCAATATCGAAGGAATCCGAGTCGTTCTCATCGGTGATGTACATGAGCTACCCTTCCTGGACTGGCGAGTCAAGAAGTTTGGTGTCGATGTCAGAGACTGGTCAGGAGCTATGACAGCCGATACCTCCGTGGACACGCTCATCAACGTCTACAATTTCTCTAAATCTGCGTGGGAGCCACTGATCGAGCCCTGGCAGCTGGGTTTCCATATGTCGAAGGACCAACACCCAGACAAGCTTTCATTGGAGCTATATTCAAGAAAGTCTATGGAACTCACAGTCACAGCGGCGACGATAGCACTTGCTTCGAAGTCCTTTGATTTCCTCACCGCTGACGAAGATATTCTGTCGAAACCTCGCGGTAATGACGCACCGTATCGCATCCGCAACCATACTGGTTTCACGCTCGACGTATGGGCGGAGGGTAAAGATTCCCAGGACGGATATGCTGCCAAACTGGAAGATGGAGAAGAAAGGCCTTGGCGTTTTGAGGACCCCTCAGCTACACGAGAGTCATTATCGCCTGATTCTGCCACCGGGGTTCTAGGCATAAGACTGCAGGGCAGTGGCTTCGATAGCATTCCTCGAATTCCGGTGCATCGCGAAGGGGACACTCTTTACAATCTGAAACCTAAGCAAGACAAGATACTGCATCGCATTTTGGTGGATGTCAAGCTGGGCATGGACAACGTCAAGTATATCACTTTCAGGTCTCCACTCCTCATCGAAAACAACACGCAGATCCCTATCGAGCTCGGGATTTACAGTCCCGAAGAAGGCCACCTTCTCAAGATTGAGAAGATTGCGCCCGGTGATGGTCGTCCCGCTCCTGTAGGCGCTGCTTTTATGCACTCTGTGGTTGTTCGTCCAGATCAGGGCTTCGGATATTCTTGGTCGAACGAACAACTCTACTGGAAGGACTTGTTGAAGCGACCAACTCGCACAATCACCTGTCGTAGCGAGCAGGATCAACAGGCACCACCATTCTTTTTCCAGCTCCATGCTGCGTACGATAAGAATGACCCAATCACGAATGTGTATCCTTACATGCGCTTGCGTCTACGCGCTCCGGTTGAGGTGCAAAACTTACTCCCGTTCGACTTTAAGTATAGAATCTATGACGGCACCACTAAGAGGGACTATACCAATTTCCTTAGAAAGGGAGGAGTAAGCCCCGTCCATGTGGTTGAACTGTCACATCTCCTGCTTGTCGGGGTGGACATGCAAGATACGCCGTTCAAACCTAGTAAGTTTGGTATCATCAACTCCAACGATCGCGAAAACTACAAGAGAGAAAGACATCTGGAGGTCAAAGACAACAACGATCTGACACTACGCCTCAACATGCATTTCTAGTAAGTATATCAAATTTGATCTCTGGCAAGCTTATCGCTAACAAGAATAGCAACTATCCCGATGGTGGTGGTGCCTTTAGAGTTACGATATACAGCCCTTACGTCATACTCAATCGTACAGGAATTGAGCTTGATATACGCGGCAAGCAATTTCTCGGTGGATCTCGTAGCGCTGCTGGACAAGGCGTCTTCGCTGACACCACCAATCCAGATGGCTCGAAAGCGACACCCTTCATGTTTTCGTTCCCCAATGATGATAAGAAGAATAGAGCTCTCATCAAAGTCGGCGACTCTGGTTGGAGCAAACCACAAAGTCTTGACGCCATCGGTAGCAACTATGCTGTGGCCCTACCCTCCTCTCAAGGAAGGTCCGAGATGCATATCGGTGTAACGGTTTCCGAAGGCGAAGGCAAATACAACTTGAGCAAGGTCGTGACAGTTGCGCCACGTTTCATCATCAAGAACAAGATGAAAGAGGACCTGAATATTCGCGAACCCGGATCTTCTGACTTCATAGCCCTGAAGAATGGAGAGCTACACCCACTGCGATGGTTGCGTCAAAACGGCAATCCTCAACTATCCCTCTGCTATCCAGGTGTCAACAACCAGTGGTCGTCGCCGTTCAACATCTCCAATGTGGGCAGCATCCACGTCAAATTATCCAAGGCTGGACAACGCCAGAAATTGGTTCGAATCGATGTCCTCATGGAGAACTCGACAATTTTCGTTCATATCAGCGTGGAGACAAAGCACTGGCCATTCTCGTTTAAAAATATGAGCGACCAAGAGTTCCTCTACTGGCAGACCAACCCGAACTTGGATGAAGATGAAGAAGATCGTGGATCAGGATTCCGTCCGATCAGATATCGCCTACCCGCACGAAGTATCATGCCATATGCATGGGATTTCCCCGCTGCCAAGAATAAGGAAATTGTCCTCAGTGCGAATGGGAAGGAGCGACACGTCAAACTTGCCGAGATTGGTAACCTGATTCCATTCAAGCCTCCGCCTGGACAAGGACAGGCCCGCGCAAAGGTGTTCGATCTTAATGTGGTAGCCAATGGACCGACACAAACCTTGGAGATATCTAACTACAAGCCATCTAAGAGCTTGTATAAGCAAAAGTCTTTTGCAGGATCGACGTCAACCGCTGGAGGCTTCGAAGTCAAGGACGTAGAGACCGGTGTCAATTTCACTGCCCAACTTCGTCTCGCCGGAATAGGTATCTCCCTCGTCAATAGTCAATTGCGTGAGCTCGTGTACGTGACGCTACGCGACATTGAGCTCAAATACTCCGACTCTACGCTGTACCAGACAGTCAATATAACAGTCAAATGGGTCCAGATTGACAATCAGCTCTACGGAGGCATATTTCCAATTCTCCTGTATCCCAGCGTGGTTCCCAAGACCGGAAAAGAAATGGAGGCCCATCCAATCTTCCAGACAAACATCACTCGTGTCAAGGATGACTCCTATGGTGTGTTGTATATCAAGTATTTCACTGTTCTCCTTCAGCAAATGACGCTCGAGATCGACGAGGACTTCATCTTCGCTTTACTGGATTTTGCTAAGATTCCTGGAGCCTCGTGGTCTGAAGAGAAAGAAGGCAAGCTGTGGGATGACTCCCTCGACATTCCAGAGCCGCAGCAAGAGCAATCTGGGCAGGACATCTATTTCGAATTATTGCATCTTCAGCCCATGCAAATTGATCTGTCCTTTGTCAGAACAGAGCGCATCAACGCCGAGGACACCGCAACATCGACAAGTCCTTTCATGTTCGCTGTCAACGTGCTCACGATGTCCATTGGAAATGTCAATGACGCACCAATTCGCTACAATGCTCTGCTTCTCGAGAACGCGCGGGTATCCACAGATACACTGACAAACAACATCAAGAATCACTATGTGCAAGAGTCACTTCGACAAGTGCATGTTGTGATCGGCTCGGCTGATTTCCTCGGAAATCCTGTTGGTCTATTCACCAATGTCAGCTCGGGTGTCGCTGACATCTTCTACGAGCCGTATCAGGGACTTGTCAAATCTGACCGGCCAGAAGACCTCGGTATTGGAATCGCCAAGGGTGCATCCAGCTTTGTAAAGAAGTCCGTCTTCGGATTCTCGGACAGCATGGCCAAGTTTACGGGCAGCATGTCCAAGGGTCTTTCCGCTGCAACTCTGGACAAGGAGTTCCAAGATTCGCGCCGCATGTCCCGATCTCGCAACAGGCCGAAGCATGCACTTTATGGTATCACTGCAGGCGGCAACGCATTCGCCAGCAGTCTCGCGAGTGGTCTTGGCGGCTTAGCCCGTCATCCCATTCAAGGTGCAGAAAAAGAGGGTGCGCTCGGTTTTGTAAAGGGCGTCGGTAAAGGTCTCCTCGGTGTTCCCACCAAAGCCGCGATCGGCGCCTTCGACCTCGCTTCCAACATGGCCGAAGGCGTGCGCAACACGACAACCGTCTTCGACCAGGAAGGACTCGACCGCGTCCGTCTAAGTCGCTTCATCGGCCAAGACGGCATCGTTCGTCCATACTCCCAACGCGAGGCTCTGGGGCAGTTCTGGCTCAAGACTCTTGACAACGGCAAGTACTTCAACGAAGATTACCTCGCGCACCTCGAGCTCCAGGGCAAGGACATGCTAGTCATGCTCACGTACAACGGCATCATGCTCGTCAGGACTAAGAGACTACAAACCGATTGGGACGTCCCGCTCAAGGACATCCAGACCATCAGCAAAGAGCGCACGGGGATGAGCATCACGCTCAAGGGCGGCACCAATGGACCTTTCATTCCTGTCGCGGACGAGGGCTCGAGGAATTGGTTTTATAGACAGGTTGCTGTCGCTGTGAACGCGTATAACGATCGTTGGAATGCAAAGGGTTGAGTTGGGACGTTCTTACTTTTCTGGTTATTTTTCCTTTCCTCTTTGGTATGGAAATAATTACATCTTTGGATGAATGAAACGATTGGCAGGGTAGGGGCCGGATGGAAGGTTGGCAGATTGATATCCTTCGTCGATGTTACTCTTCTCTTTTCTTCCTCATAAGTAAACATCATTTTTAATGCTTCAATATTCTGTTTTATATGCTGTGCGTTGTAGGATACTTCAGCCTCTTTCTCAAGTGCGTCGTGTAGGATTCTTATTCCCGTTGCTGTTGGTATGGTACATGCATTGGGCTCTGTAAGAAGTAATGAACAGGGACGAAATCTCTGGAGAGAAACAAGAATTAAAGAAATGATGGTATTTCATCACTTACCGAGTGTAACTACACTATGCATGATGTATTGAGAAGAAGACCAACCCGTGCAGCAACGTACATACAAATACTTGCGGTTGAGGATTGAGGTGTTTGTGTGCCGATTTTCTTAGTGATAAGTATTGGGTATGTATGTGTCTACCTGATCAATGATCTAATTGCTTTTATTTATCCAGTGCGCCTGCCTGATCCATGATGAACGACCGATCGCCTAAACCTACGTTCTATCGAAGCTCCTTCCTTCCCTTCTCGATGAAATGACCCTGTGCGCAGCACTGCACAAAGAGGCATAGCGCCCACTCAGTCCAGCACAATGTCTCTCCAATCCCCCACCTCGACATCCTTCAAGATCCATGGTTCCTCGCCTTCTACGTTGTCGCCATCACTCGACATATACAAGCAATGCCTGTCCAATTGCGGATTCTGCAGGTCGGGAAGCGTTAGCATTTCGCAACGGGCCACACGCAGCGCCCATGTGATCACGAGATCGAGCTTGGGGAGGGCATTCACGGCCTTCCATGTCTCATCTCCTAGGGCGACGGCGGAGGCAACGACTTGGGTGAGGAACTCGAGGTCTTCATCTTCGTCGTCCAGTAGTAAGTTGAAGTTGGGTAACCTGGGAATGCGATATGCCGCTATGATATCGACGAGCCATGCGCCGATGGTTGGGGAGTCGCTGCATATCGTTCGTTAGTGGTGTGCTTTTTGATTTGGCGGTGTGCTGTTTTGCTAGGGGAGCGAACTTACGATGCCACGGCGTGCATGACGACGAGTAAGAGTGCCCAGACGAGGAATTCCTCTGCCGTGGCGGCGAGGGCATCAATATCCTCTTCGACGTCGAAGTTGGGCCAGCCGGCTCGGACGCCGGTCTTGAAGTTCTCGTAGTGCTCTGGGGAGTACTGCTTCAGCGTTTTTAGTGCCTCTGTCGTGGTCAATATGCCACGTTTCTGGCTTGCTTCAGACGTCCTGACGGAGTTGAAGTGAGCAGACAATTCATCATGCAGGCTGCGGACGACTTTGAGCTGGCCATCTCGATATATGGAAGCGAATCGTTGCTTTTTGTTCTGGGGTGAAGGTGCAGCTGAACGAGATTGGGAAAGTTCGGCAAGTCTTCGTTGAATGAATGCGTAGAAGGGCTTGATCGTAGCCAACGTTATCCTCGTTCCTGGAAAGGACGGGTCTTGGACGGCTTCAGCCCGTATCACTCGCTGTCGGAGAGCAGCCTGGTAATTCGAGAGGACATACTGCGGAGGGCAGGCAGCCAAGCAGGGGACTCGGTTGCGGTATCGTCCGAGCGGTGAACCATTTGGTCGGAAGAGGAGATCATTATCAAAAGGTTCCTCGCAAAGTTGCGGATCAAGGTCGAATGGCAAGACACCTGGTTTATTGAACTGGGCTAATTCCCACTGGGCAGCTTCGCCAAATCGGACCTTCAGATGGATTTGCTCGACCGGGTTGTTCGGAATTGCGAAACCATAGCCGTACAAGAGTTCGCCATTATGTTTTGGTCCATAGTTATTAAACAGCTCGGCGCCGAACCGGAACGGTTGGGAGAGCTTCAAGGAGAAAGAGTCGCGAACCGTGAAGTCCCACTGGGCCCGAGCTGTGGGAGAATGGTCAAGTAGGTCGATTACAGGGAACAGCAGAGAGAATTTTGGTAGAGTTGGGAGTATGGCTTGCGAGATGAAGGCGCGAGATGTGATTATGGTTACGGCCCAGAGATACGACTCACTGCTTGCTGTCAGCAGTGTCCGCTTTTGGCAATGGTGACAACAGGTTAATGGCAGGAATGGTAAGCTGAGCTCCGGCAAGTCTGAGGAGGAACAATAGAGCTAGCCAGGGCAAATTTACACATTGTGAGACAGATTGGCCCTTCGATTCGTACGAGATGACAACGTGCGGCATAAATGCACCCCGGGCGTGAAATGGGACCAACTTACAAGTCACAAGCTTGATAGACTGCCTCGTCCGAGAGGCCAGCCTTGACCATGAAGGATCGCGCTTTTTCCCATTCCTCAAACAGTGCAGTTTTCTGAGCGGAGAGACTGTTGTAGACTGGAGTGCCTTTCATGTAGGCTGCGTCTTCTTCAGAAAAGAACAGAGGCGTTGTCATTGTCTCCTGTACAGGTAAGCATGCAATGTAGTGCTCCCATGGTGATTTGTCTCCAAGAATGCGTTGCTCGACAAGGAAAAGATAAGTCAAGATGTGATTGGGGATTTTTCCTAGTAACCGTTGGAGAGGACTTGTCACGTTTGGAACAGCATCTTGAGTATGATCAAGGTTGAGATACGACAACGTCGACCGAATATGACCCTTCGCTACCAACTGGTAGCCATCTGTATCTGAGTCTGAGCAAGCAATTACATGGAAGCCACCTGCTTCATCCTGTACTATGCGCACGTCAGGATGCAGCCAACCACCAGCGCCTGTGAACCAGTCTACCAGTTGGCGAATGCGTGGATTCGAGTCCGAGTAGGCAGGATTCGATGCAGCATTGTGTGTCCCTGGCTCTGCATGGGCAGCTTGCCCATGCAATTGATGTGGCGGCGGTGGCATGGCGGCTTCTTTGACGCCTCGGTAAGTGGAGAGATTTGGGCCTGGATAATGATTATATGATCATCCGAGCGCGATCTTGAGTGGAGTAATCAACAATTTTTCTTCTGTCCACGATGTAACTTGTAAGGTAGGTTCGCTATTGTGAAAATTCTATTGAGCGGGAATCGGCCGAATCGAAATCCCGACAGCGACGCTCTGCGCAGATTGAAGTGATAATTGATATCGTACGTGCAGCGTACATCCACGTAGGACGAGTTAGAATTTGCGATGTACGAGTGGTTGTCCAGCTGACTTGGCTCGGAAGGTGGAAGTAGGCGGCGCCGAGGGCGGACAACGGCGGTAGGACCCTCCGAGTCGAGTCGAGTAGTGTACAATCTACTAATTGGATATGATCTCGATCACAAGCAAATGTACTTGCAGCGGACAAGATACTGAGGATGGAAGAGGTGGTGTGTGCTGGCGTTGGCGGTGAGAAAGAAAACTTTTTGTCGTGCGAACAAGAATAATAATAGCTCAAATTTGATGTAATGGTCACGATTTTGGTAGGCGTAGGCGTAGACGTAGACGTAGGCCAGGCCTTTGGTTGGCATGTGGGTATGGTAGCACGGTAGGTAGGTAACTGTGTAGTTCGTGCCTTGGTAAATGACCCACACACCACGAGGCTGTATGTATAGTAACAGTTCTAGGTTGTCATAATTCTGTATGGAGTAGTTTCTGTAATAATTAGTGTAGTGTTGCTTCCAGGTACAGGTACAGGTACAAGACGTAATGATCTATTTCTAGAGGCTTGGATTCTCTTGGTTTGTTCATTCTTGTTGGGTTTGGAAGCAATTTCATCGTCATTATCATCGAGCGGGAGCGACTAAAGCGCTTACTCAAACCTTGTACTCGCAGAAAGTTTCTTGGAATTTCGAGTTTCAGAATAGTTCATGTGTTGTCAGCGTACAGTAAGGGAGTGCTCGAGGTCATTGTCATGGTCATTCATCGCGTTGCTATTGTAAGAGTAGGTAAGTACAACACAGTACAGTACATACAGTACAGTAATTAGGTACGAGAATGTCCGTTATGCTGCTTCGCGAATGCCTGTCATGAATGTTTCAAGGATGATGGGATAGTGTCATTAGGTACTCCGTAGTCAAGTAGTAGTTAGTACGAGCGTAGGAGTGAATGGCTGATGGAAGGGGTGTGGACTCTTTCGGACTCGGTCAATCGTTGCCCCGCCTACGGAAAACCGCGACCTTACCACTTTAGGAATGGTGCCAAGCGTCTTTCAAACATTCTCGCATCTGATCTCGTCCGTATTCTCGTACAATTCACCCAATCCAACCATTCACCATTCACCATTCACCACTACACTGTACACAGTACACATCTATCCATCAAACAACCTCAACCTTCCACAAGTATGTACTGAAAACCTCGTACTCGTACAATAAATTCTCCCCCGGTCCTTGCACAGGCGAGACGGGCATTCATTCCTCCCATCCCAGCCCCACGCCTCCCGGACGCCACATCCATACAGGAAAACATTGCGACGAACCATATCCACTCCTGTTCAGCCAGCTAGTGCTACTGCTTCCTGATCACCATCACCATGATCGAGTCGTCGACCATCATCACAAGTATTACATACTACCCTCTCCACCCGTCCCTCGGATGCCTGCGGATGCTGCTTTCCTTGCTGTGCTCAGCTTTATGACGCCACAGATCTCTTCCAATCTCACCCACACAGTGATCCTCCGTGACCCGAGAGCGGAGATTTACAACCCACGTAAGCTTGTTAGGCAGGGCGTGGATCTGTAATACCTAGTCGGTTGCCGAAATCCAAGGGAGTTCTCACCCCCAACCGGCTGTGCCAAGATGTTTCCACTTTGGCGTTTAAGATTTACAAGACGCTGGTCAAAGTGAAAAGCAAGTGCTTACAGCCAATGGCAATTCCCTAGCCCTAATTGTCTTATCCACATCCGGCGACCCCAATTGTGTTTCTGGCAAGGTGTTGGATCTCCTTCAGCACACTAGCGGGACCCGGCATGATTGACAATGCTGTCCAGCATCCAGCCAGCAGCCTGCACGGAGCCACTCTGTTCTGCCTCGTGCGTACAGCGGCGGACAAAGATGAGTGCTGCCATGTCTCACGACCGGACTCAATGAGGAGCCTCCTTTAACTATTGCGGGGGAGACCACCACCTCCTCAGTCTTTTATCCTCCGCCTGCCCGCCAACCTACCATCGTGATTCTCATCCGTTTTGATACTCTCGCTTTTCTCCTTGGGTCACGATAGCAGCCTAGCCCTGCCTACATACTAATACTCCGTACACAAAACACATTCGAAATTGGTGCATTACTGTGGCTTGTAAGTGTCAGCCCTGTCGTATATTTACGTATTACATACTGTGCGCCTAAGTTACGAGGGGCTCACCGTCCCAAACTCTTTTGCGCACAGCCGCGAGCTGGACCCAAGCCGTCTAAACACAAAAGCCATGGCCCGCCCACACCAAGGAGGGATGGATACTTTGTAGCCCCCTTCCGCCCCTTTGTCGACTTCGTCCATATTATTTTCATGTTCTGTTGCTAACAGCTTCTCAAGATGTCGACCTTCCGTAACTCTTAAGTGGCGGTAGCCATGTTGCTGGACATGTTGACAGCAGATGCCGCAGCAAAACACGGCCACGAGTATTCACCGCCCCGACCTTCTGACAGTCGTCCTAGCAATGGACATTTCCTTTCGCAAATGCCACTCTCCATCTTTAATTCAGTCATAAGAGGGCATACCGCTCCTCAAAATGTCCCATCTCCTTTCGTAGAAGAATCAACGTCGCAGGTCGATGCCCCCGAACGAACTAAAGCCGATCGAACAGTCGTACACGAGCATGACAGTCCTATACTCTCCCCTCCTCCCTCCCGGCCAGTGTCTTCAGGAAGCAATGGCTCTCTTGCAGAGAAACCAAAGAAACGGGGCCACCGTCCCAAGACGATCTACAATCTAGCGCAGCCGCCCCCTTTCACTGGTCCCCGCCAGAAACTACACATACGTCCCAAAGTCCTTCTGCAGTTACATCAAGTCTATTCGCAACGCCGGCCGAAACCAGTTTACGAAGTAATACCCTTTTCGCTCCTTGCTCCTCGATCCACTCGCCGCCTTGCCCGTACCTTCAATACCAAAGGAAAGCTTTGTCCCAATGATCTATTGATTGTCAAGGCAGACACATACGATGCCAGTGAGGAAGATGAGAAGTCGGATGATGAGCGTTGGGGAACCAGGGATGTCATGGGCATAATTTGCCCGTCGAAAAAGGGGGACAAAGAGGCGATGGAGAAGACAGAGATACTCCTGGACGATGGCTCTCATTGGGACGTTACACTTATGCCGAATGGTGGCTATGAATTTACCTGTGTTGATGAGCATGGCTTACTATTGAAATCCCGATGGATTCCGAAACCGGTGCATTCTCGTCGAGTTTCTACCATGTCCAGTTCCTCTCAGGGACAAGCTGCGACGGGACTTGGATCGGACCTGAAGTTCAATTTCAGCACCATCAGTGCTAATTCGCGGCGCCATCCAGTCATTGCAACTATGTCTCGAGCAAGCATCAACGTTCTGGATTCATACAAGATGCCCGACGTGACTTCACCTACTACTCCTGTTTGCAACACCGCGCCGATAACCCCCGACCTCACCCGTCTTGATGCTGGGTTTTTCGATGCTAAAGCGAATGAGTGTCCCTCAAGAACAACTGATGAGACACTTCGTCGCTTCATCGTTGCATCTGGCATATGGGTTGCCTTTTCTGAACACTGGTCGGTAGCCTACAACAATTCGAAAAATGTCCTTTGCCCACTACCTCTCTCTACGGCTCTGATCCCACCACCAAACCGCACCGTATCTATGTCTTTCATTGACACCCCCCGGTCTATCTCCCCTGCATCAACCCTGGATGATACTCGTCGGAGTATCCCGAAATTAATACGGGCCAGTACCCAGAAATTACAGCGCCGAAGCAGCTTCACCAACCAGCCTCTTTCGCCAGTTTCCACAAGAGTTTCGCCATCCTCATCTCCCCGCATCACGAATCGATCTCGCCGCTCTAATTCCACTGGCAATGCCGACCTCAATATAAAACGGGGCAGTTTCCGCTTACGCCATGGCATGGCTTTCGAAGAGCTACCACTGCCCGAGACCGAGGAGGAACGTGTGAGCAAGCACAGTATTGAAAGGCTGCGAATAAGAGAAGTCGGCCTTCCTGATACACCCCCGGACAGTCAGAGTCCAAGCCCATCACTTCCGTCACCAGACGTTACCGAGGTTCCTCCAGAAATCGTGACATCAGATTTGCACGCTCCTGTCAGTCCGCCAATGTCACCAGCATTGAATTCGAGAGCTCTGAAGGCGCAGTCTGCCTACGAGCCAGTTACAACTGCTGGATTGTGGGACTCGGGGGTCACCGAAGGAAAGGGCTTGAAATCACGCCCTACAAGCATGTTCGTGATGAACGAGAAGAAAGAGAAGGCCAAAAAGAGGGAAGCACGATCGAGGAGCAAAGAAGGCAAGCGAGAGAAAACGAAGAAGAAGGTGAAAGAGGCGAAGGAGGGGCCTCGCAAGAGTGAAAGCTTCAAGAACCGCATCATGGGCATATTTCGACGAGAGAAGAGTTGATTGAACGGCATTTCCATTCCTCGCGGCATACAAGGCGCACCAACTTCAATTTGTACTTTACCCCACTGTTGCATCCGCATCGCATTCATTCTCCCTACCACCGGTCATTCGACACTCGGTTGATCTACCGACTACATTTTCATATCACGACTCTTTGAGTGGACTACCAGCACCTTTTCATTGTGTATATATATTTCTCTTCGCATATACCCTTTCTTATATGGTGTCTAAGCTAGTCTCGCTTACTGCGAATATCATTTGTTCACGCAACATTGCATTCATAAAAAGCCGTCCTTGATGTTTCTTCCAAGTAACATATAGGTGTACTACTAATTGCATTGTGGTTCTCGATACCTAGCTTTTAATTCTCACAGTGCCGTTTACGCCACTCCATAGAATCCCCTCTTTAGTATAGTCAACTCGTGCGCGGATGTGCGGACATCTCCAGCCAGCACTTTCGCTCAATATGTACCCATAACCACAGTGGACGAGGAAACAACATATGCACACTTCTCTAAAGTGCCGCACATCCCCTACACAAGACTGGGCAACAAATCAAACCAAAACATTTCCCGGTCTTTCGTTCCCTTGTAGCCGTCTCAGACATACGCAAGTATCGCAATTCACGTCCTCGATTGGTCCCAAGTTCTGGGCAGAATGCTCTCTCATTGGACATCTGGACCTGGTGAACAGAAGATCACACGAGAGTGTTGTAGACAAGCAGCTCTTTTCATTTTACTGGGCATCTAGCATGAGTCTACTCCAACGGTGAGAGCCAAACTAGGCGATTGGCAAAACGCCTTCGCTCACATCCCTCGCCATCATTAATAACTACCAGAGCCAGCCGAACAGTCCTTTATTATTGGTCTTCTTCGTCTTCATCAACCAATCCCTCGGCGGCCCTTCCCTCGGAAACTCACCATCCAACTTCGCGCTCTTCTCATCGATGGTGTAGAAGGAAGCGGCATCGCTTACATCTAACCTCCGGGGGCGATTGCCATTCCCTCCTTCGTCACTGCCAGGTGATGAAGCACTTCTCCTCCCCCTATCTTCCGCATACTCGCCCGCCAGGACGATGGAAACATGACCATCGGCATCGCCCCTCAGACAGACAGGCAGCTGCCCATTCCCCTCATCGTAATCGCTCAGCAGCGAAAACTTCCTCAGCCTCCTCTTCGCCTTGATACCATCCACCCCTGCGTTCTCCACATCACCACCACCAGCAGTCGCATTGATACTCCCGGCCATACCCAACCTATCCGCCGCGCCGCTCAACCCCTTCCCACCTCTACTAGCCGCCACGATCAAGTCCCTCGGATCGAGATAATTCCACCTCCCTAGCTCCCTCCAGCCCCTCGTGCGCGTCCACTCCGCGACCACCGCGGCCAGGACCACGAGATTCAGCACGAAGATGCTGTAGACGTAACCCGGCTGGCCGAACTGCAGGGCGTACAAGTGGACAGTGGAGGTGGCTGGGGTGAAGATCTTGCCGACGATGAGCTGGGCGGATGCGTAGGCGGCGAGCATGTCGTCGGTCATGGCGACGAGGGAGTTTGTGAGGCCCTCGAGCGTGGCGACGGACTCGGGGATCGGGTTCCGCGGCGTGGAAAGGTGCGTCATGTTGTAGGCGGCTATGCTGGAGTTGAAGGCCTCGCCGAGGAGCGAGACGTACAGGTTCGTCAGGTCGTTGGACATGAGCTCGAATTGCCGGACGACGGTGCGGGTGAGGTTTCGCGAGGGGTTGAAGTCGGGAATTGTGGAGTCGGCGATGGGTCGGACGGTGATGTTCAGGTTGGAGATGTCGACAGTGACGTTGAAGAGGGTCGGCGTGAAGGTGAATTCGCATTGCGTGCTGTTGAGGAAGGCGTACGATTCGCCGGCTGTGATGGATAGGTAGCGTCGGGGTGAGCGCTCGCTGTAGGACACGCCGATCGCTACGATGGCCTTTCCGTCGTGCCCTATGTAATTCGACATTTCCGGATTCTCGACCGTGTCTGGGATTCGGCCTGACGCCTCGTAGATCCAGTCGCCCATGGGCCCCTTGAGCGTGAAGTCAGTGGTCGCGTTGTAGATGCAGGAAATGTTCGTCAGGTAACCCTCCTCCTGGTAGATGTAGCCCGCGACCTGTCTGTTCGAACTGATGCGTGAATCGGTTAGTCCTGCGGGGGCTCCAACCCCGTATGAGCGCCCGCGATAGCTGAACTGCGTGTTGTCGAGCTTGGGATGCACAGAATTGAGCGAGGACGCCGATGCTGCTGAAGAGAGTAGGCTGCCGAGGTGTCCTATACCGACGGAGTAGGTGAAGAAGCCCTTATTGTTCCGCAGCGAGGGGCCCGATTTTCCAATCTCCATGGGATACTCGCGGATCAATGAGACATCTTCGTAGCTCGGGAGAAGCAGTGTCCCCGTCGTAGTCGTTCGACTGATCAGGGGCGTTATGGAGCCGGCCCATAGCGCGGCGGGAACGAGGGAGAGAAAGACGACGAGCATGACGGGGAAGAAGAATCGCAGTGGGAGGTCCCAGTCCACGCGTGCTAGACTCATATCCACCCAGGTACGGAGTGCGTCCAGCGTCACTGTGGTCTTGTTGAGTCGAAGACGCAGGGCATAGTTGATCAGTCTGCTGATTACCGCAACGTGTATCAGCCCAAAGAACGCTGCGAGGAGTTGGACGGTCAGAGCCACCGAAGCTGGATACTTGTTGGCGAGGATGAAGAAGTAGCCCGTGACGCGCCACTTGAAGAGGTCTGCAGCGAGCAAGACAGAGGAAAGCGTTGTCGTCAGTACCAGTCCGTAGAATGTGCAATATCTCTTCCAGTGACCAAACTCCGCCGTCCGACCATCCTGCCTGTTCTCTCGCCGGACGACGGTGGAGGGAAATGTGAATTGGGTATCGACCATTAAGCTAACGAGCCTCCGTTAGGAGGAAACTCTGATATTAGATGAACAAAAGTACGAGCAAGAGTGAACAAATAGACAAGAAGAAGAATCGCAAGAGAATCACCAATCTCCCACGGAACCAGCCATGAGGAGAGGATAGAGTCAGTCAAACGACAGAGTAGAAATTAGTCCACCAGCCAACAAGTCGCATACGAGTTCATGGCGGGGAGGGAGGGCAGAGGTACAAAGGCACCAAGTATCGTATCTTGAGACTACACTGGGGCATAGTCTCCCACACTCTTTCTCTCAGCCGCATTGCATCCAAGATCCAGATGTGGCGTTCCGGGGCGGCGCATTAGCGATGCGTCTTGCTCCCGCATGAATTGCATTCAACCGAGGGACTTCAGCATGCTCAATCCGGCGTGTTGCGCGGCGATTCGCGTCTCTGGTTTACGTCTTTGCGTCTCCTGCAGCTGTTGCGAAATCCAAATCATTCTTCTTTTGCTGCGAGCGTGCTGGCTGGCAGTGATAAGACAAGGTCGATGGGTATGTACACACTAGAGAGATCGTTGGCATAGTGGATGGAAGCCAACTACCGAGAGAGATCCTGAAACGTGATATAGCCCACGACATTGATAAATATACCCAAAAGGGGTTTTACGAAGCCTCTACTAGGCCCATTCCGTCACGTATTGTCTGGTTCAGGATCGGTGAAGAGCCCCCTGCTGTCCCAGATGGCATCTGAATGTGGTTTTTGCTAGATGGAAATCTTCTTTCTCTATCTTTCATGAATCGTGTTCATCCAAGCTACTTCGCTCGGTGGTATGGCATACTTTCAGCGTCAATGTATTCGAACATCGCCAGCGTGAAAGCATACAATGTCTTCCTATCTCCCAGCCAAGTAGAAAATAAGAGATGCAACAGAACTATCATCGCGACATGCTCTGCCTCATCACTACCGACTTTCCGCGCATGAAGTATTTCAGTATACACGTCAGCACTTGATATCCGTACGACCTATACACGTATCTCTGTACATCCATTCTCTCGACCTCACAGCGTAAAGTGCACGAGCAGCGATATGTCCTTGCGTGGAATATCATCACAGACAGCGATCACCATTATCGTCATCATCACCATCATCACCAATCCCTCAGATGAAACGCCCAAACTCCTACCCAACTCACCCTTCCTCTTTTTTTTTAGAAGCACAAATCAGCCGTGAAAACACACATCCATCAACATCAAACATCACTCAAGTCAAGTACCTAACGAACTAGCTTTGCGAAAGCTGCGAAGCTGACCAACTCTGGTCCCTTGCTGCATACTTAGCCGGGCGAACTGAACTCCTGCAGTCACTCGACTGACTTCGCGAGAAAACACACACCTCGGCCGTGTAATGATGATGTGCGCGTGCGAACGAACGAGCGAACGAACGAAAGTACCCCCCGCATATATACATATACATGTATGCATACATAGGTAAATGCCGGTCAGACTTACCCTACACACACGCGCGCGCGAGCCCCCTTACCGTTCGACCCACCGAGCGAGCGAACGAGCGAACGAACGAACGGTGTACCGAACCGAACCGTCGCATGCTTGCTACTTGCTGGCACTGCTGACCGGGTGAATTGCTGCACCCCTCCAGTCCTCTAATTTCTTTTCTACTCTTCTCCTTCGTCTTTTTTACCTCGTAGACGCAGAGTAAGTAAGTACATACGTGCGTACGGGCGAGACGCTTACTTTTCTTTATTTCTCACCCGTCGAGCGAGGTGACTAGTGATTACTGTAGGTACTTGTAAGTATTGTGATTTCGGGTAGGCAAGCGAAGTTGAAGTGGAGAGCAAGGGGGAGGAGGGGAATATATCATGATACGGGGCGGCGCAGGGACTGGATGGGGATAAGGCTGAAACGTCTTCTTGCTTGCTTGCTCACTCGCTTGCTTGACATGCATGTAGTCATTTTCAGAGGAATACAATCACATAAGGCGACACACATGACTAGGTAGTCAAGGTCCGTAGATGATTAAAGTAGTTAATCAAGTTGAATTGATTGTAATTATGTTTGGTACGTTAGTTCGATATGGTTCGGTTCGATTGATACGGGAGTAAGTTGATTTAGGGTAGGCGATGGTGGAGCGCTACTAACGTTCATCGAACCTACTATCTCGTACCTTGAAACTCCAACAGTGCTGTATGTACAAATCGTACTTTTATCACAGTAACTAGGCAGGAAGACATGTACGGGATCTTATCGTACTCATACATCGTGACTGGTAGTCTAAGCGTGATGAATCAATCGTTCGTTCATACAGCCCAACTCACCAGCGAGTCAGCCTTCCCGTCCCGTCTCTTCCCTCTTGCGAACTCACCACCAGCCACGATGAGAACAGAACCAAAAGAACCGGTCACGACCAGAAGAGAAGAAGAAAAAACCCACGATTGATGAATTGATTCTACCCCGTCTTGACCGGTCCGTACATGCGTGCTAGTTAGCTACCTAGCTACTCGTCCAGCCTGACCCAGCCCGGCCCAGTCTGCCTGCCTACCAAAATGACATGTCCCCGCTCGCTGAGCCACGAAACACCAACTTCACGGCAGCGCGCAGCACCTCGCAGCACAGCACGTCACAGCACCGCCATAATTCGATGTTCACGATCGATTTGATGTATCTACTTACTTACGCTAGATACCGGTAAGTATCAGTACTATTACACTGCCCGCTCGGCCGTACCGTTGACCGAGGCTCTCGCGAGGCTGTACGCTGGGGATTGAGATGGTTACTTGGAGGTTGTTTATGGTATGTATCCAGATGGCCATGACTACACAGTATGCTCATATGCATGCCCGTGGACTCGGACATAGAAATGAGTAATTGGAACATGAAAGGCAATCTCGACCTGTTTCCCCTCCAATTATGTGTAGATTATCATAGGGGATGTTGGATGGTTTGATGCGCATGTAGTGCACCACACAGTATGTAGATACACGGCACCAAGAAAATGAGCGTTTAAACGAGCGAGCAGTTTGTACGATTCGTACTACCAACCGTTATTTCTTGACGGTTCGTGGTAGTTAGTCGGTTAGTGGTGGGCCCTGGGGGTGCGTGCATGCGTTCGTGCGTGTGACTGAACTATGTAGATATCTCTCTCTCCCTGATGTGCACAAGGAATGTTGGATAGATAAAACAATGGGTTGATGTTTCAATACTTTTTGTTCGTTAGAAGCTAGGCCGAGTATGCGCGTACGCACGCACGCGCCCACCCATCCACCCACCCCCTTCGACATGCAAGGTGCGGAGATTAGTGGACGGATTGAGGGTAGGACGAGCACGATTGTAGGATGATGGTCAAGTGATGATGGGTTTTTTCTTTGTAAGATTTGATTGACTGGTTTCATTAATGGTGTCGTTTCAGTGCCGGTACGTGCAGAGAGGACGACATCAAATGCTGCATACATACTAGCTAGTTACGATTGAGTTGATTGAAGTTGATTGATTGATTGATTGATTGGCCATGCCGTTTGAATTTTTTGGCAGGCGATATGATAGAAGGCACGCCGGCCCTTTTTAGATAGTAAATGCTTGATGAAGATTATATCCGAAACCCAGATGCGCCGTCGCAATGCCAATATGTTTGATGATGATGTTGAAGATGCCAAAGATGAAAATGACAAAAGATGCTAAAAAGAACAATTCCAGCACATATGATTACGTTTCCCATCCAGTAGGCATCGCATCGTTTCATATTCTCACTTATCCATGCCTCTCTCGGGAATAAATAGTGCGAGGACTAAGGCGTCCCTGGTATCATGTCGACCAATAGATTCGGATTGAACAAAAGAAAAAGATAAGAAGATGGATGGATGGCTTAGTAGGCGGTAGGCCTGCCGGTGTAGGCACCGACGATCCTGTTGAGGAAGCCGCCGGTGGAGGTCTTGACCTTCTTTGCTGGCTTCTCCTCGTAGCTGAGAGGGAGAGGGTGCTCCACCTTGGGGTGGTGACCCGCAGCGCTGATGTGGACGATGGTGGCGCCAGAGTCGACGTCGAAGCGGTGGGCGACGGCCTCTTCGGGCTCCTCCATGAAGCTGATGGGTGACTCGGCCCTGCTGGAGACGGTGGAGCTGCGTCCGGGGGAGAGCGAAGGTGCCCTGGAGGTGCCGGTCGAAGAGGCGCTGGCGAGAGAGCCAAGTCTTTGGTGGCGGGCATAGGAGGCATAGCTGGGGGCGGGGGCATCGTAGGAGATGGAAGAGGTCTCCATGCGGGAGCGCTGGAGGTTCTCGGCGGTGAGCTGGTACTGCTGGCGCATCTCCTGCTCCCTCTGGGCGATCCTCAGCTTCTCGGCCTGGCGGGCCTGTCGGACGCGGATGGGGGAGAGGAAGTGCTCGAGGTGGAAGTAGAGGTCGTTCTCGTTGATGCGAAGGTCCCAGTCCAAGAGGAAGAGGAGCTGCTTCTCCATGAGGTTGACCTCGGTGATGGAGAAACCGAAGTTCTCGTAGCCCTGGACGGCACTGTACCTGGCCCAGTGCTTGTTCTTGGGGGAGGAGTCGTTGAGGTTCTTGGCAGCGAGGATGAGAGAGGCCAAAAAGATTCTGTGGACGGTGCAACGCATGCCCTTGGCGACGGGAGGAAGTCGAGATTGGAGCCTGCTGAGGTAGACGAGGGAGCTCATGAGGGTGGGGACCTGGACATGTGACCTCTTGACCAAGGAAGTGATGAATGCTTCGACGGAGGGGAGGGCAGGGTCCTGGAGGTAGCTGGCGGGATGCTGAGGTGTAGAAGCAGGCGGTGTGGGAGGGAGGTTCTTGTTGAGGTGTTGTGACGATGAGGAAGTTGGTGCTTCACAGCGGATGACTTGTGATGCCTTCTGTGCAAGGTATGCGATCATGTCATGTGAGACTGGCTGTTGGATGAAGCTGTCGAGGGCAGCCTTGTTTGCCGAGGCGAGGTTTGGTGAGTAAGTCATGGTGAAGGTGATGTGTGTGATGACTTAGGTAAGTACCGTGAATGGTGGGGGGGAGGATTGGATATATAAAATTTTTTTTTAATGTGGTGATGGTGGTGATGCTCGGAAAGGAGCGCGTGGTGTAGGAGAGGATCCCTGTCGACGATGATTGATGGATGGATGGATGGATGGATGGAGGAAGAGTCGAATCCTGAAAGGGAAGATCAGGTGTCGAAGAGCCCTGCGAGGCGGAGACAGAGGATCAACAGAGGATCAACAGAGTATACCGGTCTGTTCAAGCGGGTGTAAGCTGAGTCCGGAAGGCTTTTACTCTTGGACTGGTGGGCTGGGGTAGGAGGGGGAGGCGGCGAGGTTGAAACGGTGAGGGTAAGGTCGTTTGAAGGTAGACCAATTATTAAGGTGGTGATGAGATTGTAATTCCGACCGGCGGAAGGAAGGCGCAATAATGCAAACGGGCAGTAAATGCAGCAAAGGTGAAGAAGGGTGATGGGGCAGACTGCAAGGAGCGAAGTCTTGAAGTATTGAAGTATTGAAGGGTAGAGTAGAGGAGGTGTAGTGTAGTGTGGTGTATGCGTTGTACGAGGGTTGAACGTGGACAAGACCTTTCCCAGAAAGGCAAGTGAAGAAGGGATGGGTAGGAGTAGTAGTAGTAGGATAGGCGGGCAGTGCTAGCACGATGCGGTGCCTGAGGAGAGATAGGGAGAGAATAAATTAGAAGAGAAAAGAGAAGAGACCTGCACTGACCGAGAGTGTGAAGAAAAAAAGAAGTTGTTTCGCAGCGAGGATGATGATACTTAATATCCTGAGCGACAACCACCCCTTGGACGGTAGAGAGTCGGTGGAGTGGAGTAGAGGCGGGTGGTAAGACCAGGCGGCGGGTAGTAGGACAGGCGGGTAGGATGGGATGGCAGGCAGGATGGTAGGATCTCAGTATAGTAACAATTACTACCAACCAGAACCTCTGACTCTGACTCTAAATTCGCTGAGAATCTGGCTATGCCGGGTATGGTTCTTCCCCTGTAGGCGTGTGTGTATTGTTAGGTGTGTGTTGTATGCGTTGTATGCGTTGTATGCTGTGTTCGCTGTGTTATTTAGGATCAGTGCAAGATTGAAGCCTCGACAGCCAATCAAACCCCCGAAACCCTCGTCGGTCTGCTTTTAGGTCGCGGCAAGAGAAACAACAGAAACGGGACGGCGGCGCTTCACCTCTTCGTTTCTGTCCACTCACAAGCAATCAACCCCAGAAGGTCGAGAAAAGCCACTGTTTCAAGTGTCTACAACCGTCAAAGTCGAATGCTCTCCTGCTTCCTGCTCGCCAGTTGTTTCGCAAGCCCAGCCGCAGGGGTGGAGATGGATCTAAGGTATGAAAGGTAGGAACTATCTCCAAGCAACAGTGCCTGTCGTCCAATCTTCCTTCAGCTGGTTCTTCTCTTCGTTTCAGATGAAAGAACCTCAGGTTGAATGTTTGAGATCCACTGCAGGGTCGATGCGTGGATGGTGGGTTGTTTGATCGATTTTGTTTGATCGTTTGGCCGTTTGATTGATCGATTGGTTTGATTGATTCGCACCCCTAGTTGAATGCTTGGTCGAGTGGATCGATGGATGCCAATGCAATAATGCGATGCAATACTGTGCAATGCGATGCGATGCGATGCGATGCGATTCGGCGGAGTGGGATTCTCGGAACGGGATCAATAGGACTCGCCCTGCACTATGCGGCCTGACAACCTATCGTTGCTGAGGATGCGTAGATGGACTGGTAATAGTGTAGGTATGACTGTGTGTATGGATGTGGATGTGGATGTGGATGTGGATGTGTATGTGCGGCACGTGTGGTTGCGTGTGTGTATGTTGCGGATGAGAGGCAACAAAACGAGCGACGACGACGACGACAACGACAACGACAACGACGACAACAGCAAATGGATTTCTTATCAGAAGTCGAAGGACCAGAGAAGGAGATCCGACAATCAATCGCGCAGGACAATTGTCAGTAAATACCTAACCGGCCGGTTGGTATGTATGTATGGATGGATGGATGTATGCACTTGTAGGTATGTACTAGTAGGTTATCGTGTGTGGCTGGACGCGGGTGCGGACGTGGCCTAGATACAACCAACAAGCCCTAGAGCGAATGGTCTACTCCACCCGTCCAAATACTAGTAGAAGAGTCGGTGGAGAAGGGTCTGGTCTGGGTTCGGTCGATCACCAGGAAGAATGATCAAGAACAATTAATAATGACCGGTATGATTGGGTTGATACGGGTGATCGGTCGGGCTGGCTGGTCGTGTTATGAGGCGGTGTGGATGGATGGTATGCGTGTGGTGTAGTGACTATAGTGTAGGTACGTGTAGGTACGTACGGAAGGGTACTGCCGGGTGTGGGTATTATTGAACGACGATAGGGAAAACGACTGAATGAGTAACGAATGGACGACTGGATTCGCAATGAAGCAAATGAAGCAAGTGAAGCAATGGTATGGGAATTATCCACGACACTCAAGAGTCAAGACTGCGAGGCGGACGAGCGAGCCATCCCATCCATATATTGTTCCCAGGAGAGAGATGTTCCACCACCACCACCACCACCACATCGGAGAGTAACGCACCTCTCTCACACACAGACACATTCGTAGACTTCCACTGAGACTACGTACACAGTAACGAGTAACTAAGTCGATTGCGAACAAGAATCTACCTGTTAATCTTCCCTTGTCTGTCTCCAGTAATCTCCAAATCTCCCTCTTTACCCTTTTCTGCATCGCCCGCTGCCACCGGACCTCCATGTTCATTCATGCAACGAACCCTTCCTTCGTATCATTTCAATGGCTTTTGCGGACTTCGCCAGCATGACGCGTGACGAATCTGTACAAAGATGGGTTGGCCACCGGATTAGGGGACTCGAAAAATCTGCCAGCCCAGCTCAGCCCAGCCCCAGCTCGTCTGTCACCCAATCCCATCCCTGGTATTCCCTGGTATACCTGAGTCTACAGCCAGCAAATGCCAGCTGCCAGCCTACCGAGGAACATCCGGACTTTTCTCTACCTCACGAGCTTCGTCTGCCCGACCGTCTTGGGAAGGACATACGTAGTTTCTCGTAGACCTTGTAGACCTTGTAGACCTTGGGGCCTCATTCTGATCCCGCGTATCATTCCCCCGCCGCCGCCCAGAGTGCCCCGTAACCCTTGTAACCCTTGCCCTTACAACTCCCAGCTACCGTACCAATTGCTCACATTCCCCCTCCGCCATCGCGGCCGCGTGTGTGGAATACGTGCAACATCGCCGCCTTGTCCAATATTTCTAAATTCTGCCCATGAGCCCCCCTTCGCTATGGCCGAAAGTGCTAGGCTGACTGTGGGGAAACCCTTCCCAGGCCAGGTCAACTTGGTAGGCTAGGTAACATTACTCGCAATTAGTTCACCGTTGATCAACTGAGGAAAGGGAGGCAGAGTTCTGCCATCTCCAACGCTAATCAACTATTGCTCAACCGATGGGTCGGATGCGTTGTGGCTGATGGGGAATGGGGGAACTCGGAGGGAGTGGCACCGCCACTTACGGTCGGATTTGAAGCTCAACGCAGTTCATCACTAATTGTCCCTCTAACACATTCGGCTCTCCGGAGAGTTGCAAATCTCCGTTGACCGTGGGGACATGACAGTAAGAATAAAACTCTTCAACAGTGACGACATATTGCAATGAAAATGACAGCAATGGCAGCGGCGACATCTCCATCGCCATCTCATACCGTCGCAGGCCGTATCCGGTCCTCACAGTCTGTCTTGAGTCAGTCATTAACCCCAGGTCACGATGGTACGCATCTTCAACGCCACCCGCGCGGCGGCTCTGCTGCAGGCTTGCTCTGGCCATGCTCTGGCTTGCCCTGGACCAAAACAGCGTCCACGATCAAGCCCACCAGACGATGCTTAGTATTGCTACGAGTACCAGTTTAAACCTAGCATGCGACTAGGACTACAGCTACGAGTCTACGACTACGAGTGGCCACTATTACTGGGGAACTGGCTGTTGGAGTTGCACTTGGGTCGGTCATGTGCTCGCCCAGTCCCTCATGCTTGACGAACGAACCTGGCCTGGCCTGGCCTGGCATGCTTAGCACTCTACCTACTACTCTCCGCTCCGCCGCATCGCCTTCGAACTGCTTCCATATAGATCTGAACCCGGTTCATGACCAGATCTTGACAAGTCCCCTACTCCACAAGTCGAACCAACTTATTGTACAAGACATTGGTCATTTAATTTACTCACATCGTGTACTCTTTACAACGTCGGCAGCACGACACCCATCGCCCGTCAGGCGACTGCAATCCACTATAGGTAGGTCTCTACAGATGTCTCGGATTCGCCGCACCTGTTAGGCCGTATGTGTCCACTTGACCGACACCTGTTCGCGCTACAACTACTTAACCTTCTCTTAGTGGAAAAAGGGTATTACATTATAACGATATTGTAGTAGGCCTCCCACGATCCGCACGTGGTTCCCTCTGCGGTACTAATGAACCGTGCCGTACGTACTAAACGTGTGCTACAACTATCATGTGCCGTGCGCATGAGTCTGTATCTACCTACTCCGTACTATATCTCCACGGGGTAATTAGGGTGAGCTATCGTGTAGGTAAAAAGATGAATTGATTCAAATCCTACGAGGCGCCGCCGCAAATTGCGTGGGGTTGCACCATTCTCACGAGTAACCGTCCACCTGGCATGGACTCTCCGAAATGCCAATCTAAATCTCCTCATGTTGCGACTTCAGGCAAGCAAGCGACACGCCAGTCGGAGGCTCTACTGCTCGTCGGTCGAATGAAGGTCAGATAATTTGATTGCATCTACGGAGTACCAAGATTGATTGCGCATCGACCTCTTCGATGTTCGTGCTGCAGCGGCACGCACGGTTCCGATCCTCGATTTAGCTGTAGCCGCCCGCCTTCCAAAGCGCCCGTCATACGTCTATGTAGTGTACCACCACACCACCAAAGCTTACCTACAGTAAATTGCTCATACAGTGTAGTCCTCCTACATGTATATCTAGATACTTGTCCTCAACGACGACATACGGTCGGAATAATCTGTTCCCGGCCCAACTCTGTGGGTCAACGGCAGCATACTGTAGATGCACATCTTCAAACAAAATGAATTCAATCCAATCCAAATCTACCTACCTACCTACCTACCCACCTACCCACCTACATATCCAACATCCTGCCTATGCACCTGTGCCCCGCCTCCCCTTTGTCCAGCTCTACTCGCCCTGGAGTTACTCTCCGTACATACAGGTATGTAAGGCATGTACTGTGCCGCGCGATAATCCATCAGGCCAACAATTCTTCCTTTCTTCCTGTTTGCTTGCTCGCCAACCATAGTAATCATCCATGTCGGCTTTCGGCCCCCGGGACAACGATGTTCAATCATGTTCACATCTTCCCCCTACATACAGACTGCAGATCGCTGCAGCTAGTCGGGTTTCTCCACCAGCGGGCCCTACCCTATGAGGGAGGGATTCAGCTCTGCTGCTCGTTGCCAAGACCAGCTCGACAAGCTTTCTTTCTTGCTTTCGTTGTAGATTGGGGCGGAGCGGGGGGCGAGCGCCCACTCGAGAGGAACAACGTTGGTTCGATGGGAATTTCCCCGAGGTCTGCTGTCCACGAAACCCTCAGAGGCGCAGCATGTTTGATGGGAGCTGAACATTACGACTACATTGTTCTGGGCTGGGAGGTATGGTTGGATGTCAAGTTCTCTCTATGATTTTGCTTTTTTCTCTCGTCGTTGCCACATTATGAGAGCGACGATCAAGTCCAGCCGAGTATAACACAAGAATATGATAACTAGCAGCAACAACGGTGCAAGTAGACATCCCCGCGTATTCCATTCACAACCAACTTGTAATGTCCGGCACCAATCACCACATACAGTAGTTACTCTTTTCCCCTTTGAGACGATACGAGTAGTTGTCCGAAAATCCACTGAACATCATCATGCACCATCACGACTCACCACTCGTACGATAGGTTCGATAGAATCGCAACGCAACGCCTCTCAATACCCTCTCCCTTCATTCCCCGTGTATCGGACATGCGAAAAGAACGAAGATTCACACGCGAAGTCGATCATATCCATACGTCCATCACATGCCAGTGTGCTTTCTGCCCACTTCGTACGTTCTCTCGTTCGAAGGAAGCAATGACGGATATTGATAATCCTGAATCCTGGTCCTGATGGTGACCCTAACCATGTGCATACTTTACGATCAGCCCGATTCCTCGACGCCAAGAAGTTGTATATATGATTGGGCTTGACTACGTCCTTTCCTTGCGAGAGGTGACTGATGCATGAGGTGTTGATACGTATCTAATCGATAGATCTTCATTACATCCTTGTCCTGCGAATGGTTTGCCTTGGTCGTCAGGCATTATCTGTCCGTATTGTTTGTTTCCTTCCTACATACCTATCTGTGTAGAATGAAGATATTATACCTGCTTTTAATGGCTATACCGAGAACGTGTAACGCAAAGAATTACTAGCAAATCCGCAGTCTCTTTCCTAAATTGTTCTTTCGTGGACGAGCGAAAGCCGCAGTGCTGGGATGTCCTCAAAGCTCGCAACATCAGTCACCCTCTCCTTCGAACGAAAAGCTTCCGTCCAGATTGAAGGTCTATCTCCATACGAAGTGATGGGAGTGGAGTACCACCGCCGATCGGGATCTACCAACCCTAATGCACCTCTCCTCCCATTCATCACTTCGCAAAACCCTCCATAGTTTACGTTCCACAAAACCATATTCATTCCCCATCACCAACTCCCAAATAGATTAATTCAAAGAATCAATTCCAAGAAAATAAGGCCCATCCCAACGCTGACAAGTGGGAACGAGTCCTCCACACATTACTTACTCTTCTTCCGGTTCTTCCCCAATATCCACAATCAAGAAATCGTTTGGCCCCGAAATAGTATGAATGTGCAGGTGTCTTGGCTACGACTCGTATAACTGACCATCCCCGCGTGTCTACTCGACCTAGCGCATTGTTCTTCGGACTTCGGCGGCCAATCGCAATGCTTACCGTCGTTGCGTGCATGAATGGAGGATTGGGGTGAATGCTGTTCTCATCGTGAAGAGAAGAAGCGCATCCAGATGTGAACGGATTGAAAGCGAGAATTATCATATCAGAGAAAGGGAATTCATTGATAGGAATTGTTTTTGGTTCGAAAATCTTGGTCTCCGGATACGGGTGTAGTAGAAACATCTTGTCATTTTCCTTCCATTGTCGCTTCTAGACGAATGTTTGTGACGATCTATCTAATCATCCGATTTCGCTCTATGTAAAAGACGATGATAAGAAGAAGAGAAAATTCTCAGAACCAAGAAAGCGATCTCGCCCGTAATCGATCAATCCAGAATCATAGACCAGACGTCCCACCTCACTACTTTCTTTTCCTGCATGCGATCCTCAAGCGACATAACCCCGCCAGCTCGTCAAAGGTCGACGAAAATGCAGGGATCCGCAAAGCGCGAATTACCACCTTTGGGTCTAGGCTAGGGACGCAGTCACTATCAATCTACACATTCACAACGTTCTCGCTGCGGGGACGGGAAGAAAAGTGTACCCATCCCCACACAAGATTAATTGAAAGATGATTATTATACGAAGAAAATTCCGTAGCGTCCCATATCCAACATGTATCTACATCCGTAGATACTGGATAGAGTAATTAGTAAACAACCAAGTAGTCTAGTAAATCAAGTCCAAGCATCGGTCACTGCCTATCTTTCTAGGCGGTAACTCCATTCGCAAATTCATCCGACCGTTTTGGAGGACACGGATTGCTCGAGCCACGGCGGACCCGGGGGTTCGGGACGGTGTCCAAAAGATGTCATTTCTCTCTCTCTTTTATTTGTTTCCGATATTAGATGGGCAGGTAGATTTGAAGACCCGTGCTCCCTCCGTGTGGAAGCGAGGGAGCGAGGGATGGTAGAGGCTTCCTTCGAAGGCTTGACGCGACGGACGAAGGGTCATGATGGGGTAAGCAACACTTCACTCTTGCTGCTCCCGAAGAGTATACGAGGAATTGCCTATTACTTGATCGAATCCATTGGTTTGTCGGTGCGGCGCAGGTCGTGGATCTTCGGAATGGATTGCATGTGGTGGGGGCGTGGTGGGTCTGGCTCGACGGCCGTTGGAATGTGAGAGCCCAGATGGGGGAATTGGAATGCGTGGGTAGATAGATCGATAGACGGATATAAGATGGAAAAAGAAAAATTGGAAGCAAGGGTTCGTTCTATCCACGGGAATGGGATCTCCGGATTCGAGTTAGAGAAGATGTTGCGCAACTGCGAGAGAAATTTGGGACATCAGGGTTGAGCAGTGTCCAACGTAAACTTGATGTGAACAGACTTCACCGATATCGTTCAACTCTTTCACACAATTTACGATTTATGTGTACATATCTAGGTATGCAGTAACTATGTCTAATCTTTTGCTGTTGTCTATTGGGGGTTAACTTGAATCCCTAGATTGTCCTGTACGTATCCGCAACTACTTACACTACAAATATGAAATAAAACATCTCAAAAACCATGAAAAATTGCCAGCGCAATAAATCGCATTTTTTTTTTTTTAAAAATTACCTTACACGCATCTGATCCGCAGTTTTCAACACCCAATTTCCCTATACTTTTGTGTATCCGAAGACACAGATCGCATCGAAAATAAATCCGACGTTCAGTCGTTTGTTCTCGCTGAACCCCGATACATATTCTAATACATTTACCCCTCACGCTCTTCCACGCTGCAATAGCTAACCCGATTCCCTAGCGTGTACTCTTGTCACACTGCAGACGAAAACAAAAACGATAAGCAATATGTAGATATCAAAAGAGTGGAAATTAGATGTCAGATGTCACTCTCTGCAGACGTCTCGGTTCCACAACGCGGCCAGTACGGTCGGACTTCCGCGCTGCGCGAATCATTCGACGTGTCCGTCAATGCACCACCCGTCCCATCGCAACCGACGCAACGGCCACGAATAGAAGAAGCCATACTTGCATCGATTGCATGAATAAAGAGGCGTCCGTGCAGTTTTTAACTGTCCGACCGGCGGCAAGGAAATATACGTACATAAGACGAGAAAGACCAAGTATGTCCACTATTATCGAACTGTACTCGTATGATGGACATTACAATCGAGGTGACCAACTAGTTGTACCATTTACGCCCCGCCGTACGGGTTTAGAAGGTCGGTCGCTGAATGAGGTAAGAACGGGCTAGACTGTATACGTCGGTGAGATTCATGCTCTGTGATGGGTGAGATGGGAGGATAGCGAGTGGGATGCGTTGGAAGGATTCGAAAAAGGACGTTCCGCGGTTTTGGTTGGGTATAAGCGTTGGAAGGATTTGTAGAGGAATTTGCGGAGATTTTATTTTATCTCTCGTGGGGCGTTTTGAGTCAGCTGGATTCGACGTGGGACATTGAGTTGGCACCCGCTGGCGCTGACGGACTTTCATGCATTTGTGTTTTTGCGCTTGCGGGCGATCGGCTGTGGTGTGGGAGTAGATGTTTGTCGGGTCGTCCGATGGCGGTAGTTGTTGCCCGGTTGCTGAACGATGAATGGGGATAGGGTTGATCGAGGAGACGGCAGCCATGTCGAAGTATGTTACGCTCGGTATGTCGGGGGTGACGTATCTCTTGGGTATCACTAACGAGGTATTTCCTGAAGAGGAAGTCGACGATATTCATAAGAACCTTCTAAACGAGTTTCGAACTTGGTTCTTGTCTCATTCGTATACACCAGGCCAGGCCGCCTTGTTGATGTCTATACTAGAAAGGTAGGTAGTCATGTTGAGCAAGGCTCAATTCCTTCTCTTTGATAATCTACACCCCTTTGACCTTCCTTGTTCCAATCCTTTTCCTACTAGTTCACAATCATGTCTCACAAATTCGGCCACGCCGAATGATGTCACTCACATCGGCCTACTGGCTTTGCAGATCACACATCAACCAGTCATGAAACCACAGGACTTTGGAGGCTCAGTAATGTTTAGCCCCCAGATACATCAGCCTCATAGAATGCTCCTGACATTCTGTTGTGGTCTTGAAGCGACTGTACGTGGGTATCAATATCAATAGGATTTTCATGCAGCATATGGTGATGGGGCCTGTGCTCGCCATGTCCGATTCAATTGCGCCCTGCCTGGCGCAGGATGAATTTGTCCGGCGGCGGTCGCGTAGACGGTTTGGTTTGTGGGAGCAAAAGGAACCGATTTCGTGGCGCAGCGAGATTCGATACTACAGAAGGGTTTGCCGTATGCTGAGTGGCATGTGAATATGGTTGCATCGAAAAGATGTGTAGGAGAAGGCCATGGTGATCAGATAATGTCATTCCGCTCAAGGCTCTGTCCACATAGTCAATATTAAATATAGAATCCGTTTCGTATCAGAATTGTTTGATTGGCATGCTATACTCATGCTTCGAAGTGACATGGCATTATGAAACATCACCAAGCCAAGGAGAATTTCTAATAATTGTGTACCAAAACCTGCAGACCGATCATCATACATTAACTCTATCGCGTAATTAGTCTAATTGCCAATATAGGCATCTTTCTATATGGTATCCGTAGAATGAGAAGCAGTTCTTTGAACTTTGAATCCGTCCTGGATGGCTTGATCTCGTCTGCCATTTCATGAACTCTCTGGTAAATATCTCTCCGTGCCCGCAATTACGTCTCAGCCTTACAGTGTATATCTCTTCTCTTCTTTACTACTTCCTGGATCATGGAAGTGGCATCGCGAATATTACGAACATTGGTTTACAAAGACATTGAGCCCGTTTGATCCTGTGCAGGACATCCAGCATCACACTCGCTGATAGGCAAGCTTTGTTTCGATTATTAAAACCATGCTGAGCATAGCAAGTGAAGGTCCCGACGTCCAAACCCTGCAACAAAATTTCAGGAAAGTTTCGTATTGGTGGTGTTCCACTCTTCTTTTCCCAAGCGTTGAATAGATCATCCCAGGAAAGAACCCACGATGGAGTCGAATGCAACGCATGGCTTGTGAATCATATCGAACCAAGAGCAATCAACCCGCTCGTCGCGCTCGCGCCAAACTCGCCACAGAAACGTCTTTGTCGCCTTTTGCACCACTGGCGTGAACTGATCAACGTATAAGTCCACGTTTTGGTTCACCTTCTCCCGTTCGGTGGCGTCTCGCGTTTCGATTGCAGCAATGATGAATGGTACAGTGACGAATCGAGCCGGTTGGTTGGATATGCGTCGGGCCAGATCCAGCTCCATCATGATCTCGCGTGACCAAATGTCTGCTTGGCTGTCCTTCTGCCCGAAAAGGTATTGTAGGCGGTGAATCATCAGGAGGGCCGCCAGTCGATAGACCTTAGCTTGTGCGAGTAAATGGATGACTTCAGCCGTACTGTATTGATGGAGGAAGCCTTCTGGATGAGACGGTTGCCATTTGTCTACTTGGCCTTGGATCTCGCTGAGCTGTTTCTGAAGCAAGCCCGTACAGTTCAAATCAGTGCCGTTCACGAGCGAGTAACTGATGACACAGAGATCATGATAATATGGGAGCAAAGGGAGACAAAGCCCTAGATGGCGATCCACACTTCCTGGGGCTCGCGGCTGAAGCCTCAAAGTTGGCTTTTGGCGGCGAACTAGACACTCCGTAGTCTCCAGAAGAACGAGAAAACTTATTCGAGACTCCGTTCCTGGGTCTATCGTGCCATCTTCGGTAAATGACCTCGTGATACTTAGACAGTATTGGCAAATGTCCGATACGCCAACACCAACTATTGCGTAGACGGAGAATGCTAACGCAAAGCCTAGTTGTAGGCACAGCTTTGCATCATTAGAATTGGTAATGGGAAGTTGGCGCAACGCTATCATGGCGGCAGTGGTATGGCGGATGATGGAATTCTCGTCGATCTCTGTCGTGCTGCCTTGAGCAAGTAATTTCAAAACACCAGCATAGGCCAGATACGCATCTTTGAGTACAGGCCAGGAACTTGGCAATTGGCTGGCAAATGACTCCTGTTCTGCATCCGCATGGCGGGGACCGACAACAGAATACTGCAGAGGTGGGGAATCACGCAGTAGAAACATCATCAACTCCTTCTCGTCCGGGCTTAGATCGGTGTTCTCTCTCAACCATGAGCTGACATGGCGGAGGGTATCTATAGTACTGATAGAACGGCTCGGTTTGACTTGGGTGACTGCATGTCCACATCGTTTCTTTCGGCGGCCTGTCGGAAGTATTGGGCGGACAGTCAAACAGACCTGTTCCAGTCTTTCGCACCTTTCACATGACGATGTGATTGAAGCACGCTTACAGCGTTCTTTGAGCTGGTAGCATCGGTCGCATGCACTTCTGGCCACTTGGGCGGCGGCCCGGGCTGTCGTTACGGCCATTTGGACGTCGAGGAACCAGACTGATCCTCGAACTTCAGTGGGAGATACAAAGAAGGTGGTCAAGGTACCGTGATGGATTATCGATGCCCCGTCATACCACTCGCGTAGGCGTGAATGCCACTATAGACGATCGTACATGTTAAGGGGTGAGTTGACAGATGAAATTCGGATGCCTTGAGATGGGTAAAAGGTTGGCCACGGAGCTAGGCTTCTCTTGGCGAATTCGGCCCGATACAGTTCTACATCCAAATAGTTAATTGATCGCGAACAGTCGTCTTGGAAGGTCTTGGAAGGTCCTACAACAATAATTATTGCAAAATGGATGAGATATGATCTGACTCAGACTAGAGTTTGTGGAACAAGTTGTTGACGGTAGTTAGCCTGTACTCTGTATGCGAAGAGGACCAGAGCCGGAACCTGAACCTGAACCTGAACCGGAGCCGGAGCCGGAGGGTTTCTCTTAACGCTTTTGATTGGATGTTCAGCATCACAACATTCACTTGGTGCTTTGATAGGATTTATGATGCAAACCTTCTGCTATAAAGATGGCATATTCTGCCGCATCAGAGATCGCAGATTATTGCAGCTATATATTGACATATCCTAGATCTCAATATGACAGAATCTATAAAAGACTACCGAGTCATATCTGCCGAGAAGAAGCTTCAACAGCAGAGTAGGATCCCGAAAGAATGGCTTCTTCCCGATAGCTACCTTGGAACTGCAAACTTAATGGATGTACCATTGACCTGTGGAGTCTTGAGTAACGAAGAGTGTAACATCACTTCCAACTTCGATGCTACTGCATTACTCGACAAGCTCAAAGCCGGCGAATGGTCTGCAGAACAAGTCACAGTGGCCTTTTGCAAGAGGGCTGCTGTAGCTCATCAGCTGGTTTTTACACCTATTTCAGTATTTAAATCAACGTCTTACTATGCTAACTACTTTCATTAGACCAACTGTTTGACGGAGATCTTTTTCGACGAAGCCATTCAGCGGGCCCGCGAGCTTGACCGGGAGCGACAATTGAATACCGACAAAGACCTTCGACCTTTCCATGGTCTTCCCATATCGCTTAAGGATAGCTTCCAGGTGTCAGGACACGACACATCGACCGGACTGGCATGTTTTGTCAATGAACCAGCAGAGGAACATAGCGGTATGGCAGCAATGCTGGTCGATCTGGGCGCTGTTCTCTATTGCAAAACAAACCTTCCTCAGATAATCATGAGTGGAGACACCGACAATAACGTATTCGGCAGAACATTGAATCCTCGCAATACAAGCTTAACGGCTGGCGGAAGTACGGGTGGCGAGGGTGCTCTTCTCGCCCTCCGAGGAAGCATTGTCGGTGTTGGTACAGACATTGCTGGAAGCATTCGTATCCCTGCGGTCTGTAACAGGCTTTATGGCTTCAGACCAAGTGTGGGAATTGTACCACACAGCGGCGTGAGAGATCTGACGGTCCCGGGAACGGATGGTGTACGTTCGACAGCAGGACCCCTAGTCACATCGATTCGAGATGCAGCACTGTTCCTGAAAACGATCATGCAGATGGAGACTTGGAAATATGACAGTGCTGCGGTATCAGTGCCTTGGACGAACTTGAGGCCCACCCAAAAAGTCAGGATTGGTCTCGTGCTGGATGAAGGCATCTATACTCCGTCGCCGCCGGTTCGGCGTGGCCTGAACATGGCTGCTGAGCTCCTCCAACAGTCCGAAAACATTAAGGTGGTTCCGATCACTCTTCCCAGCATCCAAGAGATCTATAGCGACACCATCAAGTACTTCACACTATTAGGAGGCCAAGTAAGTCCCAGAGCAACCCCCTCTTCACCAGATCGAACTACAGCTGAGACAGCGATTTTCTAAAGCATTACTATGAGCTATTTGATCGTACCGGCGAACCAGAGATACCCTCCCTCAAGGCTATTGGGCTTCTCTCCATGCCAGGTACTGACCTGCGTGGCTTCTTTGATCTCAATGTGCGCCGTCAAGCCGCAGCACGACAATTTCAACAGCTCTTCCACGGAAAGAACCTAGATGCGATATTGATGCCTCCAGCACCACACACAGCTCTGCCTCACGATCAATGGACCTCGGCAACATACACCGGCCTTTGGAACTACCTCGACTATCCAGCAGTCGTGATTCCTGTCGATACAGTGTGCAAATCCGATCTTGCCGACGACATCAGTAATGCCAAATATGGCGCTGAGGATGCTCGCTTGTATAGTCTCTGTATGTACCCACCAAGATGCCTCGTACTGTAAATGACTAACTTACCCGTTCTTCGCTCCATCAGACACTGGACCTGAAGATTACAAAGATGCCCCGATATGCATTCAACTGGTCGGATACCATCATGCAGACGAGAAGTTGACTCATACCGCCGCTTTGGTGGATTCAATCATCAATGGCAAAGCGTGAACAGCTGTTCTCAAGGAAGGCAGTCCAAAGAACACCATTACCCTCTTCTGGAGCCTAGCGCGAGCACAAGTCAACGTGTCAGGACTGGTATATAATCGTGAGAATTATTGTATACCTATCAAGGACTTGTACTTTCCATGCAATCATACAACAGTGCCTTTAGCAACAAGTGACTTCCCAAAATAGTAGGCTTGTTACGCTAGTTGATTGGAAAAGGAAAGACGTTCGTATGGGCGACACTGGCACCAAAATGACTGTGGACTTGAATGCTTTGATGATTGTGCCTTGCTCGTACGTCACAATGGATGCATTCCTCGAACTGTCTAATGGTATTATTGGTGGATGTTTCCAAGTGCATTGATTGGTGTCCCCAGTTGAACGGGGTGTTGTGGGTCATTTAGCTGTAAAACGACTGTCTGCACCCCACATGGCTATAGACGGATGTATGTGGACGACGTAAAGGCTTGGTGCCGAGTACACAGCAACCTACATAAAGGATACATAAAGATGCCAAATGGGACAGAAAATCCTCTATTCGAGTACTTCGTAGCGATAAGATAGGAAAGCATTGCAGGTTGGTCATCTGTATCAATCGCTTATACGAACGCACGGCAAGATGAGATTGCAGAGATTCCGATCACTATGGGGTATCGAGCCAGGACCGAACCTCGAAGATTGGAAACCTTTGCTTCCGAAGTTGAAAGCCCATGGATATGGTATGCAAGGCTGCTGCTACTGCGCGTGTTTAGCAAGTAAATGCTGACAACTTATGTCCCAGCCGGAGTGGAAGTGAACATGGAAGTCATACTTCAAGATTCAGACCTAAGACTATTCAAATCTCTTTGTGAAGAGAGTGGTCTGCAGATCAGCGCATTGTCTGAAATATCCCCTTGTATCGGCGATTTGATCATGGTGCTGACGCAATCTCAGGATATTCTCATCCTGGCCGAGATACACAGGACCACGGCCAACAGGCTTGATACCTACATTGCATCTTAAAAGATACCGAGAACAGCTCATTCGAGCAGCAGTGTTGAATCCCATAATGATCAACGCTCAATCCGGAGCGTGAGTTTCACACCCTGAAAGGCTTACATTCAATCGGTTAACAGCTTCTCGAAAGCGATTATTGGACCGTGGACCAATCCATCGAGTTCTTCAAAGGAACATTGGAAACCGATGACGAGCTTGGCATGACCGGGAAAGTCTGCCACGAAACACATAGAAATCGGTCGCTATTCAACCCGTACACCACTGCTTCCGTACTCGAAGCTGTCCCCAAGTAAGTAACCCCTCACCTCGCCCTTAGATGTGGAGAACGTGGGTTGATATCTATCGATAGCCTTCGCATTACGGGCGATTTCTCACACTGGGTGCTCGTCTGCGAGCGCATCCTCGACCTTGGAGAGGAGGATAAGGAGCTCATGGAACGAGCTATTCCACATGTAGGCCGAGGATTGATCTGAAGCTATGAACTAACACGTCGACTGACAAGAATTGCTCGCTGTAGGTGTATCACATCCACGCGAGAATCGGGTCGATCCAGTCATCACAGTGTTCAGATCCGACCAATCCCTCTTTCACGACTGAAAGGGAGTTTTTCGAACGGACTTGGAAGCGCGTTATCAGCGCTAGGGCTGCAGCAGATTCTGGAAAGGAGGAAACGGTCCTCACTTTTGTGCCGGAGTACGGGTAGGTTTCAAATGCGAATGGTTTGAAGATGACGTGGTGATTAAGTATGCGCATAGGCCTTTCCCTTACCATCCGATTGAGAGTAAAGTGTCGTTTGAGGCAGTTGCCGACTCGGAGGGGCAGAGACTGGAGGGAGTTTTCCAGGCGCATCTAGATACACTACGTACTACGGACGGTGCCTTCTAGTCTGGCTGAGATGGCTCATCATAAACATAAATAAGGCACGCGATGGAATTAGTATAGATCACACACGAAAGAACAACGGCACTCATCTACTGCAATCTTAGGTCTTCATGATCTCGATTTCATCATAGGCTCTCAGAAGGCTGCTTTTGTTTTACCCTCCTATTTTGGTTATCCACTGTCCAACGGTAACAAGAACAATCGAGAAATGGTATCTCTGTCTGGCCAAGAAGGTTGTTAAATCAAAATAATTGCTATGGTGGATCAAAAGATCCAGAGGGTATCCAACAATATGACCGCCGTGCGCCTGAAACCTCGTCGACATCATCATGCAAAATCAGGAGCGTCTTAGTAAATCATAAACCATAAACAAATGTCAGTTTCTCGTCACCTTGTCGGCCGCTCTGAGTGGCTTCCTCCAACCATTCAGCAACAAACCTCAAGCGCTCGATCCTCCTCAATCCATTCAGAACCATAATCAATGGACGTCGACCCGCCGGCAACGGACCTCTCCCTTCGTCCCTCTCCAGCTCGACATCGTCGGCCTCCCAATCTTCTAATATGCGGGATCTCCGCTTGTTTTCGAGCCTCAGGTTATGCCAGAATAAAACGTACCCGGCTGCGGCGAGCGAAACGCAGACAAGGGTCCACCAGAACGGTATGATGTATCCATCTTCTGCATACTTCGGTTTGAAGAGCAGGGCACTAAAGACACCTGCCAGATTTCCCCATCCATTGATTCCGAGGAGAAGGGCACGTTTACCAGGAGACGGGGTGTTCCCTGATATCCAGGCTACGGTTAGAGGAGATGCGATGAAAGTACCGGAGAGAAGCACGTTCAGCGCGAGGTAGCGAGGGATTGCCCAGCCCTTAGATGTGGGTAGTGCCACGACCAGTGTTAGGCCAATTAATAAAAGCGCAAGGCCGGCGAGAATGGGTATCAAGCGCTTTCTATGGCGGTCACTATAGCTTGCAAATAGGTATAGAGTTATGGCACCGCAAACATATGGAGGCGCTGTCATGAGGTTGACGAATGCGGGGTTCGGAGTACCTGTCAAAGGAGCCAGGACCAGAGGGAGAAACACTTGAAATGCGTAAACTGGAATCGACGAGAGGACATTGCAGATGAGTAAATGCCATATCCTCGGGGAAAGAAATGCAGATACTATGTCGTTTGGCGACAATCCTCGATCGTCGATTACATCGGATGTCGCACCACGGGTTTGGGTTGATGGACGTAGCAATCCACGCGATTCTTCGTCATAATCTGAATGGTGCTCGTGGCGCTCTTCGTGCTCGTGGTGTGCTTCGTCGTACGAGACCGCAGGTTCTGCCTGAGCGTTGCGATCTTGAATAACCCGCTGGGAAGCATAAACCCGCTCTTCTGGTGTAAGGAACCAGGCAGTATCAGCCCCGTGAGGAAGCCAGAAATATCCAAGCAAGGCAACCAATATGGTCAGAGAGCCCTCAAGCAAGAACAGCACTTGCCAGGACTGCCAACCGTTATGATCATGTCCATCCTTCCCATGATCTTCGACCGTCTTTCGGGGAAAGCGAGAGAAGACCAAATAACTGATCAATCCGCCGAGTGCTCCGCCAACTGCAGCCTGGCCGTAGAATAGACTGAGACGCCGTCCGAATTCGAAGCGCGTGTAGAACAGAGATAGGTAGGAAACGGTGACTGGATAGAAGCCGGCTGCGGCAGGTTAGCGATGGCCGCGAACACTTGTAGATGATATTTCTTGTACCTTCCAGTATTCCTATGATTATGCGCAAAAGGTAGAGCTGCCATCGGAAGCGGACCCAGACGTGAAGAGCTGTCGCAACACCCCAAAGCAGCATACACGAAGGTACCCAGAATACCATTCCATACTTCCGACCTAACGCCGCACCAGCTGGCTGCAGCCCTACAAAAAAGGCGAAGAAGAGGGCTACCGCGGTATTGAGGTCATTCTTCGCAAGACCAATATCGCTCGTGAAGTGCGCGGATTCGGCATTGCCAATCTGCCTTGTCAGTATGGAAAGAAGACAGATGTTGTAGGAATGTAAGGCCTACATTCGATTTATCGAGTGAGTTGAAGAGGAACAGGAGCGCAAGGAATGGCAGAAGCAAGCAATCCAATTTGAAGAGTGTTCTTTTGTGCAGATTGCTGTCTTCTCGTGGGTTGTCCGCAAGCTCGCCGGGGGACATTCTGGAGCGTTGGTCCCGGCGGGAGGTGGAGGAGTCTGGGAGTTCGTATTGCTCCATCAAACCAATCTGCCAAGACGGAAACGAGGCCAGCCAGTTTTATGCGCCAGACATCACACGTTCATGGCTGCCCACTTGAGAATTACTTGCGCGTGTGTATCCGACTTTATGGATGGAGATGCCACGATGTAGGTAGGTAGAGGTAGATAGGTTACACGCAGGTGGCTTTGGGGGCTGACATAACAGCTTCGGGCTATGCAGCCAGGTCAGGTACAACCTGGAGCGGATTGGGTAGACCCTGACGACGTTGATGGCGGAGCTGCACGCCTTACTTAGATACCTAGGTAGAGAAGCCCACAGCCTCAAGTATGTAGGTATACATTGTATAGTAGGATAGAAATGGAAATCAAGAGATATATGCAAGAATCAACAAATGCGATCCATGTCACATGTCGACATCCACTTGATCCTCTATCACCGCCAATATCCAATCATCCCAGTAGAATCGAAAAACTTACGGCCCAATAATAATCGACTGTCTGGTCAGCCACAGTTGATCCTCCTCTATGAATGATCCGAATGGCCATCCGTGTTCAATCCTATTGGCGGTATACCAGGGCAAGGCAAGGATACGATCAGACTGCCTCACTTCTCATGGGTGGTCGTTGCATTGAAACCATTGGTTTAGGTGTCCGGTACAGGCAGGGTATTAGGGAGAGCGGCAGCGAGAGGATGAGAATGGCTTTGTATCCAAGCGTCTTGGAAACCGACAAATTCAGAGACCATACGATATACTGTATGCATGTATGCATGTATGCATATATACATTTTGTATATATATGTATACAAACTGCCATCTAATTATCTGAACATCAACAAGCAAACACACTTTACCAAAAGACAGAAACAGTCCTTCATTGCAAATACCGGTTTCATTCGTTATTTTATATACATCCTCCTCCACCAGTAATCAATATGAAAGTTCTCTATATTGCTATTTTGGGCTTTACCTCCCTTGCCCTCGCGGCACCTCAAACCTATAATCGCCGAGAAGAGTCGAAAGAGGAGGCGACGGACCGATTGCTCTTCGACACCAGCATCGAGGATTTCATGAAGGCCCACGACGAGAAAAACCCAAGCAACTTGATCTGGGAAGGTGACGGCTGCTCCGGATCGCCAGACGATCCAATGAGGTTCAACTTCACCGCCTCCTGCTACCGTCATGACTTCGGCTATGGCAATTTGAAGGATCAAGACCGCTTCGACGATGACAAGAAGAAGGTCGATAAGAAATTTAAAGATGATATGAAGGATGAGTGTGACAAAGAAGACAACGTTTTGAAGGAGGCGGCTTGCAAGGGTCTTGCAGAGCTGTATTACAGGGCTGTCAGAGCCTTCGGATCGATTGCTTCAGCTGACGAGAAGGATGAAGAGATCATGAAGGAGATTGAAAAGGCCAAAGAATGGATTAAGAGCCTATTCGATTGAAAGGCTGGAAACACTGCGGCGTGTTACTCGGTGCACGGTGCATACAAGATGCGAGTAGAGGAACCCATTATAAATCTCCCAATCAACTGGTTTTGATACATCTCCAACGCCCAATAGTGTTCAAACGGCAGGTGCTGATATGCTGAGAATGATCATGCTAATAGGCTTGCTTATACAATTACCACAAGCAGCTGCACGGCTGTCCCATTTAGAGCTGTGAATCGTTTGGGTGCGCAGCGACTACTAGCTCACAACTGAGGACTACAACAATCTTCTCTAGTTAAGGTATGCAAGCAAGTCAGTTGCTATATTCCTTGTTCAGGTAACTACAAATTTGGTGGGGTAAAAACAAATATTAATTGATGAAAAGATCAAGCCCTGGCTGGTAGAATACTCCTTGGTTTTCCGCCGAGGTTGAGCCTGTGTATCACCACAAATGCTGGTCAAAGGTGTCGTACAGCGCAAACCGTTGTGTTATAGCATTGGGCATGTGTTCACGCGTCCGTGTCATTATTGACAGCTGTCCAGAGATGCTCGTTAGTAAAGTATGCAGCTGGCAGCTCGATTTTACGTCAAGGCAAGCCGTATTCATCGCCAAAATGCCCACTTTTAGGCGACTGCCAACGAATGGGACGCCGCCGCGTTCTCATGCATTTGCTGACTCGAGCCTGCACAGCTCTTAGTCGTTGAAAGTGAAGAGCAAGCTCGATAGCTCACGGGCAGAGGGAAAATTTAAACGGAGCGCGTGTTTGGCCGCGTCGAAGACCCCGGCTCCTCGCAGTAGAATGAGAGGACGGATAGATGATGCTCATCAGGTCCTCACAGCTCACATATGTGGGAATTTATCGAACCCTCGAGATCATGGATGGTTTGACAGTGACGATCCCTGTGTTCTCTCGCGTTACGCTGCGGCTGTCCAGGATGATTGATTGGGAGAGGATGGAGGGAGAGAGGAGAGAGGGGGGGGGGGTCTATAGCCCAAGCCCATACTGTGTAGTTAGCCCATGGTTGTCACTAAAAAAGCGTGCGTGCGTCAAGCAAGCTTGGACCATAAACACCAAAACATTCATCTCCTCCGCCTTGTTGCAGACTCCCCACAAATGTCCTTATTTTCACCTCACAACCTACCTCACACACTCGCTACAGGTCAATTCGGCCTGCTGGGACCTATTCTTTTATTCAGACAGGTACTTTACCTTCCCAAAAACCATTCGACCTGCTCTCTTCTGACCCATCCGACTCACAAAGCTCCAGGCAACGGTAGTCCCTCTGCAAAACACACACCATTCACGCTTCCTCTTCTAACTTTGCCCCGCCGGCAACGTTCCACACCTTCGCTAAACGGTTTTCTACGGCCATCATATCAGTCACTGAAATTCCGAGAGCGCCTTAAGGGGCCTCTCCCACTCACTCCGACATGGACGGTCCTCCGCCTCCTCCGCCTCCTCATGGCGCGAACCCCAAAACCACAGCGGGAAGTCCACCACCTCCAGGAGGTGGTGGTAGTGGAGGTCTCCCCCCAGGAAATTATGACATATTCATAATACCTCCGCATGCTTCTGGGAGTGGCTTTCTCTACCTTCCCTCAATGCAGGTTCAGACAAACAGCTTCATTGCAGGCATAGCTAGCACACTTGCCAGTATTGCAGTTTGGAAAATGGCAGAACCCACACTGAAACAATACTTCGCCCTCGTCAGTATGAGTGTGTCTTCTGGAGGCAATGGCGTGATACTACTTGTCGTCGTTGTGGGACTCGCAGGTTGGGTGTTTGGCCAAGCAACACGGCCTGGTGGTCCTTTCGGTGGATCGGGACAAGGTCCACCCGGAGGTTCTGGTGCAGGTGCAGGCGCTGGCGCTGGCGCCTCTGCTGGCACTGGAGGCTACCAGAGGGCTCACCCAAATGGCGGCTTCCCCGGCGCTGGTTCTCCGCCGCCACAGGGCGGGCCTGGTGGAGGCTGGGGAGGGCAGAATCATCATCAACGCGGTGCCTCGCAGGACTTCGATCCTTGGGATGACGATTCTGCAGCCAATGCAGAGTACGAGAAAGCTAAGGAAGAAGAGCGAAAACAGCAGGAGGAAGAGAAGCGCCAGGAAGAAGAGAAACAGAAAAAAGCCGAGGAGGAGCGCCAGAAAAAGGCCGAGGAAGCACGCCAGAGAAAGGCCGAGGAAGAGCGTCAAAAGAAGGCTGAGGAGGATCGCAAGCAGAAAGCAGAGGAGGAACGTCGGAAGAAAGCAGAAGAAGAACGCCAACGCAAAGCAGAGGAGGAACGCATAAAAATGGTAGAGGAAGAGCGTCAGAGGAAGGCCGAAGAGGAACGAAAGAGAAAGGTGGAAGATGAGAGGAAGAGGGTGGAAGAAGAGAAGAGGAAGGCTGACGAGGAAATGAGGAGACTGGAAGAGGAGAAACGGAAGATCGAGGAGGAAAAACAACGGGTAGAAGAGGAAAAGCGGATCATCGAAGAGACGAAGAAGAGGGAGGAGGAAGAGCGTCTAGCTCGAGCGAAAGCAGAGAAGGAGAAGTGGGAAAAGGCGCGAGCCCGAGAGAAAGAACAACGAGAGCGCGAGGCCCGACAACGTCTGGCGAGAGAGAAGAGTGAACGTGAAAAGGCCGCACGCGAGAAGGAGCAGAAGGAGAAAGAAGCTCGCGAAGCTGAACAACGAGCGGCAATCGAGAAGGAAATCCGCGAGAAGTTGATGGCTGAGCAGAGAGCTAAGGACTTGGAAGCAGCCAGAAAGAAGGCTGAAGAGGAGAGGGTTATAGCTGAGGCGGCCGCAGCGAAGGCACAAGCAGAAGCCGAAGCAGCAGCGGCGAAGGCGAAGACGGATGCAGAACGGGCAGATCGTTTGAAGGCCGCTCGCGAGCGTGCTCAGAAGGAGAGGGAAGCTCGTGAGGCTCGCCTCAAAGCCGAAGCTGAGAAAATCAAAGCTGAGAAAGCTGCTGCCGAAGCTGCTGCGCTCGCAGAGGCGACCACCACGCGTCGTTCTACCACGTACGGAGGCATCGGGGGTGGAGAACGACTTGATCCCTACGCAGGCGTGCGCAGCAACGTTGCTCCGTCTGTATCTTCCGCGCGTACTTCGCCCATCAAGGTCAATGTGACGCCGAAGAAAGCACAGCAGCAACCGCAACCTAATTACGAAAAGCCATCAGCGAAATCGTATATGGGCACTGAGGATGCTCACTCGACAAAACACAGCGATACGCCGCCAAAGCCGCCTTCACATTATTCTTCAGCATATTCCGAGTCTTCCTATGCACCATCACAAAGCACGTCGAGGACGACGCCTCCGCCATCACAACGAGGCCCATATTCAACCAACGATCCTGACAAGATCCAGATCAAAGCCGTCTATCTCTTCAACGATTTGTTCCCCAAACCTGTGGCGCAGCTTGTTTCGGGCGTTGGCAATGTTACGGATGGCCTCATCTTGAAGATCTCAACAGAGGGTATGTTCATCGATGACGACGTAAGGCATGTCGCGCAGCGTGAGTGGGACGTCAAGGCTTGGACACTGAAGTTTGTCGAGGTAAGCATATAATTGATTGAAATACGGGACATACAACTGACATTGACTAGACTGCCGAACGGAACGGACAGCACTACCTCCGTGCAGGTATTCGCGATACTGAGGGCAAAAAATACTTCTTCATCATCCACCCAAGCGAGAGTTGGAAGATGGCGCTCGGTCTTCAAAGGCTGCGCAAAGGTCCACTGGTTAGGAGCTTGACCAACGGTCAGATTCCCGCTGGCGAAATCAACAGGATGCTAAACGCGCTCCCGCCGCTCCCTTAAACGGATTTTACCAGTCCTGTTGTGTTTCCTTGTCGGAATGCTGGCCAAGCTCGTCCACATTCCCCACTCTCTCCCTTCACGTGTAACCTCGTGTATGTGCATACATGCATCGATGATTGCACTCTAGGGACTTACCCTAACGAAGGGAAGCAAACCTGTATTCTCAGCCACCAAGCAACAGCAATACTCCACTTCTCCTTTCCTGCACTAAGATATCCCCTTTTCCGTTCCCTCTCACTCTTTTTATCATCCATTTGTCATTTATTCACTGCATCGGATCGGGCACCCGTAGTGTCATGTTGTTCATTAATCGATGCATCAGCGAGCGGAGTTAGAGAAAGTCGAGATCAGAAAACACCAAAGAAACAACATTATCACTGTATCCCCAACCACGCGGGCTCTCCTTGTTCATTTTTCCCGTTTCTTGCATTCTCGTTCATCAGCCTTTTTCTGTACATGATCTTTATTACATAACGGTCCCTCTTGGGTATTGGGTAGATGGAAACTACTAGAGTGGACCTGGCTGTAAGGCCGAAAGATACGAGAGAGACGAGCGATCGCTGTAGATACCTGGTTCTTTTCCCATTCGTGTGGATAGCTAGTTGGATGAACGAGTGCGTGTGAAGGCATAAAATGAGAATTAGTTCTAATTTGCACTTCGATGGTTCAAGATTGTGACAGTTGTACAAATGCCTTATGTTCAGGCAAGATGGTACATGATGAATGGGTTTTGGTACGTAAAGCACGATTCTAGCTACTCGCAATGCTATGATATCTTAATATACATTACATTCGTGATGATGATGACGCAGACTATAACGATGATTCGTTCGTTGTTGTATATGCAGGTTTGGAATACGATTAGTGGCTGCATGTAGGGTATCAACCTCAAGGAACGGAGAAGGAATGCCTCTGATCAACCTCTTACGGTCATAATAGGCACATACTAATGCCCGTACGTATAAGCCCAGCTTCTAAACAACCTCAAACCCCCGGCATACCTAGAACAAGCCTGAGAACCGGCAAGCCCCTGGGCAGGAAATAGACTGTTCCAAGACCAATGAATGCGACCAAGAGGCCGGTGAATTTCTCGAACCAGGTGTGGAAATATGCCGCCGTCATTAATAACATCCACCACATCAACGCGGCAACGCCCACAGAGAACTTGATGCCTTGCTTCATCTCCCCTTCTTCCTTCGCGTCGTCATCTTGTTCCTTTTCGACCGCCACACTCGCGATCTTGCCATCGGACAATGCGATCCTCCTCCCGTCCCTCAAGCCCTCGGCCCTAGTGAGCGCAGGCAAGAACTCAAACCACAACAGCGCCGAACCAAGGATCAACAAAAACACATGTCCAGAGATGTCGTGACCTCCCTTCCAAGTTCCCCCGACTGCCTTACAAGTCGCCGCGGTGATGTACTCTCTAGTATCGCTCATTTCCTCCCTCGCCCCGGGATCTCGAAGTAACTCGCACTGGCCTCCCGTGAATCGAAACCCGCGGTCGATCAGCGGCGGTCCAAAGAACCACTGCGTCACAAAACACCACCACGATGTTACGGCAGCGTATCTCGCGAACGCGCGAACCCTTCTCTTGCTGAGCCACGTCCCGCCGTCCGCTCGCCCGGCTGCGAGGCTCCTGTTGAAGGTCCAGAAGACGAAGAAAGCGACGGTCGTCCAGAACCAGCCCAGCTTTACGAAGTAGACGTTGAAGACGTTCTTCTTCTGTGCGAAGTAGCTCGGTGCGAACTCGGGTGGGTGCGATTGGAGGGTGGTAGAGTACGGCGCCGTCCGCGTGTGCGGGGAGACGGTGGAGAAGACGGAGCCGAGGATGAGGGTCGTTGGGTAGATTGATAGTAGGAGTGTCTCCAGGCGGGTGGGGAAGAAGGGGGACCGCGTATTCGAGGTGGTTTGGATGGAGGTGGGCGTTGTTATGTTTATCGTTTCGGGGGTGGCGGCGGCCCCTGTGGGCGCGCTGGGTTTGCGACGAAAGGACATGATGACTGAGGTGAAAAATTCACCGAGAGAGTGGTATTAGAAATGTGCGGAGGGGTTTCTGATGTATCGCAAGATGCATTGGGGTGATGCAAGGTTGTTGCCTTTGATAAACAAGAGGTGGGCGGTTTTTTTGTATGAAACGATGACGTTGTCGCTTCATGTGTGGCGTTCGCATCGATGTGGCTAGGTCACTAGTAGGTTTGGAGTATAGCGATCTTTCTTTGGCCTTCGATATATGACTTGACAGCTGTCGTTAACCACGTCGAAGGCAACACTGGATTGATTCGGCTTTCACATTTGCCACTGCTTTCAATCGTGGCCTGCTCTGGTAAATGCACTGGTAAACGCATCTTGTAAGCCTCAACCAATGTGTTCATTGAACCACAACGTAGCCACACACTGGTTCCCTTCACCCATTGTCAAAACATCTTCTTCAGTAGCTACGAATCCTGTACATCGTCCTCACGGTCTAAGAGATTTACAGTGACTAAGTTTCTTGAGAATGGGCTCTCCAGAAAGCTGCGTTAACATTACAATTCCATCTTCCCAAAGAACTTCACTTTCATTTACGATACACTCGAACGGCTAGCTGAGCATTGAACGATGTGCATGTGTAAAATTTTGGCTTGGTCCGAAAATCATGTCCTCGTCTTTCGAAGTTCCTCGCCTGTAAATATGATCACTACCCTATACGATGGGAATCTGCAGAATCGTCCAGTCACTCGGGCCAACCAGTCACGCCCGTCCAAACTCAAGATAGTATGCAGGTGAATCATCAAAAAGGCCAAGCAGTAGCGAAGATATCATGTTGGAACATCAGATTAGAGATCCAATATGCATTTCATAGTAGTGCCGATTCATAGATGCCGGAGCAGAAGCTTCTTGGTATGTCTTCATTCCAGGTAGTTCCCTGGCAATTGGAGTCTGGCATCAGTAGATCATATACTTGGCAGACAATTATAAGAAGCAAGGAGAGTCTTCACATATATTGTTTTCCGGCTTTGGGTTAGATTATGTTTAATTATAAGACCATGTTTTCCAGTGCTCATCAAGCGGCAGTGTCGTCTTCCCATTCATAAATTGAACATTCCAGCAGCTCAACGTCGAGTCGCTGCCCAATTTTTGCGAACACGGGGTGTTCTTAGGATCTGTAATCGATTTTAGGTACCATCATATATTCCTGTACTATGGATGAGATCGCTCGGGCCCTCAGTAATGTGGTCTGCCTTGATAGCAGGCAACTGCTCTCGCCTTGATCTATCATATGCTTGGTCAGACATTATGCAGCGGAAGCTTGAGGTCAATTTACGAATACATGAAGATAGCTCATATTTGTCAGAAAGACCAATTGGCGTTGAATGGAAAACTCATTCAGCATATGATCGGCTGGATAGTATGGGTGAGTGAGTGGATGTCAGAGTTCCTGGTCGAATGTGATTAGGAATTAATTATTGTAGAGGGGCCTATATAATATACGATGTATGTACTCTGTAGATTCCAAAGGACTTTACACACAAAAAGATCGCTTCACTTAAGATCTGAAAACCGTCCAAAGGTATGTGATGAGATGACAATGAGTACCTTACAACCTAGGCAGAAGAGGAACCGCAGAGGGATGTTTTCAAACTTACTTCTCTTCAGAAAGTATGTAGTCATTCGTCATTGGATCCTCACTGTCATCCCATTAGCCACTCGGGAAAATTGTCTGAGTAAATCGTACAGTTCCAGCACTGCACCTCAGGATTCAAGAACATTGATGAACCTTCCCACCCCGGAAATACCGCATCACTCAATCCTCCTCACTTCAATATCTACTCTACATGCAACAATGGCATCAATCTCATCCGCACGCGGAAAATGGGATCAAGGACATCCACACATTGTATGAAACCAAATATCCTTTCGTAATTCTGGTCCGGCTGATTACTCTCATTACTGTTGGATCCTTACTGGCACATCATCACAGGGGTATCCGTGTTAGGTACAATCGATTATGTGTACCCATTTGACCACGCGCAGAACATTGGCAAAGAAGTTGGAAAGATCGCTCAAAATTTGATAGATTTTCAAAGATCAACCAAGGCATGTGGGCACAGACAGTCAATCCATTGTGTACATTGCACAGCTAGTGCAAAATATTGGCAACGACATAAACACTTACATAGACATCTAGTTAATACGTTATCCGACACACTAACTAATTAATCATGGCTAACTAAACTAAATGCCTAATAACGCTACACCTGCCTCCCGATCCCAAAAGGCCTCTAATACCAGAACACACGAGCCACAAAACCCAACTTACTGTGGTTGTGCCACGCTAGGTACACACCCGATGAACCGCTGGTCCCCCTTTCTTCTTTGCTACGAATCCATCGATCTGGCAATTTAGTCATTACTTTTTGGGCTTTCTTCTTCGCAAGCTTATCTTTATCCAGAATCGCGCACCCTCTACGCTCTTCTATGCTCCACATCGAGATGTTGGCGTTCGCGCGTTCCTGAGAGCGGATGAGGGAGGGAGCAAACTAAACAACCGGGCCCGGGCCTATCAAATGTTACTTAACCCATATATCCTTACTAGTAGCCCAGCCACGCGAATTGCTGCTGGGAGAGCTTTGGGAGGGAGAGATGGTCGTCGACTCGTCGGCCATCCGATGGCGCTGGAGAACGACGCCCGAGTCTCTTCACCCCCATTTCCCGATTCCGCGATGTCTTACGGGAGGCAGTGATGATTCGTCGGGGGAGTTTGTTCCGATATGATTTGGATGGCAGTAGCGGCGGCGGGACCTCGTTCCGTCAAACTGATTTGGGAGTGGAGAGACTGTTGCCGCTTCCGGTTTGGTCATGGACATTTGTTGTTCTTGTTATTAGTTCAGAAGATGAATGGATGGATATTTGGACGGATAGATACATGGAAGTGTAATGATGGGATTGGGCGTAAATGATGCAGGTGCATACAATTGTCATTGTCTACGTATCGCCCGCAGTTGCCTTTCGTTTCTATCCGATCTTCTGTTCGGGTTACTAGGAATATGTACGGAGTACTCCGTAGATACCAGCCAAATGGTTTTTGACTATCTGAACAGCGCGGTCAAGGAAGAACATCATTCGCGCTTTTCTCCCGGTTTTGCTTTCTTGCGAGGCAGGAAATCTCTGCACGACGAATATTAAGCCCGAAGTATTCTTCGGAAAGTGAGGCTCGCCTCCGAACCATTGAGTAATAAATGGGGCGGCGTCATGTATAAAGTAGCTGGAGAAATAAAGTTATTGACAGGTGTCCACTTAGTTTCAACGGACATGGAATTGGGTCTTCTGTCTGGTGATGGTAAAAATAGGAAAATAATTTGGAAGAAGATTTGATCCTGTGAACATGGTTTCTGGGATGAGGCTTGCTGGGGAAGTCAACGGGGCGGAAAATACGGAGTGCTGCAGGGCAGACTGTCATTTCGAGCCAAGTGGCCATGGAATAATTAATCATAAGGTCCATGTTTTGAAATATCGATGAGTCGCTTAATCTTACTAGGAACTTCGGTGGGCGACCGTTGATGTGCGGCGGGGATATGCATCGGTACCTTGCATACACTCATGCTTGTATCCTGTGCAGAGGGCAAAGATGAACGCAGGGCAGTGACGGGACCTCGTCGAGGTAAGGGACAGTTGCAATTTACCATTTCGAGAATTACGATCACGAGTGTGTTTCGACAATCGTGTACGTCCTTGGGTTGGATGGTGCTGGAAGGCTGTGACCGAGGCGAAGGGAGATGCGTTTCTGGGACAGTTGCCGGGTTACGGATCAGGTCTGTGTTGTTGCATGTAGGGCACGTCCCCGAAGCTTTTGCAGCGCATCCTTGAGTTCGTGGATCCAAAGTTCAAAGGCATAGTGTTCGAGTCATGTGACGGGGTAAGAAATGACTCTCGTGTTCCAGAAGCTTTACCACTGACGCCGCCTGCTGCTCTGATAAATCTCTTGTCATGGCTTTGGTAATGGGTAGGTCGGGCGAGCTGACGGCACATTACACAGCTCATCTACCTTTTGTGGAGGCCATATCTCAATGATGGTGAAGAACAGACGACAAGACTAAATCGCAACTACGGAGTACAGTATACTCCGTATATGTTGTGGCAATAATGGGGTTGGGTGTTCATCAGAGAGCTCGCGGAGAGGGTCGCGAAGCGCAAATATGCATGGGGCTACAACGCTCGTGCATGCAGGCTGCAGAGCCGCAGAGCCGCAGACGAGGCCTTTGAAACATCCAGGGTCAAACCCGCGAATCCTCACTCTGCTTTTGAAAGTCCCTGGGTTCATATCATATGGTCGCGCGACCGAGCCAGAATGTAGGGACTCAGCCCTATGCATTAGAAGTCCGTGTACACGCGATGTGTGCGTGAGTGAGTTAGAGATTATTGCGGGTGTGCGGATACTTTGACAATGGTCCAAGCCTTTAATACACAGACGGCGTCATTCGCCGAACATGTGCTTGGAGGGACTGTCAGGAGTTGAAACCCACAGCAGATGTCGGATTCTAGGATGTGTCATGACGGAGCATGAAAAGGTCAATTTCCTTTTTGGGCAAATGTCCCAGCCAAGTCAGGCAGCGGAAGCTCTGCCGCCAGAGTTCGCTGCTTTAAGGGGCATGGGCTGCGCGGGCCGGGGTCTTCATCCCGCTCCCCTGCTCTTGGGGGAATCAAACTGGCGCGGAGGCTAGGGAGGTTGGCAAGGCTGAAGAACAATTGAAAGGGGGTTGTCAGTGCGCTGTTAACAAAGTTTGTACAAGGACCAGGATCGGAGCACGAGATAATTTAGTGGAAGAATTCATGACGGTGGCAGGAAGAAATTTGGATACGTGTACTCCGTATTGAGTCGCTGTGATGCAAGAGACCGCGACGACGTTCGTCAGCTAAAAATGATAGTATATCTTCCCAGGTGGAGTGTTTCATTCTGCAAGTTGCTTTTTCGCCGTCTGTATCGTAGATTCGTGGGATTGCGCCGGCGTCTGACCGTAAACGATCATAACCTCGGTTTTCGGATTCCCTGGCGCACTCTGATGTTGACTGGATAGCTAGCTATTCACATGTTCAAACAGTGCGGCGATCTGTCATTACCCGGACAATCGACCCAGGACCTGCTATTTCCACAAGCTGCGGTGGCTGTCAGCGTCCGTTGCCTAGGATAATAATTTTACCTGTCACAATACGAGCGAGCCATTACTTTCACAAACAAGAAAAGCATCGATAAATGGCGTGTCGCATACGAATCAGGACAAGGGGGTGCAGACTGTACCTTCTCGTGCCAGCTCAAAAGCACACTCATGGCCTGACCACCGCCCTCGCCACCGCCACGCGCGTGTATTTGTGAGAAGCCGGTCGCCTGGGGCGTGACGTTCTTTGTTGTGCTGCCGGCACTTGTCTGCGACATGCCCTTGTAGCTGTGGGAAAGAGAAGCATCATCAGTAGACTGTACATATGCCACAATAAAAACAAATGGTGCCCGATTGAGTTCCATCGCAGATAGTCAGCGTCAGCCCTGGCGAGGGGAGATGTGATTTGCGAAAGTCGATATCATAGAGCATGGGGAAAGGGTATTGCATACATATATTTCATCAACACATCGAGTGCTTCGGTGCCACCAGGTGCGCTGTATATTTGGCTGAGAATGGGCGACATATCTGCTTGTCGGATAGACTGGAGAATCTCCAGAACGGTAGCGAGATGGATGTCCTATTGATGGTGAAACTAGACGTCAGCCTTGTCTTTCCTTGGTGTGTGATTGTGCACCCGTGCGATTGTGATCAAGCAAAGTCCAGGCCATTGGGAGCCCAATTCTACAGTGACGGTCGCGAGGGAGGCAGCCGGATGGGACAGTGCGGAGAGACAGTCCATAATGGCGGGCCATTGATGGTCTCTCGGGCGACATGAGGTGCGATCGAAGGTGGTGGTGAGGTGGTGGTGAGGTGGTATGCTGCAACATACCTTGCCCTTCTCGTCAGCTCCATATGGAACGTTCTCTAGAGCTCCTTGTAGCGCGCCTTGATTATCTCCACCTCGAAGAAGTTGCCGTATTTGACCTGCGAGTGACTGAACATCTGCGGACGAGATTGGGGTGACGTCGGGAGTGAGGGTGCTGAGGTCGAAGTTGGCGGGGGAGTCGGGGTCCAAAGCATCGATGTTGATGGTCCGCCAGTTAACATTAGCCATGGTAGCGGAAGGTCAGAGGGGAGTCTGGAAGAAGAGCGGACAATTATGTGATCAGAAAGACCAGTTGGATGCGATGAGGGGGGTCGTGAGTAGAGGTTCGTGGCTGGAGAAGCGGTCGATGTTGGTGAGCAGAGTGCTGGCAGCTAGAAGCTACAGTGAGGTTGCAAATTAGCCCCACATCTAGCGCCAAGCATTCGGAGAGCCCCAATCCAACCCAAGCATCGGAACCTTTTGTAGGCGGAAAGCTACCTAAGTTGTCGAGGCACCAAGCACCCAACAATTGTAACACAAGCAAGGGTCGGCATTCGCGTCGTCTCGAAACAGGCTAGATACCAGAGCGCAGTGCCATCCAAGGCATCTGGGAGAGGATCTGTGGCGTTACATGTACGACAAAGGCGCCGCAGAACGATGTGACCGTTCCGAAGAAGTTCTATGGACCAACAGATAATTGGCCATCAAGTGGGCAGGTACCAGCGATATATTTTTCCTGTGCCAGTGGAGCACAGGATGGATGGGCGTCATAGGGTGCATCGCAGACGCCTTCTTGGGGGAAATTACATGCATCCCAAATCCCAAGATGATGAGGGAATACAGAGTACTCCGTGCTACAGAAGAAGATAGTTGGCACAATGGGTGGATGTTTGGAGAAGGTAATTCTATAGATTGTGATTACAATGACAAGTCTATTCCACCTCGGCCGTGTCTCGCAACACATAGGACCGAGACCCAGGCAACCCAGCTCTAAAAGATACCATGACAGAAGCGGACCGCGCCGTCGCCTGTGATGGCCGCCCATGAATGAGGAAATCGTGTGTCGGCTGCCGAGAACAATGAAGCTCTACCCGCCGGCATCGCGAACTATATAGTACAAAAGATCCATGCCATCTAAGCGAACGAACGCAGGCAAATGGAGAGTCTACCCAGATATGCTGTCCCGAAAAAGAGAGAAGGAGAGAGAGAGAGAGAGAGAAAGAAAGAGAAAAGTGTGGAAATAGTTAAACAAAGGTCCGATTTTGGTATCCATGCCTGGGCCCATCCTTGTCTATCAAACGCCGAGGTAAAGGAGACTTTTTCGAAGGAGATGCCGTCGCTGAAGAGTGCCGTGTATGGAAATGTAATACAAGTAAGGGAACAAGGAATTGGGATACTGGTCGCTGCAGTAAATCGCTCGCTTTGAGTAACGCAGAATATGAACCGGGGTATTAAGATGCTGGAAACGATTCGAAGGCCAAGAGTCGCTGATTATTAAAATGGGCATAATCCCGAGAAAGGTAATAGTCATCGAGGGCGCCAGGTGGATGAAGAGAGCGGGCGGATAAGCCGGTAAAAGAAGAGAATGGTGGTGTAGAGGGTAAGGCTGCATCGGATATTGTTAGTCTAGGGTCGTATGCAAGGTGAAGGAATCCCAGCACTTACGTCGCGCGGAGCTCATCCCTCATTCCCCAACGACACACCGAGGCGACCTAGCAATCCTTCTTTTCGGGACGTGGCAGAGCAGGTGAGTGATGGAGCAGTGATGGAGCGTTGATCGTCAAAAGATGCGAAGTCGAGTCGGTGAGCGAGGCCTCTATCGCCTCTTGGGCTTTGGCGGAGGCGGCTTCGGCGTCCCCGTAGTATCGTACGCACCACGGCCCATGTTGGAGGATTCGGATTCTCTGAGGATCATTTTGAAATTTGGTCTTCTGTGGGTGATTGATTGAGACGTGTCTGCCTTTATATCAATGTTAGTCCATGTCGTACAAAATGGCGACTCGCCCTAGCGCCAGAGCTGTAGACGAGGCTGACTCACTAATAGAATGACAAGCACTGATGAGTGTGATTGTAGCGTCAGCAAGCGGCTGATGATGCTGGCTGTAGTCTGGGTGAGGCTGGTGATGGTGGACGGTGGGCTTGCGGCAATGTCGTGGAGGGGGCGTAAGTGATTGTGATGGCTCAATTAAATAGTGTCGTGTACCAGGGGACGGCGGCCGGGCAGCTCTCTGGCAGTATTGGGTCGGAGGTTGTTTCTCAAAGGTTCAAAGGCCGGGGAAATCAAGGAAGATTCGTGAGAGGGATGAGATAGGTGAAGGCGGGTGAGCTCTTCAAGGACTAGGGAATGTAGAGAGCTCTCAAAGGGAGGTAGATGAGGCCAATGAGGAAGATGGATGAGGTAAATGAGTGAGGGCAGAAATTCCGGTGGGAGGGCGCGCCGTTCCTATATAAGACCAAAGGTTGGTTTTTTAAGGGGGCCTGTTACTTGACTTGCGAGAGAGGGCTTGGGCCATTCGGCGAGACAAGTGAAATGAGAGCAGTGCTTTTCTGGAATCAAAGCGCAGACTACATGACGTGCCGACCGGCGGGTTTCAAACTTGTTCCCTGTAACCTTTTTTCCTTCTGGCGGCGGTGGGTGCACATACCTACTAACTTGCCTACCGTACCTACAATACGTTGTAATTTCTGGCACAAGGCACAGACACACAAGAGGCACACAGCACAGACGTCGACACACAGACACAGGCACAAAGAGAGGAAGGGTAGAGGAAGGTAGGGGTGTAGTGGTAGGGGTAGGGGTATGGGTAGGGATAGGGGGGTTGTTAAGGTAGACAAGAGCAGCGTTAGACAGGGGGGATATTTGATGGATAGACAGGGGGGAGATGGGGGTGGGAAGGGTTAGGGTACTAGTTAGTTAGCACTCCGTAGAGGGAGTAGTAATAGTCAAGTCACCTCGTAAGGTAGAAATGTGAAAGAAGAAGGGTTTCCTTGGGCACGCGGTAGATTGGGTTATGTATAAGCATATTACAACTATAGAGTACAGTACATACATGATTACATCTTACATACACAGTACACATATGTAGATTAGAAAGTAGACATGACAAGACACGGCAAGACAAGAGAAGAGAAGAGAAGAGAGAGGGTGTGTGCAAGATGGTGAATTGGTGAATGGGTACATAACCATATAAACAGGGGATCTACGTTCAGCTTCCCGCCATTGAGGTTGCCCCTGGCCCTGGACCAGCCCGACGTCCCAGCCTAACCCGATCGGTAAAACCCTAACTCTAACCTTCCTCTGTCGTCTCTCCTCTTTTCTCTCGCTTTTTGTCACAGACACATTCACACCCTCATCTTGTATTTATGTATAGATAGATCAGGTAGACAATACGGAGTAAGTGCATATTCATCGCGTGCCTCTCTATCTATCCACTGCACGTTATCACAACCACCACCATGGAGTGTCGTACGCTAACCACCTTATTATTTCTACTTTGTACCTGCAGCCCAAGACTTTCCGCAACCCGCCTACGCCCGGGCCTCGCACGCCCTGCTCGCACCAACGTCTTTCTCCCTCTCCATCTAACGAGTAACGGTAGGACTGCTAACCCTCTATGGGGCTGCCTGTTGTCGATTAAGATATGAATCGTCGCCGTGCCACACAGGGGGCGCGGAGCATGTCCAAACCCCCGAGAGAAGGACAGGACAGGGTCATAAGATGACTACCTACCTAGTAGGATGGACAGCCAGCCAGCGGATTTATTAGCAGAGAGAATCATAATATAATCATTACTCCATAGTTACAGAGTACTTGGGCAGTTATTCATGGAGGGAAATGTCAACATGTAACACCACTTAATGAACAATGGCAAATCGCCAGCCCTTTCATTTGTGTACTTCTTATGCCACTGGCTTAGTTATTCCCGTGTCCTACCTAATACTCGTACCTACATGTTCCAAAAACGCCTCTGGTGGTCTCTTTTGTATTATTCGAATTGATCCACCACTCAGAGTCACACCCATGGGATCATTTTCTTCCCTCCCAATCCATCGCCAAATAGACTTCATTAATCATCATTGTCATCAGATCCTCCTCCCCAACTATCACCTCACCTCATCTTGCATCTACCTATATCTCATGTGCAGGTTGCTCACCTTCATCTCGTTCCTACGAGTATAATAATAGCAAAATACATTGTGGTTTGTACACTCTCTCGCGCGTGCAGATGATGATAAATGCAATGCAATACACGCCATCCGCCGCCATCTTCCACCTTGGCTTAGATCAGACTGTGTCAGCGCGTATCTACGATTCCACACAAGTAGTTACTCCGTACTGTGTACTGTGCACCCAGGATCTACCCTTCTGCAAACATTTATTCGCATCATATGCGTGAAGATGTGCTAATGAGCCTACCCACCACCAACCTCCTCCAACATCCCACCCCCCTGGTTTCGGCATGCCGCCATCGTATGCTCTTTTCCTCCCACGCACACTCCCCTACCGATCCACCGCTCCATCGCTCCATCGTCTGCTAGAAGGCATTCAGAAGCCATGCCAGCGGGATGGAAGACGCCTCTTCCCCCCAGCCATAGCCCGCGGCACCACTTCCCCGGTCGGTCCAACTCCAATGCCCGCTCTGTGCACGCATGCAGCATGCTGCTTCAATGTCTCCTCGTACTGTATGCTTCGTACAGTCCACATCCGCTCTTCCAAATTCCATGTCAAAGCTGTCCACCGTGGACCGACCTTCTCCCAGGTTGCTGGTACCCGACAGTCTTCCATCCATCCACCTACCCACTTACACCTCTGTGGACCGCCTGAACCCCAGATACCGACAGAGTGCATAGGTAGATGGAATGGTTCCTCTGTACGAAGTAGAGAGGCGCATATAGATTGTCCGCATGAGCAGTGGTTCTATCTTGACGTTGCTTTTTTTGTTTCACACAACATGCTTGCTTTTCCTATTGCTTTCCTTTCAAGTCTTTATCATTATACCGTACTCATCGTAGTTGGTGGAGGTCGTGCAGCAGATAGGCTCCTAATCGCCCATCCACGTGGGATCAGTGCGAGATGCCGCAGTCCTTCCGTCCTTACGCCCGCTCCATCAAGCCTATGATATTGACCTCTCTCATATCTATCGATCACGCCTACAAATATACATGCGCCCAAACATGCAATGCAAATGCCAATACCAATGCCAATCGCGCGCCATACCTGACACGAGGTGCCACCCACACCCGTCAAGCAACCCCTGTCCATCGCAGCCATCCACCCTGAGCACCATACACACACGCCCTCACGCGTTTCTCCAGGCAACAACCCGCCTCTCTTAAGGACCTTCTCAGACAGATGGTTTCCTGGAGCAGAAGGTGCGCCGTGAGGCCGTAAGGAGACTGGTCGACAGGGGCTCTGTGCGTGCAGGGAATCGTCCTGCTCGGCTGTACTCGCTTGGCTATTTCCTTCTGGAAAGTCTCTAGAAACGCTGCTGTCTTTTGATCCACCACCCAAGATTGGCCCTGTCGTAACGCCCCCCGTCTGCCCCGGTGGAGAGACATCCGCCCTCGTCCTGGACTCCTGGGTCTTTCACGTTCACTACTGGCGATACTGCGGTCTCATCAAGCGCTGTCCAGGTCTGAGCTGCGACGGTGGGCGCTGTGAGCATCGGGGAGCCAACGGAGCGAGAGTTGGTCCCCTTCCATCTCAGACCAGACAGGTCGACCGAACAGATCGCTGCAAGCCCACCTTCGAAAGAAAGTTCCGGGCTCCAAGCCGGCGGACGCTGTATGTAAGCGTCCGCTTGGACTGTATCGCTGCGGCCTGCAACTCTGCTGCAGGTGCTGGGATGAGGTAGACCTGGAGCCGGTTTCACGCACAACCACCTCACACCGCGATAAATAAAAAAATGCGCTTCAACGTAGCCTGCGTAGGTAGACCGTGGCGGCAGGTCGCTACACGTTCTGCTTTTGTCGCAATCCCTCCTGTTTCTCACACTATTGCACGCAGGGCGGCGTCCAAAAGCAATAGAAGGCGCGGGCGGAGCTGCGATGACATTCTCCTTTCGTGGATGCTCCGTCCTCCGTATAGGCTGCCTGTTGGTTGCTGACCCTTTGGTTATTTGCCAAAAAGTTAAAACCCAGGACGCTGCCAATAACATAAATGAAGGACAGCGACGTCTGCTGATTCGCTCGTGACACTGTAACCGGGCGCTGCATCACATCCCTACCTAGACGGGCGAATATAGGTAGGCAGGGGTTATAGGCAGCAAGACAGTGACAAAGTGAGACTGAGCACACCAACCAGCTGATAACAATGTTTGCAAAGAGGCACGGTGTGAATCCGGCGCAGTCGAGCCTATGATCTGTCGCTGACAGCCATAGTTCGCATCGCCGTCATGACTCTTCTCTACGGAGTACAATAAGCTTGGAGTGATCGCAATGTCGACTCGACAGCGATAGGGTATACGTGGCTGGGATGCGAGTTCAAAGAGCAAGCCTTCCACTGCTCCAGCAGGCTGGCACAAGCCCAATTGCCAAAGCTAGGGATTTTGCCGCCCTGACGCGTCGCTGTCACAAGCGCTGCCGATTTCAAACGACACATACACACACACCCACGGACACAGCAACTACTCCGTACACTGACATGATTATTGCGGAAAGAGGCTGGAGATTGGAGATGGCCTTGGAGCGCGCGGCTGGTAGTACAGCAGAGACTGAGTTTTCACCGGGTGTATCGTGGTCGGCTCCGCGACCGTTATAACTGCAGTTCGCTCAAAAGGGATGACAGACCGTGAGAGCTCTCCACAGAAAAAGTGTCTGTAAGATTAAATAAAAGGTATTTGGCTGCGGGGAGGTCGGGAAGAGTAGCCTTGGACGCCCTAGAGCTTGCGAACGGTTTTTTGGCTTGGTCGGCGCGGAGCACTACTGCTCACTACTGCAAATCTGCAGCGGGAGTCCAGTCCGATGGAAGCGAAGCCAGGGGGAAGCCCCATCGAACAAAAGGTTATCCGGGCCCCCTCCTGCAATGCTGCAAAGGCAACCCTGGCGACACGTGGAAGCGGTGGAGCGTTGCCTCGCCATTGGTAAAGGGAAAGGGAAAAGGGAATGGGAAAGGGAAAGGGGGCGGCGAACGGTGAGCTCACCACGTACGGACAGTCCTCCAACTCTGTTCCATCCTCCTACCCTGCTCTGCCTACGGAGGAATCTACCGCCGTCATCCTTCATTTACTACAATCCCACAGCCCGATATTCGAAGACATCGGGCCTTTGCAGTATTTCTTCAGGCTGCCCGTCTGCTTGCCGTTCGTCCACCCGCCATCCTGTCTCCACTGTCTACTAATATTTGCAATGCCGCACGCCGTCTGTTCCGGGCCGTTCATTTGTGAAGTACGAAAAGCAACATAACCCTGTGCAAGCAATGACAGCCGAAGAATTACCCGCCAGACCAGACTAAACTCTACCTGTCCTGTCCAGTCCTGTCCAGTCCGGTGCCATTGTATTCCAACGTCTTCCAAACTCCAACGTGCCAGAAAGGCAGAAACGGCTGATGAGGATGCCGCCCCATGTATTACGAGCATCCGACCTGGGGCGGTACCTTGCAACCTTTCATCGTTCCACAACAGGACAGTACTCGGCTGAGTGCGACCGCTTTTTCCCTTTCTAAAGCAGAGAGAGCATCGCACCTACCTACCGGTAGTTGACAGACGCATTTTGTTCCTCTGTGCTTGTCATCTGCGCGATGGTCCGCCGATCTTGTTCGCAGCAAACGGTCCGTTGTTTGAAGCTGACTTCAGCCGTTATTAATCTATGATCTCATTTTGTTTAACATGGAGCAGTCCCTGTCGATCACTACAAGTGAAGTATCAAGCTGCAACCCAAGCAATGGCCTAATATTTCTCCTGAATCCCGAGCACTCAACTCCATACTTGCCAATTGCACAACACCCAGTGTGCACCAGAATGCTTTGCGGTCCTTCGTGTTGCCTAGGTACAGTACAGTCCCCCAATTCGAGTGTAGTCTCATTCCTGGCTTTGTACTGGAATTCGAGTCGTCTGTCGTACTAGGCAGGATTTCCGTTCCAGGTAACGGGTAACTTTCGCGCATCTGCATCGGCTCTACCTTTCGGGTCGCTGCTGTACACCCTTGTGAACAAAGTGTCGAGTATCGGAATGCTGCGTCACTTTTAGATTGCGATTCGCACTGCGCGCTTTATTATTAGTCTCGAGGGTGAGCACTGCATCGAAGACAGAGGGTCACAGACTAAACTTGCGTCCACGGCATGGAAGTTCACCTATTGACGTAATCAGATGAAGATGCAATCGAGAAATCGTGCAACTTGGTGATGGTTTGTTTTGCTATCTATACAGAACGTACTCCGTACTCAGTCGATCAAGATAGTGATCCTATGGTGACCGATATCGTTTCACAGTCAAGGGATGGGCATGCGCCACATGTACTTCTGGGAACCCTATTGTAACCGCTCGATTCCAGAATAATATGCAACTCTACTCAAGTTGCGGTTTTAGGAGTATTCGAGCCCTTTTTCGATCAAGCCATGCCCTTTCTTGATGGATTCTTCTCGTGGTGGTGGAATTACTAGAACCTAATGGTTCGCCAGGTAGCTATTGACGCATCGTTACATCGAATCCCTCAGGGCCGGTCGCTCACTGTTTTCCGAAACTTTACCTTGCACGTCGCCTCTACAAAAGTAGAGACTGTTTAAAGAATATGTTCATGGAATCGACAGCTGGTGTATATCACTTTGCGCAGCGGAAGGTCAATCGCAACCACACCTGCAAGCGTTGCAAGCATACACGGGAAGTATGTATGTACTATGTACTCCGTACACTACATAATACACCCATGTCGGTTCCGCCTTACATAGCATTCTATTGCAGCAATCATCTCCCATCGCGGTCTGACAAGCGCCTCTCAAACCTGGAATTCATACATGTATGTACATACGGAGTACTACTATACAGTACGAGGCGTCTCTCAAATGTGGCACAGCCCCACATGTTTTCCCGAATCCACCTTGCCTGCAGTTGTAAATGATCGTGATACATACTGCACAGTACTCCCTCTGTACCAAACTGGCTAGTATTACATATCTACCAAGCCCAGAAGGATGCATCCGCAACCCTCACTCGCTTGCGAATCGATCGATCGCCTGCCTTTGGTTCGTACTCTTCATCATACCTCGTAAGAATATGATATTCACACATCAGCCACCGAAATGTTCTGCAGACAAGACTTGTTTCCCACAAGGCGGTGACTACCTAGGTACCTTGCACCAATACTCCGTATATGTGTACGGGTCTTGTCCACCACTCAAACCCGCCCTTCAATCCTAAGCAAGTAAGTACTTGTACGCTCACCGTTCAGCATTCATCCATCCCGCTCGATCAACCCTCCTAACCGCCGAGAAGGATTTCTATCGCAGCGGGATATCGCGAGCGCCACTCCCACGCTCTCGCATCCCATGCCCTGCTTGCACCCGCGGCCGCGCCAAATATAATAAAACACGTGGGGGCATCCTCACCCACTGAGCAGGCAAACATATCGCTTCCCGACTGTCTGGCAATGGGGTTTGTTTCCCCCTATACTCCGTACACAGTGGCCACCAGATACTGTGTACTGTGTACGGAGTACGGAGTAGGTATTGTTATGTTTCCCCCACTCGCGGTACTCAAATCACCCGTCGCAATTTGAGACGAAACTGTACAGCGATACACCACTTGGCCACCCGGCCATTCCAACCCAACATGCCCACAACGTCATTAAGACGCCGTGAGAAAGACGCTGTATGGCCCCCGACACATCCCATCATCTCATCCCTGCCATTATTCCCAGGCAGGGCGTTCCAACTTCAAACAACTCACTCACCCACCCAGGGAAATAGTACCCCAATACGGGAAGACAATGCCAGCAAAATCGGCATGGATTGCGAGCGGGAAATGGTCAGCATCTGCATCATTTTACTCGTATAGTAGTAATAGTATTGTATTGCATTACATGCTTGCTCTGCGAGGCGGTGCGGGCAGGGCAGGGCTAGATAGGATAGGGCTGAATCGGACCCTTCTTCTCATCATGATATGACCGCAGGCCAGCGTTAGGGCAGCGTTGCTCTTTCCCACCCATCCCTCGTCCTTTCACACACTCAGCTTTCGAGCGGAAAAGCAAATACAAAGTGAAGGTTGATATCGACTAGGTAAGAATGCAAGTGTAATATCTGGCCACCCACTCACCCACCATCCCACCACTCTCCGATGGAAGAGATGATCTGGTGGGTATACGTTGTAGAATTATGTGTGTTTGTGGGATTACTGTGTTCGTTTGTACGCACTATACATGCATGCGTTGAGAATGCAGCCAATATGCATGCACGCACGCATGCATGTAGGTAGGCGGCCATGATGAGATGAGACGGATATGATGATAATGGAAAGGCCGTGCGACGTAGGGCTGAACATCTCCCTCCTCCGCATCAGAACCTCACATGATTCGTTCGATTTTTTTCCCATGTCGTAATACTGCAGGTTTTCTTTTCTTACCTTGTGAGGGGAGTCAGCGGACGGATGAGGCAGTCGATGGACGGACGGCAAGAATGCGGTGTGGAGATTGTAGGGGTGGATTGGTCTCGGAGGATCACAAGAAGGATGGGTTTTATTGGGTTTTTCCTGCCGCGTGTTGCGGGGCTTTCTGTATCCGTGTTTATGACATGTACAAGTAGTCTTTATATTTCTATTTGTTTGGTATGTTGAATTTTGGATTTCTTAAAAGTTTGATTACAGATAACAAGGCAAGGTTGGATACTGCAAGAAAAACCATTTGCAGGATACTATCCAAGTAGTCGCAAATTTGACTGAAATAGATAGTATGGACAACAATTATATCCATATAAGCCAATGGTAATCATAAATAATTCGTGCCTATTGCTTATCAGAAATGAGGAGAGTTCAGCCCCCATCCATTCTCGTGGACGAGACCAAAAAAAGAAACGTCCGCTGATAATTCTACTTTGGGAGGGGGTGGGGGATTAAATCGGCAGAGCCGCATACCCTTGGTCTGTTTTGCTTTGCGTGAGCAGTACGATTAGAGGAGCTCTTAGCCTTCGGTTTCATAGATACCAATTATCTGTGTGCTTTTCTTTTTTCCCTCTTCGAATAAAGGGCAAAAGCAGGTGTGGCAATGCTTTTTTTGAGTTTTTCTTTGGGACATGGCGTAAAGAACAGGCTCATGTTGGAGAAGTAGCCTGCGAGTGGATTGTATCTATAGGGTGGGATTTCACGATAAGGGGTTTTCAGTATTTGTCTTTTGCTATGGATTATTTTTTGAGTGGTAGGAATATCTGCGGTTGCTAGATTATTGGTCGAATGAAATGAGTCAAAGATGGAACAAAAGTTTTACATATTGATACTGGACTTGATAATACAAAAACGTTCTAGGCGCATAGTGAGCTGATTCATTCATGACGTCTTCTATCTCCTGTTTGACATTCGTCTATGCCCTGTAATCATCATAGAACCAATTCTTCATTCCACCAGAGGGGTATAATTACATTGGTTGCTTCTTTCACGGTGTAGTATGACCTCTACCGCAGAGCCTATTATCACCCAAACGCCTAACTCTCATTATACTGTTGATCTTCAAGCCATGGAATAGATGAACGATGGCGTTCAAAGTGGAAGTTATACGCCCTCGTAAGCCTGCGCGGATGCCACGGCTGGCGCAGGACGATGCTCTTGCTCTGATCTGCCGTGCGCGGCGGACGGCACTGAAACCGATTCGCTGGATTTGGCCTTCTCTGGGAAATCGCGGGCTCGCGCGTGGCTCGACTTTGGGCCGAAGGTGTCGATGTATTGAAGGGACTTCCAAAGGATGACCGTACTATAGATCATGTTAGTATTTAATGCATACGGGGGAAAAACATTGATTTAGGCATACCTGGCAATCGTGGCGACCATCCCGAGCCACAGGAAAACAACCGACGCTATACCACGCCCATTCTTTCTGTAGATCAATGGGCTCTCTTTGACGTAAATTAGATACTGCTCCACGCCGCGAGCATTCGCCCCTGTCACGTATGCTGCCTTTGTGGCCAGGATGACGGTGAAGCCCAGCGCGCTGGATAGAGTGAATAGGCATGCGAGGACTGAACAGATTCGCCAGGCGAGCTTGACGCTTTTGGATTCCTGACGCTCAGGCCAGAAGAGATCGAAGAAGAACGCGGACCCGAAGATGGTGGCAACATAAATGCCAACGAAAATGTTGTAGGAGGCGATGCCAATGAAGTTATTGTTATGGATGGTTGCGCCCGGCGCGTTGTTTTCAAGGTAATCTTGCTGGTCGACATATTCTAATCGTAGTGTTAGTTACAAGCCAGTAGGAATCATTCTCGAAAGAGGTGTAGCGAACTTGATAACGCGGCGGTTCCCAAACTCTCGCTCACGACGCAGAATATCATGGCGAGTTGATAGACGATGAACTTTGTTCGGCGCATGTGGTAATCGGTATTTTTCCACATGTAGGTGTTGCCGAACTTCCTCCACTGCATTTCCTTCAAGTCTAGTCCCCAGATGACGGCCATGATGGGGTTTGTTGTGGAAGAATAGTAGTACTGTGATTGCCTTCGGTGGTGTTGATGGAGGTATAGCTCGGAATACGCGGAGGGAAGATTGTGAAGGGTGAGTGGGTATCTGGTTTGGATCTTAAGAAGAAGGCACAGTGGCAATTACCGGAAGGAAAGTGCGTTAGAAGGGTTTGATAATATATGGCGGTGGTGGTGCAACAAGGTAATCTAACAATTATTGGGATGCCAGATCCGTCTCGTTGAAATTTGCTTGGAATGTATGTGTAACCCGGACGCACTCGTAGATGTGTTCAACATGAGATGAGGTCGCGAATATGAGATGGAAGAAAAGGAGATTTATCAGCACACGAAGACTAGGGATGCGATGAGGGTAAGGTAGATAGGTATTAAAGAAGATCAACCCGATCGCCATGTGAAATCAGTCCCATGACAGGCGACGGTTCTTCCAATCCGAGACTCAAGAAGAGATGGTACGAGGTAAGACATAAGTCCCCGTACCTAGCAGATGGCCGATCATTGCTTAAGAATAGCTTATTTCCATGCTAAGCCGTAGGTACCAAACGTCATCTATCGACCTTCGTAGCCGGGGGCTTCCATCAGCACCATTAGAACAGCGTGTCTAGCGCCCTTCATCCGGATGCAGCCGGTGGCCATCATTATTACGAGTACCTTGTACTTTCATCTGCTGTAGAACACGGCCATACAGTTCGAATCTTCTGCCGGGTGATGCGCAGAGGTGGTTGATGTGGGTGATGTGATGGGCGGATGGGTGAATTGGTGAATTGGTAAGGGCGACGTCATCTGTTCGCGTGCCACCAATCTGTTAGCTACTTGCTAAGTGGGGGATTCAAAGATCCCATCCGATTCCCGTTCCATTTACATTAGTTATTGCTTAGCGACAACGTCACGTCACAATTCGTACTCGTAGTCGACGATGCTAAGATCTTATCGCAATGTTTACCATTCTCCATTAAATACCTACATACATTGGTACGTGTGAGTAGTGCGCACGTACAGTCGCACCGTCGTGAAGCATTGCCGAAGTATCCGCCAAATGGGCAACCATGATCGAATTCAATTCCTATAATTCCCTGTACATACGTGTACCTCCTGGGTTATCAATCTACCTAATGTATGCCCGAACACAGGCAGCCCTGAGCAACCCACTTATGTACCTCAGGTAGCTTGTCAAAGAATACCTGCCATTCGAGCGAGACCGGATCCGAATAGGAAGATGGTGGCAAGACATTATATTGCCTTGAAAACATAGATATTGCCCGCATAGCAAGCGCTCATGCAGAAAACTCTAGAGGTGGAATCTATCTCATATCTCATCATCTGATCTAGGCTTGTTGTCTGGTCGCAATACTCGAAGGTACTTGATTTCTTCACTCCTTCCAGATGTGTGGTTCGAAATTGCTTCTAGGGGGAGACCGTACTCGTACTTGACTATATGCTCGTTCGTTCGTTCGGTGTTTGTTTGTTTGTTTGTTTACTAGCTACCAATATGGTAGGAACCTTCTCCCTCTGCGAGACATGGTCGCACTCCCATCCCCCAACTCCCACTCTGTCTCTTCCACATCATTCATTGACTCTCCATCATCTCATTTCTTCACTCTATCCGAAGCAGAGCACTGCAGGCTCAGACTTTGCTTCATCAACCCACTAGTCATAGGAACGACCACACTCTTCTATTCATCTCGTTACCGCAGTCATTCTCTAATTCACACTTCAGCATCGCTTCACAATGGTAAGTACAGGACGTCGAAACGCTAGATGCATAGAGTATCAAATCTTCAATCCACAGCATACTCATCTCGGCACAGATCCAACTTCGATCCGTCGCTATTGTTTCCGCACTAGGCCTCATCAGCCACGTTGCTGGCTTGCCCTCATCACGCACCTACGATCAAACTATCAGCTGTCCTACTAACCCTAACATCACTCTATCATACAAACCCCTCAACCTATATCAGTGCAAGCCGGATCACCCACGCCGCAGGTCCTTTGTCGGCCAGATCGACATCGCCCCCTTCACATTGGACTCCCACCGGCAGACGCACAACGTCAGCACATCGTTTTGGTTCTCCGAAGCACTCCCGAATCCACAGAAAAGCCCACTCACCCTGTTGATCAACAATCGATCTAGTTTGTTGGATGCTGTGAGAGAGACTCCAAAATTGGATCCATGCTTGTTCTTCGACTCTTCCATCGATCAGGACACCTCTACATTTAACAGATGGCGTGTAACTAAACCCAGCAATTTCCTCGATCTCCACAAACCAATTGATGTCCAGGTGTCGAACACCAGCAAGTTTGCGGACAAGGCCTATCTGCACTCTCTCCATTGCATTCTCACAGCTTCCAAGCCACTCAGCGCCAGCATACTCCCCTTCAATAAGGACTCCTTGCCCGTCAAGCTAGATTTTGTCGATAAGACCCTGAGGGCCCGGCTCGAGCCCGAAGCACTGGCTCTTTTTAGTACCCCGTTGGCCGGAAAGAAGACTGAACAGGAGCTACAACAGAGCGCGGGGAGTGCAGATGTAGAAGTCTATGGCCTTATCGCCGGCTACCTGGACTCCGCCGAGAAAGGCTGCGACGAGCCCATATCCAAATCACACGAACAGGATGATGATGCAAGCGAGCCCAACGATTAGGAGTCGGATGTACAAACCACGGCGCCAGAGTCTGGAGTAGAGGACGATGTCGACAGCGAAGGCGAAGGAAAATGGGAGTCTCGTGATCTTCCAGGCAAGATTGAAGATACGCCTGATAAACCCCCTCGGATCAGAGCTTTCTTTGCGCTTCTTCTTCGCACCATCGGACGTTCAGATGACGCAAACAAATCACCGGTACGCCATGTTCCTCGACAGAACCGGCAGGACCGGCCAATTCAACTCCCTGCCTTTCTTCTGCACAAACCCCAACAGATTGCTGGGGACCCTTCGCGTCAACCTGAATCGACTGTGTTCGTCACGGTAACCGACCCTCCTTCGACACCGACACCTATCGCTATTCGCCCCACTACTCCAGTACAAACACCCAAGGCAACGAGTGATGCTCCTGCCCTTCTGCAAACAACGACCCCTGGCAACATCACAAGATCAGTGTTGGTCGTAGCGCAAACCACAAATGCATCATCTAACGCAGGCATCTTTGGGTCGCAAAATGACGAGTCGCGAAACCTCTGGAAAAAGGCTGCGGTTGTCAGTGCCGCAGTATTGGGAAGTCTCTTGCTCCTGTGAGTAGTGATTGTCATTGCATATATCGAATTGCCTCATATCCTCATCCATCCGCATAAGATTCGAGCAAATTGGTGAGTGCTGACCTAACGCAGCTCACTCCTCTCACTGTTGCTTCTTGGCTCTCTCCTACACCGCTCTCATCGCCGCCATCGCAAACCCACAGTGGTCGTTGGGGATCGGGATCCTGCAAATGAGAAAGCCATTGGACAGGATCAAGGAGAACTGACAAGGAATCCAACAATCCTACCGGTACCCTTGGATGGTCGCAGTACACGTCGGCCGAGTGATACCATGAACACAATTCCTGAATCGGAGCGTCCTAGAGATGATGCCGCTCCGCTCCCCCAGAGCCGCCACGGCAGCGTCTTTCCAGCACCAGCTCCGGGCATCAGACGTGCTACTACACATCAGCCGTCCTTGAATGATGATATTGGCCCTCTCACGCCAACCGCGCCGCGCCGAGCAGACACCCTCCCACCCGCGACTGAAGCCGCTCAACGCAAGCGATCTGTTCCTCCGGGGATGGTTGAACAGGGACAGGGCAGTGCAATCGAAGACGATAGGGGAGCAGAGGCAGCCGGTCAAAGGCCCACCACGCCCCCACCGCGCGTTGCCACAGCACCTTTGTCCAGGGCCACCACAGCAAAGCTGCCCTCTGCACCTGTAGCAGAGTAACAAAAGTTCTTCTTCTTAGATGTGATACTATTCGTTGAACTCTGCCGTTTTTGCTCGGCCATTGGCTGATACCGCTGAATTGGGGCATAGTCAAGATAGGTGTAAGGTGGAGTTTTGTGCGCAATCCCCTGGACAGACTGCTTGGTGTCGGCTATAAAAGCATGGTTTCCTCTGGTTCTATTCTCTGTATAGCATTCTATAGTCTTTCCGGTGGACAGACATGGATAATGCAAATTGATTGCTTTCACCTGCTTCGTTTGCTATCTGCGTTCACATTACTTTGATGTGTGAGGTTGTTGACTTTGGCAAGATGTACTATGACCTCTGTATCCTTATGGCCATCACCATGGTATGCTTTTGCTCTCTTGGTACATTGGAAGTTTTCGTGGCCTATGGTGATTTACTTGTCCAGACCTCTCTCTTTGGACTCGCTACCAATGCGATTTGGCGAGGATGTGGTGCTATCATCGCTCAACATATTGCAAATCAGTAGTTTTCACCTTGCCAGGCTCGCCCTTGTTTGAGGTGGGCAGGCTTAGGGTTGAGTAACACTAGAAGCCGATCTCTTTCTCTGGTGTTAGATTCTGTTGATCAGATGTAGTGATTTATGTACTAATGGGTGCGAGGACCAACTTCTGCTCTATTGCCTGTTCCAAAGGAAAATCGATGCTGGCCGTCCTTTCACCATCATGTTTGTGAGTCCAAGCCAACAAATAATTCCGGGCCAGTTTGGTATGCGAATGATTAGGCCCTAAGACCTGTTCTCCCAGTTCTAAGCACTTTCTGATCATTTCGAGAGCCTCGTCATCCCGTCCTTGGCACTTCATCGCCAGGGCAATGCTGCTCAAGGCGTCAAACACATCGGGATGATGTTCCCCGAGTACTTTGATCTTTACAGCAAGCACTCGTCTCTGCAAATCCTCTGCTTCTTGATATTTGCACTGCCGGTGACATAGAAAAGCAAGACTCTGTAAGGTCTCCAAAGTATAGTAATGCTCATCGTCGAACAATCTCGTGTAATGCTGCAACGTTCGTTGCAGAATTAGTTCTGCATCCTCAAATTCATCTAGACATGCGAGAGCCGTGCCAAGACACCTTGCGCTCGATAAGGTCCTAGGATGTGTCGCACCGAACGACTTTTCACAAGTTCGAACAATGTTACGAAGATGAATTACGGCTTCGTCGTGTTTTTGCTGGCACATGAGCACGTCGCTCAGGCAGAACATTGACTCGAGGGTGGTGATATGCTCCGAGCCATTGTGATTGATCAACTCCTGTAATACGCTTCGGTTCAATTCTTCCGCGTCCTTAAATTGTCCCATGTGAGCCAACAGGGCCGCGAACCGGGCGCGTAATCTCAGTGTGTCCTGATGAAGTGGTCCATATAGTCGATCCTGAGCAGGCAGCAGTCTTGAGTACAGGGCATGTGCGTCATTCAACTTGCCGCTTTCGCTGAACATGTTCGCGAGATGGCCCATGGCTTCTAGGGTCGACTGTGCATCTGGTCCGTTGCGCCCCTCTTCCTCTTCTAGAACCTGATGCAGAACGGACTCGGCTTCTGCGTACTTTCCCTGCACCCGTAAGCAGTACGCCAGGTAGTTGGATGCCCAGCTTATGTAGATCTCTTCTGCGTTAGGTATACTTTCCCTTGTACGCAAGCAGAGCCTTGCCAGTTCTTCTACTACTTGATACATCCCCACATGGTATGCATACCAGACAGCATTCCCGATGATAATCGACCAGTCCTTGAACACTGCGGCGCTGTTTGGAAGATACGCAGCAGCGGCCTGGGCATGTGGGAACAGATCATCGTACGTTTTTACGAGGTCCTCGTTCACACTGGCTTTACTAGCCAAGTAGTGGATGTATGTGTCTTTCAAGCCCCCCAGCTCCGATCGTATCTCGAGCCATCGCCTGGTCGAGTATTGCACAAGTCTGTGCATCTGAAAGTGCTCGCCGTCTGTCTCTGTGGCTATGAGCGAGAAGCTGAGCAGTGTGTTGAGGTCGTCTTCAAATAGCTTGCTTGTCCCATGTTCCTTGTAGTATCCGGCGAGTAAGTGTTCCGGAATGCCTTGCCGATTAAACAAGCTCATAAGGGATAGAAGGTGTGCTGCGGACTGACGTTCCCGGTGGATGAGCTCGAACGACATCTGGCAAGTTAGGATTATGGAGTTCGATGCTGTTCCGTCTCTACGAATGTCTCCGAGATCAACTTCCAACAGCCGAGATATTTCTTCGTCATTTTCGCGGACCTGCTGCAGATATCTTGACATACTCATGCGTGGAAATCTTTGGTTGATATAAGCGGCTGCTTGAGATATAGCGAGAGGCATGTGGTCGAGTAGCTCTACGAGGGCCTTTGCCTCCTCCTCCTTCTGCTCCTCAATTTGTTGTGTAGTGGTCATGCCGAGTTGGGTTTTTAAAAGAAGAAGGGCATATTTTTGGTCCATTGGGTCGACTGTCACGATGTTTGCGTAGGCTCCAGTTATGCGAGAAGCGACCTCACGATTTCGAGATGTGACCAACACCGATCCATTTGATGATTGTGGGATATAATCCCATATCGGACGTCGAGATGAACCTGCTGATCCGCCAGTGCTGGCCCTTGGGAGACCAAGTCCTCCGCTCGGATTCGATGTGATGACTTCCATGTCATCTGCATTGTCAACGATTAACAGCCACCGCCCATTGGACTCATCAGACAGCCAGGCATTGACAATGGCGAGCACGTCTACACCTGGGTCATCCCGACCGGAAATTCTAGCTCTTTCGGCAATCTTCCGATATCCCTCGATGAAGCGTTCGGTCGTCCCCGCGTGTATCCAGAACACCCAGATCGAGTCGTCTATCTCGCGAACCCGATACGAGTACTCGACCGCAAGCTGTGATTTACTTTTCACATCCGTCAGCTTACCATGTACCTCCTGCCAGCTTTTGTCTCTCTTGTGTATACATACCCAACGCCGCCGAGCCCAACCAGCGCTAGCCTGTTAGCTGGTTGTGAGAATCTAGTCTGCACTTGCTCGAGGATATGACAGTCTACGAAGTTCGGATCGCGTCGGAAGGGTACATTGGAAGAGGGAATTGGACGATCCACCGGAGGCGCTACCCCTTTATTGTCAGCGAATACATACGAGTCATCGATTTAGAAGATTCAACGTTTATACATACCTGCTGAAGCCCTCGAAGTGCTAGTAGTGGCGTGATACGTAAGAGTTTGTACATAGTCTCTTATCACCCCTATGATTTTCGCCGCCTTACTGTCATAACGAAAGCTAACAAGCGCCTTCCCACTGCGTCGCACCCACGAGTCGCGTGAAGCCGGTAATGCATTCCCAATAACGCTGCTCAGTTGTTCGATCTGAGCCTTGCAACCATTTATCGCTGGACGTAGAGCTTGGCTCGACGTAGCGTTTATGACGCCGGTGTCGATAGCGCATTGCGTTTGCTTGAGCGCATCGAGAAGGACCGGGAGCTCGTTCGCGATGTGTTTGAACGTCTCGGGAAGGTCACCGGCCCTAGAGTGATATTCGTGGAGACGGATCACGATGCGGCCTCCCAGGTCGATGAGCTGGGCGAAGCTCGCGACGATGCCAACGACCCCAAGTGCCTCTGCCATTTCGGCGGCGCAAGGAGGAGAATTCTTAGTGTGGAAAATCCCAGGCAAGATGCGGAATGTATGATCACATTGTGTTGGACTTGGAAATAACTGTATATATCTCTGCCCTCAATGTGGTTGCTCTATGACAGCTGTGCCAGGCTGTGCTATGCATGCCAGCTGGGGCATACGCATAGATACAGCTCTCAGCCCCCGCCACCCGAGGCTTATTCTGCAGGGCTGCTTGGGAACCATAAGTCTTTGAGTATCTACGAGGTACCTGGATAGTAGTGAACAATAATTTACTTAGTCGAGTGACTGCGTCTGAAGACAACACAATCCAATCTCTAAGTTATCGGCCGAATATGACGCATCGAAGCGTTTAGAAGCTGTTCCGGGGAAGGTGGCCAAGACTTTATTAAGCATACTCATCCTTTTGCTCTACAATAGCATCAGAACAGGATGCCTGTACAACTTTGGCCTACAGTACGAGCCGAAGGCCTGATGGTGTGGAAGGTATGTCGAACCTCCTGACTCGGACTGAACGTCTTGTTCTTCGCATCCTCTGTTCTCTGGTGATGCTTTACGATATTCAGTCCTGATAGGGGACCCCAAAAGCTCAGCATATCTCTCTATACAAGATATCAAGGGATAACAACAATCACGCGTACAGTACTTCTCCCGCCTCGCCTGGGACAGTGTCGATCAACTCCCCCTCAGATTCCCTAAACCGGCTTAGCGCGCATCATGGTCCGACAGTTGTAGTGAAGCTCAAAACAGCCTGAGGCATGCAGACCATCACCATCTACCTCCTAACATTATATGCCCGTGCGTGCCTTTGCATATTCATAATCGCTTCGAAAGTACTCCGTATGACTTTGTTCAACGATCCGTACTGCATATTCAGTAAATATGCTAATTCACGATCACGACGAACCCCATTATTGACATTTGTGCGATGTATCTGTGATAAGATTAGCCATCCCGCCACCCCTGCTAGACAGTTAAAACAACTGGTGTTTCCGCCGCCGAAACAATTCTGGCATCAAGTCTCGTGAAGCTACCAAGTGCCCAACCAACCACGGCAAAGTATTCCTAGTCTTCAAACATATTCTAAGCCTTTTTCTATATCTCCTTTGGCTGGGCAGGACAGGAGAAACTCTTGGAATATTGATGCTTGTGTTTTCTTGACTTCTGGATTGATATCATATAATAATGGGCTGGAACTTGGTGCCTGCCGCGTTACTGCTGCCTTCCTTTGCATTTGATTAATTAAGCCCCTTTGCCTATACTATTGTTTGCGTTCCGCAGGTCGACGAGAAGTTAGGACGAATTTCACATTCGCATTGACATTCGCAAGCGAAATATCGCTACCATTTCTGACACCAACATCTTCAATTTTTGGTTCTATTGAGGGCGATTGGTGGTTTCGTGCTGTTCACTGGCTATCTCACAACCTTGTAATCAGGGCGCAACTCAAGAGAAGCATGTACATCGACACCGAGGCGGCGAACAAGGGCGTGAGGGTCGAGGTGACCGCACACCGAGAGCCATTGCGAAGCGCAACCAGGTACGAAGAGGACTCGACACCATTACTCGATTCCTTCGTAGGACAGGAAGCACCGCCGCCGTCCTACCTGGAGGCGACTACGCCCCATGGATGGCATTCGAGGAAGAGTGGGGACGAGGAGGCGGGGTTGCTTTCATTCGATGGGAGACAGTCGATGTCGAGGCCACGTGCAGAGCATGTGTTTAGAGATGGGAAAAGAAAGACTCTGAGGGAACAATGTACGAGGAGAAGGCTAGCCAAGGTGGTTTCAGCGATCGTGGTGATAGCAATACTTGCCGCGATTCTTGCTGCAGTGACACGGGGAGACGAGAAACAGGTATGTACAATTTCCATCCGCTGCGGTTGCAATTGAGGACGCTGACCGATACCCTGTAGTCGACTGTCGTAACGGCGGCTCCCGTCAAACCCGCGGAGTCGGCAGTAGCTGGACAGCCAGAGCCCAAACCGGTCGTTCCTACTCCTGATCCCCAACCAAAACCACCAAAAGAGAGCTATCCCATTCGATGGCCGCAGCATTGCGGGAAAGAGTACAATGCGCGGACAGATGAACGAGACTTTGGCTCGATTCGGAGCCTCGATATCCAGGAGGCAATCCACCAGTTGCATGGGCAATACAAGAGGGTGTCTGGCTGGGTGCACGTTGTCAAAGCACCAGACGCACAGCCTGCAGGAACGGTTCAGGCGAAAATATCCTACGCAGCTTCGACATCAGTTGATATCAACGAAGTGAGATATGAGTGGTCAGAGTCTGGTCTGTCTGTCGGCGATCCTTCCTCTGCAGACTCATTCGATGGTCTTAACCCCAAGTTTTCGGCTTGTCTGGGGATTGCCATCGTCGTGTACGTCGCCCCGGGTGTCGAGATGGAGAACTTCAACGTCAATTCCGTACACCTGGGGATGCAGATCCACAGTGGAGTCGACTTCAATGTCACAAACATCACATCGATAAAATTAGCATCCGGCACTCTTGATGCTTCGAACTTGAAATCTCGGGAGACGCACCTCGAGACTATTTCAGGATCTATCAGTGGCAGATACGATCTACGCGAATTGTTGGCCATCAACACGCAAAGCGGCTCCGTGAATATCAACGTGCGCCCCCAAGAAGCAGAACAAGGCAACCCCAAGCCCGCACTGTTCAAAGCGCGCTCTCTCTCCGGCAGTCTCCGCGCCGATTTCGAGAGGAACAATATTCCACAACGGGATTACCAGGTCGAGATCGACACTGAAGTCGGAACTGTCGATGGCACCTTCATCCATGGATCATCTACGAATATCACGTCCGTTGCCGGCCTCATCACTGCAGACATCATGCCCTTTGGAGACGGAGGCATGGAAACGACATTGCACACTTCGACGACGTCAGGGGCACAGACAGTAACGCTCCAAGCGCCCTACAACAAGAGCGCCACTGGAATATCCAAGTTGACAAGTACCCACAAGAGTGTCTCAGGTGCCCTTGATCTAACCTATCCACAATCGTGGGAAGGTCACGTGCAAGGAAGAAGCGTGAGCGGCATCGTGCACTTACAGGGCCGGGATCTCGAACTACAGCATGAGGAGCAGGATGTCAGTCTAGGAAGCCGTGTCGAAGCGAAGAAGGGAAAAGGCGACAGTGAGATGACCTTCAAAACTCTCACCGGGGGTTGCGAAGTCAAGGTTGGGAAGCTATGAGCTATCGGTGAAAAAACATCAACCGTGTCGCTGCTTTTTGCGTGACACTGGCTCTTCATGCAGTCTATGGTATGGCGTTCGGACGGATTCCCCAATATCTGATGGTGTTATGAATTGTTTACTGTACGTCTAAAATGGTCAATGGGCCCAAGAAATCGAGCCGGTCCTTCATTGACGGGATAGTTTCTAAATATCTTGGGGTTCTGTACAATCCTACATATTATTATTCGGCGTTGCATCCTGTTGGCTTGATCTGAATTATGCTAATGATACCCGGCGAACCTCATCTATAATTACTGTCTGTCACACGAACGACTGGCCCTCCTGCCATCTGACATCTGTGCCGGTTAGGCGAAGGTGGGACAAATTGATGGGCGCGGTGTACACAATTGGCAGCCGTTCGTCAATGATTTTGGCAATAGTGACCTGCATAGACTGTAGGATCACCCATTCTGTCTAGATCATGTCGATACAGACGTTCATATTGCCGTGAAATTGGTCTCAGGGGTTACACCCCAGACATCGGGGTAGACCACCGTAAACGCCTACGCCGTCTGTGGATTGCAGACCAAGAGAATGTATCCTGTCTCAACGAACATGGGGAGACCCTACGCAAATCTTGAGCACGACCATGACCTCTCTGGCCCATGGCAAGTGAGCTTTTAGGGCTGAGGTGGCCTTAGTCATGCCAGTCAGTGTGACCATCCCAACGGGAAATGAGGGCCAAGCTTTTCCACATTCTTCGGGGGTGGCCGCCCGTTCGTGCTCAGTGAGGGGGACTTTGTGTCTCTTGTCACTCACGTTGGCACGATGGCGGGGCGCACCGTTGGCGGGAGCAGCGCGTGCGGCGCGCTGTATGCCACCCCGAGCTTGCCGCGGGTCTGGAATGTTCAATGAATGATATGAGCACCCTGGGCAAGAAACCAATAAAGGCAGCTGTGTATTGATTCTTTGCAACTTGGAGGGATGGCTCGCGTCTCTCCGATCGAGTTCCTGAGTATTATCTGCCAGGCACGTAATCTAGGCATGCGTGGCAGGTGGTACAGTTTGTCTGGAGAACGAGTATGCCGCCCCTAAGCGGCCTTCGTGGGGTACAGCAAAGGTCACGGCTGAGGTTTTTGCTCCATTTGCACTCGCCGAGAATGGGCCTTTGGCCAGTCCAGGTGGTGAGGGACGAGTATTGGAATCTTACCTTGACAGAACGGGACACCTCTGCAGAAGCCATCAATTTGTTTTTGTCCGGCTTCGTGCGACAGAACACGTGGGTAGGCAAAGAATGCGGATATGTACTGAGGGATTGCAAGAGATGAGGCGTGATCTGTACGGGGTCAAATGAAGGGCCGACTGGTGGTTGTGGGGAAACCTTGAGATCCTAGGACGCATCTGATGAGGTCTGCAGTAGTTGGAAGCAAGGGAGAACAGCGAGCACCGCGTACCCATGAACCTTGAGATCTGGCGATCAACTTATCGAAATGAAGCCCTCACGCCTCCCCGAGCAGTCAAGCTAATGCAGATGGAGAACATGCTGCTCTGTGCCTAGAGAGCCAACACCACCATGTTGAAGTTGCAAGCCTGGTCGGGAAAGGCGTTGAACCTGAGCGCGCATCTGCAAGTTCGCCACAAACCTGTCAATGCACCATGTCGTTGCGGTGTGGCATGATGGTGGCTGAATCGCAAACAAATTGAGCTCTAAACCTTTCTGTGCCCAGATGTTCATGCCTGAACAACATACTTTCTAGCTTCTTGCACCCCGGTCACGGCAACGGATGTGGACTAGACAGGCTCCGCATCGAAAAGCAGAGTCAACTGACAAATATAGGTTTGAGTTAACACTGGACGAATGGGCACGATTAAGATCCGAAGTGGTTGCGTGTGATGTATCGAGGACTATAATTACAGGCTGCGGCTAAAATCGATGTGCGTTTTCATGACGTGCTGGTATTGCATGCAAAACATTACGTGCGAGTTCTTACACAGCACAGCGGTCACGGACGATTTGACACACTGCTAGTGTCCGGGGTGCCGGCTAGGGAAGATCAAACGCACAAGTCTGTGCTATGTACAACGGTGGGTTGATAGGTAATTGTTAGATGATCCGGTGGGGTAATGGGTCACTCCAAGATAGTGGCGGTGGGTGTACGGCAGGTCGATATCGTATGCAGCCTACTGATTCCTTGCGGTTCATTTCTGCTCGTGGAGGTTATTCAATAGCTATGTATAGCTGAGCAGTGATGTGTATATCAACGCCATGGCACCTGGAGACCTGTCAGGTGTTGGCTGCCGAAAACATGAGGGCATACAAGAGAATGATGACGGTGGTGCGTATAATGATAGCACTTGCTTGTGAGTGGTGCACTGAGCACTTAGTGGTCAAGATCTGCTCTCGGGCTACACGCGCGATGCAGACGACGAAGGTTACTCAAGAGGGGACGAAGGAGGAGGGTGGGAACTTGGAAGTGGGAAGAGAGGGGCAGATGAAAGAAGGGAAGGGATGATCCAGGTGATTTGAAGTCCGGTGTGTCTCCGTTCTCTGATTGTGGTGTTCAGGGCGAGAGGAAGAGTGGATGACGGGAAACACGGTCTCTTCTCCGGCCATCCAGATCCATCGTCACGCAGTTGGGATGGAAGAAGGGTGGTATTGATGGAGGAACTTTCTCCGATTCCCGGGGGGAGGCGATGGAGTGGAGTGGAGTGGAGTGGAGTTGAGTGGAGTTGAGTGGAGAGACGCGGTCAATAGAACTAGAGAGGAAAAAAAAGGTGTTGCTATATTATTTCACGGAAAGGATTGGTAGGCATCGATTGTCGCGTCGTATCGCGTCGGAGAGTGAATGTATGGTTGACCGTTGACCGTTGAGGAGTGAATGGGAAGAGGAGGAGTAGGAGGAGAGGTTGAGGGAGAGTAGGCGAGGTCCAGTTAGTGAGGCTCGCTTAGCCTTAGCGTCAGGTTTCGGCAGGGGTCTGGTTGGTGTCTCATGTTCTGGGGCGGGGCCTACACGTTTCGAATCTGTATCATCATCTGGCCGACCACCACTTCTCTTCCTACACTCTTCCTCTTCCTAAACTCTTCCTACTTCCTACCGTGTCTACTACACCTCTCCCTCTTCCTACATCTTCTACACTCACACTAATACTATTCCATCTACCAAATCCTTCCAGCCCTTTCCGTTTCCAGTCTGTCACCCTCCAATCGAGAAAAGCCCGTGAGCCTACGTCTAGGATTGTTGGCCTGAAACTGCCATCCTCGTGTAGTTTCGAGTCCCAATAGGACATTCCTCCCCTCCTCTCTCCCCCCCCGGACTGTCGTAAATGGTTTCTGCTTCTCTTAACCGGCTTCCTCCATGTCCGGTCGAAGATCAATTGGTTCCTCATCCTCTGCACCATGACCAAACTGCTGCCTCAGCCGCATTCGCAAGGGAGTCTGCTTAGAGCTACAAGTTGTACGGCCTCAGACTACCCCTCCGAGTTTGCCGGATCGTGTTTTGGGTAAGATGAGGCCCCTCCGCAGTGCCAGGACCCTACAATCGCCATACAGTGCCATACAAAGTCATCTGCATGTGGTATAGCCCTCGCCTTTCAAGTCCTTCACACCCCCAGCAGCCCTGTGGCTTTGCTCCACACCTCCACCACACCATCCCGGTCCTCTGCTCCTTTGGGTGAACGTCTCTGCTCCAAGCTGTCGCCGTTCCAGATCTCTGCAGCCAAGGCGTCTCCCGAAGCTGCCCTCAAACCCAGTGCCAGTAGTTCTTTGCGTCAACATTCCCACATGTCATCTCTCTTCATCATTGTTGCAGCTCGGAAATCCGCGAACCCGCGCTGATCCATATAGTCTTCCTCTTCCTCAAGCTATCGTTCCTTTTCCTTTGGCCTCGTCACTCTTTGTAACCCTAGCCCGATATTCCTATACCATCTCATTCTTTTTCCTTTATTATCTACTGGAGCGGGCTCCTCTCCGCGCTGGCTGCGAAGGGAACTCTGTTTTCCGTACATTCATTTAATCTTACCTCTGCAACGGCTTCCTTTTGTCTACACACCCATATCTTTAACTCTCTAGCTTTAGCTTCAGTCGAGTCACACAACGCTATCGACTAGCCACATTCTTTTGAGCAGACATCTTTCATTGACACCATCACAACTTGTAAGTCCCACTGAACGCAATCTGCCCACTTTGACTCTCCCTTGCGTCTGTTGGCAGACCACCCCACGGGATGGCCGCAGCCAGACGCATGTCGCCCATTCTGGATGCACCACGATGTCATGAGCTGCCTGTTCTGGTTGCTAACAAACATCCCGCCTAGCTTTATACTGGCCACACACTTGCGGTCGATTTCGACAGTAAACGAGGCTAAACATGGAATTTAATGCGGTCCAGCAGTAAGGCCCTCAGATGTCGTCCTCTTCGCTTGGCGACTCTTCAAGCTGACGATGCATATAGATATCGACCAACGTCTTCCACTAATAGGCAATTTCCTCACGCGCAACCTACGTTACAACAGCCACCAAATATGATGTATCCTTACGGCAACATGCAAATGCAACACCACTTGCAGCGTCAATCGCAACAACAGCAACAGCAACAACATGCCCCTCAACAACAATCGAAACCCTCACCACCCTATCCCACGTGGGCCGTACCACAGACCCACTCACCGTATAACCAAATGCAACGAAGTGCCATGCCAGCCAGCAGAGACGACCATGAACAAAGGCAACCCAAAATCAACGTAACCTCTTCGCACTCTCCAGCCATGAGCAACGCCACCTTCCGCAATGCCATTTCCGGTCCGGAAACTCTTCAAGCACCGGACTATTTCCCCGGTGTCATCGATACTAGTACGTCTGTCTTATCTCCGAAATGCAGCCAATTAACGAAAATAGGTCCTTGGGGGCAAAAAGTATGTGAAGAGCTGGAAGCATTCCCTTCCATGGACCCAGATATGGCTGAGTTCAACCAAGGCCTGATGGGTCACGACGAGAACACGCCAATTATTGACCTCAGGCAGTACCACGGCATGGAACAGCAGGAGGCCGATCAGTTGACGAATTTCAACCCCACTTCGTCTCGAAGATTGTCCGAATCGTCGTTTTCCATGTCAAGTACTGGCGGTGTGCTTCCAGAAGTGACCACTTACGAAGAGTTGGGTTCGTCCGAAGCCGTTTCATACGCGTCGGACTGTGAAGCGTGGAACAACCTAGAGCCAGCGCCAAGCCTACTGTCACCACTCGCTTCACCACGGCGACCTCAGCACGATAACGTCGTCCGAAGCGGAAGCCGCTCGCGAGTGTCACCGGCGCCCCATAATAATGTGCGATCGTCGCCGTACACATTGGAGAGCACCCGCTTCAAGAGGTGGTCGACAGGCCATGCACCAACTTCAACACCCGTCAGCTCTCGCGCACTGGCCCAGGTGCAGGATAGATTCACGCCTTATGGATCTAGACTGAATCCGCATCATTCTATGCCGGCGTACCCATCAAGTGCGATGCACAGTTTTGGACTACAGACTCAAAATGTCCTATACTCACAGCCCCATCCTCTTCAATCCAGCAACCCCACACTCTTCTCATCTCATGACCAACCATATCAGCTCGAAGTGCCTCGTCCACTTCCTTCCCAGGGCCTGTTCCGCCTCCTCCAAAGTAACGCGGATCGTCATGGTGGCTGCGCATCCCATTTTGCCGACCTGTCGGACCCTCCGGACTTATACTCCTCACTCCATGAGGAGCCCAGTAATCCCCCGGAATCGGACATGAATCCTTCAGATCCTGACATGGTGCCCCACGAGCAGGATCTTCGCTTCACCGGAGATTTGTATACTCCGCGTTGGGTTCGCGGCCACGGCAACAAGCGCGAGGGTTGGTGTGGACTTTGCAAACCAGGGCGATGGCTTGTACTCAAGAACAGCGCCTTCTGGTACGACAAGAGCTTCACACATGGTGTCAGCGCCGCAACGGGCGCTGCATTCCAAGGACCACAACGAACACGGAGGACAGAAGGTAACCTCGATGTATGGGAGGGCCTCTGTGGTAGCTGCAACGAGTGGATTGCGCTCGTAAGCAGTAAGAAGAAGGGGACCACGTGGTTTAGACATGCATACAAGGTGCGTATAGAATTCCTGCGAGCGTTATCTTCGATTCGTCGGACTTGAAATGCCAATTGAAAGAATGATACTAATGAGCTGTCAGTGTCACACGCATCCTAAAGTAAAAGATGGCCCAAAACGCCGCCGTGAAACCCACACTGTGCGAGCTCGAGCTGCATCATCGGCCTCGGCAACGTCATCCTCGTACCCAATCAACAGAGACGCACCGCAAGAGTCCGCAGCAGTATCGGTGCCGGCACGGCACAACCTGCATTCCACGCCCACGCCTAGCGCATCAGCTGCGACTGCATGTAGTACTCCGCAACAGCAGTACGTCGGCATGCCGACTTCCTTGTCCTTATCCCACTCTCAGCCGTCGGCATCGTACCCGATATCCACTCCCACTAGCATGCAGCCGCCCACCACCTATTCAGAGATGCAGCCGAAGCAAGAACCTATAGTCGGTCTATTCGGCTCACCACTACAGTCAATGGGCAATTTCGGAACATCTGGTGGACCAAACCCTGCAATACAAGTCTCCGAGCCTGAGCTTGTTGGCATTAGGATGAACCCGCCACTCAACAGTCTTGCAAGCATGATATAACATATTCTTTACCGTAAAGGGAATCTCAGAACACCTCACCTTCCGCCTACACCCCCCCCAATCCAAAACTCGTTACCTTCATCCTTAGTCGCGATTGCATGTTCGAAGCGATGCTCCTTTCAACTTGTCCTTCCCTTGACATACATCCCACGTTGTCTTGAGGATTTTGGCGTTCCTGGCTAGACGGTCCTATCTTATATGCTCTTGAGCCCTTTAGGAGTTGCGGCGCTGCAGGGCGGGTTCAACACAACTCACATTTCTCGGCGATCTTACCCTATCATCTCACGTGTCTTAGCGAGCGTTGCATTTTGTTCCTTCTCTATTTGTGTTTTTTGGTTTGTTTGCTTGTCTTGGTTTTGGGTTTTTGCTTCCGTCACCGCCCCTCCTTTCACCTATAACTGGATTTTAGTTCAAAACGTCCGCTCGTTGCCCACTTCGCATTGGGCTGCAGAACGTTTTCCGGAGCACGACAGTGTTCTGTTCTTCGCAAGCTTCTTTTTGCGGCATTTTCAAAAGGTCACTACTGGGATATTAACATGGGATTGCTTTGCTGTTTATTTGTCTTTCTCCTCGAACTTTCTCATTTCTTTTCACCATCAGTCCCTCTGCGCACTACGGTGCAGCAGCGACTCACCCCCTAGCCTTGGTTGGTGGATGCTTCGTATCGTACGTTGGACTATGAGCACGAGCATACGCACGAATGATACCGACGACATTCGGTGCGGCCTCCTCTTCTTTTCCGCCCTAGACGAAGTGACGAATTTCCTCCTCCATCTCGCTTTCTGCAGTTTCAAACGTTCTCTCCCCATTGGCTTGTTGCACATCTAGAAGTGCAGAAATAGAGTGCTACCGATTAACCCCTACACACACACAATCCTAGCTAGTTGTAGATAGAAAACCAATTTCGCCTTCAAGATTCGTGCTTTACTTTTTCCTTCTTTTTTCCACAGACCTAACACAACGAACGATATCGCCAGATGGCATGCAGTAACCTCAATCCTCCTTATTTACGGTGACACCAAACCCCACATTCAAACAGCGAAGGTCCATGTGTGGGGACAAGGCGAAATGGAGAGGGGAGCAGAAGCAGCACGAGCTTCTACTATTACACAGTATTGCCCAAAATGGCAATGGGTCACAACGAACACGTTGTACAGCGCACAGTAACAAGCATATCTGCAACAAACAAACGCCTACCTCTAGTTACAGATACGGCAATGAAAGGGAATCTTCTGCAAATGGCACGGAGGGTATGGCACCAGCGGTGAGCCAAGTAGGCAAGAGGGCGGACAAGAGACAGAGAAACTCTGCGGTGTGTCTCCTTCGGCGCGCTGAGGTTCCGCTTCGTCCGTTGTAAATCAAACCGAAAGAACGGAGCATCCGTCTTACCGAGGGAAGTAAACTCCCAACGCGCGTAGAGAAGAACAGATGTTGAATTACGGAAGCCTTACAAACCAGGGTTTTTGTCCGCAAAACGTGATACGTACTGTGTGGTAGGGCGGCGGCTAAACGCCGTCGCCCACACCGCTACAAGAGTACATACTACGTACAGGGCAAGACATTGATGATGAACCTAGGGCAGAAAGTTCGAAATCTCTGACGTCGCGGGCGAGGACCCTTGAAACCGACCCCTGTCCCTACGGACGATCATGCTTGCCTGGAAAGGGCGTTCCGAGCTGTCGGTCTCTACGCCCGACCCATGTAACCTCCATTTCGCGATCTCGCGGAAGTCATTACGTGCGTGATGACAATATCGTACATCTTTCCTTTCGAATAGCTACCGGGGCAAGCCGGCGGAGTGTGCAAGAATTGCGACGCGCGGTGGGTGAAGAACAAAGGGTGGCGAGGATCACGGAACAGGAGCTGGGCAATACACAGCGCAGTTCACCTCAAAAGCCAGACACCGATCTCCGTCAAGCCTCGTATCGTACGATTTGCACATTCTCGTCTTTAATAACACACAATTAATGTGTCGTAGAATCAGATGTAAAATTTTCGTAATATAGGTTTTCGACATGCTTTGACAGATTGTTGAGAGCCTTCTGGAAGCGAGTTCGTGGAATACGGCGCATTGCACTTATTTGAAATCAATGATCCTAGGGCATTGGAGCGAATTGGCTGAGATTATCGAGATGCACAGTCGAAGATACAATTGGCAATGTCTGCGACGACACGCGACGCAGATCGACGTCAGTCTCGCAAAGTTGGATGGCATCCAACCGACATGATGAGGGGAGACAGCCTTTGACGCCTGTCGTATTCGGCTCCGGCTGATCAGCGCGAGGCTGCAGCCACAGGTGAGATCCTGCAGTGCATTAACGTGAATATCTTGCAGCAAGTGTTCATCTCGAGTCGATAATTTGAGATATCTGGTGGAAATGCAATGCACTACAACATTCTAGAAAGTAATGGAAGCGCAAGACGTCCCCTCGATATTTCCTGCAATCTTAGCAACAGTCTTAGCCTTCGCTTGCCAACGAGATATTCGGCGAAAAGGCTGCAAGTATCTAAGCTTGGCTAGCACGAACGAGCATAGCGTAACCACGCCACGGTCATGTCGAGCAGTAGGACGACACCAGCATGAGATCGATTGCGATCTACTGTTCGGCGACCGGGTCTTCCATAAAGACAGTTCAAAGAGCATAGACCAAATTTCGGTACTCTACAACAGCCTAAAAAGGTCGACGTTCTCGTACCACGTTGCCAGTAGGTTGCATATTGTCAAGAGACTTCCTGCCGCGCCAAAACACGCTAGTCGAGGGAGCGACCATATCATCGACTTGTTGATGCAAATTGAAGGCTCAAACCTGAGGCTGCAGTCAATAGAACTGGTGTTATCAGGATGTATATGCATCAAAGTCTCCAGCAAGCCAAAGCAGGAAACGGGTATACAAGGCACTAGTGTTGAGTGCAAAACTTTCAATGATGCTGGCAATAGGTGTAGGCTGTCAGAGTCCGACAGTCGCCGAATGGTATGGTCCGATGTGTCGCAAGGCTGTTGGCCTGTCATGCAATGCCAAATGTATCAGACAAGATGACGTTGGTCAAATACTAGGCACCAGCAACGGATGAAGGCGGTAGATAGAAGTTCAGTGTATTGATGGGGAAGGTTCAGACCATGAATCCACTTGGGAGATGATGACCCTGGTGTACAGGTGGCGTCCAATTGTCTGTGACGACATTGTTTCGTGATCGAATCCAAATGATGAGCTACGAAGCGCAGCCACACCCAGGTTTACCTCGATCTTTAAACTTCCGATAAGTTTGTTCAACAATCTCGCTGACCGTCTCCGGCTCCAATTGTAGGAGACCATTGGCATTGTAGTCATTGAAGACATCAATGGCCCGGAGTTCCTCATCGAAGAGAACGCTCTTGCCCAAAAGAAACATGCCGGAGTCGGGCCAGCCTCGTTGAATTCTTGAATGGCCTTCTCTTACGCATTCTTCAACATCAGAATAGCTAGTACTCCATGTAGCCTCTGAACATCTCTCCAGACAGCCAAGAATTGATTGTGCAGTGGTCAACACCCCCGCAGCATACAGGTATTTGTTCTTCGTTTGATCCCAACGTCGGATGATGCTGGCCATAACTAATCCAACTCTTTCGAGGCTTGATGCAGCAAAGAACTCATGACCGGTGCCGTGTATTGATGCGCTCTGCCACTGCAAGTCGAAGCCGAGATCTCCAGAAGGAAGCAGGGTATCCAGAATGCAGCCCGTCGCTACCGCGCACCACTCAAAGTCGGGTCGAGCATGAGATGTCCGACGAAGATAGTCGATAACCTTCGCACGTTGTGCGCTCTGTGGCATCCTTTGCTGGATCTCTTCATTCAAAGAGTCTTGACCGAATTCATTTGGAACGAAACGCGTCACGCCTGCAGCAATAGCGGCATCAATGATGCGGACTTGGAAGTGGTAGTCTCCTGCAGCTGTCGTGCTAATGACCAGGTCCTGTCCAGCCAATGATGAACGTAGAGAAGAATCGGTGAAGTCAGACTTCTTGTGTTGAATAGGGAAATGCGGATCATTTGTCGCTGGTGGAATGGTTTGGGAGGGATAGGTCAGGGCGGTTACCTCGAACGATTTACTGCCCTCGATTCGATATTGCGCCAACGCATCAATGATGGCAGAGGAAATGTCATGATTCTAAGAATTCATGTCAGAAATAAATTGGATAAAATGCAAAAAGTCATACTCCTATAATCAGAACTTTATTGATGGCCATAATCAAGCTTTTCGAAGTCTTGACGCTCTTCACGAGATGATTGTCTTTCGGTGAGGGGTTCCCGCCTTAAGTACGCGCAATCGTATCTGCAGTACGGGCCAACGGATGAGTGGCGTAGTATGTTGTTAGCATGAGGAAAGGTTAGCTTTGATCAATATACCAAAATGCATCCTGTAGGATAATCTCCTATCATGATATAGTTGATGCGCCTATATTAGCATGATTGAATTGGTAAATGCGATCAGTGGCAAGAAGTGGATCTGAACTAGAGCCGTAGTTGGCGAAATGACTTTCTTCAAAGCAAATGTCTACAAAAGCCAGTAGCAGCATTAAGCCTACTCAATTTCTCCATGAATATATACGTGCAGGTTCATTCTGCCTGAGGAAACTTGTGAAATGCGGCGGTCTGGTCAATTGCAGGATGGAAGGTCCGTGCTCAATTTTCAACCAAATGGATGGACACGTGACCCAGAGTTTGCGGCTCTTTCCGATCCGTAGCTACGATCGAGCTTTTGCCGACTTCACCTTCACCACGACAACCGACTTTATCCCCATCAACGTCCATCTCCCCGGGCTTCGAAACCACCATCTCGTACGTCAATCAGCTTCCGAAAAGCTTTTCCCCGCCAATTGAACATCCACGACAGCGCGCTGACCCATAGTCGTCACAGAGCCCATCATGAACTCCTCTCGTTTCATCCGCCCATTCGCGCGGGCTATGCGCGCTCCCACCTTCGCCCGGCCATCGGTCATGGCTCGCCCGGCTCTCGCTGCCACCCAGACCAAGGTCCAGCAGAAGGAGGCTCCTAAGCAGATGGTAATTGCTCGATAACCGCTGGAAGAGGACATCGCTAACTCGCCGAAACTAGACCGTTCTCAAGTCTGCCATGCCCCAGCTCATCCCCTTCTTCTTCGTCAACGAGACGACCATGGCCTTTATCTTGATCCCTTCCCTCATCTACGTTTTCTCGAAGTACATCCTTCCCCAGCGAGTCCGCCTTTTCGCTGCCCGTCTCTTCATTAGCAAGTTGTAGAGGAGGATGGCCGTGTAAATTAGCCCAATACGAGAGGATGGACAATCGAATGGGAGCTCATGTCTGAAAATTGAAATTCATTCCTCTTGAGGGTTGAAGATGAACTTGATTCGCTGATTGCATGACGGAGATATCGATTGTGTGAACTGATTAGATTTCGAAGCAAAGAACTTTCTAATACAGGATCTTTGACTACACCAAATTTATAGCGTTGTACAAGACGTCTGGGGCACAGCGCGCTGTTTGCAAATACGCATCTTCAGAATCTGAAACTATGCTGACTCACAATGTTATATTCCGGCCTTCATCACAATATCGCTCTTGCTGTCCTTCCCCCCACTAATGAAAGCCAAGTGTCACAACGGTGGAGAAAAATCATATAGGGCGGAATCAGTACGTCAAAGATACTCATAAATGGCATATTCTAGGAGTTGCCCAGCCATCGGATTGGATAAATATTGCCTTATGTTACTTGTTTCATGCACTCTTTCGTTATCTTCATCAAGCACCATGTGACCTTTCGCTTGAAAAGACAACTTCAGGGCATATCTACACTACGGACGATCAACAGGTTTGGCTCCTATGGTTTATCAGTCCAATATCATTCTCAAACGGGAATTCAATTACTCACCGAGCACCCAACCGAGTCCGCTGGCGAGACCTCCGGTGACAGCATTCGCCACCATGTCTCTTTTCCTTACTCTGTCCTCTTCCGTCTCGCCCATACTTATACGATCACTATCTAGAGACTGCCGGCCAGAAGCAGGGGTTGCATCCCCGACTGTTCTTGAGGCTGTCGAGTTCTGCCGCAGAGGAAATGCGCTCTTTGAAAAGGCCGCCGCTGCGCCTCTGGCAACATCGAACAGGCCCATAGGTGCTTCCTCAACCGCACCGCGTCCGATCTCACGACGGGGCTGCAACGCTACCGTCTCAGCAAACGCACCTGGCAGCCTGCGATCAGCCCTGTCGTTGAACTTCTCTTCTGCTTCGGCTTCTTGGGCAAGCAAGTTCGTCATCTCAACTTCACATTCTCGCCAAACGGAGAGGACTTCCTCTAGGTGAGATGGTGGGGCGAGAATGAGGGCTTGAGATAATAATTCCATACGCTGCTCTAGACGACGCATGTCAGGTCGGGCGGTCGCACTCGACCAGGAAGTAGACATCGGTGATGAGCTATAGCGGCCGGCATTGAGTGCTGCCCTCCAAGCTACATCGTCCGTATCATCCTCTTTGAAAGATTCGTAGGAACTAAAGGAGAATCGTCGAGAAGCAGTAGATAGCGCTGGCGAAACTAGTGGAGTAGGTGACGAGGGGCTCAATCTATTCACCACATAGGAATAAGCGGTCTCAAAGTCATCTTCTTCGAGGGCCGCCTCAATTGCCATGCCGGTCACTCGACGTTCAGCAGCGGTTTTCCGCTTTTCAAGAGCTGTTAGACCAAGTGGATTTGCATCGCTATCATCTTCCAGTAGGGTTGTTGGCATCGAAATCACCAGGTTCTGCCCGATTCTGATCATTTCATCCAAATGTGTATAACTGCCTCGGTTTTGAGACAGCAGCTTACGCAGCAGTGACAAAGGATCCACGCTCACTCTGATATTGACAGGCTGAAAGGGAACGCCATGCTGCAGAATGAGGGAGTACGAAGACATGGCGTGGGTCGCAGAAAGCAGTGCCTGTGCGCGTTCGAATTTTGTTGGGCTTGGAAAATGAGGGCCCAAGGCAGCAATGATATCTGATGCCTTTTTCACGCCACCTCTTGTCCTATTACCATTGCTGGCATTATCGTAGTGACTCATCGCGGATTGCAGAACCACCCACTCAACCTCCTGTTGGGTTAGAGGAAGCTGACCGGAGAGATTCTCGAGATATGTTTGAATTATCAAGGTGTAATGGCCGCTCTCGATGAGTGCTTTGAGAATTTCAATCTCGATACATCTTTGTTCGATGTTACCCAGAATACCCTGTCCATAGCGGTCGCTTTCGGGGCGGTTAGTACCCCAACTCCAGAGCCATAACAGTTTGGATCGAATAGTCCTCCACTGGTCGGCATCTTTCTTGGTTGTGGTCGTCAGCAAATGTAGAATCTTTTGGAGAAGCGCATTCTGCTCAATAGGGTCATTCCGGATGTACATTTTCGCGACGTCTCGTATGGAGAATACTTGTTGCAGACCCGTTAAAAGACACGCAGAAAAGATGAAGAGAGCAAGCAGTCGCACACGGTCCTCGTCGGGTTGTGTGAGTGCGTTATCTGCGTTCAGAATATGCTCCTCTTGGAGAATCGTGGACGTTGCCCCATGCAGTGGTGGAGAAGCGATGCCATATGATGGTAAAAACCCCACGCCAATGTGTAAATCGGGTGGTGGCTCTAAGTTGAGCAAATTGCTCAGCCTTGCCAGGAGAGAATGTGCTCTTTGAAGTGTGTCCATGCTGTTATCCTCCACTAGATAGATGCTCGCCAACGCTGCCTGCGCGTATCTGAGCTCCAATTTGCCTTGTTGATCCTCTCCAATAAGTTCAAGCCCCTCATCGTAGCCCCCTAAATCGAGATCGCTGGGTCCATCCCACTCGTTGAAGGCGGATGTTGTGAAAGGAAAATCGACCTTCGAAGTTTGGACGAGATAGTGAAAAAGACATTCCCAGTCGTACTGATCTGCCTCTTCTGAAATGCCTATTGATGGTCTACGCTGTCCGGAATCCAATCTCCTTCTTTTTCGCAAATTGGCTCCACAGATCCAAGGACCTACTATGCCCCGTAAATCTCGCGAGACATTCCTTACATCAGGCGGGTTTCCTTTGATCTCTCGTGAGTTCGAAAGCTGATATTCGATTGCCCTTGTCCCCTGTAGCTCTGCAAAATTATCCAGCGTCAAAGTTGGATTTGGTGGATAATACTCGTAGCCAATTCGAAGTAACGGCAGCACAGTGGAGATGAACCATGTCTTCAGATACTCTGAGTGTTGAAGGAATGGCACCACAAGTTGTAATATTAGCTCGAGCTGCCCTATTTCGGCATCGATTCGGTGCGATCGGTGTATTATGAAGTGTGTGAATGCGTCAATATCGGGATCGCTTTCGTAGAGAGGGTGCGGGAGAGGCTCTAGTGTTGTGTGTAGTTTATGGGCTCGTTTGCGCGCTTGTGAGTTGGAAAGAGCTGCGACGGATGATACATCTGATTCATTGGCCTCCAATGCGGAAGCTTGAGGATTTATTGCGAGCTCGTGTAGGTACTCGCAATATTGCGAGGGGTCCAGGCTCTCTGGCAAGTAAGTTAGAAGGACGCGGAGTACCAATCCAAGCTCAAGATCGGCTGTCCTCAGTGCGGTTAATGCGCGCAATGCGGTAATGTTGGATTCAGAGGCATAGTGCGCAGCAAGCAGTATACAATGAGGCCCCGAGAGCTGCTCAAGCCTGGTCATGGCGAATTGTGTGGTCTTTGAGGCCAGCGTATCCATCAGTGACATCAATCCATAGTTCCTTACTAAGCATGCACGGACCCGTACGCTCGCATCTCGTCTTGACTACAATTAACTTCCAGTAAGACATATACAAATAATGCGATAAGAAGATTATATTTCAGTGTTATTCAAAAACCTATATACAAGCTCCGAGTGTGTTGGCCAATGTTCGTGATCGTCCACAGGAGTGTGGCGTATTATTGACGTGCAGTCTTTCCTGGCACCCTGGCGCACAGCAAAGCTCATTCAGTGATATGAATAAGAAGTACTTCTTGAATCATCCGGGCGGCCCTAAAACATGGACATCTTGAAAGCAAATCTAGCAGCACTTCCTGCCGAAGTTCTCGAATCCGTGGCACGAAATCTTCAGTTATCTGAGCTACGTTGCTTACGCTTGACTTCCAAAGCGCTTGAAGTGAAGTCGTCTTACCATTTCGGGCGTACCCATTTCGCTACAGTGACGACGAACATGTCATTTGCGAGTATACAAAAACTCGAAAGCCTCTCAAAGTCTACATGGGCGGTGCACATAAAAGTCTTTCGGCTGGACTGGGACGAAGAAGCCGGCCATGGACTCATTTGGGGTCGAGAGCGCAAACCTTCCAAAGCTATACTTTCCAGCTTACCCGTTATGCAACAAGTACGCGATATCATTCTTCGGTTTATCAACTGTCGCTCCATTTGCATAACAACCCCATACGAACATGACCATATGTTCTGTCCAAGGGTAGATATGCTTGGATGCAGCGATTTACTTGGACTCTGTTTCATCCTTGTTGCGGAAACTGGCCTAGCGCTCGAAACATTCCGTCTTGAGATGGGGTCGAATAGTAAAGACCGAGTTAAGAATGGCCTGATTCACATGGAGCAGATTGAGAGACCGACGTTCAGAAAAACATTCTCCGAGCTTAAAGAACTGTCACTCAGACTTAGCGTTGACGATACCCCTTGCGATTGGGTTTGGAAGTTAGTATCAGAAGCGGTACAATTGCGAAAACTGGATTTTGATGTAACCATTTTTGAACCTTTCTATTTCGAACCACTCAGCCTATCTCATGTTCGGGAATTATCGTTTAGCTATATGAAAATTTCGGAGGCAAATCTAACTACGCTTCTACAACGGTGTCGCCACTGTCTTCGATCTCTAAAGTTATTTGGGACCAGACTAGATCAAAGTTGGAGAGGCATTCTTCGGTTCTTACAGAATTTCCACGATCTTGAACGGATATCCTTTCATTTCCTTAGAGTGTATCGTGGCACGCTACCATGTGCATTCAATTCTCTAGGTGATAGTGTAGTAGGGTCCAGTCCTTCGAATCCAAAGCTTCAATTAAGAAGAAAGGGCCCCTCAGGACGCCAGAGAATTGTTGGAGTGGATTACAGCGGACCGAGCATGCGAAGGGTTTTGGAGATGCTAGAAAATGCAATAGACCTGTAGGGTTTTAAGAAGAACAGAGACCTGGAAAGTTGACGAAAGGAATAGTTGATAGTCTACGGATGATCGAGAAAGTTAGAGCCAGAATTCTCAGTCTCCATCACACCACCTGGTACAACTCATCATAGCACAGGCTGTCTATCTACGTGATTGCTTGCTACTATCGGTTGACGTTGGGACCGGAGAGCTCGAAATCAGAGACGGTGAGGTAACACAACCGCCTGCTTTCTGTCATTACATGGCCGCTTCCTGATGGATTGCGGGCCTGATTAATTTTTCTGTTTTGTGGTATCATATCATTCGAGCCGATAAAAACATCATCAGGCTCTAACACAAAGTCGAACTCTTTTGCACTGGGACGCCTAACTATGCGTAGCTCCACACACTCCTCTTCCCTTTCGGACCGCAAGCATAGATACCTTCAAAATCAATGAACAATTCATACAAGTTTGGCGATACCTCGGTATACTAGTGTCCAACCTTTCAATAGCTCATTTTATTTCGCACTGAATTGCCCCAGATCTTGGCAGCCACGCCGACTTCCACAGTCCCAAAGACCCGGTCATGATCACACACCTGGTCACCACGGACGACGGCGGCGGCGCTATACCACCGACGAGGAAACAAGTCCATCGACCGCCATTCCGTCCCTGAATCGTCCATCAATTCTGGAAAACTCCCCGCCGTCCTATTTGAGGGAAATTGACGTTATGCCGCCGATCACTCTGGGGTTTCTACCCCAGGTGGTTCTCCTCCCCGCGATTCTTCGGTCCGGTGGTGTCGTTCGGTGCAATGACGACCGAACCTAAGGAACACACCAATTAATTTAGCCACGCGAGATAAATGAAGCAAAGTCGGGGGATACAAAAGAGCTTCGCCAGACGGCCACTTTAAGTTGACGATGACTTTGTGGATTCTCTGACGTGGGTACGTTCGATATTTCGAAAGCCATCTACCTAGGTACGCATCGTCACCATGGTGACCGTTCGAAGCATCCTTGGGCTTGCGGCCCTCGTCCCAATTGCGGTTGCCGCTCCTTTGGAGGAGAGGGCAAAGAGCAAGAGCTTTCTCAAGCAGATCGATGGCTCGACTTGGGTCATCGGCAATGAGCTCTGGAATGTTACTCAGGGGCAGCAATATGCCACGAAATTGATGTACAAGGGCAAAGACCTCGTCGGTGATGCAGTAGGCCATTACGTGAGCTACAGTGAGTTCACTTCCCATCTGTACCATATGAATGTTCGGAGCGGTGCTAATATAACCAAATAGACGGCGCTGCCTCCGATCTCAACTGGACGTCTGCAGCCATCGTAGACTCTGGCTCCAACTACATCAACGTCAAGTTCACTGCTGTCGGAGGAGACTTTCACTGGGTCATCTACGACGACCTTGTGGGCGCATACCAGTACTTCGTCAACCGCGCCCTCCCCGTGCTTGGAGAGTTCCGTACGCTCTGGCGCCTCGACAACCAGTCCTTCCCCAATGGACGCACCAACATCAAGGACGGCGTCCTTCCACCTCTATCGGAGTATGCCTCCGCAACAAACGTCCAGGATGAAACCTGGCAAAAGGCAGACGGCACGTTCCTGACCAAGTACGATTGGAGCGCCTTCATCAAAGACGTAGACTTTCACGGCGTGTACGGCGAGGAGTTTGGTAGTTGGTACATCAATCCGGGCAAGGATTACATCAATGGCAATCACCTCAAGCAGGAACTCATGGTATGTAACAAAGCATCGCGCCAATGACCCCAAGTCTTCCAATGCTCACAATAAGCCCCCTCGATATAGATCCACCGCGAGAGCAAAACGGGCGACGCCGTCCAGTTAAACATGATCCACGGCACCCACTACCAAGCGGTATCGCGAGACGCCTTCGCGGACGGGAAGACCTGGGGCCCCTGGCTCTGGTACCTCAACTCGGGGTCCCAATCCGACGCAGCCTCGCGCGCGAAGCAAGAAGATCGAGCCTGGCCATACAAATGGTTCAAGGACGCCGCATACCAGTCCCGCGGCAAGATACAGGGCAAGCTCGTCCTCAGCGACGGACGGCCAGCCGCCGGCGCAGCCGTGTTCCTCGGCGACAACAACCCCAGCGTGAGCTCCCTCGACCAGGGCCGCGATTACTACTACATCACGTACGCAGACGAGAACGGCAAGTTCTCGATCCGGGACGTTCGCACGGGCACGTACGGCCTGGAGGCGTGGTCGAATGGAGGCAAGATCGCAGACGTGTCGACTCTGCACCGCGAGTCTGAGATCCAGATCCGCAAGGGGTCGAACACGAACTTGAAGACCCTCACGTGGAAAGTCGCGGACGTCAAGAAGCGCATCTTCCAGGTGGGCGAGTTCGATCGCAAGACGACCGGCTTCGCGCTCAGTGGCCCCCATCCGTACGAACACGGCCGCATCGCGAATTGCCCCACAGACATCACGTACCGCGTTGGGGAATCTGATACCTCCGACTGGTGCTTCGGACAGTCCGAAGTAGGATCGCACTCCATCGTCTTTCCTCTGGATTCTCTCCCTGCGGGTAACTCATCCGCTGCCAAACTCACCGTCTCCCTAGCTGGCTTCTCGCAAGGCAGCAAGGCAGATGTGCTTCTCAACAACGTCAAGATTGGAAACATAACCGACATGCCCAACAGCCAGGACACGTACCGCGGTGCGACGCAGGCGGGCGAGTGGCGGCTGTTGGAATTCGCGGTTGGAGCCGGAGCGTTGAAGGCGAAGGAGGAGAACAAGATTGAGTTCAAAGTGTACAGTAGTGCGCAGTGGAGGGGTTGGCTGTGGGATTCCATCATCCTGGAGTGGGTTTGATGGATAGATCGAACGAAATAGGTCTACCATGGATGCTCGTACGTACCTACCTGGGTAGACACAAGAGCATTGGATAGCTACTGCTGTACGAGTAAAATGTATATGACGCCTGCACATGCATAATCTACTACTTTGAAAGCTGAAATGAATATGAACAACAAGGGCAATCACGACTTGGCTGTATGTGAAAATGTGAAGAGCGTGGAGTAGAATAGAATAGTTAAAATGTTTCTGAATTGGCCTTTAAATATGGTATCCGCGATTGCAATGGTTTCATCTCTGACGAAAGCAACAAAACAAGAACTTGAAAACGAACAACATCCGCCGCCTCTTCCCAACAGTAGGGCCTCTCCCCAAGACATAACGAGTGCGTCGACGTTTGCGACGACTTGTCACACCTCAAGGAGGAAAGAAAGAAGAGAATAGAACAGCATGCTATCCTTTCTCTTCCAAATTTCCCTTCTTCATTTCCTTTCTTATCTTTTGTTTTCTTCTCCCAATGTTGCGGTATATCATACATGGCGTAACACAGCGTTGCCGTTGCCGTTGTATTTCGCGCGCACTGTAGGGTATCGATAATCCACCGCCTCCATCCTCCACCCGTCGTCTTAGCTTTACAACCCCAACCCCTCCGTATCCCACTACTTCTGACCACGCAAGCCCTTATGGCATGAAGCACCAAACCCCGAAGAAGACCGCAAGCACGCAGATGATGATGCCGATAAGTTCGGGCCCGGCCTTGATGACCTGAGCGTCCTGGATGACGTCGTTGAACTCGAGGACCTTTGCCTGGGTGAAGTTCTTCTCCGCCTCAGCGAGGGCGATGGTGGTCCAGTTGCCGCAGAGGGTGTTGAGCTGTGCGTCGGCGGTCATGGAGGGGAGGGCGTCCATGGCGGCGGTGAACATGCGGGCATTGTGGATGGCGCCAATGGGGGACATCTGGAGGAAGGTGGCGCGATAGGTGCTGTTGGTGCCGACGGTGGAGAGATTGGCGGTGCGGGCGTAGAGGAGGCATTCGGGCGCGTTGGACCCGGTGCTCACGGCCACTGGTGCGGCAGGATCGGCGGCGGCATCTTGTCGCTCGCTGAGGATGGGGCCTGGAGAGTAGACTTGGGCGGCTGCACCGGCGAGGACGGTTGTGTGGAAAAGGGAGAGGAAAAGGAGGAAGAGAGAGGTCAATCTTGAGGATGTGTACATGGTGGCGGTAGTGATGTATGAATCGGGAGTTGGTCGTTGGTATGGGTGGGTGTAGCTATTAGGTGTACGATATGGTATGCTGGTGTCGTCGTCCGTTGTTCTCGTCCTCGTCGCTTGGAAGGGTATGTAGTTGTGTGTATAGTTATATGGGATGTATGCACGCGACGACGATGATGTATGTATTAATCCAACCAAACGAGGCTCTCCGTAGTATGTAGGTAGACAAGAAGAAAAGGTGAACCAGTCACGACAAGGGGATGAGAAGAAGAGAACGAGCGGGTCAATCGAGGAACAAGAGACAGAAGGAGGGAGAAATCAGGCCACAAACGGGGGAGGGCATGAATATAACTGATGGGCAGTTTCGTTAGATGTGTTAAGGTTCATGGGTCGTTAGTTGCCTTAGTTGTTAAGGTGTGAAGGTCATAACAGTGTATGAGGGTAAGAGAGAAAGGGAAAAGGGAAATCTGAGGCGGGGCTGAGGCACAAACTGTCTGGATTCCATCGCTCGCATAACACACACAGGTTACAACCCCAACCCTAACCCAACCCCCTTGGCCCAGATCATCCTTTCTCCATCCTCTCGCCATTATTGGTAGAAATCCACCTTCGAGCCTACGAGGTACGGACGAGATATCGAGTATCATCTTGGCTTATTCCCTCTTTCGTGAAGGGCTGTGTGATGGTCGTACTGTCGTACATAAGGGCCTGGAGTCACTGGCCAGCCACAATACAGAACATCAACTCCTCCATGAACCTACAATTCCACTAGAAGGACTACTTTTGCACTTTAACCTCATTCATTCAATCGACTTCCAGGACCCCCAAGCCACATCAACGAAAGTGCTGAACAAGGATGGCAATATCGCTCCTGTCTTATCGTGCCAGTATTGGCCAAGTCACGAAAAGAAGACGTGATCTTGTCGTGATCTTTCTCTCTGTCTCAAGACTCTCTCTTCTTCCCCTTCCCGGCTCATCGCTCTTCCGAAACATGTCGCAGAATTGCCCGCACAGGGACCGATCGATCCGATCTTCCCCATCAATTCTCCCTTATTAATTACTTTCCTAGCTACGGAGGACCAAAGAGAAAGAATTAAGATCGTTCCCCCTCGTGATCAAAAGACTCTTTCAAATAATAATTGTCCATTCTCGAAGAGGGCCATCGTCTGATCCAGATCGGAATGGTTGGCGCAGGTATGTTGATCTAGCAGTATCTAACAATTGGGAAGATACGCTCGAAATAGACGCAAATGGCTTACACTATGCCCACTGACACAGTCCATGGCCCCATGAAGTCCCTGCCTACTGTAGGTGCCGTGTCTATCGTGAGCCAATCCTTTTGTAGAGGAAGGCCTTGGTCGTGTCTCATCGTCCTATCACGGTTCCCCTCGAACCGCCAGATTTGGCGCGCCCCAGGCAGATCCACTTGGAGCGGGAAGGGAACCTCCAATTGTCTGTGCCCCTTGGGTCTCTCTTTTTCCTTTTCTCGACCTCGTCGGACTATTAATTAATCATTATATTCTACGTGCAAATAGTGATTGATTTTTATAGAGAGAAAGAGACCTCGTGGAATGCATGTTCTTGAATCGGACGTAGACAGACTTGCGGACCACCATTTACATTTAAGCCTCCCGTTGTTGAGCTTGGATCCGCGCAGTCTCTTCGCCCTCCAAGATTCACGACCAACTTGAGACGCCGAGGGTCGCAAAGAAACGGGAAACCTATGCCCTTTGTCTCTTCGTAACGTGTAACCGATCAATCATGTGCATGTCGATTATTAACGTATCCCATCCAAAAGGACCAATAATGAATCAATAACAATAACAAATGTCCAGTAGGACAACTCGATGCCATCTTGTCTCCCTTGATTGCAAGAAGACCATAAGTATGCAGTACTTTCAAAGTAACTCACCCAACCACCTGGATGAAGGGCGACCCAATACCCAATAGTGAGGGCTCCGTAGTTGGTGGAACTTACTTCGCATCATCGACCAAAATCTCCTTCCCATTTCTTGCACCGGAACAGCCAATATTTCCAACTATCCAGCAATCATCAACCATTATGGGCGAGCACAGCCTATACAATAAATGTAAAATGCACTCCGCCACCGGCCACATACCAGCCGCTACCAAGCGAAGGGTGAACAATCCCATACGGGTCATACCCGAGGAGATACGAGGCCGATTTGCCCCCGCCCGAATCTCCATCCCCACCACCACATGGTCTACTCTCCGTCTATCGTTGGCTGGCCACGGTGAACACTGAGCCGTGGGAGGATAATTCCCATTCCCAAATAATCGCAGTGAGTTGTCAACCAGCCTTACCTTGCCCAAAACCGGTGTGCTGGTGTAGGTCTGCTGCGACACTCCGACAGGCGCACCCACACACCGCGCGCCGTATCCGGTATAGTTTAGCGAGATCCACCGTTCCTACTGGCTCCCATCTGGGTCGCTATGTACCATTCTTTGCCATGTAACTACCGAGTATAAACTCAAGTAATTCCTCGACTGGAGAGTTGGAGATGTTTAGAAAACATCATCAATAATCCACACAGACGAATAGGTAGAGACTCTGCTGGAGTCGGTGCACTCTAAGATGGGAACAGCTAGTAAACCAGAAGGCGGGTACCCAGGCTCGCCCAGTGCCCAGCGCGAAGCGACCATCAAGGAGATGGAGAAGATGCTTGAGCAACCGCCGCCATACACGGTCGATTCTTCTGCGAACAGCGGTGGTCCTTCGTCCTCAACATCTAATGGTGACAATGGACCGACCGAGTCCCAACGGGCACCAGTTCTCGAGAACCTTGATTTTGAGCCAAGCCCGCTCGAACTACCTACAGCTGGACAGTGTATCGCGCATCTAAAGCTTTTGCATGCATTTGCGGGTCTCAGAAAAGAGATAGGAAATCAGGAGGGGATATATGGTATTCAGACTGGGGGCAAGGCCGGGCAGGAAGGTGAATCGTCCTCCAGCAGTGACAACCATCAGCAGCAACCCGCAGGAATCCATGAGCAAGAATCGGCTGGTCCACAAACAACGAACGAAGACGCAATTCCCACTAATGATGTCTCCAACGATCAGGCTCTCGAAGAACGCTTACGAGAGAAGAGATGGACAGTCTTCGTCACTAAAGCTGTCAACCGATTCGAGAAATGGTGGGCGGCTCTAGAAAGTCCAGCAGGACAGCCTCTCTCCGACCTTCGCACAGTCAACTTTGACTACGACAGTCGAACTTTTCAGAATTCGCCGTACAGGATCTACAAGGGTAAAGGGTATACGCTAGGGAAAGGCGAGATACCGTTGCCTCCTTTGGACGTTCTTTTGGTGTGGCATGCATACATGCTGAACCCGAGAGGGTACTTTGAGGATTGCATTCGTTTGTCGAAAGATTTCCTGTGGCAGACCATCTTCCCCTGGGAGACTATCTATAACTCCATCGACAATGAGACATACGTGTATACACGGAACGAAGCAACCACGGACACGTTCTTCAACATGACAAATTGTCCCTGGGACTTCAGGCAAGACAACAGCCCTAAACAAATCGATTGCCCGAAATGCAGCAGACGAACCGCCGTTCCATGGACGAACCCGCCCCAATCCACCGCGACCAAAGCCCTGGACGACTATTTGTCCCACGACGATGGCTTCTGTGGCAAAAGCTTCAACTACACATGTCTATGTGGTCTCGCAATCACCCACGAGAAGCTGCGTGTCGGCAAATTCATCGAAGACGTATGGCAATTGCAAGACTACCAGCGGCCGATGCCGGGCACCATCCTCAACTCCATGGGTCTCCCACAGATAACTAGCGAGAAGAAAGCCGTCTCGAACCACGAGCCCTTCTTCCCTAACCGCGTCCTCGAAGAAGAAGGCAAATTCTTCCACGCGAAAATGCGGAGAGACGTCGAGAATTGGGATATCAACAAGCTGAAACTTGAGTTCCAGAGAGTGATGAAAGACAACAGCAAGCTGATGAGAATCAACAGCCAGCAATTCAAGCCGACCAAGATCGCCAAGGAGAGCGCGATCGCGGTACGGAAGATGTTGAGCAACTACTGGGACAACTCAAGCGTGTTCGGTCTGGACCTCGTCGGTGCGGTCATCCGTCAATCGAGTTTCGTGCAGAAGATGGTCAAGATCAATTGGGTTCGCAGCCCTGCGGCCGTGGCGACCATGCAGCGCCTCATCGTGAAGTACCACCGTTTCGTGCGAATCATCGGCGAGAACCCCAAAAAGATTGCAGTGCCGACGCTCGATGTTGACTTGGCTTGGGTAAGTGAACGACACGAAGCTATTGACCATGTCTCCCACAAACATTTGTATGTGCTTTTTAGCCCAGACTAACTCATCCTTTCTATCAGCACACACACCAGCTAACCCCCCGAGACTACCTCTCCTACACCCTCGCCGAATGCGAAAAGTTCCTCAACCACGACGACAAGATCGCCGAGACCTCCCTTAACGACTACTTCCAGTGGACTACGACCGTCTACGAGAAGAAGTACGGTCAGCCCTACTCCGAGTGCGCGTGCTGGTACTGCGAGTGCACGCGCGAGCCGCTGCGGTCCTCCTTCTCCAATCGCTTCAGCCTGCTCCGCAGCTCCAAGACTAACGCCATCGCTTCGACCTCCGACCCGTTGCTTCCCAAGGACGCCGCCACGGGTATTCACATCAGCGCTCACAATGCCGTCATCCAGTTCAAGAACTTGCCCAACCAAGACAGCCAGGCCGCGTGGGCGAAGCAGCGAAGAAAGGAACTCGAGAACCTGGATCTCCAGTACGCAAAGGTGTGCAAGCGGTATCAGAAGAAGAAGAAGGCGGATGAGGCGCCGAGGAGGGACAATAGTGACGCTTACTACTACAGCGCGTATGGGTATCCAATGCCGATGCCAATGGTCGTGCCGTACTACGCCGCGCCGACGGATGACGGAAACAGGTACTCGACAGCGCAGGCGTCGGGCGGAGGAGGCGGAGGGTCATGTGGAGGGGGTTGTGCTGCCGGGACATGTGCAGAAAGTACGTCCGTTGGCAACTGTGCTGGGGGAGTTGGGACACCGTATTGCCAGGCCAGCTGCGGTGGACATGGCAGTGCGGGTGGCGGCTGTGGAACTTGTACGAGTGGTGGTGATGGCGGCGGCGGTGGCGGCGACGGAGGAGGCGGTGGTTGTGGAGGCGGTGGGGATTGAGGGAAGAAGTCGACGTCTTGATAGTAATGCGTAGGGCCAGTCGACGAACTTTACGAACTCAACAGAGAGTTAATTGTTAATGCTTCTGTCCCAGTCCAACAGAGCGAGACCCTTAGATGACACGTCCTATGGTCCTTGAATATCTCGATAACGTCCGTAGCAATAATGCTATATCGTCAAACTAACACGAATACAACCTCTGCATCATCGAACAGGTCCACAGGGAGAAATGCCATTACTCGTTGCTTATCTCTCACATACACTCACCTGCCGACCAATGCCACTGACTCTCCAAACTCGAGCGTATGCTCAAACTCATTATACATTGAACGCAGGAATGTTCTAAGATCAGAATTGCCTGTCCTATCCTACCATGTCTTTTTCATCATCTCTCCATTTTAAACGTTCTTTCGTCTTGTTGAGCTTTTAACAAAGGACGAGTGAGGACCCTCTGCTTTTTGTGCTTTTGTCATTTTGCATTTTAGATTATCTGGTTGTTAGACCGGTGGGTTTTATCCTCTCCGCTGGATTGTATGAACGTACAGTCCTTTTCCTTGTGAATGGACTGAACGCAAACGTCAAAAAAAACACTCGCTAGATTTCAAGGATGCATCAAGCGCATTCCTAGTTCATTGAACGGGGGGATGATATGGTAAAGCCGTTTGGAAACTTTCACTACTATCAGCCAGCCAGCGATCACGGCTAGAAGCACATTGAATCTTCATCATACACCACGTCCGCCGACAACCACCTCACTATATCCACACATCCATATCTCTAATCACCTCTCCCCACCATCAAACGCCCAGTCAGGCTTCCCCTCCGTCAAGCAAAAAAGCTTCTCCCCCACCGAAGAAGCTCCAGGTTGATCAAACGCCAAGCGTTTGCGTCTCCTCCTGCGACTCAACCCGCTACACCAAAGCCCCCACCACCCGCTCCCAATTGGCCACTCTGCGTGTTTGGCTTTCACCAAGAACATACTTGGTAACCTGTACCAAGCTGTTCTGTATCGGTAATGCAATGCTTGTTCTAGGATTTGGGTGGACTTCTACGCATCGATGGTCTCGTCTTTCCCCCTCTAAAGAAAAGGAAAGACAGCGGGGGACTAGAGATCTTGGAAGAGTATCAGTGATAAAAATATATATAGTTTGAGTTCGTTCGCTCGCTCGCTGGCTGTGATTCTGTCAGATTCTCTTCAAGTAAGGGCCTAAGGCATCTTTTTTTTCATTTCCTATTTAACTGTATCAACTAATCAATCATTTATTATTTCTTTCTGAGAGTCTGCTGGACGGATTACCCTCACTTACGAGCATCTATTTCCTTCAATCACATACATATCACTTACCAAGTCAACAAACGAAGATGAAGATCACATCCGGCATCAGTCTCGCCATACTGGCAGTATCGAACGTGGCGGCCTCCAACCACGAAGCCAGATGGACCGTAAGTTCCCAACAAAAACCCCAATACCACAAACTACCATACGCAAATTCACTGAGCAATCTCCCAGGGCTCTCTAAGTACTCGGGCCAACGCTGCTGCCGCCGCCATCGCCCGCCGACAGATTGAGATCGGGGGCTTGAAGCTCGGTGGCGGGGGAAATCAAACTGCCGCCGAGGGCCAGGGCGAGGCTCGACAGGGAGATCAGCGACAGAAGGGAGGGAATGGTGGGTTGACTATTGGGGGTCTCACACTTGGGGGTCCTGGAGGAGGCATCACGGGTAACGGGCTTAACTTGGGTGGAGGGAATCAGCAGGCCCAGCAGGAACAGGGCCAGCGAGGGCAAGCTCAGGAAGGCCAGGCAAGAGAGGGTCAGAAGATTGAGGAGAATCAGCAGGGTCTGAATGGAACAGCAGGAGAACGTCCAAACCAAGAGGGCCAGAAGGCCGAGGGAGTCAAGGAGGCGGAGAGCGGCGAGAAGAAAGCCCAAGCCGAGGTCGAGCAGGGCCAAAGAGAAGCACAGAAAGGTCTTGAAGAGGCTGCTGCCGCCTTGAACAACGCAACTCAAGCCGCCACTGGAGCTGAAGGGCAGAAGGAAGGGGCGGCTGCAAATGCAGAAGAGGCTCTGAAGGGTCAACTACAAGAAGGCGAACGACAGCAAGCCGCGGAACAGCGGCCGGCTGAGCAAGCTGCTGAGGGAGAGAAGAACGGCAACAAGGCAGTCGAAGAATCGGAGCGGTTCTCGGAAGGGTTCGGGATCACACTTGATGCCTCCGGGAATGCCGTGAACTCGGGTGGAAACTTGGGCATTACCCAAGGCAGTGATGGCAGCAAGAGCGTTGGTGGTTCAAATGGCATCAATATCGCTCCCGACGGCACAGCGACAATTGCTGGGAATGAGACGGAATAGGCTCAGTCGAGGTTTCCTTACGATCAGATTTGCACCATTAGCAGCAGATCTAGATTCTAAGCGTTCACGGGAATTGAAGTGAACAGAACAAACGGCACTTAAAAAGCATCCGAGCCTCATGGGCTCAGCTTGATTCTGATTAGTGAAATGAACGAGTACACGCACAGAGACATACATCATATACATTCTTTTAGACTAGCTACCGCAGGGTCTGCTGAGACAGATCATCTTTCAATCGTCCTAATGGATAGCATATCAGAAAGAGTCCTGGATACTATGCATGGCAACGGAGATAGAAACAAAAATTGTCTCGAACTGTCTCGACAACGTCTTATGTCAAACACTGTTCATGAGGAGCGAACTATGCCCAGTCTCGTAAAAAGAGCAAATATGTATTGCAGTGTATCTGAAAGCTCTTCAAGTTGTCCAGATACAGGACGAAAGAATACGGTGGGAAACCATTGACATCACCGTTGATTGATCAATATGGTTGTGGTCGTGGTCAGAGACATTGCAAATAACATTGTACTGCGGCAGTATGGAAGGTCAGTCCAGTGATGCATCACACCAGAACCATAGTATGGACATACAAAGCCCGCCATGCCAATGCAAATGTTTTTCTATCACCGAGATAAAGCAATCCAACTGAATGAAATATTAGCAGACGCGGCTTAATCGTCCGTGGTCAATCATGAGTCACGCGACGCAAGGCGCGGAATGTAGTCCATCCCGTATTCAACGCGAACTATCTCAACGGTGCTAAGGGAAAAAAAGGGGGTCCGAAGACGCTCACCGCCACGACCGACAGAGTCACGACATGTCGAATTCGACAACTCTACAACATCAACTGGTGGAGGAAAGACACTTCTCCCAAACGTTTCACCGGGTATAATTACCCTTTTGTTCAGCTTCGTCTTCATCAAATAGGAACCACGGTCTTATGGTCTAGTGGTATGATTCTCGCTTAGGGTATCTAAGCATGCTTGCGAGAGGCCCCGCGTTCGAATCGCGGTAAGACCCCTTTTTTGTTCTTCAACTTGAAGTTGAAGACTTTTTTTTCTGCTTCTGTTGATTGTAGTCTTTGATTGATTGGGTAAGCGAGGGAATGAATGGGTAGAAGAAGCATTGGAGCTGACGGAAGTGGGCTCCTTAGTTTTTTTTTGCTCACGTCATAGACGAAGAGAAAGGATTAAAAAAAATCGAGAAGAAGTGACCAGATGAAGAGAGTATCGGAAAAAAAAAATTGACATGAGAGATTTGCTAGCCAGACAGATGGTAGAGAGATGTCGCAGCGCATTTATAAGGAAGGAAAGCAACAAAGGGAACTCGGTGACGACAAAAAGCAAAAAAAGATGACCGTGCCAGGGGTCGAACCTGGAATCTCTTGATACCACTTTAATCGTAGTCAAGCGCCTTGCCATTGGGCCACACGGCCGGAGCTGCTGTTGTTTGATGAACATTTTTTGAATAGATACGTTTATATACCTATTGAATATTCTTTCTGAGAGTTATTTCTTGGTCCGCCGTTGTGCGCATGGCATGCTGTCCGTGTTCCAAGTCGATCCTTGTTAGCCCCCTCTGTTGGTTAGTTCACTGTGGTGGGGTTCACCAGTCATCCGCTGATCGGGACAAACTACCCAGACCAAAACACGTCTGTCGCTGCGCCCTTCCCAGGCAACAACACGTAGCAACACCATGAATATACAAAGGCTTCACGACGGATCCTATTCACATAGAATTCAGGCTTACTGGAACACCTCTATTACTTAACTAACTCTTTTACGCCCCTGAGACATACCGCGGTGCTAAGCTAAACATACCAACAAGCCTTCGGAATCCGAAAATTTCCCCTACCTACCAGCTTATATAAAGATGCCCTCCTCAGGTCAAAGAAAGGGGCCATTCCCTCCGATTCTCGCACAATGGTCGAGTGAAGAGTTCGTCATAGGCGGCGGCGTCGCCATTTTCCACATAGCAAGCCAACGAGTGGTTATCTGTAGCGCTGAAGATCGCAAAGGGAGGACGTATTACTTCCTACCCAAGGGCCGCAGAGATGCAGGAGAAGAGAGCGGGCCTGGTGCGGAAAGGGAAGGATATGAAGAAGTAGGTAGCCCTTTTCGGTTTGCACAACGAGCATACATGTTAACATAGTCGTCAGTCGGGTTATCGCAACCGCCTTTTACCTCTACCGATAAAACATCGACAGCCCGAAGCCCATCCTCGCATATCTGCACCTTCGATGACGGCAGAGCCTGTGTGCATGTACATGATGCCGATGGGATATACCTCACTTCAATACGTCATATACTGGTACATCGCTGAGACGCTCCCTCCATCGCTCGAGGCCGAATGCGAAATGAAACCTGGAGAAGCGTACAAGCGACCACCACCATATCCTACAGATCTGAAGTTGAAGGACCGACTGCAGATGGAACCAGAGGGTTATGAGCCGATTCATCATAAGGGGACCGGTGTCGATGAAGAGGAGGCGACCTACATAAGTTATTTGCTGCCGATTGAAGAAGCGATTGGGAGACTAGGGAAAGACAACGTCATGTCCGATGTGGTGAGGAAGGGCTGGCGAGGGATTCAAGAAAGGTTTACGCAGGAGGAGTACATCGACACTGAGAGCCCTGAACAGATTGCGTAAAGGACCGTGAAAGAGAAGGGTGATTCCGCAGCAGGGGCTACCCAAGGACTACGATTTGGAACAACATAGACAGGTGTCGTGAGCTTCGGGATGGCCTATTGAACAGGAGGGGCCACAAGAAGTGTCAAGTCATAATAGACAAGCATTTACTTCTTTTCTTCGGTTTGAGCATCGTTCTTTGTCGTATCATCCGATTGTGACAGGTAACAACTAATGCAGGTAGCCATCCAGCCATTGCTTTCTCCACTAATCTTACAGGCAGTGCGTCCAGCTTATCGTCATTCAAAGGACCAACGGTCTATCACGGATCTGATATTTGGGCTTTCCGAAGGGCATCCTTGGGCACCGACGACAAAGTGAGGATCATCGCCAATGTCCACCTACTGCGATCGTCCAATGCTCGCAATATTGAAACAATATCGCACGCCAGCCACATATCAGGACCATCGTGATGAAGACCGTTAGGCTTCGTCTTCATTCGGAAAGCTAAGCCTCGAGCACTTACGATCCTTATCAGCAGATCGGGTGTCCTTCCCTTTGGCGTCCCCAACACCCGTGAAGCGCAAGATTAGATAGTGTCACAGCAAGAAGAGAGATGAGATCGATCACACCCATCCAACCACGTACCCACCTTTCTACGTCGTCGATTACCCTTTCCGGACCAACCATTTCTCGGTCACAATGTCACACAAAGGAGGACGTGGGGATGTCTGCTATATTAAATCGTCCAATATAACCTACACCTCGCTTGGAGTTCGGAATCGGAAAAAATAAAATCAAAGGAAGCACACGTGCGCCCCCAAGTACTTTATTTTTCCCCACAATCCTCATCTACTGAGATTGAACCCCACAAACGCCTTCCGGTCTCGTTACCGTTCAACGTCAGATACCTCTCAGCCATACCAGGTATTCATCATGTATCTCGGATGCGCGCTACACGCCTTATGTCCTCTCTGCCTCCCCCCTCCCCTTCCTTCTAGACTTGGTTTAGATCTGGTACGCCACGAAAGACGGGGGGTTGAGGACGAAAAGAACGAAGAAGCGGTTCTAGCCCTTTCTTCTTTCTTTTCCTTTTGGGGGATTCTTCCATCCACACCCAGATATCAATCTCGCGGCAAAACTGGATAAACCGTCACCGGCCGCCAGTTCGACCACCCACCCCGTCATTTATATCCATGTCCCTGTACTCCTGCACTCTGCAAGCTGCTGCTGCACGCTGCAACCATCTCCGACATGGATACAACTTACGGACCTTGTCTTTTCCCACTCCTCGTTGGTCACTTTTGTACTACCATTCCTTTTCCCCCGTCCGCACGTTAATTTATGTACATGTACATGCATGTGCGTGCAGGCGTTACCACGATCTAATAACTACATTATTCACTGAAGGGCTGTTGACAAATTCTCGACAAATTCTCCGAAGCTGTGGAGGCTCTGCACAGACGGTGCCCTCGTGAGCGAGGTCAATCTAATCTTTCAGGTTTTCTCCCATTCTTTTTGCTTTGGCTCTGCCACGCTGGCCGACTGGACGGCTACAGCATGCGTGCACCACTAGAAGCTTTCCAGGACAGGACATACGTCCTTGTTTTTCTTTTCCTTGTAACTACGCCATTCGAACAAGTACCGGACCGACGAAACTACCTCTCCGCAAGTGGCAGTCGAAGACACTGGATGTTCGTGCCGGTGGCATCTTCACACCCCCCTCCCACGCTCCAAAGTCTGATAACCGCATGCATAACACCGTCCTGCGAGGAGATATCGAACAAGCCCTACGCATAATAGCACTACTGTTCAAGGATCACATACGCGAAGGCAACCAGATAGTCCAACCATCCTCTTCAACGGGCTTGCCTCCGAAGCCAAACGGTGAACCACCCACACCACCACAACGCTCATCGCTACCAGAAAATCTCGCCCATCTTGCTTTGCATCTGGTCAGGACGATTTGCTCGAGGTCTAGACCCCATCTGCTCTCTCCTCTCTCGCAAACACCGCGACGGCCACCTAAATACCTACGGAGTTGACACAGACGTTCTCCCTAGAATCATGTGTTCTTGCACACAGACGAGATGCCAAGTCCATACATACTCACGACCCGCCCACCGACCGACCGACCGACACGGACCGACCAAAAATAAACAACAGGACAAAAGTCTCGCGAAGTCGGTCCGTCATCGTACTGTGTATGTGCACACGATCGAACATATTTTCAAAGGTAACGTGCACGCGCACATGTGTACGTAGGTATGTACGTACGGATGCAAAAAAAAAGCTCGTGAATCAGACAGAAAGCTTAGGTTCTCGCCTGCCGGTACGGTAAAATACACACACCCCGTCCCTGTATCCATTCATCCCATGCACGACATCCAGACACCCTCAAGGTTCCAGTACGCTCAACCGCAAGGGGAAAAGGGTAAAAAAACAAAAGGGAAGAGAGCAAAAGAAAAGAAGTGCCGGGCGGGAAAAATGCGTTGAAGTAAACAAACAACCAGCAAGTGAGCCACTGCGTCTCCCTGGGAATTCTTCCCCCAGCCAAATAGCCACCACCTGTGTTGCAATTCCAAAAAAAAAGGCAGAAAAGCAAACAGTCCGTCAAGGTACAGGATATGCATGCATACCATAACATCCAAGCCGTAGCGAAGAAGGAGAATTAAGCAAATGAAGCTTTCGGTCTCCTCCTCTTGCTGTTGCACACTTCCTGAACCTGCCTATCCCAAGAATACGACATGAAATCAGGACTTCCTTGCAAAATGAAATTTTCCATACGTACAGAATATATATATGAAATTATGAATACAATAGTTTGTTTATGAATGCATATCTTTTCCTTCGATGTTGATTGGAACACCCATTACCATATGGAAAAGATGTCGGATCGGGATGATGTTGCCATGAACTTTTTTGGGTTACATGCATTTCCCCGCACCCCAATTACTCCCAGTGGTGTAGAAATACGATGAATGGAAGAAGCAGTATGGGTCAAAGTCGGTTGATAATGCCGTGTGCTTTTCATGCATTTGTTATGATTTTCGTAAATTATTATACAACTAGAACTATTGTGATAAATGATGTCTAGCTACCTAAAGTATACCACTGGTACCGACTATGGAGTACAGATAAACAAATAAACAAATCAAGAGAAATGTGAAAAGATACTTAGATACCGACAGCTCTATAACATAAAAGTTTAGTTAAAAATACTGTCATGATGTAAATATCCTCTTGCACTACCGAGTACTACCGGAAGAAGAAAAAGAGGTACGGAGTAGTAATACTCTGTGTACTCAGGAATCAGGATGCTATCGATACTCGGTCCGAAGTACTCGCAAAAGTGAAAGGAAATGATCATTCGTCCTACTATGGCAATCCTTCTCTCCGAAAGAAAAGAAAACCCAGACTCAACTGAACGTTCAACATGTGTGACGACGGCACAGCGGTCTGTGGGCCTGTGGCCAGGCGGTATGTGCGGGGACCCGCCAGCCAGCCAGCCCACAACGGAACCTGAAACAGGCCTGTTTCCCCCCGGCCTAATCTCCTTTAGCAGAACGTTGAAAAGCGCCCTCCCAAACCAAACGATGTGTTGACCTCGCGGCGCGACGCGCTCGGTAATTAGGTCGACCTATTGGACGAGCTGGTTCGCCGGCCAAATTTCATGATAGTCTGGTGGCTTCACGAGGTCATTTTCGACGGAGGCGCGCATTGCAAAACGCGAGATTTAACGGTGATGACACAATGAGCGATTGCTGTCGAAAGATCGTCCATCGCAGGTGATGTCGTAACCGCTTGAGTGGCTGTCAGAAGAAGAACCACGTCTGCCCTATGAGCGGTTGTGTAGGGCCTGTCGTGCGCGTTGATCGATGTGGAGCAACGGCCGGTTTCATATTCAGACACAGCTGAACCCCACATCTAATGGTCCACTTGCAGTCGAGTCTGGCACCGAGTCGCACTTCCAGCGACTCCTACGAGTAATAGGCGGAGAGATCGATGCCACAAGAAACAAAACTGATGTGATGATGGATGATGATTCCATTGTTGCAGAGAGTGAATCTCTATCTAAGGCACGCGACCCAATCAGTCAGCCGCCTCTTTTTTTCTCTTCCATATCCTCCGCCCTCGGTGCAACCGTTCGGCGTTCCACCACTAGCCAATGTACTAAAAAACAACAAAATAAGGTGACCAGAATGCCCGAAAGCAATTGATCTAAAGGAAGGTAGGAAGTTTATACAACGAATCGAACCGGAAAAGAAATATGCTGCGTCACATTAAACCCCAGCAGAGCAACATGAGCGCACAGACGTATCGTAGACCGATACTCATGTGCGAGTCGCTCGTATATATGTAGGAACCCAAAAAATGGCAGTAGTATGCGCAAAAGCCACCGAAGATGATTTGTCGTAGTTATTGTCATGACATATGCGGGTATAGAGAATCCAGGAGAGAAGCGCAAGACCAGTTGGCGTTTACCAGGAGAAGGACTCCTCACGGAAGTCTACATTCCACTCGCGCTCGCGGTTGCGGACGGCGCGCCTCAAGTCGTCGGCAAGGCCACCGGTTCCGCAGACCGAGACACATGCAGCTCCGATACCCTCTTGCATTTCTTGATCGATCAAGGCTTGCACGTTGGGCTTTCCGGGGAACATCTGCACGCTGGAAGAGGGCGAATGGATCTCCTTGGTGCTCCTTGGTCGTGTAACGAAAAGGAGAATCTTGAGAATCTCACGGCGGCGGGGCATGGAGAGGATTTGGGTCATCCATGTGCGGATCCACTCAAGATGCTCTGGAGACTGGATAATCCACACGAGAGTGAGACGGCGTGTCGCGGTGGTACCATTGGCATAAGCGGCAACAATGTCACGCACGTGAGGGACCTGATGCGTGATACCAATACCTGCAGCCCAGAGCATGACAGTACCGTAGGATGTGAGGTCCTCACCACCTGCGATATGACGTTAGCATGGGAGGCCGATATGAACACATATTAAATATACGCGAGTAGATTGCACAACCAAAAGAGGAAATCTGGGGAAACAGGCATCGGCACTTACCATACGGGCCCTCCATGTATGCGGTGGTTGTGAATCTGCCGGCCGCAGAAAGATCAGCCTTCTTGTATAGCTTCTCGGTGAAACCGGTTCTGCGTCGAATAATAAAAGACATGCTGGTCTTGTGCTTCTCGAGGATGTCTTGGCGGTTCATAGGGAGACCCTTCTCGTCAGCTGACATGGAGGTAATGTTGAGGTCCTGCTCCTCCTCGCTCCAAGCGAGAGAGAAGGGATGGCTGGTCCAGAGACCGATGGATGGCATGTAGAGGTAAGCGTGCTGTCCGGGTCGGAAGTTCCAGGGGCGTGCCATGCGGATGTTGACGCGAAGGGCATCACCTGGGAGAACCTCCACTTCGGCCTTTGTGCCACCGTTTCCGACATTGCGAATGACAAGACGGAAGAAGCGGAAGGCGCGCTGCAGTATCGTTAATATGCATTCACGGTCCTAGTGGAAGACACCAAAGAACATACCTCAAAAGCCCAAACTGCGACAACACCCCAGACCATGAGAATCTGCTCGCGACCCTTAAGATGGACCATGAGACCACCGATGGAGAACATTGCACCCAGAATATGGAAGTGCAGGAAGGTCTCGTAGAAAGCATGGCGGACTACAGATGGGGACTGGAAGAGCAGGAACGTGAAAGCACTGGTAGCCTATAGCATGTCAGTATTGTTGCTCAATCAATAATCTACCGGGTCCTAAACGTACGACTAGACCACTGATGATGAATTCGCTGCCTGTGAAAGATCCCTGAACAGCAGCCCATCCCTTGGTGTGGACTTTGTTGGTCATCCAGGCAATGGTATGGGCGAGGGCCTCGAGGACCACGATTCGTCCAAACCAACGGTGAATCAGGTTCATGGTGTCAAAGGAGATGCCGGTCAGCCTGATGAATGGGTTGTTGCGTCCTGCGAGGAGGAAAAGGGGAATCATGTTGATGACGGCCATGATACCGGAACGGCTGATGAGCTCAGAGGCGACCTGGGAGAAGGTCATGCTGTAGTCGATTCTCCAGAAGCAGAAGCCCACGTTGGTAGCAAAGTAGCCAACGAGAAGGAAGGTTTGCAGGCGGCTGGGAAGCGTTCCCACGTTGATAGCGGTCGACATTTTGAACTCACGATGATGCCGAGTGCGGAAAAGAGGAGCGTCCAGGAAAGTCTTCTTGAACCAGGCATATCCGTGGTGGGGAACAGCGAAGTATCGTTGATTCTCGTTGCTGAGGCATGCTATCGTCCTGATGTATCGTACGAGATGGAAGATGACCTGGTAGACGAAGAAGACGGCAACGAAGGCGACCCACAGGTAACCAAGATAATGTTGGACATCAACGTTCCTGAAGTCAGCGTCCGTTGGGCCCTTGTCGTGGCCTCCTCCTCCTGCTCTCTTCCACAGGGAATTGGCAGCATCTTGACCGAAAGCCATGTCGGCGATGGGCAAGTCAAAGGGGGGAGGGCGTGAGGGTAAGTAAGCAAGCGTACCAAGAAGGAACTAGATGGGTGGCCTGCAGTCGAATCTCGAGTCTCGAAGTTAGGGACGATGGCCGAGAGATGATCCTCTTTAAGGATCAAGGGTTGCGGAGCGGGCGATGACGCTTGAGTACAGCGACGGGCAGTGTGGGGTTTGGCAACTATGTAGCGAGTGTATATTCTGCCTTGGCCAGCAAAAGACAGATCTGGGGTGGGTGTGAAAGGTGAGTACGGGATAGATGCGGTGTCTTCCCAATGGGCGGATAAGTGGCGGTTGTGACCAGCGCCCTAGTCAACGAAGGTGCAGATATTGGAGACAGGGAGTGACAGGCGATCGATGAGGCCTTCGGAGACAGGATATTGGCGAGATTGACGATGGCCAGAATCGGTCGAGTTAATCTGGAGGCAATGCAAGGGAGCGTGTGCGGGTGATCTGGGGTGGTGTGCGGATGGTTGACCAAAAAGGCTGTCTCTGAAGGTCTTGTGATTGGCGATGGTCCAGGGACAGGTATAAACAGCCGGTGTGTAGTTTTGGTTTAAAAGGGAGCGTAACCCAGCACGCGGGGGTAGATTGTAGATTGCAGATTGCAGGTTGCGGCGGAAGAAAAGAGAAGAGGCGAAGAAGAGGCGAAGAAGAGGCGAGAAGAGAAGTGAAGATGATCGAGACGACGAAACCAGTAAAAGAGTGACTTGGGCGAGGGAGAGTAGGTGGTTTTAAAAGAGTGAAAGGTGGAAGGTGGAGAGAGATGGGAGGAAGAAGTAGGAAGAGGAGGAGTAGGAGTAGGAGTAGGAGTAGGGATTGTTAGTAAGAGGAGGGAAGGGGAGGGGGAGGGTGGTGGGCGTAGGGCAAGTGGGGAGGAAGAGAGGAACAGAGAGGAAGGTGCGGCCCTGGTCGATGATGAGAGAGGGACGGGAGATTGGGAGATGGGGGAGATTGAAATTGCGCAAGTGTATGTATGTAACTGCTGTACTCATGTAATGTACTTGGTACACAGTACAGACAGTAATTACGGAGCAGTTCGTTACGCGTAGTAGTTCGCAGTGAGTAGGGAGGTAGTTGCGCCAGACAGGATCAGTAAGTCGGTCGCACTGCTCACTTGGTTACTCCCACGGAAGCCAGATAAAAAAGAGAGACGAAAGGTAGGAATAGGCGTTGTGAAGTGTGGAGAATAGGCAAGAGTAGAGCAGACGGACGAGTAAGGAGAAGGGAGGAAAGGGTTTGTTTAATTAATTTAGAATTGATGATAGTCTCTCTCGTTGATAATCGTTGATGTTATTAGCAGAATTGGGATTAGGGGGGGAGGGAAGAATGATGAGATTGATGAGAAGAGGGGGGAATGATTGGCGCCCATTGGGGGTCTCATTGGCATTGGCAGCGCTGTGAGTGCTGTAAAGTGCGGTAAAGGTGCCTGGGCTGGGGGGGATTGGCAGGGGATCCGCAGGCAGGGACAGGGAACAGGGGGGTCATCGTATCCATCAAGCGGCAGGGCGGAGGCAGAGTGGCAGAGCGCAGAGCGCAGACACTGCAGAGGCACCACTGATCAACCCAAGACACTCATTACAACTAGGAGGTAGGTAACTTAATAGCATACAGTACGGAGCAGTACCTAACAATACTAGTAAACAAACACCATCATTGCACTAAACATTCACTACAACTAGAATGTGTATTGTACTGCACCTATAGGCTACGAGGTACTATCTACCTATACCCTACTCCATGCTCCATGCTCCATACTCCTTACATTCCATCAACAAGGATTGTTCTTGAAGCCTTTGAGGCTTAGAAGTCGGTCCAGATCTTCAGACCATTAGTTACATTGTGCATTGTACGGAATACTCTGTGGATGTCGATACCGCACTGTACTCGTAACTACCTAGGTAGGTACGTGTTTGTGTTGATGCCCCGATCCGACCTAGCCCCTGATTACGTCCCCATAGATTGATACTACCACGCACTACTCGCACTAGAAAACCACCAAGTTTCATCTTCCTCCCCCAATCATCATACTCGTACCATCCCATCGCAATCATCTTTCATCACAACTACAACCGGATCATACTTCTGCTACAGTGCTATTGTAACCGCTGTCACCGCTCAAGGCCACCCACTTGTCGCCGCCGTCAAGCCAAGTCAAGTCAAGTCAAAACACTCCCCACTCTTTCTATTCTTCCTTCCGCTCCAGTCACTCAAACATTACTCCACCGTCATCATACTTGACTACCTAGGTAGGTACCAGGTACTTGAACATACCTAGACTTTAGTTCCATGTAATACCATACTAACATCTCACATTCCCTTTTCGCTTCCGAACGACAGGATTCCGCAGATACGGAGCTGATACACAAGACGCTCTACACAGTATATTAGGATGTATGGTGGTGACTACCGTAGGTTGTGGAACCTTGTTTACCCCGGCCCGATTGGACCACCGACCCCTGCCCTGTGTATCATCCAGCGCCAGATACCACTTCCGGAAGACTGACCGTAACCGCATCGTCCGCATCGTGCGCATCCATCCGTTCATTCATCCATCATCCCACCAACCGGACTCATCTGTTTCTACATCCGTTAAGCTCGTCGTAATAATCTCCATCACTCCAACTGTATCATCCTCCGGTTTTCTTTCTCGCTCAGTTCAATACTTGTAATAGCAAAACCGTTGGAAGCAAGACGAAACAGAAACAATGCCTGAGGATTCTCGACCATGGTCTCGAAACGCTCGTTACCATGTCTTCGTCATGCACTGCACTCTACACAGTCTTACGTAGTTATTCCGTACACGCGTAGTCTGGGTCGCGAGTTGGCATCAAACTCGCACAAGGCTGCCTGATGTTCATATTCGTCAACCTGCATCGCTAGCCATCGTGTTCTACGCCGTGTTCCATATTACTTCCACTACTAATCCTGAACAGCCCGATCAATACTTCAAGACTCATCCCAGTATTCCAACCCAGTTGCCCGTTCGTTGGGCATTCGCGTGTAACCGCCTGGGTCTCCATCTCGGCGCCGCGCTGTCAGTTCTGAACCGTCCCCGCCTGGGGTTTGGACATGTCTTCTGTCGCACCAGAGATTGCATTCCGCTCTCCGCAGACTTGCGTGCAACAGCAGCATGACCTGTTGTCTGAGTCCGTCCTGGCCAACATGAAGCCATTTCTTCGTCACAGCCTCTGTGATCGAAACGATGCGTTTGATAAGGCACCGGAGTCACCACCCGATCTGCTCTCCGTTTCGTTTATGGACATCTCGCTCTCTGATGTCTCAGCCACTATGACACGAATCCAGCTTCGGGAGTACTGGATGCTGTTGTTTTCGATTGCAGATGCATGCGCCGGAGAGCAATTTCTGGCGCGTCTCGTACAACATGCAAGTGGAAAACTTTGTCTGATATGGAATGCATCAAACACTGATTTCATGGACGAATGCTCCTGAAATGGCAAAGTATCTCATCACTTGTTCACCTGAATTCCCGCTGGCGTACTCCTGTGTTTCCGCAAGTACACCATACGCCATGCACGTTGCGACGAAACTCTAGCGATGAATACAGTCTTGAAGTCCAGAACAGTTGCGATTCATCCCAGTATGACGCCATAGGAGCTGCAACACGATAAGACATCAAGAGTGGCAACAACCTTATGCACCTTATCTGCAAAACTTTCAATCTATTAAAATTTAGGAGTCAGACGAAAATCATTATCATCATCGGAACGCTGCCTGCACGAGTGGATTATTGCATAGTGCCATGGACCATACTGTGGCCACATATAAACCGACAACCCACCAGTAGTCCGTCAAGAAATGCTCCATTACCCGGTGTCGCTTCTGCAGCCACCCCTGCTCTCCTTGCGACCTGCATTTTTCACGAAACGACAAGGTGGTACTTAGAGAAGCCACTGGGAAAAATTACTCTACTTTTGACCCCAGATTCCCTATAGCACTCATTTTTAATTTAAGAAACTATTTCCTTGCCGGTGGATTTAGCAATAGCAGTGGCATCAGTGCAAGCCATACGCATGATCTGTAGCTGCAGCTGCTCAAACAACCCGACTCTCAACAAATCGCAGATTATGACGAACAGTCAAGAAAGTCAAGAAAACTACTTTCTATGCGTCGTTGGCAGTGGCACCCTTCAATTTCACGCGTAATGCGGTGCGGTGCAAGGCGTGGCCAATTCGCAATTCCGGAGGATACCTACCGATGGGGTTGGTGCATCGTCCGCCGAGACTGCGATGCTTTTACTTGCGCGGGATGATGGGAACGCTGTTGCGGCTTGCTTGCTTGCTTCCCTGCCTGTATGCTCTGCTCTATCCATGGCATGAGGTGGTAGGACAGGGCTAGCATGACGGCTCGTTTCATCCTAATGACGTGTCTCGCCGTCAAAGCCTGCTCGTTGCCCAGTGCTCCCTGGACGCTGGGATGTACTACAATTAAAAATCCAGAACCTCTGCCTCCCAGATGCTGGCGACGACAGATGGGCAGACAAAGTGGCTGTGCGCTCCAAATCCCTCCATCCCGCTACGGGAGGGCGAAGCTCCATTCTGCGAAAGGTTTGCCAGTTAAATAGCATAGAAGGCGGGCTATGTGCATCCAGCGATAAAGTAGGCTGGCCGGACTTTTTGGGAGGGAGCAGGACGGACGTCCGATTGCTTATTCGATATTGGCCATCATCCAGATATTCGTTCACCTCCGCACTTCCAAGGTCTTGATTCACATCCTCGCCGATGGAATGAACAATGATCTGATCGATCACTCCGCTCATCCTTAACTATTCCATCCCTTTACCACACGGCAGTGCGAACGCAACTCCAAGACTGGATGTCTTGGCCCAAATCTAAAAATTACTGCGATCAGCGTCGTCAAATTTCTTTATCGTGTTCAGGAACGTCCCCCGCCCAATCATGACGGCTGTGGCGCTGGATAGGCTGGCGCACTTGGCCGCACTTCGCTCGCTCCTCCCGCCTTGCGGTAGCGAAGAGGATCGGCACGAGGGTATGTTCTTTGCGGGTCGTGTTGGGCCAAATGGCCTCTGGACCTCTGGTCCCTTTGTGCCGTCTCCGGATTCCAGACTGTTAGACTCCTAGAAACTTTTCGAATGTGTTGCACGATTCGCATGCAGTGATGCACGTATTGTGAGTTCAGGCTTGATTTATCCAATGCCGACAATAATCTGACAATTTCGCCAACTATGCGCACACTCTGCGTATCGTGTATGCAACCATTGAAAGATTAAAGCAAACACATCAGCCACAGCCCCTCGAGCAGGGCGGAATAGAAAGATCTCCGCAGAGCCACATAAACACTCCGACCATGCCATAGGTTCTACAACGAAACAAGCTCTTTAGGACAATTTGACACAGTAAACATGGAGTGCGCAAGTCTTACTCAAAGAAATATTCCGTGTGCTTACTCGAAAGCCTCCTGCTTACCGTGTACTGTACGAAACCCTGCTCCCCGCATGCTGCGTCGAATACGTTACCCGTTCATACCCTGGATTCTGATGACGCCCACAGGAAGGGCGAAAGTAAGAGTAAGCTTATCGCTGGAATTTCTTTCGCGATTGTCCCCTTTCCCAATGCTTGTATCATCAGAGGAGGTGCCAGTAACGAACCATTTCCTCAAATCCATGTCTCCAAGGCGTAAACATGGTGTGTCTGTTGAAGAAATGTATTCGTAATGATTCCAGAAAGACCTATACTAGAAAAATCATGGACACCATAATGCGAAGCACTTACCGTGCCGCAAAGGTTCACATTGAGGTCAATTTGGAAATCATAAATAACTTTATGGAATTTTGATCGCCAAATGGTACATATCAATCATATCATGTCCGAATACGGAAAGACTTTAACACAACAGCCACCATCTATCTTCAGAAAATGGAGAAGGAATCAACACACCAATGATTCACAGGACCCCCATAATCACGTCGACGGATTTCCTCCAAAGCATCATCTCCTCCTCCGACCAGCAACCCTCTTCTGCGCAATCATCCAACACTTCCCCCATTGTTCGACCAAGAAACCCGGACACAGAAACCCATCTACCTCCCCTTTCACATCCCCCCATTGCAACTTCTCCTCCCCCATTCTTCTCTTCATATAAGCATCTAGAAGGAACCACCGCGAACGAGGCCGCAGCCCAAAACATACGTTGACCGACGCCACTACCAGCGCAATCCACAAGAAGAGCGGTGTGCTCACCACTCCATCCCTCATCTCCCGATTCTGCTCTTCGTCATCATCACCACCGACAGCAGAAGAGCCAGGGGTAGATGAAAAGGAAGAGGGAGAGGGAGATGACGAGGACGAGGAAGGAGATGGACCGAATCCCATATCTTCAAAAGGCCTGATGACATCTGCCAGCGTGATCGGGAAATCTTCCGCGAGATACGACGGCGGAAGCGAAATCACTAGCACAAATAACCCCAAACACACCAGCCTTTCCGTGACCCGGAGCCCGAGCGTTGTCATCGCGAAGTGTAGGTCCTGGGCGAGGCGGACACGGAGATCGTGCATGGTTTCTCCGGCGAGTTCGTCGCATTCGCCGGGCTGGTAACCTTGGTACCAGCGCGTTGTGCGAAGGACCAGGTGGAGGGTTAGGCAGCGGATATGGGGCGGCGGATATGTGCTCTCGCTGGCAATCGTTGCTTTACGGAAACCAGACGGGATAAAGGGCGACGACATGTATTCTTCTAGTGTCATTCGCGGATACGGACCGTCGAGATTTCGAGGAGGCACAGTACTACCACAGTCTTGTAGTAGGAAATGCGAAGACGCCATCTCAGACGTATTCGACGGCGACTCGGTCGAAGCGCGAGACGTTGTCGACCTCTGCAACGACTCGGCCCAATCGTAGAACTTCCTTTGCCTCGAACACGCCCTGTTCAAGACTTCCCTTCCACCTCTCAAATCCACCAGAAGCTTCAGTCCCTTCCAGTTCGCATCGAACCCCACCCAGTCCTCCTGCTCCTGGCTAAAGACGAGCGTGGCGATTATGGCCCAGAACAGCGAGTCGTCGTGCGCGGCGGCCGGGGACGACACGCGGTTTTGCAAGAGCCGGAGCGCGAGACAGTGGTGCTGCAATGCGTTCTGCGTCGGGTTCTCCGAGTCGTCTGATATCGTTGACATCTGCATTTCGGCGGCAGAGAAGATGGACTCCAGGAGTGCGGGCTCCCAGAGGCAGTAGTGCACGAAGCGTGGCGTGAAGTCGTTGAGTTCCTTGTGATCGGTGTGTAGGCGCCAGACAAAATTGGGTCCGTACACAAGAAATGCTAATCATGACGAACAAGGCCGACACATCAGTAGGAGATTTCCAATTGCCGTGGAGCCTCTTGAATATAAAGCATTGAAGCCCAAGGTTCCATTCGAAGGGGAGCTGGGGAGATTGAGGTAACTTACTGAATGAGAAGATATTAGCAATGCGCGAGGCATCGTATTTATAAACGCTCTTCAGGTACCTCACGGATGGATACGATGACTCCGGTGCCAACGAGTTGACAGTCAACATATTGTAAACATCCGAACAATGACTTCCCACCACCGGCCCGTTCCAATGCTCATCCTCCCCTATTTCCACCTCCTTCTCCTCATCGCTCACGATACTACTTTTGCTTGACAACAATGACGCCTTCATCATCGTCACCGGTGGTGCCTGCTCAATCATCTGCAAGCTCTTCTCCACTCCAGGCTCCGTCTTAACAACCCGATGAACAAGTCCTACATGCGTCGCAACAACGCCAGCCCCACGACCCCCATCTTTCACCCTCGACGATGACGATGGTGTCGACGCCGACGGTCCCCTCTCGAACAGCCACGTTCGCGGCACTTTGTTCCTACTGCACTCCAGCTCTCTCCTCACGCACAGCTGGCACCGCGGCTCCGCTTCATCGCACTTGACCCTGCTCTTCTTGCACTGGTCGCATCCGGTGCGCACTTTTCGGTGGTGCGAGCGCGTTTGCGGCTTTTGGCGCCGAGCGGTCGTGGTGGTAGTGGTAGTGGTAGTGGTAGTGATAGTGCTGGTTCCGGTGGCGGTTGTGCGGCGACGCTCCATGCTCAATGCGAGCGATTGCTAGGTGACATCGAGGTCGGCCAATCTAATTCACCAGCCGACGTCTCTCTCGTTTCAGAGAGAGTGGAATGTGGAATGTGATGGGGATGTTATGGAATCAGATGAGGTGGAAAGATAGAGAGTCGTCATGGCACGAGGAAGAAAGAACCAAGTTTCGAGCGGGAACTTTAGACACGTGAACGGGAAGATAGAAACAGATGCACAGAGGCAGAGAGACAGAGAGAATTAAAGCAAGAGGGAGAGAGAAAGTAGCCGGAGGAGGTGGCGCTACCAAATAATGTTTGGTTGGTTTGCGTCATGGAGTCACCACCATTATGTACTGGTCTTCTTCTTCATCATCATCTTGATCGTCATCTATCTCCTGCTTCATCGAAGGCTAGTAGTATTATAGGGGGAAGGCCAGGAATGAGGAAGATATAAAGATGCCACAACGTATTGCAATATCTATCAATGGCTGGCGACAGAATATCAATTGTTCCCCATATTTTCCCTTCGTATTCAACGCTCAGGTACCTGGCCATGATCTGCAAAAGACAAAATAGTCAACAAGAAAAGGGTGCAGTATTCGAGGTTAACAAACCAACTCCCCGCTCCGCGCCGGAGGCCGTCGGATGGGCCGTCGGATGTTGTACCGAACCAGTCTGTCTTTCCAATGGTGGGGAGGGGGGCTTTTAGCTCGTGACGGTGCTGGCGTTGGTTGGCGTTGGCGTTGGCGTTAAGGCGTCGAGACTTTCGGGGACTTTTCTCTCTCTTTGGTTGTGGTTGATGGGGTTTGGTGGTTTGTTTGTATAGAAGAGGGAGGTGGTTCCGGGTTTTTAGTGGTTGTGGGGTTTATTTTATTGAGTTGTGCAGTTACGACTACCATTCCTGCCGGCTATGAGTTTTGCGCTGAGGTCTTCTCTATTCATGCTATCGTGATGGTCTTGTGGATTGAAGGAAATTGATCATAATCAATTGCTTGCTGAGTTCGGAGGAAAATTGTACCCACAATCTAGGAGTTTACACAGAGTCGTGATGAGATTTCTGCGAAGATGCAGATTCTGGGTTTCTGGAGTGGTATCAAAGTAAGCTAATTGATGTTAAAGTACCACAAGATTGTTGGCATCAGAGCGGTTGATATTGGGTGGATCTTAAATGGAGCCACAGAGCCAATCAGGAGTGCGCACGGAAAATGATATAGCACATAATTACAGTGTGCAGCAATCAATGGGATCCATGTCCTACAGCCTGGCAATGGAATCCTTCCTTCAAATATGAATGACCCTATCAGAGCAATGTAAACATCACCTAGCTTTCAAATTCTTATCTCGGACGGACAATAATCACATTGCTTTGATCATCCAGCGAACGTTGTATTTTGCTCCTACCCAAGGAGGTGTTTTCCATTTTTGTTAGGTACCATCATATATATAAGAGTAAAGGGGGTATCGATAATAAGGTAAGAAAAGAAGAGAAAGGAAAATGAATCCAACAAGAATATATGTGCCCAATGATAGCAAGAATAGCTATGTGCTCACGGTACCACTAATAGGTAGGTATGTGCTCATGATACCAATAATGAAGAATGCATGTCCTCAAGAAACTCAAAACAGGCCATAAGTCGTTAAAACCAGAAAACATCGTTAGTGAAAGCTCAACTCGTCGTCACTCTCTCCAACCTCATCGACCACTGTGCTCGCCATTAACCAGTTCGTGCTTGAAATTTTTCTCGGTCGACCTCGCCCGCGCTTCGCCCTGGAATTGGATCGCTTGACAGTAAGCGTCCTACCAAGTTCATCTTGTTCGTCCACGGGTCCCGCATTGTTCTTCTTCTCCAAATCCTCGTGTTCTGACTCCGAGTCTACCTCGCTACTGCTGAGCTTGGCATCGAGATATTGTTTGGCCAAGGTGTTGCGCATGGATGATCTTAAAGACACTCTCAGGTTCCTTTGTCCGAGGCCATTGGCCGTCGCGTCTCTGCGCGATTTGGTCCGAGAGGATCTGCGAGGACCTGGGTGTTGTACTCGTCCCAAAGACTCGTGATTGACAGATGGTTTGGGAAGTTCCGCATAATATACATACTCACTCGAGTAGTGGCCGTGGATCGAGTCCGAAGTGAGTTTAGCCCGCTTCATTACTGGAATGACGACCATCGGCGACCCTGAACGTCGTTTTCTCGAAGCGAAAGGATTCAACCGAGCAACTGGGGACGAGTGTGGTTCAATGTCCGAGTGCAAAGTTATGTCTTCGTCCCACGAGACATTGGACATTTGCTTTAGAGGAGAGTCTTTATCGACTAATGTGGTCTGAGATGATTCGGATGGAACAGGTGTGGGAAGAAGCTCTAGCGGGCGAATCGAACTCCTTGGAATACGTTTCATGACTTGTTTGGCAAATGGCGTGCATGCAACCCATTCTCCAATTCCCTCCTCCCATCGAAATCCCCCACTTGGTGCTGTAGGTGAACCATTCTTTTGTGGCGAATGGTTTAGTACAACACGACCTTCCGACTTCATCGACGCTTCTACCTGCCGAACATAAGCTAGATGCTCGGGTGTGTGTGCAAACTCCAGGCAAGACTCCAAGGCCAATCGCTTGAAATTCCAGAGTGGATGCGGCAATCGACCTTCCCGAAGCGACAGGAGATGATCTACCAGCCGTTGTAGCTGATCAAATCCATCGTCCTGCCAGGCTTTTCCGGTACATCGTGCCGTTGACGATAGAAGTTGAGGAAATGTTGCTAGTATAGGTGCAATATCAATAGGATGACAAGAATATTGATACAATACCCATTTCATAGATCGTAGCAAAAGTTGTACATCCAAAGAAAGGAGGCCAGGTCGAGGCGCATCGCCATTGAGGTGTACCAAAAGAGAAGAAAAACAGATCCACATAGCCCGCTGTGCGAATGTTTGCATGTTCTCTGTTGTAGCATCAAGCAACTCTAAGTCGCTACGAACATCACTCCGCTTGAGAAGGCCAATGAGTATCGAGTCCAATACCCAAGATGCTCGCTCTCTCGTTACATGGCCGTAGCTGTTCACCTGGTTGTATGATACTAGGGCTATACTAGTCAGCACAGTGAGTAAGCTGGAGAAAGTGGTATCGAGGGCCTCCCGAAGCGTCTTCCGTGAGGATGGTATGATCTGCTTGTTCACGACATCGACCTCGTCGGATGTAAATATGCTTTCATCTGGAAGTCCCATTCCAGTACACATGGTTGTCTCAAGAAATCGGAGCGCATGTCCAGATGTTCGGGCGTCGTCATCGGCCAGGACGCGTACTAGCGAATTCCAGACTGGGCGCATACCCTCTGTTGCAAGCCACTCTAGTGGAAGAAGTTCTTGAGATATCATGTGCTCGAGTAAGTCGTACAACAATCCATGTCGGCCAGTCCGTTCAACGAATGTCTTCGCAAGGTACACGAAAACAGATGTGTCAATGCTGAACAAATCCGCTTGAAAACTGTTCGGGGGCGATAAAGGCCTTAGGAGGGCTGTGAAGGTCCACAAGAACTTCTCTGCCTCGTCCCATGCTGTTGCTTTCATGCAAAGGTCGATGATGGCGTGGGCCGCTTCAAGACCTAGAATGCCTTCCGAGAATGCGTCGCATATCAAAGAAGTGCCATGAGATCGCACTACCTGTCGAAAGTGTTGCCAACCATAACCTGAACGCGTCCCAAATTGTTCCTCCAGATGCTCGTATATCTCGTTGCATACATCGACGTCTTCGCCGTCCTCGGCTTCCTCTTTGTCAAGTCTGGTAAAATATTCTTCCAGCTCGATGTACGACGGCAATTTTTGCAGACAGACTTCGAAGAGTGATCTCACGCCTGTTCGCCTCTTTGGTTCTTGGTTTCGAGTTGCCTGAAGAAGTTTTGCATACGCGTCTAGCAAGCCCTCAACCAACTTTCCGATCTCTGGCCGCATCTGGCTCTTCATTGCTTTGATCTGCTCCACTTTCGCGATGAGAGATCCTCCCCGTCCCCTCGATGGTGATCCGTGTGTGCGAGGGGTCTCTAAATTTCGAGCGGTACGCTGGATGAGAGGGGTGAACGCAATCTCTCCCGGTTTTGCAGGTTTTCTATCCTCTTTCTCTTGAGGCTTCACAATAGCCGACCTTTTTGGCCGTCCTCCATATGTCCTCTTCGCTACTGCCGCATGAATCCTTGCACCTGGCACCCAATCGGGGTCATTCACCTTGTCGAAGCCGCGCGGCTTTTTCGAGGTTCCTGACTGCACGGCATGGTTAGCCTCGACCTCAACCGGAGAATCGCGCTTTGGGAGAGAAAAGCTGGAGGAACCAGTGCGTGCCTCATTAACCGCAGAGACTCTCTTGTGTGCATCATTCTCCTTACGCAATGTAATTATTCGGGAGGCAATCGGGCGGAGCAGGCGGTGGCAGCGGCTTGTTGTCCATGGTATACTAGTGTTGTTGTCATCCGTAGTGCCAAGGGGGGGCATAATATGTTCGTCGCGTATTTTTTTGGGGATAAGATGGGAGCTAGGCAAACTGTTTTGTATGACTACGTGGGAGAGTGGCAATATCCAAAAGTATGCAGTTGCTAGAATGTGCGGTTGTACGATGTGTTTTCAGGTGTATGGGTGTGTTTACTAACACCAAAACATTAATTATTGGTGTTGGCGGGTCGGGGGTTTCATGGCCGGCCTCCGATCTCTCACGTAGTCACGTGGGCTACAGGTCAAGATATGGATACGAATCAACTACCCCGGTCGGCGCAATAGAAACTCATGTTTTGCATTGGCTATCATGTTCGACTAATAGAAACGTCTTGGGTCTAAGATTTTGCAAAAAAGGGGTTGTTGTAGAACTAGCAGCTTCGGCACGTTCATGTCGAATAACCAATATGGACATGGGTCACAGGAAGATATGGTGAAAAGAATGCTTCAAAATTGGGCGCCTATATAGGTGCCGACAATTTTATCATTGCTCGTGAGCTTACACATACATTTTCGTGCTATTTTTATGAAGAATTGACACTATTTACAAGTTTGAAGCTCAACCCTCGAGGCTCCTGTCAACCCATCGTTTCCCGTATCCCTTTCCAGGGAACTTGTTGAGACGGACGGTGAAAACACCACGATCAATGGTGTTGATAGCGATCCAACCACTGGGGAAAGTGTAGTGGCTCCAGGTGCCGCCGTTCCAGAGGGCCTGACCGCCACCAGGAAGATTGTCATCAGTGGGGTAAGTATCGAAGTAAGCAATCTCCTCCACGCTGCCACCAGTAGGGTCCTCAGGAATGCTGCTGACGTCGAGGATGCGGAGACCAGCTTGGTAATTAGACTGGTAGGCCAAGCCGTTGTAGACGAACTGGTTGTGGTCGACTGATCGCACGGAAGACTTGTAGTATCCAGTGTTCACAGGCTTCTCAAGATTGGTGATGTCGAAGATGTAGGTTACAGGGAATCCATCCTTGGCCGGGCTGTCTGGAGCAGTGCGAGTGGCATTAATCTCGCCCTCGTCGAGCTCGTCATCGAGGATAAGATGTGTTTGCCAGTTGGGATCGAGAACCCATCCCTGGTGAGTGTAGGAAGCACCAACGTACGGCGTACGAGAGATGATCCTTGAGGCGTTCTTTCCGTTCTTGTTGCTGACATCGTAGATAGTGAGGGTGTCTTCATTGTATCCATAGCAGATATCACGTCCGAAATACTTTTTGTGGGGGCCACGGTAGACAATGCACTGTGCATCATGCACATATCCGTCCTGAGGAGCGCATCCGGGAGAGTAAGGCTTGGAGGGGTCATCAATATTGATGAAAATTAGCCCAGAAGCACAAGTGTCATTACGGGGCTGAGCGCCGACAGCAACGGCGTAGTTCTTCTCCTCGTTGACGACCACATTGTGGGATCGCCCGATGGGGAGCTCGTTCCAGAAGCCCGTCAAGTCCCTGGTAGTGGAGAAGACTTGGGGCCTCTTAGGGTTGACCTTGAGGAGCTTGCGAAGGTCGAAGATCTGGACACCGTGATCGACAGCCTCAGAGCCGACAATCAGGTAGTTGCCAGCGGTCTTGATCTCACGCCAGATGACTGGGACAGACTGCTGGGGAAGACGTCCAAGGTACACAATCCGTCCCTGCTTGGTGATCTCAATGAAAGCAGTGCCATCAGTCTGGCCGATTGCGTAAAAGTCGCGGCCCTTGTGCGACCAGCCCCACGAGCCAGAGCCTTCACCTTCCGGGCTGCCCAGCTCCTCATGAGTCTTGAAATCGTACATGTCCTGTGAAAGTTAGTACATCTGACAGTATCGGCACGCATGATCTATGAGAGCACATACGATGTCCTTGCACTTGTAGGTCTGGTCAGGGTCGCCCTTGACAGCCACGGCGTAGCCATTCTTGCAAGCAACCTTGTCACGGCCCCCTCTGTGCTTGTTCCAGCCGTTCCATTTCCTGCTATTGTAATTACCCGCTGCCTTCTGTTCGGCCCATGCAGACTATCTGTATCAGTATACTTGCTCGCACAAGATGTAAGGTGATAAGCATACCTCCTTCGCCTCCATCATCCATGCCATGACCTGACCAGACTCATACTCCTCCTTGCTGAAGGAAGCGGCCGAAGCCAGCGAAGAGAGTGCGGCCGCAATAGTGAGCAACTTCATGTTTGCGATGGAACCTGCAGAGTATGCCTGTAGAGCTGCAGGGCTATATTGAAGGCAGACGCATGCCGTTTATATAACTCATGGTTGCTGGTGGCGACCAGGTGCCGTCACTCGCCATTCGTACCATGCATTTGTCGTTGATGCCATCCATCATGACCTTCCTATCGAAGGTATAAGCTGCACCCCTTGGCATTTTCTGGGCATATCTCTGCATCTTTGCATGTACAAGCCATTTGTCTTGGTGTTTGTGAGCCGTTGAACTTGGCGCGGAGCTGAGGTTGTCGTAATCTTGTAATCTTACAGGTACTGTGTAGGCTCAAGTACGACTAATCCGAAAGGTCTTGCGTTGATCAATATTCCATACTGAACCACGCTTTTGTGTCTCTACAGAAAGGTTCATTGAAAATCGAATACTGGGAAAATAGTGGCTAAAATCGAAGTACGGAGTACTTGGTTTCCTACAGGCAGTGTTCGCAAATTCGCTGAGCTCCTAGCGGAGGCTCTGTGCGCCCCCGCACCTTGGAGATACCGACAAAGTCGGGGCCATAACTGGATAAGGAAGGTCATGGACCAGCCAATACTGGCCCGCCATGCCAGGTGCTCCCCGAAGACCAGGCAGATTAGAACCCAAGAGCCGGGGCACTGTGCTATTGCTGCCGTTCCTCGCATGTCAAGGAAGATCTACAATGTTCATACCCGATTCCATAGGGGCGCGAGGATCCCCATAGATAAGTCCCACTTTCAGTCCAAGTAGATATCTGGATTTCTTGAGCGATGCGAGCGATACCTACACAGTACACAGTAGGCAGCAGCAATAGCGGATATTCGGTTGACTTGTTTGTAAACATTGAATGATTCATGGCAGATTCACCATGACAGGCCCAAAGTACGGAGTATGACCGTTGCCTATGGTCTTCATTGCCAAATTGGCCGCCAGCGTGCACAATTGGACGACTGCTTCGACAATCCCGCACTTGCAAGGACTGGTGTTGTATGATGGACCTCTCGACATATCGCGTCCGTATTGCTCTATGCGAAAGGCTGGATATAGCTGTTGTGCTCCCGGGGTACCATAAAGCTCCAATCACCGGCGTCAATTGACCGCGCAAGTTCCGATGGTGCCTAACCGAGGTTTCCTGGCAGCACTGTGTGTAATGCGTAGTCACTGGTTCGAGGCGACATTAGTCGGCCACCCATGTTGATACATCTCGTATTTTGAATTACACAAGTTTCTTTCCATTGCATTTTGAGCCTTGGTTGAGTACTCTGATGTCGCAATACCAATACCCGGTTACAAAAGACTGAAAGCCACACGGAAAAGTGGGCTCTAATCGTCGGCTTTGCCGCAGCATGTTCTTCTCATTTCCAGCATCACGTAGAACTACACCTACAATTAGAAGGAGGTTGTTTTAGTATGCTTGGCCTATGTATGGGTGGTATGCCTCGCCCATTATTGCATATCACAATCGTTATGTGAGCCTTTCTGGCAATGTTCCTGATTTCCTCACCCTGTCGAACATGATGAAGAATGAGGTTGGCAGCCAGTTTAGTAGCGTGCCAAAAGGGCGCCGCACTCATGAGCGTTTATAAAACTCCGCAGCCTCTTCTTCAGTGACATCGGACGCAAAACTCCTTTTTCGGTCGATAAGTCCGTACTTTGACCCGCGTATCCGCCACCACATTTCGCGCCTGTCACCTTGTAAACTGCCATTGAGGATGTCTATCTTCAATCCCCGAATAAATGCATTGTAGATTTCGGGTTCCTCAAGCTCGGTGATTTCTTCCCTCATCACACGTATCGCCTCCAATGCTCGACCATATCCCGACTCGCCGACAGAACTACGTATCAAGGATTTAATATTCTTGCTCATGTCGTCCGCAGCAGACTGGATTGCGTCTAGATCATCTGTCGCAGCAAGAGCCTGTTTGAATGATGGAATGAGATTTTGAGAATCGATCTTCACTCGTTTGGGATTTCCCAAGAGCTCATCCACGTCTAAGCCGCTCAATGGCTTCTCTCTGTCTCGGAGCGACCGTTTCCCTCGACCCTTCACCTTCGGAGGGACTTTTTTGACGTCTGCCGCCTCTTTTAGAGCGTCGAGATGCGTTTGTGCCTGCGCGATGAGATCTATGGGTGGGACCGAGTATTTGGTCAGTATGCGTGGCGGGTCTGGGAGTTTATCGTACGTGTTATTGGTAGCACGCCAGCGAATGATGTGATTGATTCGATGTAGCAGAGGCGAGTACGTGTCTTCGAACTTCATGTATTCGTCTGGTTCGCCTTCATCGTCGAGATCGAACGTCGATAGATCCATAGCATCCACATAATCACTCATCGATTGCATGAGGCGGTCATTTGGTATGTCCCTATGTTCTGCAATGACTTTTCCCGATACGGTGAGCTTTCTATCCAATGGTGGAAATTTGTAGCGGCGTATGTCTTCTTCGAAGGGAAGCTCAACGTCAATCAGTGCCTCGAAATCACCTTTGATGTGTGGGACAAGCAAGACGAGGATTGGTGGTTTATACTGCTTGGTCACGAGACGTGCTACTGCATAACACCCAGCTTCGTAGAGGGCATGCACGAAAGACGAAAGTGCAAGTTGGGCCTGGTCATTTGCCTTTTGAGGAACAATGAAGTTAGTTCGAGACATGGGAAGATAACGTTCAAACTGCATTAAATCGTTAGCAAGGAAGCTTCCACAGACGTGGCCAAATGTGGCAGGGAATGGCATAATACCTTCTCCTCGGGTACAAATCCAAGTAGCTCAAAGCTTGGATCCGTCTCGAGCTTGACGACATTCATGTCTGATTCGCTGATATGGACAGCGGTCCTTCCATATTCGAAGCCTCGTTCCAGTTCGTCGGGTTCAACATTCATTTTCTCCCCAGGCTCTTCAGGGTTCTCAACCTTGTAGACGCGTTGATTCCTTACCGCTGAGAGATCGCCACCGGGTAGTTGTGCATCTCCAGATGCATCTCCAGCAGCTGTGGCAGTCGATTGGGTGCTCGGCCCTGCCCCGGCCTGATCATCCAATCCTGCCCTAACGACGAAGGAGCTTGCAGTTGGCGGTTTGGCGATCATAGTGCATGGATAGCGCTCGATATCCATGGTCAGAGTAGCCTCATAATTCCGAATATCACCCAGGGTAAGAGTACCTTTGTAGCTAGGCACCGCACGGGTGTCCTTGGTCCTTGGGATATCCAGCTGGTCTATGGCCACAGCAAGCGTGCCAAAGTTTCCGGCACAATTGTTGACCAGGTCCTTGAGAATAGTTTCGTTCTCCTCCTATGAATGATTAACACGAGAATCTACGAATGCTGAAATCGGATTCATACCTTGACTGAGTCTTTGTCTTCCTCTTTATATCCGTAGTCAGGGTCGTCAAAATCAACTCCGCTTTTCTGGTTTAGCGAAATTGATCAATGGAAACCGACAATGAAACTCACAGAAGTGTTAAATCATACTTCGCATCCTCTTGGTTCATCTTCGATACGTATCCGTCCAGATCGCTGGTATCGAGTTCGCCGTAACCGTCTGAAATGATCACAATTCTTCGGTCAAACTTCAAAGGCTTTTTGGTTTTACCCTCTGTTGCCTTGTCGATCATATGAATAGCTACTGCTAGGGCTCCAAGGACTGGCTCTTGCATCAGGATAGTCAGTATAATAGGGCTTTGACGACATACCATCACCTTCGTTGGTGGAACTAGGCTTTATATTGTCTTGTAGCTCTCGAATGTCTGACAAGAGGAATTGTTTGGGCCGTGAGAAGACGTGGATATTGTCATATCCATCTGAATCCTCTAGTACGCCATCAAGCTCCGTGACTGAATACATTTAGTGATGATTCTCCGCGAATGGTGTCGATATGCGCACGCACCATCAGTTCGATAACCCACGACTCCAACCAGCGACGTCTTGCGACCAGTGGCAACCTTTCAGAACATTAATTTGTCGTCCATAATTATTTGCAGATACTCAAACGTACTGTAGTCGTGATCTTATCCCAGATATACTCCATCGCCCAGTCAAGGTTGCTCTTGCTTCGTCCATGGCGTTTCTCGCCCATTGACCGTCCCAGATCAAGCACGTATACGGTTGCTTCCTTTTGCGCCATGGCTGAAAAAATGGAGTAAGGAAGAAGAAGAAGAAGAAGAAGAAGAAGAAGAAGAAGAAGAAGAAGAAGAAGAAGAGAGACTTGAGCAATGGAAATGATGAACAGCGAGGAGGCGATGTTCAGCACCTATGAATTAGGCAAACACAACGCACGGACAATACGCGTTGCAGGCTAGAACGCGATCTCACATGATATAGCAATCATCGCCATGACCCAGCAAGGTAAAGAAACAGCCCTATCGACCAAAAGTAAATGCACAAAAGGTTTTAACGCGTGTTCAATTGAAAGAAGCCCTCTCCAGAATTATATTTTCCAGGCTTGAAGATTGTTACACTAGAGGAGACATATCGTACGTGGGATGCTTGTCATAGGTTGTGCTCCCACCCCATTCGACTCTAACGATGACACTTGTTGATCTAGCCAGAAAACATCGTCATAAACAGTATCGAGACAAGTTCATAGGTATAAACCTTTGCCATAGGAACTGCGCAGTTATGCCTGCACAGATCGTCATTAGGGCGAGGAGATGGTTCTATCAACCGTCATGTGCCAGAGAACGTGTAGATTCCTACGGAGTGCTGTTCGCTAGATGGCTGTCTCTACGGCACGCGATGTATGATCAGTCAGAGTCATAGTATATATTTCCGATCATATCACTTTCTTCCTTCCACCATGATGATATGATATCCCTCGTTCGTTTTGCATTCGCCCAACTTTGGGTTGCCCGTCGTACTTGGCTCTAGATCGTATGCAACCTTTTCGAAATCGGCGAGAAGAGAACCACGCGTTTTCCACCCTAAAGAGCCACCTTTAGGCGTAGTGTCAGCCGAAGCGCAGCAAAAAGCCCGAATCATCAAGACGAGGCTTTGAGGCTTTGGGTAGCGCCTACCTTGTCTGGCCTTGTCTTCGCTGAACTCTCTTGCAACTTCATCAAACTTGGCCCCGTCCCGCAACTTTTGCAGTGCTTCCTCTTTCTTGCTGTGTTTCTCGCAAAGTATGTGTCGAACATTGATGCTGGTCGCCGGTTTCAGCTTTCCGCCTTTTGCAGAAGACCCCTTATCACCGCCATCTTTGGATGCGTCCTTCGCTTTGCCTTTATTTTTAGGCGCCATTGTTGAGTGAAGAAGGAGTGTTTATTGAAGCAAACAACAGTTCTACCTTCACACCCCCCCACTCCCCACCATCGAAGGTCCATTGTGCAGTCAGTATTAGGCGGAGAGGGAGGCGGTGAGCCTGCTTTAGTTGTTTACGTAACTAGGCTGAAAAGGCCAAGGGCGTTGCTTAACCTGGAGCCCTTCGGTAACTACTAGCGATTATGAATTCCTCGTTCTCTCTTCAATATTCTCATCATTTGTACATCGGCCTGGATCATCGTTTTGTACCACAGAAATACGCTATGTGACTCGACTGCTAATGCTTCGTAATGGTACCTGATGATCCATAGGTGGGCACGCGACTATGGCACCTCATACAAGGACAAGAACCGGCTGCTGGACCTGCCGCGAATCTGGGTACAAATGCGACGAAAAGAAACCTTTCTGTGGAAGATGTACTCGACTGAACATCACATGTAAAGGCTATGGTATTAAGTTGAAATGGAAAAATACTACTGCCCAACCAGCATCTGGCAAACGCCCAAGGAGCGGCAGAGCGAGGTCTGTGGAGCATCCACAGGCATCAAGTCCTTTATCAACGTCTAGCATAACATCGGCCCCGGCTACACTTGACATGGTTGACTGGTCTCCAAGTCCTGAATGGCCTCGCGCAACAGACATAGCTCCAATGATCATCACGCCTACGATGAGCCCTGACTTGTCTACTGGCGACAAGCGGTTGTTGCAGTATTGGGTGGAGCAGCTGTCAACGCTGATATCAGTCACTCCGGGGAATCGGGCGAAAAGCCCTTACCAGATACATCTAACTGCCATGGCATATAGTCCGGGGGCGTTAAGGTCGACTGTTCTTTCAATGGCGGCACACCACCTTGCACTTGTTTCGGGTGACGGGTTCCTGAAATTGGATGCTTATCGTCATCAACGGGATGCGATCCAACAACTCCAGCGCCTTATCCAAATCCCAGAAGATTCCTCTGCTGAACCAGCTCTTGCTACTGTCTTGATGATGCAGGTTTCTATGCGCCTTTTCGGCGAAGGCGATGCCGCTCCAAGCGTGGTAAATCATTTAGTCGGTGCTAAGGCCATGTTATCCCAGAAGCGTGGTGATATCGCTATCTGGAGCAAGTCTCCTAGTGTGCGATTTTTATTAAGTCTTTTCGCCTATCACGACATCTTGTCGTCTGTATCTCGCAGCTCGAGTCCTTTTATCAACCACGGAGGAGATTTTGATGCCGTTGAAGGCATCAGTAGCATGAAAGGCATTGCCAGAGTACTCCATATTGTTGCCGGTATCAGTGAGCTGCAAGATATTGCAAGGCATGGAGGTACTATTTCAAAGGACCCAACCAGTTTTGCCCGTTTTTCAGTCATAGGCTCTGGGCTCGAACAAACCCTCAGCTCGCTAGACTTATCAGCTGCACCGGATCATAACGAGAACGATTCGAAGGACATTTCGGCCACTGCCGAAGCCTACCGTCATGCTGCCTTCATCTATTTGTATCGCATATGGCACGGCATCGGGGCACCAAATCCAATCACGCTACATCATGTGCAGCAATGCCTTAGCTATCTTGCCCAAGTCGACGTCTCGTCAGCCCTCATATCTTCTCACATTTGGCCAATTTTCACCGCAGGTTGCGAAGCTATTGATGTGGCACAGCGTCAATTTGTCCGGGACCGGCTAGCAGCTATGTTTGAATCGAGGAAATTCCCAGTGATGCGAAAACTGATGGCAGATATTGAGGATGTGTGGGCTTGCAAAGATCTTGAGTCGGTCATAGGCGGACAAGATGGGATGGAGAAGGTAGACTGTATCTCAGTAATCCGAAGAAGGCGAGGCAGAGAAGTCGATCTCGCGTAAAACTCGTCAACGGATGAGCCTCTGAAACCTCCCCACTGTTAGATATTCGAGCAGTAGCAGACTGGGGTAACTCAACCGCCATGATCTACCGACCCACATCCTGCAGTCGGAGCACGGGTGGCTAACTACTTGATCCATACCTGACAAGTCCGGACTATCGCGAAGTAATCATTCCGCGGAACTATTGAGGCTTCCAAAGACGGAATAGGATACATTCACTTTGTATATCCAGCGCCCATCTAAAACCCGCATTCGTATCAATACCCCGGACAATCCATGTTCTATGATGCGGCCAATTTTTCTCTAGTGGCTGGACTTCAGCATGCCCTCGAACACTCCACAAGAGCATATGCAGGGTATCGAGGAAGCAGAGTATATTATGGTCTCCCCATGACATCACATGGCTACTTCTATTTCGGTACAATACGTGACAGTTGGAGGTTGAATATTGATAGCGGTCTAGGATCTGTAGAGAACTTCCACAACGCAGAATTTGCAGGACAGACCACATGGCTAGATCCCACCACTCTGGAAACATTCAGATAGGCAGATCAAGCGCCTTTAGTATCGGCGTCAACTACCGTCCTTCCCACACCTTTGCCCTCGGCGGCCTCCTGCTCCTCGGCGATTACATCTGCTGGAATGCGGTCTGGAGTTTGATTGACTAGGACTAACATGGGATAAAGCGCCGCACCCATCAAACCGAACGTTACACAGCTAGAAGTTTATCAGTCACATACTCGGGATGGCCTTGATTATCATCAGACTTACAATCCGATCAGTGGGCTGGTTTTGATCTGCGTATTCATTCCATAAGAAATGGCCTGACCGACGGCCTCGAGACAGCTGTTCGATGTCAGTATGAGCCGACAGTTGGATACATGGGTCGAATCTTACCGGAAAGCAGCGCCATTTCGGACGTTTGACTGTGCGTCCGTGGCGAAGGAGGACAGGAGCCAATACATGTACGATTGTGAGAGAGGACCGGTAGTTTGGACGAAGAAGTATGGAAGGAAGGATTTCGCATAGAGCGAATCGTCCCAGTCGATCTTGCCAGGTTTGTGCTCGTTAAAGCGGACCTGCATGACGATGGACCAGATGTATACACCGAGATTCAGGATCACTACAGTGAAAAGGCCTATCTGGGCTCGGCGTCGCTGGCTCATGTTTTTCATATCGAGAATGAAGCCAAGGCCAAAGCATCCAACGATACAGAAGAATGGAGAGATTAGTGAGGAAAGCGCCCGAGCACGAACAGAGAAGTATGTTCCAAGATATGTGGACCATGTACCGGAATAGAAGAAAGACCAGATGGCCCAGAGCGCGGACAGTACAATGAGTTTAGAAGTCATTGTGAACCGAATACGCTTGAATTCTTGTTTGGTCGACAATTTCTCAGACATGAGGATGCGGGTTCCATCGGATCGGACGACTCGGTCGAGCGGTGAGATGAGGAACGCGAATGGAAGAGCCATGCATTCGATTATCAAGAAAGCAACATACGTATCGGGGCTCACGCCGCCGACAGCTCCCTTCTTGTGGTTCTTTGACAGACTATCTCTGGATCAGCAAAGCTACAACAACATATATCGCGACTCGATAGACTCACTTGATTGCACCACCAACAAGCTGACCAAGGTTGCGTGCCACAATCCAGAAAGCCAAATACTTTCCTCGAGACCCGGATGGTGCCAGGCTCATGATCGAGCCGGACTCGGCGACATACCATGCCCCAGAACCGATTCCAGTGAAGAAGCCGCCGAGAATCAAGTACCACTGGACGCCGAATTTACTATTGACATAGTATGATGACCCTCGGATAGGGAAGGACATTGCTCCGATTACCAAAGCCCATTTCGTTCCCAATTTGTTGACAATGGGACCACCGCAGAGACACACTGATTCATTAGCTTTCATTTGATGGCATACATTCATTGGGTCAAGTTACCGAGTGCAAGCATGGCATAGTTGATAGCAACAGCAATGTTAGAAGTTTGTGGGGTAGCCAAACCTCCTCCACCCTATCGTTTCGTTAGTGTGAATTTAATTGGAGCTCAGCGCCGATGGGGTTCCTCACAAGGCCAGCAATGGCATCAGCCATAGCCGGACCACAGAATGCCTGTATACTAAGCAATACCATCTGTGTAAAACTGTTCTGATAGATCCTCTTCCACCGCGGGACGCTGTTCTCGTAGGCCGTCATATCGATTCTCTCATCAGTAACATCCCCACTGTGGTACGGTGCGACCATAGGGTTTGCACCCTTGGTCTCCAAAGCATCGTCATTACCGCCAGCGTGAGTATTTGGTGGAGCAGCGTCTAGATGTGACATGACGGCGTTTGTGCGACGGGTGTGCCAAAGTGAAATGAGATCAGAGAGTCTTACCGGCAGTTGCTAGACGCTCCCTCGGAGAGAGAAACGCAGCGTCACTATATATACAACACAGGAGAGATATGATACCCAAGGCTCTAGTCCTCGCCAATCCCCAACCAAGCACCCTTAACCTTTCTCCGCCATCTGCTTATCTCGAGGATCCACCACTCGCGTGCGCTCGGGAGTCGGAAGCGAACTGTTCTATGTTCTACAATCTGGGGATCATGGTGCTTGCGGAGGTCTGCCGGCCTTATTCATGGGTGTACGAGACAGGGCGATTATCGGGGCCACTCTAGCTATGCCTCTTTAAGTAGAAATAACAGTTGTCGAGCTAATCGAAGTGGTCCCGAGTCACTCGAAGCTTGCTCCGCGGGATGGCTTGACTCGACCTCAAGTTTCCACCAGCCCTGGGTATCTTTATTGGAGCGGTATCGAGATACCAGGGACACTTTGTTCTAAATTTTAGTTCGAAGGCGGCATTTCGTATACTTCCACCACTCTGAACAACAGTAACCCTTTTTCCCGCTCGGCGGCACTGCGGAGATAGACGTATCGGCCTCAAAAGAAGCACACGGGACATCCTATCATCAGATCGGACGAGCGCGCTCCATCAAGCTAATCCCAGTTAGGTAATCATAACAGTTCCGGTCCCGGCAGATGTCAATCTCTCGACTCATCCGATGATTCGTACCTACGACCCATTCTAACCTCAAAGCAAGCGAGGGTGACTCACCTGTCAAAGAGATAGATATGAGAAGATATGACTTCCTCCATTAAGATTCAATAATCACCGGATACCTATTAGTCAGTTGTGCAGAGAAACAAAGATCTAGTCTATGATCTGCTGCTATACATCGTAAGATTCAAGCCTGTGTTCGTTAATGGTGGCGTGTCAGAGTTGCTCTTGTAGAAATTGGCTTGACGTCCACCATAATTGGTCCATACTTAAAGAGTTAGGAGTCCTGGGGAACTTCCCCCGAGCATTAAGTACGGGGAAATACACATATATCTCTATGTGTTACATGGAACTACAGCCGCATTGACTGAATCGAATATTCATTCCACAACGCAAGTCAAAATGGCCACCACGTCACGCAAAGACACAAAAGTCATTGTGGTAGGTGGTGGAGGCACGATGGGATCCTCGACAGCCCTGCATCTGCTGCGTTCGGGCTACACGCCATCGAACATCACAGTGCTCGACACCTACCCCATACCATCTGCGCAATCGGCCGGAAACGACTTGAACAAGATCATGGGAATTCGATTGAGGAACAAGGTTGATCTGCAGTTAAGTCTGGAAGCGAGACAGATGTGGACAAATGATGAGCTCTTTAAGCCATTTTTTCATAACACTGGACGGGTAAGCACTATAGACCTTCATATCATACCACACCACACCATGAAGTGATGGTTATCCTGTATGGCGCTTCGTCGACTGACGACTTCATAGCTCGACTGTGCACACACGGAGTCCGGCCTCGCAGAACTCAAAGAAGCTTATCAAAGACTGCTGAATGCAGGTGTGGGCCTTGAAAACACCACCGAATGGCTCAACAACGAAGAAGAAATCTTGAAAAAGATGCCGCTCCTTGAGCGTGAAAACATCAAAGTCAGTCTTATCTACCCTATTCATCAATGATGATATTCAAATCTAACTATTCCCCCCTCACCACCCTGACACAAGGATACTCTAAACTGATTTTCGTACAAACCACAGGGCTGGAAGGCTGTCTTCAGCAAAGACGGAGGCTGGCTCGCTGCAGCACAAGCCATCAACGCCATCGGTGAAGAGTGCCAACGCCAGGGCGTGAAATTCGGGTTCGGCGGTGCTGGTACCTTCAAGAAACCTCTATTTTCACAGAACGACAGCTCCGACTGCGTGGGCGTCGAGACCGCCGATGGGACGCAGTACTATGCTGACAAGGTTGTTCTCGCCACGGGAGCATGGAGCCCTGCTCTCGTTGATTTGGAAGATCAGTGTTGCTCAAAGGTACCGTAACATTAATTTTTCAGGCCTCACCTACTAAAATCCCATTGCCATCTTTCTACGACAGCCATCTTAAGCATTCGAAAGGGATCACTGCTAATGAAAGCTTGAAACCAAATAGGCATGGGTGTATGCCAAAATCCACCTTACCCCCTCAGAGGCCCTACCCTATGCCGACACCCCCGTCGTGTACAACCCAGACATAGGTTTCTTCTTCGAGCCTGACGCCTCGGGCGTCATCAAGATCTGCGACGAGTTCCCGGGCTTCACCCACAACGTCCTGCACCAACCGTACGGCGCGGCCTCGCCTCGCAAGATCTCGGTGCCCAGGTCCCACGCCGCGCACCCCACAGACACGTACCCAGACGAGAGCGAGGTGCGTATCCGCAAGGCACTGGAGGTCTTCCTCCCGTCTTTTGTCCAGAAGCCACTGTTCGATCGTGCGTTGTGTTGGTGCAACGACACACCTGACGCCGCGCTCCTCGTGTGCGAGCACCCCCGCTGGAAGAATTTCGTCCTGGCGACGGGAGATAGTGGGCACACGTTCAAACTGCTTCCCAACATTGGGTCACATGTTGTGGAGTTGTTAGAGGGGAGACTGAGTGCGGAGTTGGCGGAAGCATGGAGGTGGAGGCCGGGAAGTGGCGATGCGGTCAAGAGTCGACGGGCGGCGAGGGCGAAGGATTTGGGGGACTTGAAGGGTTGGAAGCATGACGCCAGGGAGAAGCTTTGAAGGATGGCAGTCGTTGCTGCATGTACATGTACGAAGTTGCCTTTTTCCACATGCGTGGTCAAATAGTACATTAACGCCAGAGATGTCTGATACACACAACCAATCCACAGCCCCACTACTACACAGTACTTAATTATACCCTTTCTTCCTGGATATATAGAACACATTCTCAAGCTCTCTCACATGAATCTATTCCCATTTTCGTAGATTCACCCTCGGGACATTTCCCAACCAGAGTCAGGGCTAGCCCGCCACCAAGTAAGTTAGACAGCAAGAGTGACTGGATACACATTACGAAAAGGGTGGACCAAGGCAACCCGTAGGTTGATACAACAATAATACGACTAGACTACATAGCAAGTAATTATGTCTAAGGGTATCCAAGGCCTTCTTTGTATATTTCTAAATAAGAGAAGAAGAAGAAGAAGAAGAAGAAGAAGAAGAAGAAGAAGAAGAAGAAGAAGAAGAAGAAGAAGAAGAAGAAGAAGAAGGGGCGAGGAGGGGAAAACATTTCAAGTAACCCGAGTACAGATGATACCTCGTAGATAGATACACTCGTAAGTGTCGACCTACCTACTACCCACCCACCCAGAAAATCACGATTGGTTCGTCCATGTCCAGTAGACTACTTGCAACCCTTCCCTTCCCAGCAAGCAAAAACCGGTTCGTCGGGCTCAGTTCCTTGGTTTGGCACCCGCGCCGGGCATCCGCCGCCTGTTAGGTGCAGCGGGGGCGTTCCCCGCAGTCATCGACACTTTTCAATTTTCTTCCTGCTTTCATCCTCGCGCGCCACACCTTACTCCTACATAACTACGCGCCAAAATACGGGATGAGGCCTGGTTTGCGAAGGAAACCTTCCCGATCGAGTAAGTTTCTTTGGCTTGGTTTGGTTCGTCAACTGGGGTTTCGGATTGCTTGCCTGCCTGCTTGCGTGCCTGCTCTCTCGCTTAGTTAAGAATAGTGCCAAAGACGTGACGACGGTAGGATGGCAGATTCCTCAATACATTTGATACATTACCTCGTAACATCATGGGAATTAGGCATATGTGCATTACTAGACATGTGTGAAGATAACCGAAGGAATTGGGCTGATTCAACGAAGGCCGGACGGTTTAAATCTTGCGAGATTGAGCGGGGGACAACGAGGAGACAAGTATGTCACCATACGAACGCTTGAAGGTTGATATCTAAGACCACGATAGTAGCGATGTTTGAATGTTTTGGTGTGTTGTTTATTTATTTATTTCATCATCGTCATTGTTCATCAAGAATCCTTGATCGACGTATAGACAAAGGAGGGCTGTCCTTCGTTTGGGGGCTTTGTACACAATGTTCGGATTCCCCGTCCACCTCTCCACCCCAAGACTTTGCTTTGAGTGTGGGCTTCCCCTGTGCGTCTTCTCCATACACTCCTCCCTGCACTTCTAGCAAATAGGTACAAAAAATTAAGAATGATCCGCGAGCGAATGACCAGATTAGCAAGGTACCAATGATCCCTTTTTTCCATGCTCGTTTCATGGTTCGACCGTGCTAGTCGATAGCTAGTCGTAAAAATAACAGACATCATGGCCAGCATATCTTGAAAGAGATTCTTCGACAGATCGAACGAGATTGTTCAGATTCCGTGTCTAATCTTATTCCACTTCGTCCGGGATTAATTCAAGGTCCTTTCTTCTTCTACCGTCACATTCGTCCTTCAAAAATATTCGGAATCGCATCATCGTGGCAAACAATAAGCGCGGGGGTATAAGGGCAATTGAGATTGAAACAATATAAGAACATGGTTTATCGTTACGTGGTGAGGATTTCATCCGCCGCCGTTTATCTTCGTGGAATCAGCGATGCCATTCGTAGAGCTCTGGCCCAGGACGGCATCCATGAAGCTCTTTCTCGGCTTTCGTTTCTTCTCGGGTGCGGATTCGTTCACGAGCTCACAAAGGTGAATCTGCCTTCGCCGCTGAGGGTCCTTCACGTCTGCCAGGAGTGGTCTGAGAATATCAACCTTATCAACTTCTGGTGGAAGTACCGAGTCCTCGATCCAGTAGAGGCCCTCGAGATCAAGGAACTGTTGGCGAGCTTCCTTGACACGATCCTGGATCTGGGCGAAATCGAAGTCGGGCCCTGCCATTGGGAAACGGTAGTCCTGAGCCAGGAGAGCCACGTCATACTGGCGGAGGAGCAGCTCTCGTTGATCACGAGTTACTGGAATTCGTTCCCATTCAGAGTAAGGAGCATCCAAATGAGCAAGATCCAGCTCAGGGAGTCCAAGAATGCCAACAGCCTGGAAGGACATGACGTAGGATTTAGAGACAGCGTTCTGGTGCTCATGAGGTTTGACGTCCTTGGAGGTAGCATAAAACAAAGGTAAGAAGACAGCGGATATGCCTAATTCCTCTCCAGAGAAATGCAATGGTCTATTACTTCCGAGCTCGCAGGCGCGCCTGAGCGCTCGTGGCAGCTTCGAGATCCGGTCTCTCCGTGCTGCCAACATTTCCTGTCGTTTGGCCTCCTCCTCTGCCTCCTGGCGCTGTTTCTCCTTCTCTTCTTCTCGTTTGCGAGCTGCCTCCGCCTCCGCTTCCGCCTTTGCTTTCTCAGCTAACCGTTTCGCTTCTGCTTCAGCTGCAGCTTCAGCCTCTGCCTTCCTCCGAGCTTCCTCCTCCTCAGCAGCTTTACGGGCAGCTTTGCGGGCAGCCTGTTCCTCTTCTTCACGTTTCTTTGACTCCGCTTCGGCAGCTTTTCTTTTTGCCTCAGCTTCGGCTTCAGCTTCGGCGGCAGCAGCAGCTTGCTTTTCCTGTTCCAGGCGACGTTCGCGAACAATATCAGGCGTAGCGGCTTTCTCCGGTGGGGCAGGCGTAGATTTGGAAGAAGCAGTAGGAGTCCTTTTAACCTTGGTTTCATCGATGGACACGTCGGATGCACGACGCTTCTTGATCTTCTCCTCCAGTATACGTGACTTTATCTTGTTCTTGACAGGTTTCCGTTCATCCGGAGATTCGACTTCGGGCGTAGGAGTAGGCTTAGAATTGGTGACCTTGGTCCGAATCTTTGGCCCGCGCTTTTGCGGAGGATGTGCACCGTCCTCACTATCGGCAGAGCCAGCACGCGCAGCACGCTTCGGCGCGGTATGGCTGTCCAAGCTCTCTTTGATTGCCCTTTTAATTTGCTTGTTTTCTTCTCCTTCGCTGTACGAGCGGGGCTTTGCATGGGCCTTCTTCGGTGGTCTGACATCGGCATCAGAGTCTTCATCGGAGGATTCGTCAGAAACCACTCTCCTCCGTCGCTTAACATCACGACTCGCTATTTCCTTCCCAGACATTAGCCGTCTTGATTTCTGGAGGCCCGCAGAGGACTTGTTCGTCAGAGCACGCTTTGCTTCTGGCCGGGGCGAAGATGACGGCTCCCGGCGACTTGGTGAGGACCTCTTCTTGGCACGAACGGCAGCTGCGTTAGGCGCCTCCTTCTTCACCCTCTTAGGGCTTTTATGTGTTTTCGAGTACGTGTCGTAGGCGTCCTTTAAGAGATCCCTCTCCAACTCCCATTTCGGTCCACGGCGTTCCTCGGAGATTTCGTAATAGGTCTTGCCATCGCGATTGCGCCTGGTAGGATTGAAAAGGTCCTGGTTCAGTAATAGCTGGATGACTTTCATATGTCCTCTACCGATGGCGACGAGCATGGGTGTGTCTGTATGTTTTGACGGATCAGGATCAGGCTTCAGTCCGCTTGCGAGAAGGATGCTGAGCACTTCATCGTAGCCACCCCTCGAAGCAGCCACACCACAGGCAATATTCGGTCTAATGTTGCTGTTGAGAAGCTCGCCAACCGCGGCCATATCACCGTCGCCTGACTTCTCAATAAGAGTCTCTAGGTTGTATTCATTGTAGAGAAGTCTCGACGCGGATTTCTGTTGCGCAAAGCCTGGAGTGGTGTCTTCCTCCTTCTTTGCCGTATCGGTTTGCCGCCGCATCGCAGCCCTGAGCTCCGCCTCGATCTCAGTAGCATCGTCTTCGTCGGGATCCAATACATCAATGGCTCTTTGGCCTTTCTTGTTCTGGTGGTGCGGATTGACGTGACCTTTATGGAGTAAAAGCTTGACAACATCCAGGTGCCCATTCTCAACAGCATCGATCAGAGGGGTATCCCGGTCATTGGATTCGCAGTCAGTTCGACAGCCCTTCTTAATGAGAAATTCGACGACGTCGGCCCAGCCATGTAGGGCGGCCTTTTGAAGAGGAGCGATTCCCGCGAAATCTTCTTGGTCCAGCTCTTCAGACGCTGCATTGTAGGCTGCAATGACTTGGTCCAGGTCGCCCTTTTCGCTCTCTCTCGCCAGCCGCGTCGCGCCAAACTTGTCAACGTTGCGCTTGTGTGTCATAGCGCGCGCCGGCGACGTCAATGCGCGATGTGAAGACCGTTTGACCCTGTTATGCAGCAGATGTGGGGTATGCGCTGGATGGGGTGAAGAGGAGTGTTCCGAGCTGGAATCGGAATAGTTTCTCCGCTCTGGGGGCAGCGTGAGAGCCGTGACTTCTTTGCGTTTGCGGCCTGGCACTCCTTGCACGGCAGATTGCGTAGACTGCGAGCGCTTGTGGGGTCTTCCAACACCGGGGGTGGCAGGAGAGTTGGGTTGCGTGCGCAACTCTTTCAATCCTTCGGTTTTGGCCTTCTGTCGCAACGGCTCCAGCGATTTCGTGTGCGACTCGTCGCGCAGTTTGCGTTTTCGTGATTCCGTTATTGATGAGCTTCGGCCACGGGTGGCGTGTTGCGTAGGTGATGTCGTGGGAAGCACGGGTGATTTCACCGAGTCGTCGGGGCTCGCGTCTTTGGCGTGGCGTGAGTGGGTTCGGTTGCCAGGTGAAGTTGGAGGTGGGCTCTTTCCATCGGGATCAGAGCCACGGCGGGCCCCATTCAGCTTCACCTCCTTCAGCTCCTTCGCGTCTGATACCGAGTGCCTCCGTCCATTGGCAATGGGTGAACGCGTGCGCGTGCGCGTCCGTGAGGACTCTTTGATGGACCGTAACTTGGCTGCGTTATCATCATCGTCGTCATCGTCACGTTCCATCTTGATCACCTTCTTCTCCTTCGAGGTACTGTCCTTGGCATCGTCCAACACGACTGTCTCGGCCTCGGACTCGTTCTGGGCGTCGTCCTGGGTGTTCTCGCCGTTCCGAGAGGGGCGAGGTGATGGTTGCCCATCTCTGAGGGAGGCGGGAGGCGCCGTGTTTTGAGTGGCGGGGGAGGCGGCACGATGGGTTGGAGCTCCAGCAGCGACAGTTGCCTGGTCTGAAGGGTTCAAGCTAGCATCGCCATTACTGGTCATCACGCAAGATGTGGACAGGACGCGAAGGCTCCTGCCTCATGATGTTGGGGTGCAGGCAGTCGATAGGTAGGGTGCGCCTGCAAAGCGCTCGGCTGCCTGCACGTTGAAACGGAAGGGCAGTCGATTGAAGGGGAGGGGGGCAGAGGAGGAAGAGAGACAGAGAGGGAGACAAGACCAGATGGGAGAGGAAGGCTGAGGCTTGAGATGGAAGGAGGTGTCGGTGTAGGTGTAGATGTCGGTGTAGTGAGTAGGTGTAGGTGAAGGTGAAGGTGAAGGTGAAGGTGTAAGTGTAGGTGTAGGGTGGATGAACAAGCGAAGAGGAGAGGAGGAAGAGGAAGAAGATAGGAGAGGAGAGAGAGAGAGAGTAAGAGAGTAAGAGAGAAGAGAGAGAGAGAGAGAACAGAGAGAGAGAGAGGAAGGAAGGAGGGTTGGGCTGGGCTGGTTGGCTGCTGATTGGCTGATTGGTTGAATGGCTGATTGGCTGGCTGGTTGGTGACCCGGTTGGCTTGGCTTGGCTTCCTCTAGTCTCCATCTCTCAAACTACTAACAACCATGAGAGAGACTATGAGACTATGAGACTATGAGACTAGGTATGATATTCTATGATTAAAAAGACCCATCTTCCTTATTTTCTCCATTCATATTTCTCTATCTCTCTCAGGTCCATCTTCAAGTCGTACGAGTTGGACCGTTTCGTCACCTTTGGCTGCTTTGGGGCTGGTATTCCCACCACTTTCCCTAGTACAGTACAGTACTACCCCATACACAGCACATAACACACTCCCAGTCCCAGTACCGTGTAGTACTCGGTACTCGTACCATTGGCCCTCTTCTTATATTCCATATCCATGATACGATACGGAGTAGTTCATGACAGGCTACAATAGGCTGTAGGTACTCTATCACTATGTAGATGCCTACTTACGTACCCACTACGGTACTCCGTAGTGGGTACTAACTACCATATCTTAACCGTTACGTATCAAATCGGATCACGGTCCACAAAGCACGAATCACACATATCACAAGTATCATTCATAGAGTGTTGTCTTGTGCCATCTATATTCGATAAATAGCACACCCACTGTGTAGTATACAGCAAGTATAATCATTGTTGCACTGGATCTAGGTCTGGGTAAAGTACCTGGGTACCTAGGTACCTAGGTAGGTATCTCAAAATGACAATGGCGATACCCACAACTGCAAGTATTATTACTAGCAACTAACTTGGTAAAGTAACTACGGAGTACTCAATAGATCAATTGATGATCTGATCAATAAGACAATAGTCAAGGTCTGGGTGACCATGTACGCGCAACCCAGAACGGCGGACGGCGGGTCCAGCGGATGTTACTCTCATCTTACAACCACGTGACCTTTATTTCCACCCGCCCCATTCATTTTCCTTCGTCCATCCTTTCTCCGCCCCAAACAACAAAAACAAAACTTCATTTCTTTTTATCCAAAAGAAAACCACAACCAAAGATCTGCATCCATCCAGCTACGCTCAGAGTTCCATCTCAGCTCCCATACATGGACCATATCCTCAGCATAACCTGGCGGTGGCTCCTTGACCCCGTCCTCCTACTGCGTGCCTTTTACCTTGCCGCATCCGCTATTGTGACTCGCCACCATACCGCCCCCTCACCCTTTCCCTGCCCACCCAACAGCTTCACTAACTCGAACCCTTTTCTTGCTTACTAGATCCTCGTCATACAGGCGCTACCTGCCTTGAGCTCCCGCTTCCTAGCCTATGGTTCCCGTGCTACACCTACACCTACGTCTTCGTCTTCGTCTTCGTCTTCGTCTACCTCTGCGCCTGAACAACCTACAGCAAAGCCAACATCTGCCTTTCCATTCGCACAATTCCTCGATTATCTCGCCACCCTTACAGTCCCCCATAACTACTTCACCCACTTCTACATCCTCTCCGTGCTATGTTCCCTCATTTGGGGATATCTCCTCTTCCTCCCCTCTCCCTTCCCCTCCTTTCAGGTAACACCACATAACCAAGATGGAACCCCTCTCATCTCATCCCGCCTCCGCATACAGCTTTCCTGGCTCCTGATGCTTCTCCAAGGTGTACGGCGCCTCCTCGAATCCCATGCCTACACATCGTCCAGTAGTAGCAAATCTCGAATGTGGTTCGGCCACTGGGTCCTTGGCTTAGCATTCTACCTAACCGTCAACATCGCAGTCTGGATCGAAGACTATTACTACTACTATGACTACGACCACGGGGCCCACTCGTCATCTTCGTCGTCCTTGTTCAAATGGAAGTCAGCCCTGCTAGTCCCGCTGATACTAACTTCGCACGCCTTACAAAACAGTTACCACGCCTACCTCTTCCGCCTTCGCACGACGACGTCCACCAAATCACCTTCTGACCAAAGAACATACCGCCTCCCTACGCACCCGCTTTTCCCATCTCTCCTATGCCCGCACTACACATGCGAAATAGCAATCTATCTCCTCCTCTCCCTACTCGCTGCACCGCACGGCCAGACCGTAAACTACACCCTCCTCGCCGCTACCACGTTTGTCGCCGTAAATCTAGGCGTCACGGCCAAAGGGACGAAAGAATGGTATTTGCAGAAGTTTGGAGAGGATAGGGTAGCGGGGCGGACGAGGATGATCCCTTGGGTCTGGTGAGGTGATGACAGGTGGGAGGAGGTCGTGGTGGTGGATGCGACGTATCTGGGTTCGAGGAAATGTCGATCATATGTTTCTCCAAAAAAGGGGAAACAAGGACTACATCCTAGATGTTTTGGCGACGAAAGTGGGGAGGGAAACGTTTTGCTTCCTGTCCGATATAGATGAAGAAGTAGACAGAAAATAATTCAATTGTTACCTCGATACGGATCGAGTCGGCTACGTGAAGAAGCACAACCCATGTAACAAAGATGTCGAAGTTCGAGGAGATATGAGCGCCTGTAACTAGCAACACGCATTTTGCGTAGACTACTCTCAATCGACATTCTGAAGAGAGCTCTGGGGAGTGCTTGGAACAGCATTAAGAGTCCCCAGGGCCAGGTCCTCAACAGCGATGCCAATGTTGTCAGTGACCATACAAACAATGAGCTGGAAAGCTGGGTATATAAAAGGAAGAAATCACAATCTCATTCACACTAAAGCTATGGAAACAAAATAGATCGGGCAGGCCTGATCGTGCCCTGTACAGTGGCCCTGATATCAGCCAGTATGCGCCTGTAAGCGCCGACTTGTCCGAAAGAGTGTGGTATTGGACTGGGAACAGTGAGTGTCGTTGCAAATTCGATAATATACCAAAACAAACACCAAAGCCATCACTAAAAGAAAAGATCCATGCACTCAATGGACACCACCACGCCCACCTCCCAGGCCATTCGACCTCGTTTTGTATCGGCAATCGGCAGATTTTACGCTACCTATCTTGCTACAACTCGTCCAGAGGGGCTTTGAGGCGTAGGGTAGACTCAGACGATCTCCTCGTCGCTGGCGTCGAGAATATCGTACTCTTCATCTGTCATGAACCCTTCGTCATCGCTAGACATTGAGCGAATCTCAACGCTTTCAGCGTCCTCGAAGAATTCTTCCTCTGAGTTTACGGACGAGGCACCGATAGTGGTGCTGCGAGATCGGACCTCCGGGGATTTGAGCTGAGTGGAGGCCGCCGCCTCATGTGTGCTCGATGCAGGAGACTCTTTCTCGAGCTGAGGGAAGATCATGCCAGAGGACTCTCCCTGGGCTTCGACCACTTTTTCGGGCACTGGGAGTTCGGCCGTGTCCTGTTTCTCGATGTTTGACGTATCCTGGTTCACGGCTGCATTTGCTTGCAAGTTTTCACTTTCCCGACGACGGCTTTCGAGAACGCGCTTGACAGCAGCCTCTCGTACCTTTTGGATACGGAGCATCCTCTCCCTTTCGAAAGTATGAGCGTCCCTCGACCCAGGGGACTTGGGCTGAGCGGCCATCTTCTCGGGAGCCAATTCCGTGCGCAGAGCTGCATCAAGAAGCTGACGCTTCCTGCGGAGTTGTTCTTGGAGATCAGGTGAGAAACGTGTAGCTTCAATCACAACTGGTAACCTTGAAGAAGAGCTCGAAGCTTCCACAGGCTCACCAGATCGAAGGGATGTCATTTCAGGGGCGGTCGTGGTAGGAATTGTGATTGGCGTGGTGGGTCCAACGACCTGGATGTCGCACCAGAGCCTGTGGCCGAAGGGCGTGCCTTCGGCAGTCTTGAGACGCCAGTAAGATATCGCGGTACCCTCTCGGTTAGGTGCCTTCATCATGATGCGGAAGGATATTTCCTCTCCCGACTCGACGGGGCGACCAATGACATTGCTCTCACTCGCTTCCGCAAGCTCGCTATGGCTAAGTGGACGAGTGTTGTCGATGTTGAGCATATTGTCACCACCTACATGGCGAACGCTGCAGCCAGCTGGCCAGGGGTTTGGCCCCGGGTTGCGAAGTGTCCAGACCTGAACAAAGTTCAAGCCTGCGCCAATCTTAGATCCGTCAGGGATCGTATCACGTATGAAATGAGCGTCAAAATTCTCCTGTTTCGGTTCGGCTTTGGGTTCGGGGGCGGACTGAACGGGTTCAACAGAGCGAGTAGCTGTCGAGAGAATCTTCTCTGGCACAGGATCAAGGAGAAGATCGCGTATCTCGATCTTTTCCTTCGATCTTTTCGATTGCTGCTCTTCGACCGGTTTCACGTCTACTATAGTCTGGACTTGTGTAGCAGAGTTAGTGGGTGAGAAAACGGGCAAAGTCTCGGTGGCCGTAGACCGTCTATTTGGCTGATCACCCAATCTGGCCATGGGCAGTCCATTCTTATCCTCGCCCATCGTCGTGACGCTGACGCTACGAACAGGCGTCTTGAACTTGATCAGCGGATGAGTGCGGTTGTGGCGGTTGGAGGGGATGGCCTCGCAGTTGGCACAGAAGTCAGTGTCATGGCAGACTGCGCACTTGTAACGAGTACCTTCGATGTACGAAGGATTCTCCTTGTCTTTGCAAAGGGGACCGTCGCAGTAGATGCCATAGTGACGGACAGCAACCGAGGCCGGCTCGGCCAGGGGCTCATAGATGGGTACAAAGCGGTGTCGGGGGTGGATGAATTTCGCACTCTTGATGCATTCGGAGCAAAAGTCCCAGTCAGGGCAGTTCAGGCACTTGTGACGAACACCGTAGATGAATTTCTCACAGCCATCGCAGACTGCAGAATGGCGCACATTGCGGCCAGCATTGCATAGGAAGTCGGCAATTGTGGGGAGGACTGTGTCTGGAGTTGCGGCCTTGAAGGCATGGCCGGGATGGTGACCATGCTTGTTGGCGATGTGGCATTCCAAGCACAAGTCGTAATCGTCGCATGCAACGCATGTAACAAATTCATTCTCAGGGAGTACTGTTGATGCTATTAGGTTGATGATGAAAAACGCTTACAAGGGAGACTTACCATTGACGCAAGAGTTGCATGTGCGTGTCGGCTGATCTGGTTCGACAGACTGTTTTTCATCTGTATACGTGCCGGGCATTTCCTGCTCGACGACCTGCTTTGATTTTGGACCAATACGCTCAACAACACTGGTGACAACCGCACCGTCCTTCACAAAACGCTTCACCATCCAGTGACCAGCACCTGGGCAGTGAATGCCAGCATCCACACATGTCTGGCACAGATCATAGTCACCATGGTCGCAGATGCTACAATGAAAGTGTTCATCTTCCATTGCCTGGTTGCAGTTATTGCAGAAGACAACCCATGAGGTCATGCAGTTGTGCGAGGATGGCTTGGGCCGGAGTGGAAGTTCTGGCATCTGGGATTCGGTTGGGCAACGTACACCACCATAGAATTCTACTTATGTCGTCAGTTTGGGGCCTTCCATTACAGCAGACAAATGTTTAGCTTACTGTCACGACCCATGAACAACTGAGGTACGAGTGCCTCGCCGTTATCTGTACTGTTGGCTAGGACAGGTGAGACAGGGCTGGCCTGGGCAGCCTTAGCTTCCTCCCCAGCATGATTCGAGAGCGAAGAGGGTAGGGCGGGCGAGTGCGCGATTACAGGCGAAATCTGCTCAGGAAGTCGTGGTGCAAGTGTGTCGGAGCTCATCCGATGAAGGGAGCTACCCTCGGACGGGGGAAGTGGATCTACGTTGGGTTGAATTACTGGAACAGCTGGAGTATCCTCTTCCATGTTCGCATGGCTGGCTCTCAGGCGAAGCTTAAGCTTTGCTTTCGCAGCACGAAATAGTGTCTTGTAGACTTGGGAGTTGTTGGTATCGAGAATCACGTAGGCGCCCACGCTGTCGGAGTAACGCTCGAACGTGACATCCTCGTCGGGGTGGATCTGAAGGAGGCTGCGGAGCTATAGCAAGAGAAGATAAATCAGTATCGATGGCTTTCAAGTAACAACAGGTTGCAGTCAAACCAGAGCAACACATTCACAGGCCGGAGTTTACGGCTATGCCACGGTCTTTGAGGTGAGGTCAACCTACTCTGTCGGGCAGGACACTAGGCCCAAGGTCTCTGAGAGGAACCTTAAACTTTCGGTTATGTCCCAAATACAAGACCTTGATGATGATAAGGGTATCAAGCGTCACGGGGACATTGGAGGCCATGGTTGTGTAGAGTGAGGCTGACGTCGTCGGCTGACGACGTGAAGGTGGATGCTGGCTACGGTGGACAGAGCTCCAAAGCTCGAGAGCGAAGGGAGTTCCGAAAACAGATGGAGCTGTTCGAATATCGGTAGGAAACTCCCCAGATGTGTAATTTGAGGTTGGAGTAATAGAAGAGGTGGAGGAGGAGAGAGGGGGTGAGGGTGAGGGTGATCAAGTAGGTGTATCGTTGATGGTTGCCTACCCCAGCCCAGGACGACGACGGCGGCGGCGGCGGCGGCGGCGGAGGCGGCGGGTTCGGGTGGTGCTCAAAGCGAGCGATAACTTGCACGAGCCGGTCAACGTTGACGCCTCACACGTTCGCAACTGTACCACAGTAGAGCTATGAGAGCAAGGCAGCGGCTGCGTCGTCAGCCGGTGAAATCGTACAATAGGAATGTCGCTTGATTTCTTCTCATAGGACTCCGTACAAGGCGACTATGCCCGCTAAAGGTGTTGCCCACGGATAGCACCTTGAAAGCGCGATGGTGATGATGATGAGCATCACGTGATATGTGCCTTTGGATGTCACCTGCCCTACACCTTCACTGATGGAAGGAATTGAGGTTACGCCAACAAGTTCAAAGTCTATCCATCACCATTCGTATCGTTACGCAAAACATTCCCGTGAAGCTTTAGACGCAGTACAATCTGATTTCGGCATGTTGTGATTTGTGTGCCAGCAGATTGTATCATCATCAAGACGGTTGGTTATCTAGGTACCTAGGTAGGTAGATACCTAGGAACCTAGGTAGTAGACCCAAAACTTCGCAAGTCTTCTCCGTACCTAGTTGACGATGTTACCACTAGTACTCTGTACTGTGCGTAACGATAAATTGACTATCTAGACAGCTTGCATTCCTCCCAAAAACTGTTCTCCGTATGTGTTCTACAAGTACTCCGTGATTCGAGCAACAACCTCCATTGGGTCCGGCTCCATATCTCCATATACACCATGGCTAGACCAGGCGGTCCGGAAATATCTAACTCTAACAACGACCCAAGAATCGGAATGTAGCGGCCATTGATTCCTAGCCGGACATGATGCTCATCCCCAGCCTTTTAGGACATGTCTTGCAACAATGCCTTGTAATGTTTCCATGAACGAGACCAAGAGATACATATGTCAGATTCACTTTACGTCGCCGTGACCTCCACAGGCAGGTGGGTCTCGGCAACTCGAGTTAGCGTTACATGGCGCCATAAACGGCTTAGGGCAACTAGATGACGTTACATAAGCAATATTTTTTCCTCTACTGGAAGAAAATTCCAATCCAGAAGAGTAAATCCAATAGACTCTATTGATTTCATTGTACGATGTCTAAATCAGCGACGACCTTGGAGGCAGATGCTTGGGAGGCGCGCAAGGAAGATAAGAAGAAAAAGCAGAAGAAAGAAAAAAGGGCGAAGGTTGACGATACAGAACACGATGAGGGCGACGGCGAGTCGAACTCCTCGAAGAAGCGAAAGAGGGAAGCCCTACCAGACGAGATCGAGATCGACGTAAACCTTCCCGAGCCTACATCGAAGAAAGAAGCCCGTAAAGCGAAGAAGGCAAAGGCTGCACCCCAATCCTCGGCTGGTGAGGGAGCCGCCGCTGGGAAGGATGAGGGCGAAACGAAGGCTGCACAACGATCCCAACATGGAGTGTGGATAGGTAACCTGCCATGGTCCGCCACGAAGGAATCGCTCCGATCGTTCCTCACTACAAACTCCGAGATCAAAGACGAAGAGATCACACGCGTGCACATGCCTGCTCCAACGAAGCCCCCGAACCCGCGCTGGACATTCAAACCACTGAACAAGGGCTTCGCTTATGTCGATTTCTCGACAGAGCTCGCAATGTATGCTGCTATTGCTCTGACCGAAACGCTTATGGACCGTCGGCCACTGCTCATCAAGAATGCGAAGAGTTTCGAGGGTAGACCAGACAAACCCAAGGGCGAGGAGGGCGAGAACGATGGCAAGGCTGGTACAGCGGCCAAACCAGGGCATCCACCCAATAAGCGTGTCTTCGTGGGCAATCTTTCCTTCGATGTCACAAAGGACGACCTACAATCGCATTACGCGCAGTGCGGGGAGATTGCGGATATACACATGGCAACCTTTGAAGATTCCGGGAAATGCAAGGGCTATGCATGGGTAACTTTCGAAGATGTTGAAGCTGCGACTTCGGCTGTTAAGGGATTCATTTTCAAGGAAGAAAAGAAGGACCCTGAGGACTCTGGGTCTGACGACGTTAAAGAAACCAAATTAAAGAAGCGAAAATGGTTCATAAATCGCCTCATGGGCCGAGAGTTGCGTTGCGAATTCGCCGAGGACTCGACGACGCGTTACAACAAACGATTTGGCAAAGAGAAGGATGCAGACATGGAGGGCGTGCATCCAGACCGTGCGAGACGCATTGATGAAGACGATCCTCCTCAAAGCTATCGTCCTAGAAAGCCGTTCCAAGACAAACGCAAGGTCGACCCACGTACGATCAAGCCCGGCGCTGCTCAGATGAACGCCCAGCGAGCCCCTCAAGGCATTGTCAAATCCGAGGGCAAGAAGATCACATTCGACTGAGCGCTCATATATCTTAGCAATAGTATGGAAATTTATATACACAGTGAGGATTGGCCATGATACCCTAGGCTCAGAGCAAATAAAAGTCATTCAAGTCTTCCATCACCACCATTTTGGTCGATCCTATCAACGTCGATCTTGTATTGTCATTATGCCCACGCCCTTGTGTCCATCCGATTCAAGTCGATTGATCAACCCGCATGCCTCAAGATTATGTAAGTTGTTCTGGCGCCTAATGCCTCATAGCTATCTGGTATTAGGCAATCCCCGGCGCATAACGCCAATCGTTGACGCCATCATCAAGGCCATACCAAAGCGAACTTCGAAGTAGTAGCCAACCAGTTACATTTCAAAGCCGTAGCACATTTCGAATCTTCTGGCATAACGACCGCAAATCGGGACCACTACCAATAGGGGGTTTGTAGGAATACCTGCCGGGCCAATAGAGTCTACCAGTCCTGAAGAGGGATCCCATCCCATTTCGGCGGGGCCCACTAGAGGATTACCCCACTGTGCACACATAGTACATGAGCTCAGTTCATGCCGCAATAATGGGGAATACCATCGCAATTCGTGCCTTTCAGACTAGTTTTGTGTATATATTTCGACAAGCCGTACAGTTCTCCTCAAAGTATTCCAATCACATTCTCTTGAAGAAGTTTGTTTCGCCTCCTTGATCACGTTTATATCAAATCCTACAACATGTCTACCCCACCATCCGATCTGCCCCAAATGGAGTATCGATTTGTCGGTCGCTCTGGATTGCAAGTGTCCGCTATCTCTCTTGGAGGGTGGTTAACATACGGTGGACATGTACAGGATGGTTAGTTCTGCCTCAATTGCATGAAGGCGTAAGTAAGTGCTAATACATCTCGTTGTAGAGACGACATTCGCCATTTTGAAAGCGGCCTACGACATCGGCATCAACTTCTTTGATCTTGCAGAGGGCTATGCCGGAGGTGAAAGTGAAGCTGTTATTGGAAGAGCGATCAAGCATTTCGGCTGGAAGAGAAACGATCTCGTCATTTCCACCAAGGTACGTCTTGCGTGATGCGGTCCTTCAAACGCACAGCCCATACTTGATGGCTACAGCAAACGTCCCGTGATTGCAATTGATTCTTATTGAAGACGCAAAGAAAGCTAACGTAGTAATGAAAAGATCAACTGGGGAGCTGCCAACTCTGCTCATCCAGCACCCCGCAACCAGATCAACAACGTCGGTCTGTCGAGGAAACACATCATTGAGGGAACCGACGCAGCTCTTGCTCGTCTCCAGCTCTCCTACGTCGACATCCTCTACGCTCACCGTCCAGACAGGCAGACTCCTATCGAGGAGACTGTGCGTGCCTTCAACCACCTCATTGACCAGGGTAAGATCTTCTATTGGGGCACTTCTGAGTGGCTCGGGTCCGAGATTGAGGAGGCCTGGGCGGTTGCGGATCGCCTTGGGCTCGTGGGTCCTATTGTCGAGCAGCCTGGTTACTCTCTCCTTCGCCGCGAGAAGGTCGACGAGGACTTCAAGAATGCACGATTGTACGAGCGTCGGGGACTCTCGTTGACGAGCTTCTCGCCTCTTGCTGGCGGTATTCTCACCGGCAAATACGTCGATGGCATTCCTCCTGATAGCCGCCTGGCACAATCCAAAGACAAGTACATCCAAGGACTGAGCAAAACCGTGGGCAATGACGAATGGAACAAGCAACAGGAGTCTGTCAAGGGCTTGATCAAGATTGCCGAGAAGCTCGGAACAGACGTTGCAACATTGAGTTTGGCGTGGGTCTTGAGCAACAAGAATGTTGCCAGTGCGATCACGGGAGCCAGTCGCCCTGAGCAGCTGTACCAGACCATCAAGGCGGTCGACGTTGTCAAGAAACTCGACCAGAAGGTGCTGGACGAGATCGAGGCTGTCGTGAACAACAAGCCTGCCGAGCTACCTTTGAGATACGCATAATCGGGAGACATGGCGGTGTCACCAGCATAGAGAAATGATCAAACAAGCATTCTTCAGAAAATACGTATATTGATGCGAGTGGATCAGGCCAACGGCAGTCAAGCAAAAAGAAAGAGAGCTAGACTCAATTCGAAGTCAAGAGCAAAAAAAAGAAGCATTATGAAAAAAAGGCAAAAAAATATAAGAATCTGGCGATTAAGCCCGACGTGGGGCTCGACTATTGCTCTGTTAGTATTGATATCACTCATAAGGAACTCTGATGGAAACTTACACCCACAACCTTGAGATTAAGAGTCTCACGCGCTACCGATTGTGCCAGCCGGGCGGATTATCGCTTTGAAGATTTGATGTCTATTTCCCAATGTAAAACATTTATATATCCATCAAATTCAAAAACGAAAGGAATATTTACCCTACGGCAACACTCAGGAAGTGGGCCTCATAAAAATTTTTAAATGGTGCAGCCGTAGCGTCGAATTCGTAGTGTAATGTTTAGTGGTGGGTTCGCGAGAACCGAATAAAGTTATGTAAGCCTCCTAAATGACACTGATGAGAACAACATCAATCAATCGAATGAACTGGTAAATTCGGCTTTTTTGCTTCTACAAATATTTGCCGCCAGCAGTAGGGTGTACGTGTCGGCTGACTTGTCTACTGAGATGCGAGGGCAATTGTACGCAAGAACTGAATATTTTATGTACGTCGGTGAACTGATCGTTGATTTGATATCATCCATACCGTGTAGGAGCACAGTCTCGCCGAAGAACAGCATCATGAATGATGAAACCAACAACACATTGCACAGCGGTCCGAACACAATCACCTCACATCTAGTCTAGTTTCTAACTTCAAAAATCACTAGGAGATCTGTGGTTTACGTGATCGCGGCCAGAGGCCCAATGTGTACTTATACTGTAGCACGCAACGGAAGACTTGACTTGTCTTCCACAACCTCGAGGCAGTGATATCTTGTCACTGGATCTTACTAATACTATCGCAGCGTAAAACGGCATTAGTCCTAGCGATGTGATGTAGGCACTAAATAGTGATGCGTCCAGCTCATGAACACCGCAACGATGGCGTAGGATTCACATCACTGACTACCCAGTAACTGATGCTACAGCACGAAACATTCCAACCATGAAAGAACCTTGGACAAAAGGCTGCCTCTTTCGCATAGATCCAATGAAGACAACATCTGCTGTACCTGCGAACAGGATGAATTGCAATAGGTACATTAAGTAAGTCGAGCTTTGTGTATCCCGTACAGAGCTGCCCTATAGCTCATTCGAAGTGGTTATTCTTGACTATAAGCGAATCCAAAACGCCATACATGCTTTCCCGTTTCTAAAAGCGTAATAATTTCCTGCACATCAACCTCCCCGACACCAGGCTGGCCACTATAAGGGTGCAGCAGCCTCAATCGCAGTTGTTGCCTTGAACAACTTCGGGCTAGTCACGACGACTTCAACGGGGTATTTCCACTCCATGAACTTGGCCCAGCCTATTGCAAAAGTTAACAATCATCCCACGTAAGTTATATCCGACCACTGAGCGTATTGCTTACTCCAGAATGCACACTTCTTGCCAAAGTACTTTCCGATGTATGGAACAATTAACATTGTCAACAGCAGCTCCATTTGTTGTAAGGATTCCCTCCACTCGCGCTCCGCATCCGAGATGTATTCATCATCATCCAGCGAGGATTCTGTGGCGGAAGAGGGGAGAGAATCGATCTCATCAGCTTCGGAAGAGCTACCCGTCGGCTCAATGAAGGATGCGCTGTTCGACAACGACATGGCTGCGGGTGATGAGATTCAAATGGATGATGGGTGAGAGAGCGTATGCGCAGCGCCTTCCTGGCTATCGTTCGGGCATTGATGGTGGAGGTTTTGTAGAATGCGAAGGTATCGTCAATGCGGACGCGCTCAACAGGCCGCCTCTTGGTGATGTAGTTCGAAGTTCTGGCGCCTGCCAATGAGCGCCAGTCGAGGGACACATCACGTGATGAGTCTTGGCGAGAGATTGCGAAGTTCGACTCATCAAAGCGGCAAAGCGAACTTATACAAAAGTCCGAGAAAGTGTAACCCCACAACACAACATCCACCTACTTTCCACCCGGCCTCGACATCCAAAGTATATCGGCCATTCAGTCAACACACGATTCATAAGAAATACAGAAGCACGAACAACCCGCAATCATGGCAGACGTTGTACGTCATCCCCTCAATTTCGCCCCACGTTCAAAATACCCTCGACTAACTGTGCTCGCGAACAGGCCGACCCCCCCGTTGAGCGTAAGCCCCGCAAATCCGTAGCCTTCAGTGACGGTGCGACGATTGTCGACGGCGATGGAAACGTTACCGAGTCCACCGAGAGGAATGGCGACAAAGACAGTGCCGAATCGCATGCAGCTGGTAGGTCCCACGTTGAAGGTGGGCCTTCCGGTCAGGCAGTCCGCGGCCATTGCAGAGAACATGGCTAATGCAAAGTGTACAGATGCGGACAAGGAAGTCGACGAAGTAACGGACATGTTCAAGGTACGCGATGGGATTAATTACATCACGGGTGTATAACGGTTGGGCTAACTGCTTGTCAGGACTTGGCCAAAAAGAAGAAGAAGAAGCCCAAGAAAGAGGACGCCGATGACGCGGTCGCCGCCGACGGAGAATTCGACCCATCTGCGCTCAAGAGTACGTTATTAGAGAAAAGGCTTCATGGCGTGACGATACTGATACACCTGGTGTAGAGAAAAAGAAGAAGAAGGTCAAGGCAGAGGATGACTTCGAAGCCAAGCTTGCCGAAGCTGCTGGTGACAAGACTGAAGCTGCTGAGGAAGCACCTGCCGTTCAAGAGGGTGACATGCTCAAGGGAACTGGCATCTGGCAACACGATGCAGTGCAACCTATCAACTACGAACTCCTCTTGAACCGCTTCTTCAACCTCCTCGTACGTATCATTACGGACTGAGATGCGTTGCTCCTGCTAACAAAAGCTACAGCAAAGCCACCACCCCGATCTCGCTTCTTCTGGCGGCAAGAGCTACAAGATCCCTCCACCCCAATGTCTCCGTGAAGGAAACAAAAAGACGATTTTCGCCAACATCGCCGACATTGCGAAGAGGCTCAAGCGTTCTGATGAGCACGTCACCTCCTTCTTGTTTGCCGAATTGGGTACCTCCGGTTCCGTTGATGGTTCGCGCCGACTAGTCATCAAGGGTCGTTTCCAGCAGAAGCAGATTGAGAACGTTCTCCGACGGTACATTGTCGAATATGTCACTTGCAAGAGTAAGTTATCAAAGCAGATCAGATGTCGGCACTGAGACTTTGGCTGACATATATTTTCTAGCATGCCGTAGCCCCGACACTCAGCTCAATAAGGGAGAGAACCGGTTGTACTTCGTCACTTGCAACAGCTGCGGCTCCAGGCGATCCGTCACAGCGATCAAGACTGGTTTCTCTGCGCAGGTCGGCAAGAGAAAGAGACAGCAGGGTTAAGCCACTCGATGACGCGCACACTTCTTTGCACTTTCTTGGGTTAGACTGTAATCAGTACGGCCGCTTGCATGGTTCGTCACTGCGTGGATGCGAGCAGTTGTCTGTAATGGGATATGCATGTTTTTATGTGCATGTGCATGTGTATGCGTATGCTTATGCGTATATCTGGTCCTACGCAAGGGCGACAGCTACGAGAAAAAAAGGATGATAGGGTGGTGTGGTCTACATAACGATGGATTTTCATGAGTCAATACATGACCGAAACGACCCTACGTTCCTGCGGATTAGGGGCACAGATAGAACCGGGGAATATTGCAGAAAGAGCCATCTCAAGTAATGAATCCTGGGATTATTGCATTGGCACACTGAAATGAATGTTTTTGACGGACCAGCAACAGCACGATGCAAGCCTGTCGCTCTGTGTATGGATGGTGATGCTTCTTGGGCCGTTACACAGTGGGAGTGAGAAAAGATCAGGTATGTTATATTGCTGATCTTACTCGCATGTACTCCGTAATAGTTGTAATCATCTGCTAGAGTGTGTATTGGGGGTTACGAGTACTCATAGGTGTATTACTTACCTACATACCTCGTACTTAGGTGGGCGCTTAGAGGGGCGGCAAAAGTGTTAGCGAACAGGACGTTGCCCCTCATTCGCTCCCCTGCTATGGGTAGGTACATAGTACATACAATTGCAGTTTGGTATGTACAGTGTACCTAACTTTATGTACAAGATTATTACCAATATCTTGTACCTTGTACCTTGTCCTACTGTCCTACTGCCAACCATTGCGGGCGGGGGAGGCTGAGCAAGCTCTCGAGTCTGTTGGTGGACGCCAAACGCCGACTCCAACCTCCCAAGAGGGTCCAGAGCATCATCTCACCTACACAATCACGCAGCATACTATACTTATACCTATACCCATACCCATACCATACCCATACTCCGTACATACATAGCCGCCGCCCGTCTTGTCTTTAATCTCCTCCTGCTCTCGTTGTTCCCCTTCCACTCTCCTCATCTGCAACTACACTACCTACTCTGTACCTCCTACCAACCACTCCCCCGCCTCAACACCACCCACACGCACCACACACAGACTGACAGCAGGCATGTCGGGTTATGCTGGAAGTCCTCCTCCTGGACAGCAGCCAGGTGGATTCTCCTATCCTCGTACGAACCGAATCTTTCGTCCCATCCGGCAGTCTATCGAAAGGAAACTAATCTCATCATAGCTCCACCAGAGAAGTCAGGTTATGCCTCGCCTCAAGGTCCGCTCTCCAGCCGCCTTCCACATTTATGAGTAGGAGCTGACTTGAAGCGCAAACAGAGCAGAATCCGGGTCAGCAACAATACTATGCGCCCCCTCCTGGTGCTGCACACTACCCTCCTCCTCCTGCTTCGAACCCTTCCGCGCAACATTATCCCCCTCCGCCTCAGCAGCAACAGCAGCAGTATCCGCCCCCTCCAGACCACTTTCAACAACAGCAGCAGCAGCCGCCGTCGCAACAGCAACAACATCATTACCCACCGCCGCCTGGAGCTCAAGCCATAGCTGGTGCATCTCAAACCCCACAACCGCCCCAATATGCGCCCTCCCCATCTCCACACCCCGGTGTTCCCCCACAACAATCGCCGCTTCAAGATATCAAACGACAGCAACCCCAGCAACCCCAGCAACAACAACAGCAGCTTCCACAGTCACCCCAATTCACAGGTATTGGAAGCAATACCGCAGATGATGTTGGCACCTTCAATGGTGGGAGCTACAGGGTCAGTCATAGAGACACAAATACCATCTTGACCATTCAATTGGCAATTGGCTGCCCATTGACTGCCAGACCTGGTATGGGCTATGATAACACCCAGAAAGATACCCAGAGTGCTAATATTGATAGGCGCTATGATTGCTATGAGTCCAACAATGACACTCAAAGGACAAGTCAAGTTCTCATTGAAGAAGGCATTCGTTGGTGGCGACATGACTAAATCCCATTACACAGGCCCAGGGGAACTTCTCCTTGCGCCGGCATCCGTTGGTGATATTACTATAATCAAACTTGGGGGTAACGAACAATGGTCTGTGGGCAAAGACGCATTCCTGGCCTGCACTCAGGGCATTGTGACAGAATACAAGAGCCAGGGGTTGAGTAAGGCCCTTTTCTCAGGAGAAGGAATGTTTGTATACAAGATCAGTGGCCAGGGAATCCTGTGGGTCACTAGTTTTGGTGCAATCATTCGCAAAGATGTAAGCTTATGCGGTTCCTGTTGTCTTGCTGGTGCTAATACGCTTCCCCGCAGTTGCAAGAAAATGAGAAATACATTATTGACAATGGCCACCTTGTGGCTTGGAACTGCAAATACGTAATGGAGCGCGTAGCTAGTGGAGGTATAATCTCAAATATGTCGGCTGGAGAAGGACTGGTGTGCAAGTTTACAGGTATGTGATTGTGAATGACCTCCAGCATATGAAGACGCTGACGCCTTACCGCAGGCCCGGGAACTGTGTTCATGCAAACCCGCAACCCGCAGGCGTTTGGTCAATACCTGGCGGCGAACTCAACGCCTATAGGCTAAGGAGGTTGCATTGATCAGCATTTCGTACTTGCCCCTATTCCTTTAGTACAGAAGCTACCTACGCGCCGGAAAGATTCTACGACCACGTGTTTCGATTGGAAAAAATGTTTTCGCTGTACTCAATGATTTCTGTGGATTTATGAACTATTATTTTCCAAGCGCGGAGTTGGATCGGATCGATTGGACAGCTATTCAAACCCAGTGTGATTTTGTCAGTTGCTCTGCTTTGTCGTCACTACCCAGAGTTCATCTCCCATCTAAAAATGACCTTCCCTCACTGACCTTAGCTTCTATAATATCCAGACGATGACGAGGCTGACGTGAGAGGAAAGTTAGTAGCGGGCCAGTTGTATGTGAACATGCACTTTCTATCCCCATAACGAAACTGTCCAATTGAACGGATATGTCAACTACTGCCACCGTATAATATCAGCACAGACGTGACCAATACTTTGTGTTCCCGATCGATTGCTTCTCCTGGGACGAGCACAAGAGTTTCCGGGTTGTGAAAGTTCCAGTGGCTGTATGTACAATGATCGGTATACATCTACGTCTCCGCCATTTCGGCAAAAGATGGCAGCAACTGCACCTTAGGCTCAGAAGGCAGTCCCACACGCTCAGTAGGTCAAGAACCAATAATCTTGGTCAACCCTGAAGAACTTATTACAAATGACAGAGTGGTTCCGTGTACTCTATTGGTTCTATGCACGACATGATTGCCTGGGCACATACAAGCGAGACTGAACAACGGTATCTGCAACACCTGATCCAACCCTACATCTCACCAACCATGCTCATATCAACTTTTCCATCCGGCACTTCCGGACATCTTCCGCTTGAATAGCCTTTGCTCCGGGGTCTAGCAGTTGAGGGGTTGATCATTTCATGGAAAATCAAGTATGAGGTCATGAGGTCTTGATGTATGAGGACCTGTTCTCCAACACTTCATACAATGTATTTGAAATAGTACTAGTACTGCACTGCTGAAATATTTACTTATGCAGGAGGCGCTGGCAGATCTTTAAACTGCTTAGTTAGAGGACCCTCATGAGGCGGGATTGCACGAGGTCCGACAACGTAGTCGAATGTACCGAATCTCTGGTTAAACATATTATCTTCCGGCCCAAGCACAATCTGATTCTTGGGATTGAAGAAAGTATACGGGAAGCCAAGCGAGAAACCATATGCACCATCGATCTTCTCGATATCCTCATCCGTGAGCTTGAGCTGAAGCGCCTGGATGTTTCCCTTCAGATGATCAATCTTTCGACCACCTACGATGGGGAACACGTAGGGCGATTTGTGCATGACATATGCCAAAGCAACGGAAGTGATGATTGTGTCCTTCTTTTTCGCGATCTCCTCCAGTACCAAGCTAACTTGCTCTTCTTTTCCAGTCAGGACGCTTTCGAGATTTCTTCCCTCTTTGCCCCAGAGCTCCTTGGGCTTGAAGTAGCCACCACCGAGGGCACCCCACGGTGCGAGTGCCATGCCTTCCGAGAGAGCCATGGGAATGATTTCACGCTCGAAGTCACGTTCCGCGGCGGACCACCGACCTTGGTAGACAGAGAACTGGCGAAGTCCGTGCTCGCGAGCGTAGCAATTCATCTTGGTTACAACCCAAGCTGGGGCGTCGCTGATGCCGAGGTAGATCACCTTGCGGGCGACGACTAGGTCATTCAAGGTGTGCATGATCTCGGGGATGGACGTTGTGGAGTCCCAGAGATGAACGTAATACTGTATGCTGTTAGCCGGACAACTGTACTATGCTAACATATCGAATAGAGCTAACCAACCAAGTCAATGTAAGAAGTCTTCAATTCCCTGAGACTCCTCTCGATACTCGTATGTATGTTCTTTGAGCTGTTTCCTCCAAAGTTACTCTGTATAATTCCCTCTTCGTGGCCTCTCTGTGCACCCGTGAATTTGGTGGCGATGACCATCTCGTCCCTGTTTCCCCTCGCTTCCATCCATTCTCCAAGCCACTGCTCGCTTTGTCCGTTCTGATAGTTTACGGCCGTGTCGATGAAATTGCCGCCTTGGGAATAGAAGTAGTCAAGCATCTCGAACGATGTTTCCTTAGAGCACTCGCCCAAGAAACTCTTCCAGTTGTCGCCGAAGTTCATGGCTCCGAGGCATAGTGGCGAGACTTTCACGCCGGCAGTTGGCGAGAGGATTCTGTGACGGCCAAGTGCGGAGACTGGAGCTGGTGGAGGACGATTCATTTTGATGAAACAAAGAGCCAAAGATGTATATTGTCCAGATGTGATGGAGTGAGTAACAAGAAGTGATGTAGTCAAGTATTCGGTATCTCTGTAGAACTGACGGACTTGTCTCCACGATTGAGGCTTTCCTTTATACCTGTGGAAACCACCCCCTACTTGAAATGAGTCTCACCACATTTAATCCCTACAGAACGTAAAGTCCATGATATCCCCATCGCCCGAGAATGCAGTTCGTTTGGAACGGCGATAGCGACGTTTATCCCCGAGTCTCATATCCCCCGCTTTCAACGCCCGACATTTATCGCACATGTCGATCCATCCCGGATTGCTTTATTCGATCGGAGCAAGCAATTGTCTTTTGGTCCGAAAGGGACGAAAAGAATGAATCCCGAGATGTATTACAAAAGTCACCGGGCATGTTGAAGACAGTGACAACACTAAACCAAAAACGTCATCACTCAGTTCTTTCATCATGGACGTCATCCATCTCCTTATTTCACTGATTCCCAAATGTGCACATTGTTTTTATGCCAATAATTCGTGCTCATATCTCAATCTCCAAGAAAGTCGATATTCCATGACAATGACGTTTTGCCAAAATGGGTAACCCTACTACTTTGACTCCATAGCTCTTGAGATGCCTTCAACCGATATGTTCTCCATCTCTAGGAACAAATTACGCATTTCTTATATCACTTCATCATCCCTTTCTCTCTTTATCTAACAGATATTTAACAAATAAATCCAAAACTCCACAACCCCACACGACTACAAAGATGTCAACAATGCCACTTCGCATGTCCAAACTCACTAGTCCGTTAAAGACGGCATCCCTAATCATCTCACCACGTCTTTATTACCCAACTCGCAGTCTCACGACCTTGGTAGATTCTCACTTCATCTCCCAAATCACCGCCGCTGAAAAACTAATCACCAAGCAAGACGAACCCTTGAAAAGCGGCCCCACCGCCCGCGCCCAGAGCCATGCCGGCGGGGAGGTCACTTCGCAAGTCGTCCACGATATCACCATGGGGGAGCGCACCGTCACCGGCCTCGACTCCCCCGCGCAAGGCGGGTCCACCTCCATAGCACAGCAGATTCTCGCGCAGGCCGTAGGAGCCACTGCCGGCGGGACCCAATCCGCATCTCGTTCCGGTGTCCTTGATAGCGAAGCCGTCTCCAAGATCACGGAGAAGGAGAAGGATATCATAGGTTCTAGTAACCCGGTCAAGAATGGTCCGACTGCTAAAGCAGAACGGTATGTTGGAGAGCCCATAAATAGTCGGGTACTTCATGACATTACGGGGGAGTGAGAAGAAGATCACGGGCGGAGCACGAATGAAGGGGGGTCCTACTGCAGCGGCTCAGAGCTCGTTGGGAAGAGTCGAACCTGAATGGAACCTAGATGCCTTTCATGTTGTGTCAAATGGGGTTTGGTATGGGCGCTTGGTCGCGAGAACTACGTTGCATAATGTGCTGTGATATACTCTTTGATGTAAAGACAATGACGACGACTAGACCTGCCAAGTTACTGTTATTGTTGTTCATTGTCAATCCGTGCGAGCTCAGGTATCGACATTGTTCATTCACTTCACTCTTCATCTAGCAGGAGACACGTTGTAGTACCCCTGTTTAAATTGAATTTAAAGTCAGGTCCTCAGCCCCAACTAGAATTCTTCGTTTCGCAACAGTAGCCAACTTTTCGGATCCGCAACCTCAAAACAGAAGATATTCTCTCGAAATTCAAGCCAAGGAGTCAACAACAAACTTTCTCTAATTTGAGTATCGCGCTCTTACACGAGAGTTTTCGTCCACCTCCGACACGTCATCGGCCAAGGTGCGCGAAATGTCGCTCATACCACTTCCTCTGGAAATCCTGACAGCCTGTTTCTATTACCTGATCTCCGATGTAGGATTGGAAGAAATATGGAACATAAGGCCCACGTCGAAGCAGTTCGCTCAAGCCATCGATTACGTTGTCTTTGCGAGCCAACCGCTGAAATCCTTTGGCCGATCGGAACGGACTGAACGCATACTTCGTATGAACAAGGTGCTCTACATGTCCTTTCGGGTGAACAATCCTCTTGATTCTTTGACTATTTATTACGATCAAGTGAGGAGGACGGCAAGAACCTTGGCTCGAATGAGCAAACAAATTAATCCCGAAGAAGACGAACGCAAACTTTATAAAGAGTTTACCTGGTCGTTCTGTGAGCGACTAGCGGAACTAAAGGGGTTTGACGTGTTCGAGGAGGCAAGCTGGGCACGACCGACACCGGCAACGGTTGCGGCATTGAGTCAAGATGAGACCGTTGCGGCAGCGCTTACTCTCAGCAAGCCTGACGTTGCAACGCGGTTGCTGGAGGCCGCATCGGTTGTATATGAAGGCTTGATCTTTGGAAACCCACTAACTGGAGCGGCATCTCACGGTTGTCCTGTACTCGTGAAGACGCTACTCGAAAAAATGGATTTCACGTCATGTTTCAAATCTGATTGGTTTGGAATGAGCGAAGAGATGATGGAGTTCAAACAACGTTCTGGCTTTGTGGGGGGTCTTGGACTTGCCATCAAAGCTGGTCATGTCGAAGTCGTACAGATCCTCACAAAGTGGCTGAAAGACTGCGAGGTTACTTTTCAAACTAGAAACTACGGATTCTTTTGGCTTCTGGACGCTGTAGCAACTCGTAACGAAACTATTGTCAAGGAACTTCTCGCAATGAAGTTCTGCCCAAGAGCCAGTTTTCTTCGTGGTCTTCAGTTTTGCTGTTCGATCGAATACTTTAATTCACAAGAATCCACGCTGAAGGACCCATATGCAAGACTCCCAGAAATCCAAGTGAGTCCAGAACGGATAGCTATATGGAACCGTTACGAGGCTATTATTCGTTGTGTAATCGGACTGAGCGAAAATTCTCCAAGCGACGAGCTTCTGCGTCCACTTGGATGCCGGGCTCTTGAAGATGCACTCAAAGGGGAACACGATGAAGACATAGACTTTGTCCTTAAGCTTGGAGTCGAAACTGGCTTGTGGGATGTTTCTTCTGCAGAAATGCTTCGAGGTTTGCTGCACAGTCCCCTAGAGGATGGAAATCAAAGTGTCGCGAAGCGCTTGAATCAAGCATTGCAAGATGCGGATTCTCAAGCTAAAGGCGGTGCTTGAGCTGGCTTCTCATTGAATACAGGAATGGAACATCAAGCATTAATGATTTAGCGTTTTTTGGTGGCTATTCAGTCTTGTCCCTGTCTGCATTTCTTTGGTTATCTCCTTCTTGCTTCCCTGCACAATACTAAGACTTTTCAATAGCCATTGTTCAATCAATTTCTTCTGGCAAAAAGCCTGGCTGGTTACTTTTGGGTGGAGAGGGGAGGCTGACATAAAGGACACATATGTTGCAAAAGCCATTTCGGATGTATTGACTCATTCCTATTGTACGATACCCGGCACACTTTCTAACGGATACAAAGCAGCCTTTGGATTTGCCACAGAAACTATCCAATGTCGTCACAAACGAGCTTGTTACCGAAACTGGGATGTAGGAATCATAAAACCTGGAGGAATGCTTGATATCTGAAAAGAAGTACTGTTACGACTCCCTTACAGTAAGGCCTTAAGCCGAATGTGAACACACTTTTGGGCAAACTAGGGTAGATCACTAGATAACTCCATGAATCCTCCAAGAAGCGCAAAGGTAACCCTCCCTATAACCTAAGATATTCCCTCCTATAATAATTCATGAGTCTAGTTTTACTCCGTCTTGGAGATTTGATTCAAGATAAGGAAGAGAAAATGAATCTGGATGGAGCATACTTCGCCCTATGGATCTTTTGTACGCAGCGAATCCACCTTTGGAAATGATGATTGCACTGTGCATTTTATTTCACGAAACCATTTCACTACACTGAATTTGAAGCTATAAAATTGTTGTCGCTATCTTACTCCTAGGTCGAGTCATGCTTCGATCATTCATTTTCCAAGTATGAGCACCCATTGTAACGGCTCTTCACTATGCGAAGAGACAAACCGAAACGATGGGGATGACCGATATTTTGAATCACGCGTGCTGCCTTCCACTTAACATGTTCCATAACCGAGTGTCCAACTATCGCCCATGGTCTTGACTTCGCGGTCGATACCTGTCAGTGTATCTTCTATGTCGTATGCGAGTGGATGCAGAAGACCGACTCCAGTGTCTAATTTCATCAGCAAACCTAATGTAATGTCTTACCCCCCTGGGAAGAGACTTGCCTGTTTGCACCTGCCTCAGATCCTCTTTCGGTACGTTCGAATCGGTTTTGGTGATTGGGTTCATCATGAAGTGATGGATTATCGCTGGACAGCGACCGGCGAGAGCTCAGCCTCGGACTGCTGTGTTCACTGCTTTCGGGGCGCTTCATTGTTCGACCATCTACGGGATTCTGACGAAGAGAGGAAGACGTGTTCTCTCGTTGGCCTGAAAGACGAGTGGTTCTTGGAGAATTTGTAGTTGATTGAGACTGCCCATTACGAACGTTCTCTCTATTCTCGACGCTCACTGGTGAGCGAGAGCGGTCGGAGTGTGCATGCCGTCGCCTGAATGCCGAGCTGTTGCTTAGTTCTGCGTTTCTATCTAAAGCATATCTCCAGTCGCGAACTGGACCGGGTTGTTGGTCAGGACGGTAGCGCTCAGGCACGGTGCGCGCAGCATCGAGGTGTTTTCTATACCAGTCACGCTCGAAATCATTCCGAGGCAGACTTCCACTCTTGATAGCATCCCGTCGACGTTTCAATGGGACAGGGTTGCGGCGTTTTGGCTTGACGCCTACCCTGGATGGGTAGAAAGTGTCAGTCCTGTGCCTGTGGGCAAGGTGAGATTGACCACGAGAGCTGTAATCGCTTTCCTCTCGCGAAGTCTTCTGGTTCTCGTGACCATCCATTTCGGTGAACTAGAAGAATCCGTAAATGTCAGGAAGCAAGGAAGTAGGATGATCGTCGGCCTCGTGTTTGGCAGGTATTTCGAATTGTGAGAGAACAGGCGTTCGCAAGAAGGCGGCAGTGGCAAAACTGGTAAAAGAATGCGAGCGCTCACTGACGCAAAATCAGAACCCGAATTCTCCAAGTATGTTCATAACTCGATTCAGATTTACATGGAGTAATTATCCAAAAGACCATACAATGATATGGAGCGGCAGCAGGTGAAATCGGAACAAGCAAATGAAGTGAGGTGATTTGAAGGGCATCGTAGAAGTCCGTGCTTAACTTGCACGGTATCTTGCCTGTAGCAGTAGAGGTACATACTGAATGCATGAAAATGGTGCACATTGTCATTGTTATGATCAACAATGAACAACGTCGCGACGCGAAGGACACGAAGAACACGAGGATATGGTAGCAGCTTCCATTTGAACTTTTTGAAGAATGAAGGTTGAACAGAGATCCATATGCGCATCAGAGTGCGAGCGAATACTCGACAAAAAGAGTGAGGGGACCATGAAACATACGTCCATCATTCACAGCATAACTCATATATTATCATTCACTCACACATCAGACTCATCACAACCTAAAATGGACCCGCTTGATCCATTGGAAATCGGACCACGAATAGCAGCCGAAATTCATATGAGGCATTACAACGAAGACAATGTGAAGAACACTGGATCGTAGAGGAATACTACCGGAGTGTAAATATCATATCTCTAGAGTCTAGCAATGACTTCTCGGATGTTCACGTAAAGTTCATGCAGGAGTCCAAATCGTCTTTGGCAGTTGCGGAAGGGCAGGACTCCGTTCTGACACACATGCGCCTCTGCATTGACAACATCCTCGTTCAGCCAGTCAAGGTGAAGACACTCGGCATTGAGGGCACTAATTGTTTGAACAAGGACAGGATTGAGGAGCCATATCTAGTAGATGGTGAAATTTTCAAGAAAGGCACCAACATGCACTGCTAGAAATCATGGTAGGTAGAAGTCTCCCAGCATTTCGTATAAGAAAGAAATTCAGGAAAACATTGGATAGGATTAGGGTATCGTGTACGTGAAGGAAACTAAGAATGATCCAGGAATAGGCAAACCCAAAAAGAGTATCCGCTGCAAGAATTAAAGTGTATATACACTGAAGGAGAAGGGAATGAAAGGTAGTTTATGTTGTGACGCCGCGTGCCCGCAGGTGGTCTGCTCCGACTGTATCATTTTGAATTACTGCCCAGTCCGCTGTATCGCTTTTTGATCTGGAAAACCCGACTTCTTCGTCATTCGCCACCTTTCCTGACTCGAATTCTTGCTCACTGGTGTATAGGAGCGTGTTGCTACTAACACTTGCGCGCCGGGTGCTTTCGTTGAGATCTTCATTGTTTTCACGACTTGCGTCGAATGCGTTTGGGACTAGATGTTTTGTAATGCCACCTTCCTTTGCTTCCTCCTTGATCGGGCCAGCAACATTGTCAAAGTGCTGTTTCTTAGTTCTCTTCTTCTCGTTCTTCTCTTCCCACGTCATTGACGTATCTGGGGCGGTTTCGCCTCGTTTCAATCCTAGCGCTGGCTCTGATAGTACTTGCTCAGCTTGATTCACCGGCTCTGAGTGGTGCTTTTTTGGTTGTGCTTTCGGCACGGCGCTCGTTGCAGGCTTTCGCCCAAATGTCTTTCGTGGTACAGGGTTTCCCTCTTTTCGTTGGGACGTTCCCAGTAAAGCAGCACGGATACCAGATTTATGGATTTTCTTCTCCTCGCTGATCTGAGATTGCATGGACTCCCAACGCTCAGCTACTTGCAATTCGATCTTCTGTCTTCGAGAGATATCAGGGTCCTCTCCAGTCACATCGCTATTCTTTTTACGGGATCGGCGAGGCCCTAGTTCCGATAGCTCTTTCTGACCTTGGATTATGCGCGCTTTGCGGATGAAGGTCGTTGGCTGATACTTTTTCCGGCCTTCTTCGTCAAGTCCTTTCATAGTGTAGGCGCCCGGTCCCAGTATAGCAGCAATGTCCTTGAGCACGAAGCCTCCAACGCCCATACTCATTCCTCTCAAACATCCTAAGAGACCACCGTCCTTTGCCCCTGCAATTGGCTGACGCCACAATCCAGTGACTCCGTCGTGGATGCCGTAAACAAACTCATCGCGTCCAGCGCGAATGCCGGAATGAAACCCGGTTACCCTTGGTGGTCTCCGGACAGTCTCATCGCCGTATAACCTGGGGGCATTATGGAAGCCTTTTGTCACCGCAAGAGTAAAGTTCATCGGGCTCTTGATGATGGCACTACCTGTCTTTCTGACACCATGCCCGGCCTCTTGCGCGAGCTCTTCAGCAAGCCAATTCTCGGGCTCAACGGCATTTGATAATGTCGATTCCTTTCTATCAGCTCCCGGCCGATTTCCCGTCCCTTCATTCTCTTCCGATCCATTGTTTGAAATGACTGCATTATCGGCCTTCTTAAGGAGTTCCTTCTTATGATTTTCACTTTGCTTCAGTTTCCATCTCTTTTCGTAATATTGCTCCCTTTTCCTAACGCTCTTTGCCATCTTGACTGGCACTAGTCCTACACCAGTGAACACGTCTTCAATGGTATCAACGATAACCCCCCAGCCACCAGTCAATGGCTCACCAGGACCACCGTAATCATTCCATTCATTGTGCCTCAAGAGTCGAAGTTCGTTCCATTTGATCTTCTTCCACTCCACGAGCAATTCTGCTGCAAGCGGGCATATCTGCAAACTGGTCCCTTTCAACTTCCATGTGGCTACTCTGTCATCGAGGATCTGGCACCGCATATTGCGCTCTCCTTCAAGGCGCAAACTACGATGAAAAGACCGAACCGCATTTAACGCGCCATCGCCCTCTTTAGCAATACTTTCGGCAATCTTTCCAACATTTTCACGAGCCTCGTCTGTCAGGCACTGCTTGATGCCCTCCGCAAGCTTTTCAGCAGTGAGTTTCTTGTAAGGTATGCAATCGTGCGCGCCAGCCTTTGCTTTCGAAACCATTGCTCCCCAGAAGGGTTGATCTCCGAAGAACGGGACAATCATGGTCGGCTTACCGCATTTGAGTCCAATAGCTGTTGTTCCAGCGCCGCCATGGTGGACAACTGCGCTGACCTTCGGGAATAGCCAATCATGTGGGGTATTATCCAGCATAAAGATATTATCCGGGCAGTTGTCGTTGCTCCCGAAGCCACCCCAGCCCTTACTGACTAGAGCTCGGACGCCAGCAAGCCTGACGGCCTCGAAGATGAGCTTAGTGAATCTGTCAGGGTCGTCCACAACAATAGACCCGAAACCAATGTACACTGGCTTCTCACCAGCTTCAAGAAACTTAACCAAGTCTTCTGGAGGTTTAAAAGAGGACGCAAGATCAAGAAATACGAATCCAGCTATTTCGATCTCTGAACCCCAGTCGTGAGGTTTAGGAACAAGTCCCGGGGACCACTGTCAATTGTTACTTCACGACTAGTGATCAAAGTAAAGGATGGCGTACCATATAAGTGTAAGGGACACGTAATCGAAAAAGTTGGCCCGGGGCCCATAATGTTGAAACTTCTTCAAGCATCAAGGTCTTCGCCCTGAATCGATTGATCAAATCGCCCAAGCCTTGCCAGGTCATCATTTCGACTAATGGGTAACTCATGAAATTTGTATATTGTGAATCGACGTTACTTTTCTTGACGTTTGCAAGGGGGTGAGGAAATTTGACGGTAGGGCTGTATGGAAACCTGCCATGTGTTAGAATAGTATTGAGGGAGATGAAAATGGAGGAACATACGTAAACATCATGTGTAACGGGATCCCCAGCCTCTCGGCGATGTGCGGAGGAGCGAAACTTGGCGGATTGGCAATTATTGCGTCGGCAATGAAGGGGTGTTTGTTACCCATCATCTTAAGATTTGCCTTGTCACCTTCATCATCCGTAGAGTTTATGCACGCCCTCCACATTCCTTGAAACATGTCGTACATGGCTGCTCTCCTTCTGCCAATCTCGCCTTCTTTTATAGTGTCCAGACTAGGAATTAGTCCTGGGTTTTTTACCATGAAAGCCATTAGTTCGGACGGGTCGCCACCAACAGAGAAAAACTCTAGGCCAGAATCGCCCTCGACGAAATTCTTGAACGCTGGATGTGTCGCTATTCGTACGCGATGTCCATAATCCTCCTTCAGAATTTTTCCGATTTTGAGAAACGGTTGGATATCTCCCCGCGATCCGATGACTATTATGACGATGTTGAGTTTGACACGACGCTTTGTATCTTCCATAGGGTCACCACCGGACGAGGTCTTGATAGACTCATTGACGGATGAAGTGGCACTTTCAACGTTGTCCGCGCCTATAAGGTGTTTCTTTAGTCCCGCCCCCAATGTCTTTGCAAAATACCCGCTGTTGACTGATTCGGTGATGTTCAATTTGAGACGGCCATCCCGCTTCGAAACTTTGCCCGTGGAATCAAAGCCCTCATTGGTGAGTCGGAACTTGGAGAATGGACCTTCCAACCCTCGATGAGACCTTTTCGAGACGCGATCTGAGAATTGCGTTTCTTGCCTAGAGTCGAGGCCCCGAGTATGTTTAGATTCATCTTCATCAGAGGAAGAACTGGAATCGGAGGAATATGGATCGAATGTCAGTGTAGTTTGCCTCTGAGCTGGCGGGCGTCGTCCGGTTGACTCAGTGCGCTTCCTGCCCAATAAGGAACTGCGTGTAGTTGGTTGTGGCCGGTCTGTGACTGACTTTGGGGCCATGAGCGGACGAAAATTCGTTCCAGTGATATCCGTGTCGGCTCTTGAGAGGGAATTGGGACAGTGCCCAGTGGTCATGCGCGTGCTGGGGCCAGCGTGTGTAACTGGCACCTCTTTTGCTCCAGTGCGCGGGAAGGTAGTGTCCTCGTCATTTTCTGTAGAAGGCTTTGAGTGGTTTTTATGATTGCGATTCTCATCGTCGCCGCTACCGCTACCGCTACCGCTGCCATTACCATTATCATTGCCATTGTCTTGGGCTGGGGGTTGTGGTTCTTCAAGAGAAACAGCTTTGAGGAGGACATTGGCATCGTCTCGAGAGACACTCGCCATGGCGAGAGGAATATGAAGAAGAAGGCCCTCCTGATTGGGGAATGAAGATGACGATGATCAGATATAGCTGCTGTATGAATATTTGAACGGTTCGTTAGGTCACGGTCGATAGGGTAGAGAATGGAGGAAGGAAGGGAGAGAGGGAGGGAGGGAGCAATGAAGGAATAAATGTGAGTGCGAAAAGAACACAAGAGGCTTCCAGGTTCACAAACAGAACGGTGAACCATCTAGGTGGTGGTGGTGGTAGTGGTAGTGGTAGTGGTAGTGGTAGTGGTATCATAATTGTTGTTTTGTTGGATCGACACGGCTCGTCACGTACGTCACTATGTATAAGCCGTCCCTCCCGCCATCCGCCCATCCACCCTGTGCCTGGGCGTGCCTGGGCCCGGGCGTGCCAGGCACAGATAGGTGGGCGACCTAACCCAAGCTGGATTGGCTCTGGGACCTGGCCTTACAGGGCTACAAGACAAACCACCACGAGGTTACAAGGTACGAGATACCTAGTAAATACCTCGGAGATACTTACAAGCCAACTGCGAGTACCTGGGAGGACTAGGTATCTCAGTAAGTATTGACCGGTACCTGCACGAGTTCAAGCCTCGATCGTGATGTCACGTCATATCAGCCAAACTCATACTCATACTCGTAGACTGTAGCCATACACTTCCTCGTAGGCAGGTAGTTCCAAGGTAACTACGCCGTACAACTTCGAAGACTGGCCCAGAGCATCGCTAGTACTCCTTTAATTACTTTTACCGCCCGCGCCCAACATGATTTGACGGGTAAATGGTTGGACCAAGTCCAAAACATCCATTCCGCGTCCATCAGCGCTTGTCGTCATCATCATCATCTTCTTCTTATACTTGTTCTTCTTCGTTACATCCACTCCTCGTTGCATTTCCGCTCAATCTTGGTCCAGACCACAGCGGCCACGGCCACGGCACCCCTGCTCTTCACAACTTATGATACCCAATCTTCTCAAGTACGGCGTTGACCATATCCAAATCCATACGCTACTGCCTTGAAAATATCAAAAGCCCATCCAGCCCATCCGCGAGCAGCCTCGACGGAATTGATCAGTTTGATGAAGTTTCGATCGAAGATGTCCACTTCCTCCCAATCGTCGGCGTAGGCCTCCCACACTGCTCGCTCCTCGCTGCCCGGTACGTTCTTAGACACAATGCTCCATTGCCCATCTTCCCCTTGCTTGACGTGCATTTTGGGTCCGATTACTAGGGCGCGCCCGAGGATGCGAGAGTCCGCCACGAAGCGCGTCGCGGCGTCGAGGACGTCTTCTGGTTTCCCCATGGCACCACCAGCGAGTGCGAGCCTGGCTGGCGTAGTGATGATTGGCGTATCGATAAAATATGGACAGAGCAGGTTGATACGGATGCCTTGAGGGTGAGAAGTAGCTCGCAACGACCGGAACAAGCCTAGGACGGCGTGCTTTGCAGCAGCATACTGAGGCTGCATGACAATAGGTGCGAGCGAGGCTACCGAGCCGAGCAGCAACAGGTGGCGGTCTCTCACCCTTTCCGCGGGCTTCGACTCCATGCTGCATGCCTCCGAACCTGGGTTCTTGGGCAGCCAGTAGTATGCCAAGTGGGTAGTGTAGAGTACGCCTGTCAAGTTCACATCCATGATCTTGAAGTTGGGCTTCTGGGGCTCGGCGGCCTCCATGTTTCGAGGGCTTTGTACTGGGTCTGCCCCTGCGATACCAGCATTGGCGACCACCGTGTCAATCCCACCGTGAGGACTCAGCTTGGCTGCCTCCTTGAAGAAGTTGACCTGTGATTGCCAGTCTGTCACATCACAATGCACAAAGTGGGCATTGCTTTGTCCAGTCTCGTTCTGCAGGTCGCGCGCAAGCTGCTGGCCACCTTCGACGTTGATGTCCCCAAGCACGACTGTAGCCCCATTAATCGCCCAGTGTCTCGCGAAGGATGCGCCGAAACCACTTGCGCCTCCCGTTATAACGATTGTCTTTCCCTTCACCCAGCCAGCTTCGTATGGTATCGTAACATCGATGGGAGGGGATTGCCGTATGGCAGCGGATAGGCTTTCGGGGTTGTTCGACGACATGGTGTACGTTGGGATGGAGGATAGAGTGATGACACCAGTGTAAAGGTGCGGTCTATATGTTCTTGTGGCGTTGGAGGGATGGAGTGGAGTGGAGACGTTTTGATGATGATACTACCTCGTAGTACTCCGTATATATTATATATACTGTGTGAAGGTGGGTGGCCTTCGTGTTTCGTGGGAGGGGACCAGCGTTGCGTGCGGGTGCGAGGTCGTTACCAGCTGAATTCTAGGTAGTTAACTATCAGCAGGAAGCCCAGCCAAGGCGGGTGTCGCATCCTAGAAGTAGTAAATTCCTAACTGCATGTACATACATACCTATAACTACCCAGTCATCCAGACACCTAGGCAAATCGTTAGTGCTTGCGAGATCGGTTGCTTCGTTTCCTCTCCCATGTACAAGTACGAGTATGCATATGTATACGTGTCTGTGTGTGGGTGTGAATGTGCGTGTAACTACGGAGTCAGCCCATGATTTTTGCCTCCTATTATCATTCGGATCAATTCTTTGCAGGAGTATGATTCGAGATCTGTGCGATGCAATTGACTTGAATCCAACAGAGAAGATAGATTCGTGGGTGAAAAAGGGGACAAAGAAGTCTTGATGAAAGGGAGAAATGAGGGGGTGGATACCTGGTAGATACCCTTCACGACCTAGGTACCTATACCCATGACCAGGTAGTCTGGAGGTACTGTGCAATGTACAAGTACATACATGTACATATACTCCGTACAGTACTCCGTAGTAACAGTACCCTAACAGCTAGGTACATGGTTACTCGTAACTAGGAGGAATACTTGTGCTGATCAGCGCATCCCCATCCCTGTGTACCTAATTAGCTTCGGCGGCTTTTTCCATTTGTTTTCTACAATAATCAATTGGTCAATAATTTTCCAATAACTGCTTTGATATTTATTGTTTACAAGACTACGAGTACGTGAAGAATAAAAGGTCAGGCATGGCCTTCAGGTAGTTAATACCTAACGTCCTAGGTAGGGTATACAAGTGACGAGTAATGTGACCGGCCCGACCCTGACATTTTTGTAACTCGTAATTTTTACCTGCCCCTCCAACAGCTCGCCGTCTTTTTCTTCTTCTTCATTTTCCCTTCTCCCTCTACTGCTTCTACTCTCTCTGTTTCCTACATAGGTACCGAGTTGAATCACGCGCAATTCCAATTCGCTCGCCATGTCCTCCGCCTTCAAACCCCCGGCGCTGGACGTCTCTCCCATCCACGTCGTAGCCACCATCTTCTACAAGTCCGATTCTCCCTCGCATTTTGTCCCACACCCAGATGCCTCACCGCGTACTACCACCGATGCCCTTCCATCCGCTTCTCTCGACGGCCTCAAGGACGGCGCCGTGCCCACCGAGAACATCTCCGCCTATCCTCTCGAGCCTCCGACACCCGGCCCAAGCCCTTTAGACCATCTTTACGGTTCCTACGTCTCCCCCAGCTGCCTGAACGACTTCTTCAATACTCTGGCTCAGATCATACCTGGCCTCCAACAAGAGACCGTTCGGAGTCGGAAGCTGGAGAAGAGCAAGTTCTGCAGGGTGGTGGAAGTCACGTTCCCACTCCCAAGTGCAACCACCGTGACAGTGGAAACCCTCCGGAGGCATGAAGCCGTATCGCGGTTCGAGCGCGAATGGAACGTGGAGGCCGTGTTCCAAATTGATAATGTATACAGGCGGTACAAACGGTTCGCCGTCTTCGACATGGACTCTACGTTGATCCAGCAAGAGGTCATTGACGAGATAGCCTCGCTCATCGGCGTCGAAGCCCAGGTATCTGCCATTACTGCTGCGGCCATGAACGGTGAGTTGGACTTCGAGGCCAGCTTGAGGAAACGATGCGCGCTGCTCAAGGGTGTGCCTAGCACAGTATGGGAAACCCTCAAGCCACGGATAACTCTGAACGAAGGCGTCGCAGATTTGATCAAGGCTTTGAAGAGATTGGGATTCAAGACCGCGGTGCTGAGTGGCGGATTTACCCCATTGACTGGCTGGATGGGTTCTCAGCTCGGACTCGATTACGCCTATGCAAACCATCTCGTCGTCAGCGAGGATGGACAGACGCTCACCGGCGAGTTGACAGGCGAGATCGTCCACGCCCAGAAGAAGCGACAGCATGTTCTTGAAATATCAGAGCAGGAGGGCATCCCTCTGGATCAAGTCATCTGTATAGGTGACGGTGCGAATGACTTGCCCATGATGGGCGTTGCAGGATTGGGTGTTGCATTCCATGCCAAACCAAAAGTGCAAATGCAGGCTCCAGCCAGGCTCAATTCGAAGAGCATGTTGGACCTGTTATATCTCTTTGGTATAACGAAGGAAGAACAGGAGGAGTTGCTCAGGTAGCATCCATTCCTCTGTACAGTTCACCTCAATCTCCTTCAGCCTCTATTCTTCCCAGTCAGTCTTTACGCGAAAGATTAGACGACGCGTTCTATCGCATTCACTCCATTCCCCCGGGCCAATCTGCATAAACTTGACAAGGGGTCCATCTACCCATATCCCAACAACTTTGCTCTTAACTTGTTAATCCGGTTTCGTAGTCTTAGATGTAGACATCGCCCTGGTCAATGTATTTGATCTTGGGGACCTGGCCTTCCATCAATGTTGCATCTTTATCCGGTCGGCAGATCGTTCACGCTCGGCCATGTCAATTCCAGCATGACCAATTTACGATACTCCCAAATAGATACATACTTCACATACCAGCCTAAGAATTGCTTTTCGCTGTCTGTTCCACAATCTGCAGTTTTCAGCTCAAATCCCAATCGAATGATGCGTCTCTTACCAATCTTCATGACAGCGGTCACCGCAACCGTATCCACATCCCCCGTCCTCGCCATTCGCAAGCTGACCACGGGCTGCTCATCCTATCCAAACTACAATGCCAATACATCCACCGCGGGGCCTTTCAACCTAATCGCCACATCGACCTCGAGTCCCTTCCTCGACGACAAGAAGGCCGCCATCGCACCTTTCACGACCAACGGAATCGACAGCTATGGCTTCGTACGTCATCATCTCTCTCATCGTTACCTGATCCACTCAGAAATTCCACCTCGGGCCTAAATGAAAAACCTGCCTCTACACACACGTCTGCTAAACATGATAGATCAATATTCCCAAACGTGCAACATCCTACACCCCATCCATTACCCTCAGCTGCCAAAATTCGACCCTCCACTTCTCCCTCTCTTCTCCATCCTTCACGCTACCGCCCGCACAACCGATCCCACTCTTTGTAACCAAGGACGAGAACTGGCATTCTAGCCTCGGCTACGGGAACTATCTCGGGCGTGGCATCCCCGTCGAGACCTACGACCATGTGTACGTGAATGGGAGCACCAAGGTCGAGGGAGTGTATCTCGGTGCCGAAGGCAACACGAGGTGGAGGTTCAAGTTCAATTGGGGCGGTAATGCGGGCGAGTATTATCTTGTCAGGTTGGATGAGGAGGCGGAGGGGACGTTGGATAGGAGGCAGGATGGTGGACCTGGCGTGTTCCCTCCGATCGATGATAGGGATTTCGTGGGGTTCTTGAAGGTCGTTGGGGTGGCATAGATGAAGTCGGAGGCTTTGTTCTACCAGTCCATGGTGATGCACCTACTTACAGCTACCTAGAAATTCTACCAACTTGTATGAGAATTCGTTGGCACGGCCTGTTAAATTGCATGCACAATCAGAGCGTTTGGTCGTTCAGTGCCGGTGCGCCGCGCCTGCAGGACCTAATATACGACCTTTCTATGGAACCTCGAAAGAATGCTACTACAAAGTCACAGAAAGATTCCGCCCCCGTCTAAGATAAGCCAATCCATTCCGCATCTAAACAAGAGGAATCCAACAGGTTCGTCACGATGCACATGTCCTCCATAACCTGTACTCCGTCTCCATTCTCGGCCGTCAACTCACCATCCTCGATTCATTCTACAAATACCTAACCCCAAAATCAATCGTCCTCACAACCTCGTAATCTTCCTCCACCCCTATATCCCCAAAGATTTTCAACGCCTTCGCAACGAACGTGTAATTCCCTGCAGGAACTCTCGACCCATCACTTAGCGTCCCGTTCCATTGGTCGTACAATTCCGCGGAGCGAGGGATATACGCCGTCGGATATCCCCAAAGGCGGCCGAAATCCTTCACCAGCGGAAGTGAGGCATTGGGCGGAGAGGTGGCAGTGACGTTGACGGACCAGACGTGCAGATCGAGCAGGGGGATGCCGAATGACGTGCTGGCCTCGTACAAAATGGGGAAGGAGTAGCGGACCGTCACGTTGGGGCCCGGATCTGACCAGCTGCCGTCTGGGTTTATGGGGAGGGTGAACTCGGTGCCTTGTGGCGAGACGATCGTGGGGTTGGTGGCCGTGGAGGCGGTGACGTGGAGGTTGGAGAACAATGAGATGTCGCGCATGCGGCTGGCGACGCCGAGGTAGGGGATGGAGAGGACGGCATTATTTGAGGCGTTCAACTTGATGTAGCCGGAGTACACGGGGGTGAGAGCTGGGTTGACAGAGGGTGGTGGCGTGAACGTTACAGTGATGTTACCGGTCGAACCAGCGTGGACGGTGAGGGAGCCGGGGTTAGAGGAGAAAGAGGCGTCAGCGATGAAGGGCACGAATTCGAGATTGCCTGGGAGGGACGGCGTCTTGCTTTTGGGCCTGAAGGTGTGGAAGGTCGCCGCGGGCTCGTGGCTCAGCGAGTATGTGATATCTTTCTCTCCGACATTCTTGATGGTGAAAGTATGGGACTGGACAAAGTGTTCGGTGTCGTTGAGAATGAGCTTCGATATGCTGAGAATACCATTTGAGTGGACGGCGTCGTACGCTTGCGCTATTCCCCCGCCTTGCTGTACGACCGGTGCCAGATCATTATTCGGACCTGATTCATTCAGGTAGTGGAGGGGCTTGGAGGTGGTTGTGAGTAAACTGCGAACCTCGGAAGCTGTGATGCTTGGACGGGCCTGCAATATCAACGCAATGATACCCGCTATCAAAGGAGTAGCCTGCATACATTTAGTCATGCACTACAATGCATCAAAGAATATAGAGAAAAAGATACTGACCATCGATGTCCCAGAGATAACGGCATATCGCCCCAGAGACCGGGGCCAAGTGGAAAGGATGACGCCTCCAGGGGCCGATACCTCAGGCTTGATATCCAACTCGAACGTAGGACCCCAGCTACTATAACCGCTCATGAGACCTCCCCCTACGTTTGGGACCTCGTCAACACTACAAATCATCAACTTTTGTCTCTTAAGGCGACAAGTATTGGCTCACAATTGCACGGCGTATTTCGGATCCGTGATTTGAACATTGACCTTCTTTCCACTCTTAGACAACTGAATCCATTCCCGTGCCGTACTGAAGGGAAGCGATCCGATTGCCTCGAGTCCAGACTCATCAGGAAAGCTTAGGATACTTGTCCTACGATACAAGGTTAGCAAAGGACATCCTCAAGGCAACTTCATGTACGTACGCTTCAGACCCATCTCTGTACATAAACGCATATTTCGCACCTTTCCTCGCCGCAAATTCAGCCTTATACCAGTCCGCACAAGAGTTAGTGCCCTTGACCAGCACCACATATCCAGTCAGGTTCCCAGCATTGGTGAACTCGTCGCAATTCTTTCCATCCCCGACATAAAGGGGCAGAGTTGCGTTTCCCCAGTTCTGAGGGCTCCCAGACGTCCAGACAAACACTTTAGATGTCCCGTTCTCAGAGGTGAATGTTGAATTGATAACGACACGAGGCAGAATGCTGTTTGCTGTTGAGCCTATGGCGAATACATCTGCGCCTGTGCCTGGAGACTCGGGGAAGAATGGACCCGTGGATCCACTGTTTCCTTGGGCAAATGTTCTTCAAATGTATGTGTCAGGCACGCATTCAGGAGACGATGCGATATGGAAGAACTCACAGAATGACCCCCTTCGCAGCGATCCGATCCGCGATAACAGACAGCGTCGATTCTGTCCATCCACTCCTCGCACCCAGCGATGCTGTGATGATGTGGTTCCCATCAGCGAACGCCTTGTTGATGCCAGCTGCGACAACGTCCGTCGTAGTACTCCCAGCGCAACTGAAGACGCGGTACATGCCGAGTTCGACATCCTTCCCCAAAGTTCAGTATAACAAACCACCGGTGAGAACTCTGAATGCATTTTGTTGTATACGTACAGGTGCAGCACCTCGAAACTTGAATCCATCTTCAACCCCCTGGGCTGCGATGATGCCAGCAACGTGCGTGCCGTGGCCATCGCACTCTGTGAATGGATCCTCATCGGGGACAGGGTCGTTTCCCCTATATGGGCTATACTCATCACCAATATGATCATACCCGCGAGCAACGAGGTAACCTATCCGATGATCAGTACGTTCAATCTAGCCAACATAGATAACTCTACCTTGGCCAAATCCTCTACCTAAAGCGGGATGCCTATAGTCAATCTGGCAGGACTAAATCAGCATACAGATAGTTCTACTTCCAACCATTGGGACAATGAATGACCTACTCCATCATCTACGATTCCAACCTTGATTCCCCTTCCCGTAATATTACTCCCATGGACCCTATCCACCTGTGTTAGTACGTGCGGTGTGAATCCTTCCCCTTTCACGGCAACCTTTCCGACCTGCTTCTTAATGCTGACAGGCGCAGTATTCAGATCACTCCCTTTCCACGCGAGAGCATCATCCGGCCTCTCCACCACCTCAACCGGCCAAATATTCTTGATTGCTGGTATCGATGAAAGAACGGTGAGTGGGTCATCACCAAGAGTACTAATGTCGATTTTGTAGGAAGCGGCGCGAAAGATCTCGCTTTCGGTCGTGAGGATGCGGTGAGCGGATAGGCCGTCGCGCTTGAGGTGGTGGGAAAACAGTGTGTGGTCCTATTTGTTCGTATGGTCAATGGACTGCTCTTTCCTATGTGCAAGTAGAAGGTTATGTACCGCATGGTCTTCGAATTCGACAAGAAATCTTCCTGGGATGATAGTGGAAGGTAATGCTTGCGAAGTCGCTACGAAAACCAACAGCGCTGAGCCGAATGATAGAGGTATCAACATGATCTTATTTTCAACACAACTTGGCGATGGTAACGATACAGACGAGAGGGTCGAGTGTTCCTTGTTTTGGAAGAACACGAATCAGACTCGTAATGGATGTACCCTTCGTCTTCTGGGGCCATCGGGCGCGGGGGAAGGTAACACCATCGATGATTTAAATACAGTTCTTTTAAAATCTCCCATTGTTATAATCTACAAGCTCCGCGATGAGATTCGGTACGTGGACGTGGGCCCCCTGTCGATTGCCGATTGCGGGATAAAACGGAGAGTGTTCCTGCATATTGGATTTGGGATTTCATCTGCTTGATTCAATGAGGTACTATAGCGAATGGCGGCAAATTAAATGCAGGTATGGTATCAGCTTTTGTCGATCCAGTACTGTTCTACTAGGAGGTGGTAGAGCAAGCTTGCGGCAGAGATCCGTGGGGTCGGAACAGCACATTTTGCATTCAAACAAGTTTGAACCTAGTTGCTCCTACTTCTGTAGTCCTTTTAACACGGGCGCCATGCTCCCATGGCTTGCTTTACAGATTTTGCCGGGTTTGATTGATGAAACAACGTATTGCGGGGCAGCAATGGCGATATAGCGTCTTAGACGGGGAATGAGGAAAGTTATATAGTAAGTGAATATTATCCGCGACTTGGCATCTTTTGGAAAAACTTAGATAGCGATTCATATAAGCAATCCGATCTACTAGACTCGCAAAGCACACATATCATTGCTATGAAGTCTCATGAAGCGGTCTCAACCGATCACCACGTTTCTGATCCGGTGCCAGATAGACCGCTGTTTGGCTTCTGAGTCAGGACTGCGCGGAATTTCGTCTCGTCTGCCCGTCCAGATGTCGATCTCGTGCACTTTTACGACGACGGTCTTGTTCCAGAACTTGTAGACGACATAAAAGAGCACGAAGACGGGGAGGAGAATGTAGTTGATGACAAAGTCCTGTGCGGAGAATGGATTTAGGAAGCATGTGTAGCCTGCGGATCTGTCAGAACTGCCTAAGTCCGGCATGCAATGGGTATTAATAATGCTCACCTTGGAAAAATATGAGAAAGATGTTGGCCGCAAGGCAGAAGTATGTTCCATACGGATACCACAGAGCCTTGAATGGCAAATCATCTGCACTTTCACCTTGGGCGTTCAGAGCTTGACGGAATCGGATGTGCACAAATTCTATGACGGCCCAGACAATAAATGTCGCGACGCCCGAAAGTGTCATCAAGGCGTTATAGAGCGTGCCGGCAGATGCGGACTGTGATAAGAAGGCGATACAAGCGCAGACGTTGGTGAAGAGCAAAGCAGCCCACGGCACACCGCGTTTGTCCGTCTTACCGAGAAGCTTTGGAGCCATGCCGTTGCGCGCCATATGAGTGATCGTTCTCGAGGCCACGTACAAGGACGAATTGCCAGCTGAGATCACGGAGATGACGATCAAAGCATTGATTAGATGTGCTGCCGGAGCAATTTTGGCGTCAGATAGCGCGATTGTGAGTGGGGATGCTGCAGTCTTCGAGCCTTTTCCCAGGAGTCGGGGGTCATTGTAAGGGATCAGAATACCGATGAAGAACATCATGCCAACATAGAAAATCAGGATACGCCAGAAGACCTGCCTAATGGCCCGAGGCACAGCCCGCCGAGGATTGGAAGACTCTCCAGCCGTGATTCCGACCATCTCCGTGCCTGCGTACAGCGTACCTGCAATGACAAAGGTTCGAGCAACTCCATTGATGGAATCCGCAAAGGCGCCTGGATCATTCCAATACTTGAAACCGATTTTTTGAGGTCCTATACCACCAGTAGAAATGGCGATGGCAATGATGAAGAAGATGGTGATGGATATAACTTTGATCAGACTGAGCCAAAATTCGACTTCGCCATACGCCAAAACTCCGAGCATGGAAAGCGATATGAACAAAGCCCAAAATATCAAGATCCAAGCCCATTGAGGCACCGTGTCCGTCCAATACATGACGACGAGTGATATTGCATTGTATTCATTGGAGAGCACAGTTAACCAAAGATACCAGTATGCCCAACCAAGGGCAAATGCCAATGCGCGGTCGTAAAATCGCTCAGCATAGTCGGTGAAGGATCCAGTGACGGGAATCAGAGTTGCCAATTCTCCCAAAGATTGCCTGGAGTGCGTCAATGAGCGATGTGGGCTAATATAACCCAAGGTAGGTAGAGCAAAACCTACATAACGAAGAAGACGATGATTCCAACAAGAGAGAAACTGATGAGAATACCACCAGGGCCAGCAAGGCGTAGAGCGTTTCCCGATCCGACGAGTAGACCAGGGCCAATGATTCCTACGGAATTTAAGATGTTGAGCACACAAAGGTCTTGCCTGGCCTTACAAAGACCTCTCTACGTACCACCAATAGCAATCATCTGTAGATGTCGAGACTTCAATTTTCGATGCAGGGGATTGAACTCTCCAACCCCGACGTCGGCGGCCTCGGGGACATGCACACGCTCATCGACATATTGTGTGTTGTCGAGCACACCTTTCTTAGGATTTTCGGCCATGGGGTGTAATGTTAGTGGTGATAATAGTTAATAGTGACAGTGACGGTAATTCAATGTCATTCGATTGGTTCGATCTAGGTATGTCAAAAGGACTGAGGCTGAGGCTGTTGGAAGAGATTGGGATGGGTGACCTTTATAACACATGGTCAGTATACCCAGGTCCCCATTAATGAATTGAATGGGTGTAAAAAAGTAAAGGTAGAAGAACGGTTGATGATCAGTACTAATTACGAGGTATTAGTTGGATTCCTAGTGTTGATGATCAGTGATGCGGTGCGGGATTGGGATTGGGATGACCCCCATGCCCCCCCCCTCATCATCGCAAGTCGTGGCTCTGATAACGCAATTGAAGCTAGTCCGAGTTTGGCCATGAACAGAAAGTCTACACTCCTATGTACGGTACATGCAATATTTTACGTGAATTCATACCTTAGCAAACGATCATGACCACTATTCTCCGTTTGCTTCGGCGAGCTCGGCGAGCTCGGCGGGCTTGTCACAAGGCTTGAGCTTACCAGCGAGTGAAATAATAACATGAAGTCAATAACGAGCTAGGATCCGTCCTACATGTGGAATATCGAAGCGGAGGCGTAGTGCTAGAAGGACCTCGACTAAGGTTCGAGAGCCGCCATGCTTGGATGACGCCTGTACGTGGCTGGAAAACGAAGCGCATCACACAAAGTCGACACCATAGACATGAAGCACCCGAATCTTGGAAGATATAGATATGTGGGTGTGCGTGCGTCTGTCTGTCTGTCACATGCTATCTGCGATGTACCACTCCTGGTTGTACCAGTGCCTATAACCCCTTTGCCTTGACGGCGTGCAATCAATATAATTCATGAGGTATATTGAGGTCTATTAACACATGGAATGCAGATACAGCACAATACGTTCCGTTCATTACATTTATTTGTATTGTCTACTTCCTGTGCGAATCAAACTTCTTTGCGCGATACTTTACCTGATCTACCTACCTAGTACCAACCGAAGGTCTATATCAACGCTCCGACATCTAAACACCATCACACCTTCCATGTGCCTTGTGTCTTCCCAAAAGAATAAGTCGCCACTAGAAGTAAAACCGATCCAAGAATACAATTCACCCCTGCAAAGATCTGAAGTCCCGAAAAATCAACACCACCCTGTCGGACCAATATCGCTCCCATAATGGGCAATCCAGTGAGGTTGCTGTAGGACGTCAGTTCACATGTACACCCTGGCGACAGGAAACAAGGCAAAACATGGGTAGACCATCGTACCTTATTGACATAATAATTTGAAAAGTACCGAACCGTCTGCCGAGTGTCTCAATGCTCCCGGCTTTGGCCACACACGGCATGAGAAGTGAAACAAAGGCCCCGCTGAAGAACCCATAAGCCAATGCGAAGAAGATCAGTCCAGTGTGGCTAGAGTGATAATTAAATGGTAGCCAGAGGGCGAGCATAGCAATTCCGCTCAGTGCGGCACTACTGGTGATGACGTTAAAAGAGCCAATGTGGTCTGCGAGGTAGGGAGGAATTGTCCTTCCGAACGTCGATGATGCGCTGGTCATTGGAAGTGTCAGACATCGTGTCGCACCTTCAACGTGAGGAAGGGAAAAGGCCGGACTCACTTGACGATGGATATGAGATAGAGTGCGAGCGAGGGCGAGAATCCGTTCTGCTGCGCCATACTGGGAAGGAAATTAAGAGGTGCAAAGATAGCCCACCTAACTTCATCAGCATGTCTCACTTATCAAAGGTTATTCATCTACATCACCGACTTACATCGTTAAAAACGACCCTATCGTGAATAATCCAAACTGCTTCTGTTTGAAAAGTGTCACATCAAACCACTTTGCCTGCCAGTCCCATTTCTTGCGCGGCAGCCTTGCCGTGATGAGGAAGCACGACACTGCCATCAGAATGCCAATCATGAGGGCCGTATACCGTATCGCTCCGTAGAATCCCACGCGCTCCATGACCCGATGGAAAAATATAGGGAAAATAACCCCGCCTGTAGGCACGGTCAGTTCTTGCACGCACGATCTGCACTTCTCAACATACCCAGACTGCTACCCGCGGTCGCAATGCCGGTAGCCAACGCTCGTCGACGAACATGCCACTGCCCAATGCATACTACAGCAGTCGTGAAAACTCCCCCAGCGCCGATTCCAAAGCCCAGTCCCTGAGCTAAGAAAATCTGATAATACTCGTCCGCCAGACTCGTCATACAAAGCGAGAAGACGCACAGAAACGAACAAGGGTAGAGCACAGGCGCTGCGCCATAAGTATCAACCAACCGTCCGAAGATGGGACCCGGCGCCCACATGAGTGCAAGCTGGGTGGCGAATATCCAGGAGATCTCGGAGGGTGTGTAGCTGTGGAGGATGGTCTCTTCGTAAGTAGTTTGGAAGACACCGATGCTGGTTTCCATGTCAGTGATGTGCTGTCTCCAGGTAGTTGCGATGATTCAACTTGCGCATTTAGGAATCCGAAGGTGCAAAATATGGCCAGAAAGGCTCCGGAAACGCATAGCCAGCCCTTTGTACCCCCTTCAGGAGGTAGGCTTAGTTCCTCCTTGGTCTCCCTCGCGAAAGTTTCAACTGCGTCTGGAGCTGCTTCAGTCATGGTTGTATTTCGAGGACTGTTTGCCGAGAAGAGCAAGGTCTGCGAAGTTTCGGGTACAAGTTGATCTGTTGTACATGTTTTTCGTGCTGGGCAGTCTCTCTTTATATGAGTTTTACGGTCTTATCCAATCAGGGCAAAATCCTACAACGCATATCATGCTTGATATAATCAAATGGGTGAACTCGGGCAGCTCGAATGAGGTAACACGGTAGGTACCCACCCATCTACTGTGCAGTGTGTACCTAGCAGTGAGCATCGGAGACGTGCCTGGGTAATACCTAAACTATCAAAAGAAGCTTAAATGGCGGCCGCCAGATCCTGGTTTGTCGGCCGCTAGTGTGAAAGACAGCAATCGGCTATGATTGGTTCGTCAATGTTCTAGCCAATCAACAATCCAGTAAGATGGGTTAGTCTGCCCAAATAAGGTATTCGTTCAAATATGTAAGAAGCGCCCACTCCACTCCACTGACACTAGCGGCCGACGAGCAAGAGTGGCACATCTGCTTCTACTTTGTAAAAGGTATCCTCGCCTCGTAAGCATTGCGGAATTCTACTACATCACGCTCTCAATGCTCCCAATCTTCTCCGACAACTCCGACAAGACACTGTGAAAACCAATATTTCCATATCATCGGCCGAACATTGACTTTCTCGTCGGCCGCCATACAAAGCCGTTCGTTTCATGAGCAAGCCCATTCCGCTGCTCGCTGCCTAACAATGATCGCTTTGCAGGTATGCCTTACTTGCAAGGGAAGGAAGAAGAGGTGCGATAAGCAACTGCCGCAATGTAGCTTTTGTAAGCAGTAGGTATATCCCTGTGGATACGCTTTGCTTGAAAATGACAACCGATTCTTCGCTGTCGGCCGCCCATGGCTGACTTGAAGCAGAAAAGGAATATATTGCTCTTACGATTATGGAAGGGAAATCGATGCATATGCCCCTGCTCAGCCCGCCAGCGGGTCTTTTGTAGCTTCTCATCACTCCTCCGCTCCTGAAAATCATCGTGGAAATGGCCGGGATACTGCTTGTACCTCATCCCCTTACCAGTCGACTGCCTTTGGATCACCATCCGATGCTTTACCACTCGACACTAGGCTATCCATTGAGGTTGATCTTATCGTCCGGCCGACGGGACAATCTCCAGACATGGTAGAGAGACGATATTTTCAAGGTCTGCATCTGTGGGTGCCGTTTATGTGCCCCTCCCGATTTCGAAATGAACGTCTCATGGCAGTCTCAACGCCGACAGCAGAGTTTTCGCTACTGCTCCTGAGCATGTACTTGATCACACACGACCCACCAGAACTTAGCAAAACCTCCATTAGGCGAGGTGATCTTCACCTACATGCTAAGACACTCTTTTCTCAGATCTCCCTTCTGCGACGGCCTTCAATTCGCCTGATCCAGGCTGGAATATTAATTGCCATCTACGAATATGCCCATGGCGACCCAGATTCCGCCCTAGCATCCATCGATCTCTGTGCCCGAATGGCGTGCAAGGCTGGATTTAATCGACACTCCGCGGACAAAGGGGTAAATCAAGCATGGAATACGTGGTGGGCACTAAGAATATTCGAACGAATCTTCTACTGTGAGACCGCACTGACCACCCTGCCATTGATCACATCTGCTCCAGATGAAACAGATATACTCCCATACGAAGTTAGCAGCCTCGATTGTGGGGAAGATTTGATAGCGAAGCCTGGTTGTCGCGTGTGGCCTATCAATACCGCTGGGGTCGGGTGCTTTGGCCGTGCGGCTCAGGCGACATATCTGCTCGATCAAGTCTTACAGGCAATGAAAATCGGTGAAGCATCCGTTCGGCTTGTTCGCTTGATCGCCCTAGACAGCGAGTTGCGCAGGCTCCTTTCAGTGACGATGAGTGCCTGCCATGGTAAACGAGGAGGGCACTGCGGCGCCGTGGGCACCTCGATCAGGTCTGGTAGGATCTTTCTAGTTCCAAGATTCTATGCTGATCACTTCCAGCAGAGCTCTTTTCATGCTGCACGAACACAATCTCCAGAACGATATCTTGCCGACAACGCAATGTGTGAACTATCCGCAGGCTGCACTCGATACTGTTGTTCAGATGGTGGTGGATATATCTCGAAGTCACCGAGGGATCGATGGTGCTGACATCGACATTGTATCTCCCATCTGCAATTATGTAGTCCGTCATACTTTGACGCTCCACTATCAAAGGCGATATTCAGACAGCGAAGCCTGGTTCGACGACTCGGATGCTTTACGAGAGTCTCTGGCCAAATTGAGTCGTAGGTGGCAGATAACATGAAGCGAGCGACGAGATGATCCCGAGCCTTTTGTTTATGATGCCGTCATCGAGTATTGCGTAGGCCAATCTTGCAGGCTTATCTCACTGTTCAGTTTTACATATCCGTTATCTTCAGAAAGGCATGGGGGAAATTTGCGCTGTGACAGGACCTCTCGCATCCAATTCTACCGAATTAATCGAGTTTCATGGTGGCACAAAACTCTACCTTTTCGTGATGTATGACATACATTGTCGTACATTGACACATTGGCGGTGATTTGACCGCCATAAGCATGCACTTTCAATAGAACGCGTCGTTGGTGCGGGGTAACCCACAGCCTAGGGAACCATTGTGGGCCGATTGGGAATTGCGTCTTACGAGGGATCGAGGAAACTTCATCGAGATTTTGAATTTACAGGGAGGAGGGTTCTGTTAGCGGCCGAAAACACTAATTCATCAGTCGACAGATCATGACGAGCAGGAAATATGGCGAACGCCGCCTTCAACTGGGTCGATAGATAGTGTACATACACACAAATAATTAACAGTTGGCTGAACCTTCGAATTATCCGCGGTCTGATTCGCTGATTCTGGGCTATAAAGGATTTCTTTATTGCAAACTCAATCAAGAAACGCTACCCTTCCTGTGCCGCATTCAACTGCATCCGACCGAGCACCCCATGCTTCCCGTCATAATGGGACCTGTTGCTTTCACTCCACGATCAACGCCGCAATCTCTTTCCGTACTCTGTACCTAGCCAGTCATGGCCGGTGGAAGTTCCCAATCACATGTGCAGGCCCTGCTGGGTGGTATCCGTCGATTGGCTATTACTGAGGGGGACACGTTTGACTTCATCATCGTTGGCGGAGGTACCGCAGGCTTGGTACTAGCGAATAGATTGACCGAAGACGCAAACATCACGGTCGCGGTCCTCGAAGCCGGGGCATGTCTAGATACTCACCCTCGGGTCAAGACGCCAGCCCTATATGCCACTCTCCTCGGTTCTGATGCGGATTGGAACGCAACCACAGAGCCGCAGGAGGCTCTCGGTGGTAGACAATTAAAGATACCACTTGGCCGCGCGCTGGGTGGCAGCAGTGCCATCAACAGTCAAGTATTCGCGCCCAGCTCCAAGGTGAACCTAGACACCTGGGCCACCCTAGGAAATGAAGGATGGGATTGGGAGTCCCTTGTTCCGTACTTCAAGAGATCACACACGCTCGTTCTACCATCAGACCCTGCAGTACTAGAACACCTCGGCCTTGAGAATCTCGATCCATCAAGAGGTGGCTCCAAAGGTCCTGTCCAAGTCTGCTACCCGAACGAGTCAGAGAATCCTTTACCTCATGTCTGGATCGAAACTCTCGAGAAGCTCGGCTACGTCGGGACTGGAGATCCATTCCACGGCGATGCCAAAGGTGTCTTCACGCTACCAGCCACAATCGATGCGCAGAATCGCGAACGAAGCTATTCCGGCTCAGCTTACCTGCTTCCCGTAAAGAACAAGCCGAACCTAACCATCATCATTGGCGCCATTGTCCAAAAAGTGCTACTAACTGGCTCCGATCCAAACGTCATCGCCACCGGCGTGCAATATCTCAAAGACTCTAAATTAATCACGGCTATATGCAAACGAGAAGTGATCATTTCTGCTGGAGCGTTGAACTCACCCAAGATCCTTGAATTATCTGGTATCGGAAACGCTCAATTACTGAGCGAGCATGGGATTCATCCAGTCATTGATAACCCCAACATCGGAGAGAACTTGAAAGATCACATCTACACGGGGCTAAGCTTTGAAGTCCGTGACGGAGTAGATACTCTCGACGATCTGTACAGGCAAGATCCTACGAAGATCCAGGAAGTCATGAAAGCTTATGCAACAGATCGAACAGGTCCACTGACTGCCACCATCTACTCGTTCGCTTTCATCACCCTCCCCGAGGATGTAGGAGAAGAGTTGATAAGAAAACTCGACCTAGATGCACAGGGTAGTGATGTTAATCAACGCTGCAGCCTAGGCAAAGTATTACTCAAATCCGCCCAGCCGACCGCCTCTCTTTATGCCTATGCTGCTCAAGGAAACTTCACCGGCGCCCCGTTGAAAGACGCTGACCTCCTTCCCAACAACTTCTATTCTATCGACTGCGGTCTTCTTCAGCCCCTCTCTACTGGTTCCACGCACATCAGGTCCGCCGACCCATCAGCCACTCCACTGCTCGACCCAAGATACCTCACCCATCCCTTAGACAAGGAAATTATCTCTCAACACATGATGTTGATATCTCGCATAGCCAACACCACTCCCCTGAAATACCTTCTAAAAACCCGCGGCGCACGTAATGCTGAAGCGCCGCAAGATATTGCGGATCCTATAGCGCTGAAAAAGTATGTTAGCCAAACCGTCCAAAGTTCGGGTCACTTCATGGGAACATGTGCAATGCTGCCTAGGGAGGACGGTGGCGTTGTCGATACGAGACTAAAGGTCTGGGGAACGAGGAACCTGCGGGTAGTAGATGCGAGTATTTTCCCCATTCCGACAACGGGATTGCCGATGGCCACGGTGTATGCGGTGGCAGAGAAAGCAGCCGATATTGTCAAGGAGGATGCGGCACTATGAATCTCGAAGTCCTGGTATCGTGCGTGTGTCGAAATATGACGATTCAGTGACATTGGGAAATACAGCTTTTGATTATGTCTAACTTGAATTCTGCTAGACCTGGATGCGTGAATTGACAACTCAAAACATTAGGCAAAATCCATGGACTACGGTACCCCATTGACCACATCGCTTGCTTGAAGTTGATGGAAAATTCATCGTCAACTTCAGATTTAAGATACCGTAAAATTCCATCCGCCGAGTACTAAGATCCGCAACACGATTGACTACTCTGAGTCTCCAACTATATTAGAGAATCTTTGTCACTCCGGGCGCAATCATATCCAGCCTCGTAAACAGCTCTCCATTGAATCTCTTTGCCAAAATTCGGCCCTGATCGCTCTCAACATTTGGACCGTTCCTATTCCTTCGTCAGCAATTCGTCCAGAGCGCAACAGGGACATCTGAAAACATACTCGCCAATCCTGCAATCCATGAGGAATCGACCATGAGTTTCCTCTGCCAGGTCGGGTTTAATGGCATCGATTAGTAGTCGCCCGCCATCTACCGTCGACCGGGCTATGAGGCTTTTCATGCCAGATTGGATGACCCTTACAACGATGTTGATGTCGTCGCGCATGAGATCACTATTGCAGGCGCCGGGCGTCATGACATTGATGACGACATTAGAAGATGCAGACAGTGCACTCCGCTTTGCGATCTCTTGGACGGCATAAAAGAGAAGCAATTTCGACGTTGGGTATCTATAGTTGACGTCAATTAGACTTCGATCACACGGGTGGAGTATGCATACCTGTCGTTTATGTTCGCCTTCTCCTCGTCACCCAGCGCTTTCAATAACGATCCCTCTGTCTTTGTTTCGGATGCTCGAGCAACATACATCAGGTCGCTTCCGACAAAACTCAGCCTTGTCCTAACACCAAATTTCTTCCCAGTTTCGCGAAGCTTCGGCAGAACCAAAAGCCCCACGAGAACTGCGCCAATGACGTTTACTTGTATGTGTTGCTCCACTCCTTCAATTTCGGCGCGCTGCAAACTCATGATCCCTGCATTCTGTATCACGGCATCCAATCGTTCCAAGCCGGAAACTCTCTTTGCGAATGCCTTGATTGAGTCATGATTGGAAAGGTCGAGTTGCCACACCTCGACAGCATTCTTGGTCGCTTTTGTGGTCTTCAAGATGTTGACAGCGGCTGCCTCTCCCTTCGCAATTGACCGGACAGCGAGAATGACTTTTGCGGCGCCTTGATCGACGAGGAGGCGTGCAGCTTCAATGCCCAATCCGGTGTTTGCGCCTGTGACGACGATTGTTTGGTCTGAGAAGTTGTGTTTCGTTTGGGGAATGCGGAAAAAGAGTTGTGAGCTTAAGAGCTTAGGGATGTATACGGCCCAGCTCATTGGGGTCGCCATTTTTGATGTGTGACTCTTGAAACAACTTTCTGTAATCCGGCAGCGAATGGCTTGAGAGATGGTAGCCAAAATCCTTGAGTAAATCGATCGTGCTGTAGAATGTTGCGTGGCGATTGAGGCTTCCACGCCTGCCGTTTTGTACTCTTCCATTCCATCATGCGCAGGATGGCGCGGACTAGTTCCACGGACTCTTTTATTGTTCCACTCTCTGTGTGGTACAGAATGCAGGTATTACTCAAGATTCCAGACACCTAAGCCAAGATCGTCGTATGCTAAGTAGAGCATGTGTGTTTTAAGGCAAGCAGTTGAGTGATTATGCTAGTCTTCTCTCAGGTCTAAACGCGAAGACTGGTCATTGTATTCCCGTATCATGGCATGCGCATAGCGTTGTAAGAGTGTTCATTCGCTATGTACGTCGCAAATCGCCCTGGTCAGGCAAGCAACACCAGCCACCCGGACGAGTTTGCCGGAGATGGTGATGGCTCTTTCTGTCCGTCCATAGTAACTCTCTGGAGACAGGCAATGAAGCCATTAATTGATTAATTATTAACAAGCTTAGTCAGTGACCAGTGCATACTCTGGAGTGGTGGCTTGGTAGGAGTATTGTCGAATTATTCGGTCCTAGGGCTTGAAACAACTGGCCGTCACCCACCTCCCAAATTCGTCCGCCCGGTGATCAAGTTAACACATGATGGCATAGCCGTAGAAACAACCACGTCGACAAATACACACACTGTAGCCATGTTTTCTTTTCGGTTATTTGGCATAGATGTAGGTTACGTTTGCCGTTGATTTTTTTCTGTCCGCCCTCTCTGGCGTTGCCCACCCAGGTTTCTATACTTGATGCCGCCATCACAAGCTACGAGGAGCATTCTTTTGAGCTTTAGAGGATCCAGTCGGTTATTGATGATGCAGGATTGAAGAATGAGCAACTATACCTGTCTATGGGACTACAAAGGTGGCATTTACCAATCTGAGCTTATTCCGGATATACCATCTTCCTACCCACTCCTCCATCTATCGTTATTTCTTGCCCAGTAACAAATTCGGCTCCCACAAGATATTCGACAGCTTTCACGACATCCTCTACCTTCCCCACCCTACCCGCAGGATGCCATGCCATATCTTCTCGGCTCAAGCCGTCCTCCCACTTGATACCTTTCTCGTCTGCGCCTCTATTCTCGTTTTCAACATTGATCCATCCAGGTATGACTGCGTTGACTCGAATCTTATGCCGATGGCCGAGTGACACCGCCATACTTTGGGTTAGGCCTAGCAAACCTGCTTTGGCTGCTGAATACGCTTCATGATTGAGCTCGGATTGATAGGCACGGGTCGAAGATATATTGATAATACATCCTGGAGAAGACTTTGTACCCCCAGCCTCAAGCAGAGGCGTGCAGAGGCGGCTTAGAAGAAATGGAGCGCTAAGGCCGACCGCGATCTTGATATCCCATTCCGCCATGATATCTTCGCTCTCATCCTCCATTGTTCTCTCGTCAGACCAGATATGCGGTGTAGCGAAAGCATTGTTAATCAGTACATCCAGTTTACCACCAAATACTTCGGCCATAGATTTCACTTCTGTCTTGATCTGAGCTCGGTCTGAAAGATCGCAGGTCCGGGTGTAAAGGTGGTCCGGCGAGGTGGCCGCCCATTTGCGGAACAATTTGGCCTGGAATTCATCCTTATTCGAATCGAGCACGTAGACCTGATTTCCTGTCTCGAGGAAATGGCGGACAAGTCCGCGTCCGATGCCGCGGGCGCCTCCTGTGATGAGGACGTTCAGGTTTCTTTGGGCGGACATCCTGAGCGTTACTAACAATACTGGCTAACCTGTCTTGGGGGGGTTAAAGAAACCCCGTTTTCGCAGATTAAAAGTACTTGATTCCACGTACGTTCGTTCTTCGTGTCGTGACAGTATCGGACTAGAGATTCGGTCTGAGTTGTCGTTGATGGTAGATAGAGGAGCAATAGAAAGGTCAAGGAGCCTTGACGTCACGCACGCCTCTTGAAATGTGGGCCCAGGAAGGGAGGGAATAGTCAGACTGTACGAAGTAATGACTACTTAGGCAGTACCTAGGTAGATTGCATATTACATATTACATACATTCGTACATGTACATATATACAAAACTACTTATGTAGGTAGGTGCTGTGGTGGAACAGGATGAATGAAGCCATTCGGGGATCACGTGTATGGGAATAGGTACTAGGCAGGGTGTAGATAGATCAATTAGGGCTGCTGAGAGAGATCGAGGCATCATCCACCTACCTCTAGAGGCATATTAACGGAGGCAAATATCTACTTGTACCACCCATCTACTGATTGCGGATCGTACCTGTGATACTCCCTACTACCGAGGCGTCTAAACACGACAACACATACCTACCTAAGTACTCCGTATATATGTAACTACCTAGGTACATACCTAGGGTACATACATACTCATAATATATTCCTTATCACGATATTAGCAAACCAGACTGCAATTGAATCATCTGAAACCAGTGTTCTTTTCCCTGCCAAATACCATGAGAGGATTCCAGCTTGTAGGTTAGCAGAGACTTCAAAATAATTCCTGGATGCTGTTCATTTGAACTTGCTTGACGTTCTGCATCCACTCGCGCATATTCAAGGTCTTCGAATTAGCTCAGAATATCACAATTCAGAGACCTCCAGGCATCACAATGCCTCCTCCAAATATGGTACAGGGTGGACGATCTAACGACGAGTCATATGCTTCCTACGTTGCCATTCTCGCCTTCGCAAGTGGTATCACAGACCAAGGGCCATACAAGTAGGTAGGTAGGTAGTAGTTGGAAAGAGAGCGTTCAGACCTTCACAGATCGAATGAATCTACTGGGCTACTTGATCAGTCTAACTGACAGCGTGTGGGTTGACTACCTACCTAATGTTTTAAATTTTCATGGATGACCAGCTTGATCTTGCAGCGTTTCTGTGTCACACCTGGAGATTTACAGGACCTTTCCATGTTCTTGTTCTCCAACATGGAGCAACAGAAGAATCAATCAATAGTACTGTGTACAGGGAGAGGTGCGAGCAAGATGAAGATAATGGTTGGATTGTTGACCATGATATCGTGGGGCTAGCATCCTTACGTCACCCACTTTACCCCATGAACGTGAATGTGAACGCGACCACGTGGGTCCGGGCGTTAATCGCGTCGCGTCTCCGCGTCCATCCACGCATCTCCATCTCCATACCAGGGAGGCCCTACTATTTCCCCTCTCCCAGAAGTAACTAGGTACTACTCCAAACAAATCATTCATTCATTCCCTTCCTTCCTTCCTTCCTTCCGTCCCTCTTTCCATCCATCAATTGCTGCTTCTTTGCTTTTCATAATGGCCCGCGGTGGTCAAGGACAGGTTTTATCGACCCCCCGTGCGTCGTCGCAAAAGAAACTGCCCGCCTCGGGTTCGCAATCGAACAAGAGCACACAGAAATCGATTCTAGGATTTTTTCAGAAGAAATCCACGGATTCCCCTAGTCCAGCTCCCGCCACCGCCGCAACGAAGACACCCGTGTCATCTCTTTCGAAAGCTGTCTTTAAACGAAACGAGCCTTCCCCTGCTCTTACGCCACAACCCAGCAGCGACGTTCCCGTGCCGTCAAGCCCTGATCGCGATGAGGGGGATGTCAATAGAGGAAAGAATAAGGAGAATGGTCTGCATTCTCCCTCGATAGAATCGGATACCCAGACTAATTTTCTCCTGTCAGAGGTAGCAGGTTTCGCTCTTAGCAGTCCCTCTAGGAAGGTATGTTGGTCAAGATAACCGTGGCTAGCAATGCAAACTAATTGGTCTCAGGTGAAAAAAGTCATCAACTATGCAGAGTCGGACGATGACGAAGAGGACGAGATTTTTCGGCCCATTGCCAACAATGCAAGGAGCGGACGTACCACAAAGCGGAGGAAGATCAGTGTAGAGGATTCCGACGATGACTTTGACTTGGATGATGCAACTCAACAGGCCATGTTGGAGGATGACCTGGACGACTTCATCGCGCCAGACGATTCTGGCGAAGAGGAAGCTCGTCCACAGAAGCGCAAACGGCAGTCATCCGGGAAAGCGACCAGGAAGGCGACGCCGCCCCCTTCGTCGCCTCCCCCTATGAAGGACGACGGATCTGAAGACGACCTAGCGATAGCTAGCACATCAACGGCACAACAGTGGACGTACGATCCGGATAATCTTGAACCGCTGAACCCTAAGCCCACGGTCAAGGTTGTAAAGAAGAATACATCGATTAAGCAGAAACCCTCGGCGTCTGAGCCGGAAAAGCGCTATCCATGGTTGGCTAACATCCAAGACGCCGACCGACATACACCTGACCACCCAGAATACGATCCGAGAACGATATATATTCCACCACTTGCTTGGTCAAAGTTCTCGCCATTTGAGAAACAATATTGGGAGATAAAACAAAAGTTCTGGGACAGCATCGTCTTCTTCAAGAAGGGGAAGTTCTACGAGTTGTATGAGAATGACGCCACTATCGGCCACCAGCTTTTCGATCTTAAGCTCACTGATCGTGTCAACATGAGAATGGTTGGTGTGCCTGAGGCTTCGCTGGATCTCTGGGCGAGCCAGTTCGTGGCAAAGGGATACAAAGTTGCACGGGTAGATCAGATGGAGTCTGCTCTTGCAAAGGAAATGCGCGAAAGAGACGATAATAAGCCTGCGCTGAAGAAGAGCAAAGACGACAAAGTCATCCGTCGAGAACTTGCCGCCGTTCTGACTTCTGGCACCCTTGTCGACACAGGGATGCTACAGGATGATATGTCTACTTATTGCATGGCCATCAAAGAGATCGAACGCGACAATTTACCAGCCTTTGGTATTGCATTTGTAGATGCCGCCACAGCGCATTTCCAGTTATGCGAATTTACTGATGACATTGACATGACGAAGTTCGAGACACTCATCGCACAAATGCGTCCCGGGGAACTATTGCTCGAAAAGTCTTGCCTGTCCGCGAAGGCCATGCGAATTTTGAAGAATAATACCAGTCCAACAACCATATGGAATGCGCTGAAACCGACCAAGGAGTTTTGGCCTGCTGACGTTACCATCCGTGAGATCGAGACCAACGGATACTATGAATCGCCGACAGAGGATAACATCGAGGCCTGGCCACCAGTACTTCGTGAAGCACGTGAGCATGACCTTGTCATGTCTGCCTTTGGGGCCTTGCTTCAGTACCTCCGGACGAACAAGATCGAACGTGAATTGGTCACCGCTGGAAATTTCGAGTGGTACGACCCTATCCGCAAAGCAACAAGTCTCGTTCTCGATGGCCAAAGTCTGATCAACCTGGAGATATTTGCAAATAACTTTGATGGGTCAACGGAAGGAACTCTTTTTGCGATGCTCAACCGTTGCATTACGCCGTTCGGAAAGCGGCTGCTCCGTCTATGGGTTTGCCATCCCTTAGCAGATGCCAATAAAATCAATGCACGACTCGATGCCGTCGATGCCCTCAATGCTGATTCTAGTATCATGGATAACTTCTCGGCTTCACTCAGCAAGCTGCCCGATCTGGAAAGACTCATTTCCCGAATTCATGCTGGGCGTTGTAAGGCTCAGGATTTTCTAAAAGTCATCGAAGGATTCGAACAAATAGAGTACACAGTTGGTATCCTCAAGCAATTTGGCGAAGGCGAGGGAGTCATTGGTCAATTAATAGCTTCGATGCCGGATCTTGCCGCGTCATTAGAAAAATGGAAGGAAGCATTCGACCGAACCTTGGCCAAGGATGAGGGTATCCTTGTTCCCACGCCAGGGCTCGAGGAAGAGTTTGACCACAGCCAGCAAGAAATCGACAACTGCGTTGCCGAGCTTGACATTTTCTTGAAGAAGGCCAGGAAGGAATTAGGGTCCAACGCTCTTGAGTTCCGAGACAATGGTAAAGAAATCTACCAACTCGAAGTCCCCAAGAAGATCAAGGTGCCCAAACATTACGACCAAATGTCCGCAACCGCAAAGGTCACACGATACTACACTCCAGAGCTTCGAAAGTTGGTGCGAACACTTCAAGAGGCACAAGAGACACATGGACAAGTTGTGCGGGAGGTTGCAGTCCACTTCTGTGCCAGATTTGATGAGGACTATGTGACATGGCTCGCCGCTGTCAAGATCATTGCACAACTAGATTGCCTGATCAGTTTGGCGAAGGCCTCGGCATCTCTTGGAGAACCAAGCTGTCGGCCTGTGTTCTCAGATGCTAAGCGCACAATTGTCGAATTCGAGGAGCTCCGCCATCCCTGCATGCTACACACCGTAGATGACTTTATCCCGAATGATATCAGACTAGGCGGTGAGGTTGCGAACATTGATTTGCTCACTGGTGCCAACGCGGCCGGTAAATCGACAATCCTAAGAATGGTATGTCTTACGTCCTGAATGAACAAGTGAACATGAGCCGCTTACAAAGTGACAGACTTGCATTGCAGTCATTTTAGCGCAGGTCGGGTGCTATCTGCCCTGTACATCCGCGACAATGACGCCGATCGACCGCATTATGTCTCGGCTAGGAGCTAACGACAACATATTTGCCGCTCAGTCGACTTTCTTTGTCGAGCTATCCGAGACGCAGAAGATCCTTACTGAAGCTACACCACGCTCTCTTGTCATTTTGGATGAGCTTGGTCGAGGAACATCGTCGTATGATGGCGTAGCCGTGGCTCAAGCTGTTTTGCACGACATTGCCACTCGCGTGGGTTGCATAGGATTCTTCGCAACTCACTATCGCTCCTTGGCCAAAGAGTTCGAATCCCATCCGGAAGTCAGAAACAAGAGAATGGCGATCCATGTCAACGGCGAGTCCAAGTCCATCACTTTCTTGTATAAACTCGAAGACGGGGTTGCCGAGGGGAGTTTTGGTATGCATTGCGCGGCCATGTGTGGAATCCCCACCAAGGTCATTGACAATGCCGAAGTTGCTGCAAGAGAATGGGAGCATACCTCTCGTCTGGGTGAGAGGATGGAGGTCAAGAAAGAAGAAGGGGCTGTCTACGTTCCGCTAGGAATGCAGAGCGATGTTTCTTGGGCCCTTCGAGCGGGTCTCGAAGGTATCGGAGACCGCAGCCTCGACGTTCTTCTAGAAGCCATCAAAGGTTTATGAAACCGAGCGTGCTTAGCTTGATTTGTTTACTCTATCATCGTATCGTTTCCGGTGTAAGGGGAATGATATCAATAGTCCAGTGGACAACATCGATCGTCATTTTCAGCGGAGTTCATTTACATGGAATATATACATTATTGGCCAGCACAGTCTGGATCAGGGTGCGAGGGAAGTAATAACATTGCTATATATAATATAAGGTATTCTCTATCCATGCTGAAGCTCTACCCGACGACGCGTTGTAATCACGTTTGTTTGAGGTGATCACGGATGCCTCGTCGGACCAGACAATGCTGGATACATTAAAAAAAGAATAAAGACTTTTGGTCCGTCGAGGCCTGTTCTTGATAGGTCATAGCATCAAGAGTATTTCCTCTTTGCTTTTAGCTGTTCTTTTACGATGCTTGGGAAACATGTCGACTGTTTGCGATGTAGCAACCTTGATTCCTCACCCGAGCCATGGGCACGAAAGAACATAGCGTATGAAGAGACAATCTGCTGTTGAATTCGTTCACACGGATTAGAGGCAATTATATGTGGTATTTCACTGAACAACGCCGCAATACAGTGGCACGACAAGGTGCACTGTACGAGCATCCAGACCTTTCGGTTTCCAACACCAAGTCATGCTCGTTCATAGTAGAATGCACCAAGGACCTTTACTCCCTTTTCCCAGCTCCCTTGTTCCTCATTCCCGCCTCACTATTGCACATTATAACCATCATGTTGTATCGTATGATTCGTATCGAACAGACACACATACACACGCACATACAAAGAGACAAAGAAACAAAGCCACCAGTGCATGACTAGCCTAGCAGGCCTAGGACTCTCTGGACTCACGGTGCATGTACTGTGAGTGTGTACATACTGTGTACGGAGTACAAACACACATACAATCTATCTACGGAGTACAGTTCCACCATTTACGAGGACCAACACACCTCGCCGCCCAATAACCTCGTATCCTACCTAAGAGATCTAACCATTTCCAGGTCAAGAATCAGGGCAACAGGAAAACCCTCAACCGGCTCTCAACATCGGCATATTCCACAAGTGGCCTCCCTTTCTCCCCTTTTCACAATTGCGCCACCCACCAGGCCAGGCGAGGCGCCTTACAATAGGTTAGGGTTAGGTACCTCGTAGGTTCAGACTTGTTCGCAGACATGCGTGAAAATCCCATCCCCAGAACAGGAGATGGCGCCGGAGCCTTTCTCCGTGCATGCCAACCAAAAGTCGAGAAAAAGCAAAAGGAGAATTAAAACACCAACTCACGCCAACGCGCACGCGCGCCCACATGCCCACCCACACATGCAAGCGTAGATACTACTGTACATGGTCATGCACACATGCGCACTGGTCGTGAAATTGCTAGCTACCTACGTTGGTTTCCAGTGGTGCAACACTACATACTACACTAATGATCGTTGTTCTTGATAGCCATGTACCCAGAACGCGGCCAAGTCTAGTTGCGGCCCATCTGTTCGAATCAATCGCCCCGAGCCATTACAGACAATTTCTAAGAATCGTACTCCGTATACCCATCCAACCATCACGCAAATCGCATGCACATCACACTACGTATGTATGTACGGAGGTACATACCGCCTGCTTAGGGGCACACATGAGTTCTGAATTGTGGTTACCTCGCCCCATGAGAGAGACCCTTCAACCCTTCTCCCTCCCTCAACTTTCCAGCTTTCTCAATCTTCCACCTTCCAATTGTTAATATAGTCACACGAGGAAGCAAACAGGCTACAACAATTCGCAAACCATTCTATCACGTTTTTCGCTCTTACATCGATCGTCTTTCCCTTCTCTTCTCTTTTCTCCCCGAGCCGCGTCGCATGCTTTAGCGCCCGACTGCAGGGAAAAGGCGGTCCCGCAATGCACAGTGCACAGCACATATGGCATGTACAATGCTCGTACTGGTAGCCTGTCCTGTAAGTCACAGTTCACAGCCTACAAGGCACACAAGGCACGGCAATCATCGCACGCGACGACGGTGCGCGCCGCCCTACGCCTTAGTCCACCAGCACATACGAGTACACGGACAACTCGCTCATCCTTCAAGAAAAGAAAGTAATGAAGGATCGTCTCGGTTTTCCAACAATCGCTCATCTCTTCCCCAATAGCGTTCGATGTTCCCACGGAACGGACCTCAAGTTGGAGTTATTGTCTTTGGACTCCCATGGTCGGATCGCCGCATGTCGGATTAGAGCGTTCACATGCATTATGCTCCGTACATGTCATGATGATGATGAATGAATGATGGAAGATAGTAGGCGGCACAACGGTACGATGGGCGGGAATGGGAGATCCCCATCTCCCATATTCTATCTTTCATGTCCATCCCACCCCTGCATTCGACAGGTCTCGGTTTATCATTATCAATATCTCTAGAGGGAAGTAGTACAATTGTGGACGAGCCTCGATTGATGCTTAGTCGTTACCCACACAGAGACGGAACATTCGCGCAGGCGTCACCAGAAAACGTCTTTAGACACCTCGTAACTAGTCTAGTCCTTGCATCTATATTCACTTAAGTGGACGTACTTGTACGGAAGCTGGGCCGCATAGCTACATACCGAAAGCTGGGTAGGCGGGTAACAAACCATCTCGCTCCCATTACGAGTTGAGTCGCGCAACCACAGTTACGGTCGTGGCAGCGGTTATGCTACTACGGTACGGGGACGGGTACGCTACGGAGCGGATCGCCGAGCCAACCAACACTTATCTCAAAGTAGACCACAACCTAATCACCTCATATTTGTTCTGTCACTGTTGCCCTCGTAGACCTCGCTCTGTTCCCGGATAGATTCTTTGGATCTTGTATTTGAGTTGCCTACTGAAGTTTCGTATAAGGGTCTTTTTGACATACCCTCGTGCTGGGTTGCCTGGGAGTCGGCCGACTTTACCAATGATATATCAATTGAACATGTACACTTCGTGGAGTCTTAGGAAGCAAGTAAAGGCCCGAGTAGGGAACACGAATATGCGCAATGACACCAAGTTTACTTCTTCCTCGACTCATCTTCGGCGCTTTCAAATAGCGAAGCCAGATTTTGAAGAATGAGTTCCCTAACGCTCACGATAGTGTCTAGAGCTAATGGCTGATCAACATCCACCTATGGTTATGGCGTTTATTGTAGAATTATTCTTTTTAGCGCACTCAATTCTTATATAAGGAGACTGTCAATTTACATATGCATGCTGTGAGCCCTTCAATCTGCATCTACACGTTAAGAACTGAACGCACAGCTCACGAGATTCTCTGGCTTATTGCCACCCCAAGGTATCCTGAATACATGTAGATTATGAAATCTGTATCTTTACAGCCACTACCATTTTGTTCAAAATGGTTGGAGGGTTGTAAGGAGTAGAACATAGCTAATGCGATCTCATGTGCATGGTTAGTACAGGCTAGCAAATACTGATGGCGAATTTCTACTGTTGCAAACACCAACTGTGTATAATATCTCTAACGGTGAGTCTTAGTATGGGTCTCTATCACATTGTTGGCACATAAATGGCAGTTGGATGTGTACGTTCATTGCAAGATTGGGGAGCATGCAGCGTGCGCGTGTCCAGTGCTTGTTTCTACAAGTTGTATGGCGAGGACCACATGTATGCTATTCTATATTACGTGCATTCCATAGTACAAAGCAATGGATAGAGACGGATGGATAGATGAATGGACGGGTGGAGATTCGGAGAGTAGAGTGAAAGAGAGGGTGGTCAGCACGAACGCAAGGCAAAGTAAGGCAAGACAAGAAAAAGAAGTGACCGACGAGGCGAAATCGACGCAGCCGATGGTTAGGAAACGTTTGTAGAGGGTATGGCGTGCGAAATGATCCTGGGGAAAGGGACCGGAAGCCTCCGTACCGCACCCTGTATTGCCTTCGATCGGTGAGGGAGGGTACGGGCCATGAGCTGAGGCACATCTTGTGTACATCGCGGCCTTGGGCTGCGCAGGGCTGCGCACTGCAAATAGCTCAGATCGTAGGAAGTTTGGGTCCAACTCGATCGATGGTGGGAATGTTGCTCATGCGGGTTTCCTGGGGGCCAGGGTTCGGAGCGACCGAGACATCAGTATTGCTTGTAATATCGGAACCGTGGTGCTGCTATAGTGTGAGGTGTGGCCTGGAGTAGGGGAAAGTACTAAACTTCTCGGGCGGCGTCTGGTTTCGCGACCGAGAAAGTGCTAAATTGGGAAGGTAGATGTCACCATTGACAGTGCTACTCTATGAAGCCGTGGCGGCCGCAGTAGTCCTGTACGTGTCTTCGATGATCACTTTGTTGTGATGCAATGCAGTGACTTGAGGACGAAGGAATGGTCAGCTAATAGAGAGCATTGGCATACCTCCTAGGTTCCCACACCATGGGATATGCTCTGACATCGAACCGAAATCGCAAGTTTGGTTTACTTGATTGCTAAACATTGGTCATTGAATTTGACAATGTGATTGTCACAGAGTCCGCAGAAATGCGCCGTCCATTGAGCCTATAATACACGGCAATATGGTTCCTTGCTGCTGCACACCGGGGCGCGTGCTGTAGAATTGAGTTGGCACCTTAATACCGCTATTATACCCCTCATGGTTGTTGGCTAGGATGGCCGTTGTCTACAACGCAAGCATCATTGAAGTAGAGATCGCGCTTAACGACTCGAATTGGGCTCGGTACGAGAGCCGGCATGTATTGTATGCATCATGATTAATGTAAAATATGCGCAGAATGACATCTTGGGTTATATCAGCATCTGATATGGGAAGACTAACCTCCCAAAGCGTGTTGAAACTACTCCTAGCCCAGAACGTGGAGGCTCAAAACATGGTCTAACGGTCGACAATCGTCGTTGGTGTGTGATTGTGAACCTGCGACACGCTGGAAACATTGATATGGTGACTCGTCCTTTCTGCTACTAGTTACTGTGTATGCCCATGGATGACTATGCCGACAGTGGCTTGTCACCACTGTCCAGGCCGTTGTATGAGGTGGGGCACGACAATTAGAAGACCACTTGAGGCTATTGTTGATCTCTTCCGAGAGGCACACTCGAGAAGCTGGCTTTCATAAGACGTTGATTCCACTCAACCCAGCCTGTTGTTTCGACCGCATTGCATGAGGTTCTGTCACCAGAGCGGAGCTTCGATATCCGCGCAGAAACACCCTGTTACCAACCACAATATTTTTGTGCATTTGGGAGAAGAGAGGACATGTATGTTACATGTGTGTGACTGTCGGTTGCCAAGATTATGGATGTTACCAAAAGGCTAGAATGCACTGCAGAGCTGCGCAATGTATTTTCTCATTTATAGAACTAGGTCCAAGGCCTATATCGTGACTGATATAACGAAATGAATGGTCGTTGAAATCAGCCCCGCGGCTCTTTTCGCCGCAAAGACTGCATGCAAATAGACACACTATTCATCCCAAGAGCATGCAGCTTGTACGCCGGAGTTATCCTGCGGCTTGGCTAACATTGTACATGCCCGTGGTGTACATACGCAGTTACTGCTCCACCTTTCAAACCTCCCTCCTCTTGATTGTACAAGGCGCCCAATACTTGGTTAGCGCGCTGGTGAATATTCATGGAATAACATGCATAGTATCAGCTCTTACGTGCTCTTCATGAAGGCTATCCCATCAAGTCGCTCAGGTCCGCTGTCCACATAAATTGTTAGCGATGTTAGACATGAGCCTAGAGATCAACGCTACCGCTGAGCCATCAGTGGAATACGACCTCTGTTACACAAAGAGGTCGGTGGGGGCGCAAAGAAAATATCGAAAAAGGATGCAGATGACGTCCAGCACGCATTTCATTCTTGTCGCCATACATCATCGTGTACATCGTGTACACCGTATAAACACCCACCATCTGTTGTGAGTCTGACCGAACCCCTCCCTTGACTCGAGGAGCCGACCGTGCAAGCACTGGTTTCGCTTGCACACACAGTAAAGGGTAAATACAACTCCTGGCTATGTTGTTTCTGGAAGACAGCGTGCGAAAGGATTAAAGTTTTGAGTACATCCTGATCCACGTTCTACGGGCGTTCGACGATGGCCGCAGCGTGCCGACCCATGTTGGCCTCGTGACCGCCACGACTCGCGAGCGGGTAAAATCCTCGAGTTTACATCCATGCCCGAGACATTCTTGGATTCAGCGTTGGAGTCCGAACAAATCATGACTTGGAGTGCTCTACAATAAACCCTCTGAGCCAGTCGACAGGTTGGTTCACGACTAATAGGCGGGCCTGCCTACAATCAACTAGTACATACAGTCAAGCAGCTGTAGGAGGATATATCTGATAAAATATTGCCTAGGATCGCCCGCAATCACCGCGAAGGCACAACGTAAGGGTCCTAGTGAGAATGAAGGCCCGCAAAGATTGTGAAAGTGATGGGAGCATTCTGCATCTCGGGATGACTTGCACAAACCCCCCGCGGGACGTTGACGTTGGTTAGGGGGGAGGAAGGCATTAGTCTGGGATAACAAATTATAACATATCAAGAGAAGCCAGGCCAAGAAGAGAAACTGCCCGTACCACATGGTTGACTTGGTCCTCGAAGATGAAATCACAATGGCATCTACCCAGACAAGAAGACTGAACGTGAGAAGAAAGGTAATACACTGTACACAGATTGTGTATTCATAACCTCCACAGCAGTCTCGAGGGCGCAAGCTGACATGCGCAGTCAGTGACCAAAGGCTCTGACAGCATGGTATGCCGCTCCGTCGGGAACTAAGCTGAAATCTTGGATTTCTCAAACGGTGAGGCAGCTGATCTGCAGCGTCCTGCGCATATATGCACCCGAGTGGAAGATGATCCACACAGTCCTAGTACGCACTGTACTGTCTGTGGTAGCTTCTGAAGTCGGATGCGAAAGGACATCGGGCTTCATGAAAGATGCCGGGTCATCCTGAGTCAAGGGACGACTATTTCAAGTTCTAATAGGTTGCATTTCGCCTGACATTCAGGCTTAGACTCCTCAAGGGATGTGATGGAAAACTTTCAGAAAAAATATGTGCCAACCCTGGTCGACAGGCTGAACAAAGCGCGTAAAATGCCGATGCACGCTCAGTTAGTACCGAATGTACCCGGCCGTCGACCATGAAGCTAGAGCACGCAATACTGGATAAATACAGCACCTGGACCTAGGCACCTACTGTAGTTAGTAGTTAGACTGGTGAAGAGGGATGGTTGAGTCAGGAACCGGAGCCATCGGACCTCAGTTAGGGTGCGGGGCAAGCAATGACAGGAGAGACTTGCAAGGACAAGGTCTACAAAAACCATCAAAGCAGAAATTTCTTCTGTAGAGCGCCTGCTCCTGTACCTATTGCAGTGTGCACTGGGTATTCAGGCCTGCCGCCTGCCATTCTCCGCATGCATGGCGCTGAAGCACGAGGCGTCAGTTTACCTGATGCAGGAGGGCGTGCAGATTGAACACACCCACAGTATGATGGTATGGTACGGAGTAGTAAGTTATTAGTCGTAATGCGTGCAGGCGCATGCAAAGGTACTATTATGCCCTACTTGCGTGTACTTGTACAGTAGGCACGCTCCGTAGGGAGTCCTTGTCCTAGAGTACTGTGACATTTCCTATGAGTTGCTTGCAATGATGGATGATGACGCGCAAAGGTGGACCCTTGCCAGGGAACATCCACGCTTCATCTCGTTTGGAGAGAGATGCTAAATGAGGAGTGGTGCGATCCCGAGGAGTTGGGCCAGGAGGCGGAGGCTTCTGTGCGCGTGCGGTGTAAGATTTGCGGCACGCATGCTGCGGCAAAAGAGGCGATGGCCCTCGTGCTGACTGCTGAGTCCTGTCCTGTCCTGTCCTGTTCCAGGGCCTCTTGGGCGTAGATAACACCGCACAGTATACCGTACGACCACAGTAGTAACGAGTGCTGGTGGTGCATGCCCTGTAACTGTAGGTTGTAAGTACATACTCGGTACCTACCTACCTACGTTCTGTAGTTACATGTATGTACGGAGTACTCTGTACATATGTACTGCATGCTACAGATGGTATTAGTGGAATATGCTCGCCATGTGATGTGCCAGACGGAGTGCATGGAGGAGGGGAAGGGAGCCTCAAGAGTGGAACGGAGAGGAAGGGCGGAACCAACCAGGCGGGTCGAGAAACAGGTGGAGGATGTGATGGTGGAAGGGATTAGGAGCAGTAGTTGGAACTTAGCGGTGTTAATTAATGCTGGTCTGTACGGAGACGTACTACTTCGTAGCTAGCATATTCATGTATTAGTAGTATTCGTATGTTGGTCAGCGGAGCGGGTTGGGTCGCGGGCGACGGGACAGACGGTTGAACGATTTGGGGGCAGGAATCCTGGGAGAGATTAAACGCTCGCGTCAACATACGGTAGAGTAATCGGGTGCACACTGCACAGTGCTTGTATCGTTGTACGGAGTACACAGCACCGAGTAACTACACAGTACTACCTCGTCATTAGAAGAGAATCCGAGCAGACCCTGAGAAGGTGAGGTGAGTACGGAATATTGAGAGTAGATAGACTCAACATGGAGTGGAGTATTCCTCTGCAGACTCCAGAGGGGAGGCTTCTGCACTGGGTGGTCTACAGGTAATAACCCAGTCTACAAAGTAGTATGATGGACGATCTAGGATGGGGTCAGTCGTATGAAACAGCCCCCCAACCAACATAGGTATACTGTGCAAGTATACAAGGTATTACACGCCTCCCAAGGTACTCCATATAGTAAACAAGTACGGAGTAGACTCCCATACACACGAACGTACTCCTTAATGTATACTCACTTGGTACTTCGTACTGTAAAGCTGGCAGTCCAGTTCGGTTGACTGTGTTCGTCATTATCACCGCAGCGTCGTCGGCGGAGGTTATTGTCGTTCATCTTACGAGTATCCATCAACCCGTCTGTCCATTCATCCTTTCAATAATTGATTGCATAGGGCGGATGGCGGAACGGCGGATCAAGGTCCACGCGTGCCACGGTGTCGGGCTACCTACCCAAACCACACCATAGCCACTGATTACATGTACATACAAGTAGCTCAGTCAGTTGTTGACGTTTGGAAGGAGGCTCTCTTGGGCGGCCGAACCCTTGGTCACCCTGATCGACACCCCTGCTCGCTCCAAGTAGTGTTTCCCTCGACCTGTGTTCTGGTTTATCTCTTATAGCGATTTATCGTTCTATAGGAATGCAGTAGATATATGCCTGTCTTGAGGGCTCCATTTACTCTAGACGAAGCATTCGTCACTACGGGTAGCAAAGGATTTGACAAGAACCAAGTCAATGGTGTTGGCTTCTCATTCAAAAACCGGGGATTCGGTACTAGTGGGGAGGGCATCCCATTCGGGGTACCTATCAGCAAGCTATGGGACGAATACGACAGATTTACGCAGATACCTACTGCATAAAACAAGTAAACAGCAATTCCTTTGTGACCGGCAAGCTACTTACGTACACATACAAGTAGAGACATACGCGTTACAGAGTATACACAGTGGCAGGAAAGGAAATGATGATGATAAGTGACGAAGGACGAGCATGAGTGACGAATGATCTGTGGTGTGTGTGACGTATGATGTTTGACAAGTGCTGTGGGATGTGGGATGTGCAGGATAGACTTGGCGGGTATCGACATGCCATCGACCAAGAATGGCAACAAAAAAATGAAAAGAAAAGCCCATAACCCATCACGATATGGAAATTGGGCAAGGTTTTCTTATAGTGTTGTGTTGATGGGCTTTTACAAAGAACTGCCACATTAATGGCGTAATGTGCTCGTACACACACATTCACACATACCTAACACAAGTGCATCCTCCGTACGGAGTACAAGAGCACAAATAGGTACTCTGTAGTTGCACTCGCACCAGTGTGACTGGCTAAGTCAACGTCCGTGTTGTGAACAAGGTCATTCACCAACAAAAAACGCGACCTCCGCTCTGTAATTGGTCACGGAATGTCCTGTTCGGTTAAAACGAAGAGAAGAGTTATCTACTTGTACGGAGTACGGAGTTCCCACTTCCTTGTACATATGAGAGATCATGGAAGGACCGACTAGAAAAATTCTTCCGATCCATCCATACCGTGATCATATCCCTGCGCACCCTTGGTGATCAAAACGACGAATGAAGTATCTCGTAGAGCAAAGCGCGCAGCAGAGAAAAGGCCACTCACTTGAAATGCACCTGCATGTACAGAGTACATACCGTGTATACTTCAACACTCCGTCTGTACGACGTGCTTGTACATATCTCTGAAGAAAGAGTACGGAGTATTCCGTACATATTAGTGGAGGGATTTTCGGGAGTTGAGCCAATGAGAAAAGGTCGGGGCACTGGGGAATATGCTCAAAATACAGAATAATGCAGGTAATGCACGTCGTGCAGCAGGACAAGATGATCACACACGCACAAATGCACCAATGCACCAATGCATACAATACACTAGAGCAATACTAACCGGTACATACGACATGCACACGGACTGTCAAACAGACAATGCAGGCAGAGGCGAGGCGAGGCGAGGCGAGGTTCGAACTACAGGGGGCGGAAAGGGATGGGTGGACACTAGATGGGTTGAAGGCTTGAAGCATGCAGGCGATGCGGACAAATCCCTGAAGCCCATGATCCATGGTCCCATACCATCATTCATCTTGTTGCTTGTACGGTACAGCTTACTCCATATCTACTCCGTACTGTACTTCGCCCACACAATTTCGATACCAACCCCTTCCACTGTACAGCTGAACAAATGTCCACTCTAGCCCCTATAGTCTCTATTATTGCCAATACGGATGTATAATACGGAGCATGGCAAGACACGATACGATACGATACGATACTCCGTACGGAGTACACACAGTAGCCTGGTAGGTATGCTCATTGCAGGCCCTCTCAGCACATGACCTGGCGTACATGTAGCCAGGGGGTGTGTACAGGGATCTCAAGATTCCTCTCCCGACAGAACCTAGAGACTCCGTACTGTGTAGTTAATGTGCCTCATTGTTGTTTTCGAACCTGTACTCCGTATACCTGCTCACCTGGTGTTTGTGTTTGGAATCTACAGTAACTCGCTGGACTTGGATTCTCTCTTTCAGGTGGCGATGAGGACGCACATACTGTGTACATACACGGTAGAGCTAGTAAGGTCTCACATTGTAATTATATTGTAGGATTGTACGGAGTACTCCGCACTTGTTGAGTAGAATTAGACGCTGGTGATGGGCCGGCAAATCGAGGTGTTGGGTTGGGTTGTGCCTCATCACCTGCCATACCATACACACACAGTATGGCAAAGGTACGTAACTAGGTACTCCCTCCGTACACAGTAAACCCATTACCGAATTACGCCTGAATTTAAAACACATCCAATCCACACTGTCATCACATCTAAACATCATCTCCCCCTTCTCCAATCATTAACGTAGTTGTTCGTTTTCCGCACCTCGTACATCGTTCACCATTAACGGCCATTCCCATATTGTACATCCATCCCATCCTTAGCCAAGCGCAGCGATTCAACCCCCCCCCAACGCTTCCATCTTCTGTACATACTATAATACTGACTATAGAGTACTTACTGTGCACGGAGTGGTCTTGTACATATGATTACCGAGAGGCATGGAATTGGGACTTGTCGGTCGCGTGGGGCGAATTCGTCTATGCTGTGACCTGTCCTGTATCGCGCCTCGGTCTGTCTCTTCTGTGCCCAATCTTACCCTTAGGTACCTGTTAGTTACTTCAATCATCTCATTCGACTTTATGAAGTACATCATCTCATCTCATTGCATCGCATCGCACGGAGTGGTCACTCCGGAAGCCCTGTTGTTCCATCTATGAACAGTATTCTACAACCTACTATTGACGCCTGGCGACTCTCTTTCCCTCAATTTGCAACGCTTCTTCCGCGCCAACCGCGATCCTGTCTTTGTGCACTTGTCGGTCCGGTTGTCGAACTCTTGCGACTTCTGTCGGCGTGCCTGACCTTCATGAAACATGACCCGGACCCTACTGGCAATCACTCCATACATTTTTAATGCATCCTGACTCGGGAAACCCCCCACGTCCAACGGCCATAATAACGAACAGCTAGTCTTTCATTCATACCATGGAAAAATCACTGTTGACGTATGCGGACGTCTCCATGCTAATTCAATCGTGAACGATGCTTCTATCTGCCTCTCTCTGCGACAGGCATCCACTCCACCGACAAAGTAAATCGATGGAAATCCTGAAAAGAGAGGTTTCTTTTCTGTTCATCTTCCAACACTTATTTCTCTTCTCTCCATCCATTCATCTCCATCCATTCCTACACAGTAGTCCTCGTTCCTCGTCCTTAAATAGTATTCATAGCGAATCACTTCTCCTGTCCGTTCCCCAATGGCTTGATTATTCATCCACGATCTAGGTGACGGTGGCGTTGAACTTCGCTTGACGTATGCGAACCGCCTGGGGTTGGGATTTGTACATGAATGGATGGATGGATACTCCGTACTATTTAGGTAGATTCAAGAGATAGGGGTGGTATACGTACTGGGTATCGTAGTCGTGGACTCATGTGTCGTGCGTTGTCGTGGGTGCGGAACCATCTATTACACAGTCTTGACCAATCCTTCGCAGCCCGAGGAGGCAGTTTCATTTTCCATGTCTATCTTGGATTCGAACATGACGTGATAATTCCCCCAGCGACTACTGTATGCATGCCCAATTTCACGACGATGAGCCAGAGTCGAAATTGTGCTACAAGTACGGACTACCTACCCAGGTGTATGGGTGCTTCCCCACACCCTAGATCGAACGCCCTATCCCGACCCAGGGTTTTGGTAAAGCTACGCAGAACCAGAGATCCAGCGACGGCCTCTAACCGGGGTCTTTTGTTATTCAATGCACTCTACTCCATACTCCGTACCTAATCTCTACCGAGTACATATCGAACTAGAGAGATTAGGTAGAAATAGAGGCGACGGTCAACCGATCATAATTCAAGCATGATTTGGACGGGGCGAGGCAAGGGAAAGGGAAGGGTTCCGCACAGGCCAGTTCGAGGTGAAGTCGGGACGGGGACGGGGATCAATTTCAAGGTCAGATCAGCTCAGGTCCCACTGTCCTACAAGTATGTACAAGTAGGTAGGTCAGGTCAGTCGAGGCACTATTCGGGCATGCTCATTTCGACGAATAATGAAGGCAACTACAAGTACGAAGTACGGAGTACTACTGGATACGCGATAACTACTTGCGCTGCGGGTACGGAAGGGTACGGGATCGATATGTAGCTAAGATGCTAAGGATTCTCCTAAGCCGATAAATCGAACGATTGATTGGCATCGATTGGTATGGTACTCCATACAAGTACTTGGGTAATTTAGGTAGTTAGTTGGTCGTCGCAAGCAGCGGGTGACGATGTGGTCGTGAGTCTTGATCTTGAGTGGTGAGTGGGTCATTGCTGTCGTTGTTGATATTGTCCTCGTCGCCTTTACAAGTACTAGTACGAGGTATGTATGTACTGTGTAACATTGCTTCTCATACCTTCAACTCTATCGGCCCATCCTTGTTAGTCGCGTTGTTGTTATTGCTGGTGCTGCTGGTCAATGGTCATCGCTGCGCCAAAGACGCAATCCGGGAAGCCTGTGGGAGGCGAGAAAAGAGGAGCCACGAACTAGGAATAAGGAAGTGAATTGAGGAGGGTGATTAATCCAACAATAATGCTTGCGGTAAGCCTCTTCCGCACGACTACGGGGTACCACCCTGACGGAGACGGCATAGTGGAGATAGATACTTGGGGAGTGCTGTACCTGCCAGCAATTACCTCACGGTCTTGCGCACGTACTGTGCGTTATGGCCGACGTGGATATAATTGATGAATACTTGCTATGCGACATGCGCAAAGTGCTCTGCAGGTGGGAGTGCACGAGATGCTCGTGGTGGAGAGAGGTTGGGAAAACATCGTCGTTTTGCACTATGAGAGACTTTGTGCCTTCATACATTACTTGAGTGATGCGGTGCATATAAGCTAATAGATATGTGGAATGGCACGGTGATGTGACAGCTCTTCTGTATACTACCGGTGACGAGATGCTGTAAGGTAGATGGGTGCAGAGTACGTTGCTTTTGTGGTGCAACAACAGACTTTGCACTTTGCTGCGCTTGCGTCGCTTTTGGGGATAATCCACGTCAGTTGGATGTTGCAACATCTCACACACCGCAATATTGTACGGAGTAGTTACATGTTAATCAAATGACAAAGCCCAGGAATGGCATGGCCTGGCACTGGTAACCACAACCTGCCCGTCTCCCGTCTTCCGCGCATAGTGCCACCACCACCACCACCATGTCCATCACCACCATCACCACCTTGCAGTAGCGCAACGCTGGCGCCGGAGCGCTGGACGAGAAGGCGGCGGTCATTTCTCGGGTATCTAGTGGGTTTTCTTTTCTTTTCTTTTCTTTTTCTTTTTCTTTTCTTTCTTCGTTGATTCCATCATTGAAGAGGTGTGCTCATAGAGTATGCACACAGACCGCCTACTATTTGCGCAAGTTATGTATGTAATGTACATGTACATATTCCGTACATAATTCCATACAACCGTTATACAGCGTTTCGAAAAAGCGCCCGAGAGGAGAGAAAAGGTTCGGTGACAGGCAAAGTACTACGTACAGCACGAATGTGCTTGTAATCGTATGTACCGCTTGGACAGATGGATGGATGCAATCTGGTCGGATACGTTCAATTCTATGGTTGGCATCGTCTCCCGACTACGGTGTACTTGGAGACCGCTTCTTGCACTGGCGGTATTTTCACGGTGTTACTGGTCATTTTGTACTCCGTACATGCACACACACGCACGCAAAGTACGGAGTAGAGTGTATCTACGTACCTATGTAGGCAGATAGTTTAATTACCACAGAGGAGAGTGGCTGGGCAGACTACAGATCTCTATACATACAACTTACAAGTATGTATGTCCGTACACAGTTCTTTATACACTTGTAGATAGATAATACTGGTAGTTGACCCCGGTTGATCTGATTACAAAGTACCTCTGTACCTACATACTGCACTCCGTACGGCGCACCGCAGTACATACTTATACATGTGTTCGTATTCATACTACGAGGTAGCACGATTCCACCACAACCCGGGAATTCTAGGTTAGACTTACCACAAGAATTTAGTATCAGCCTGCCCAGCCATGAGCAGCATGTCATGTCCCCTCCCCTCCCCTCCCTCCCCAGCTTACCCCCGGTAATGGCTTTGCTTCCAGGGGGTCATGGATCAAGGGTCAAGGATTCAAGGATCAAGGATCAAGGATTACGGATTACGGATCATGGATTCATCATTCATGGACTCATGGACTCATGGATCATAGACTCAAGGATCATGGATCATGGATCATGGATCATGGATCATGGAATCCCTCCATCTGTGTTATTCTCTATTCCTCCCTCGCTTTCTTCCCTCGCCCTCGCCCCCCATGTGCCATGCATGCCACCCACCAACCCTCCCTCTTCCCCCCATCCCCCCCCTCCCTCTTCCCCCCCCCAACAATGCTTGTCACCAACTACTGCATCGTCGAAGGAGTCGATGCGTCGTCTACGTGCTCCGCACTGCGCAGAACACCGCCAACAGGGAAGTCGGATGGTCTTTGCTGGCGAGTCCCTTCTGGCGGGCCTGGCATGGACCATCGCCCGCCATGCTCTGTATCCACTACTGTTCGTGATTTGCTTGGGCACTGGACCAGAGGCTGATCCCTTGTTCTCAACCTCACCGCACATTTCTCCCTCATCTTTTATTATATCATGGGCTGGCCCCTGCTCCTTCGTCTCGTGGTCACGGGCAGATATACCCTTCCTATTCCCCCCCAAAGTGCTTGTGCCCCAAATACCAGCTCCAGTCTACCACGCTCTACCCACATACAACTCCATACCTAGGTCTTCAGTACTACATCAACGCGCTCTACACCTCCTCCCAATCCACACGCCCAACCCTCCTCCCTCCTCATCGTTGTCATCGCTGCAGTTGGTCGTTTCTGTCGTTGACAGTTCTTTTGTTCCCTCCTTGTGGGGCAAACCATGGCATTTGGTTTCGACGCCTGATCCGTAAAACGCCGTCGATTTCTTCCCAATTACCCAGCGTCAACCTCATCTTGTCATTCAAGGTCTTGCCCTCGTTTGAAACTAGAGATCCTCTTAGTTGGTCTTCTTATCAACCTTCTCTACAGTTTTTCGGGTCGTTGTCTACACGGCGACCCAATTGAATAGCATTCAATCTGGCTACCCAAACTCTTCCCGCAATCCGGACCCCTCACGCTCATTACCCGCACCATATCCAGGCCTCACTGACACCTCCATATAATAACGATCCAAAATCGTTCTTGGATCGATCTCCGCCACTTTTTCAGTCTGGCCTTGCGGAGCCGGACCGCTCATGGTTGGGGCATCAAAGCCATAAGCGCTCTGACGAACAGACTCTGATGTCGCGGCCGACCGTGCCAGGCTCTCAATCAAGCACCGTAGATGATGCATCGAGACGGATTCAGCAAGGCACCCCTCAGACCTCCCCATCGCTCATGCCCGGAATGAGCCACTTGCAGAGGAACAGCCCGCACCCGGGGGTCCCCCAAATGATATCTCTTCCTCCACTGCGCCAGATGTCTGGCACACCACCAACACCGTCATCGGAGCGACGACCAGGAAATCCGCTTGGTGTTCGATCCATTCTCAATCCCGAGGCCGAGATGTTGGAGCATAGGAAAAGGGCTTCCTCTCAGATGGGGTCTCCCTCACCAATCGAGACGCAACCCTCGACGAGTCTTCCGTCCATCAGCCGGCCGACAAGTGTGGATTCGATACAGGAAGACATGCCATCCTCCAGGGCATTCCCACCACCACCACCAAAGCTGCCACACAGACACATGTTAAGCCCACGATCACCAACACTTCATAGGACGCAGAGTCTGGGCACGTTGAAGCCGCCAACCGGAACAATTGACGCTCACCAATCGCCTTTCCTAGGCGGAGCACCATTGTCCTCCCATCCGGCTCTTCCCACCCCGCCGGTTGGGGCGAGGGCGACCTATTTCCCCACGGTGCCAGCGGCTCCTACGCCACCTCCTGGTGGCATGCGCAATGGCAACGAGCCACGCCGACCGAGCCTAAGCTTTCCGCAGTCTGGTAGTGCGAGTCCCATTGCCAACTATTCGCCCTATAGCCAACCTGCATCGGTAGCATCCAGCCAGCACGAAGGTCCTAGTCCTCATCATTCGTACCATGGTGGTGGAGGACTAGGGTCTGCTAGCAATGGGCAATCGTACGAATACAGTCCCTCCATCGCCATGGAGACGGAGCGGAGCCTCATCCCCATGGCACCGTCCGGACAAAGCACCATTCAGATGATGACGATCAAGAGCCAGCAGGGCCACCACGTACAGATCCCTGTCGACGTCCAGGCTGCTTCCAAAGTGGCTGATGAGAAGAGGAAGCGCAATGCAGGCGCGTCGGCACGATTCCGGGCCCGCAGAAAGGAGAAGGAACGTGAGGCCTCCCAGAGCATTCATCGTCTCGAACATCAACTCCGCGAAGCCGCCGAAGATGTCGACTTCTACCGTACCGAGCGCGACTATTTCAAGTCTATCGTCTTGCAGCAACCCGGTGCTGAGCGACACTACGCTCGTCAACCCTCCCCGCGACTCAGGCGTCTCTCCGTGGCTCCGTCTAACACTCCTTCATCCACCCGCGGCGGCTCTGTGGATTCATTCTCGGGCCCTGAGGAGTATGATGATCCTCGAGAGTCAGAACGCAATGTCAGACGCAGGACAAGCAGCTACCATCCTATTCCAGGGCCACACCACTCTCAGGGTCTCCAGGGTCTTTCAGGTCCGCCTGCCCCTCCGCCTCCTCCTCAACACATGGCACCTCATGCTCCTCCTCACGCGCCTTCACAATCTCACTTGAATGGCTCTCTCTCCATGCAAGGTCCCTCAAGCCAGTCGTACTCGGTGACCGCCGCTTCCTTTCCTCCGATCAACCACCAATCCCATGGCCAACAGAGTGCTCGACCGCCATCTGGGTCTCCATACGATCCTAGAGATCATCCAACATCTGGGACCCCGCGACCTGGTTTCCGCGATCCCTTTGCATCCGATGCCTCCAGGCACGGCATGTCCCCTTCGAATTGGGCATCGGGACCGGCACACCACGACAGGTCTTGAACCATTACCTTTGCGTCAGACGCATTCTATTCTATTCCATTCCACCATGTACGCCTGCCGGCCTTTCACTTCATACACCGTTTCAATTTCATTCCTTGTGTCTTTCTTGATACCCGACAATAGCAACAGTGGCTATCTGTGCATTTCTGCGTTATCTTCCTGGGCGGTTCGACTCCTATTCATGTACCATGTGTCGTACTCGGCCTAGCTCCACCTCTACCAAGTGCGAATCTGCATTGGGCGGCATTTCCTAATCTCTATTTTCCAACTGTAAGCATGCAGTACGAAAACACTACACCCCATTACGGGACTGCACATCTCTCGAAATTTTCCTTGCATTGTTCTCTGAACTGTCAATGTGTCTCGCAGCTCGAGACCGGACGCTAGAATGCTAAGTCCTCGCGGACGCATCGTACTTCTTCATACACATATACTCTTAGCATATTCAGATTGTCCTTGGGACTGGAAGGTGCCAAAATTGGCCGCCGCAAATCATACGTTTTCTATTGTATATTACTATATTATAACGAGGCCTTTGTTCCCAAGGCAGGCCTCGATCGAAGCAATAGGCTTTGGGTCAATTTTATTCTGCTTCGGCAATCAAGTATCAAGTGTGTCATATTTTCTTGGAAACCCATCCATCTACACCACAGGAAACTATAATCTTTGGCGATCGGCTCGGTCCGACTCCTCATAACAGTTGAACCAACTTTCTCACGCTTGGACTGGAAGATGGTCAACTCTACTAATGTCACCCCATACAGACGGACTACGCTCGTATAATACATGTAAGTACTCCAACAAGAAGAAGGAACCTTGAGGATGGTAATCGCTGAGGGCTACCTTGGCCTATGTCGTATCGCCTTTCTCTTCCATTTCTTGCAATCTCTTCCAATGAAATGTTTCTGCACCATGGAACTGGCCCCATTCGCCATGCCACCGAGGCCGCCCTCCATCGGATCTGCGCCAAAACGACCCACCCTTAGGCCACGAGGCTTTCGGAGCAACCACCTGTCGGACTACTGGCAGGAGAATTTTGCACCACTGGGCACATACATAACCGCGGTTTGTTGTGTCTCGGGGAGACGGGACGGTAGTTAGTGAGCGCCGGTACGTGGTATCTAATCGTTAGTTACGACGTATGGGAGATAGTCTTCAACACAGAACGGCGCGTTCAGGAGGCTAATGAAAGCACCGGCGTCCAAGTTGATGATAGAATCAGAGATGTTTCATGCCTCCGCACCTGACCGGGGGCTAGGCAGAGTTGTAGGAGATGAGACGAATGAAAGGGACGAAGAATGAAAAAGAGCATTACATTACTGTCGTGCACAAATGCATGGCATGAGGCGCCACAGATCTGCGCTTCTAGGAAAACAGGACCGGCTCGAGCGGCTGCAAAGATTCGAACAGGAGAATGTGATGGACAGTAGCCCTTTGGGAGTCAACCAAGTTTGCCCCTGAGACATCATGGTGTTCGACTATGTAAAGGACCGAATCCATGGTGTTATCGTCAAGTGACAAGACAAGCACTACATACCCGTATCAGGTGAACTGCTTACCCATTGGGCCATTGCGCCATGATTATTTATTCAGATACGAAGGATGAGGGCCATTTGCACAAGTGCTGGGATTAAAGACGCACCCGCAACACTTGCATGAGCTCCAGCCATTGATCTTCGCGGCAGTTTCGACTCACAATGCAAGTACACAGTAATTAATGGAACCGAGTGCACCAATCGGCCTTGTAATGACTTTGAAGAGCTGGCTTGCAAAGTATTCGCACGGCGCACTTCTACTCGTAAGTATACCTTCACACACACCCACACCTTCTCGTACAGTGCAGTTAGGGAGTACTCCGTACACATGTGGATGACAAGCCACCGGAGCTGGCTCCGGTGCGGCCCGATGGTGTTGGAATCCCATAGGTTCACCGATGGGCAACGTTGTGCCGGCGCAATCTTGAACTCTAATCCCGCCGAACAATGTTGGGCCGTTAGATGGTATGGTGTACTATGCAGGCCAGGTTGGAACGTACTTGTAGCCTGTAGGTAACTGATATGCAGTTTCGCTGGATGTTCCCAAAGTTACATGCAGCAAAAGGAGGGTTACCTTTCCTGTCAGCAATAATAATGAAATCTCTCCATGCACCATACTTACTTAGTGCATATGTAAATACATGCGGTGAGCATCAAATGTCGGCAGAAGAACGATGAAGGCAAGTACATACAATACTTGTGGTCAGGCTGAAATGCAAGGTTTCCCCAGCATACGGACACCCGGAGCTCACTCAAATTGTGGGTACATCCATACCTGTACAAGTACATACATTTCTTTCGCGTATGAAGACGTTACTCGACTCGCTACTCCGTACATAACACAAGTCCGTAGGAGTCAGGACCTACCGTCTTTGAGCCCTGGACTGAAAGGTCCCAGTAGTGGCACTCAGTAGTGCCCACGCAGCATCATGGCACGCCAAGTGAACGAAACGGCGCATTTACGATGGGTCGAAACCTTGGTCTCAGGGCTCCATCCCAAGTGTCTGTCACCAGCCCAGCGCCGCCGGTCGTTAGTATAGCGCGCCCGATCGTCGCCAAAAGGGCGCCGTCTGGCTACGGAGTACTGTGTACCATTTCATCGAGGACCCACGTTTTTGCGCTCTCGGCGGCTGTCTTCCCCGTTAGCTAGTGGGAGAGCCCGTAGCCATTTTTGGAAAGCAAAGTAGTTCTGTAGGGTTTAGATTCCTACAAAGAACGAGGACGAGTATGTAGGCGTGCACGCGTGGTAGGGTACCTAGTACTTGAACAAGTATACACGGATAGCTAGGTACACACTGACAAAGAACTTGTAACCCACCTGGTACCCCCAGGGGTAAGGAAATCATTGGGTCGGTCATACAGGAATACTAGAACAAAGATTGGGCATGCGGATCCTGCAAAAAATTAGATTTCCAAGTTGGAAAGCGTGGGTAATCGACGTGTAGCCTGCGGTTTTTTTATTGGTTTTTCTTTTCTTTTTTTTGCCACTGACAAGTGGTTGATGAGGCTTCAGGTGCAACAATATTGGAAACCTGCAACTACAGCTGTGATCTTACCGTCATTGGCCGCAGCCTTTTTTTTCATTGGGATGACATGCATACAGGCTTGCATGCCTCTAAAGTCTCGTGATCTTCTGACAATGTGCCAGTTGTGCCCGAGCCAGAAGGAGCGTGCAGTGCAAGAAGCCAATCTAAGACCAGGGGGTTGAGCAGAAGCATAGAGAAGGTAAAAAGAGCAAAGTACTCCGTATAAGGACAAGAACGAGACGAAGATAGTAGTCTTGATAGCGACTGGAGTAGTTACTGACTGGTTTAACTTACTCGTAGACGGGACGAGCAGGCTTCCAGCACGATTAATTGCGCTGCGCCCGTTTTATCTTGTCACCCTTCGCCTTCCGATGGGGTCGACCGGCAGGATGCATATCTCGCAGTACTACTTGTAAATTTCTCGACTCGATTCGACCTAACCCAGCCCAAAAACCCGAAAGTCATGATGGGCGGACGTATGACATGGCATTGTCTTGACACTTGCGAGTACTCTGTATTCGCGACCGAATTTATCCAGCCTACAATAACACGTCGATCGCTCAATGATTAACGGGGAACTACTCCGTATCCAGTGGAACTACAGTCACCAAGTATTACTTAGCCACACAGTATGTTCTGCCAACGCATCGAAGCCAACTCCGTACACACACATTCCGATATGCACGACGTATGTAGTGGAGAGGTGGAGGGATGGTGCACAGAGTGACTAGACCAGGTCATACATACGCAAGGCAAAGGCAAAGGCATGACATGACATGGATCTTGTATGGTATGGTTACTATGAGTACTTAGTGTTCGTAGTTAGGAGTATCTACATATCAGATGTGGTATGGGTATGGGTATGGGACCATGGGTATGGCATCACTACCGCTTCCCCGCGTGCTGCAACGATTATCGACCACCGACAGGTAACCTACACCGCTCCTTTCCAACTTTTTTTCTTTCTTTCGTACCTACAATTTTTTTTATTCTATTCTTTCTAGGTTCTACATACAAGCACTTGCTCCATGGATGTGTACCACCGGGTACGCATGTAGTCATCTCTTTCTCTCGTTATGTGCTCTGGTTATGCGCGTCGATCGTTCACTCTACAACATAATCAACCCAGCGTGGGGTTTTCCTTCTCGTCCCTAGCCATGCGCAACTGATTCACTCCACCGCCGACACTGACACCGACACTAACACGCCGCGCACGTCGTGTTGGGTTGCGGTACTCAACATCATCGTGTATGTATCGCCATGACTCGGCAAGTAGAACTGCCTCCAGTAGTGTGTGCTCCGTACGTGGTACTCTGTAGTCTATACATGCATTTAGTGCGACTGACGATTCTCGTGCTAATGAACATTCTGTACGGAGTAAGAACAATGATGATGATACTCCAAACAGAACAGAACATTCATCATGATCCAGCCAACTACTTGTATTGGCACCCGCCTAGCTCAATCCACCACGGGGCGTCCTCGCGTCCTCGCGTCCTCGCGTCCTCTGAACACTGCCTATCGCGGTAGTATGCACTTGTGCTGTGTAGGCAGCGAATCCGCGTAGTGTGTAACACTACTGTATGTACATGTATGTACTCCGTACAGTAAATACACTATGTATGTAGGTGATGTGGAACTACAACCTGCATGCTCGTCCCATGTGGTTGGATGTCGGATGCATGGGTTTTGGTCCACATCCCGTAAGCATGGCCCCCCCTCCCTCCAGGTCGAGGGTCTTTGCATTTGCATTTCCATTTCTATTTCCACGCCATGTCAATATCCAGACAGGGAATCCCTTTGGCGGCTAGGCGACAAGTAAGAGGCAGATCCAGTGGAGCTACAGAGTACTGTGTATACATACACTGTCACATAAACGTCAACTACAAGCACCAGTAGATTATAACTACATCCAAGGCCATGCCGCAAACCGCGAGGCACAGTTCTTCTCCTGCTGAGCCTGCAACCGCAGCACGTTAGCCTAGAGACCTACCACTAGGTACAGAGTATGGAGGAGATAAGCCCCAACCTCATCATCCAGAAGAAGGGAAAGAAAAGAGAGCCTTATCCTCGGCGTCCATGTTGTGTATGGCCCAAACCAGAGGCCCAGGTCAGGAAATGCTATCCCTATCCCATGATCCTGGTGAATTGCCTTGTGGCCATTTTCCACAATCTAACGGTACTCCGTACTCCGTCACCACGCCCTCTTTCCATTCGATCCGCCCTGTTTCATTGTTCGGGCGATGGGCCTGCATGCTCATCACGGTCCGCCAGGTCATGCCCACCATGGCTGTCACAAATGATCGAAACCATACTCGGTATATACTTGTACTCCATACTGTGTGCTGTGTGCTATGTACTGTGCACCTATCTACCTACCGCGAGGTCTAAGCAGAAGTCCGTACTCGATGGTATAGGGAGTATTACACAGTATTTACCTAGGAAGTCAATGCAACATGCAACGTCCTGCTATCCGATCACCCACACGCAGAGTGATGTCTGTCACGCGCGCCCCAGAAAGATGGATCGGGAAGGCGCTGAATCTCGTGTACTGGGTCTTCACCGTTTTCCCTTGTGTCGGTAACTTATCTCGTCCTCTAGTTCCAAGTATGGGTACAAGTATGAGTACAAGTACTCCGTACTTACTCCAAGTCCTGTAACTACCGACAATACGAGGTAGTAGGTACCTCTGTAGGTACAAGGACTGTATCATTATGGCTGCATGATCCAACTCAACGCACCCGCCTGAGTCAGATGGGCGCGCGCGCGGGCACGGCACGTCGCCGTCCGTCACCGTCCGTCGTCCAGACAGAAACAAGAATAAGACGGGTAGACGGGGCGTAAAACAATTCCTCAATACACCTTGATACTGGTTACTATACATTCGATACTCTGCACATGGCTATAACTAGCTAGGTAGCTAAAGTTACTAACCGGGCCAACCTCTCTATCTACCTTTTTACCTACGTGCCGACCGAGGGGTACGTGTATACCATACACCATCCCTACAATATAATACGCGCTTTTGTTTTCACGACTGATCACTCCTTCATTCTCCCCCTCCCACCCATCTCACACAATCATACGTACGATCGAGGACAAGTATAAGCAGCATAGATGGCGGCATGGTGCCAGCCACCAGCGTCCAAAAGCCCAGGGCCCCAGTTCATCTTTTTTCCATGAACTAGTCCATGACTCCATACAATACCCATGCCCATGCCCATGCCCATGCCCATGACCCATGACCCCTACAATGCAATATACACACCCAGACTAACGAATCCTTCCCGATCCCGAAGCATATCGCAAGCTTCGTGCCGATATGGCTCGGGCCGAGTCTTACTGTACTTGTGCATACATGCCTAGGTACACGGTACATACATACTGCGTACTCCGTAAATGCAGGACTGAATAGCTAGTTAATCTTAGCTCCATCACTACATATAGTTACATTGCACTCCGTTTCTGACATTCCTTCCTCTCTTGCTCGCTCTGCGGCGGTAATACGGTGGTTTCCGCCTACACGCTCTGCAGAGGTAGCTATGTCCATACATATCGTATCATGAGTAAGGCCTCAGCCTCCCCACCCCCCAATATATGTTGGGTATATACCCAGCCAATAAATACCCAGTTGTTTCGTTTTCCCTTCTGCGCAGGTGAATAATGATACCTCGCCGTGTTTGCTGACATGGTGTCTATGCCGGGCCTGTACGGAGTACTCCGTAGATGTGAATGGTATTGTTTCTGTGTCTAGTGGCGTGTTTTATTGCACTACATATGCATTTGCCTGTTCAGGTGCCAGGTGGTCACCAAATGCCGCGCTTGTCGCCGCACAGTGCACGCCTTTCGCCAAGCTCGCAACTCAACATACCTAATTGCATGTAACTACTCCGTACAAGTAGTATGTCCCTCAACTAGGTGCAGATGCTCATCCAAGTATTGTGTTTGGGGCACATTCAAGAATACGCATCCTACATGCCGATTATGTGTGCTCCCCACCACTACATCCGTCACCATCCATCACTATCATCATCACTATCACCGTCGACATCAGGATTCACCACCACCACCACCACCACTCGGACTGAGCGACTCTTACGAACCACATCGATGGAGTTTCACACCCATATTAATCTGAAAGCAAATCTAGTTCTCACATTACCAACTCCGTACTGATCTGCCATACCTCGGCCAGTACTCATACCCAACCCTCGGCATGTTGACTTCGTCTTCACCGCCATCTCCAGATATCCCCCGACTTTTCTTTCTGTTCCAACCAATTGAGAATCCTTTTCCCAGACCACGCCCATATCCCACCCTTGTCCCATACATCTACACTTCTTCAGTTGCATACTCCTTACACACCATCTATAAAACTCTACTTCGTACATATGCACAGCGTAGACAGCGCATAATCCGATCGCTGTCTTCGAGCCTTTGTGGAGTAATAAACTCGCATTAGGACCACTAGTAATTGCCACATACAAGAAAACGACCATCCCACTCCCCACCTAACCATCCACGCACACATAGCTTGGCTTGCCTGCCTTTTCCACGCCCTTGCCCTGCCGTTTGACTCTGTGCTCCGTGCTCACAGAGTACATAACATGCGCGGAACCGTATCTGTATGCCCTTTGCATGATGCAGACCAACGTGGGGGTGTAGGGTCCCGAAAAGTAAGAAAAATTTGGAACCATTGCACTGCCTTACAGGTAATTGAGTTCAAGTATGCATGTGGTTACCGAAACGTACAGTACAGTTACAGCATCCATGCAGAGTGGTAAATGTAAGCCATACATGAACAGTCTACAGCTCCGACGTGCGTACATACACCACACCACACCACAGTGCTGTATAGCACAAGGCTGAGGCTGCAAAGCCAACCTGCATGCGTCAAGCGCAGGCAACAGACATAGGCGCACAGTACTGTGCTGTTCTGGTACTTCGCTATTGACGACTGAAGGTGTGACAAAACACTACGCATACTGCGTCCAGCAAGATCCGGCAAACCGGGACAGTGCTTGCTTGCGCCCTCCTCCGCTCGGAGGTCTCGTCGTGGTCGTCTCAAAGGTGCGGTGCGAGAGCGCGTCCGGCGCTTGTGATCAGGTCTCTTGTACCCAAAGATATGGAGGGGTCATATGACAGCATGTGTTGGTCTCTTGACAGCGACTTGCATGTACTGCAGCATATGTACGTGTATTGCATGCAAGGGGTAAGAAAGGCTGTGTGTTGGGAGTCTTTATGTATCGTGAACGAAGGTACGGAGTACCATCTCCCCGAACCTGTAAGACCGATAAGATCGCTCATCCTGATCGGTACAGAGTACAGATGTTTACGGTTTCTCTCCTCTCCGTTTGCTGGTTCCCTGATTTGTATTGTCATGATAGGAAACCCACTTCTTCGTATGCACGCCTGCTACACAGATGTACCCTCATACATTGTATGCACATTCATCAAAGTCGAATCTTTTCATGATTGTGAAAATTTCCACCACATGAGCCAACAGTATGCTGTGTACGGAATATAGCTACCGGTCATGTAAAACGAACAAGAACGATGGCGATTGCAAATCTTCATTCAATGAAGACTGCTGCGATTAGTCCCCTGTGGCCATCGGCGTATCTTGCAGCGCGTTCAAATGAGCTGCTTGAAAACAAAAAGCATCAAGGATCCTTGTCCGTACTTCTATCGGCTCGAGAACAAGAAGTCGAAACTTCTCTAGCTGCGCATTTCGACCGACCCTTGTGGAATTTAGCAAGCTACTTCGTTCATCATTGGCTCGGTGACGTCCTCCGGTCTAGTACTACCATGGTATTATCAGACGGGAGGGATACTAAAGGGCATTGGAAAACTCTCGATGTCGTAGACCGCTGGACAATGAGCAGTTCAGCAATTTGCCAAGACTTATCAAGACCCTGTGTTCTAAATGTCTTTAGTCATTGACCTGGTCATTATGTTCTCACTAAATCCGGTGTTTTTGCAGTGTGTTCAAAGATCAAAGACATTCCTTGGGTACATACGATTCTCTCCATGTCTACCAAGGTGCGATGACCATACCGTGTGGACGGGGAGGTTGGTGGGACCCAAGACAGATCCCCTCGACTATTTGATTGGTGTTATGTTACACAGTATGCTACCATAGTATTCCATGTCCACAAATTCTTGACTTATTGCCGTCGCGATGCCATGTCATGTTCTACATAATGTGTACACTATGCACATGAGAGGAAGTGGCTCGACGCACATGAGCCCTTGGTGCAACTGTGGCACCGTCCCAACCCGCAGAGGTGCAGATAATGGTGAGCCCGCCAATCTTACTGCCGGTAGCGAGCGAGCGCACGAACCAAAGTCGAACGTCACCCTGGACGGAATATGCATCACGCATTACACAGTGCGCGACTTAAAGCGGATGCGTTCAAGAGGGTACACCTTGTGGTTCGTGCATTGGGCTGAGAGACGGCACGGCGCGCGTAGGTAAGCTTGCGTGGGAAAATGCTGTGCTTGAGGCTATGATGAAGGGTAACGGACGGGCCGTTCATACTCGCCTTGAGCGGTGAGAGAGGTGGTGTAAGATACTATGTACTGATCGGTGTGACGAGTGATGATATATTTGAAGGATGCAGCGCGGATGCGGGCCCGAGGTTACAATGGCGTAATTGTGTGGGTGAGCTCTATTTGTGTAACTGCGTCGTAGCGAACCCCAACTCATCGTTGAAGAGCGCAATAGCCCAGTTGGGCCGCATAAAGCAAAGCCGCCTCGTGAGGATGATCTTGAGAGTCGACGGATATGATTGACGCACGGAAGTTCTGAGTGGCTCGATCCAGCCGCGTGGGGGGTGGTCGTCCCACACGGCCCACGCGGGTAGTTTCACGACACGTGCACGTGTCTGAGTATCAAGAGGTCGGCAGATGAGATTGGTCTGATCTACCCCGTACGGGCAGATGTACCGTACTTTGCACCAATGCGCTGTGTTTTGGCGGCGACCACCAAATTGATATTGAAATTATTATCGTCGGATTGTTCGCGCTCATCCACCCACGCCGAACCTAGCTCGAATGGTGTGCAGTTGGCGCAGAGCTGTTGGGGACAAACTGGTACTTGATCCTGTATCCGTGTGTGTATGTCTATGCGCCTGATAATCTTCATGAGATTGTAGCAGCGTATCAATCAACGTGAAATCACCGACTACGGCCTGGCCAGAAGAGAGAGTGTCCAATGCGTCGGTGTGGTCTATTTCCGGAGAAGATGGTAAAAGAGTGTCTTCTTCATCGAGCTCGATGCCAATGTCCGAGAGACTGTCGGTACGCCGAAAGACTCCTCGTTCTTCCGCATCAGCATCTTGTTCGCGCCTCCCGTCGCCTGGAGAGCCTCCGGATGTTCCTCCCTCCGTATGATGCCCAGCCCCTTCGGTACGGCCTGCACCAGTTGTGCCATCCGCAATTTTGGCCAATGTCTTCTTGAGCCCTCTTCTTTTAACATGGACCGACACCATGACCACTTGTAGTAATAGGATACAAATATCCAGACTAGCGAGCTTCCACTTACTTGTTGGACCTTTCTGGCCTATGAAGTCGATCATCAGACCACCATGCAGATAGCCACGGGTATCTTCCCCTGCTACCGGTGCAGCATGCATCATGTGTAAAGTGAAGGTCACCCCGAAGTGGACCAGTATGAGAGCCATATAAGGTTTATGCTCATCATGTTGTCGCGAAAGTTGAAGATCGGGAAGTGGGGTTAATACGGTCAATTGTATCGCACTTCGAACGAAAAACCAAAAGAATGAGCAGCTGTGTCTGTTAGTTAGACTATAAGCAGTGCATAGGGTGGATTTGTGAATCTTCACATACTCAAGGTGGTAGAGGGTGATGAACTCCAGGAAAACAAGCGTATCGAGTTCGCGAAGAAGTTGGTCTAGAAAGACAACCCTCTTCTTCTTTGCATCAGACCTCCTCTCCTTCGTCCTTCTCTCCTGCTCTCGGGTATCTCCAGGGTCAGCGATTGTATCGAGCTCCGGGCTCACGAGTGAGTTCGGAGCGTCGCCATGGCGTAGTCCGGCAGAAGAGGACTCTGCCTCATCGTTCATGGCGCAGTAGAAGTAGTATACCTACTCCAGTCCCTTGTGTCATGAGTCCTAGGCTATGATCTGCTGGTCGCTGTGATGCATAGGCTTTCCGCATCCGTGATTGAGGTTGCGCGGAGTAATCGGCGGCGGAAAAACAAGGATCGCCGAGCCCAAAAGTGGTGAGATAATCGATTGTCGCCTCCACCACCGCCTCCGCATTACAATCACCACATCAACAATAACAGCAGTCCTACAGGAAGTAAAGTTCACTATCACCCTACCTAGCTCAAGCAAGCTCCCGCGAAGCTATTTGGCTGCTCATTGATCAGAAAGTCTCATAATTGACCTTCCGCGACAAGCTCCGTCACCTCCGCAAGCATGTCGTCTCCAAACAGTGCTCCCCTCCCCTCGTCCTTTGACGAAAATGAGTATGTTTCGACAGTATCCCCTTGCAATTTCCTTAGCCATCACCTGAATCCGTTCTTTGTGGTCGTACGCTGATTGGACCAGGGACTTCTATAACGAAAACCGTCTCGACAAAATTTGGCGACGTCTTCGTGAAGAACCTCTCGTTCCCCTTGGTTGTGGTCTTACAGTATGGGCGATCGTTGGTGCAACACGCGCAATGCGCAAGGGTGATCACAAAATGACAAACTTATATTTCCGCCGCCGCCTTTACGCACAAGCTTTCACAATCGCCATGCTGGTGGCGGGTAATCTCTATTGGCAAAAAGACAGAGTCAAGCGAAAGGAATACGAGAAACAGGTGGAACAGAAGAAAGCATCCGAAAAGAGGGATAGGTGGTTGAAAGAATTGGAGATGCGCGATGAGGAGGAAAAGGCATGGAAGGAGAGAATGGCAAAGAAGGTGAGAGGCGAAAGCATCGACGATACCAAGGGCGTCACAGAGCTGGTAGCACAGAAGACCAAAGAATTAAAGAACCAGAATATCGGAGAAAAGTGATTCAATTTCTGGAGGATAATTGCGAGTCGCCGACAAGACTCTGGGGCAATATAAGCTCCGACTACCTGGCATGGCGGCACTCATACTATCCCTAGTCGCCCGACAGGGTGTCGCCGATGCAAGTTTAGCAGGATCTACTTCGTCTTCTTTCTCTGTGCATATTATTGAGTTGGTTCGATTTGTAAGAATATCTGTAAGGGCCCAAAAAAAAGGTTCACAGGGAAGGCGAATACCAAGTTTCTGTATATATACCTAGATATATGTATAATTATGTACTCCATACACTCTACTTCGAAGAAAACATATTGGAAACGAATTGGGGTCTCTTGTCAGCCATTCAGACGTATGTACACGGTCTAACGCCGGAAACTTAGAATACTGAAATATTCATGCCTAGGGACAGATAGTAAGGTTGTTCACAACAATTAATCAAAATTTGGACAGTACCATAGTTATTAGATATACACTGCTCAGAACCTGTTCTCATTCTATGTGCGCATCAAAAGGTGATTAGGTACATTATATTCAAAGTTATTGCGAAGTGTGTCTTCTTCTTTGCATGGTAAGAAATAAAGCTCAAAGGATGGTACGACAACAGTAAAACACACAAGCAAATCCTGGTTGAAAGTGATCTGACTCGACAGCAACTATCGGCATACACAGGTTGTGCACTTTGCTTGCTGATAAGTACGACATACTCTCAATTACGCAATCTGTATGTCTTTACAGTCCTGAATCAATTTGGTTGGGTGGGTTTTCGGCTGTGTAAGTGTCCCACAGGTCACACAATTCGAAAACATCTTGATCGAAGTCTTGCTTCTGTATGTCCTCTGGGCGTTCCAAGATATTCAAGAAAAGGCCCCCAGAGACGTGCCAAGCAAGATGGCAATGCAATGGCCACACACCGGGATTGTCCTGCGTGAACTGAATGATGATAAAGGAAGGGATTACACCTTCGGTCGTATTGCGAGCATTCTGAAGTTGATGCACGTCTCGTCGAACACTGTTCTCTGGATTTATGATAGTGCCGTCCCATTCACCAAATCCTTCGGCAAGCACGTGGAAGTCATGGCCCTGGTTCCGTAAGCATTTAACATAAAAAATAGTGGAAAGAGCGCAACTTACGTGTAGGTGCATGGGATGACCACCGACCAATCCGTGGTTGACCAAATGGAGACGCACAGTCTCGTTGGACCCAAAGTCCATCACATTCCATTCTGGCTTGTACTGCAAGTCACCATTCTTCGCTTGCAGTAAAATGGGGTCATTGTAATCCCCGCGGTACGAGCTGTTTGTCATTGAAGATTCGACAAACCAAATGAAATTTGTGCCATTGGATCTAAACTCAAAATCGATCTTTTCAATTGTGGAGGGATCCGCAACAGCAATTTTGCACAGAGGGGTGCCCTCTGTCAAAGGATCATTCTTGCAGGTGGAGAGCTGTTCGGCAGTGACATCGGTCTCGGTGGTGGGAATGGCGTTGGTATCGGCATCCTCATAATATACGGCGGCCAGTGCATTTGGTGAGACACCGTCATTGAGCGTACATCTTTGAGTTCCGAGCTGCGATCTCATCCAGTATGCTCCGTCTGACTCACCGGTAGCCTCAACGATTACATCAGTGCGTTGCCCAACGCTCAAAGTGACCACGTTGGTTGAATACGGGTTGACAGGAACAAAGTCCTGTGCTATGACTGTCAGGGAATGTCCGTCAATAGAGAACTTCTGAACGCCCTCAGCACCCGCATTTATTAGACGCAAGAGATGCTTCTTCCCCGATTGAAATTTGAACTTAGATACGCCCGCATTTGGTTCGCAAGGGAGAGTCGTGTTAGCACAAGGATAGTTCATCTTTCCATTGATCAAATTGTTATTTGAAGGTGGAAATCGACCGTTCATGGTCGCATTGACAAGCGTGAAGTAATCTGCGTGGAACCAATCCTCCAGGATTACTGGTCCTACATCGATGTCGTATTCTGCATGCTTGGGACCGTAGATAATCATAGGGCCGTGAGCACCGCCGGAGTATTGGGCGCTATAATGACCTTTGCGATGGTCAATCAACTGCATGTTCGCAAGGCTGGATCCTTGACTTACTATGATACCACGAAGTTCCGTACCGATCCGCGCGAAAAAGCATATCAAACGTTCCTCCGTTAGGGGTGATCGGGCATTGAGCGACCGCTGGCACACCATCGTACCAGGAAGTAGTGGTCTGAAATAAGCCATGAGCATGCAGGGCAGTGCCTTCGTCGGTTAAGTCGTTAGTAACCTTGAAGAGGATCCAGTCACCCCTAGTACTATATCAATATGCATTCTCATGAAGGAAAATTAATTGTACAAGTGGCTCACCAATTCGCTTCGACAATGGGACCTGGGTATTGACCATTGATAGTCAGTCCATTGCGAGTCACACCATCCGGAGCTATAGTCTGGTATGCCACATTCATTTCGTACGTGCGAGTAATGCCGGTATCTGGCATAGAAAGGCATGCGGACGGAGGGGTCTGAGTGCTGCTGGCGGTTGCTGTAACTGTGCTGACGCTGACGGTGATGTTGACCGAATTCGACACTGTTCCAGAAACAGTGGGATAGGGAGGGTGTGTTGCAGTCGGATAGGAAGATCCATTTGATGAGTTGTGCGGTAGACCACGGATGGGCAGACGTGGGCAGTTCAACTCGCCCCAGTACGAATTTCCGTTCTGACGCCCTTTCGGAAGCGAAGTGTCTAGCTTTCCGTGCCCTTTCGGGACCCATGCCGGTGCTTCATACATGTCCTTAGAGATACCTCCGTATTCGAAAGGCGGCGTTGGCATGGGTGGAGCGTAGCTCTCCCCGTGAGAGGGTTTCCCGGGCCATTCGTAGGGAAGGGGTATGTCGTCATAAGGGTTATAGTAAGGACCTCCATGCCCATGAGCATTTCCAGTTGGTTGTGCACTAACAGCTGTGGCATACTCATACAGGGTGACCGTGGTTGTTTGACAATAATTGGATTGGTTTGTTCCTTCAAAGTGGTGAATAGTCGACGACAGAGCCACCGATCCAGCGAGATAAGGAGTGTATTTTACCATTGTACAGATAACCTATTAAACGAATGACTGATATGTAATGACTGTAAGATTTAAGGAAGGACTGGAAGCGATTGAATAGACAAAACTGGCTCGAATTTTCGGCGTAGCAGGCACCTTGTATTATAGAGTCCAGTCGTTGAAGTAGGCGCTGTGGCCTCACCTGACAGGGGGACCAGAATCCATACCCATTCCATAAGGAAGCGCCTGGAGATATGCATCAAGGCTGACCAAGAAGCTACTGCAAGATTTTCAATTAGATCCTATCTCTAAAGGGAAATGGGGCGTCGTGGCGATCGACATCTTGAGGGAAACTCCAATTGCCTTTGGTGGAGGGGATTGATCACGCAGCACGTTCCATAACAAAACACGCCGCAGTGCAATTGAGAGAATCTCAGGGAGATGAAACGAAGCCACAATGGCATTTCACCTCCTGTTTGCTATCTCTTTGCACTTGCTTTTTCCACTGCCAGTTAAAGCCCCTTTACGACCTTCTGATACCGTGGCTCTGTCGTTCGAAAGTTTACAAATAGATCAACGAACTGACGATGCTGATAGATGGCAGTGTGTCTATCGCTTCAAGCTATGTTATGGTGTATAACCCCTTCAGCATCTTCAGAGGTTTCTGAAGATGCTGAAGGGGTCGGTGTCGCTTCAGGATATAATGAGTGGGCCAGGGGCCATTTCGCTGACCATGAACACTTTTCGGTATTTGATGCGGAGAGCCGAATGCTTTGATTGAAAACAAAACAAAAGTAACCATGCAAGTCTCTGCCACACGAATAGAATAAAAAGGGGCATGCTTCACCCAGTCGTCTAATGCCATGATCAAGCTCTTGTTGAATTTCACATTGTGGTGCTTTATGGTACCAAAAACAATGTCATCTCCACGGCATTCGGCGATGATAATCGCTTATTGCGAGATGATTCTCGCACAATTCATGTTATATCAACCAAACAAATTTGTATTTTTATTTGCATTACTCCGTACTCTTGCATTCATGGATGCAAATTTGTGGGGATTTCGATGCACAAAGGCTTACCTTGGCGGACGACAGCTGAATGTGACAGACGCCACCTTTGAGCCAGTCAACGAAGGACAAGCCAATCCCGATGCTGCGCTTATTGTATTCAATAGTAGTTAGTCATTTGTTAGATTTACACCTCCGACTGTATCACTGATTGGCTCCTCATAGACAATCATTTTGTAGTTGTCATCATCCAGATAGAAGGTCTTACCCACGACGTTGGTTGTGAGTTGTGACGTGCGGCTCGCCCCTTCACGAGTATTTGCATGTTTTGATGTACACCGTAAACTGTATCTCTACACAGTACTCCGTACTTAGAGTTCGAGTCCTCAATTTGCAAACTCGCTAATCCCTCAAAATCATCATGGGTTCGCTCAGTTCTAGTGGCACGACTCCGATCATAGCGATTACATTGCATCCCCTCACAATTACATTCCAACCCAAAATTCTCGACGCTGATACTGTCAGATTTGAAAAGACCAGCCAAGAGCGGATTTAATTCCAATGTCGTAAGACCTATTCGAAAAACTTGCTGATTGTAGATCATTCCAGATTTGGAGGGTAGGTTTTGTTTATGACGAACTCATTTTTCGAAGTCTTGCAGGTAATGGTGCTCTATACCAGAACAAAGACTGAAAACACATTTTTAGCCATTAAGGCTGCTAGCTTCCAGGAGTAAGCTCGTTCAGCTTTGTGATGTGATCAACCCCCTTGAATGCGACCGGGCTATGTCTTTACGTGAAGAAGATCTCTACTGTCAAGATATCTTTCAACATTCTCTGCCGTTTCTTCGTACCAAGTTCTGAGGGTGCCTTCTTCAACATAACCCATGTGTGGGGTAAGAAGCACTCTGCTCTTCGATGCCGCATCCCACTGCTCTGTCCTCCAGGGACTGTCGACAGGCAACGGCTCGATGTCAAATACATCTAAAGCAGCTCCTCGTATGCGCCCATTGCGTAGTGTGTCCAACAGGGCAGCTTCATCGATGAGAGGTCCTCGGGAGGTGTTGATCAGCAAAGCAGACTCCTTCATCCAACCCAACTCTTGCGTGCCTACGATTCCACGTGATCGAGCGCTCAACACATAATGCAGACTTATAACATCGGCGGTCCTGAACAGTTCCTCCTTACTCACTACCCTGATTGTTTTTTCGTCCCCAGCCGCAGTTCCGCCACCAGTTGCTTGTAGTCCAACTTCATCTGCCAATGCATCCGCTTTGTCTTGCGTTAGGTTTTCGCTCCATGCAACAACCCTCATACCCCACGCCAAAACCCCGACTCTCGCGGTTAATGCACCCAGTCTGCCCAGTCCGACAACTCCAAGTGTCTTTCCTTGAAGTCCAATGGCCAGCTCTGTCTGCCAACCCGCCCAACCGTTCTTGCCCTTCACAACGGCATCATCGGCAGCTATATTACGAGCAAGGCCAAGAATTAGAGCCCATGCATGCTGGGTAGTAGGATGACCGCCCCCTTTCTTGACATCAATCTCAACCCGAGCAGGTGGCCCACTGCCCTGTCCATCTGTTCTACCTTTGCCCGGCGCAGCTACAATCTTTATTCCAAGCTCTTTCGCTGTTGTCAGGTCAAACGACTCAAACTGTGTTCCAGTACCTAGAATCACTTTCAAGTTTGGTAATTGCCGCAATAATTCGCCGGGAAATGGTGTGCGCTCGCGCATTGTCGAGAGGAGCTCGAAAGGCTTGAGGCGCTCGACCACGGCTTTGCGGTCTGCATCTGTGGCAGAAGGATGGCTGTAGGGTGGAAGTGAGTCTTTGAAAGTCGTTATCGAGATTTTGGCTGGGCCGAGTGTTGAAAAGTGCGATGCACCAATGCCATGGTAGTCATCCAGGATCGCCAATTTTACGGGGTAACGCCCATCAGCCATGTTTGGGACGAAATGGGGAAACGGCAAAAGAAGGGATTTCTAGAGTTTGGGACGATATATATGTGTAGCGGAAGTTAATGTATAGAATACAATCGATATATTCTATCTTTTGAACCTGTGCAAGAGCCGTAATTCGTAACCGTGCAGCCGTGATTGCGAAATGTGGGGTTCGATGGCGTTCAGGGACTAGGAGATCATTGGCCCGCGCTTCGGCTCGCTATGTTGAAATGTTAGGTATATCCGGAATAGGCCTTTGCGGATAAGGTCGAGTGCTATCTCGTAGCCTGTAGGTACGACAAGACATCCAAACATACCCGTATTCTAGTATGTACCTGCCTGTTGCTCGTATGTACCTCCTAAATGCATATTACATGAAATAAGTGTAGTCACGTGATTTGTACATTCACAGACTTGAGAGGTAGTATGCATCCCACTGGCACGTAGTCAGAGAGAGCCAAAGAACCAAGAAGTCACTCGCTCAGAAACACAGATATAGAGCGCCTTATTTGCATGCTCAATACCGCACGAAATAGTGAATTTAAGAGATTCCGTTTGAGCAAGCATGGTTCTTGTTGCCTTTCACGCCATCTTAGTTGCAAAGAAAGGTTGCTATCGGCTAAGCCACCACCGACAGAAGGACGAGGGTAGTACAAGGCTACTTCGTAACGGGTCATATTAACATGTAGCATTCTTTCTATATAGATATGATGATGTCTCTTTTATGCATTGCATGTCAGGGCGCCGTTGGCCATGTAAGGGACTATGGCAACAGAGCTCTCCTTCGCCGCATTCCGCTACACGACAAATCCACATAACAGATATGCTTGTTCGAGAGGATTGCTGTGTTTCTCGCTCCACCACCAAATATTCACAGCGTGCCTGAAAATGAAGACCTTTCGAGACACAGCGGCTATCACTTCGTTCCTATTACAAGTTCATGGGTCTTTAGCTCGACGACCGAATGCATTCAAGCACGAAGCTTTCGACAACTTGGATGGCCGCGGCACCATAGCGAAAGTTGAATTCATCCAGGTCAATACTACTGATTCCACGAACCTCACGATACCCGTCCCACACCTATCCACCCCAACACCGATGTTCAATCCAGAAGTGATCACCCGGGTGTTTCCTTCTCCCGATGCACAGCCCGTGGATATAACTGCACAGAGCCAGGTCATGACATCGTATCTCCTTGACTACGTGTGGTGTGTCCCTGGACCGCTTGCCCTCGTCCCGACTGCTACCTTGCTCGGTCCGCCTTATCTCAATGAATCCACATTATATGAAACGAAGACCGCTGGGTCAGGTACCTGCGAGACCGTGTATGTGCCTACCGAGACCACTGTCTGTGCGACCACACTCACAGGGCTGGCGTCCAAGATCACAGTCACGGATTGCTCGCAGGAAATTACCTTCTCAAGCGAATGTGGATTCACCCTCGAGACTCCTACACCGACACTCCAAAATCTAACATCTCTAATTACGCCAGCGCCTACTGTTAAGCGCATGATGACTTACTGGATTGCACCATGGCAATCCCTCACACTGGGCGACACGCCGTCCGATGTTGACACAAAGATCTGCACGATATTGGATAATGATACTCTCGAGTGTATACGCTACCAGGAGGTATGGGAAGTGGTTGTTGTTACCACCACTACCACAGTGGAGTGGCCAGTGGAGGTGACGACAACGGTCACTGGGCCGGGGACTTTGATCATCGATACTTTACAAGCTCAGGTTACGGATACCATCGCATACATCGATCTGTCCACCATACTCCTATTGGAAACCGAGATCTCGATTGAGACCACCAGCAAGAGCAAAAAGCTGGTCACCAGGCCTGAGGACGAATTGACACCAACACCGACAGCAACTGTTTATTTGACAAAGCTTGTCAAGTACAAATCAACGTCGAGGTAGGTACAAAAGTCACATTGTACGCAAATGACTGGAACCACTAACGGTAGACATAGCCCAGCCGAAACAACGATTGTGCGTTTGACGTCCACTGCAACAGACTTTGTTGGAACGATAACCAGGACCCGGCCACGACCTCGACCAACACCAATCGAAGTTGAACCAGTGATTTTCATTTAGTGCATTGATTGCTTCATTCACGCATGGTTATCTTAGAGGAGTTTTCACATATGCAGCACACTGCTCTGAAAATATTGGCGCACGCGTATCGCGCTGGACCAACGTTAAGTTCCGTAGTGATAAGAGATATACGAATATTAAAATCTACCGAGCCATTTCTATTTCTAATGTATGCATTGATGCTGTGCCGGGGTATCAAAAAGATAATAATACATGATCGATCTCTCCGTAGTTCGTCAAAGTGTCTAATTCAGAAGGATTTCGAAGCCTTCTCTTCGAATGACGACTTCTTCGCTTTCAAAGGCGTATTTACGTCGTACTAGCTCGAATACAATGAGTCCTGCACTTGTGCTCGGCACTTGCCGTATGGTAGTCATGAAGAAATCGCGGTAGAGGTACTTTCTCCAACCGCCCTGCCGCTTCGCTATCTTCTTACATTGGCGAAACGTTTCTTCGTAAGCATGGTAGTAGCGATTAATGATCCGGGAAGGGCGTGACTCATAGTGGGCCTGATGATCGAGGGCTTCCAAACGCCGATAGTGCACAGTTTGGAGCTCAGTCAGAGGATGTTGAACAAGTTGTTGCATGATGGATGCAGACACGCCGGCAATCAATAGGAATGATGGCTCGAGGGCATAATGTGGCTTGATAACAGGACGCCCATCCCTTTCCTCGTGAGTAAAGCGTGCCGATTCTATCAGCGAATCTCTCGTCCTGCTCCCGTAGTATTTCGTTATGTACTCATAGTATGCCTGATTCTTGATTGTTTCAAAGGTGCTGAAGAACAAAGCGGCGCCCAAGGAGTCTTTCATCAGACTTAGAGTCCAGCCAGCGAATACGCCCCGTAAGCCTATAGATTGCAACTTATGTCCGGCGTATTGCCAAATCGTCTTGTATTTTCCATCGAGGATGTCGGCGGTTCGGAAGCGAACTTGTAAAGCGTCAAAAGGAGCGGCGAGAAGTGACTGAATACTTCCGGCTATGAAGCCTGCTGTGAGTGTCGTTGCCACGGGTGGCGGAGGGTATGTGCGCTTCGTGTGATGCGACGCTGGGATGTGCAGAGAGGAGAGTGACTGAAGATATGCTGTGTAAAGTACGGCGCCTATGAACGTGTTCGCCAGGAGCGGAGGGAGTACTTGGTTGGGAATGAAGCTCCAGCCTTCTGTCCGAACAGCATGAGCCAGCAAGGCAGGCGTCGTCATTCTCCATGACCATGACGCTTGGGCTTGTATATGCGGATTGATAGCGCGAGCATATCCTAGATAATCGATTCGACCCTTGAAGAAAGCCTTCATGGGTGCGCGGAAATAGAAGGCAACGGCTCGAGCCGTGATAGCACGCATTCCCGCAGCCTGCACTCCCGTCGATGCACTGCCTTTGTTCGATGGAGGAGAAGATTCGGTACCATCATGGCGGGAATGCGCTCCAGTCCGCACACTGGAGCTGGTTGTCATTTCATTTCCTTATCATACGAAGAGAAAGGGCGGGGTGGTCGCCTAGAGGCATCAAGGCATTTGGTCGGATGTTCGAAGATCTGAGTTGGCGTTTGGGATGGTAAGAGAAGAACAAGTAAAGCGAGGATGATTGCGCACGTTGCGCGTGGTCTGGTCAACCGCGACGGCGAGGGTGGTGGTCGGTCAGTTGGACAGGCTTTTCCGAATATTCGTGCTTGGGTGAGGTAATAGGTACATGCCTCTAGTTAGGCATGTAGTGGGATTTGTATGTATGCATGTACCTAGGTACCTGACCTAGGTGGAAGGTACATCTGTCACGTGCAATTTTGTCCCATATGTCATGTACACACAATGTACTATATACAGTCAACTAGAGCGCAGCGTGGACGTCTGGGCGCCCCAGCTGTACTAGTCCAATAATGGCCTAGCCATTTTATCCAGATAAGGACTAGCGTAACTATGTCGCGTCTTCTCCGCCGCTATGATTCTCCGACTAAAGAGCCTCTCGCGCGTCGACTTTCTTGCTCCATTCACGCCCACTCACTCACCTTCCACCATCTCCCCTCCCCATCTCGGCCACCGTCGAAACTCTTGAAGGTTCTTTAGCTGCAACTGCCTTCATCATGGCCGACGATATTGTGATCGACAAGCAGCTCTTTCATGACCGTTTAAGCGGCTTCATAACCAAGTGGAAGGCAGACAAGCGTTCAGGCGATCAGGTCTTTGGTGGCGCCGGGTCAATCGCCACTGTAGTGGGCAAAGCCAGTGATCCAGGCAGCTATTTGAAGCCAGCTGCATTCCAGGTATGCGAATTGACAGCTCCGCTGGGATGTCTCGAAGCTAATGTTTGATGCGAAAAATATAGCTTTGGCTCCTAGGATATGAATTCCCAGCGACGCTATTCATCATCACACCCGACCTTTGTCAAATTGTCACAACCAAGAAGAAAGGTTCGTTAGTCTACAGTCCATGTTGGGGAATGGAAACAATATGCTGATGGTGCGGATCGCAGCTTCATATCTTGAGCCTCTGAAGAGCGGCAAGGTTCCCGTGGAGATCTTGGTGCGAGGAAAAGACCCCGAGGAGAACAAGAAGCAATTTCAGAGCTGCTTGGCTACTCTAAAAAATGCCGGTGTAAGCCACGGTAATTTGATGATCAATGAAGGCATGTTTCTGACACTCTACAGAACAAGGTCGCGGTCCTTAAGAAGGACCATTCAACTGGAGCTTTCGCGGAAGAATGGAAAGCCGAGTTCCAAGCCGCAGACATCAAGGAGGAGGATCAGATTGACCTGGCACCCATCCTATCTAATGCTGCACTCGCAGTGAAGGACGAGAAAGAGCTCGTGAGTCTATACACCAATCCTCCTCATTGGTCTCTGGCACTAATCCTAATCAGCGAATCATGAGAGATGCCTCCAGAGCATCCAGCGCGCTCATGTCGAGATATTTTGTCGAGGAGATGTCCGAGATCCTCGACTCAGAGAAGAAAATAACCCACGCCGCCTTTGCCGACAAAGTAACGAACAAGATCGACGATGCGAAGTTCTTTCAGAAAGAGAAGGTCTCGAAAAACTTCGACAATTTACAGTTGGATTGGTGCCTACAGCCAACCGTCCAAAGTGGTGGTAATTACGACCTAAAGTTCAATTCTGAACCAGATACCAATAACCTCCATGCCGGCGTCATCGTTTCCGCACTCGGTCTTCGTTACCAGACGTACGGCTGTCTACTGGCGCGTACGTATATGGTTGGACCCAACAAGCAGCAAGAGGGTATCTACAGGCTACTTTTGAGCATCCACGAGGCTGCAATCAAGATGATCAAGGATGGTGTTGTGGCCAAGGACGTTTACAACAAGGCCCTGAACATTCTCAAGGCAAAGAAGCCCGAATTGGAGAAGAGTTTCCCCAAGAACATCGGTTATGGTATTGGGGTTGAAAACAAGGATGCCAATCTTATCCTCAGCGCGAAGAATAATCGAGTGCTTAAAGACGGCATGACTCTTGTCATCAGCACCACTTTGTCGGATCTGGAGAATCCCGACCCCCAAGATAAGAAGAGCAAGACTTACTCCATTGCCATTGTGGATACTGTGCGTGTTATGTCAACCGAATGCGCAGTTTTTACTAAAGATGCTTCTACGGATTTGGATGCTGTATCTTTCTTCTTCAACGATTCCGAGGAGGAGACAAAGCCCAAACCCAAGCGAGAACGACCTGCAATTGCTCAGACAAACATCACCAAAACCCGTACTCGCCAGGATCGAGCAAAGAACAATGATCAAGAGCGGGAAGAGCTTCGAAGGCAGCATCAAAAGGAACTGCATGGGAAGAAACAGCAAGCAGGTCTTGAACAATATGGCGAAGGAGCTAAGGCCCTCAACGGTACTGAAGAGAAGAAATTCAAGCGTTTCGAATCATACAAGCGCGACAACCAACTCCCAGCACGTGTCGCCAACCTTGAAATTGTGGTCGACAAGAAGAACTTAACCGTCATTCTCCCCATCATGGGACGTCCAGTGCCTTTTCATATACATACCATCAAGAACGCTTCTCATACCCCCGAAAACGATTTCACCTCTCTCCGCATCAACTTCCTCTCCCCTGGTCAGGGTGTTGGCCGAAAAGACGATCAACCTTTTGAGGACCCCAACGCACACTTCATTCGTAGCTTGACCTTCCGATCCCACGATATCGACCGTATCGAGAGTATCACTCGAGACATCACTGAACTCAAGAAGGATGTCGTTAGGCGTGAACAAGAGAAGAAGCAGATGGAGGATGTCGTTGAGCAGGACAAGCTCATCCCGATCAAATGTAAGTGTTCATTCAATATATTACAAGACTTGGCTGATCAATGTAGCACGAAAACCCCATGTCTTGGATCTCATCTTTATGCGACCCGCTCTTGATGGAAAGCGTATCCCCGGAGGCGTCGAAATCCATCAGAATGGTCTGCGCTACATACATGGCGCAGGTGGAACAAAAGTCGACATTCTCTTCAGCAATGTAAAACACCTTTTTTTCCAGCCTTCACAACACGAACTCATCGTCATCATCCATGTTCACCTCAAGAATCCCATCATGATTGGTAAGAAAAAGGCTAAAGACGTGCAATTCGTCCGGGAGGCCACGGAAATGCAATTCGACGAGACAGGCAACCGGAAGCGTCGTCATAAGTTTGGAGATGAAGAAGAGTTTGAACAGGAACAGGAGGAGCGCCGACGCAGGGCAGCACTGGACAAAGAATTCAAGAATTTCGCCGAAAAGATCGCTGATGCTGCGCGAAACGATAACGTAGCGGTCGATATTCCGTTCCGGGAACTTGGATTCAACGGCGTGCCTTCTCGTTCGTCTGTCCTGATCTGTCCTACGACGGATTGTTTGGTGCAGCTTACTGAGCCTCCGTTCACCTGCATTACTCTGTCCGAGGTGGAAATTGTTCATCTCGAACGCGTGCAATTTGGTCTGCGCAACTTCGATATGGTGGTTGTGTTCAAGGACTTCAACCGTGCACCTTTCCACATCAACACCATTCCTGTTGAGTCATTGGAGTCCGTCAAGGATTGGCTGGACAGCGTTGACATTCCTTTCTCCGAAGGCCCCCTTAATCTCAATTGGACAACAATCATGAAGACTGTTACCGCGGACCCTCATCAGTTCTTTGCAGATGGTGGTTGGTCTTTCCTCTCAACTGATTCTGATGATGAAGATGGCGAGGAAGAGGAAGAAGAATCCGCTTTTGAAGTCAGCGAGTCTGAACTTGCACAGTCTGACGAATCGTCCGAAGAGGATAGTGAATTCGATGAGAACGCATCTGATGAAATGAGCGACGAGGGTTCCGATGCATCACTTTCTGAGGAAGGCGAGGATTGGGATGAATTGGAGAAGAAGGCCGCCAGGAAGGACCGAGAAACCAATCTTGACGAGGACGAAGATGATCGCAAGAAATCTAAGGGTGGCAGTAAGCGCAAGCGCTGAACGGTCTAGAATATTAAGGGAAACGGCAATCGGCTAATAGGTTATCATGGAGTTTTGCAGGTGTTACCGTTCATGCCTTTATCACTACCCGTGGGGCTTCTTCTGTATAGGTGAAAATGCCTATTTACCATAATGGATGGAGTCTTTCAAATTTGGAGACGTACTTTCCTGGGATGCTTTTCAATCACTTTTGTACAATTGAAGTTTTTCATCGCTGCTCATGGGATTCAGACTTTGCTCAGGCGCTTCGCGCTTAGCTATTGAATTTCCACTTGCCCGATTTCGTCTTTCTGTGATCGTCAAGTTGAGTAAGGATATAACGTTTCCGTGGGCCTCTTGCGGAGGATCAGCGCCTTTTACATCTTTACTTCGCATGATGGCTACACAAAGAGTAAATTGGACATTGAGCTGACAAGACAACTCACAAGAAATGGAAGAAAATAGTCTTATCGCAACACAGGCTACTACAGTACATAGTAAGCAAGCAGGAGTGGTGCTAGACGAGATGGGTATCGCATGGATGTGCGACAGGGTCGGTATTATCCTTCCTGGTTGTTGGTGTAGAAGATACCATATGTGGAGCCCAAGTGTCTAGACCATAATCCTGGGAAAGAGGTTCCCAGGTTGTCGTAGAACGATTGTTTCGCTTCACAGTCCCTTGGGGCATCCTTCAAAGGTTGCCGCCTAGATCGTAATGACTTAGAGCACTCGGTCTGTGACTGATACGAATGTGAGGACCGGCAGCTTTGACTGACCGCTTGCGCACAAGGTGGTGGCAAGCAGTTGCCACTACGAGGAGTTGATTTCAAACAACTTCATATGTTGCACTCACAGACAGAACAAGAAAGATATGGCCGTCTCGGATCGCTCTCGGTTGCAAGGTCCATAGGTTCAGGCTCGCCACGCAGCCGAGGAATCAAGCTTTTATGGTTGTGTATGGGAACTAGGTGGTCTGCTTGGATATGGTCTGGGCACTAAGAGACATAGATTGCATACGGTTGTCTGGACTTTTCTGCACTCCCCTTTGAGTGAGTCTGCGGGGATGGAGTGTAGCACTTCAGCCCACGCGAGACCAGAATGACTTATCACAAAGAAGTTAAGGAAAGCCTCAGCAGCATGAATTGAGCTAGTGGATAAAGTATCACAAACCGAGCGGATAGAACAGTTATGCGAGCGTTCGTCCCTATGTACTGGCCAGAAAGGACAGTGAAAAGGTGTATCGCACAGCGAAACGTAGCCGATCTGAATCTACTACGAACAAGAGTGTCTGCCCATTCATTCACTTCGTTGACAATACCGGAATCTGACCTAGTGTATTACCTTTTTGAAAGATCGATTAAGGTTGCTAGTCATCGGAAACCGCTCCACACGGATTACGATATCTGTCCTGTGCCCACCACCATAACATCGGGTGATGGCTGGCTGGAAAATCCTGATACCAATAGACTTGCGTAGAACAATGCAAGTGTATTCCCCACAAATTAATATGCGTTTGTTTCGTATATGTCGTCGAAATCTTCCAGCCAATTTACCCGGGTTTCTCGGTTTCCATACATCCTTGCCTTCTCCAGGGATATTATTGGTCACTCCAGAAGTGTTCTCCGAGCTTTGCAGACGATAGACAAAGGGAACTTTCCTACGCTGCTAATTTGCAGTTTGGAATCTGCCACGAGGGCGGGAAACCGGACCTTGGGACGTGCTGTCAATAAATAGGACTGCAAGGGGTATAGGAGCTAGTGCGCAAGGGCCGGAAATGATTTGATAGACAAACTTATTTCCTTCATAAGAAAGGGCGTCCCCATCCTGATCTTTTGGGAATCGCAACGTACATACTGCCAATTGGAACTTGCCTCTACGACAATATTAGAATTCCCGAAATTGTTAACTTCCGAAAGGATCGTGCTACACGTGCTATCGACAAGATGAGACTCATGGCAATTGTTGCAGTCGCGATGGCATCCGCCGTGCTGGCTTCACCGGCAGCGGTAAGTCGAGGGAGGTTGATCGGATGTGCATGTTTTTACTGACAGAACGTGGACAGTTCAGCCTCAAACGTTCATTTGTGAATGTCCTCGATAGCGACGGCATCAGCGAAATCCAAAGCCCTTGTATTGAATGCAAGTGTGATGGTGGCTTTGGTGGGAAATGTCCATGTGTGAGTTGACGGGAAATGATATTGACGTATGTTCATACTGACATAGGTAAAGATTCCAAATGGCTGCTGTTGTATAACATAGAGTAGAAGGCGAAACGAAACAACGAAGTATAACGAACCGCGGGGATGTCGCATTGCTTTACTTGAAACATGTACATCCGATTCTGAGTAGTACGATTTGCGGCGTTTATTTGGTTGTTTCAATAATTGTGACAAGCAAAGGTCAAAATAACGACAAATTCCCGTGTAACATAGCTTGCCTGGCGGCTTTTCAAAAATCTTAAGTAAATCTTCTAAGCTGCCCAGCTGTACGGCTTTCTGACATGATCTTCCTATGATTGAGGTGCACAAGCGCGATGTTCCCTCTGTTCAGCCAACTCTTCAGGCCGGACCCACTTTCTGAAAAGAATGGTCAAGACACCCCCAATAGCAACCTGAAAGGCTTGATAGAGTATAACGGGGATCTGCAGCTTACTCTGCTCTACTACACTGACATTCAGATACATGACCGAAGTCAGAGGAACGACCAGAGCTACAGCTTTAGCTGGAGTACAGTAACAACAAGCTATGACGTCCTTCTTTGGAAGCCAGACGATAGATGCAACGAAGCAGATCCCGAGCCACAGAAAATAGAAGGAGATCGATAGAAATACAAGGAAAACCACATTGGATGGCTTGAGACCAGCAAAGGCGCCGCTGCCGAAAGCTTGATCGAATGTCTGCCAAAGCAAAAGTAGTAGAGATATTGAAGACAGTTTCGCCATCTTCCAACTGAAGAACACAAGGTCACACTCTTTGGGATAAAAGTATCTCACAACTTGTCCCACAAACATCGGCATGAACAGAGATAATCCAAGTTGCTTGAAGACACGTCGGTACAGTTCTCCATAGTTGTCCCCATTGACCAAAACTTTGGTGTACCAAGCTCCACTGGAAAGATACATTTGAAGAATGATGGGGGTAAGAAATGGACAGAGGAACTGCCCTAGAACTGATTGGACAACAGTCAGAGCGGTATTTCCGTGTGCCTGTCTGGTCATGACAACATTAGAGGACATTGTGGTTGGTGCCGAACCGACAAAAAGAAGCCCAACAAGCAGCCAAGGATCCATGAAATTGGGGTTGGTTGCGCACAGGCTGACGATGGCGAATGTTGCAGCAGACGTGACAAGGTAGCATTGCAATTGGACGAAGGCATGAACTTTCCAACGGAAGTAGTTTTCTATCAAGATCTTCGTGGGCAGTGTACAGCCATTGATGAAGAAGATTATAGAGACCGATAGATATGTGATGACGGTTCGTTTTATTCGTTGCTGTGCGGCAGGGACTTGGACTTGCGATGAAACCAGGATCAAAATGGCGAAAACAATAAGAAACCATTGATCTTGAACAAACCACTTGAGTAGTTGAACGAGACTTTGTGATCGGGTAGATCGAGTTTTGCCCTGGTTCTGTGGCGAGTGTTCTTTTCTGAAGTTTGACTGAGGTTTATCAAACCCGGTGACATCTGGCTTGGTCTGATCTTCGTTGGTTAATCCAGCATCATTGCGATTGTGTTGAATTGAATTGTCACTATTATGAACCCAGTCCTCTCCACGCTTGGTAGGCGAGACGTTTGCAGGTGACGTCACAGGCTTGCTGTTCATATCGCCGCTTCGCCGGTCGGTTTCGTTGCGTTGTGGCATTATGTATAGGCAGATGCTCGACTTGAGTTATGAACGACGCTCATAGCAATGGCATCAGCATCAATTATGTGGAGGCTAGGCGCGGGCGCGTACGAGGGACGGAACTCGTACCTAGGTATGTAAAATGATGTGAAGTCATAGACTTGATGGCTTTTTGAATCAGGTACGGAGTACCTAGGCAATTAATAGGTCAGGTCAATTTCTCTTAGAGGTTTCGAGGCTAAGCCTAATTTGCCTCACGAGGCCGGAAATCAGAGGCATGCGTCCACGTGAGGACTGTGTCGATCACCTTTCCGTTCGGATGGCGGAGGATCGTCCGGAAAAAGGAAGAGATATCTAAGAGAGGAAGGAGATGAAGAACAAGTCGCCTTGACAGGTGGGATCATACTGTAGAACATCCGTGGCCCTTCCATTGCTATTGGTGATCCCATTACCCTTGTAGCCGGAGGAGTTGGAGAGTGGAGGGGAAGTATCTACATACAATGCGGCATCTCCAGGTACCTACGGGTACCCGTGCCAGCTACCCAGGCCAGGTTACAGGTACCGGTACCGGTACCTAGCTGGAGGTCTGAAGTAACTAGTTCCAACTTCCAAATCAGGCCTTGCTGACTCATCACCCACGACGATCACCTACTACCTAGTTAATTACCTAATTAACTAGCTGGTTGGGTGGGTAGTTGGATCATTACAGACTGACAAAATCACTACAATATTACTCTTAAGCCTTAACCCTCGCCCGCAGTCGAGAGAATCCACACTACTTCCTCTTATCGACTCTCTAACCGGATCGAACTTTGTATCGATCAATACGCTTTTCAAGCCGAGTCCGACCCTTGAACCCTATCTGACAGTATACATTCTATCAAAATCACACCCCTCCATTCAATGAGTGAGCGATGGCGGGTCAATTAGACAAGCAACATATCTTCGACAAATATGTCCTTCCAGAACTTGCCAAGTACGCATACCCGGATTCACGGTTTGGTCATGATTACCGCAGCTTTGTGCCGGACTTCCGCGATTCTTCGTTAGCCATTGACCATGTGGTCAAGTTGCCGCAGTACCAATCGGCGAAAACCATCCTTATAACCCCAGACAACAGTCTCGAAAAACTCCGTTTCCGTGCACTACAAGACGGAAAACAGATCGTAGTAGCCACATATGGCCTACGCAGAGGCTTCGTATTGCTGAATCCTAGGAAAATAACCGAAGACAATTTCGAGGCCGCTAGCTGGCTGGACGGTATGGAAAAGCCAGGAATCGGGCGCCTTCTTAGTCTCGTCCAGATCCAAGAGGAAGGAATCCTGATAGACCTGTTTATCACAGGTGCTTCGGCTATTGGAGACGATGGCATAATAATGCGCCAAAGCCCGCATAATGTCGATATCCAGTGGTTGATCGCACGGGAACGCGGATTCATTAGTCCCAAGGCGCAGGCTGTCTGTGTCGTTCATGCTTGTCAAGTGATCCACAAGAATGCTATAAAGACCGACTTCGCTGCTGAGAGCATCGTTCAGTATGATTTCATCGTTACTCCGCAGAAGGTTCTAGACTTCCCGGATGCTCCAAAGTTCGACAAAGAGGCTAGCGAAAAGAGAATCGATTCTCTAAACTCTGATGCGCTTCATGGGATACCGCCGTTACAAGAGCTTGCGGGCATCAGAGCAATGGAAAAAATCATGCGGAAATCAGGGTTCGGACTGAAGGAAGAATCACAGGTGTCTTCCCCGTCCGCAGAAGAGCGAATGGCCATAGACATGGTCGAACGGCTAATGAGGGGTTATAAGGCTTGAAGGTTGCACTGGAGACCGGTAGAAAGATTCATTTCACAAGCAAGGAAGGTTTCGACCTGCCACCTTGAACAAGGAAGCAATCGTTTCGACCTCATCAAGGCTATCACTTGGCATTGGCTATGGAATCTTTCAAGAGAGTCTTTTTTTTCCTACCAGCCTACGGTGGACGGGAGCACAGGAAAGTGCCAGACAATGCATCTCGCCATCGACGTACTAACATTCTGGAATTAACCATTTTGTTCATCGCTCGTATGTCCCGGATTGCAACATCGCGAACTTAGGCACATCAAGCCTTTACACTGCTCTAGCTCCCAAGCAATCTCTATCGTTTACTTTCCAGGCCACGATAATCATACGAAATTTGGTCTGGCAGATCTTCCAAACTATTACAATAATCAATCATGAGGTTTAATTGTGATCGCCGTTGGTAGGATGATGCGTGCAGTCTCGGAAACCCCCACGTTCGTTTACAGATGCTGTTTTGAGCTCGCGGAGTTCCTGGGTGTGCTCAACTTCTTTTATGACCCATAGCTTTCGAGGAAGAATCTGCCTAATATCTGCTAGCGATAGATACGATACGGTTGCTGTGGTCCGTGAAGGAATAAGTCGTCTCGTATCTCTAGGCCTAATTGAAGTACATAATGTGTATGATGATCTTAAAGCACCAACTCCACCAATTGGACTTACTTTTGCCCAATACTGGTGCATAGTCTGGGAGCATCTCAACTGCATGTAGGCCATAGCAGTCTCTGTATGAAGAGTCTAACAGAAAATGTCTTATCGGGTCTCTATGTGGCCAGACACTGGAATGACCGATCGATTCATTTCCGTGCTCTGACCATTGCGGAGCTTACCTTGGAGTTATTCGCCTTCCATATTGCTGAGTGGCAAGAATAATATTACCAGCGCGTTTATCTTGTCAGCATGCAGTAGACAAAACTCTCCCGTTGCAGGAGTTAGGTCACCGCATCACTTCAACCCTGCCGCTATCATACGATTGAAACAATACCTGCGGGCAAATATCAAGTAATCGCATCGATTTCTGCAATATATTAGCAATTGAACCCATGATCTACGCCTGTAATTACCATCGACTGGCGCAAACTGTTCGCTGAATGACGCCCGAGATCGGTGGTTAAAACGTGTGCCCCACACATGAGCGACATGAATATACTCGCATTTGCATGATAAAGCGTTTATCATTATGGTAAATTCCGAGCGTGGCAGCTGGACAATGTAGCAATACCGTTGGGGTACTCGCCTTTGAACTATTTAGAGCTGTCTAAAAACCAAACGCTTGACAGCAAAGTGCCTACTCACTTTCCAGACTGCTCCATTGAGCAAAGTATACCGTAAGGTATGCTTGCAGAAACGAACGGGCGGTCGATAATGATGTCGAAAAGGCCCGGAATGAGATCATCCAGACCTATTGTCAATTCTTTTAGCCTTCTTCTCGTAACGCGGTAGGCGCGTGGGCTCTCGAGAATCTGAAATTATCAAGTTGCTTATGGGATACTGTTACTTCGGCAGTTACAGTTATGCAGCTTTGGCCTGGTGTTCCCGCTAGTTTGCCAAAGTTCAGGTTATATTCTCGCTTTCGTTCGCTTTCTTTGCCTCTTTTGCGGAATGTACGCCCGGAGTGCCCTGCATTTCATATGCCTGAATGTCCAGATCTAGCAGGAGTCTCATTACAACAGCTTGTTGAGAGGCACAGCTAAGTACCTACCCCCGCGAGCCTCCTCAGCCTTATGCGAACTCAGTCTGGAGCAAATGAGCGTCGATACTCTTATCTGCTGCATTGACCCCCCACCACTGCTTATACCATATGGATCTCTGTTACCGATGCACTTCAATGATGTTCGGCAGGGTGAAGCGAGTCACGGAATATCCGATAATAATTTGTTGTGCAGCCAACTAACCAATCCGAGTTCTAGGCTCTGCACATGCGGTACGGGCCGTACGGATGGCAGTGGCCCACCCGAGGTTTGTGAAAAGCTTATATTAAACTCAGTTCATATACTCAGTCGAGGTTGACAACCATTCCTGATAGCTTTAGTACTTAAGATACCATGATAGCCGCTCGATTCCTCTCCAATTGCATGTTAGAAGCACACAACGACAAGATGACCACCCAAACTCAATTGCTTGTCGACAAGATCTCGACTCTCACCAAGGGCCCTGGGTTTTCCCAGGATCCTGATGCTCAAGAGCATGTGTCGAACTTGGCTAAACAATTGTCCATTACATTAATATCCGCGGAAGATGCGGCCTATGAGCTAGCATACTATGTACGTAAACATCCCCGTTGTTCCTAGTGTTGTCAACTAATGCCATGTTCTTAGCCGATATACGCATTTGCAGCTAGAATCGCAGTAGACTTGAAGCTCTTCAATTTGCTTGCAGCCAGCTCCAAGGAAGTATCTGCACCCTATTTAGCAGACTTAACCGGGGCATCAGAGGAGCTCATCAGTAAGCTTACACTCTCTCGGTAGTGCAGTCATGTCAAGACTGACTCAGTAATTGTGTATTCAGTCCGAGTCCTACGCGTCCTTTCAGCCCTTGGATTCGTACAGGAGGCTGGTGAATGTCAATGGATTGCAAATCGTATTACGACTGTGATGAGCACTCCAGCCGCACAGGCCGCCCACAAACACAAGTGAGTATCTTTTCAGAAGCTCACAGAGTACATAAATGACTCGATTAGGTGGGACAACTGTATTGGTACGATGATAAAGATGCCAGCCTACTTTCGTGAAGTCGGGTATCAGCCACCAACCGATCCTGAGAAAGGGCCCTTCCAGTACGCATTCAATACAAACAAAAGTGCATTTGACTATTGGCAGGACCATCCAGAGGTGTACAGTAATTTCAATACCTTCATGCACGGGAAGCGTGCATCCCGACCTAGTTGGTCCGAGTGGTGGCCTGTAGAAGAAGTCATATTCAATAGCATGGAATTGGATGGAAATGGCCTCCTACTAGTGGACGTTGGTGGATCGCGCGGACATGATGTTCTAGCATTTAAGAACAAGTTTCCAAGTCGTGGCAGACTGATCCTTGAAGATTTGCCTGCAGTAATTGACGACATTGTGCAGCTGGATAAGGAGATCGAGCGGGTGCCGTACGACTTCTTCACCCCCCAACCAATCATTGGTTAGTTCATGCTTCTTCACATTACTTATACATTGCGACGTCACTAACATAACAGTAGGTGCTCGGATTTATTTCTTTGGCATGATCTTCCATGACTGGTCGGATGAATTTTGTCTCAAAATTTTGGCCCAAACCGTACCGGCAATGAAACGAGGATATTCCAAGCTGTTGATCGATGATGCATTTCTACCGACAAACAGCTGTCCAGCTGTACTTGCCGGTTTGGACCTTGCGATGATGGCTATGCACGCAGGGAAGGAGAGAAGTGAGCGTCAATGGAGAGATATGTTGCACAAAGCTGGTCTAAGAGTGAACAAATTTTGGACCTATAAAGGCGGGGCATCTGGACTCATTGAGACGGAATTGCTTTAGACTTTGTCTTTACATGTGTATGTATTGTGGAAAGCCCTGTAGAAGTCATGGAGGCACGATGGCTTTCACTATCTCATATATCTTTGTTACTGGCCATGGACCTTCTGGCGCAAGCACCACGATATCAGAATGATTGCCCTTATCAGAGTAGGTTAACCTTGTCACCGTCACTCTTGATTTGATCCCCTGGCTAAAGAAAGTGACGATCTCCTTGGCCTTACCTGCCCTCTAGACAGAAAAGATTACCCTCTGCTCGAGCAAGAGCAATATATTAGAGAACAATCTGCACGCAGCTGGAATCCAGTCCCAGTTCCACAGAAAATGATCGATATTCTTCGACTAGGTCTCATCGCTAACTTTGGTTCCTGGCCGTCCCGATGAAAGCCAATTCGTTTATGAAGAGAATTCCGTAAGTACTACAAATAATGAAAGAAGTCTTCGTTCGTGTTGATACAACCTAGCAGCATATGGTCAATTTCTTAAAAGGTTTTTACCGCTATCCATTCCATGACATACAAACACACCCCTCATCTTGTTCTAGTCAATAGCAAAAGGCAATGAAACCTTTACATGCTAGAGTGGACGTTGCTCTATCAATTCGTAACTCGACTAACACGGACTAAAGACGTTACCAAGTGTCCTTGAATGCCACTGCGCGGGATCTGGTCAGGTACAAGTTATGCAAAACATGCAACAAAATACGTGGTAGACATTGCGGTGGATACCGCAGATTTCAATGGAGAAGATACTGTCTCGACTTGGGGTGGCAACCTCAAGATTCAATTCGCAAGGTTTTCGAACCCGGTGTCACCCTAACCATGTCGTTGGCGGATAAAAAGGGAACCCCGCGCGAATCAAATTGAAACGCCTCGACTAACCCCTTCAGGCATGTATATATATGATTTCCAGGATCTAATAGGATGCACCAAATATATAGTACTGGGCGTGCGTAATTTACTGATAGATCACCGGGTACCGCGCAAGTCGATTTATTTTCTTCTCTTCTCTCCTGCTCTCTGTGCTCTTAAAGTTGACCCTTCCGTGAAATCACCTTTTATCGCACCATTTATCAGTCGTATGCTGTACGACCAAAATGCCATCAATGATTCGCCTGTGCGCGATAAGTGTGGCAGCATGCGCCGGTGTTCTTGCGGCAGCGTCATGCCCTGGTAGTGTCAGCCATGATGGACAGCCGGCTGGCGTTTTCAAAAATGTCACTGGAAGTAGGTATAGAACATAAGAATGCTAAAACCCCAGGTGTGACTATTAGCTAATTCATTATTGTAGTACAAGTCTACCACGCTTATCCTCCTTCTCAGTCAGGCAGCAACATTGAGATTATAACCGAAAATGCAATTCTATTCATTACCGACATATACGGAGTCCCGCTTCTTCAAAACAGACTTCTAGCTGACTCCCTTGCCCGCGCCAACTATACAGTCATTATGCCAGATCTTTTCCGTGGCGATGCAGTTCCTGTATCATCCCCGGAAGGACCGGCGCTCAACTTGACGGAGTGGCGGGCACGACATCCAGAACACGAAATAGATGGCATAATTGATACGATTGTTGATTACATCTACGACCTAGGTGTAAGAAGACTTGGTGGTGTCGGCTACTGTTTTGGTGGGAAATACGTTCCAAGGTTTATGGCGATCAACAGAGGCATCGATGTAGGCTTTATTGCGCATCCCAGTAATTTGCTGTCTTCCGAAATCGAGGCAATCGTAGGTCCCATCAGTATAGCAGCCGGAGGTAAGGCCTGGTGAACTCTTCTCCTCAATAAACGGCCACTAACATAATGCATGGTACAGAACTTGATGGAGGCTTCAACTCCACTCTTCGGCGAAACGCAGAAGACATCTTGCAGAAAATGAACTCCACCTATCAAACGAATCTGTATTCTGGTGCCCCTCACGGCTTTGCTGTGCGGGTAGATTTGAACAACTCAAGGCAGAAATACGCCAAAGAAGCCAGTTTCCAGCAAGCAGTGACATGGTTTGATACATGGCTGCGCAGGGGGTAGACTATTTTCATCAGCACTACTCCAAAAGCTGCGCAGAGATATTTAATTCATCACAAGGAAGATTATGATGGATATGCATCTGCGTGCATGCTCACAAAAGGTTCCGTGGAACAGAATTTGTGATAATAGTGAAGTACATGGAACGAATGCATAGGTGCAATTTGATACAATATAGCTTTACCTTACGATTGTACGCTTAAAAGTCCAGTGAATCTCATATGGATAACAAGGAAAGATGCCTGTGTAGCTCTCGACGGTCTGCCCTGTGCAGAGTCGAGAGCCTATGAGATGGAAAAATGGGCAATACATGGGATCAAATCCCTTCAATCGCAGTACTCAGTATCTGAACATGTAAGTCAAATGGACGAAATGCTGATACAAACTATTTTAGGCAAATTGTACATTGGTAATTTGATTGCCGTTAAAATTTACGCAGCGTTCAGCTCAGACTGGAATTACATCCGCCTTTCTTGATTTATCGATGCGGTCTGTCAGATTCTCGACTCTTGAAATTGGCAAAAGCACTACGTGACGCGGAAAATAGATGGTATGGAACGTGAACTCTTGTCCATACAAGAGCTGCAACTATAAAAGCCACATGACCATAACACAACAAAAAGCCACTTTGACACAACAGGTCAACCTGAATCTTGTTGTCTTAATCGATTCAACCTGAGATTCACTCATCAAAATGCAAATCACATCTGTTGCTCTGCTCTTAGCCTCGTTTGCATCTGCACTGCCGACCACGTCGCTCGAAATTACCAACATTGCCCGAAGCATTGTTGCCCGCGCCCCACCTGAGGCCAAAGCGAACCTGAAGTCTGTGGCATCTAGTGGTACGGGCTGCGCGTCTAACTCTGCCGCTTTTGTCATCAAGGATGATGCAGTTCTCGGGTTTGACTCTTTAGTCGTGGACTCCACGTTACCCGCCGTGATAAAGAAATGTCTTGTCACGATTGATCTCCAGGTGGATCCGAAGTGGAAATACACCATCAACAAAGTCTCACAAATCCGAGGTTATATCGATAATGCGTCTGGTTCTTTCAAAGCCATCTACACAGTCAACGGTACCACTGTGAGTCCTGAATCTCAGATTATTCAGTGTAGAATGCTGAAAGACATGCAGTCTGAAGTGTCGACCGATATCAAATCATCAAGTACTTCAGATGGAAACTTCTCCATCCGTTTGGAGCAGAACGGAGCGACTTCAGAATACGGCGGAGGCATATCTACGATTGATATTTCTTTAGCCTTGCTCCGTGATACCACAAGAGATGGGTCGGTCGCCGTTGACAGCCTAGACATTGGATTTGGATATTCCAAATGACCTATGAGGGATGAATACTCAGCTTACCACAAGACGTTGTTATGCAACGGATGGCTCCTCATGTCTCAATTTAGTAGACGGGCATGTTCCTTATAAGGTGACCGATGGGTTGTCTGTTGGAATATGCGCACTTACGGCGGGGCAAAGGGGGTGATTGTCACTTTTACCCTGGTGCTACGAGAATAGTTCCCACTTCATCTAAATTTGATGACCTGACATTGTCATAGTCAACACCAAGATTGATGAGCTTCCCTTGCACGAATCTAAATGGTCCGCTGAGAAATAACTGTGTTCCAACTTCTCAGACGACCTTGCCGGGAAATCGGATATGGATTGCGTTTCCTGAGCTAACAGACTGGCGACTAGCTGATTTCATTCAAATCGCAACCTTATCCGCCAACACCCATTACTTGTACTTGTGCCCGTTTCACGTTTCAGACTTTGAGTGCGTCCGAGCCGTGTTAGCTATTTCCAGGATTATTCCGACGTTCGAGACAAAAAGGCCACCACTGATAATTTCACGAGTTCTGTGCACGATGGATCATTTGGGAAACATGCACGATTCCCCACGTCCCATCCCCTCTTTAATTAAATCTAATTGGCTTGGTGTCTCCGATGCAGGGAAATTCTCCGCATGCCTTCCCACTCCCGGGATGCATGTATGATTTCCACCATTGAGAGTACCAGCAGCAGCATGATGGGTAGAATTATTCCATGCAACTCCGAAATTTCGGGTTCTACTAGTTGTTCAGCCCTATCAGGACTTCTTATATCTTGTGCAGCATTTGCAATTCTCCATCTCTAGGTTTTGGTTGTTCATCAAAGACATTCTCGCTGTTCTTTCTGCATTGCCTGCCGCCACCATGCGTTCATCAATCCTCACTTCTCTCGTCTCCGCGTCCACAGTCTGGGCATATGCCAACCCACTCTCCTGCAGCGGCGTTTGCGTGAATGCCCATGACCCTGCTCTTATCCGACGCGATGATGGTACTTACTTCCGATTCTCGACTGGTGGCAAGATTGCGATTCATTCAGCACCTTCAATCCAAGGCCCATGGACGTACCGTGGCGCAGCGATTCCAAACGGTAGCAAGATCGACAAAAAGGGCAAAGACGACCTATGGGTACGCCATCTGCAAATTGCAACCTCGGCGAAGTTCTCTGCTGACGTGTCTTACAGGCACCCGATGTTGCCAAAGTAGGCAATACTTACTATTTGTATTACTCTGTTTCCAGCTTCGGTGTCCAAGACTCTGCAATTGGTGTTGCGACAAGTACAAACCTCGACGCCAATACTTGGACGGATCATGGAGCAACCGGCATTGCTTCTTCCGCGGGAAAGAATTACAACGCCATCGATGGTAATCTCATCCACGATGGTTCCAGCTATCTCATGTCCTTCGGATCCTTCTGGGGCGACCTTTTTCAAGTTAAAATGGCCGATCCTCCACTAAAAACATCAGGCTCTGCGAGCAACAATATTGCGTTCAAACCAGAGGGTGAGCATGCCCAAGAGGCCGCCTTCGTGTACAAATACGGAGCCTATTACTATCTTTTCTTCTCTGTCGGTAAATGCTGTGGCTTTGACCAAAACCGTCCTGCTGCAGGACAGGAGTACAAAATTCAGGTCTGCCGATCAAGCAGCGCTACGGGCGGATTCGTAGATAAGAGCGGCAAGAAATGTACAGAGGGTGGGGGAACAACTGTGCTTGAGTCCCACGGCTCCATCTATGGCCCTGGAGGCCAGGGAGTCTTCAATGACCCAAGCCTTGGCCCAGTCTTATACTACCACTATGTCGATACACGCATTGGCTACGCTGATGGGCAGAAGCAATTTGGCATCAATAAGATCAACTTTGGGAGTGGGTGGCCAGTTGTATGAGATGATGTCCAATTCAGGAGATTTCTCGCAAGCGCTGCGTCACTGTTACCTATTTTATTCTTGTCTATACTTCAGCCGAATAAATCTTTCTAAATCACCCCTGTGCACATGTAGATTGTGTAAATGCGAGCAAGGGTGTGATTCGAGAACAATAGCAAGTCGGGTCAAAAAGAAAGCAGGGCAATGAAGGTCAAAGTGAAGGTGCTGAGCAATCTTCAAATGAAGAATAATATCCGTATGTAATGTGCCCTTTCCCACAATGCTTTGGGGTACTTTGTTCCCGGAAACACTACATGAACGTTTGGAGCATCGATGTTCCTCAATGCCAGCTCTACGAAGTAGAAATTGGATTGGTGAAGGCATTTAGATATGAAGAGACGGTAATACAAACTGAGGCCGATACTCGACAGTGTCGTGAGGTCAAACATTGGGGAAGAGAGGAATAAGGGCTTCTCAAATGGAAAAAGTCAAGTGATCATCACTGAGAAACCTATGTGGCAAATGTTGACTTGATCATATCATATCATTAACCTTCTCCAATGTGTATGTCATGCTTTTGGTATCATTGATCCTCAAGGTAGTGCAAATCTCATGCTGCAACAGCGCTTACAGCTCATCCTTGTCAACGCCCTCAATAGAGATCAACTCTGTCTCGAAGACTGTATGCTGTTAGCAACCACATACGGTAGGATACGATCAAGGGAACGGAACGTACTCAGCACGCTGTTGGCAGGAATGGGCCCAACCCCACGGGAGCCATAGGCCCAATCAGGTTGAATGGTGAGCTTCCTTTTCTCCCCTGGGCACATATCCAAGAGTCCTTGATCCCAGCCCTTGATGACTTGTCCTTGGCCGACCGTGAAGCTCAAGGGCTGGCCACGATTGTAAGAAGCATCAAACTCGGAACCGTCCGATTCGAGAGTGCCGCGGTAGTGCACATTGATCTTGTCACCAGCAACGGTCTTGCGTGCGCATTCAGCTGGGGTAGTAACTTCGGTCTTTAGGTGCTCTGGATGGAGGAGGGACGATTAGCATGTTGTGTGTAAGAGATGTTGGATGCTGTGTATGTAAAGTAAAGCTCGGATTTATTTACCGTTATTGATGATGGCAAAAGCGGCGGGAAGTAGTGCCAGTGCGAATGCAGCAGGAACCTTCATGTTTGCGATTGAGGGAGGCTAGGGCTGTTGGGAATCAGGATATATGAAACAATCGTTGAGCTTATTGTGACTTGTCGTGGATGTCAGCGTCGGGGTCGTCGGAAGAGGAGCTTTGTTGGTGGTGGTGTTGGTGGTGGTCGTGGTCTTCTGGGGAAGACACCGTCCCGTTCCTGAAATGTGTCCCAAATGTGGGGTAGCGTCTCCGTTTTGGTTAGGCTGGTCTCCAGCCAATCATGACATTCCTTCTAATGACCTACACACCGAGGGTGTTACTGTAGGTACCTATACCTAGGTGTATCTAGGTACATTGATCATAGATTAGGTATCTAGGTAGACACAGATATGTATGGGCTATGAGAAGGAAACACATGACTTATAGTTCCTGAATCCAGTGACATGAGAATCAAGTCAGACAGCAAAGCTTCACGTACTGAAACAAAGACACTGTTTGCTGTCATGTATGATTCATGTGCTTTAACACGAACCGGCTTCTTTTCTTCCCCTTCTCCTTTGCGACTTTAACATACCATATCCGCTAGCATTGACACGGATGTTGTGTTATATAGACGCAACAGCACGCTACATCAAATCATGCTAGCCTCGACCACACTAATATCAGATTCGACTTGATTGCGATAGTATTCCGATACCCCTATCAAATCCCAGAAACGCAAAATATCAAGACGCAAGAACAACAAAAAACCAGGACACTACTGTACTCGTTCTGAGCAGTGGTCTGGGCTTCGTATGAATCACTCCCTTCTGTTCCTTAGGTAAACATCGCTGCAGGCCCGGCGCAGCATTCTCAATCCAGCTTCTCTGGTGAGCCATTGGTAACGCGACATCTCCTATCGACTGAACGGTTCTTTGCTGGAGACACGGGAGTTCGCTGCGTTCTTTTCGTGGGTGATCGTCGGTCGCTTACGAGGGGCCTTCACTTTCTTTGCTTCTCTTCTAGTCGGTTGCCCATGTTCATCTCCGACCTGCTTCTTTATACGGCGACCGGCGCCGTTTTTCTCCCGACACAATCTGAGTATCTGTTTTTTCTGGTTGAGATCCGTCCGGATGATTTTCTCTGAACGGGTCAGCATCTCGATCTTGATTAGATAGTCGTTTCCCCGTCGTGATAACGAAATGTGGGGGTACTCGATTGCGAATTCGTCATCAAGCACAGCTCGGAGTGTCAGTATCGTGCCATTTTCTGTCGAAAGATCTCGGAATGCGTACTCGTAGGCCTCCTCCTTTTGTATGGCCCAGCTCCTGGTTCTGCCCTTGACGATAACCTCTGCCTTGCTTGGCCCCACTGCGGGCTTTCTAGATAATGGTCGGCACGAAGGCGTCTTCAACCGTTCTTGTGCGACTTTGTTGTCGGCACCTTTGATCTGCTTTCTAGAGCCCTCTTCTCCATCTTCCCCTTCCCTTTCCCTTTCACTGTTCCGCTTGGGAGAATAAATGGGATTTACTTGCCGCTGTTGGAAGGCTGTAGGCAATTTCTGTGGTATTTGTTTTTTGGCTTTTGTCGTTGTCTCTCGCCGTTTTGACTTGACAACAGCAGCCTCGTCTCTCTTAACAGCACGCGATTCGACCGTAAATCTTGCTCGTTTATCAGGTTGACCGACGAACCCAGCGTCGCTGGGATCTAAACCCTCGTCATCAACATGATTGTGCCTTCTCTTATTTGAACGAACTGACGGCCTTCTTCGGACTTTCGAAGTTAGTCATGACTGGATGTCCAAAATCTTAACAATAGCTTACCATGGCCAGTCCCTTTCTGCTCTGGACCGATACATTCTGTTTGGAATCAAGGTGGCCGCGTTGAGGGAAGAGGGAAGGAACATCGCTGGCGTTGGACTTGGATTTGGACTTAGATTCATGAGTATCTCGCATTGCTGTCCTAGTCGCTATATCCGAGGCTCCCTGTTCTAGTCCGTTGCGTTTCTAGCGGCTGTAAGCGATGGCTTAATACAAGTGTTTCAATGGAACTCTTACAGCCTGGGAGCGGGAGACTGATTAATTCATGCCTGATGCACGTGTGCAACTGGATTGTCGCTGGCCAGACAACTCGGGTGTCTCGTCCATATCTAATTTGCGTCGTTTTATAGGTAGCTCATCGTACGATGTATCAAGTCGGGAACTCCTGCGAAAAGTTACTCATCGATATCGGGCCGCTTCCATTGGCACTTACGCTGTACGCTTCATCTCGTTCACGGGACCGGTAGTACAAATCTGATTTGTGATGTAGGGAATTTGGATTAAAGTTGGAATCACTAAAATCAGGGCTGGGTTGCAGTTGATAAAACACGATCACAGAAAGAAAGTGTGTGTGTGTGTGGGTGTATGAGTGATTTAAATAAGGGTGGCGCAAGGACCTATAATCACTGTATCCAGTGAAACAACTGAGGGAGTGGTCGCGCTGAAGTGAAGTGAAAGCTGTGAGTTCGGACTCCTTGCCAGCCACGCGGATAATAGATAGTAAAATTCACTGCATCTTTTCGATGCCATTGTCTTGTGACCTATCATTGAGGTGGTGAGTTTCTGTGGTCTCAATGACCGTAGGCTGGTGATTATCTGAAATCCATAACCTGAATACCAACAGGAACTTCTCTAGCTCAGCTTTGTCCGGAAATTTACTTGTACAGAGCCTACCTAGATTGACCATAACCGTATTGACAATTCGAGCCGTGGCAATCTTTTCGAGTGAAGTGTTAGGCCCTTGAGGGAAGCCCTTCACTTTCGTCTAGTTAGCAAGAATACTTTTCTGATTTCCACTCTTGGTATCGCCGCATCATTGAACTCCGTCCGCGCTGACCAAATGTTCTGTTGTTCACTTTTTCCATCTTTCTAGCTATCGTCCTGTTTCCATGCCCATCTCGCTCAACCACAATCGATATTATCTCCCAAATTTTGCTGTACTTAAGACATATTGAGTGCCATAGGGTTCCTCCAAATTCTTCAAAGTTCAGAGAATCCGAAAGGTCTTAAGGAAGCATTGCCTGGGCTTGATGATTCCGATCGTATCTTGATTGAATACAAGCAAAAAAAAAAGCAGGAAGCTGTTTTGTCATACCTACCAGGACAGTCCTAAACACAACGCGAAGAGAAGATCAGCGCCCATCATTGAATATCCAAGTGACGATCCCACGGCAATGAACCTAGAGACAAAAAGCAGCAGATAGTAATAGCTATGAATATAAACCCGCATCCGAGCATACTTACGCTTTCATCAATCTTTGCAGGACATGAGACTGGTAAAAATGGTACCGTGGACTGACACAGATCGCGTAAATGTTCTAGCGCTATATCATGAGATGGACAAGGTAATGGAATAAAAGGAACATGGGGAGAATGTTCTGTGGGCATTTGGTCCGCCAATGGACACATTGTCCTGCGTTTCAGTATTTTCAGATGAAGGCTGAGAATATGATGCCTGCTGCTATGGGTGAAAATGATTGCTCCTATGAGTAGAGACATTATTCGCCATTCTCTCTATATAGATTCCTCTCACTATGAGCCTTGCTCGTCAGAGATACGAATTCGCATGCTGAGCTCCTCAAGCGACTGACAGGAATTAGAGCCTGAAATCCCTCTACCCGTTCGTCTGACCATCCTCACCACCACGTTCAAGGAATCCATTCAACAGATCTTCGAGTCTGCCACTGATTGCGAGCAAGCCTCACGAACCGATACTACCGAAGGGGTGAAGGTCTTCCATCGTTTGTATCGTTGTCGAAATCATTCTCAGCCAGTCCTTGTAATGTTCGGGAATGTAAAGAATCGAGGGGCAGCATCCTCTTTGGCGTTTAGGCCACAGTCGCCCCCCGAATGCGACCTACAAACATACTTCTGACTGGGTGCTTGCTCATTCAATCGAACGAGCACTCGAGAAGTAAAAGCTTGGACGGGCGTACAAGTAGTGGAAGCGTTGCGGCATACTGAACACCTTAAGTTTCCTAGAGGTAGATTCGGGCTAATTGTGCATTCAATCCCCAAGCTAGGAGCTGGGATAGCCAGTGGGATCGAGAAAGACGCTGCAACTGATTAGCAAAATGGAATTCATGATCGTTCCGTTCATGATGGACATGAAGACAAGCACAATGAGGAAGTGATCCAGTCACCCACCTGCAGTAACCTACCACGCCACTCGCTTAGTTGAAGTGGAGGCCTGGGGTTCCCCGGCCGTCAGCAGTTCTCCTTACATAAGCATCCTCCCAGTAATTCCCCCCACCCTTCCCTCACGGTTCATCCACGGACGGATCTCACCGTCACCATTCAGCCATTGAGTGAATGGACGATACATAGTACTTGTACATACCTTGGATGACCAAAATAAATACAAAGTGCCGTCTCCGTCTCCATCTCCATCTCCATTCTTACCCATACTTACGATTAGGAACGACCGTTAATACACCACCTCACCACCTTCCCCTTCCCCCTGTCCATTCTGGAACTGGATGGGCCAACTTATCAACCCTGTCCCGCATCATCCCCGATATCGCAGCAGCTATTACAAGTTCCTCGTCGTCTGCCCTGTTTTAGGGTAATGCCGATCGAAACCAGCACTCGTCAGGACGGAATCTTAAATCAAAGTTCATCGAGGAGAAGATATTGTGTATACGGTGCACATACAACGTTCTTGATCAGCCGCAACACAAGCTAGCCGCGAAATAGAAGGTGTCACTGTAGACCTGCACAACTGCGTTCGCAACCAACGGCGAGGCCGGTTGTACTACTCCGATTGTTGCTACCAGGTTGCCCTTCGAGAACACACGAGTCCTCTGTCTCCTCCGCATGGCATGGTTGCGTGATTCTTGGCTGGCATTAGAGCGCCTATCAGGATAGAGGTATTTGGGGCAGCTCAAACCCCCAGCGAAAGTTGTCACTCAGTATTATTGGCATTCCTCACGGGTAACTTCACACCTTGATAGATCTTTGCCCGTCGTAGATCCTCACAACGTTTCGTTCTCCCGTCACCTTGGCGCAATCGTTTACGACTGTCTTCCTAGTCGCACATACGCTTTCACCATTGCACTGTTGAGCTCCGGGTTACACAAGGTCAACACGACCGTTAGATGGTCCAATTCTGCTTAATGCCCCGAGGCGCCTCGGTGTAGTTATACACAAGTCTTGTGGTATATCCTCCCAAGACTTGTATCCAGATCATCATGGAACCACCGGATTCCACCACAGCCTTCACGTCTCTTCCCTCCGAACTCATCCATCAAATACTTGGCTATCTTCCCTTGTCCGATCTTTTGTCCACTGGCCTCGTCAGCCGCTCTCTACATGAGCATTCCCAGCAAGACAGTTTGTACCACTGCTTCGTGCAAGAGAACGTCCCAAGCAGGGTTCTAGAAAAGCCCCCTAACTCATCATGGCGGGAACTTTTCAAGTCTCACCATCCATTTTGGTTCATTCCTCGCAACAAGATCTGGTTCTCCGACCATCCCCACACTGGAAAATTACTAGTCGCTCGATACGATCATCGAATAGATGCCATCGAAGCATATTCCATTGTGGCCGAACGAAAGCAGCCGAGCGTTTTAGCCTGGGATTGGAATCCTGAAGTCATCATCCATACTTTCACGCCTCGCATACAGCTGGATCTGAATGTGCCAGTCATTCGTCTTGATGCTAATGCCTATCAACATGCGGTTGGTGATCAAGGTTACCGACTGCAAAAAGAGATCCCAATGCACTTACACGGAGAATCTCCGAGCTCTTCCACCGGACTTTTCTCCCAATTAATGTTGACGCGTCCATGGCCGAAGGCAATAACAGGAGCATCGACGCCAGTTTGGCCACCACTTAGCCTCCCGAGCAGTACACGTACACGCAACGACTCAGCATCCCATTTCCGAGATGTGCAACATCGACCCTCTAAGCTTCCCGAGATGTCAACAGATACGTTCAGATTGAGGAGGTGGATGCAATTCTCCCCTCGGCTTCAGAGCATGGGGGCGCGAATGGGTGAGGACATAACAACTTGGGCCACATTGCCTGAACAGTACTACAGGCCCACTGCAGACAAGCCGTGGCAAGGCATATGGTGCGGTGATTATGCAGGACACGGGTGTGAATTTTTGGCTATCATGCAACCCGACGACCCTCTGCCTTTACCTGAAAGAGCGGAATGGGTAATGCGATTACGAGAACGTCAAGGTAGCGTCAGTAGTTCTGATTCTTGGAGCACTGCCCCTACCAACGCCACTTCGGACGACGACGCAGACGGTGACGAGACCATGCATGAGTCCGCAAATGGCCTAGAAACGAGTGTTGCGACACTGCAAGCGCCCGATCACGAAGACTCATTCCACGACCCTGCTTGCGTTGCTGACGATGAACGGATATACCGTGGGCGGATCGAGGCCGTTAAGCTAACCGGAGACCCCAATATTCCCCGTGGAGAATATACGTTTATTGCGCCAGACATAAGTAACAATGGTCTGGTACGCATCGCGACCGAGGAGTTATTCAAGGGGGCGAGGATAGTCAAAAGTGTTGGTCATATTGCCGCCAGAGGCTTTAGAGATGGTGGGTGCACTTTATGGGCGTCCGGCGGCGAAAGCGAAAGGACTTCCTCAATGGTTCCAGTTAGCTGACGCAGAACAGATGACTACATACAGTCTCAGTTGATTCTTATATCCCATGACAGACTCGCCCAATATTGGGAAACCTTTGGCCACGTATCATTCTACCAGCGCGTAAATGTTGATGACTTCGTCAAAGTCTAATCCTGTCTCCGACACCGTTTTTGGTTGCGGTACTCGACGATGATGAATTTAACGTTACGCTACCAATGCTGCGCTGCGGTCATGGGGATTTCCAGCTTTGTGACGTATGTAATCATCACTTTCCTTCCTGTCTTCAAAGGATGGCCACAGTACATAGCAGCACATGGAATCTCGGCGTGGGTGGGCGCATAGTTACCTATCGACGACATTGGCAAGGACGACGTTTCATGATGCATCGTAACATAACGTAACGTAACGACGAGTAGTTTCCGGGGTACATTGAGCGGATAGATCTAGATGTACGGAGCAATACCGTACGATTAATTAGTGAGGGATCATGGGATAAGCATTTCGATGATGCAGCCACGGTGCCACCACAGTACACTCGAGTGATACGACAGCGAAAGGTGTACATAGGTACATATATCTCATTGCACTAATATGAAAACGGACTAGTCTGATTGAAATCCGAGAATCGGCCAGACGCCAGGGAACATCAACACCAAAATTTCCCCCACGACGTTCCAACTGCCCGACTGTCGCATTGCAACACACAACACCCCTCCAATGGCTGCACGAACTCTTAGAATAGGTCAGTGAAGCTCTTGTCCCTCCTATTGTTGAATTCCACACCTTCCCCACCCATTGATTTTGCAATTGACACTTCTAACCCAATGTAGGTCTCATTCCTGGCGATGGAATTGGCCGTGAGGTCATACCCGCCGGCCGTCGTGTGCTGGAAGCCCTCCCTACCTCTTTGGGCTTGAAGTTCAGCTTCACACACCTCGATGCTGGTTTCGAGACGTTTCAGAAGCAAGGTGTTGCGTTGCCAGACAAGACTGTCGATGTTCTCAAGAGCGACTGCGATGGTGCGCTTTTCGGAGCTGTCTCGTGAGCATCCACATTCCATGATCATCCCAAACAAACAACATAACGTTGTGGACAAGCATGGACAATTCATTAATTGGACCTGTAATTTTATAGCTCCCCTACTGTCGCAACTAAAGGCTACTCGTCTCCCATTGTCGCTCTACGAAAGCGCCTCTCGCTGTACGCCAACGTTCGTCCCGTAAAGTCCACTCGCTCCGCCGCCCGCCCCGTCGACCTCGTCATCGTCCGTGAGAACACCGAGGATCTCTACGTTAAGGAGGAGAAGACCTACAATGCGCCAGATGGCTCCAAGATCGCCGAGGCCATCAAGCGTATTTCAGAGACAGCTTCGTTCAATATCTCCGCCATGGCTGGCGACATTGCTCTGAGGAGACAGAGGGTTAGGGACGGTGGCGTGGACAGCATTCACTCCCGTCCTCTCGTCACCATCACACACAAGAGTAACGTCCTCTCACAAACCGACGGTCTGTTCCGTGAAACTGCAAGGAAGGCACTGGGACTCGACAAGTACCAGATGGTTGGGGTTGAGGAGCAAATCGTCGACTCGATGGTCTACAAGCTGTTCCGCCAGCCGCAGGACTATGATGTTATCGTTGCACCAAATCTTTATGGAGACATCTTGTCTGACGGTGCTGCCGCACTCGTCGGCTCTCTCGGCCTCGTCCCCTCCGCCAATGTTGGAAGGGACTTTGTCATCGGCGAGCCATGCCACGGCTCAGCCCCCGACATTGAGGGCCAGAACATCGCCAATCCTATTGCCACCATCCGATCTACTGCCCTCATGCTCGAGTTTCAGGGCGAGGAGCAGGCTGCCGCCAAGATCTATGCCGCCGTTGACGCAAATCTTGAAGAAGGCAAACTTCTCACCCCCGACATGGGTGGAAAGGCCACCACCACCGAGGTCATTGATGATGTCTGCAGTAGGTTGTAGCTGATAGGTTGGGCATAGTTAACATCTATGTACGGTGCGATCGATACCATTGAGAAGTCAATCGACTCTACAAGTTGGGATCCCATCTTGGATTAGGTGAAAAGAATGCAATGCCTGCATTCAAAAGATCTCGCCCATGATTTACACTCCAGTGATGCTCTCTGCGTGCGTCTGTGCATGTCCTCCGATGCCTTGTCTATACCATGTGCCCAGTGGAAACATCTACGGCTGACATGCCTCTAATACTTAGACGTTCCCTTAGTCCAGATCGGCATCGCTAGCCTTCCCCTCCTTTCCGTGAACCATCTCGAACTTCTCCTCGGCAGATTGGGCTCCATCTTCCTCCGCTTCTACGGTCGGTAGCAGCTGGATGACGACTACGAAGAGCTCGGTGTTCGTCTCTTTGTTCTTCAACACATATCTGAGTGTGTGAGTACTGACCAGTTAGACTATGAACTTCCCAGGTACAAATGAAAAATCTTGCTTCAATCCGAAGTAGGAGAGAATAAAAGGATAGGAGAAAGAAGGTTCCTGAACTCACCGAAGCGGCTGCCCATCCCAATGACCAATGATACTTATCGCTGGCATTCCGTACCCAATCTTGAGTGCAAACTCATTGAAGTCAAGGTAAGGGTTGAAGAAATCACACTTATACTCCCTCCCAGCTTCGAATTCGAAGTCTTTCTTACTTTGCTCGGCGAGAAAATATTTCTGCCGTTGGGCTGATCCTCCTGGAATCCCGAGCTCTTCTCGTAGAGTCACGCCATCCCCCTCTGCGCCTTCTTCGTATACCACATAGTCCTCCTCGTCATGTTCCTCGAGGTTATTCTCCAGCGACGATTGATCCTTTGACCCGATTCTCAATACATTTATTGAGGACAGGAGTGCGCCATAGAGGTAGGGCTCATCCCCATATACATCGCCATCCAGGCCCGGATCTATCCACCACTTCACGATGCCGAAGGCCTTGTCGAAGAGGGGAGGCAGACGGTCGCGGATAGGATGCTCGAAATCGTTTCCGAAAACAAGTTGATCACCAGCAATGGAATTCTTCGGTGTGAAGGAAAAGGATATTGAATAGCGATCGTAGACGTGCTTTGAGTGTGAGAAGTACGGCGATGTGGAAGGTGAGCCTTCTGGAAGTCCTAGTAGCGGGTCATATTAGTGGGAGCCAGCGTTCTGTGAACAATGCAACACACCTCGGTAATCTTTTATTCGCATGTATATCTTCGCGTCGATGTGTTCTGACGCTATTGTTAAGGGGTCTTCGGAGTTTACGAGCACATCCTGGTGCGTATTTCGATCATAGGTTGGGCCCGCTGTTACACGGAGGTGATATTGCTCGTGGTGAGCCATAGTGGAGAGTATTCCGAACTGAACGCACCAGGTAGCTGGCTGAGTGGATATTGATGCTTCAGGTAGCACGCAGGCAGGAAATGATATACCTGGAAATATAATACAAATAGCAGTTACAGTAATAAACAATTAGGTTGTGGGGGATTGGGTGTCGTGTTGATGGTTTTTGGCGGGGGCGCTGGAACGAGCAAAATTATAGATCATCAAAATGACGTCCGATGGAAGGACAAGGGTTGGTGGGTTTGGCCATTCCTATATGGGGTTAGCGTATTCATGCCCATGCATGCATCCATGCACATCATCATCATCATCAACAACATCAAAAACGTCAACATCAACGTTAACGTTAACACAAACATTAACAATATCAACATTAATGTATCCTTCTTTTCATTCTATTCTAGACGTGTTACCTTTACAATAACCTCTATCATCAATTAGTCGAACACCGTGCACATACACACATACACATACACATATACACACATACACACATACACACATACACACATACACACATACACACATACACACATATACACATACACGCTCTCAGTTTCCTCATATTACGCCTTCACATCAGTACCTACACCAGATACAGCTATATCCATAATGCATCTCGTTCCGCGAATTCTTTTTCTTTCTCCCTTACTTCTGATACTTCCTTTCGCTCTGGTTCATAGATTGGCTCAGCAAGGCAATTCTCCATTTCCTGATAAGGATCCACATCTTGTGTCAATTTCGCATAATCAATTGATATTTTCCCAAAGATCATCTACCCCCCTGTTTCGGGATGTGCCTTCAATGTTGGAAAAAAACTCAAGTCTTACTACTTGTGCCGAATCACATGTCTTCTCTTCTCATTCTCTTATACGAGCAGCATCACATGAGGTACAACTAAATGCAGTCATCCTTAACTTATTCGTCTTCCACATATCACGATTGCGAGTCTTTGATGAATAACCACAATAATTCCGGCTGCTCTTCTTCGCTTGTCATGCTCCAAGTTAGTTATCGTTACGTTTTTCCAGTGAATCAATTAGGGCCCTCTCCCTTATGGTAATCAGCGATGAAAGTGAGACAATGATACCTGTTGGGGCACAGCTGACGCTCGGACTATACCATATCCTAAGCTCCACCCTCTGGCCTTCACTTCGCCTTCCTTCGCCTGCCTTCGTCTTCCTTCACTTTCTTCCCCTCCAACCCCATCCTCTACTTCTCATCCTGCTCCAATCACCTTCCTCATTTCCTCATATTCGTACACAATTGCAGCCTACCGATACCTCCCTCAACGAAGTGATACAGCCTTCAACGTAGTCAGATCCGTTGCACTGTTCGGGTTTCCACCATGGCGATCACAAAGTTTCTGAAGCTTGCGTTCGTAGCTCTGTCCATCGTTGCGGTTGCGGCTCACCCGAAGTTATCCGATTCGGAGTTGGTGAACTACCAACACAACCTGAAGAGGATAACCGAAGCCATCGGCCGCTGTATCGAGACAGACCCCAACTTGAAGGCACGCATGATGGCAAAGCGCGCAGAGACTTTCGGCCACCTCCGTCAAGATCGTGGTTCCGACGCTAAAAAAGGTAATATTGATCTTTTTCCTTGATAAGCCCCTCTCGTGGTTGAGACCTTACTTCTCTCTGTCACCACGTTCATTTTCCTAACCTCCCGCAAGCGCTTGTGTCCCGCGAATTCCGCCCCGATAGGAATGCCCTCGCCAAGTGGCAGGATTCCGACCATGAGCACAAAGGCCAGTCGAAAGACCCTCAAGATATATTCGACTTCAAGTGGGGAAACGATCCCCTCCGCAAGCCTGCCGGGTGTGCTCTCTCGCCCGAATCAATCTATGGTCCTTTCTGGGCTGAGGGGCACCCACGTAGACAGGACATCCGCTCTAGAGACGAGGGCATTCCGATGAGACTTGCTCTTCAGGTTATCGATGTGAGCACCTGCAAGCCAATGTGGAATTCTCGCGTAGATGTCTGGCAGGTAAGCTGTTGGGAAAGTCCGCCTTCTGATGAAATCGGCCCTGATCTGAACTTAGGCCAATGCTATCGGCCAATACGATCCCAAAGTTGACGGCGCTCTCCGTGGATGGCAGCCTACTTCCAAGCATGGCACCGTCGATTTCGATACCATCTTTCCTGGTCATTATCCAGGTCGTGCAAGCCATATCCACGTATCGGTTCGTCCAGACAACAAGCCCATGGCACATGTTGGCCAAATCTACTTTGAGCAGAGACTTCGTGACTACATTGAGGTGAAACGTCTTGCCCCTCTTGGCCCTGAGCTTCCGCTGACTTCATGCAAGACTACACCTGAGTACACGAAGAACTCAGACAAGAAGCCGAAGTCCAACATGGATGATACCTTAGCCCCGTATTCAGCCTCGAAGGAATATGATCCTTTCGCTCAGTATTCCTGGCTCAGTGAAGATGCCAATGGTAGGCCTGTCCGCACTTCACAGTACCTTCATCATTTACTCATATACATAGATGGACTACTTGCGTGGATCGTCATGGGTGTCAATGCCTCAGATCCCACCATTGAACAGCCCCCAAAGCCGAACTAGACTTGTTTTTCGTCAACAAGCAAATCCACATGAACAAACAAACGGCTGAATAAGTTCTTTTTGCAAATCGTGCCCAGGAATATGTGAGTTCATTAAAAGGAATTCATGGATTTTGCGGGTTGGTCGTTCGTGGCAGAATAAACGGCACAATGCCGCGGTCAGATTACGTAGGACTGGAAAGCCACACAGTTTCTATGGAGTGAATACTTCTCTCAGCACCCGGGAAATTATGATGTCTTCACTGCTTTCTTCGCGAAACCCGGATGGTGTAGTTGTGATGCAATTACTGAACGCCAAAGCTCGTGAAAGAGAGCGATATTGCAATAGTTCTACTATGAAATCACTCAATGAAGCGACACATCGATAGATCTCTAGGTTCTAACGAAGAAGATTGTGTGGTCACGGGCATCCGTAATCGTCGAGCGATTGACAAATACAATGGGTGTTTGATGTTTGATTTTGCATCAAGTACCGTATATCTACAGAAGACTTGACCCAATGACCGTAACTACGTGAGAAGGATCTGCACTATAGTAGTTAAGTGGGTGGCTCCTTGATGATTTTGAGCATTAGCGGAACCATCCGTGATGTGGAAAAAGTTTCAGTGATTGATTCAATATATTGCATTTAAGACGTTAGCCTAGACAGCAGTTTTTGCCGGAATGTTATTAATGATGCGGCTAGAGTCTCTATGTCCTTGAGTAGAGATGCACCGTCCATCGCATTCTCTGTAGACTCCCCAGATCTCGAGATATCCCTAGCGGCTGTAACCTCATAGCAGTTATTGTCAGGATATCGTCTGCCGTTTCTCATTGCGTCGGACTGGCTAAGGTCCCTCAAAGCCTTTAGCCTGATTGGATGGTTTTGAAACTCTGCAGTGACTTGCCTAAATGCAATGTCATCTGCTAAAGATTCCCCATTTCCGGTTTCCGAGGGATCGTGTGGCGGCGCTGATGCGTGGTCTAAGGACCGCGTACGAGCTTTGGGTTGCATGCTTATAGGAATAACAGGGCACTCGTTGGTAGCATCATGCGAGGTTTCAGTTCTACCTTCTCTTATGGAAAGTACCCCTGATGATCGCGAAGACAATAGCGAGCCAACATCTATTTTCGAGCTTCGACTGGGAGTATCCTGCACGCTTCGTATGACCGATGATGATGATGGAGGAGGCTGCACAGGGGCTTGCTGATGAATAAACGTCTCAGCCAATATTCTAGGTCGAGGATATGAGGATTTCGTCCTTTTGAGTAGATTAGGAGCAAGGGGTCGGAGTCGTGAAATTTCGTGATCAAGCAGATTCTGAGGGATAGAAGTTTTTCGATTGTTCGAAGAGCTTGAACAGTGGTGCTCTAATGATGGGGGAAAAACCATTGGCTTGTTTTGTGGCGGTGGCGAATTTATTGCAGAACTCTGTGAAGATAAATTCTTCACAGCATCCTTTAATTTAGCCACCACGTTAGTAGCATCACTCCAATCTGCCGTTGCCAGTGCTTGTCGTTCTTTGCGTAGCTCGAAGAATGACGGTCGTCGGCGAGATGAAGTAGACGGTTTGATCATCGCGCCAACCGATTGTAAACATACAATGCTTGCACTAAAGTGAACCCTTTGCTGCAACAGACCTAATGTATCGTAAAATGATACATTTCCATCTTGAAATCCGATAGCGATTTGTACTTTAGGATTAATGCAACGAGTATCACCGAACGGAGCCGATGCGTTTGCTACTTTAGAATCGTGTCCTCTTCTTCCGAGACCTATCTTACTAGGGTGCAAAATATTGACACAAAGACATGTTGGTACTCCAAAAACACGCCAGGTCCGGAGAATGTGAACACTTCCAGACATGACACACAGCAGTCGGCACTTCCCGTCGTGGCCAAGGGTCACGATTCTTTGGACATCTCTCATAAGAAATGACAACGACATCATTCCTCCCATAGCTGCTTTGTGCAACTTTTGTGCAACCGCCAGAGTCTCAGGATATCTTGATAGAGCACCAATCTTTGGATTGATTTTCGCCGTCGGGAATACTCTGGCCGCATAGATCGCGAGTGAACCGTCTTGAAAACCTAGCGCAAACCGATCTTTCACTGATAATTCATGACTGCTATGGAACGATGCGCAGGTGACCGCCACCCTGGTGTGGGATGGCACGAGTGTTATTGATGAGTTGACTGAATACTTGAGATCATGAAGCATTATCGTAGGTGGACGGGATGATGCGGACAACAACACATTGCCAGTAGCCGAAATAGAAAGCACGTTCGGAGGTGAGGGATGAGGAACGAGGGGAGCTAGTAAGCTGGCCGAATTGATCGAGTATACTTGTACGGAGTGGCTGAGTGCTGTGGTGAAGAATAGTGTTAGGGAGTCGGGGGAGAATAATAGGATTTGCGGCTTTTCCTGTGTGTAAAATGTGTTAGAGACTTCCATCACGAAGACCAGCAGGAGAGTGTACCTTTCTTTTACCCAGATCATAGTTCAAGTTAGTCCCGCGGCTGAGATCGTCAAGGATAACAATCTGGCTGTTGGCAATAGCGATAAGGCCGCTCCCATCAGTAACAGCCCGGGAATTCCCAATCTCGCTGTTTGGTGGACATGATAGTCGGACCCTTTCTTCCGATCCTGAATGTATAATGATAGAATTGGAGGTTGTGATTAGCAGGTTGTCTACCTCACAGGCCATGCTTTTGTCATTTCGAAGGCATATTCGATCTCGTTCTGTAGTTGTCTATCACCGAGCTTGCCTACCTTGTGGTAACTGCTGACACTCGAAGACGACCCAGTCAAATGTAGAAAGCGTAATTCAGCAGGCACCCAATCCCTTTAGGCTATGGCCAAAATCAAAAGCAAAAGCAAGAAACATCCTAATTGATACCTTCATGTTCTATGATAACTAGCGTAAAAGAGCGTCAAGGTTCACATCTTCGTTCAACGGGTGAGACCAAGCTACCTAGGTATACAAGACTGCCAATCCTCCAACATTCCGTGCCAGCGAAACGATTACACTCCCTCAGGCAGCAGGCGCCATCTAGCATGAGCCCCTAGCATCTAGACCAAGGGCGACGCACTTAGGGTCAGTGATACTCTTTTCACATCCTGGCTTTCCGCCGTCCCAACCCGTAAGTCGACTAGCCATATCGTTAGGATACCAAACGCTCTTCGCACCATCGTCATGGGTCAATTTTTCATCACTCAATCGTCCAGCGTTGTAAGAGTGACCAGCTAAAAAGTCCACGTCAGTAAATGTAACGTCTCAATAATTGACCAAGTATACTGACCAGCAAAAGGATTGCCATCCCAGAATGACTTGGGCGCCACATCTATCAACCAACCTAGTCCCTCCTTGTCACCATTCAGGTGAGTGAGAAAACCCGGCGTGCCTTTAGGGGCCCAGTTCGCCTGCGACACACCAAATACACCATCGAGGATCATTTGCTTGATATTCTCAGGTTTACCTTCGACACCACCCTTGATTTGCATGAGACCACAATCTTTCTTCTCCGGGCCAGTGCATTCAACATCCACCTTACCGCCTGACTGCAAGAAGTTAGTATCAGGCTGAAATGGGGAAATATTGGGTCATTTCAAACCTCTTGCATGATGACTGCGAGAATAAGTCGCGCATCAACGAAGCTCATCTCGCTAACCTCCTCGATAGCCTTTTTGATTTTCTCGTTATGAGTATCGCCGCCATTGTGCTCTTTAATGATAGGCTCATTGATCTCCCACATGGTCTCCCAGGACACCCACTCATCAATACCTGGATAATCCTTTGCTTCGGGCCCGACACAGGTGTAGACGCTCTTTGGATCGGCGGGCTTGTCTATTCCGTCCTTAGAAGTGTGGGGCCTATACCATTTCTCCCTCAAGTCTTCACGTAGGGTCTCCACCTTATCGCCATAACCCTTGTCGTAGGTTTCGCTGGATCCACCACCTGCTGAGGGCTCTGGGCCGCCGGCAGATGTTGTACCCGATGGTTGGGCGGCTCCAGTGGCCGTTGATGCAGATGCCGATGCTCCTGTCGCCGATGCTCCTGTCACCGATGCTGCGAACAGGGACTCGTCTGAGGTAACGGACTCAGCTTCTAGCGTTGCTGTGGGCAGAACTGACGAAGTAGCTGCCGAGGAGCTGATCTCGCCCTCGGGCTGGCGAACGAACTTGTCGGATGGCCAGGCGTATGCACCGGCGAAGAGAAGCGGAATAATGGCGGAAGTAGAACGCATAGTGACCTGCACAATGGATACAAATAATAAAATGAATCTAGAATGAAAGAGAGATAAGAGATTGGAGAAGATAGCAGCGCACTGGAATGATTCATTGTGATGGCGTTGTTGGTGATATATAAAGTATATCCTGCATAGCTACCAAGCATCACCATTGTACATTGTCTAGTTGGCTCGTAGTATTCGATCCGAAGGCCGCTGGCGGAGAATATGTTTTGCGTGATAGTGTCTAGAATGTTTGATCCTGCCCGCTAGCACAAGCCATGCCGACATCCATGTGGGATTGAACCAGGTGCATCTCAGAAGTTCGGAATAAAGTAGACATGAAAGAGATACGTCAAGACTGCCCGAACAAAGGTTTACTCCATCATACTAACAAAAATCCGCACTCAAGCGATAATTTGTGGAGTTTCAGCAGCTGTCTCTCCCTCTCCCTCTCCCTCTCTCTTCATATGACACGAGGCAATCATTGGAAGTCCTCGCTGCACTCGAAGTATGAAGCGCAAGAGTCGGAAAATACCAATCGGAAAGGAATGCGTCAAAAAATATCGTGTTCCAAACAGCAATCTGGAGTTAGGATGCTGGGGTCAGAGGTCACGGAAGGGATGCCTGGATCCGCAGGACCCAGGTGAAGACAGATTTATCTGACCATGTCATCCAGCCTCGCAGTCCTTATAGGTTTATGTCCATTTGCGGTTAGTGCGGTTCCCTGTCGGGACATAAGATTCTGAAACATTGTTCCTGAATCGAATTCTGTCAAGATTCCCGCTATTGCATGAAACCCGGATCAGAGCCTGAACATTGGCCTGGTGGGAGCCTTATAGCTCGGGCGATCCTTTTAGGTACCAGCAGATGAATCTAGGAATTTTGGACACAAACAGGGATTCAGGGATTGGATCTGACTATTGATGTTGCTGTCTAGCTCAACCGCGCATACTGTTTACCCCACTTTTCTGCTATATCCTCTTCTGTAAATCGTTTCGTCTTACTTCTGAGCATCTCAGCCCGCTCTTCCATAGTCATTTCCGTCTGCTCACCCATGGGCACTAGGCATCGTGCAAGATGCATGTAGTTCTTAGTCAATAGGGTGATGGTGAGCATGAAGTAATCTATATTGTAGAACACAAGAGCATGCTCGTCTGCATACTGCTTTTTCTGTTTCAGGAAAGCCATGGGATGATCCCTCCAATGACGCAATGGGTTGAGATGATGTGATGTGTGATAACCATCATTGTAGCAGTGACGGTTGGACTATACAGTCTATTGTTAGCGATTTGGCTTTGCCCAGTCACGCAAGAGACTTACCGGTACATCGACAAGCGTGATACTAGATCGAAAATCCGAATCTGGTTTGAGCTCGTCTACAAATGCATGCTGACCCCAATTGCCCACCATCAGGGCCAGTCTCATGAACAGAAGCGGGATCAAGAAGACAAACGTGGTTGCAGTGGCGTTGATCCTAGTAAACATAAAGAGCAAGAACGCGTAATTCGCTATTTCGCATCCTCCAGCTTTGATGGCGAGGCCGGGCTTCTTCCTCTGGATGAAGTAACGAGGTAAGTCAAACCAAACGAGGAAATAAAACCGCCCGACATATTGTAAGAAGTGCCAAACATCGTCTCTCTGGTATCGGACAGTCGAGGAAAGATCATTTGGACCGTTTCCTTCAATGTGATGATGTTTAACATGGTGGAAGAAATAGCTGTTCCAAGTATGGCCCATCAACGGATCCAATATGTAGGGAAATGTGTGATCCACAGGTCCTAAGCGTTTGTTCAAGACACCTCGCATATGGATATGTTGGTGCATCAACAGCGTATATGGTCCCATATAATAACCCTGCATGGCAAGATGGAGCAAGCCATGCCACCAGCGAAAGCTGTAGAAGAGGTATATTGCAGAGGGCACGCTCGTGGCGAAGTAGATGATCAAGTGTGTGAGCATGACGACATCGGTATCTACTCGGACTATGCGGCGTCCCCAGCGGGTATACGGGTCTATCATCCACTTCCTCAGAAATGGAGACTTGATGTCGGATGTGTCTACGCTGGCGAAAACGGTGGGCTCGAAGATCGATGAACCGGGATCATTGAGGCTACGAAGAAGCTCTATGGTTTGATGATCGCGATCCAGTGCGTCTAGGGTTGCATTAGGTGGCCGTGCTGAGCTATATTTTGATGTGAAAGAGTGTGCGAACCTTGGGGCGAGGCAGAGTCAACGCGACGACCACGGTTCACGACAGAACTTTTACGACCGGTTGGGATACCGGCCTGTTGAATCGGGAAGCCATCTGAAGCCTTCTGGTATTGCTCTCGATCTCTTTGTAGGGTTTCGAGGACCAGGCGGTCTGGGACAGTAAGAGCTTGGTCAAGCTTGAAGTAGAGATCTGTCATTGTTATGGAGTCTTCTGTACAGATACTCGTAGGTAGATATCCAGTAAGGTGCCAGGTAGGCATTCAGGGACAGGGGATGATGGATTAGATTAGATAAGATAAGATAAGATAAGATCTTTCCCACAGGGACTTGATTACCAATCAGAATGCGACAACAATAATGCAGCACATCATGGATTTACAAGTTTTTGCATTGGTGATTACTTGTAAGAGGACAAGAGAATAAAAATATTCTTCAAAGAAGAAGGAAAGGGTAGGAAATGTATAGTAGTGTAGTGAGTGGGTACACAGCGGTGACCCGTAACCAACAATAGACCAGAGACTAACTTCTTGGTAAATTGTTCGATCTGGAGGGAGTAAGTAATGTAATTACCTACAAATATATACCTAGTAACATATGTACATAGTTGTGGTAAAGTAACTGACCTGATTCGTTAGAGAGTAACTACGGAGTACGGAGGACGGAGTAGAGAGTCACCATTTAGTTAAGGGAGAGCCGAATCGTAGTGCCTCCAAGTAGCGGTGTATGCACCATGCGTGCATGCGTATCGAGCACGGAGTACTAAATAGTTACACCATATATGTATGTAGATATATATGTACGAACTAATCTAGCGCACTACATACCCTAATCTGTAATTTCCCTATAATGCCGTGCCTGTCACTCTTCCTCCCTATAATCGTGTGCCCGCCCCCGGGAATTACCACTTCAGTTATACTCTTAGGACTGGACACCCCATTGCCTCCTTGGTATGCCAGTCATAGCTATTATACGGAGTAGAGGTAGCCAAAATAGAGGGCCAGGTTCACGCTTTTGAAAATTCGCATCTAGAACCCACAAATCAGCCGGCTAGTGCTGTGATTGAATTGTTTATGAGTAACAACTACCTAGCAGTCTAGAGGTGGCGGTCAAGTTCCACCGTCTTCCAAGATATGGGTTCATATCATCCCACTTCGTTAAGGCCACGGGTGCTATAGATTCATAGATACACATACATGTTCTCTACCCCTAAAAAAACACCTCTGCTCCTTCCAGCTCCTCTGATCCATCTCCGCTGTTCGTCTCTCTCTTTTTACTTCTCTTTCAACAGTACCAATACCAAGCGAAGAGCAAAATCGCGAAGCCTGCCGGACACCAAATTATGACCTTCATGATTGTTATCGACCTTTCAACAGAAATCGAGTTTCAGTTTCCGCAGCACGGATAAACTCTCACCTCGGGGCCACGGCCATGCTGAACCGCACTCACTTCTGTGGAGTCATGTTGTTTGTGAGATCCAAGGGCCTAAGAGTTGCGCGCGTTAACTGGCGGGCTGATAAAGATTTCATCTGAATGCATATGCTTTCCAATTGGAGTGGTGGCAAGACGTTCGTCTACCCAGTGATCAACGGCCCATGCCACTACAAGGCATGGTACCGTGCGGGTAGTACCGTACTATTTTGCTTATTATCCTACATCTCAATTGTCTCATATGAATGGAACAACTATACGTATACAGCATGATATCATCGCGCAGCGATAGTACTATTTTGCCATCCATCAAAGTGATATTCAGTGACGGTCTGACCATTCACCGCACCCCAAGTCTCCCCGGTAGGCATCTGCCCTACCTTGCCTCTAAAGTCTTTGAACCACACGTCCGTGATGTGTGACCGCAGGTGTTGCATGCAAGTCGGATAGTATGGCGTAGACGTATGCGTCTTGAGCCAGCAGAGCGATGCAGTGGCAGGGTTGCCATTGATCACTGTGACGCCGTCCCAGACAATGTTTCTAATGACGCTATCAAAGCCGTACGACCGGAATCCCGTGGCGGTGTCTCCATCGAAGGTGAGATTCGATATCAGGATGTCAGAAATGGTGTCAAGTTGTTGGGCTGCTGTCGGTCGAATCGTACCGATGATGTTCATGGCAATAAGTGCCCCACCCCAGGCGCCTCTGCAGTCGATGTCTGATGCAGTGACGTTGTGCGTATCGACGTCTATAGCCAGACATATGCCTACCGTACCACCGTGTTCGACACGAGAACGAAGACTGATGCTGACGTTGGACACCGTGATGGAGTGAGTCTCCCCGAGCTCAATGGCTACCGCATCGTGTTCGTTCCTCGAATAGCGACCCCATTGTTCTTCCATACTCATATTCATGTTCATAATGGCCACCCCGGAGCTTTGCCCGTCGACACGAAAAAAGCGATGCCTACCGCAAGTCAGTGCATGCACGGAGCATATCTCTTTGTGATAAATACATACATCACGTTTTTCATTACCAAGTTATCAAAATGAATGTCCGTGGAACCATTCGTGATGTGAGCAAACGGCTTGTAGGTCGAAATCCCACCGTCCCACCTGCCACGATAGTAACTAATCGCATTTCCGTCAATCACTCCTCTCCCAGTCAGGCTCCGTACCCGCGCCCCTTGAACACCCGTAAATGTTAATGTGGAATCAACGTTATTCCAGTAGGACCAGTCATTGGCGATGATAAGTCGTCCTTCGATTTGGACATCGCAGTTCCTGCACGGTGAGAAGATGATTGGAGTGCGAATGCTGTAGGTTTGGTCGGCGGGTAAAACGATCGTGCCACCATCGCCGCATTTCTTGAGAGCATCGTTGATAGCAGGAGCATCATCGACTTGCTCATATCCCTGCGCCAGTGGAGTACAGAGACCGCGATTCTGCATCAGTGCATCATAAGCAACAACGTGATCGAACTGGCTCAACCAAGCGAGAATGGCCGGCACCGAAATGATGGAATGTGCCTTCATGTTGCTTCTATCTCGAGTGAAAAGTATGAGACGGATTGATGCGCTGTCGACCAAGGCCTAACGCAGACCTCACCCTTCCTTTATAGACATGCAAAGAGTCTTACACAGGGCCCAACGCGCTTGGGCCATTGGGACGGAAAGAGGAGTGGGTTACATGTCAGGTATATTTAGCAACGTAGATGCCTCGATGCAATACTTTCGTTGCATTGCGAAGTTGTAGTCGTAGGTGTCGATGTCGGATGATTTCGACCAGAAAATCAATTTACCCCAAATTGCTCTGCAGATGGATTAATAGCGATTATGCAAGTACGGAATGGAAGAAGAGTTTTGCCTAGGATTAGAAATTATGTAGACCGCGAAACACGGACAATCGCACTGCATTCATGATCAGTATTGCTGTCATGTCCCTAATTCACGATATGTTGTTGCTCTATATGTGCCCCCTGCAAGCGAGGTCTGATGGAACTATCAGGACAACTACTCTGATCCTGGTACCTGCGGTATGCCGTCTCGTTACCAGAGGGGATTTTTGCATTTCCAACACGTGGTAATAGTAATAGCAATGCACAAGATAATGCTGTTGTTTCTTAATCTAGAGATATGAAAGTTTTGAGTGTACATGTAAAGATCAATGTGAAAGTATATACAGGAATGCCGTCTACCAGTCACGTACGCTCGAAGCGGTCGAGCCATGCGTGACAATTTGAAACCCCAGCCAGGTCATGTATCGTAGACGTTTTCGTAGTAAGCGTCATCATGGCGATATGTGATTTCTTTTCGTCCTTTCCCTGAACGTAAGGTCTCAAACAACCCAGGGTCCTCTTCTCCGCTCTTTCTCGCCAACAACCAGGCACTCTGACAAATGAAATATGCTCTATCTTCTCTCTCAAATGCGTCCAAACCAATGCCCTTTGCTTGGGTATGGACTGGCGTGATATGTAAACCATGTGATGGCTTGGGACTTTCGAACTTATTGCCGTCAAGCAGCCGTAAGTGACAAGACTGGCAGGCGAGATACTCTCGAGGACGATTCTGTGATGTAGATGTAGTTGTTGCTATTATTTTGCAGTCTCATCGAACAACGAGTTCGGGAATGCGTGCCAATTAATCTCTAATTGCAGTAGACGTAGGCAGATGTCACGTTGGTGACGCGAGTGGTAGCCAAATCTTTGATGCGTACTTGTGGACATGGCTGGAAGTCGCAGTTCGTCTCTTCCTCGACTCTCGGCATGCCATAGACTGGTTTCCCATCAAACGTGATGATTGCTGGGGATGCGGTCAGTGGTTATGATATTACGCCCATGTAGGGACATGTCCGCTTACCGGTCTTGATCTCTTCGTCCTCTATGCTGAGATCATCTTCATCGTCTGCATACTCGTCGCCACTCTGGTCCGTATAGTCTTCGTAGTCCTCTTCAAACCCCTCTTCCCAACCTTCTGCCTCGTCGTAGTCCTCCCACTCAGCCTCTTCATCTCTCCAAGCCTGTCTTTCCTTGAGAACTTTCAATTCTTTTTCGACAGCGCTCAAGCGGATGTTTTGGCGTTCAATCTCCTGCAATGCGCCTTGCAATGCATCAATGACCTGGATCCGCGTCTCGGGGTCCAATGGGCCGTCCAGTACGGGGATATTGAATTCCGGCTTTCCATCCAAGAATGGGACATATCGAACGGCTTGGACATGAAAGAGCGGGGAATCTATGTTGGTCTGCGAGGGCTGACTCCTACAATGTTGGACTTTGGAATTGGGCTTTCGATCGTTACGGAGGTTGAAGTGGACAAGAAGGGCTAGGAGCAGAATGATCCAGTCCAACAAGATGTCGCCGTTCGGCAGATGAACGGCGGAGGTTATCATCTTACTTGTGAGGTGGTTAAGGTGGTGAGAATATGAGTGGGGCGTGTACCCGGAAGCCGCTTCGCCTGGACGCCGGGACCTGCCCAGGTGTATCGCGCATACATGGAGCTCCTGATGGGCAGGTAGAGGGAATGCGACATTATGGTGATGGTAGGATAATGTTTCCATTGTACGACGAAAACATTGTGACGCCACTGGAGGAGGGAAAGAGGGAGAGAAGAGGAAGGGAGGGGAGGGACGAGGAGAGTAGAGAGTGGAGGAGAGGAGAGGCGAGGAGGAACACGGCACGAGTAACTACCTATGGCTAGGTATAATTAGTTAGTGACCGTTGACAGGTAGTCATTGGGGTCGATACCCACCTGATACTGATACCTACTGTACATACCTAGATAAAGCTTACAAGTATTATTACTCGTAAGTAGTTAGTTTACGAATTGGTTTATTATTCGTAGGGATGGGGATGGGGATGAGATGGACTTGGGCGGTGGATGGGGGGATGGGACGGGACTCACGGGAACGATGGGATGGGATGGGACGAGATGGAGAAATCGATAGTTGGACCAGCCGCTAATCCAGAACCGTTATGGTCTAACCCAATCTAGACTAACCTCATAAACACGTCACGATTCTCACGCAGCGACCTTTTCCTCTTTCCATCCTCAGTCCAACAGTCCAACAGTCCAACTCCATAATACATCACACTACTACTCCGGAATAGTAACGGGCTGCCAGTCCGACTCTCATCGCATCACATCAATGCAAACGTGTTTGTCAGTCCCCAAATACGAAATAGTTGATACCGGTAACCGCCCGCACTTGTTCTACATACCTCGTATATAGTGTACGGAGTAGGTACCTAGGTAGGTAGGTATCAATGATCTACAGAACAGTCCAGGCAAAGCATCAACATCATCCCGCTGCCCCAGCCCCCGTCCATATATGCGGCATGTTCATGTCCATGCCCAGATTGAAATAGGAATTGGAATAGAAATCCAGATCGAAATCCAAATCTATATCTATATCGAGCGTAGCGGACGGCAAGATCGAGAGTGTTTCTGGAACACGGATGTCTTCGTCCTTCAACGAGAGGATCTCCCTCGCAATAACGCCCATGCTTCCGTATTCCCTTGATCCCGCTGGCCAGTACTCTCCCAACATCTTCAGCACCCCCATATTCAAGCGAATCTTCTCCCTCTCCTCGCTTAACCTTGGCTCGCGAAACAGATGCGCACAGGCCGAAAGATGAGCGATCGTCATGTTGGCAATCATGCATATTATGAACGGTGTATGGGTCGCAAACCGCGTCGGCAATGTAAGTAGCGACGACAGTTTGTCGATTGCGTAGAGACACTTGGCTGTATGTACGTGCGCGTCTTCCCGGATGACCATCATCGAAGAGGCTGAAGAGGGCGGTGCGGGAGGCGCACATTGCGAGACCGACTCAATTGGACAATAATGAAGGCTTGAGATTTCGCGATGTAGGTCGACGATGTATCTGCATGCCCGATAAGATTTTCCCATTGACGAAACTTTTGAGAGACTTACGTATACCTCAGAATATTTGCCTTGAATAGCAGCTCGTCTACGGTTCCGTCATCTCGAAGTATCCTCCGCTTCGATGCGGGTAATAGAGAGCACCAAGCGGACATTGTGGTATCTGCATTTGAGCATATGGTTTTCGCTTGATCAAGGTCACCTGAACGCCCGGTGGCAAGGACACGGTTGACCCCTTGTGTGAATCCGATCAAATGCGCAAACGACGAGAATTCCATACTGGAAAACTCCCGCACGTCATAGCTGCGTAAATTTGGGCTGGGCGGGATTTGCTACAACAAAGTTACCAATGTCTGGTCAATCTCAACTTGCGATCAATGAACGTACGCCACAGTCATACAGCTCTTCCTCACATGGCAGCTCGGTAGTTATGTGCAATGCTCCTGTCTTTGTTGGGAATGTATGCGTGCTCCCTGCGATATGTGCGTCTGTAATGTATAGCTGCCACCACGTCCTCCTCCAACTCTCCTCAAGAACTGGGTCGTCGCAGCCATGTTGTTTCGCAAACTGTGCACGGTGCATTCCGATATCGACTGCGACCTGGATTGCTTCATCCAATATGTTGCGACCTCGTTGTGGTTCATTGCACCAATATACGGCAATGGAGTACAAGGTCAACGTTTGCACGAAAACGGGGGTAAAATGCGAGCCTTGAGACCGAACCTCGTTAACAGCTTTCAAAGCGATCTCAGATAATAGATCGGAGGGGGCAGAGTCCGTGAAGATAGATCCTATGTATAACAACACGGGAAGGAGAGTGCAGGCGAAGCCCGGTTCATTTACCAATCGCGCGTGGAGAGCAACCTTGGGGAGGACGCATGGATGCGACGCATGGAAGTAGACGTAGTATTGTGTCAACAGGCGGTCCGCCTGGATTCCAGTAATACCAGATGTTGCTTCACGGAGCCATGCAACTGACCCGAACCCAAATAACGACCCAAGGTCCAATAAGGCGTCCGAGTTGCCCGTCGACGAAGGTGGAGAAGTGCGGAACGGACTGCGAGACGAGCCGGATGAACCACTCCGGGCGGATGTGCTTCCAGCCACACTCAAGGACGGTGGAGCGTGAACCACAGGCCCATTAATAGTGGGAGCTTGCGCTGGGTCAGGCCAGCTCGCTGCTTGTACTGGAGCCGCAGCAGGGCGTCGAGGGCGGCCTCCCCGGCGGGATTTCTGATATTCGCATTGTTTGCCATCAACTCGGCAGCGAATGCAGGATGGTTGTGTGGAATCACACTTTACTTTTCTCAGGCGACTACACGGTTGGTCAATAATGTAGATATCTGTCAGTTAGCAGTGTTCAGAGACCACAGACATACCATGCAATGCACGCGAGTGCGACGCGCCGGATAGGTTTCCTCGAAAGCAAAGCCTCGGACAAAGCTTCATCGGATTCCATCGAGGACCATGGAGAGATTCAAGATATGTAGAGCCAGAGGACTGGGAAGTCAGGCTTCCCGGATGGCGCTGTCACATTATTTATTCAACGACATTTTCAATCTTACCTTTCGCAGGGTCGGCTGTTCCGAGACGCCGACATGAGTAGAGGCTGTATTACAATGGCACGAATGGATAATGTTAGTCTACGAGGTACCGAGGTTGAATCCCAGTAGAAGGACCCTGTCGCGTCTGGTAAGGCTCTCCAATCATAGTTCTTGGGATAAAAGAAAAACTAAGAAAAGATGTCCTAGATGTGTCCTATCGAATAGCTGTCATGGGCGGGCATGGGTTACATTGTTCTGCGAGGCGTTTGGGATGCAGTGCTTACTAAATGATCATTGCATGACCGTAGACATGACTGCAGCGAGGATGTTTTTTTTGAGGGGACAGATGATGACTCAATTTTGACTTCAGTTGACCAGCTGCCTTCGCCCAGTAATAATGCAGATAGCTGCATTTGACACTACACTGCGGCTGAGGAAGTATCCGATGGTGGAGTTCCGCTTCCATAGGAGTCATGGAAGTCGCCATCTCTTATACTTGTGCCAAGGACCTTCAATTCACCCCTCGTTGTCTAACACGTGCTGCTATACCTAGGTAGTTACACCAAACAATCTGTTTATATTTGAAATGTCTCTCGAAGATGGCTCGGTGAACTCTGCTAGCATCATCGTTCGAGTTTGTCCCACTGTGCGGCTATGCATATAAGGCATGTGAGCGAGACTCGAGTGAGGTCAAGAATGGTAAAGTTTGATTCATTTCTGCAGTCATAATCTTGGGTATCTATCTATCTTCTTCAAAGTTTGACGATGCTAATTTCGCCAGATGCTCCGCAGTGGTCTACCAATTTGACCCACACAGCATCTGGCAACCAGCGCCCACCCTTCGCCGCAACCCTCTCCGGCACCTGCCATCTGCTTTCCCCATCCTCCAAAATCCTTCTTGTGACCATGACCTCCTCTGCCACGAGACCTCCCTCCGAATCCGCGGTCGCGACCATGCCTGCACCAACAGCGGCCCTGCTGCTCTCTGGTTCAACGTCCAGGCAGACCTCTCGAACTTCCCGCTTCACCGCCACAGAAGTCGTCAGGAAACAATGGAGACCAAGGTCCAACCGCTGATGCCATAGTGCGCAAGCCAGCATCTTATCTATGTGCAACACAACCCTCGATTCGCCGCTCCTGCTCCGCACCGAACTGTCCTGGAACGATAGCACAGTGCCGACCATTCCATTCATGATTCTCGCCAACACGGCTGGCTTTCCCTGTCCGTAAGTTCGGGCGGGTGGTTTCCAAAACACGTCGACATCCCATCTCTTTACTTTCGATAGCCAGGGGAATTTCTTGATTATCTTCTTGAAATGTGTCGTGACCTTGTCGTTCCAGTGCTCTTGGACAAATGTATTCACGTGGCCCTTGAATACAATGGTGATATGTAGCTCTGCATTATTGGCCACCAGTTGCGTAAAGTACTCGCGGGCCTCCAAGAACTTGTACTTCTGCAGTTGCAGGAGGGATATGTTGCCACGGTGGATCGGCGTTATCCGGAGAGAAGTATGCGCCAATTCGTAGGCCTTGGATACGAATGGCAGTCCATTGCTAGACGCTGGAGCGGAGTGGTCGAAGGTTTCCGCGTAGATGGCGTTGCGGAGCTCAGGAGGGAGTTCGGGAAAGAGGAGACGCATCTTGCTGGTTTGTGTTTGATATAAGTGATTATGAACGGCGGCTCTCAGGCTGTAGAGAACTGAGGAAAATGCTGGACGGGTGCCCAACAGCGTCTGACCGCTGCCCTGCAGTGGGTTACTACTTATATGCTCGCACCCACTGCGAAGCTATTGTACCTATTGCTATTGTTCTACCATTTGGGTTCAGTTTCAGATACGGACAATAGAACTCAAGGTATCGTTTCTTGCGTACCTTCGAAGAATTTTGAAGGTGTGCGGCCCACTCTCGGCTACAAGTCGGCGAAGCGCTTTTTCCTTTTGACGCGCTCAATTGTCATCATCGTGATGATGTATTATTGTCGTCTTGAATAATTCGCGAAGTACTCTGTGTTCTATGTCTGGTTAATCGCGAAGCCACAACAGCATGCGGAGGAGGTTCACCTTCACCTTCACCAACCTTCCACATCGGACGTGGGTGAATCAAATCGTCATCAACTCCAGTGTCCAACGAGTAGAGCGGTTGACTCCTCAAATTCGACGCGTCAGACGTTCAATAATTACAGAGCCATGGAAGACTTTGTGATAGGGTAGATAATTGCGTAGTTGTGCGGGTGGGTTGAATGTCAGGAAGAATGCGAGTGAGTAGAAGTAAGTAGTGGCTCTCTCGTGAGGGTTAAAGTTAAATATTGTACTTGAAGGGGTGAATAAAAGGCGAACGTAAAACTTGCGAAGGTACTCGCATTCTTTTAAGCTACGGGACTATGTGTCAGAGGGGTTCGTTGCGATGATGTTTGTGCGGTGTAGTGAATGGTGGTTGACTCATTGTTGCAACAGCACCAATCATTGCGTCTCAGCCACACTCCTTTGCCGCGTCCATCCACCACTTGTACCTCCTACAAGTTTCAAGACTCAAGCTACATCGGATTAACCCTTCGTAAGCACTGTAATATGAGAGGATTCTCTTCAACTTCTTGCATCAAAGAATTCTGATTCAACGGGAAATTCAGCGGGTAAGTGTGGCCCGTGCGCGAACGCGAAACCACTGGCTGAATGGTCTATGACGAACATAAAAGGTGATACCTAATGTACGATTTGGTAGGTGATGAGCCAATTAATGGTCAGTTTCACAAGAATAGAGAAAGACAAAGTCAGAAATAGAGTCAGAAATAGAGTTGGAAAGAGACGGGACAGGAACTGAAGAAAGTATCTTGTACAATTGCCTGTGATCGTAAGAACGTGAGGATATGCTCCAAAAACGCCAAACCTGAACGCCGTGACCTTGTAGCTTTTTCCCTTCCTCTCAAGCAGCGTCGGCAGCGGTTTTAGCCTTCTCAAGCTTCCTCCGCTTCTTCCTGAGTCCCTCGGCTTCCTTGTCCCTCTTATCCTCGCCATATTCAATCCTCTTCATCAACTTTCGCTTGCGGCGAGACAACATCATCTTCTGGCGCTCCTTCTCCTCGGCTTCATCCTTCCTCTTCTTATCCGCCTTCTTCCTAATCTCGGCGTTCTTCACCTTCTGCGATTTGACTACTGGCTCGACTGATTCGCCGGCAGCCTCAGCCTCAAGCTCTCGTTGATGCTGTCGGCGAGCGAGTTCGCCATCCGAAACATCAGACTCAGCATCCGACTCAAAGCCTTCAAAGTCTCTAGCACTTGTAACTTCGTCCTCATCCGCCTCGTCCGAGTCAGACTCTGATCCACCGACATCCATACCTTCGCCTACTTCTACAGAATCCTCGCGATCGATAATGGCCTCGAGCCCATTCTTCTTGCCATTGGTGATAAGCTGCTCTGCCTCGTTCATTTCCTCGTCATCGTCCGCCTCGTCCTCTTCGTCCTCGAAAGCTTCTGCCTCTCCTTCCAATTCCTGTTGTTCCAAAGGAATGGTAGGGTCATACTCGCCCTTCTTGGCCTTGACCCAAGGACTCAGGTGGGGAGGCAGTTCCGCTCCAGGAGCGTAGAGGTCAGGGCGCAAGAGCTTCCCTTGGTTGACGCAGTCCCAGACCCATTGAGGTTGCACATATGTGCGTCCAGGCATAGTTGATCTAGGCCATTGCGCTTTGGTAACAGTTGCGCCACCGTTATCAGTCTCTGGAACATAAGGTTCTGGCAAAGAACCATTCGCTACAACCGGACGATCGACGATTTGGTGCGTTATGGCTGGGTTTGACTCATCTGTGGTGAAAGCTCCATCGCCCAGGCTGCCATCCCAGCCAACACGTTTTGATCCGAAAGCCTTCAGGATGAACTCAAGTGGGGCTCTCGGTGTTTCGCGAGAGAGGTAGAAGGTGAAGGGTGCAAAGAGAGCTGCTGCTTCGGCGCTGCTCGCCTCGGGTTGTGGCAGAACGTCCGCGTCGGCGGCCGTGGGTTCGAAGGTATCGATCGAGTCATTGTTGCTATCTTCTGTTCTGACGGCATCGGCCAGGGTCTCCTGTTGCTCTTGCTCGGTAGATGCAGCCAAAGCTACAATCTTCTCGACCTCGGCCTGAGCCTCCGCAGAGGTGATGGCTTGAGGCTCGATATCCTCGGCACTCGACTCATCACCTTGGGTGATCCGCCTGCCTTCGATTTGGAAAGCACCAAGCTCGCCACCTTGTTCGTCGCTCTTGGCATCAAATTTTGGCGGATATACCAGCCCGACCGAAGCGTATAGGCGGAAGTTTACGAAACCCAAAAGAGTTGTGTAAAATTCGACAAATGTGCCCATGATTCTGAAATCGATATCCCCTCCCGTCCGCTGTACGAAACGATAAGGCACAAGCCAAAGAATGTCCTGTCCCTGAATCGTCGCCTGGTAATAGATACCCTTGATGGAAAGGAAGGATTTTCGGAGCGCATGCGAAGCAATTACGTAGTGTTCGAATTCGAGGCATAGTCGCTGGCACAATGCAATGGTCTTTGCGGGGACGTACTCGGAGGAGGGTAGGTTCGCGAACAGGAACAACATGGACAATGCATCGTCGAGGTCGCGGAGGGCGTCAATGAAGGTTGGGTAACGCTCCTTGATGATATGGTCTAGCTTGACCTTTGGAATATGGGTTTTCTCGAGACGCTTTGCATCTCCAACTTCGCCACGGCCCAACGCACGCCCAATCTTCTTCGCAACCGCCTTGTGCTCACGGAACTTGTTCAACAGGGGTTCATGGAGGAGGTACTGGATATCTTTCGTGTAGTAAAAAGTGGTCGCGGCAGTGGATCCCTTGGAAACCTTCTTTTTGTTTCGTGGTTCTCGAGGATAGATTCCTGGAGTGAATTTGTCAATTGTGATCCTGGAGCAATGGACTTTTCCTCGAGCCACACAGGGGGGACGGACATACCTTTAAAGATACAAAGACGTCGGAAATCGGGGAGGGATATCTGAAGTTTCTTCACTGCGCGCGTACGAGTAATGTAGTTTTTGGCAGCACCGGATGTGCCTGAAGAAGGGGAATAGGTTGTCAGTGATTTCTCTCTTTACTTCCTCGTAACAGGCATTTGACGCACCTTTCTTCTTAATGCGACCCATTTCTGTTTGGCTGCTGGCTTGGGTGTAATAATCGCAAAGAGTTCTTGCGTATTGCGCGCGTGCAACAGACTTGGTAGCGGGACGAGGGAGGGAGAAAAAAAAGTTATTAGAGTTCCCAGCTTTAACGTTGCGTCAGCCAATCACAGCCAGTCCCAGCCAGTGCCAAGGTTATGAGACGCTAAAGCAACGGACCGCCGAACCTCCGACCTCCGCCACACATGTAGGTTCAGCCATCCAGGTGCCAGTATGTCACCCAGTCCAGTGTCAATACATACTGAGTATTGTCTGGCATCACCAACATCACAAATACAATCACAACCACGTCCCATTTCTCTGCCTCCCCGGTCTTCCGGTACTCAGGTCCTGCAATTCTTCAATGAATGCACCGCAACCGTCATAGCCCAACGTCCACCGCTCCTCCCTTGTCCCTGGATGCATGCCTACATGGATGCATGGGTGAATGGATAAGGTAGACTGACATCAAGCCACGAGAGATGGATCAACAGAAGGCACTCCTCTTCGGAGCTGCCGCGGCAGTGCGGTTGTTTCTATTCACCGCGTTCCCCTCCTTACCGAGTCTACTCGCTGGCCGTGTCGAGGTATCCACGCCTGTGACGAGCTTCAAGAGACGTAAGCTACTTCATCATCAGTGGTGCAATTCTTAGAACCACCACACTGCATTGGTATTTGGCTTTTGCTAATGGCTCTCTTCAGTTCAGGAAGGCCTGTTTCTCTATGTGCACAATGTCTCCCCCTACGACGGAGGGGTTTACCACCAAGTACGTGCCCCGGTTCTATCCCAATCCATTTTCATCCAAACAACACCATATTGACATCTCCCAGGCGCCTCTACTCCTGCCGCTGTTCTCCCTACTGCCGAACCCCTCACACTACCCTTTCGCGACAAATCTGCTTTATACCGCGGTGGACCTTCTGGGCGCTCACGCCTTGATGCTCGTCGCGGATAGTGGGCAATCTATTACAACTAGACTATCCAAGTCTTCTAGGAAAGACCTGCGGTGGAATAGTGCCGCTGTTGCTGCGAGGTATGTCCGTACCCATTTGCGGAGAGTGTTAAATCTGACTTGGCTAGCTTTCTGTTTAATCCTTTCACCCTAGCCGCTTGCATCGCACGATCGACCTCTGCTTTGACCAATCTCTTCGTTTTATTAGCATTGGCCAAAGCCTCCCAGGGTGCCAGCATCACTTTTATTCTCTCGCTCTCCATCGCCTCATACCTGTCCATGCACCCCCTGCTACTATTCCCACCTTTGTTGATCCTCTGCTACGATGTACGAGCGTCTAAATCTAAAGTGGCACCGAGTCCGCTTTCATTCACGATAGTCCATGCAGTTGCCTTAGTGGTTACATTGTGTGGTCTACTTTACGTTTCGGCTCTCTTGATGGGATCTTGGGAGTTCTTGTCAGCAACGTATGGCGTTCGACTCTTGCTTCCCGATCTGACACCCAACGTTGGTCTATGGTGGTACTTTTTCACGGAGATGTTTGATTCCTTCCGTGAATTTTTCCTTGGGGTATTCTGGCTTCATGTCGTTTCGTACATGCCGGGCTTAACCATCCGGCTCCGAAAACAACCTTTGTACGTTGCAACTACACTGACCGGTATCTTTGCGGTCTTCACTCCGTATCCCAGCATTGCAGATGCGGCGCTGTATCTGTCATTAGTGCCACTATTCAGGCACCTATTTCCATGTGAGTATTATTTCAGGTGTACATCGTGCTGCGCTAACCTGCTCAGTGATGCGGTATTCCTTTCTTGCGTCAGCTGTCGTACTCTACGCATCATTTCTTGGGCCAACGTTCTATCACCTTTGGATATATGCGGGGTCGGGTAATGCCAACTTCTTCTATGCAATCACCCTAGTATGGAGTCTAGGCTTTTCAATCATCATTGGGGATTCCTTATATGCTGTACTCAGGGACGAGCTTGACGTGGAAAGACCTGAATTGCGCGGCAAGGAAGTCGCTCGGATATGAGCTGTCAAATATGCATCATGATAGCAATAGATCGCACCTCATCTTCGCAAGAATATCTCACAGTGGCCATCTACACGCGCCGGTATATATGTGGTGCGTTTAACGATTTGAGGCGTTGAAGTTCCCGTCTCTGCAGGCCCTGCGGCGAATCAGAGGACGTCCCTGGGTGCTGTTGTGCGACGGGATGTTCGGATCCTAGACTGATCAATCATGAAGATATGACAAGTCTTCTCCGCTCTGAAAATATTGTAGATCTCTTAAGAGGTTTTACGAGTCACAGTGTGTAGTCGTACCCCATAGAGTCATTAACAATGACAGACCGGATATTCGACCCAGCCCGGGAGGAATAGGTCACGAATATTTTTCTCTAATCTAAAGTTTTGTTTGCTTGTGATATCCCACAACGTGCGCCACTGTTCTGAGGTCGGCTCACTCTGCCTTCACCCATGCCATATCTTGCATCGCTGCCTTCACTTTCACCCGTGAGTTCACCTAGCAACAGAGGAGCCTCTTCACCCACAAGCTTCTGTCACGGCAGGTAACAACAATGCCCTATAATTAGTGGCCTCTCCAACAATTCCTCTTCGCCAGTTTTTCCATTTTCCTCAGCTCCTCTTATCCCAACCTTCTCAACAATACTGCTCTGTTTCCCATTCAATCATCCACTCCGTCCCTCCTACCCACCTACCCACCTACTCCGAAACCATGAGCGGAGACAGTGTCACCTTCACCAGCCGTGAGATGCACCTCATCTCTTGTGCTTGGAAGTGCTTTGACTCTGAGCCCAAGGTGAGTTCGACATATAATCGGCCTTTGGAACGTTTGGGGCCTTTGACGCCATCATTTCTCGTGCCCGATAGCATCAACAACTTCTATCTTTGCTTTCGCTAACATGGTTACTTAGATGGACATGCAAAAGCTGACCGAACTCAGCGGGTATTCCAGGAATTCCACTCCAGTCATGCTCGGCAACGTCAAGAAAAAGATGAAGCAGAACGCAGCTTCTTGGCCAACCACCAGTGGCACTCCAACTGCGACCCCCAAGAAAGCGACTCCAGGTGGGCGGAAGAGACGTCATGCTGAGGAAGATGCAAGTGACGACACCGAAGGTTCACCAACCAAGAAGTCCAAAGCCGGTCGCAAGCCCAAAGCTTCAACTCGAGAGAGCAACAATGATGGGGAGATACCGCCGCTGAAGATCAAGAAGGAAAAGCTCAGCGAGTTTTGCAATAGCTTCGATGACAACCAAGGCCAGACTGGGTTCAATCCATACGAAAACACCTTCTACTAAGGCCAGCTGCTCACTGGTCTGATAGTTCCGCTCCAACATGAAGGCCAAGGAGAAAATACAATCTCTACCGATCGCCACTTTCAAATCTTTATAGCGGAAACACGATTGGACTTCGATTTGAGGGAGGAGCTCAATTGGGAAGTGGTATAAAGGCGGTCATTTCAACATGCTCAAGTACTTCTTGTATTGGACACACGGATTGAGGGCCTTTTCGGGCTGTTAATCTCATGACTGCTCTTCCTCTTCCTTAGTTTCACTTCTTCCATGGCTTCAGCTCTTCTCTGTTACGAAAGAGTGTAGCTGCTGCTCAATCTACAAGTATCACTTAATCTTCGCTCTGCTTCAAGTGATGATCGTAACTAGCTATAATGGTACTCGTAGAACACAACCTACATCATGATGATTGCAACATCAAATGCACAAACACATTGCCTCTACACCGTATGATATGCGGCAATTTTAACATACGATTTGCAACGCCTAACATGCCAAGCAACAAAGTTGTGATCAACATGTTTTGTTTCAATCGCCATGACTGTACATACTGAACAGAGCTCAAGAACATGACACGGAACGTCGCTATGTAGATGATTTCATCTCTTCCGACTAAGAGGACAGCCTCTCGGCAGCTCAAATCCAAGATATACCCTAGAAACGAATCACCTTCGGACATGGTTTCTCACTCCAGTTCTGGAAATTGTCTTTCCTCACTTTGGTCCCTGTCTTCAATGCATTCCTGTCCAAGTGTTTCAGCGTATCGCCAGATGATGCATTAGCCGCAAGTGACTTACCACATATCGTACCCACTGTTCATCATCAAGCCTACGTGATGGATGCCCTCAGGATCGTTGGCACAATCGCATTTGCCGCCGAAGAACACTGCATCGCCTGCTCGGCGATCTGCGAAGTTAAGCTTCCTGCACGGATGAATCAGCACCCATTATACCCTCCATGCAGTTTGACGTGACGGACTTATATTTCAATTTGCTTTCGCTGGCACAGTACATGCTCCTAGTGACTCTCAAGCCTTCGGAAAACAAGTTTCGCCCAGTTACTTGGCAAATGGCCCACGACACAAGCCCCGAGCAGTCGTATCCGCCACCCGTGGGGCCGTTGCAATTCCCGCCACCCCAGTGATCTACCACTAGTCAGCTTGATGCTTAGAACGCTCACTTCTCATATTTTCTCACAGGGGGTTCCTTCTGCCGTTTTCGCTTTTGCCAATATTAGTTGGCCTAGATTTTGACCATTGGAATTTGTGATGCAACATTTGAAATCGTTGGGTCCAGGGCAGAGATTTGACAAGATTGGCTTCCCTCCGGTGCACTTGTCCGTGAAGCGACAGTCTCCGCTCTGAGAACCGCTCTGGCAATTGGGTTTTGTGCAGCATTTGATATCATCAGGTGTACCTGGACACGCATTACTGATGTAACTGCCACCATCCTTGGTGCATGAGGAGGTTGAGATGCAGACACCACCTATGCCACTTTTGCCAGTACAAGGGCCATCCACTTTCGCGCGAGGTTCAAGGGCACTAGCACTGATGGCAGTGAAGAAGATGAGTGAAGATATGATTGTCATAGGCAACATGTTGCAATCAATGAAGTTCACTTGGATTTGGATATGAATTCTTTGCGTGATGGATTGAGCATAGCACATTTAAATCGTTGCTACTTACCCTCCTCTTTATATCTCGCCCTTGATTCCAGAATTCCGGCAATATGATTGCGGCTGAGCCGACTCGCCAACCGTGGGACAACCTGAGGATGCAGATAAATTGACTTCAACCCGAGAACACGACGATTACGAGGGCAGGTCAGCATCCTTGATTTACCAAGAGAGATTGGACATCCACTCCCCTTGAATGTATTCGTACTTCGCATTTGCGTTACCTTGGGGATTTGTGACTGGATCTGGGGACCGCCAGGGCGTTGAATATGGTCCATTACGAAACCAAGGTTGCAAAGAACGTTCGCGGAGGTGGCGCAAATTATATTACATGCCCAAATCCGTCCACCCACTGACCGATGCACCCCTTGACCACTGGCCCTATGGTCCACACCTTGCATGCCTATCTCGCTAAGACCATCCAACCACAGAAGTGCATCCCCTTTGTCGGCTTTTCAGCTCTTTATTTTCAGAATAGATATCCCTGTATTCCACGACATGTGCTCTTGACCAAAGCGAATAATTGTGTGGCCCCTGGGTGTAGATATTTGAGATGTTGGCACATAGATCTATCCAAATCGAATCAAGTATTCAGCGCGGCACCCAAGATATTTCTCCCTTCTGTCTCTCCTTCCCGCAACTCATACTTAGCCTGCTCCCGAGCTTCTACTCCATCTCTGACAACTGTCCCTGCAGGATCTTATGGACTACCTGGTTGCTCTGGGACCGTGAATCTCAGCTCATCGTTGTCATTCGCTCAAAGTCCCCATCAAGCTTGCTTCATGGGTACTTGGTTGGTGTACTAGCTAGGACATTTAGAAATTCAGAGGGCAAGTAATCGGTTTCACTAGATATTTGGAAGACAGACTATGAAGTTATCTAATCCTCGTCTGGGTGTCATTCACGCGCGCGCAGATGTTTGATCATGAACTTCCGACTATATTGCAATGCCTGGTTCGCTGACTAGCATGCTTGACGGATGGTCTCTAATAGGATATGGCCCTCGTTAAGCCAGGTAAGAGGAAAGCAGCCTATGAGAGTTTTCAACACCGGTCAACAGTCTCGTTGGGCACTTGAGGAGTGACCATTGTGAGGCGCGGCCGATGGGTGCTAAATGACCTTGATAACTAAATAACGATAAACTTATTTCTCCCTTCACTGTTTGGCGCCGAACTATAAGTATGATGCAGACGAGATTAGACCCTCTTTGATAATCACTTTAAGATAAAAATAGAGTTTTCATTTGGGGTATACCTGATAACGCGACCAATACCGAAGACAAATAGTGAACACACGGTGTGTTGTAAATATTTTAGCTCGTTCCCAAAAGGTCTAAACCTTTCATTAATCATTTCAATCTCCTTATTGCTCTCTAGCGCCGTGGACAAGGTGGTTGACGATGTTTCACACTCCAAGGTTGCATTGCCTTTCGCATACCCAGTGCTCTCCTCGACGATCCACTGCTGTTTTTTGGATGTCCAGTGGAAGTGTCGTGAAGAGTCACGGCAGGCTTGACGGCCGAAAATCCACGATGCATCGTTGATTGTACTGGGTTGACAGGTTCGACTATACTTCCTTTATCACCATTGCTAGAGGAAGGCCCACATGGAGCGTGATCATCGGGTTTAGTCGGTGAACTGGATAAGAGAATGTACCGTTTGTCCTGATACGGCTCTGGCGACAGTTTTCTTGGCCTGCCGATCATAGGAACATTGAGTGGCTTGCGAGCGACATTACTACTGCTTGTCGAGTTTATAAGAGCAATCTTGTTAGATGGCGCAGTGGTCATACTCAAAGATTGAGAGTGCGATAACAATGGGTGCGTCGTAGAGAGCTGAGATGATGGATCAACCGGCTCGGTGCGGACCATAGATGATTTGCTAAAGAAATTCGTGATAGTACCCTGCCCAAACGATCTGACTTTCGGTGGTTTGGGGCCAGACTTATCTGTACCAGCCTTCGTCACCTGACTGAACACGGACTTGCCTGCTGCTGCAGTTGATGCGGGAACGACAGCACCGAAAGCTTTTGCTTCCTCGGCGAGACGGTCCTGGCTACTCTTGACGGCGCTTGCAGTCGTGAACCCTGGCAGAGTAGCCGTCAGGGTGGTATTGGCGACGGAGTAACTGGATTGCATTGTGGTGGAAGCACTGTAAGTTCTAACAGGGCCTGAAGAGTCTAGTCTGCGACGTTTGTACGGCTGCTGCACGGTGACATTGACATCCAAACATTTAGATCGGGCGTCATCAAGATGAGGATTTGACCAGGCCCCTGAGCTTCCATCCCCATCCATCTCCATGCGAGTCAATGGGTATCGAATATCTTCGGCCCACTCCTCATTGGTACGTGCAGCCTCAATCAAGTCCATAGTTGGACAAGGCCTTGCAAGTATGCCACCAAGATCGCGGATCGTCTGCTGACAAAACGTGGGCCCTTGGGGGCTGAAGAGCTTGAGCATTCTCGAAGTTGAAACGAATTTGGAGACCGTTGTCTCTTCACTGGATGACTGTTTGTGTGGGCAGCTAAGGTACAACAAGCCTTGGGCTCGAGTCATTCCGACATAAAGTAACCGCCGCTCTTCATCGTGATCTTCAGCTCTGGAGTGCGGTATTGAGCCGTCGTATACGCCAGGGATGAAGACTGCCGGCCACTCTAGACCCTTTGCAGCGTGGATGGTCGAGATAGTTACTTGCTGTTGATCCTCTCCATCCGGTTTCTCTACCTCGGTTGCGAGAGCCACGTTTGCGAGGAATTTGGATAAGATGTCGGCAGCGGTATCCTGTCGTTGTTCAATGCCTTCCACGACTGGCAACATGTCGGAATCGTCAATTGAAGCTGATGCCATTTGCGATGCCTGCGTAGCAAGTTCGTTGACATTGTCCCAGCGCTCCTCCCAATTATCTTTATGCACCCCTTTGAGATAGGCTTGAAAAGATAACCTTTTGAGAATATGTGCGATAAGATCAAACAAATTGCATTGTTCTCCGTTCTCCGGTAGAAGTTTCCGCCGAGATGTCAAGATCAGGTTAACGAAGGCGTCGATGCCTTTCTGTGCTTGTGTCGCAATTTTTGTGCGCGGGCGACGCTTCCCTTGCGCATAACCTAGTATTAGACTCCACAAGGTCATCTTTCCCGTCTCGGCCTCGTCTAACAAAGCTTTGATTGTTACGTCTCCTATTTTCCTTGTCGGCACGTTGATTACCCTAATCAATGCATCGTTGTGATCAGGTTGATTGATGACCCTTAGGTAGTCCAAAACAATCCTGATCTCGGCACGGTCGAAAAACCGACGCCCTCCGACCATCTTGTACGGTATGCCAGCTTTGGCCAATGCCTTTTCGATGGACATAGAAAGTGTCGATGTTCGCAGCAGGATGGCATAATCGCCGTAGTTCAACACGCCCGCGGTGAGATTCCTTGATCGCTCTATCTCTTCCACAATCCACCTGGCCTCGACATCTTTAGTGAACAAGTGGCGAAGGGTAGGTTGTATGCCAATACAATGAGTGGGAACCAGAAGTTTACTTGGTCTGCTTTGGTCCTGTTCAATAACAGCCTGTGCCGAAAGAAGGATGTTGCCGGCAGAGCGATAATTTTTCTCCAGATTGATGACCACGGTGTCGGTGTAATCCTCGCGCATACGATACAGGTTCTTGATTTCAGCAGAGCGAAAACCATATATGCTCTGATCCGGGTCTCCAACGATGGTGATGCGTCTGAGTTTCTGAGCAAACAATGCCATAAGTTGGTACTGGACGTTGTTGGTATCTTGATACTCGTCGATCAAGACTGCCTCGATGTTACAGACGCAAGTTGGATGCATAGATAATAGTTCGGTACATCGAAGCAATAAGTCGTCATAGTCCAAGAGATTCGAAGCCTTGAGTGTTTCTTGATATTCGCTATAGATGCGCGCGAGTTCGTGTTGATGGGCCTTGTTGCTAGTGGCTGCGAATTGTTCCGCCGTTGTCCCTTTCGCTTTGAGGCCAGAGATCCGAGAGCGAGCAGGATCAGGCTCAATGCTGTAGTTGTTACGAGCTATGATGCGTTTTATCATGGCCTTGCTGTCTGTGGTGTCGGCAATTCCAAAATCCTTCTTGATTCCGATCTCGTGGCCATATCGAACCAAGAAGCGTCGTGCTACAGAATGAAAAGTCCCCAGTATGAGCTTCGATTCGAGTTCATGCCCAAGCATGCCACGTATCCTGTCTTTCATTTCCCGCGCTGCCTTGAGCGTGAAAGTGCAGACGATAATGTTGCATGGTTTGAAGCCCTCACGAGCGACGAGGTACGCGACGCGTGCTGTCAAGGTCTTCGTTTTGCCAGAGCCTGGAGGTGCCAGAACCTGGAGAACTGAGGCACGACTGGTCACAGCACTGCTCTGTGCGTCATTCAGGCCGTCCAGCAATTCGTCCATGAGGGCCGTTCAAACGCAATGCATCCAGACAGTGGTGGTGTTGGGAATTTCTTTGTAGTGGATATATGCGACGGGAAGCCTGAGGTACAGTGGGTGTACTCTTGGCGGATCGCGCTATCACGTGCTGGCAGGTGTACGTCTTGCTGTACTCGGTACTGAGAGAAGATATAATAACCTTGCTACAAGCATCAATACGAATAGTGATTTGAATAGGTAGATATTAGTACTAAATTATAACATCATGGTTCTGTACATTAATAACTGTTTTGAATTAGGATAATATCCTCCTCTTCCCTTGGTACTTTTACACATGTTAGCTACCCAGGTACCTACCTACCAACCATGATATAAATAAATTATTATGGTAGACAGAAGAAGCTAGCAACAAGTAAACAAGTGTTCTTAGTATACACCTAAGCCCTTTTGTACGCACCAACGATATTGAACATCTAGGGGAGCAAAAAAGTATTACCTGGACGATGCCTAGGTTCTGGAAAATTTGTGCAATGGTGAGGCTGCATGTGTCCGTCCATAGGCAAAAAAGAAATGACTCGGCCGAGGCTCGAACTCGGGACCTTCAGTGCACACAGGAAACGCAATCGGAATCACGTGATGTAAGACTGACGTGATAAACCAACTACACCACCAAGCCATGAAAATTGAGTAATAAAATTTTCAATAAAAAAATTTATATTCTGTGTGCCAGTCGCAATTGAGCCTCCACGATGATACGATCCTACCCTACCTCGTATTTACGGACTGTTAGGACTAGACCCAATCATGGGTAATTCAGGACACTGACCTAGGTAACGCAGTACGGAGTGGGTATACTATCATTATTATAGTAAGAGTATCAGTAGGTACGAGGTATTGTTGAATGAGATCAACTCTGATCTGCACTAATTACCTAGTTACCCGCACTGCACTTGTCGTCCTGTACTGTAGTAACACCAGCCACCGCACGGAACGCCTACGGAGTGGTAGGTAGTTACTCGTACCTTGTGTGCTTACCCTCATCCAATTTACTCGTGCTCTCTCTTCACTTTTCATCAATCACTGACGACGGAAAACGAGGGTTCAACCATCACTCGCTCTCATCTTTAGTCTTCTTCCTCCGAAACTTTGCATCCATCGTCTCTGCAAGTATTCGACCACGAAGAAAGAATGCCTGCCCGCAGCTCACCCGCCCTGCGGCACATACTCCGCACGACAGCCAGCACGACAGCGCCGCTACGTCAAATTCCCCAAGTCACGACGCGAACTTTCCACAATGTGCCCAGCTACACGCAGTCCCAATCCCAATCCCAATCCCCATCACATCTAGCCCAATCGCGGTCCCGCTCCCCAAGTCCCCCACCGTCCTACATCGCATTTCCCAAATCTCTCCCGGCCACACTGGCCCCGAGGCCCTCCACCCTTTACTGGACACGGTTCTCCACACCATACCGTCTGAGCTCGATCCGCACGTTCTCCTCGACGCCGGCTACATCCTTCCCAAATTCGTCACCGTCGACATCGCCGTCATCCCCCGAGGCGGCGCAGGCGATTGAGGCGGCGATTGTGGAGATCCAGGAGCTGTACGGCACGGCGCGCGACGAGTTCGAGATTGCGGCCGAGGAGACCGAAAAGAACACGACGTATGCGGCTGGGGATAGAGAGGCAGCGAGGGAGGAGTTGGACAGGCTGTTGGGGTTCTATGAGGGTGTCGTAGAGGGGCAGGATGTGGCTGTTGCTGAAGAGGTGAAAAGGAGGGTCGGACAGAGGATCAGGGAGTTGGAGCAGGCGGTCATTGCGCTGGAGGAGAGCGTAACACATGGCGATTAAGTAGGTACCTAGATGGGAGAAAACATCACGAATCTACAAAGACTAGTTCTCGTTGTAAGACTATTTGTTCGTATGCGTAGAGATAGACATACAATCCTCTCACCAGGGCTCGGGAAAATCTCGAAACGCTCAAATGCTTGATTATCCTGATGCATGCTACTCGCGTGAACCTCAGCGCCCTAAGAATTGCACGTCCACCGGAAAACCGATCCACTCACCTCACAACTTACGCTCGCAATGTCGTCTGTGACATGCATGCCATGCTCGCTCATGATAAAACTGCAAATGCGCTGGCGTAAGAGACGCTGCTGTCTCGCACGCTCTGTACCAAACTACTCCTTTCATACCTGACGAATTTAAACCTAGCGTTCTCTCTGTCAATGCCTTCGCTCGTCTCAACAGCAGCCAGGAATACGCCAATGGGGTGTCTTCCGCACACAGTATTGCCTGTAGCTTCCAATTGGCTCAGAAACCCTTGGTGTGAGCCCGACTCCACCGCGTCCATACTCTGCCGATCCACCTCGGCAATGCTTTCGTGGATTGGTCGATCGGAGACGGGAATGCCAGCTCTTATCTGGGTGGGTGGGCCGGATTTGGGGACGTAGTAGGTGTACCTGAAGCGTGAGCCCCAGTGGCAGAAGTCGGAACTTATGACGAAGACGTTCTTCGGGTCGGCGAGGTAAGGTGCAAGATGCTTGCCCAGAGAGCGTTCCGTGGCTGCCGACGTGCTACCTATCAATATGGGGACGAGGCGGGGCAGATTTGCGAGATCATGTGTTCTGGTGATGTCAGTTTGTGTGGGCCGACAGGCGCAAAACCGGGGCCAGGGAGGGGGAGAAATCACCTTGACAGCACTTTATAGATGTAGGGTAGATGCATCTCTAGACTATGCTCGGCCTCATCCACGGCGGCGGACATCCAGTCCAACTTCCAATCTTTGGCAATCGATTGGACGAGCTCGGTATCTATGGGAAGCGATCCTAGGGGCGTATCGTATGTTTCGAAGGTGGTCGTAGCAGCGCCTGTCAGATAGTGATGATGTGAGGGGCCAAGAAGGAACACGCGCTGACTGTTGAGATGTCAATTGAAGGTCGCGCCGAGTTCATCAGCGTGCCGGGCTGACTTACGCATTGGACCAGTCGATGCTCTTGTATGCCCAAGCCGCAGCAGCGCCGGAGTATGAGTATCCAGCATGCCTAGGTAACATCAGTCTGGGTGGTTTTGCGGACAGCTGCTGGCAGGTGGTCGTGTGTGAACGTACGGTGCGATGATAGCCCGGGCGCCTTGGGTGGGTAGTGTGAGGGGACCTTGAACAGCGGAAGCATGTCCTATGGGTGTGGTGGAGGAGGGGACAGCGTCAAGCCAACTGTCGAGCTGCCGACTGAGCTCGTTTTCCTTGTGAGAGTACCATGAACCCGCATGTGAGGCCTCCCTGGAAGAAGACATGGTCGAGGGTATGAATGGGTGAATGGGTGAATGGGTGAACGGGTGAGTGAAGGAATGAGGTGTGGTGGGAAGCCAAAGCTTTTGTGGTGGCAGTAGCAGTTTCGGTGATGATGGATACCTTCCTAGGTATGGAGTACTTACTGTGTAGGTATCTAGGTACCTGTGTAAGGTAACTACCTAGGTAGGTAGGTACCTAGGTATTATTACTTAAGTACGAGGCAGGTACGGAGTACACACCTACATAGTTACCTACTACGTAGGTAGCGGGTACCTTGTACTATTGACTGTAAGACTTACACAGTACGAGGAAAGTGACAGGATGAATTGGTCACGGGAAGGGCGTCATTGTGGCGGACACAGCGGGCATGGCGGGGTAGTTGGGACGATAGGAAGGAAGGTACGAGTAGGGAGCCGGGAGATGGCAGGGGTTGTCGGGTAGGAGCGGAATTACGAGGTGGAGGCTGGAGAAGAGACTACTACATACCTAGTACAATACTGTCGTCTACAAGTACCTCCGTACTGTGTACACGGTACCTACAAGTCATGTGCAGAGTACCGAGTACTCTGTATCTACTACAAGATAATTAGGTAGTGGCTTGTATGAACGGAGTACTCCGTACTTGAGTACGGCCTACAAATAATTACCTTGGGTGCCTTTGGTATGGTATACCCGGTAGGCACTACCTACTCTGTAGCGCCTACACAGAGCAGGTATCTACAAATGTACTAGCTAGTAGTGACTTGGAGGTAGTAGGTACCTAGCGCGACACGCATTAGTACGCATCTATCCGAGTACCACATACATGCTCCACGCGAGTGAGCACTGAGCACGCGTGGTCGCGTTACCCATTTCCCAGCCGTGACGCGCCCAGCCTCACCACCTACTTACATACCTACTTACTACCTACCTAACTACTCACCACTTATCACTTACCACTCAGTGCCAGTCCGTGTTCTCCTCGATTGTTTCACCCATCTTTATAACTGTTACACAGTGCAGAGTACATAAACCCAGAAGCCTCATTTCCATCACTCACACCCACACCCGACACTGACACTCCGCACACTGTCCCCCTCCAACTACACCCACAACCACAACCACAAACAATCCAATAATGGGTTTCAAGCGCAAGCGATCTACCCTCGACGACTCGCCTCTCTCCATGTCCAGCTTTGCCTCTTTGAACACTCCCGAGGCACAATCCCCGACCCCCATCCCACATGCCCTCCATTCAATCATGGACATCGACCCGCAATCTCAACCCTATACCGATCCCGCCGCGCGATTCGGTCCTGTCAAAGACTGGTTTGCGCATGCCCAAAGAGTCAAGGCCTCAGATCTAGGCTGTCGGACGCGCAAAAGGTTCCGCGACAATAGACCAGACGAGCGCACCATCCACGGTTAGATCTCCCACCCCGAACACCTTTACACACACATCTCGAGAATGAAACAGTGGATCTCGTTCAGTCTCTATCATGTCTTATACTACCCTTGCTAACTACAGTACACAGAAATAACTATGAATAAACTCTTCTGCGCGCAACGAAACCTTCCCAATGCTTCCCCCATTCCATCCTTGCCACAATACCCAGGTGTCGAGACCCAATCTGTTCCTGTTCAAAAGTCGACGCTTCATTCCTTTTGGAAGATATCTGCTCCCCCGGTACAGCCGACCCAATCACCCCCAGTACACGTCCAGCAGCACCACGAGGCAACACTACAGGCATGGGACACTCCGCGATGTGAAGATTGCGACTCTGTCCTCCAAGCAGCAGACGGCATGAGCGTTGACATAGACATGGATTCAGATGCTCACGGATGCCAATTTGCATGCAATGAGTGCGGTCGCAAAATCTGCGCATCCTGTGCTGTCGTCTCCAATCATAGGCACTGTCTGCAGTGCGCCACAGCAGGCAGAGAAGGACGATGGTGATGATAACAAATAACACCATGGTCTTGGTACATGTTCTTTTGAGTAATCGATTGTAATCTCTACGTCTTTTTAATTGGATACCCAGCATTTCAGCGTTCAAGGCCAGATTGTACCTTGGCAGCGTCTGGTTTATTAGGGATTTGGGGACGATGAGCACCCACACACCTTGGGGCAAACGGGTCGTTCATTGCACCAAAAAAAGATAAAGTGGACGAACTAGCCCTGAATACAACTATCTGCAAGAATCGCATTGCCCTTTGTCGTCCTTGAAAGCTCCATAGCCTGCACCATTACTCACATTCGTTCCGAGCACATACACTGGCGCTTTCCATGCACGCAGTTCTTCGTTGTGCTGAATGTACCTGCATTTGCCCACTCATCTACCTGTACGCCGTAGACGATTGTATAACGTGGTGCTATCTCGTCCAACTCCTGGTGTGCCGATCGATGCGAACTCTGGCGATGGTGATCTCGTGAGCTCCACATCACTATGTATTTGTATTGTATTATTTACCAATACGGGTGGGTTGTGGCGATGGGGAATTAAGGTTGGTCACTGTATGCAGGTCCACAGGCAATGCGTCTCTCCAATTGGCCAATCGCCATCTTGGCGAGGCGGAGGCGCGACCCCAAATTTTCCCGGCGCCATGTCAAAACAAACACTTTCATTCATTCATTATTCGATTAATGATTCCGTCAGTCGAAACTTGAACGACTCCCGACAGCGTACAACTCAAGCCGACGAGCACTCGCCGTCGTGGAGATTTTGTGATGATCTGATCGTCCATAACGACTGACTTCCACTCCTTTATCCCGCCAACTCTGCGAACTTTTCTGTGTTTCGCGCGCCATTCTTTATCTGCGAACCCCACCCCTGAATTCTACACTACCGCCGTGTAGCGGAGAAGAACACGATGTCGGAGAGAGTAACACGGTCGAAGACTGGCAAGACACCGAGGTATGTGAGACGAGACAATTGCCGTACTCAAATCCACCAGCCTTCAACCAGCAATGAAACCATGACTGACGGCGCATTACCTACCACCCAGCAAACCCTCCAATCCTGGCTTCGTCGAGACGCCCGGCCGAAGGAAGTCTCAGCGCAAATCGATTGTCCCTGGCCGTGAGGCATCTGCCACCCCCGAACCTCTGTCGAAACTCGACCTCCAGGCCAATGGTGCAGAGTATGGACATGCGAATGGATTCTCCACGGGCATTGAGAATGAGTTTGCTAATGGAAACGTCAACGGATACGCCAACGGGCACGCCAACGGGCACACCAATGGGCACGCCAATGGACACGCCAATGGACACGCCAATGGACATGCCAATGGACATGCCAATGGAAATGCCAATGGAAATGCCAATGGAAATGGTCAGATGAAGACAGACCCATTCCCATTGTCCAATGGAGTCATCGTACCCAATGATGGACCAACGGCCACAAAAGACGAGAAAAAGCTCGCAAAGGAACTGGATCGATTCCCTAAGACGGACGTATCCGGTGCTAGCGAGTTTGGAGGCTCTTTGGGCATGCTCTCTATGATGATATGCTTTCCCATTCTCATGTACTACATGTGGATCGGAACGACCTTTTACGATGGCAAGATCCCAACCCCGGCGCCTGGCGAAAATTATGGCAAGTTCTTGCAACATCTCTGGTATCTCGTTAGGACACACGCTTATCCCAGTCACCGCGCTTGGTCAATTTACTGGTATTTTGGACTTACTCAGATGGCTTTCTACATGCTTCTTCCTGGTGTCGTCCGTCACGGTCAAGCTTTGCCACATCTTGGTGGTAAGCAATTACCGTACTATTGCTCCGCCATCTGGTCATTCTACACGAGCATCGTACTTGGTTTGGTCCTACATTTCACGGGTTATTTCAAACTCTGGACGCTTGTAGACGAGTTTGGCTCTATCATGTCTGTTGCCATAATCTCCGGGTTCCTTTGCTCCTTCATTGCTTATTTCTCTGCCCTTGCCCGTGGTGCTACCATTCGCATGAGTGGTTATCCTATCGTGGACTTCTTCCTCGGAGCAGAACTTAACCCAAGACTATTTGGTATTCTTGATTTTAAGATGTTCCTGGAGGTCCGTATTCCGTGGTTTACTCTCTTCTTTCTTTCTCTCGGCACCTGTTTGAAGCAGTACGAGGACTACGGCTACGTCTCGGCATCGGCAGCCTTTTTGCTCTTGGCACAGTACCTGTACGCAGGTGCATGCGCCAAAGGAGAGCACTTGATCATCACAACTTGGGACATGTACTATGAGAAGTTGGGTTTTATGCTGATTTTCTGGAATATGGCCGGTGTGCCCCTTTCCTATTGCCACTCTATTCTATTTATCGCCCATCACCACCCGGACACTTACCAGTGGCCGACTTGGTTTGTCCTGGTTCTTGTGGTCCTCTACCTGGGAGTGTATTACGTTTGGGACACCTGCAACAGCCAGAAGAATCAGTTCAGACAAGAGGAGAGGGGTGCCGTGGATGAGCGCAAGACTTTCCCTTACTTCAAGTATGGCAAGATCCACAATCCTCAGGTCATTGAGACGGCCCAAGGAAAGAAGCTCCTTTGTGACGGTTGGTGTGAGTAACAACAAAATATTGCGTACGCAGAAACAACCCTAACGATCTACAGACGGAAAAGCTCGCAAGGTTCATTATGCCTGCGACTTCTGGTTTGCTCTTAACTGGGGCCTAATTACTGGCTTCACATCGCCATTCCCGTGGTTCTATTCATTTTTCTTCTTCTGTATGATTATTCACCGGGCCCGTCGCGATATCGAAAAGTGCCGCCAAGCCTATGGCGATGCATGGAAGGAGTATGAGCGGAGGGTCCCATACCTTTTCATTCCTGTAAGTTCATTTGGAAATTATAACATGAATAGTTGCAATTCTAACGATATCTTCAGTATGTTTTCTAACCCCTTCGCGAGTCTGGTCCTCTTCTCGTTCTCGTTCTTTGACTCTTTTTTGTTCTTTCGATTGCTGTATAATACACTTGTACCGTATACGCTCGTCTTTGCATGGCTCGCTCCATAGTATCCATAATTTATAAAGTAATATCCATAGTGCGATGGATGCGGGTATTGTTGTTCAATGGTTGAGCCGGAGTTTGATTGCATGACTCGTATTTCTGGTAGACCTATAACGGAAACGAAAATGTCTCGCAGATTAATAATGCAAAATGTACCAGCTCTCATCGATTGAAGCTAGGAATGTGTGGTGTGGTAGCTCTCGGACACTCAGCATACGTTCAAATACTTTGGTCTATTCACTGACGGAGGCAAACGCGTTCTTCCCCCCCTACACCGTTCAAATCTCACAAAATTCGTTTAAAGTCCTCAACTACCCTTTAGCGATCATACTCCGCATCTCCTCCTGTTGCTCTCCCAGGCGCTTTAAGTTCAAACTCCCGACAGCCCTAATCAAAGTTTGAATAGTTTCCAACACCCGTGCCAAAATGCGTGAAGATTCCTCCAAATCCGTGATTATTGCCTGTGAAGATTGAAAACTGAAAGCTTTCATCACCCATACCACGATCGCACCCGAAGCCGTGAGCGAAATCCCCGAAGCGACCTTCTATCCTCGCCAAAGACCACCAAACGGTTCTCCGCAGCCGTACTACATCAGCGAAGGGGGGCATCTCTCGGTGATTTAGGGACTACCTTTATTCGTTTAAAGTCGTTACCATATTTATCGCCGAAGGCGTCCTCACGCTCGCCCTTTTCTCTGGAGACAGATTTGCTATCTATACAAACTCCTGTAAATATTGACACGCCCGTTTCTATTCCCGCACGTACTCAACGAGACCCAATTCCATGTCCCAACTAACCCATCCTCTTGGCAAAAAACGACACCACGAAGACGAGCACCACCATATCGACGAGCTTCAACACCATCAAGCCACATGAGCCGCCAAAATATGTCCAGAATCTACGGATGTTATAAGTACTAGATGCGATTAAGTCCAAGAGAGCAAGCATACATGTACGACTTCGCATGCTCTTTTTTGACGTGTAAACAGTGAGTATGGGGCACAAAGCCTTCGGGTTTTCCCGAAGCATTCATCACGGAGGCGAAGTGTAATAGCATAATAGAGTTGTTGCTAAAATAATGGGCTGGTAAGAATTAGGGTTGACGAAATTAATATGCTACTCTGCCTCCTTTCTCATCGGAGAGCTGGGAGGAGAGTTGAAAAGACCAATTATGGTTTGCGCATGAATGCGGGCAGTTCAAGATATTCATACTTTGATAAACTGCCAAACTATCGGTTCGGCTTTGAATCCATCATGGCCAATTCTTGCTAATTTCAAGGTCCCATTGTCAAGTCTCAGGCCTACAGGTAAAATCTTCTTCCAATGCGTCATCATGAGAATGAACCCGCCTTGAGGTTGGGGCATAACACAAAAGTGCTCCCAGTCGTCGGGCTGTGACACCATGCATCGTAAAAACCCCATGAATCGGCTCGAATCGTCGTACGAAATAAAAAGTCCCGAACCCGGATCTTGAAAACAAAGCCAGTTATCATGGCTCAGACAATTCCAACGATAATTACCGGGACCGCCGACCGCATGGAGACCCAACTGACCATTACGGAGGGTGATGACATGTCCTGAGCCTATGTCTTTAATGATGAATGTAGAACCAGGATACGGGATTGATGACTCGATTCTATTGCTCGTCGGATCTTGTATTTCAGGCAAGTCCGCTAGGGTTTCTGACGGAGTGTTGAGAATGTCATCCAATGTGGACTCTGATCCAGACTTCGAGAGACTCATGGCCTTCACTCCAATCTTTGTGTCAGCCTCTTGTGTTATACGTATGCATTTTGACAACCCACGATGTGTTGTTGCTCAATGTGATGCTCTCTGCGATGGTGTGATCATTCGATGGTAGGATGCTGGGTTTTAAGCGCCGACCTGCTTCAACATTTGTCACTTGCAGGAATGTAGTTGCCTTACGAGAAGAATGGTCGACCCCTCATTCGCTACACAACATCCCACCTTTGTCCTCCGTGAGCCTTTAGACGAGTCACCACACCATACATAGCCTAACGTCCATTGAGATTGCAAAGACAAAGCGGCACAGCATCCTCCCCCATTCGCCATCACAACATTTATCTGGCTCGATAGGATACGGTCTCGGCATTCTTGTCGGCAGCGTCGGCAACGAGAACCTCGTGCTTTCTATGACTCTGGTGGACACATGCTTATATGGCAATATGGCGCAAGTCGTAATCATTCTCACCCCACACGAACTGACTTTTTACAATCGTTATAATTTTCTCCAGGAATTGCAGTTTGAAACATGCACCAGAATAGTGGGGGTTGTTGGGTTGGGATACTACACTCGCTGATATCGAGTTATCGTATCCTAAACCCTGCGCCTGCATAGACGGAGTTACCTACCTAGGTACACAAGCTAAATCACACAAGTGGAAAGAAACAATTAAAAAAAAAAACCCTGTACAAGACAGCGCTATTCTATTATACAAAGTCTACCTCTAGAACCAGTCTTGCATTGCACTTTCATGATTTACTCCGAATACACGGGGAATCTTACATTTCTTCATCCCTGATAACGTCTTCGCATCGCCGGCACAGTGTCTCTGGCGCAGGTGCTACGAATCTCCAACATCTTACACATTTATGATCTTCTGGTTTGAGGACTAATATTTTCACTTCATGGTTGTCGATCCTCAACGTCTCTATCGCCCACCATTCGTTTTCCTGTCCTTTTAGACTAACAACGATGTCATCGATTTCCGCGAGGGAACGAGTCTCAAAATTGCTGACAACGAAAAGGCCCGCGAGCTCCGCATTTCCAGTGGGTGATTCGGGTGCCGAACCAGCGAAGAAGTCTTTCAGACGAGAATCGCCATTTGGCTGGTCGCCTTCAGACATACCAATGAGGACTCGGCATTCAAGGGACGATCCAATTTTCTTGTCTGCGCGCAGACGTTCTTGGGATGCTTTGATGGCGGTACCGAGGGTATTGATGTAGGAGAGATACACATTGTGCTGGTCCGAATAATGCTGGACAGAATTGTTGTCCGGAGCAGTGCAATCTGGTGCACGCCATTGTGCTCGAGCAGGATGGATGGAATCTTTCCTCAGCCTTTCCGGGACAAAGTCCCACGCTTCTTCAACAAGAAGAGGGCATATCGGCGCCAGCATCTGTAGCAGCTCGTAAAAGATGACTCCAAGTACACCCTGCAGATGTTGGCAATCTGCCTTGGCTCCAGTATATATACGATCCTTCAGTGTCTCGAAATAGAATGCCGAAAGGTCATTATTGATATATCGGTTGATAACATTTACACCCTTGAAGAATTCATATTTGGTGTAATACTCGTGTACTTCTCTACTCGCTTGGTTCAGACGATGCAATGCAAGCTTGTCGGTTAAAAGAGTAGTTGATGGAGCGTCGGAGAATAATTTCGAGCGGATATCACCAAAAGAACCGAAATTGGGATGGCTATTCGGGAGTGATAGTATGCCCAAGATCCATTTGAAAGTGACACGATATTTGTGCAGCGCTTGATTGACTGACAATAATACTGGTTGCCCAATGGTGACATCACGAGTATAATCGCTACTTGCGGCCCACAGCCGAAGCGCATCCGAGCCCATTGCGTCGTAAGATGGAACACCGGCCTTCCCATGATCCTTGACCCCCTTCTGCTTCTTGCGCTTGATCGGAGGAAGTAGCTCACCAGACATGATCTGGGAGGGCGAAATGACGTTCCCAAGGCTCTTACTCATCTTGCGCCCATCAGAATCCAAGGTGAAGCCATGCGTGATGCATGTCTTATAAGGAGCTTTTATTTCGTCAGCATCAGAGGAATGGGTGGCAACATACGTTAAAAGTGAAGATTGAAACCAGCCACGATGCTGGTCAGTACCTTCAAGGTAGACATCAGCGATTGGCACGCCGGCGTTTTCTGGTAACAATTTCCAGCTGGTTCCACTATCAAACCAAACGTCCATGGTGTCCTTGCCTCTTGTGAAATCACCAGATAAATGGTTAGGTTTCCAGGCTGGGTCCTCTGGACTGTCGGTCCACCAAGCATCTATCCCGCGTACCTTAATAACCTCGATAATATGATCAATAGTATCGGCGTCCATGACGGCCTTTGGCTTGTCATCAATAATTGTATACAGAGCAGGGATAGGAACGCCCCAGGCACGTTGTCTGGAGATGCACCATTGACTTCGGCCTTGGATAAAACTCTCCAGTCTTGAGCGACCAACCTCTGGGAGGAAGTTCACATTTTCGATAGCTCTCATGGCTCCATGCTTGATACCATCCACGTTGGCGAACCATTGCTCGGTAGCTCTTACAATGACGGGCTTCTTGGTTCTCCAGTCAATAGGATACTTGTGGCGAAAGGCCTGGGTTGCACGGAGGAGATCTAGCTTCTCTAGGTATGCAAGTATAACTTGTGTACCGGTGCTCTTCTCGTCTTGTACAGATAATCCTTCCAGTAATTCGGGTTGCTCTGGGAATGCGTCCTTAGTGAAAGCCCCCGTATCGTCAACCGGGGCAAATGCAGGAATATCTAACGAGGCGCACACGTGGTAATCGTCCATACCATGGCCCGGAGCTGTATGAACAAGTCCCGTGCCAGAAGAGTCGGTGACAAAATCTGCGTGGATGACTGGCTGTGGGCCGTTCGCCCTCTGGAATGGATTGATGTAATGTAGATGTCCGGCTAGATCAGATCCACGAAGACCGTCCACAATCACGAGCACGTCATGCTCTAGAATCGCCTTGTAGTGATCTACCCGAGATGTAGCAACGATGGAGAGCTCATTTCCTTGTTCAGGGTCCTGGATGATAGCATACTCCATACCATTATTTACAGCAATGGCTTTGTTGGCAGGAAGCGTCCAGGGCGTGGTGGTCCAGACGACTACGCTTACCGGACCATGGATCTTATTTCGAAGCCTCATCTCGAGTTCCTTTGAAAGTGTAGCTGGAAACCTCACATAAGCAGCCTGAGATGTATGATTCTCATCGTATTCAAGCTCTGCTTCTGCAAGCGCTGTTCTCGACGATGGGGACCAATAAACCGGCTTGAACTGACGGTATATTAGGTTCTTCTCAAACATCTCCTTGAAGACTTCCAGTTGTCTGATCTCGAACTCTTTTGACATGGTTTTATATGCGTTGTTCCAATCACCCATCACTGCCCACTCTTTGAAGCCTCTCATCTGGTCGTCCACCGTTCGTGTCGCGAGCTCCCGTGCAGCTTCCCTTACGCTCACAGCATCAGTATTTGCGGCATCTTTCTTTTGCGCCTGCAATGCCTTGATCTCAATGGGTAATCCATGACAATCCCATCCAGGAATGTAGTTCACTCTCTTGCCCTGTGCAACCTGCGACCGACATATGATGTCCTTGGTGATCTTGTTCAGTGCATGGCCAATATGCAAGGGTCCATTTGCATATGGCGGTCCATCATGTAATGTGAATGTGTCCGGCAATTTGCCATTCTCGTCTGGCTTCGAACGTGTGGTCTGCTGCCATGCATACAGCTCATCGGTGCACCGGCGGAGATATTTTGGGATCGTGGCAGGTAAAGGGCGAGCGGGGAAATCCGACTTTGGCAGACGCAATGTCTTGGACCATGATGCGCGTAGTATTCGCGTTTGGGCTATCATAGTAGCATCGTGGGCGCTCGCTCGGTGTTCGTCTAGGTTTTCTGAGGCCATCCTTGTGAGGTATTCAAAACTGTATCCGATCTCGGATATATCTCGGCAACAATCTTCTAGTAAAGGGTGCGTTATCGTATCGTATCAGTAAACAATTGATTTTGCTAGCTCTGATCTATTAAAGTGTTGCTATCCGATCGAACACTTGATTACGGAGAAGAGGTATTTTATGCGATGCAGAAGCTGTGAGTCACCTGGGTTCGAATGTTCGAATGCCGGAGCAGGGGGCGGTAAAGTTGAAAGAGTATCCTTTGCCAGTCATAGATTCGCGTACATGGCGCTGTTAATTTTCCATGTAGCCACTGCTCCTTTCCTACTCGGAGACTCTACTGTATGATACGTTATGTTGTTCGTTTTTATTTAATCTTTTTTTGTTCTGTCATTGAGGTTTTCGAGTCTGATTCTTAGCCTTGCTTCAAAGGATATGATATAGTCTACTTCCATCCGAGCCAAAACAGTCAGTCCAAACACCAGAATAACAACCAAATGGGCACTAGAAATGAATGAATAGGAAAAGAAAACTGGTATATATAGCCAAATGATCAGCCAACGCCATTGATGCATGCCCGAACCGGTCAATATACGGTCAAAGAGCTCACAGCGGAATTCTTCAGGACCTCAAATACCATGCCTGGAAAGCCAAACAATTCCACATTTCCGACATTTGAGTCATTCTCGACTAATCCTGAGCCGGAATTCACAAATTTGCTCTTCTTTGCCGACCCATCTTCCCATCCCCCTAGTAGCTCTACGCTACTACCTGGGCTGTCACCCCAACCCCGATTCAAAGCCATTCCTCGTTGCTGTAGACGTTCCTCCTCCTCATTCTCATAATGTGCTTGAAATATATCTTTCAGCCTCATCGAAATGTCATCGAAGGACATCTCAGAATTTAAAGGGCCTTTGAACATATCACCAGGGACATGTTCCAGGATCCACCTGCTCCTTCTGTGTCGATTGAATTGGTATGACCCCGGAACGTTTCCGTGAAAGATTACCTTTGTCACAGTAAGGTGGTTCAGCGGCTGTGCACTAATTTCACCCTCTTCGTGAGATTCAGATTCGGTTAATTCGATTGATGGTGAGGGTGGGGATAGTTGGGCAGGTTGTGATATAAGGAGATCGAAGCCATGGTGGTAATAATTGTAGAACTGTTCGGCTGCTGCAATTTCGCGTTCTTGAGCTTCACTTGCCACGTCTTTATCATCCTCCCAGTCATCTTCGTGATCGGTGCCTGCGCCAGAGCCATGATCAGAATCGAGTGAGTCATCAGGCGTTAAACGAACAGCAGATATGTCCGATGCATCACTTGCCCTTCGGTCTTTGTGGATCGACAGTCGATGGTCGTTTTTCCGATATATAGAATCCGGAGCGCCGAGTTCAATGATCAAATCCTGGGGCGTGGTCTCGCTAAGTACTATCCAGAAGGGTTGACTTGCCCGTCTTACGAGTTCTATTCTGCCCTCGCCGTGGATTTTGACGAGTTCAATCTCGTCTGGCCCTCCCTCCTTCGATTTACCGGCTAACGAAAGTGATCGAGGGTTCGGCGCGGGGGAAGTGAAAAGCGTGCCCCTCGCCTTCTGCCACGACTCTCCACTAAACACTGCCATGGAAGTTGCGGGGCCGGTCGCTGAGGATGACAGTAATGATATGAAGTCCTTCTTGGGCGAGTATGCCGAATGATGGACGGGGAAGTTGAAAGCGATGCCTGGGTATGAGAGATTATAGGTTCCATTCGCGTTAGGATCGTCAGAACGTGGTGGCACGTATTCCCCCCCATATGTAGGTCCTAGTAATTTATCGTATATGTGCCTAAACCTCGGCCCTGTTAAACCCGCTGTGAGCACAGCATGCCCATCGGCTGGTTTGAATACTTCAACGTCCTTATACACTAGTTTCGCCTTTGCGAAATCAAGCACTTCTATCAACCTTAATCGCTGATCTGGACCGTCAAACCGTAATCGAAGACCGTTGTCAGGTAGAGAGACGTGAATAGGGGCATGGAGAGGACGGGCCTCATCATAATAAATGTGGAATCGTGGGAAAGCCTTTACTTCAGCTTTGATTGTGGTGAGGATATCATGCAAAGAACAGCCCAGTGCTACAGAGAAGTTAGGAAGTGTTGGGAGGGAGTCTTTGGCCCATGGCCATGATAAGATGGGTGCATTCGTCGTACGTACTGATGAAATCTACCGAGCGTCCCGGTACAAGCTGCATAGGTCGCTCTTCCATACTACCTGTGTTATAGAGAAGCTATTCTAGAGGAGAAATATGTTGAGAAGGAGTTGTCTGGCTGGAGTGATATGTGAACGGGGGCCGGCGGGGCAACCGAGCACCTGAGCACCTGAGCAGGCTGCGTGCACTGCCTGCGCTCTCTCCACGAGGGTAGACCAAACTAGGTTTCACATCCAACTATGGCACGGGGGAAGGTATGGCAGAAAACAGGATTCGCCTGTAATTCTCGGCTCCTTCGTGGAAGCCCGTAAACACATAGATGTCTGTACTGTTGACTGTGAGACTGTGTACAGCATCTACACTTGAAATGGAGGTGAGGGGGTTCGGAGATTCGGAGGTGAGCTCCCGTCATTCGGTAGGTGGCCCAAGCTCCCGTCCCAGGGCCTTGGCATTGTTTACTTTCGTGTTGTTGTGGTTCATGCTTGGATAATTTGAACATACATCCATCACTAGCACAGCAGCTTCTTTCTGCAAATTGGACAACATGTCTGGTCTGCCGCGTCCTGGAGCTCTTCCAAGTAAAAGGATGCCTTCTTCCCGACCAGGCTCTATGCGTCCTCCCCCCAACCCAATGCGCGGACGATCTGCTACGCCATCGCAAAGCGGTCGCACTTCTCCGACCGGATCAGTTGTCTCCGTTCGAACAGACGGCGGTGTCAAAAGAAAACAGCGCGACTTCGAACATGGCGATCAGGAAACTAACATCAATGTGGTCGTCAGATGTCGCGGCCGCAACGATCGAGAAGTACGGGAGAACAGCGGTGTCGTAGTTCGAACGGATGGGATCAAAGGGAAAACAGTCGATCTCTCGATGGGACCAAGCGCGCTGAGCAACAAGACATATCAGTTTGACAAGGTGTTTTCGTCGTCGGCGGATCAAACCATGGTTTTTGAAGAGGTCGTGGTTCCAATCATGGATGAGGTTACTAGTCCCTCTTTTTTTTTCCAGACTCGCAGCAATGTTTCTGACACATCCTAGGTCATGAGTGGCTTCAACTGTACCATATTTGCATACGGCCAAACTGGCACGGGAAAAACGTACACCATGTCCGGCGACATCTCCGATATGCTCCCCCTTCCAGACGATGCTGGTATCGTCCCTCGCGTTCTCTACTCCCTGTTCGATCGGCTGGAGGCAGAAGAGTGCGAAAACTCTGTGAAATGCTCCTTCATTGAACTTTACAATGAAGAGTTGCGAGACTTGATATCCGCGGATGACAGCGTCAAACTCAAGATTTTCGATGACAATAACAGAAAGGGTGGCAGCTCGACGATGGTGCAGGGAATGGAAGAGTGCCATCTCAGGACCGCGTCACAAGGCATCCAGCTCCTTCGACAAGGAAGCCATAAGCGCCAAGTTGCTGCGACCAAGTGCAATGACCTCAGCTCCCGAAGTCATACTGTCTTTACAATCACCGTGTTCATGAAACGCCAGGGTGACGATGGACAGGAATACATGAGTGCAGGAAAATTAAACCTGGTGGATTTGGCAGGTAGCGAAAACATCCAGCGAAGTGGAGCCGAGAACAAGCGGGCCGCAGAAGCCGGTCTCATCAACAAGAGCTTGTTGACCCTTGGGCGAGTCATCAATGCCCTCGTTGAAAAGAGCGCCCACGTACCATATCGGGAATCAAAATTGACTCGACTTCTTCAGGACTCCTTAGGCGGTCAGACAAAGACATGTATTATCGCCACTCTATCGCCAGCCAAGAGCAATCTTGAAGAGACAATATCGACGCTCGACTATGCTTTCCGCGCAAAGAACATTCGCAACAAACCCCAAGTCAACCAAGCAATCTCGAAGAAAACTCTCTTAAGGGAGTTTACCGTAGAGATCGAGAAATTGAAGAGTGAGCTTATTGCTACAAGGCAACGGAATGGTGTTTATCTCACGCAAGATGCATACGAGGAATTCAAAACCGAGAGCGAGTCGTTGAAGATATTGAGTGACGAGCAGCGGGAAAAGCTAGAGACCATGGAGATCAATCTCCGCAACAAGGTCCAGGATCTCTATACTCTGACGAACAATTTCAACAGCCTCAAAAAAGACAATGAGCAGGTCAAGCTCACCTTGGAAGGCACCAAAGGTATTCTCGAAAAGACCGAGGTCGTGCTAGAGCACACTCGGCAAAATCTCACCGAGGAAACAACACTACGAAAGGCACACCAGAAGACCGAAGCAGAACTTGCCCAAGTGGGACAGGACATGATTTCGACTCTTTCGAAGACAACCTCTGATATCGACGGGTTGCGCTCCAAGATTCGAAGAAAATCTGACATCCAATCACAAAACAGGCAGAATTGGGCGTCCTCCAGGACACACGTCATCGACACGACACGCCTGGTTGAAGACCGAATAGAACAACTGTATCATCAGCAGCAGCACTTGATGAGCGGTCTCGCAGCCACGATGCAGAGATTTGTCAAGGACGAGCTGGATCAGCTTGGCTCGTCTCAGTCCTTTTTGGGGGAGAAGTTGGAGTTGTTTGACACGTCTGAGAAGGAGGTTAACGAACAAACTGCCAGAGCCCGAGACGACATGAACCAGGTCCTAGGCGAAATCATAAATCTGAGGGAGGATGTGAAGCTGAATGTTGGAGAGGGCCTGAATGAGTTGTCTGCCGCTGCCGAGAAGATATCTGCCAGCATCATTACAGAACTAGACGCTTTCCATACCCAAGTGAGTATTTCTTATAGAAGTTATTAGTGCTTATGTCTAATTGGGAATAGCTTCATTCATCGTACGCTGCGCTCGGAAGGGATTTCAAGAATACATTCGATGAGCTCACCAAAGGTTTAAACGAACAGCAGGTGGAGAATGACCGGTTGCACCAACATATGAAAGAAGCAAATGCAGCGTTGATCGAATCGAATAAGTTGACTAGGCATCGCCTGGTGGAGCTGGTGGATGACGAAAAACAAAAGGCGGCCGAAGAGCGGCAGCAATTGCTATCTCAGATCACGTCGCTGCTCAGCAGTACTGCGGATGCACAAGAGAAAAGGTTGACCGACCGCGTTTCCCGCCTCAGGGAGGACCTGGAGATGGCGGACATGGCGTACGAATCTGAACAGATGACTTACAACGAGGGCATGTCGGCGTGGACATCGAAGTCCAAGGAGATTCTAGTCGGGGTTACCAGGTCAAGGGATGCCGTCAAAACAAAACTTAAAGCGGACTTTGCTGCAGCAACGGAGCACTCAACGTCCATCAAGGAGACGACAACGTCTGTGCATGCTAGCACCATTAAGACCGTTGAGGCGCAAATGGCACACATGGACACCCAGCTTCATTCGCTCGACGATATCGTAACTCGGACTCGCGCTCAGAACGATAGCCACCACAAAGCCCACACCACGTCTCTCGGCGCACTATCGTCCACGGTTCTATCATCGTACTCTAGCATAGGCGATCATCTGTCTGCTTCGTTCGCCCGGGTGCAAACCCTTGAGTCTGAAGTGCTGGCACAGGCAACGGCACTTCAAGAAACATTGCCCAGCCTTGCCGAGGCAGCAACGATCAGGGCGCCTTTGGAAGAGCTCCGCAACGAGATTTTCAACAGGAAACTCGTCGAGTATAATCCAACGGGTGAGACCCCCCAGAGAGTCAACTACTTGGTTCCCACGGACCTACCACGCACCGAATCTCATGAGACTTTGCTATCTCGTCTACGCGATCGGCCTGCATCGTCCGATTCAACTTCTAGCCCCACGAAATGCCTGGTCTTCAACGACGCCACCAACTCGACCTCTCCGCCAGACGACCTCTTCTCACTACCTTTGGCCAAACCTACCTTTTCCCGCTCGGTGATGCCAACCCATGAAGGTACAGGCATGCCCAGCGTGCCTCCGCCGTCGCTGCGCGAGTTAGACATTAACATTGTTCCACAGGCTGCAAATCAGGACGCAGCCTCATCTTGCCAACCTGTGTCCCCGTCAGCAGTACACTCATCAAGCAACTGTTCCGAGTTACCACCCATGAAGAAGCACAACCGCGGCAACGGAGGTGGCGCTGATGGGGAGAGTAAATTGCCTATGAAGAAGATGGCGCGGAAGACGGTGGCCGGTTTGGGGGATGGGAAGGGAGATCGTGAGAACCTATCGATCACGAGTTTCTCGAGCAGCATAGGGCCTGGCACGATGGGCGGCAGGCGGTTAAGAAGTCACGGAAGTACCTGAGTGAGAGGAGGGGTGCTGAACTGAAGGGTGGTCTGTGATTTGAATTCGAGGTTGGCCTTGTGGTGCATAATTTGACCTTGGTCTGTTCTGTTTCTTGAGTTTTTGTTCATACTTGACGGGGCGTCTTTGAAATCTATACCAGAGTGTACCTGGGTTGGGGTGGTCGGCGTTGCGGCAGGGGTTTCATGATGAGGGTTAGGAACTGGAAGGTCTGGTAGATATGTACATACTGGCGTTTTCCATTTTTCCTGGTTTCCCTTTTCCATCTTCTCCCATCTTACGAGGGCAGCCGGTTCGATGATCATCAGACATGGGGATGTTGAAGATGGTGTATATTCTGGCAAGTTACCACCATGGGGAGCAAGAGAGGGGGACGTCCAGCTTCAAGTTGGAGGATTAAGAGTCACGAGTTACGGGGCACCTGTGATGAATGAATATAATTGTAATTTTTTGGTGGTACTTAGATTCATTGTCATCATTACCATCACCATTGCTGTGGTTGAAGTTGGAATTGTTATTGTTGATGGACGAAGTAGGAGTATGTACGGGTGTACGTACATACATCCCTAGGTACCTGGTACCTACAAGTACACGGTATGAGCGATGTGACTGTTCTAGGTATAGTGCGGTTTAGTTCGGTGCAAGAGAAAAAGATGGCATCTGTCGAGTACTTTGTAGTATGTACTGTGTACTGTTATTATTACTGGTGACTACTGTAACTGCGGAACACCATGTAGTCTGTGTCCTACAAGTAATAATACCTCGTAGGATAGAAAGAGAAGTGAGAAGGAAAAGAAAAGAGCAAAGCCCGGAAGAGGGCGGCCGGGAATCACCTGCAGTGGAAGCACGCGGCACGCCACGTTGTTGGAGGTGTTGGAGGGTGGAGTCAGTATACTATATTGGTACTCCGCCCCGTATGTAGGAGAAAACCACAAAACGTGGCAAACTGGGGGGTGATCTGCCACATGCACTGCACGGGTGACTGCACCTTACTGTCTACGGACTACGGACTGTGAACTACCTGGGTACAGACTACAGAGTGTTTACTACACAGTATGGAGTCAGGTACAGTAGGTACAACATGTACTTTTGTATGTGCCGTAGAAAAGCTCCGGTTTACAAGTCCGAAGATGCCTGATCACCAACCAGTCCAATAACATAATTACTAGTAACTACACAGTGTTATATACTCTATACAGAGTACACACTATATCTATCTACAGTGCATCGTACGGCGTAGGTAGTATACGGGACACATACGCGGCCACAGGTTGTGCTGGTATCTCATCCATTTCTACGAGTAATTAGTGGCCGCGCTGCCAGCTGTCCTGGACCACTGGGCAGTCCGAGAGGCTAGGAGCCCTGCATGATCATTGATGGATCATGGACGGATGGATGCATCGATTCGCACTGTCGCAGCATCGGCCTGGAATTATGAAACGCGCCAATCTGACCTCCCTGACCTCCCTGAGTCCTGGCCCTGGGTTCGTATTGTAGCTAGTCTGGAGCCATCCCCCATCTTCATACAGTATGTAACCACCTACATGTAGTGATTAGTACTTACTACAGGTTGTCTTGCATCTTACACAGTCCGATATTGGCCGTGGCCTGGCAGCTGGCTTGACCTGGCCTAAATGAGTGTGTATTCCGTACAGACTACAGGGTGTTGTATCGAAGACTCTACGGAACGAATGTGTGCAGTGGATGATGATGATAACCTAATGGGTAGGGTGGTAGGCTGAGGCTGGCGGCCAGTGGCAGGCGGATTGGCGGTGTCACACCCTCTTCGTCTTTCTCTTCCCCCCTCGTCCTCTTGCTGTGCACTGTGTAAGGTATATTACATGATTACCTAGGTTCCTATGCAGTATGCACTCTATGTGTGGAGTAGATAGAACACTTTGGTACATTCCAAATGACTACGAAGTACTCTGTATGTACCATCTAATGAGGTTCATAGCTCGTAGTCTGGACGGAGTACTTCGTTGGTACTGCCTACAGCTGCTTGTACTATAATTACAGTGCATTACTCAGTAGTCAGTACATGGAAGATACCTAGAGCATAGGGCATACTCTGGACTCATCCACCCCCACCAATCTCTAAACCTCCCTTCCTTCTCTCCTCTTGTTCCCCCTCCTCCTCTCCTCTCCTCTCCCTCCTCCTCACCTCCTCTCCTACTTCCTCCCTCTCTCCTTTCTCATCTCCCTCTTCACACTCCCATCTACCTCGTAACATCTACCCCCATCCACCTTCTACCGTCGATCGTCTACTACCTACGGAGTACAAGTATCTGTCATTCGCACTCGCACACGACTCGCGCAACGACTGTTCTTGCCATTACCCGTCCATCCGCCGCCCATCAGAGATTTCCTCTTCTCATCCTCATCCTCATCCTTCCTCCCCATACACAGTACACAGTAGGCATCCGTTGTCGCTGTTACTCTTCGCTCACAAGCATCCTCTCTTCCTGAACAATCGGCAATAATCTACCACAACAACAACAACAACCCGCCCCATAATCGACTCCATCTTCGTCTTCGTCACCGCCCATCATGACCAACTCCCTTGAATCTAGCAGGCCGATCCTCGCCAATGTAAGTTCCACCATTCATTTCCATTTGCGCGTCGCCGTTTCAAAGCCATGGTCACTTTTCGTTTCCCTTGTATGTACTTGTACAATCACTACCCTGCCCTGCCCTTCCCTGCCCTTCCCTGCCCTGCCCTGCCCTCTCTGTCCTGTGCCCTCGTCCTGTTTTGTCCTTTGACTCCTGTCCCTGGATGCTCCCAGCGCTGTGTCATTCATCATGTTATGTACGGAGTACTGTGTACATAGTACTTACACAGTACATACATGCATGGTGCGTGCAGGCACTGCAGGTTTGGGTTCCTCTTGAAGAGCAAGGCAGGGTTTAGTAGTCATGTACGGAATGTTCACGTAGCATACTGTACACGTAGGTACCTGGCACACCTATCTAGGTACCTAGGTACTTACAAAGTACCCATAGTTGTTACTACGAGGTCCGGAGTGCGTGACTACGAGTGTTGGTTTCGGTACACCTTACTACCCCCCCTCCGCTCCCATTGTTGTTACGACGGAGTACTTGGTACTTGAGTACTACTACCTAGTATTACTACTGGTGGTAGTAAGTAATGAGTACTGACCATCCACCATCCACCATCCACCATCCTTCCTCTCTCGTCTCGTCTCGTCTCTTCTCTTCTCTTCTCTTCTCATCCTCCCTCCTACTCCTCTGCTCGTCCCCTCTCCTCTCCAACCACCCAACAATCATACAACAACTCACTCCTCCGTACTCCGTACACTCATACCTCTCTCTTTCGCGCCGAGAAGCCCGTCACCCCTTCCTTCCTCTCTTCCTCACTTACCTCGCTCCCGTACTCTTCTCTCCTCTCTTCTCTTCCCGACCTCCCACCTCCCGCCATCGCACAGGAATGTCTTCACCGCCTGCTCACCACAATCAACAGTCCGCTGGCAACCGTGCCTCCGCTCGCATGTCCACCTACAGCGCTGCTCCCACCCTCACTCCTTCCATTGCACCCTCGCACATCTCCGCCGCCTCATCCACCGCCGGCGACCCTAAAGCCCAAGAGATCAAGTCCTGGAATGCTGGGTTCGAGCGCATGGAAGACAAGCGCCTCGTCCAGCAGCGATACGCCCTCAGCACCGATCGCGCCGACGACATGAGCAAATTAGCTCTCGGTGCAAAGCTCGACCGCGCTCTTGGTCGACGCATGAGCGGTCAAGACGCCGTCTTCAAACCTAAAATCCTCGATGAGAAGAAGGTGGAGGCATAATGGCGTTGGTGTATCTCGGATCCCGCGAGGTGTTGCTTTTCCTGCTATTCTTGGTGTACGGCCAGGTGCCCCTTCTTGGGTCTTCTCTCGTCTTTTCCAACTGCCACCTCGGGCTCCCGCCCTCTCTCCCAATGTTCCTCTCGCTCGCTCTCGGCCGGCTCACATCTCTTCATCCATGGGGTTTCGGCTTACGGAAACAAGACCCCCGTTTGGAATTGGCGATGCAACGGCGATCGTAACAAATTCGGGGGCGACGCTCAACTTTTCGAGGAGTTACATCTTACAGGATTCGGTTCTCACACGATCTACGCCATCCATGCCATGTTTCTCGGTCCTTTCTCTTCAATATCCAGTAGCCGCCTAGGAGGTGGCATTGCTGTAGACTTGAATCATCGCACGTCACCCGGATTTGACACGAGTTCTATGCATCACCCCTCACTGTTCAACGCAATAATACCCCCTTCACGCACGCAATAGAGATCCGCACGTCATCTTCGCTCCCTCATGCACCCACTTCCTCTCTTATAACTCCCTCTCTCCATTTCTACGTGGACGCAGCAACAACCTTTCAAGCTATACCCCCTTTCTCGGCATCTGGCCTTCGATTTCTCCTTGTAGCATCTTATGTGTTTTGTGCACGTTTCTCCATACCAATTTCATTAGTAGTCTTACTCTCTTGCTGGGCCATTTCATCTACGGACATTCGAGAACCGATGACCTGGACTAGGAACTCATATCCTCATTTATCAATGGAATCGCATATTCAATCAGTCTTCACACCACGTAGCCCCACCAACTAACTTCCGCCCAGTGTGGAAAGAGACAGGTTTCGGTATGAATGCTGTTACTTCCGAGATGCCGGGGATCCAGACTCGCTCATTCCCAATGCCACTGTTACTATGCTTCTTGGTACAAACTTGCAATCATACCTCGGATTATGTGCCAACTTGGTCGCTGAATGCAGATATATACATAGATCTCTTAGTAATGAGCATTGTAGGACTTGTGCGGGATAGATTGAGCAAATTCCCGTAACTATATTTGAATCGAATTTTCGGGAAAGCTAGAGATTTACGGAGCTACACAGTGAGTAAGCTCCCAGTAAGTAGGCTCTTGAGCAGAATACATATTATCTTCCAAATGCTTCGATCCTGTTTATGCTGAACATCGCACTCTGTCATTTGGATCCCCCTTCTCCGTGCCCATGTCCGATCCCATTTTCCACTTCAATTCTTACTGACCTGGTTTTCTTTTTTGTACGCAGTCGCAACCACAACCCGAGTGGTGCTAAGATTATGTCCTTTGTCCAATTTGATGTCACTATGTACCTAAGTAGCCACGGAGTGGGTCAAGCTTCAGTTGAATGGGGATTCAACGTGCATGTCTCACTCTCAACTGCCCGCCTCATCAACAGCCATAGGCGATGGGAAACTCTCTAGTTTTGCCCATTTGAAGCAACCGCTACCATCTCGCACGTTCTCTTTCTGCTCTCACAAGGTCGAAGGTGGAACAATTTAACGTGGTCCAGGCTTACGAGCGTTGTGCAAAGTGAGGGTTCGGGAAGTGGCCTACTGGTTCGCTCCGCGCCCATTCATGTTCAATGTCATTACAGTATCTATTGTGGGTCCTTCATCCATCTCGGCATAATTACAAACTAGGTACAAGTAATTATACTGTGTATACTTTGCCTTACGGGCCATGGTTCAAAGTGGCAGGACAGAATAAACAAGGGGATGGTAATGATGAATGATGATATTATTAATAAACATGAAGACACGAGAGTACGCAGGCATAATAAGGAATTGTCAGCTAACTGCCTCATTTGCTGGAATGGTCGTTTTCCACGGTCACGTCGTGTTGAGGATCTTGCAACATCTACAAGTGCTTGTCCACCTGACGTTTGACTTGTTTTGGCATGATGGCCTCCATCTGATGCTACGCTAAACGAGGCTCCATCCACGCTATATCTTCTGCGCGCACACAGTGCAAATGTGACATATAGATACCAGAAAATTGAGATCCACCGCACCGATGAACCAATCAGAAACCCGTATTATCCTATGGGCAAGATGGCCGAGTGGTAAGAACAATCCCGTCGCATCAAGCAAAGTGCACCTTTGCTTTGCTTTATACTGTGTTGTTGATCCGATTATCTGACACGCACCGTCTCTAGGTTATGGCGTGTGACTCAAGCGCAAGCTTACCCCTTCTCTACCGGGGGTGTCTGAAGTTTTCTCATGGGCTTTGCCCGCGGTATGTCCCCTCTCCACCAAACAAGTAGCAAGGGACTTGTGTACTAATACTGTGATTTAGTGGGTTCGAGTAAGTAACATGTTCGCCAATGTTGTTGAGGGGATGATGAGTATCTAATAATCATCTAGATCCCACTCTTGTCATTATCTGGATTTACAGAGTTTTTTTTTTTTGGGCCTAGAGACCTTTTTGATTCCTTTTTCCTTTAATGACAGAGTAACCAGTCTCCAACTACGAGTCCCATCGTCCCATGTCTTCTGTTCTTGGGCCGCGAGAGGTTCATGTCCCTTCAAATCTGCAGAATTGGAAAACATGTCGTAAATGGAAAGCAGGTAGTGATCGGCTGGCGATTGTCCACTCGCCAATTGAAGTGGAAATGCACATGATATACAACTTTCCAATATCTGAACATGTCTAGGGCTCACGTTCTCAACAAAATATCACCGTCTCCGGCAAGAATGTGTTGTTCAAACCATCGAAGCATTTAGGACATGGTGGGGATGATTATGTTACGTAGCAAGGAAGGCAATCGTTGTTAAGTGTGTTAAGTTACATTTGTCTATGCCTCTGGGCTTGTACCGAAAGGAGAACAATATGGTTTTAGAACATTTCCTTACGGCTGTCCCGCTGCTCTTGTTTTCAACTTGCCGACTACGTATTTCCGTATGTTATGAATTCCTGAAGAGAACTACTGAAGTCTTATTGATGATGCATGACACGTGGGAGGCAGGCAGATCTATCTGGCAAAGTATGGACTCGGATCATGGGTGAAAGATGAAATTGGACTCAAGGATAGGGAGGAAGAGAGGGAAGACCTCGGGTAGTGGCAATGGGAACTGTTGGTAGTGGACCATATGTGGAATCAACATGTTGTTTAGAGTGACTGGATGCATAACCTAACCCATCCCACCTGAGGTAAAGCCGCTTGGGATTATCAGACTGACGGCCTTCGACAGTTATCGCAACAGCCTCCCACTCGATTGCGGTAGCCACGCAGCAGGCTATGCTAAGCAGTGAAAACTAGAGATTGCTCCAAATTGCCTACGGCCAAAGCTGTGACCATGACTGGAGAGTAAACTAAACTGCAGAAAATCGAGATGTGCCTCAATTGTCCTTTCTGCAAAATGTTATTCCCATGCCTTGGTAGCCTGCAATTCGTCCAACTCACCTCATCGCTCTCTTCGTGATCCTGACTGGCATGCCCTCCCGAGGTTTAGCAGCCGCAAGTAGGACCTGATACGCAGGATCCCCATAACATTGTTGCGGGCCCGTCTGAAAAGAGCTATCTTTTGTCCAGAGACTTCCATCGTCCTCCAATTCCTTCAGTTCATCGAATGCGCCACAGATGTCGAATTCGCGAATCGTAAGCGCAAGCATGATCTTCAATTCCAGCATGGCAAGCTCCTGGCCGATACAGTTGCGCGGCCCCTTTTCGAAGGGTCGCCAGGCGTTTGGTACAACCTTGTCCGCATTATCAGGCATAAAACGGTCGGGATTGAACTTATCTGGCTCTGGCCAGAGGTTGGGTAAGCGGCCCATGGAGGACGAAGGGGTCCAGACGAGAAGATCGTCCGTGGGAAACATTGTCCCCGTGTCTGGGTCTCGAATGAAGTAATCCCTACGGCCTATGCGAGCTGTTGAGGCAGGGCCGAACATGCGGAGGGTTTCTTTGACGGTGGCCAAAACATATTCACATTTGTTGATGAGGTACGGGTCGGATACGAGCTGCGAGCTCGCATTCACACCGGGTCCGAAGATGCTGTCTAGCTCGGCTCGGATCTTGAATAGAGCGGAGGGGTTCTTGCCAAGGAGGTAGTAGGCGTAGCATATTGTTGACGCAGTAGTGTCATGGCCTGCAAAGACAAGCGTGTTCAGCTGGTTGATGGCATACTTGCGGAATTCAGGGTCCATGGTCGCTGTCTTGGAGTCGACGTCTTGCCCCGCATTCTCCTTGAACCAGCTCTCCAGGGCGAGATCGATTCCGGCCTTCCTACGGGTCTTGGGCTCGCTGGTGCTGCGGGTGGAGAAACGCTCGTCGAGGATGCTACCGATAAATTGGTCCAAACGCCATTTGTAGTATCTCAACATGAGCGGACGAATGGGATTGTAGATGTGGAAGGGATTGAAGGACTGTGTATCGGGCATCCATGAGAGGGCTTTCCTCATATAATCCAAGAACAGACTATCGGCGGTGAGTGTTTTGAACTCAAAGTCGCAGACCACCTTGCCGATGATGTCGATGGTTACTTTTGTCGCTTCATCTTCCAAGCGGAAAACCTCGCCCTTGACCACCTGCTTCTCGAGGTTTTGGACATAAATGTTCGTGCAATCTACGATCAGAGGGACCTCTTGGTAATGAGTCGATTGCCGGTAAACTGGACATGTGGTGAAGAACTTACCTGCGTCATGAGATGTTGTAGCGCGAAGCCTGGATTGAACACACTCCTCCACTTCTTCCATTGGGCGCCGTCGCTGGTAACCATATTTCCCTCTCCTAGCAGGGGATCAAGAAATTTCCCGACTTTTGGATGTTTGTGCAAGCCACTGTTCTGCGCAATGTCTTGTCCAGCCTCTCTGACGCAAGTATCAGCTGAAAAGGTTGTCCCATTGTAGGTTTTATACGCACGGGCTAAGATTGATGATCATGGCATCAGAAACAGGTGTTAGATCAAGATAGAACACCTGGCCGAGGTTGTATTTCTTTTGGACTATTACCGCCCAGGTCATTATCATCTGAGGTGACAATGTTGATTGAAGGGGTCGGACTCACGGTGATATGCAAAGACATGGGGATGTACCCTTTTAGGCAGAGCCTGGGAGATCTCGCCCATGGCTTGTAGATGGCCGAAGATTGGGTGATGAGGAGGACCGGGCTGGTGGTGGTGATGGGTTAGTATGTTGATGTTACTATCATGCCTGATAGAATACGTCCATGTACCATAAGGATATACAGTGCGAATGATTGCCCGAAAATCCGATGATTGCCATCCATCGCCGACGATTATAGTTCACACATAGTTCAAGGCCAAGGTAGATGGAGGAAACTGTACGTATATCTATGTGTGGAGTGGTAGGATTGAGTTTATGGAATCGATCTAACTTGCCTTGTCCCGCATAAACCTGCGCATCTGGACGGTGTTGTAGATTACTCTTACGACATAGGAGAACAATAGCACCACCACGGCCACGAGAATGGGATGGTCGTTCAGGATAGTCATGGTGAAGCCAGTCCAATCATGAATTGGAGTACGTGAGGCTCAAGTGGGAGAATGCGAAGGTACGGAAGAAGCAGTAGAAGTTGTAGCAGCAATATATGACCATGACATCAACAAGCATACACTGAAAATCGATTGGCGAGTAAATATCGAGCAGATGGATAGGCAAGCTCTACGCGACTACAAGTCGTTGAGGTCTAGTCTATACTATATAGTCTACTAGCACCCTATATGAGAGAGCGGGTTGAGGGGTATTCGTGGAGAACAGCAGACAAAGCAGATCCAATGGGCTAGCAGGCGTTTCGCAGACATGGCAGAGTAAGCAGTAGGAGTGCAATCGGCCGGTTAGCTCTGTTGCACTTGTAACTAACTACTGTATAGGTTATATAGGCGAGAACTAGTGATGGGAGTGGAGAGTACGAGAGCACTTGATGCGTAAGAAACTACCTATTGATGCTGATAAGAATCTGACTGCCTGTATTTCGCACGATACAAGCAAATGCCAGTATCCGTTGGAGTGCCTACGTGTACGGTGTATCTAGGCGATGCTGCGTGGATGATGCGTGATGTTCATTTCCAAAATGAGAACGTACCTATGCTGTTGAACTGATGGCTACTCCGTACCGTACTTTTCTACTATGCACGGGACAAAGGTACAGAGTAGTATACACAGCATGAGGGCAGGGTTTTGCCTACTTGATTGGCAGAACGACTCAGTAGGTCTTGTACACTGCACAGTACTCCGTACTACTTGTAGTCACTGGATACCTCACTCTCGACTGGAGGTGCTAAGGTGAAGTGGGGTGACCGACACTGTGGCTTGCATTCAGCCGCAATCCTGATGGAATCCTAAGAAACAACTCACTCGCGCGAACACACATACACAGCAGTTACCTACTTTATTACTGTGTACAATGTACGGAGTACTCCGCACATACAAGTAGGTAAGTACGGAGTACGTACGCGCTCGTGTGTGCAGTTGGGGCTGGATTCTGGAATAGTGCAGCTGCCTCGGAGATGTCTAACCATAACTCGTCAAGTCGTAAGTAAAATGTTCTGACCTCTGAGCGATTAAGGTTACCCACCCTAGCCGCAAAGACTTGAAGAACAACGATTGGTTGCCCCTTTTTCTCTCTTGACCATTGGGCGACGAACCACGGACGACGGGGATGGATCAATCATAATGCACAATGCACCATATCACCAAGACACGCCAGAAACTTGAAACGGCCAGGGGTCGGAAAGGGATGAATGTTTACCTATGTCACGGTCACTGACCACTCCGCTTTAGTCAGTAACCAACCATCGCAGACTCACAGTACAATTCCGTAGATGGATTCTCCCTACGGAGTACTGCTACTTGTGCACTGTGAATACCTGAAGATCCACCATGCCTACCTACCTACTCCAGATAACAGGTAGGGAGGCGGAGAAGGTTGAGAGGACTCAAATATGGAATATCGAGTACGGAGTACGGGCACATGTAATACGACCCAACACGAGATGTGGACGCGCGACATGGGGATCCCCCAGGAGAGTCGCTTTCATTTGTGCACCATCTGTGCAACTTTGAGTGTACCTATGCGATACAGAAACGGGATCGTCGGGTTCTATCTTCCTCTGCTCGCGCGTGTACGGTGTAATTCCAAGTGCATAGGTATGTATGCAGTAGTAGTACTCTGTAGTGCGATTTCGTATTGCCCAAGAGTCGAGAAAGATGCAGGTACATAGGTAGTTGTAGTACGGAGTACTTGCACATGTACCATTTCTTCCAATCTCTCTCCACGACTGGTAGTGAATGTGATTCCATTATTCCCTATGTCCGCACCTAAACTTGGGTACGGAAGAGTACGGAGTACAGAGGCATGTACAGAGAACATACTGTGTTGGTAGGTAGTTGACCCTAGGAGATGTTTGTGCCTGAACAAAGTAAAGTAAAGTACTCCGTACTCTGTACGACTACCTACGGACAGTATGCTCCCTGTTTGCTATGCATGATAGTTAATAGGTGGTGTTCATCATCACTACTGTGCTGTTCAGCCTGTGCTCCGAGTCGCGGTCCACCAGCCAAGTCTCGGACAGATCCCGCCCTCCCCCTTCAATCTCAATTTCCATCCTCACCCTCACCCTCACCCTCATCCTTTCCTTCGTCCTCCTGTTCCCTCCCTCCCTCCCTCTATCTTTCTCTTCGCTGCCGTCGCCGTCGTCACCGGGACTCCAATCCCCTTTTGTTCTCTCTTCGATACCGTTTTCGGTGCCTTTGCCTAATTCCATTCACTGCCATCACCTCCATTACCGATCAGCAAGCAGAATCCGGCTGGTCGATTCCAGGTCTACCGTCGTAGAAACAATCAAACCCGACTGAATTGGAAGTTCGCTGGCGCCGAATACAACAGCCAATCAGTGTTGGAGATTCAATTCTCACTTCCTTCTGCTTCATCTCCTTTTTGACTAAGACGACCACGGCCCACTTCAGGTACAAGTACTTGTACTCCGTACCTCGTAAGATTAACCGCGCGACACCCACACCAGCAAGTACACAGTAGGTAATTATAATTATTACAGGTACGATTTCTACCGTACCTTTGATATGCCTCTGAAATCACCCTATAGGCAAGCACCTAATTAACTAGTTATCTTGTTAGGTACTCGTACCGAAGCCTTAGACCAGGTATAGGTACCTTACCTATCAAGCCAGTTGATAACGTGACGCTGCCTACCGCCGTCTGCGCCGCCGCCGCCGCCGTCGCCTCTGCCCACCTCTACCTATTCCATTCATCCATCCATTCACTCATTTGCCTGCCTGCTTGCCTGCCTGCCTGCCTACTTGCTTGCTTGCCTGCTTGCTTGCCTGCTCCTTCGCACCATATCATGTCCACGGCTACCTCTACCTCTACTCCCACTCGACCTCCTAGGCCCCCCCCTGCCCCTCAGAGTGGCCCACCTGAACAGACATCATCCACCCAACTCCAACGACCAGACTCAGATTCGCCTACACAGTCGCAGTCGCAGTCGCAGTCGCAGTCGCAGTCGCAATCCCAACTTCAAACTGCTTCGAATCCTCTCGGTGACGCACCCCAGCCCGCCGGTCCGCGCCGATCCAGCTTCAACTTCCTACGCCGCAAGAGCAGCTCTGAGAACCGCAACGGCCAACGAAGCACTTCGGGAGGCAAGATGAGCAAAAAGCAGAAAGCTCTCGCGCAGGAAGAGGCACTGCGCAGGCAGAGGGAGGCCGCAATGCTTCCCAAGCAGCCACCTCAGCTTCCTTCCCACTCCCCACTCCCCCAAATTAATACTTTTGGTGGGGAGGATGCCCGGCCAGACTCCGTTGCCATCATCTCAAATAAAGCAGGCAACTACAATCCAAATTTCAGTAGACCGTCCGTCGAGCAGAGCAGGGCTCCGACCACTGGCACGTCCATGCCCCCGATTCCCGGCAGTTCGTCCTCCTACATGGACTTCGACCCTTACCCTCGGACAGAGAGCATGGCTCACCGCGGACGCTATAGCTATGCTAGCAGTGCCGTGAGTACAGTGAACAGTCCCCGTCGCGTAAGGAGAAGGAAAGATCCGACGCCGTTCAAGTAAGCTCTCTGACCAAAACTCCAGCGCCGATGTTGCTTATTCTGATGCTAATGCCCTTCCAGTATCCTCGTCATTGGCACCAAGAGCTGCGGAAAATCTTCGTTTATCGAGTTTCTCCGCAGCGCCCTGACCCTACCCGCAAAGAAACGCACTCAGACGAACTCCCCTCCCTCACATGCGATCACCTCCGAGGGTTCCTTTACCTCCGAATACCTAGAGACTGAAGTGGATAGTGAGAGGGTCGGCGTTACCCTCTGGGATTCCGAGGGTCTAGACAAGTCCATCATCGATTTCCAGCTACGCAGAGTCACTTCTTTTCTGGAGTCGAAGTTTGAAGATACCTTCACGGAGGAGCAGAAGGTCATGCGCGCACCCGGCGTGCGAGACACCCACATACATTGCGTTTTCCTTGTTCTGGACCCCGCCCGTCTGGAGAGCAACGTTATCGCAGCGCGCAAGCGAACGTCCCAGAAGATGACAGGCCAAGTGATTGGCGGCCTGGATGATGATCTGGATCTAAACGTGCTGCGCGAGCTCCAAGGAAAGACTACTGTGATTCCTGTCATCAGCAAAGCTGACACGATCACGGCTGCGCACATGCGCCACCTAAAGAAGATGGTCTGGGACACCATTAAGCGTGCGAAGCTTGACCCTCTGGAGGCGCTCAACCTCGCTGATTCGGATTCGGAGGACGAGGACTTGCTTGACGAGCGTGACGAGGACGAGCTCATCGAATCCTCCGATGCCGAAGGAACTTCAGGCGTTATCAACAACATCATGGATAAATCATCTTCAGAAGCTGGCTCTGAAGACGAGGGCTCACATTCCGCGGCCTCCAGATCTCCACCAACGTCACCCCCAAGCGCAAAACGGAACCATGCCCGGAAGCCATCGGCCATGTCTGCGTCTATCCAGAATGAGGACTCGGAGACTCCATATCTCCCACTCAGCATCATCTCCCCTGATCCTTATGAGTCGGACTTCGTTGGTCGCAAGTTTGCCTGGGGATTTGCCGACCCTTACAATGCGGAGCATTGCGATTTTGTCAGGTTGAGGGAGAGTGTCTTCGGCGAATGGCGGTCCGAACTCCGCGAGGCGAGTCGTGAGCGCTGGTACGAGGGCTGGAGGACCAATCGCCTGCAGCGTGGTCCCAGCAGGAGGATCGCAACATCAGACGGGCTGGTAAACAAGCAACTTAGCCTCCCAAGTGCAAATGGCCGCGCAGCGAGCGCTGGCAGTCGTGAATATCGTCAACCACAGGTGGCCGGATACTAATCACTCTGGACAATTGACGTCCCGCTCCATCGGCGCTTGATTGTTTGTTCCTGCACAATATCGTCCTGTTCGAAGCAATTCTTCCTGTTGCGCCCAGGTACACAATTTCAGCCAAACCACAAAGTTTCGCATTGAGCAGTATGCACAGGCGACTGCCGATTACAGCGTTCGGCCCGCTAATCGCGCACGATCTACATTCTCCGTTACAACAATTTGAGCAAGTTCCGCATGGAGACCTCAAATTCTCCTCTGGGCCGTTCCTTTTTCCTTAAGTCATGTTCCTTTCGCCTCTCCCTCTTGCTGCTAGACACGCATCAAATCCTCTTCGACTCGGAAATATTCCTTTGTAGCTTTTAGTATCTTTGTTTTGAAGTGCTCATACCCCCCTAGCTTGCCTTCACGTTCTTGTTTCCATTTTCTGTCTTTCTTGGGTCTACGAATTTCCAGATCAAGTACCCATTCCTGCGGGGGATTCTCTAGATGGGCGCGTCACTGCAGGCGTTGAGGGCCCCATCCAGCAAAGGGGCCGAGGGCCTCAGCAGATGTTCTTTCCCCCAAAAGCGAGCTTCATCGTCCAACATCTACCACATACAATGATGGATACAGGGCAGCCGCTGTTTCATACCTGGTGTTCCTAGTTCTCCACTATATTGCTTCTGTTGATCGGATTGCTTCGAAGTGCAAACAGTACGGAGTAAAGTGGAGAAGGAGTGACCATGTATTGCCATTGCTGTTTCTGGATGACAGCAAATGTGTATAGTTTGATTTACCATCTGCACTTCTATAGCTATGAGGACAGACTTTGTTCACTGCCACAATGAAGGCCGAACGACGGGATTTGTTTTCTGATTCCTTCTCTATTGATAGACGCACAATTTGTCAACAATCTGTCGACGAAATGTCACGCCTTTCGCCCACCCCTTCCCCTCTTCCCCCTTTTGGCCCTCTACTGTGTAGACTTTATTCGATGGCCATGGTATTGCACGAGTAATGTGTGCAAGTGCCGGAAATGAGACTAAAGAATTGTCCATCCCCGTTTCCTCTAGCCCTAATGCATGCAAGAATCCCATAGGCCCATGATCTTCTGCGTGGTGATCCACGCACGGATATGGCAGAGCTTATGCCGCATCCTTGCGTATCTGCAACTTTACTACGAGCTAGACTCACACCTGCATAGGTAAACCGTGAATGCATCAGCTTTGGCGTTTCTGTGAGCAGAATCTAAGTATAACAAGTTAGGAACAGCAATGTTAGTGTGCGTGTGTGTACATAGTATATTGTAAAGAACACGGTCCTGTGAATTCATATCACTGTTATTCTTGACATCATTCGACCAACGCAGCTGAAGATATTCTCAGATAGAGGATAGTAGTAGTATGTGCATATGAATTGCATTCTCTCATTTCCCAACCTTCTCCCTCGTGACAAAGACACTTGTCGAGACCATGATTCCCATTCCATCACTGATCTCATGATCGAGGCTTTCCCTACTCCTCCTTGACTGTAAACTTCTCTGGCTCTCGGCATCCCCGTCTCTGATGGCAACTTTCTTTTCTCTCTTAGAAGCACTACCAGACCCCACAATTCCAGCCGTAGACCCCCTCTTGGACCTCCCAAACCATGTTGACGACCCCAGGTCCTTGATGTCCCCATCGATGTTTTCGCCCGGGACATTTCTACCATTCACCGCTCTGACGGCAAATGCCTTTTTGTCGTCCCCAAAATCGCCAACCGCATCTTCCTTGCCGTTCGCCTCCTCTGCAAACGTACTCAGATTGTACTCGTCCAATAATTCCTTACTTCCCTTCTTCATCCTTCCTCCAGCTATTGATCCGCCTCCGCCCAATATCTGGCTGGCTCCAGGAGACATCATGCCGGATCTGGAAGGGTACCTGCTAGTTGATTTGAAGCCTAGACGTGCGAGTATCAGTTGGAATAAGGGTCGGAGTGTGGCGAGAGATCCCGCTGTCACGGCAAGCCCTTGTTCAATCGTTGACCATATTGCTATGTCGAGGGTTGCCCAGAGGAAGTCCGGATTGCGAAACTGGAGGAGATAGGGCGTGCGGACGACTACTGCGGAGCTTGCGCTGGAACGCTTCTGTTAGTTGTGTGGCCTTCGGAGGAAAAAGTGTTGTTGGCCGGTTAAAGCACAAGTACACTTACATGCACCCCATAGTGAGTAAGGGGATGAGAGCAAGCTTAGTCCTGCGTTTCAACTGCAAGTTCCACACCAAGACAGTTGGGAGCAGGGCGAACGTGAAGTCGGATATTATAGAGAACGCGCTGTACAGCTCTGCGAGGGCGATAATGATCTCGATGCTAATGCACGAACCGTCCTGTCCCTTATTCCAGAAGTAGGATATAGGGCGGCATTGGAAGAGAGTGACAAAGAAGAAGACAGCGCCTGCAACAACAGAGATGAACATTGCGCCGTAAATAATCCAGGCGTGTATCTTCTTGATGGCAATCCGCAGAAGGAAGAATCCAATAGACAACTTGGACGCAATCATTGTTAGACAGTAGAAGAGGTAGCAGTACCACCAGTAGTTAGTGGCTCTCTGAATGCTTTCGAGTGGCAAGTCTATGTGGTGTCTCCCGGTGCCATTGTGGACGCCGGCAATAGAGAAGGAGATATAGCATATGAACGAAGACTGGCCTCTCATTAAAAAAGAAGGAAGGCAGAGAAGAATACATGTGAACTCACTGTCGCAGCGACCATGAGCCAGTCGTCTAAGCCAAAGCCCTTAACCATATGTATCCGCACAAAGCAGCGCAGGCCACAGGCCATTGTGGCCATTGACACAAATGTGATGTTGACCGCGAGGAGCTCTGGCCCCCGATTGGGAATTGAGGGAGCCATCGTTAATTGTCCAGCTCGATCTTAAAGCATCAAGAAAGATCAAATATGCGAGGAGCTCGATAGTTAGTGACCAAAGGGCATTTGCGCCCACTTAAGAATGCCCCAACAAAGCGGCATCCATGCAATCAGCCCTGTATGCATCGTGCTACGGCAGATCCACTACGTGCGAGCGGATTCATGGCAGCGAAAATATGACCTATCTTATGGACAAGAGACTCCTTGACACTTGACTAAAAGGGATCGTCGCTTCGCAGCATCGACTGTCTGTTGATATAGCCATGTGAATTCAGGGCAAGGCACCCAGTGACTGACCGATGCTTCCGATGTCACCCCTAATTGTTTTGCTGCCATGCGTTTGAAATTGCCCGACTTGCATGATTGAATGTTTCCAGACAGTGCAGCCCATTCGCGGCCCTTTCTCCGCGACTGCATGATGGTCCACTGCGAGCAAGGGCCTAGTACGCCGTGACTGGTAGCTGGAGATCGGAGCTCGAACAGGCAAAGCGAAAACGGTGGTCAATACGCATTGGGAATTTCCCCGCGCGAACCTAACCGGCAAGTAGACGGGAAAAGGTACACTGCAGATTTGCAGCTCAGAAGCTTAGTTTGACTTCCCTGCATAGAGAGCACGGTAGGTAGTTTCCTATAAAGATTGGTGATGAGATGTATGCCCTTGGCAGGGGTGAAAGATGCCTGTTGTCCAGAATAGCACTAATACTATTTATCACCATTGTGGCGAAAGATCAAGCTTGTCTTTGTCGTTCTTCATTTATTTGATCATAGATCTTATTTGGAACGAACAAGAGTGGCAACTGAGCGGTTTTGCAAACGGAAACAGAGAGAGCATTTAAGGGCCCAGAATATCGTGGATTGTGTTCAGGACGAAGCCGATTGCTTCAGTAGCATCGGTAGGTCGCCTGCCAGCCTCGTGAGCCTCGTGGAAGTGTTTTATTTATCTAGACTGGCCATTCTAGAGTACCTTGCAATCATTCAACAGTCTCAAGTTGCTTGCGCAATGCCTGCAGAAGTTGTGGAAACAAAGTACAAAATTGGACTAGCAAGGGCGCCAGCGCAACGTGCCTGTCATCTGCTCTGGGGTAGATACGACGCGCGAATCGCATCTTCGGCGGTCGTTCTTCGGATCACAGTATGCAATGCAAGTTTCCAACGGCCTTGGACTCTTGGTCTACGGGGCCCAACGGGAAACGGATCGTCGACCGATGCTCCAAATGCCACCATACCATATCAAGCGAACCATCCTGGACGATAGATTGGATCAATGGGTGGCCGTGGGAGGGGACGAATGCTCGTCTACCTCGGCCCTTTACATTCGTACAAAGTGACTACACAGTACTGCAGTGAAGGGATGATTGTCGTTGTTCAGCAATACCAGGCACATGTCTGGTGATGGCTCGGTTCACAAGTTGTGCACACAGCACTTGCAGTGCAGCGCATATGAATGAGACTTGCTCGTCTCCTCGGCCTATAACTTCTGTAATGATCATGAGCCGTCTGACTGGGGTTTGTTCAATTCACATTTCGCCGAACTCCGCTCTCGACAAGCAATGGCCTGCTTGCAGAAACGTTTATCCCTCCTTTAAACCCCTTCGATTCTCCTTACCATGTGCGATTATGATCCGCAAGATACAGGCCAGGGTCGGCTCGGGGCAGCACCTCCAAACCAAGTGAACAACGCCGTTGCTAGAAACAAACTATGAAATTGCTCAATGCAATGCGTAAGGATCGCGACCGAAAGCTGCTGTAGCTGAAGGAAGAAAGGGGAGTAAAATGAACTACAGGTTGATGCATTCAAGTCTACTATAAGAGCTTTTCCCCATTGCAATGACTTCACATCCCAAGGCGCACTACATTCTTTCCTTCTCTGCGCCCCTTCATTCATCTGCCATCGGTAGAGGTTGCAACTTACAAACCCCCGACTTGCGATATTGACGATCACGCCTTCAACCATGTTGTTCGAACGTTTACTCACTACCCTCGCGGTCTCGGTCCCATTCGTCATGGCTGTTGACCTTACCGGCTACGAATATGTCATTGTCGGTTCTGGAGCCGGCGGCGGTCCAGTTGCAGCCCGTCTCGCTCTCGCAGGCCACAAGACCCTCTTAATTGAAGCTGGCGACGATCAAGGTGCAAATCTCAACTACACCGTCCCAGCCTACTCAGCACGCTCCTCTGAAGACGAAAATCTGGCCTGGAATTTCTTTGTCCGCCACTATGCGGATGATAAGCGGCAGGCTCTTGATTATAAGACGACATACGCCACTCCAGATGGTGGCGAATATACCGGACTGAACCCTCCTGCGGACTCAGTCATGAAGGGAACACTGTATCCTCGTACTGGTACACTTGGCGGCTGCACTGCACATAATGCTCTCATTGCGGTGTACCCTCATCAATCCGATTTTGAATACATCGCCACCCTGACAGGCGATGCTTCTTGGTCCGCCGACAACATGCGCAAGTATTTCACCAAACTTGAGAAGAACCAGCACCTTCTCCCGGGCCTCCCAGGCCACGGCTATGATGGCTGGCTGGAGACCGAGACAGCTCCACTGAGCATTGTCTTGGAAGATCCGCAACTTCTCAGTGTACTCACTGGTGGAGCCTTCGCACTCGGCAATGAGACGAACTCGGTCATCAATTTGGGGACCTTAGTTGCGGGAGATGCTAATGCGGATTCTGAGACTCGCGATACTAAGCCTGCTTATTATCAGATTCCTCTCTCCACCAATGATGCGCATCGCACTGGTTCTCGCGAATTTGTGATTGATGTTCGCGATGCGAAAAATGCAGACGGAAGCAAAAAGTACCCCCTCGACGTCCGCACCGACTGCTATGTGACTAAAGTTCTCTTCGACGAGACTTCTCATCCACCGCGTGCCACTGGAGTCGAGTTTCTCGATGGGAAGTACCTGTATAAAGCTAGTCCAAAGTCTAAGAACGCGGGCTCCGGTATCCCTGGAAGTGTCACTGCCTCACGTGAGGTCATTGTTGCTGGCGGTACATACAACTCCCCTCAGCTTCTGAAGCTGAGTGGAGTTGGTCCCGCCGAGGAGCTCCAGAAATTTAATATCCCTGTCATCTCTGACCTGCCAGGCGTTGGAACAAATCTCCAGGACCACTACGAAATCTCGGTACAGGGAAAAGCTCCTTCCAACTTTTCCTCCCTTAACGGATGTACATTCGATGAAAGCGAGAACGACGAATGTCTCAACCGATGGAAGAACCCTGTCCTCGGAGATCACGGCCTCTATTCATCGTCTGGACTTGCAGCAGCCATGTTCTTCAAGAGCAGTGCCTCGGTTAACAATGAGTTCGACGTCTTCACATTCGGAGGGCCTGTGAACTTCCGGGGCTACTTCCCTGGATACGCTGTTAACGCAACTGAAGACCACGACTGGTTTACTTGGGCCATTCTTAAGGCTCACCCACGGAACACTGCAGGCAGCGTCACTCTTCGCTCCGCTGATCCGCTTGATGTTCCGGACATTGTGTACAACTATTTCGACACTGGTAAAGGAGATTATGAAGGCGATTTGGTTGCCCTCTCAGAGGCTGTCTCTCTGGCCCGTGATGCTTTTAATCGCCAACTCGTGGAGATTGACGAAATATTACCTGGCGCCGATGTTGTCGACGCCGCCGCCATCAACGACTACATCAAGAACACTGCGTGGGGACACCACGCATCATCTACTTGCCCCATTGGTGCTGATGACGATCCGCTTGCTGTCCTGGACTCCAAGTTTCGTGTTCGGGGTGTGCAGGGCTTGAGGGTCGTTGATGCTAGTGTCTACCCCAGGATTCCCGGTACCTTCACTGCTGTATCGACATACATGGCGGCTGAGAAGGCAGCTGATATAATCCTTCAGGATCTTCGCGAAGCTACAAATAGTACAGTCAACACACGTTCATCCGCTTGAACCGTTGGCTACCATCATTGAAGACTGTCATAGTTAAATAGATACTTTAACCTCAACCTAGTTTTCATATATTGTCTGTATATTGCGACGTCATTGTGCCCGTGATACTATGTAATATTAGCCCTATCAAGTCTTTTTCGCGCAATGATATCTATTTGCTAAGCAATGAATCTAGTATTAATGGCGTGAGCTTATGCACAATCTTGAAGGGATCAAGCTCATCCCTTCTTCAATGTCCCAAGGTAGATAAACCTCGATAAGAGAACAGTTGTATTGATTTCTCACCATGTTGCCTAGCATTCATAATTGTATTTGTCACGAGACCTTTTTCCGCCTGTCTCAGGCGTTCCCACTTTCTCCGCTGCTAGAAATTATATTCTGTTGCGCACAGTATCTATTCTGAGACCCCTAACAGATTTTGATGCTGTGTTCTTTTCATCACAATTGTCTACAAAGTTCCCCCAAGAACGTCTACATTATGACCTCCATGGATTGTAGCGGATGTGGGAGGAACCCCTCCCTTCTACTCTCGGGAAGCTTTCAGGTTCTGGGTAATTCTGATCATCATTACACCTACTTTGATTTACGGAAATCGTATTTACTAGAGTAATGGGTGTTTTCACATACCCATGACCAGCACATAGAAATCTGAAACCGAGGATTTAATATCATTTCATGGTGCCTAAAATTTGAAAGAGTGCATTTAGCTTGGGTATCTTGGTCATCTCTAAAGCTGTATTTTCCGGGATACAGTGTATTTACGGGCAGTATTTACTACTGCCATTCATGTGCGCTGATTCCTCATGAACTACTTCATATTCTGTGCGTACTTGGATTCCATTCTTTCTCTCCATGTCTTCTAGTACAACACCATCATCGTCATCACCCAGGATTTGTGTTGCACTGGAAAAGTCGGGGATGGGTCGTTCTCGACTAGCATTCGAACGACTGGTTCCGTCGGCACCAGTTCCGTGTCGGAAGTAAGAGTGAGTGTTTGTGCGCGGCCTAGAGTGGCCTGAAGACAGCAATCCAGGGAACCATCTTGATATGAGCGGTTTCAATGTAGGAAGACATGCGCCAACTATTGCTCCGTTGACCTCTACCACAGACCAGATAGCAATCGCAAAATTGTCGTAGGTTGGCTCGGTTGTTACAGAACCTGTATGCAGGGCATATAGACGAACAATCGAAATTATACAGACACTACAGCAATTCGAATGATATTAGCATAAAAGAGTTTGCTTTGAATTGTAGAGCAACGTACAAGAAGCCCAACAAGAATACCAGGCTGACACCAATCTTTTGTTTCCTTGGTAGCTGTAGTTTGTATATACCAGGCAACGGCAGCAAGACGATCAAGAAGTCGGTAAAAATATTCAGTCCAGCATTGGTGAACCAGACGACGGCTTTCGGGAAACACCATCCTTCCAAGCTCTTGTCCCAATAGAGTGGCACTGGCAGACATGCAATAATGCTGCAAATGACGATCCAGGCAGTGTATATTGAGAGGATGGCAAGAACCGCGTAGCATGCATATCTCCAAGATGAGGGTGCGAATATTCGAAGACATAGGAGGAGGATCGCGAATTTCGAGAGACACAGACTGAGATTGTAAAACAGTATTGAAAAGTACGACAACTGCGGGTGTTAGTATCATGAAACCGTTGGCAATGCTGAGGATGGAATCATTACCTTCAGGAATTCCATCAATCTTTCTGGTCCATCGTAACGTTGCCCCAGTCCACCCCTTGTTACTTCTATCATTTATCGGGTCAGTCGGCGGAACAATTGGATGAGGGCTCGGACTCGCGATCGCTGGAGAGAGAAGAGCGATCCAGAGGGAGCAAGGGAGCATACCAAGATGCATGAAAATGCAGCATAGGAGAGAGAATGCCTTGTTTCGATCAGTATCTTCCAGACGCACCACACAATCTTGCGAGCCCAAGCATACCAGGGAACCGAGAACACAGATATCCTCTCTTCCCAAAAGCCTGACAAACTTCCATCGAACCAGTATCCGGAGTGTAACAAACAGGGAAGCGATTGCAAAAGTTATGTACGACCACGCAATCACTTGCGCCCCGCGAGACGAGATATCGAGAGACATGTTGTTCGTGCAGGCACCTGGTTGGGGGTCATCTCAATTCAGCAAGATCCGTTCTCCGGGGGTTGGGGGTAAGGTCGCTGAAAAGGCCAATGCCTTATACCTTTTTGAACCCCTGACTCGATTTCTGAGGAAAGTGAGGGATCGAGGGCAGTGTAGTGATAAGTTAGATGGCAGAACCCTAAGATCTTCAGCACCGATGTCCTTTTCGGGTACCCTACTTCGCTTCACCCGGGTCTTCTCTTTCAGGTGAAGGGTTCCAAAGCTGGGACGATGATTGCTGTCCCCACCTAGGTGGCCATCGTACTGAGCTATGCGACGTCCCGCGTACCGCAGGGCTGGATTAGCCGCAAGCGCTAGGAGGCATCGTCGAGTGCCTCGTTCATATTAAGTGTGCCTACTGCGTACTAAATCATTTCCCTGCCGCACGAATACTCGTAAGACGCCCGCATCTACCAGACGAACATTCTACGCCTACCGGTACACCTCCGCCTACACCCTATTGTATGCATGCGGTGTTGGACTGTGGTAGGGTCACATTTGATCCCCGAATGGTTCCTGGTTTCTGTTGCTCCACGGTACTCGAGCGCGTGGATCCTTCCAAGGATACTTGTGTGTACAAGGTAGAAATTTACTACCTGTGCCCGTAAACCTGCAACTTGCTCGTAGGTGCACCTTTGAGTATGATACCAGTACCTCAGCCTCGGTTGCCTTTACAGTCTCATTTGGCGGCCAGTATTGGCCCGTTCCCCGCCGCTCCGTCGTCCAGTTCAGGCCAGTCCTACGAGTACGACCTCGTAGATTACTCTATTACGGGGGAGAGTGGCCAGGAACCTTGCAGATCCTGGATCACACATAAGCAACTAATGAGACACCTATAAGTAAAGGCTCTTCCCTTGAATTTCCCTTGTCCCTATTTGCGTATCGTATCTCATCGTGTCTGCAGTAGCCGCGTGCGTCGATCATGAGGGGGAGAGGATTGACTCCAGGATGCGCGCCGAAGATCCGAGACTGGGCGCCCCACTTATCATGACACATGTCTACCACTGGGCACCCACCACTTGAGATATCAGCTAGCCAAATCCGGGGTAGGGGTGATTAGATACTCTCGGCATTCCTGGCATTTCTGGCAGTATGCCTCCAGATCCCTGATAATGCCGATGAGAGAACGCCTTAGAGCACCTTACTACGAGTGCTGCGAGGCCACGATGAGGAGGTACGAAATATGTTGGGTAAGAATGCAACCAAAGAAACAATGACTGATGCTTGGACTAGAGGACCGAGATGTATCGGTAGGTAGAGGGTAACTTATGCAGTCCCCCTTCTTTGCGCCCCAGCTGTAGTAATCCTCTCGCTGTCAGTCGACTACATGTTACAGGATAGCGAAGCCTCTCATGATGATACTTTCAAAATATGCAGTGCAGTGCACAGAATTAATTCCTTATGTCATTGCGCATTGGTCATCGTAGCTCGCTTCTCTGTTTCACGACTACCAGGATCGCCGAGGTAAAGGAATTGAGGATTGTAATGCGCAGCACCCCGGGGTGTAATACTGTACATATGCTGCAAGTTCGAAGCGAGTATCATCAACTGATTGATCCAATCCGTAGGTATCGTCCAAGATTGAAAGATGTTTTTGATGTCACGTGGATTCGTGCGCTATACAAGTACATATCGGTGGATGGAACTTGCAATCCATTTCCGTACAGAGGGTACAAGTCGCGAAAAGAATTGAGCAAAGAATACCCATTGATGACTACTACGTAGATACTGAGGTTACATGAAGGTAACTTCACGTCCCTCGATCATTAGGATACACTTCTTCCCCGGACACTTACAGTCCCCTTGTGGGGCAAGACGAATGTCTCTCCCGTCTATCGTCCCTATCACAATCGGTCCAAGTGAACGACAACCCTTCCTCCCCTCATTTGCCTCCTTAGACTCTACCACTATGTGTTCCGCTTCAATGCACGTTGGGTTGTGGCACAAGTGGCTCGCGTGCATGCCTTCCAGGAGGGCCTGGACATCCTGTTCGCTGTCAAAATAGGTCAGCGTTCCGTGTGGAGTAAGACTTAATACACGTAAGGTAGGTTGAGGGAAATAGTAGGTAGGCAGAAACCCCATCAACAGGTCCGGGAGAGGTTATTGAGCTAGTACCTCTTATGAGCGATGACGACCAGCTGGTGTGCATTCTGAGCTTTAGGCTTTATTCTCGCGGTAGTCTCTTTCTACTCTTGTTCTTGATCCGAGGGCAATTGGTGCAATTTGGATGTATCCATTTTCCTAAGGCACGCCTAGCGTTAGCCATCGATACGTTGTGTGGCTCTGTAATCTGCATTTGCAGAGAGAATTACCTACTCCTGTATTTGGAGCTTTCTGCGCGAGCAAACAACCTGCTTCATTACTGATCGCAGGGCCGTAGCCACTCCCACTCTTGTCTTTGTAGCCTTTTACCAAACGGTCTAGGGTCGCCCGAGCGGTACGCAGCGAAATCTGAGCCAGTTCCAACAGTGCGGACGATTGAGCAGCGGGTGATGAGCTGGACATCTGCTAAATAATTATCAGCAAATCGACACACCGTAGTCTCAATAGGCTTGGGGTCCCTAGCAATTACATACTGCTGTGATCGCCTTTTTAAGAATGTGTCTCGCCGTCGGCTATAGGGGAGATAAAAGAAGATGAAGAAATTGCATGTGTACAGCATATATATACATATGTTCAGGATTCAGTTTGTATGCATGGATTTGCGTATTTGTATATCTACATGTTTGTGTGGTCTGCAATATGTATCAATGTAATTGTGCTTCAATTTTTCTGCAATGCAGTATATGTCTTTGTGCTTGCCTGAGCGTTTGTACAACGCAATCGGTATAACCAGCTAATTATACACATGTGTTTGTATGTAATGTATGAGGTGGTGAGCTTTACAAACTTGCGATTTGAACCCGAATAGAATTGCATATATCTGCCCAGTGGCTTCCAGCTTGCGGATAGAAGCTTCGTCTAGTACTGTTATCCTTTCCAGGCTTTATCATAGGAGAACATAGATTCTGATCAAGACAATTTCCATGTCTAGGAGAGCTCGGTATAGTATCCCTGCCTTTGACATCCTGAAATAGCACCAAAATAGCACCTTGTCACGCTCCATGTAGCCTATAATTAAAATCTCTCGTACAATATTCACGAATCCATTCCATTGGCTCGCCTTCTGACGCCTAGGGAACCAGTCGAATCGGAAGGTTGAATTGATCCGCAGAACGACTGATTCACGCTAGGAAAAACTAGTTGGCCTACTCACGCACTGGCTAATTCGCAGAGATATTGAAGAATCGCAAGGGCCCGAGTATGGCGTGGTACCTTCGAAGCTCCCAGTCGTGTAAGTAGACCTCCAACCAGACGCAATTATACTAACAAAGCTAGAATGGGCTATGTAAGAGCAATGTTAGAGCGTCCGAACTGGGAGACTGACGCAACGACCAAACCTAAAAAGGGAACATACTGTGTACGGAGTAGACTAGCAGCGAATCAGGCGGGGGAGTGCACTGAGAGAGGACGGCGGGACCCAGCACGTGTGGCTGGTTCTCGTTTGTCAAGAAAGACAAGTGGCGTTCACCCGGGAACCTGCGACTTCGCTATGGGGAGGGCGCATCCGGTATCCTATATCTCTGCGAGATCTACTTATAACTGTGGATATCCTATAAAAACTGAATGCGCGACATTGACAAGTCATTGAATAGTTTGGTTGGGGTTGCGTTGCCTAATGGTTTGGAATCTGAACTGAGAACGGACCACGTGCACTCCACGCTAACCACAGACGGATAGCTATCTCGAGAGGAATCGAAAATCCAGGGTTCATTTCGACATTTTCGCCAGCGTACTTACACACTACAAAGCACCAGTGCCCAATGTTCGACACAGTCTGTACCATACCGCTCGCTCATGAGCTCTTCACACAGGCAATCCATCCAGAGGAGCCCGTCGTATCGGTTGGCCTGGCATCCGGACATGTGAGTACTTATCGATTGCCAGCCGGCGCGAGCAACGACGGCAGCGATGCGGATGGGACTTTGGCTTCGGAGAGCGGCTTTGGCCAGATTGAAACAACATGGACGACCAGACGCCACAAGGGAAGCTGTCGGACGTTGACGTTCGGCATCGATGGTGCACAATTGTACTCATCAGGCACAGACGGTATCGTCAAAGCCGCCGATGTGTCCACAGGGCAGGTCACCGCGAAGATTGCCATTCCGCTCGATCCGTGAGTCTCCAAAGGCCTAAGGCGCCCGTGGATATTACACGGGCATACCGTCTTCCGCAGACTCGACTCATGCGTTCTTTAGAGCCAACGGCGATGTCGATCATCCGTCCCTCATCCACGCGCTTTCGCCGCAGTCGCTTCTTCTGGGAACCGATTCTTCCGCATTACATATCTACGATCTTCGAGCTTTAGGTCCCAAAGCTGCACCCAAACCCCAGGCTACACACCATCCTCACGACGATTACATTTCCTCCCTCACTCCTCTTCCTCCAACAGAACAGAGCACAAGTGGATTTAGTAAACAATGGGTCAGCACAGGTGGCAGTACGTTGGCCGTTACGGATCTACGTCGTGGTGTCATGGTCCGCAGCGAAGATCAGGAGGAGGAGCTTTTGAGTTCGGTCATGGTGAGCGGCCTGTCAAAGCGAGGGACAAGTGTTGGGGAAAAAGTCCTTGTCGGAGGCAGTACCGGTGTGATCACTCTCTGGGAACGTGGTGTCTGGGACGACCAGGACGAACGCATTACCGTGGATAACTCACCGGGAGGTGGAGAGAGCATAGATACTCTTGCCTTGGTGCCTCCAGGAGTTGGGCCCGGTGGTAAGATTGTGGCAGTCGGCCTTGGGAATGGGGGCTTGAAATTCATCAAGCTTGGACCAAATAAAATCATCGCCGAGCTGAAACACGATGAGTTGGAAAAGGAAGCAGTGGTTGGCTTGGTATTTGATTCGACGGGCAGAATGATCACTGGGGGTGGAAAACAGGTCAAAGTCTGGTATGAGAAGCTTGCCGGCGAAGCAGGAAGTGATGATGAGGAGAAGAGCGATGAAAATGAGACTAGGCGTGGCCATGACAGTGATGACGATGCGAGTGACGGAGATACGAAGGACAGTAGTGATGAAGAGCCAGAAAAGAAGAAGCGCAAGAAAAGAAAGAAGGGCAAGGGAAAAAAGCAGCAGCAACACGGTCATGGGATCCTTGGGTTTTCAGGTCTGGACTGAACCCCCTTGTACATCGAGAACAACTGATGGCTAGAGTTGATGTTCGATTGCTGCACCAAATGCGTCAAGTGTCATTGCCTAATAATTAGTCCACTCCCTGGGAAAACTTTTGGGCAGTGTTCAACTATGATCGGTCATGGAGTACGTGAGAATTCGTAAATGTTTGAATTTTGAGAGATAGTGGGGAAACAGAAGTTATTATTCAAAAAACTTCACCGAGCAGGTGCAGCGTAGATTTGAAATGCACAATACTGCACGCGAAGTTCCAGCCAACGGCTTTCTGCTCAAATTCATTGTCTGACCAAGTTGGCTCAGCTGTATAGCCTGTCACCCAATCTTTCATCATTTGTTCAAAGTACATGAAGCACAACTGCCGTGACTGGTTGATGCTGTTCGCCTCTAGAACTAGGTAGATTGGGTTGACATTCCTATAGGTTCTTGACTTAGCAGGATTTGGAAAACACCCGATATGAAAGAACGGCCTACAATGATGTCCTGACACCAAGATACAACGTATGTGATACGTCTTTGCCTGTCTCAATATCCCCATGATAGTCTTGGTAGGTGATCCGATGCATAAATACTTAATTCCGTTATATCGGACTGAGATACGTTGGTCTTAGAGGGACTTGCATATACAAACAAGAACGTACTTTGTGTGTACTGATCGTGAGTTGTTTGGAACGGCGAAAAGACAGGTGCACGTGGCCATACTCGAGGTTCTCCCGCACGTTTTGAATGTCCTGAAGTGATAATGTGCATTGATAGGTAAGAATGTAACGCTGCTGATCATCTGGTCGACAGCCTGGCGAACATGCGCTCTTGGTAGTGCTTCGACCGCAGCCATGAGAGAGAGAGAGGGTTAAGCACTGGGCACCGTGCGCTGCCTAGCATGAGGGCTCCATATCACCAGCACAAACGTTATACATACACTGCATAAGTTAGGCAACAGCATACAGTGTGTTTACTGATATATCAATCTGCTAAGAGAACAAGAAAAAGACAGAACCTAGCCTATGCTACCAACCTTAGACTAGACTCAATAATCTGATACTACTTATTGATACGATGGCTGATTTGAATGGAAATTCGAGCAGTTTGGTGTTATGAAAGAAATTGCGATATATAGACATGCTGGTTCGTAGGATTCAGGTTTAGTCTAAAGTACAGCTTGTCACCCTATAAATACATGAGAGACATTAACGGGGATACTCTATTGCCCAGAAATCCTAGTACAACATGCGCGTGAAACACAAATCCTTGGAAAGTTGTCCTAGAATAGCTTTATTGAGTATAACTCCCTGTGCCTGACATAATGCCATGCTTGACCCGGAAATGAGATCTAGTAAGAATCTCTGCTATGTGTTCACATCCGAAGTAGTTGCTGCTATGATTTCAGCTGCACCCCACAACGGAACTCTTGCTACAGCTTACTTGACCATTATCTAAGCTTTCCCAATGAATCACTCTAAGCATGTCTATTTTTCTACCAGTAGGGAGTGCCCTGCGGCCAATTCATGTCCTAGGATTGCATGCGAAGTATTTTACTGTAGCGAATGGTGGGCAGCGTAGGAGCCGTAGACCCAGCAAAACATTGATAATCTCATAATGACAACAGGATTTCTGTGAAGCTAAAGAAGAAATGGCAATATAGGAAAGCCTACAACGGATCAAAATCTTAACCTTTTGATTCAAATGTAGCTATTAGAGCTTTCGAAAGGCCTTAGCGCTCCGCTTTTTCTTGCTATCTGGGATCTTGCAGGTATTTTCCGTCTTATGTATAGCTCTACCATGTAATTAATTATGTACGCCCTAGTAGTAGTTCATTGCTTATTAGCTGCAACACCGTAACGTAGTTGGTCTTTTACAAAGTTAGAAAACGATTAAGAAAACAATATCTTTGCGACAAGTTGCACACCAAACTCTATTGACATATGCTCAGCTCACGCAAACAACACATGAATCAGTATTGCCTTTAGGGGTGAATTCCATTGAAGGTAGTTATTTAGCTAAAAACCAGAACCGAGTGAGTAGATGCATAAGTCGCAAATGAAGATAACAAAGATTCATTCCTAAATGTCTAATGACTCTTTAACTGTATCTCCCATTTCGCTCCTGGTTCTGTGAGTCACAACTGTCCGTATTAGCCTTGGTTGTTTATCCAAGGTTTCCGTTGCTAACGATATCTATCTTGCTCTTGCATTCTTACGTGACCACCACAAAGCGTCATGCTCACTAATATACTGACATACAAAGGTATAATCAAATAAATTAGCACTTGAAGACAGCTGGGCCAGGAGCCTTGTAGCTGGTCTTCCCAGAGTACAAGTTGAAAAGTATACCAGAATCGCTAGCAGAATAGGCGCCTGGGAGGCTGACACTGGACGGTGTTTTAGAAGCAGAGCCACCTTGGATGTTGATCTGAGCGCATTCCTATGACGTATTTCATCAGCTCTTTTAGTTCATTTTCAAAGTAAATGGCTCGTACGCACCATGTAGAACTGTGCACCTTTAGGTGATTGTGCGCCATGGAGGGCAATGAGTTCTCCACGGAGGAGGTATTGACCAGGAGCAATGCAAGATGGAATGGTAACGGTCTGCTCGCCCTGGTTTGCAATCAACCGATCAACACCCCATTTAGATCCGTCGAAACCGTCCTCGGCGATCTTGAACCAGCCACCACCAACGCCTGAGTCCTTTGTAGCATCAGAAACCTTCTTGAGGTAGGCCATAACAGGGCCCTTGTGTGAGGCATCGATGACATCGTTCGGGCCCGAGGTGAGAGTGTGGCGCCATGTAAGTTTGGCGGTTGAGCCCGCTTGGACATTGATGACGGTTGAGGTCGATTTAGTGGGATTCGGTCCACCATTGCAGACGATGTCGTTTGAGGTCACCTCAGTGATAGGCTAAAACAGGAATGAGATTTGGCATTTCACACTCAGAATGGTCCAGGCTGTCAAGCAGACTGTTGGCAGGGGCTACATACTCCATCGTATGATGGGACACGGACGCCATCGCCGACTTTCCCGCCATTGAGGGAGACAAAGATAGTGTGTGCTGAAGCAGTAGATGCTGCGACAGCAAGTGTAAGATTGGTTGTTAACTTCATAATTCAGCAAGAAAATAATAATAGAGAAGTCTTGACAATAATGATTCGTGAAATGTAATGAGTGTTGAAAGTTCAGAACGGTAGAGCAGTGATAACTGACCATGCTATATAACAACGAGCCTTTGCCGTAACTCTAAACCTTGCCCTATGGCCAAGAGCCCAAGCGTTGTAGATGCTGAGGATGTTCGTTGATACAACATCCAGATTGCCATTCTATACACGACAGCCTTGCTCGCTTCTGGGCATTAGATTAATTGCATTGTGTCCACCAACTGTTGCTTAGCTAGTAAAGTGCCACGCATAACAAGACCTTGCGAAAATGCCCCTAAGTTCTCTAAGCCCTTTACGTCACGGACATCCTAGCCCGGCAATGAAAGGAGCAATCAAGTTAGATTAAGCAATATTGAAGCCCCCCAGAGGCCTCTAAAGTGTTACAAGGATAATAGAGATGCTAGATGTAGGCTTGTTTATTATATAGCTGTAAGAGACTATAATACCCTCTAGATATATAGTCTTATACTTTATATATAACGTGTTTCATAAGCGAGCTGGCACCCCAAGCGAGCTGGCACCTTTTCCTAAGCTTATGAACATCGCAACCTTATTACAGTCTATTATCACAGTAAAATCAAAATCCTAATAAGCTAATCTATTCTTCAGAAGCCTCGCTATCAGTCTCTAACTCAATATCGGCCGTGCAGGTGCGTGTATTATGCCCAGTCTCCTTACATCGCCCGCAGCGCCTTTCACCGCGCACCCTCTTCGCAGGCATCTTACTATCCTCACACTCGTCCCTCGCAAGTAGATCACTTATCTCACC